ACAACAACAACAACAATTCAAACATCATGTCCGATATCTTAAGCAAGGATCCCACGAAGAGAAGGGAGAAATGGCATACTTGGTACGTTGATGAATTGAAGATGATGGTTATTCTTATTGATTACATGTACTAATGATGGTTATCCAAATTCCGTTGTTGTCTTGCTCTGTTGGTATCAATCTACTACAACACTCACGTGATGATTATACAACCCTTTCACTTCCCGTATACATCCATACCTCAAATTGTATTTTCATTCATTGGATTGTGGTTGCTATACAACACAACATTCGACCAACATCAACACACATTGAAATACAATATTCATTGCTTTCGGATGCTTGTTTCATCGTGGTGATGAAATTGTTCTTTGACTCTGCTTGTGTGGATTTCTCTGCGTGTGTGTGTGTAATGTAACACACTGTTGTATTCACAATATCCTTCTCATCATTTGAACACCAATTCTTTTGTTTCCTTTTGTTTCCTTTTGTTTTCATATACATATATACATACAAATATTATTTCCTATTGTTCAAATCATTCATGATAATGATGAACAGAGTAACATTATTGGTGCCATTGCCATTGCAGATCTTCTCAAGACCACTCTTGGTCCAAAAGGAATGGATAAAATTCTTGTCAAAGCATCTGAAGGTGTTGATGCAAAAGTTGAAGTCACCAATGATGGTGCTACCATTTTGAAAGCACTTTCTGTTCAAAATCCTGCTGCTAAAATCTTGGTAGACATTGCCAAGACTCAAGACGATGAAGTTGGTGATGGAACTACTTCAGTGTGTGTATTCACAGGTGAATTGTTGAGACAAGCAGAAAAACTTTTAGAACAAAAGATACATCCTCAAACCATTATTGATGGTTGGAGAAAGGCTACAAGAGTTGCTCATGATGCTCTTTTGAAAGCCTCTGTGGATCATGGACAAGATAAAGAAGCATTGAGACAAGATTTGTTGAATATTGCTCGTACGACTTTGAGCTCTAAGATTTTACAACAAGAAAAAGAATTGTTTGCAAATCTTGCTGTTGATGCTGTTCTAAGATTAAATGGAAGTACAGATTTAAATCACATTCAAATTTTGAAGAAGCCTGGTGGTAGTATGAAGGACAGTTATTTGGATGAAGGTTTCATTCTTGACAAAACCATTGGAGTTGGTCAACCAAAGAAAATGCAGAATTGTAAAATTCTTGTCGCTAACACACCTATGGACACTGATAAAATCAAAATTCATGGAGGTGTGGTAAAGACATCTAGTATTGCAACACTTTCTGAAATTGAAAAGGCAGAAAAGGAAAAGATGAAAAAGAAATGTCAAAAGATTATTGATCATGGAATTAATGTTTTCATTAACAGACAATTGATTTATGATTTTCCACAAGAATTCTTTGCTGACAATGGTGTCATGGCTATTGAACATGCAGATTTTGAAGGTGTTGAAAGATTGGCACTTGTTTTAGGAGCAGAAATTGTTTCTACATTTGATCATCCAGAATTGGTCAAATTAGGATCTTGTGCTTCAGTTGAGGAAATTATGATTGGTGAAGACAAACTCTTGAAATTCAGTGGATGTGCAAAGAATGAAGCTTGTACCATTGTGTTACGTGGTGCTTCCACTCATCTCTTGGAAGAAGCTGACCGTTCTCTCCATGATGCTCTTTGTGTGTTATCACAAACAGTTCTCAATACCAAGACAGTACTCGGTGGAGGTTGTAGTGAAATGTTAATGGCAAGAGCAGTGATGGAAGCAGCAAAACAAACACCAGGAAAGGAATCCATTGCTATGGAGGCATTTGCAAATGCTCTTAAGGCAATGCCAGCAATTATTGCAGATAATGCTGGATTGGATTCTGCAGAATTGGTTTCAGTGTTAGAAACTGATCACTACAAGGGACAATCGGACCATGGTATTGATATCGTTAAAGGTGAAATTGGTGATGTGAGAAGTTTGGGAATAACGGAATCATTCAGAGTGAAAGAACAAGTTCTTTTGTCAGCATCTGAGGCTGCAGAAATGATTATCAGAACTGACGATGTCATTTACTCGGCACCACGACAACGTCAAGAATAAGCTGTTCTTGTTCTTACTCATCTTTGATGATCCACACTAGTAAATTAAACCTCAATTTCGATACGATTATGACTTGTTGTTGTTTTTGGACTTTAGAGACATGACTTTATTGTTCCAAGTTCTTGTCGAATTCCTTCTTTTGATTCTCATCCACAAATACTTGTCGAGCATTAATATTGATTCTCATCATATCTCTTTCCATATATTCCGCGTAAATCTTGTACTTGGGATCTACATGTGCTGTTTGAAGATAGGCAGGAATAGTATCTTTAAGAATTCGAGCAATACCGTGGAAGCAATATCTTGCCCTGCCTCCCATCAACATACAATCTCCTGACTCGAGAAAAATAGCCTTAATATTAATAGGATAGTGACGAAAGAATATCATGAACACATGAGACCGTATACGTAACAAATGCAATACTTACTTTAGGTTCAATGTCTTTCGTTTCTCCTCCCAATAGAAAGATAGATTTTGAACCAATGCTCAAACTAACAATTGGTTTTGACATTTCATACTCTGCATCATCCACATGACCTCCCATGAGTCTATCTTTGGAATAAAAGTTCACAATGGCTTTGATAGTAGTATAATTATTTGAATATATAAATTGGATGATATTGGAGATGTATTTAATGTTAATAAACTTACCAGCTTCAGGTTTATAAGGTCCATATCCACATTGACATGCAATCATTTCAACAAAATTTCCAATGTCGTCAGGAAATTTAACAAACTTATCCTTGTGATATTTTCTTGTTGTCCATTCATATTGATATCCCAAAGTACACCATGCTAACTTTTTAAGTAAAGTCTTGGCTTCTTCATCTCCGTTTACGCTTCTTTTAAAAATATCCAAAATTTCACCTTGTTTCATAGTATGATTAGTAATATTTGGAGGATTAGGATACTGTTCTAACGCTTGTTTAATCCAATAAATTTGCTGTTCTGGTCTCATGAGGTCCTTGATGACATAAAATCCAGGATATCCTTTAAATGTATATATCGATTTGCTCATTAACTCTTCTTTAGTGAAACGCATTGTATTTTTCAAATATTCATCTTGGGAGAAATAAGAGTTATACTTTTCTAATGCCTCTTCAAAATATTTCATATCGATTTCAGTGTTTGGTAATACCACAGGTTCAAGAAGTTGTCTATTTTCTGGAGTGTTATTTTGTAAATTATGAAAATCAATCACATGGGTGGTATCGGGAAAATCAGCCTCTTTCGTATTATTCCATCAATCAATTATTATTATTTAAATAAATTCATAGAGAATGGTATGAATATTCGATTAGTCCAATACAAATGAAACAATTATCGGTTGGTCCCAATGATGATGATGATGAGATTTAATATTTAAAAAAACCTACCAACCATCTTTCCATGTTTGTTACTGACATGATGTTTTCTGTACATCTTTTCAACTCTTCGGTAAGCATTATCGGAGTCAGTTTCGCTCGTTTGGTAGAGCGATGATGATGCCGAGGAGGCAGATGAAGTATCCGTTGTCGCAGGTAACATTTTTTTTATGTGGGATTTATCTCAAAAAACCGAAATTGAATGGATATTGTCATTCAAGGTTGAAGAACAGGTTAATTTTTGAATTGTTTAAGGAAATCTAAGGAACCCTAAAATCTTCGAGCATTTCTTCTCTCCGAAAAGTAACACCCGGAGCCGGAGTACTTGTTTCCGATCATCCTGTTTTATACAACTGAACCATAAAGATTTTTGTAAAACGCCATTGCCGTAGGCTCCGGTCGCGGAGAAGAGCAAGAATTTAAAGTACTCTTGTCCATTCCTTCAACTGTCACACCGATCAGCCACATGATCACTTTCATTATCAAAAAAATGTTCAAAAGAATCTTCTTGTTGGCAACAACACTTCTTGTGGTCTCCGCTGCAATTGCTGTGTTGGCACAAGATCCAATCAGACAAGTCAATGATCCTGTCTTGATTAATCTAATCAATAACAGTCCAAAGGTTTTTTGGAAAGCCACTCATTATCCACAATTTGAAAATATGAGTGTTGAAGATTTCAGAAAGGTTTGTAGTGCAAGTCACAACGACAACAACAAGAATTGACGAACAAGATATGACGTCTCTCTATCTCAATATCATCATTTGTTGTGATGATTTGTTGTTGCAATGGTTATGCTGCATGCATGAATGTGTGTTAATAACCTCTATAATGCATCTATAATATTTGAAACTATAGAGATTGGGAGCTGTTTTGATTCAACCAGGAACAGCTGACATGATCATGGAGAGATTACAAAAACAATCATCTACCAACAAGGTTGTAGCAGCACCAGCAAGCTTTGATTCGAGAGTCAAATGGCCAAAATGTATCCATCCCATTAGGTAAGCTTTCATATTCTCACTTTATTTGTAAACAATTAATTTGAAATATCCCTTGTTGTTGAACCTTCAAACTGAATGTGTGATCAATCTCAACAACATACCAATGAATCAATACGATTCCCAATCATGATCAATCTCAACAACATACCAATGAATCAATACCAATGAAACAATTTTAACCATGTCTCTCCACAACAACAACAACAACAACAACCATAGAAATCAAGAACAATGTGGTTCATGTTGGGCTTTCTCTGCTTCTGAAGTGTTGAGTGATCGTTTGTGTATTGCCACTGATGGTAAAACAGATCTTGTTCTTTCACCTCAATACATGGTTTCATGTGATACTAGAAACTATGGATGTGATGGAGGATATTTGAATCTTGCATGGAACTTTTTGGTCACAACTGGTATTCCAAGTGATGCTTGTGTTCCATACACTTCTGGTGATGGAAAGAGTAATGGTAAGTGTGTTGTTAATGATGATCATGATTGGAATGATTCTATCATGATATATAACACGTGATATATTTAAAACAATATTCACAACACAATATACCTTTGAATTAAACAAATTTACCCAATACGAATACCTATTTATAGGTAAATGCCCAACCAAATGTTCCAATGGACAAGCCGTTACTCTGTACAAGGCAAAGTCTGCCAAGCACGTGATTGGTGTTTCAAATGCTGAGAATGAATTGTATGAATATGGACCAATTCAAACAGGTTTTACAGGTAAGTTTTTGTTTTATAATAGAACCCTCCTACTACTTTTGTACGATCGATTCACAATCACATCCAATCAACACATCCAATCAATGGTTCATCCTACACACTACTACCCTAAATTTATAGTGTATCGTGATTTTATGAGCTACAAATCTGGAGTGTATCATCACGTCTCTGGTGAGGCATTGGGTGGACATGCAGTCAAGATTGTTGGTTATGGTGTGGATTCAGTGAGCAATAAGAAGTATTGGATTGTTGCCAACTCGTGGGGAACAAGTTGGGGCATGAATGTAAGTTTGAATAATTATTCAAATCGAAAGAGGTGTTAATGTTCATGTTGAATATACGAATTCTTGATTTATTTTATCATTCGTTTTCCACTTCATCATTGTAAAACAGGGTTTCTTCTGGATTTTGAAAGGAGTTGATGAATGCAACATTGAAAGCGGAATGTGGACAGGTTATGCATGAACGGATTTGTCAAGTTAATAAATTATTGATTTGACTTTTGGAGTTTGGAAAAACACGTTCCCATCTTTGGTGCTAATGTTTTGGTATTTATTTACAAGGGTTAGACGAGAGTGATGGTGATTGAGAGTGCATTTCTCAATCCGTGGTGGTCGATGTTGTTTGTGGTTTCTTCTTTGATCTTGTGACTCTCTTTCTCAACTGAGGCTGTTGAGAATGTTCTACAATACTTGTTTCATCACCATGGTCGTGTCGGTTATGAACAACGAGAGGTTTGGAATCTTCAATGTGTCCTTCTTCTCCATCTCTATTCTCATCACTTGATGTAGAAGCAGTATCATGAACAGTAGCAGCAGCAGCAACTTCTTGCTTGACCGATGAACGAGGAGACATTGAGACAAGTTTCTTTTCTTGGATTTGCTGCTGTGATAAAGATGGCTTATGTTTCACAAAAGATGATTTTGGTTCTTGTTGTTGGCTCTTATTCAAGCGAATAAAAATTAAATAAAGAAGGAAAATTCCAAACATGATCCAACCAAACAAGTTAAAGCTCAGAAAAATTGGGAATAATATGAAAAAGCTTGTAATAGGATAGTTGAAAAAGTAATACCATATTCCTGTGATTTGAGCCATCATTTGAATGCTTGCAGAATAAATTTGTACATCAGGGGATCCAATCCACACATGAATATGAGATGCTCGATGCAATATTACTCGATTATTAAAATCATTTAGTTGTGTTTCGGTTAACATTTCTAATATTTGCCTTTCAGGTTCGTTTTCATTCCCAAATATGATATATGGTATGCTCATCAAATCTTTTACAGTTCTAATAATATTAGAATTATATTTTATCATACTCTGTGAATAATCATCATTAGAATGATGTGTTGAATTTTGAGTGTAAGCACAACATACACTTCTTGAGGTTGTAAACAGTTTCATATTATTTCTATCATAAAAATCTGCATGTACTGTAAACATTCCAACTTTTCGATTTGCTGCAGATTCTGGTAAGTTCAGTTTAATTCTAAATGTGTCAATAAATAATCCAGATTGGATAAGTGATCGTGATGAATCATTTGGAAGTAGTGTGACATTGGCATAGAGAGATTTGTCTTCTTTTATAAAGAATAATGGATGATCGTATTGAGTAGGTGGTCGTCGATAAAACAGTATGGCCATCACTACAAACATGGCTGTCAAGCTCGAAATCACAAATGCCATGAATAAATAAATAAGAACTGCTAAAATTTTCAAAAAGTGTTTCTTCAGAAAATCAGTTAGAGGATTATTCATCAATAGACTTTGTACAGTTTGTAATATTCCCAAATAACTTAAAATCATATTTGTTATTGGTTCGGTAAGCCTTTTAATGGTTGAAGTGAGAAAAGATGGACAACAACAAGACACGCATAGGCTTATCAATACCTTGAAAAATCCACCATCACTATTTTTGTTCAAGAGTGCTGCTTGTTTTGATGATGGTGGTTGTTGTGTGGATGATGGTATTGATACATGTTGTTGATCTTGCCCACTAATCTCCGAAGAAGCAGCACTAGTGCTTGTGCCTCCTTTCCCGTGGTCCAATGCGACCGTGCGTGTTGTTGTTGTGCGAACCACAGCCATTTTTTTTTGGGAAGGACATTTCAAAGTCCATTCTAGAATATTTGAATCACACTACAAATTAAACACTTTCTTGTTTCAAAAGAAGTTGTGCAACTGAATCAACTGACCATGAATAGTATAGGAATTGGATTTAGAATGTATTGGTTGTTGTTGTTGTTGTGAACAGGAATTGTTTTTAATGTATTATATAATACAATATTATCAGAGTCATTGTAAGGCAACGCGATGAAATGAGTTTCACTCTTCGACCAGCACACTTTTTACAATCATATTACAACAACACGTGTTTCATTCCAGCATGTTGATACAATAAGAATGCATTGAAGGCATGAATGGACATGTCATAGAGAGTCAAAAAGAAATCCACAGTCACATAGGGTGCATTTGGAGAATACTCTGCACTACTCCATTTTCGAATCCGAATGGAATAATATCCTTGTTGCCAAGTCAAGACATAAAACATGTGTGCAATGAAATGAAAGAGAACAAGATAAAAGTAAATGGAATTAGGCTTGATTTGATCATGTAATACAAATAGAATACTCAATCCACTTAAACCATCATAAAAGAACCACATGCCCATTTTCTTCAATGAATGTTCTTTTGGTTTGTAAATGCGTGCAAACACAAACGTATGAGATACTAAAAGATAAATCTCGGAGAGAAACAAGAGAAATGGAATTAGAGAGAAGTGTACGAAATGGTCGATCATGATGAGATTCAAAGAGAGTGGTGGTGGTGATGGTGATGATGGTGGTCAATATGGTTGTGGTGGTTTTGGTTTTGGTTTTGGTTTTGGTGGTTCTTACAATTGTGGGAACACAACACTGATTTTTCTTTTGTGAGAATTTTCCTGTTGGAGTTGCGCATGTCACCGCTCCTACAACGACACGTAGGAGAGACTCATTTCAGAAAAGAGAGAATTCAGCCAGAGTTTATTGTTTCATTGCTGAATTCGACGGAACTATTACTTTCAAGATAACCTCGCAAGTCAAATTTGACAAACTCAACCTTCTCTCTCTCTCTATGAATGATCATCCATTTGACCTCTCTGAAATTGAATATGGAATGGGAATTGGTCAAATGACAAACCCATTCATTCAAATTCTTTCAATTATTATTAACAACAACCTTTCGTGCTGCACCTTCTCATTGTGGTAACCACTGAAGTGAATTTGACATGATTGTTTTCAAAGCATCCAAATACAAGGTCATGTCATGACATTTCACGATTCCTCTTGCAGGACAATTCAAATCAATTCTATGACCAGCATGTTGGAATCCAAAAATCTTTGGTGGAACTGTAGTGACAATATCATCTTGAGCAGCAGAAATGATCACTTTACCTGTCCAATCTTTGATACTTTCAGATGCTCGAATGACATAACGAGAATAGTATTTGATGTAATTATTGAAGGTATTCAAGAAATCAGATTGGACTGTTCGAGGTTGACCAAATGTAATTAATTGGACATGTTGTTTCATTTGTGGATGATGAAATGTAAAATCTAAAGTTGCAATCATGGCAACAGCACCTCCTGTAGGGAGAAATATATAGTGAATGATTTAATTATTCATTGAAATATCCAAAATGAATGATTAAATTATTCATTAAATAGAATTTGAAATATCCAAGATCAATGATTCATCATTTAAAGAGATCACACATCTATGGTGATCAATAGGACCTTCCTTGTGAATGACCTGTGAAAATAATTCTTCTATTTTTTGAAAGATCTACAAGTTGATTCAGATAAGACATCATGTATGACTTGGTGGATGAATAGCTATTCCAAAATCCTTCATGAACATTTCCTGCATTCATGAATGATGGTCCAAGAGTGGCTTTCACTGTGTCAATATTTAAATTATTTGCCCAATCCACTGCTGTCTTTGATTCACGATAAGCCACAAGGATGATGTTTTCTTGACCATCACCATCATCACTAGTAGTACTACTAATAGTACTGTCATCATCCTCACCATCACCATCACTACTACTAGTACTACTACTACGAACTTGATAGGTTTTGCACCAAGCACCTCTGGATGTTTAATCAGTTGTACAAGTTCTAACTCGGCAATGATTCTACCACCAGCATCACGCACTTTGAAAGCATCACCAATTTGATCGGTGGTCATCATCAGAACTTCACACAAATTCAACAGAGCTAGTCACTTCATCTTTGTAATGATCATTATCATAATCCCACTCTCAAAAGCATCCTCACAAAAAATGTCAACCAACAACGTTGGTGCTGTCAACATTATTGTTGTTGCTGTCAGCCTTGTTGTCATGATCATCCTCCTCATCACGATGAGTACACACCTTGTCATGTCTGTCCACGATCGTGGTTTTGATGTAGACTCTTTACTTGCAGCTCATGCAAGTGAATTTGCCTATGACAGATAGATGGAGAAAAAAAGATCGACGCCCAACGAAATGCGAGTAGATATCTTCCTATATGCAAGTGGATATCTCCCATCCAGTAAAAAACATTGCTAACAGTTGCCATGTTTTCTCCTTTTCGGGTGCAACCAAAATGGCTGCGAAGAAGGAGAATATCAACAAGCAGGAGAAAAAAAAATGAGTCAAGACTTAAAGGCTTCACCCTACAAGGCTGTGATTAATTTCATCAACCAATTCCAAACACTCACGAACACCGGACTTGGACGAGACAAGGCTACCAAAGTGATTCAATATGGATGCAAAATCATTGAAGAAATTTTAGAAAGATCTGCTTCTCCTACTGTTGATCATAAAGATTTGATTGTCCGTGTTCAGAGAACAAGTGCTGGATTAGCAACTGCCAGAAGAGTGATGCGTTTTTGGAAGCCATTCCAAGGCTATGTTGCATTGATTCAATTTATTGAAGCATTAATCTCAGGAAAGAAACAAACCGTGACTGCAATTTTAGATCTCGTCTCCAAATTATGTATGGCACATTACTTTTTAGTGGATCACTTGACTTGGTTAAGTCGTGAGAAGATCCTCTCCGATATGCCGTTAGAGTTAGCACAAAAAAGCCAATCATTCTTTGCTTCTACATTTAATAATAACAAGAATGCAGACTATTCACGCATTGGCTCAAACTTTTGGTTTTACGGTGTGGTCTTTGCTATTCTTGCCCATGTGTTGAGATGGTCTGAATATTTGACAAAAGAAAAGAAAGAGTTTGATATTGTCAGAGATGCCAACCAACAAAAGATGTTTAGAACATTAATTGCATTGTTTTGTGATTTTGGAACAGCAGCCATTCTAGCAAAAAAGACAACCTTCCAAAATAAGGCAGCTCTAGGTGTATTCGGTGTCGTTTCTTCATTGATCTCTATTTATGATGCATGGCCATCCCAATAATTTCCATCACAACAACCTTTTGATCCAGTTTTGTATAATGTGTAAAAAAACAACATGCAGACCATCTCATGGCGGCATACAAAGAACATAATGTGGAAAATCAATGAAATTGCATGAAACTCATTCAGTTCTATTAAATATAATAAAAATTATTATCTTCGTTTGATGATATTTTGGATTCATTAAGCAAATCGACGACCACTTTCTGAATATCACCTCTATATTTTTCTAGTAGAGTCAAATTTTTAGTTTTGTTTACAAATCCCATATCATGCAACATTAAAAGTTCCTTTTCAAAGGGAGTTTGATTTGTCAAGGTATTACTGCTTGAAGAGGTTGTTAATGTTTTGTCAAAGGATTGTGTTAATGATTGCATATTTGTGGCATCATCTGTTTGTTCAGGAATTTTTGGTAAAACGTGCAACATGAACATATGATTTCCACTAAAGTGTTGCTCTCTAATTGAAGGATTGTTGTAACAATCTTCACACAAATCATAGTTCTCACAGTCTCTACATTTATATCTCTTTCCCATCCAATCTTTGATTTGGCATCCGTCACAAACCGTTCCATAATGTGGACCTTTTTAATGTCAAAAAAGATTTTACTTCTGAGTCTGTCAGAGTATGAAACTTACCATTTTCAGCATCAATAGAAGTTGAATTTTCTTGAGCAGTAGATGCCATTTTACCGATAAATTGTAAAAGATTTCGTTGCATTTCAGGTGGTACTAACACATCTACTACATGTTGAGCTGAGCTCATATAGTCTCTATCATTTGGTCTGTAATTTCTTGATACTGTTGTGTATGGCGTAAATCTATGGCTTGTTAACATTTTGTTCTTTTTTAAATACAATTCTTTGGGAACAATTTGAATTTTAAATAATGTGATTTGTGAGGTGGAGCATAAATGCAAAGCAGAGGTCCATTCCACTTCACTTGAAAAATCGATCCAATCCTTCTCATCATCTTGATATCTCAGAGAATACTTGTCAAGTGTGATTGCATTCGGACTCAATGGAGATACTTCCAATGCTTCATTGACTTGAGAAATAAACTTTTCAAGATTGCATTGACCGAAAGGAATGATCATTCGACGAACTTGAGTGGCTGTATGATCTAAACCATTTTCGTGAATAAATACTTTGGCATTGATATTCCGAATGTGATCTGGGGGATTTGGTGGATCCATCATGAATGATCCGTATAAAGGAAATTGAATTGAATTTAAAATTGAACGTTGAGAGAAGAGGTGCTTGGAGAGAAAGAGCACACAATAATTTTTTTGATTTCAAAAGCCTTTTGGTGTTGTCTTTTATTGTCAATGAGGTACTGTTGATACGATACGTCTATTATGGCATTCCTTGCTCCTTTTTATTCTTCATTTGAGTTTTGAACAAACCCGCCTCCCTTCCGAGAGAAATAATAAAAATAATTCTTATAATTCAATCATCAAATTGCATTGATAATCATAAAAAAAAATCAAAAAAAATGAGCATTCAACCAAGCCAAAACGTTACGCTGGAAGACAAAGTGCATGAGCGTGTGGTACAACACGTTCATCTTCCAAAGCGAATTTCTCAAATTCGTTTCAGTGTTTTTACGCCGGAAGATATTAGACGAATGTCCACAATACAAGTTTTTAACCATTATTATTATACACCAGATAGACGAGGCTTTCCTCATGGCCCTCTTGATCCTCGATTGGGTACCGGAACTAAAAAAGATATCTGTGAAACTTGTGGTCTAGGAGTTGCAGATTGTATCGGACATTACGGATATGTAAAACTAGAATTACCGGTTTTTCATATAGGCTTCATATCTAACGTGGTAGAGATTTTACAACGAATTTGCAAAGACTGCTCTCGTGTTTTATTGACAGATTCAGAAATTCAAACTTTCAGAAACAAATTCAAAAAACCAAATCTAGATAACCAACAGAAAAAAGCAATATACAAAAAAGTTGGAGAATTATGCAAAAAGTGTTCAACATGCCCTCATTGTGGTGCATTGAATGGAAAAGTAACAAAATTGAACGCTATCAAAATTGTTCATGAAAAGTATAAGGTTCCTTCAACCAGAAAAGGAAAAGACGAAGTGGACCAACAAGCTAGAGAGTTTCATTCAGAGTTTGAACTCGCCACTCAGTTAAATCCTGAAATTTCAACTTATATAGGAGAGGCTCAAGATGACATCAATCCAATACGATGTCTTAAATTGTTTCGAAACATTCCAGATACAGATGTGGAAGCTTTTAACATGAACCCACGTGTTGTGAGACCAGAAAATTTTATTCTTACCCATATTTTGGTACCACCACTTGTGATTAGACCCTCTGTCAACACTGACGGTGGTACAAATGAGGACGATCTCACTGTTCAAATGAAAAAGATTATTGAAACAAACATAATTCTAAGAGAAAGTATTGAAAAGGGCCACTTTGTAGAAAACTTTATGGAAAAGTGGGATGCACTACAATTAGAAACGGCGCTATACATTAATAGCGATACAAGAAACATTCCTTCTTACGTGACAAAGAAGAAGATTGGAAAAACCCTTTGTCAAAGATTAAAGGGTAAACATGGTAGATTTAGAGGCAACTTGAGTGGTAAGAGAGCGAATTTCACAGGACGTACTGTCATTTCTCCTGATCCAAATTTGGAAATTAATCAAGTTGCAATTCCAGAGTTGGTTGCTAAGGTGTTGACGTATCCTGAGGTCGTCAACAAGAATAACAAGAAATTACTTCAGTCATTAATTCTGAACGGACCTGAGGTTCACCCAGGAGCCAACTTTGTGGTTAAAAGCGATGGAGTAAGAAAGAATTTGAGTTTCGTAAAGGATAAAATGGATATTGCAAAGAACTTGAAATTTGGTGATATTGTTGAACGCCATGTCATGAATGGAGATTATGCCTTATTCAACAGACAGCCTTCGTTGCACAGACTCAGTATCATGTGTCACCGTGTAAAGGTATTACCATACAGAACTTTCCGATTCAACGTTTGTGACTGTGCACCATATAATGCAGATTTTGACGGAGATGAAATGAACGTACACATTCCTCAAACAGAAGAAGCAAAAGCCGAGGCAGGAATGCTTATGGACATTCTCAAAAATCTCATCACACCAAAGAACGGAGATCCTGTTATTTCTTGCAATCAAGACTTTTTAACTGCCTCTTGGAAAATGACAAGAAAGAATACCTTCTTTGATCGTGCAGAATTTTGCATGCTTTGTTCCTATATGGGCATTGAAGATAAGAAGATTGATTTACCTCCACCTACTATTTTGAAACCTGTTGAATTATGGACTGGAAAACAACTCTTTTCTTTATTGATCAAGCCCAATAATAACACAAAAGTGTTTGTAAATTTTGAAACTAAGGCTAAAAACTATTGGAAAGATGAAACTATGTGTCCAAATGATGGATATGTGTGCTTTAGAAACAGCTACTTAATCTGTGGCAATTTAGACAAGAAGATTTTGGGAGACGGTAGTAAGAGTTCTTTATTTTATGTATTGATCCGAACTGTTGGTCCTGCCTATGCTGCTGCATGTATGGCAAGAGTTGCTCGAGTAGCTTCTCGATGGTTAATGAATCATGGATTTTCCATTGGTATTGATGATGTCATGCCTTCACCATCTCTCACAGAAAAGAAAAAGATGATTTTATCGGAGGGCTACAAGGTGTGTGATCAGTACATTAAACTTTTCAAAGATGGCAAACTTGAACCTCAACCTGGTTGCAACATGGAACAAACTCTTGAAGCTAAACTCAATAAGGAATTATCAGAAATTAGAGGCAGAGCAGGTAGTATGTGTGTTGAAGAATTGCACTGGTCCAATGCTCCTCTGACCATGTCTGTTTGTGGTTCTAAGGGTTCTGTGATCAACATTTCACAAATGATTGCTTGTGTAGGGCAACAAACAGTTGGTGGTACACGTATTGCCAATGGTTTCATGAACAGAACTTTACCTCATTTTCCAATGTTTGCGAGAGACCCAGCAGCAAAAGGTTTCGTTTCGAACAGTTTCTTCACTGGTTTGACTCCAACCGAATTTTTCTTTCACACGATGGGAGGTAGAGAAGGAATTGTCGATACAGCGGTTAAAACTGCTGAAACTGGTTACATGCAAAGAAGATTAATGAAAGCTCTTGAAGATTTATTTGTTGCATATGATGGATCTGTTCGATCTGCAGACAATTCAATCATTCAATTCAAGTATGGTGATGATGGAATGGATCCTCATAGAATGGAAAGTGAAGAGAGTGGAAGACCTCTCAATTTCTCATTCATCATGATGCATGAAAAGAATACCAATTTACCAACCAAAGATGAAAAAGCTCTCTCTCCAAGCGAAATTACTGAAAAAGTGGAACAATTTCTCGCACAGCCTGCTTCTCAAAAACTATTTTCTGATAAATTTATGGATGAACTCAGAACCTTCATGAAGAACTACACCTCCAAGCTAGAAAATATGCTAAAAGGAGTGGAAACAGCTCGATCGAAGAGAACATCTGAATTTGACAAAGCTGCTTGGGATGTGGTTGTACATTATATTGAGAAAATTACTGAAAGACAATTAATGGCATTCTTAAATGCTTGTAAACGCAAATATGAGAAGGCATGTGTAGATCCTGGAGAACCTGTTGGTGGTATTGCTGGCCAATCCATTGGTGAGCCAACCACTCAAATGACTTTGAAAACTTTCCACTTTGCTGGAGTTGCCAGTATGAACGTTACTTTGGGTGTTCCTCGTATTAAGGAAATTATTGATGCTACTAAGAATATTAGTACTCCAATTATTACAGCATATTTAGACACTCCAGCAACAGCCTCAAAGAAACAAAAGGAAATTGCTGCACGTATGGTAAAGGGAAGAATTGAAAAAACAACATTAGGTCAAGTTGTCAACTACATTCGAGAGGTTTACAATTTAGGAATTTGCTATATTGAAATTGAATTAGATATGAAACAAATTTCTGCACTTCAACTTGATATCACTCCAGAAACTGTTAGACATAGCATTTTGCATTCTCCTCTTATGAAATTCGAAAAGTCAAAAGATAAGTCCAAAGACAGCAAAACTAAATTATCAGATGATCCTAATTTGGTTAGAATTCAAAATGGTAATATACGAGTGTATCCACCATCTGTAGATAGGGACAGCATGTATTTCAATATTCAAAGATTGAAGAGATATTTACCAGAAGTAATTGTTGCAGGTATTCCAACAACAAATAGAGCTGTCATTAACGAAGAAAAAGGAAATATTTATCTTTTAGTCGAAGGAATGGATTTACTTGCGGTGATGGGAGTTCCAGGTGTGCATGCCAAAACCACAAAGACAAATAACATTATTGAAATCTCCACAACACTAGGCATTGAATCTGCTCGTCAAGTTATTATGGATGAAATCAAGTACACAACAGGTAGTTACGGTATGAATATCGACACCAGACATATCAAATTATTGGCTGATATCATGACATTTAAAGGAGATATTTTCGGTATTCAAAGACATGGTATTATTAAGATTAGAGACAGTGTGTTAAAAATGGCATCTTTCGAACAAACCACAGACCATCTCTTTGAAGCTGCCTCACATACAAGAGTTGATGATGTCAATGGTGTTAGTGAATGTATTATCATGGGTGTTCCAATTCCAATCGGTACTGGTTTATTTAAGCTGATGCAAGATGCACATGTAGACAAGAAGAGAACCCTTCCAATTAACAGAAAACGACCAATTTTCTCAACAAAATCACTCCTTAAATAATAAATTATTCCTCACAAACACGATTTGCTAATAATGGTATTTCAATAATATATATTGTTAAATTAAATATTATTATTCCTTTTTAGCTTGGTGTAAATGTGATTTATATTTATTTAATTGATTAATTTAAATATAATTCAATAATCTATTTAATGGCAACAATTAATTATTCCTTTTTACCACCATGAACAAAGTAAGTTCTAGGATACAAGTCTCTCAACGACTTTTCATTCCAATTTGCATGCCACCAATTTTGAACAAAATCATGGAAAATAATTCGATTCCAAATGTGCTTTGTGAAATCATAGTGTTTTGGATCAAATAAAAAGACGAATGGATCCGTGTCGTATGAAAAATGAAACACACTGTCCACATGCTTAAGGAAGGATCTAAATGCAACATCAGTAGAATAAATAGCATTTCCATTGATGTGATATCTAGTTTGAAGCTGAGTTCCTAAATCGTAATCACCTCTATAATTTGATCCAATGTACCAAAAATCTGGTTTTGAAATTGAATATTCTTTAGTGATGGATTTCACTGCATCCAGCCAATTAGGTCTAACGGCTCTACAATCAGGCTCCATATAGAAAAAGTGATCATAAGTTGAGTGAAAGGTTGGATCATGTATCAAATCATAGAATTGATTGGTAGGTCCATGTGGATACTTGTCTCTCTCAGCACTCAAATCTGCATACTTGAAAACAATATTTCTAAAACATTTAAGAATGGGATGTTTTCCTGATGTGTGTGAGGTCGTGGATCCAGCATTAATTTTCTCGAGAATTTGTTCTTCCAATTTCTCATTTCGTTTCTTGTTCGAGTAGAAAATTAAATCTGAATCAAATTCTTCCTCTGCTTGGAGTATTCCATCCTCATTACATGGTACATAATATGGAGTATTCCAAAGATCAATATTTTGTAACACTGATACTAATTGTCTTTCGATGAATGGAATAACAGTAGCAAATATCTTCTTCTTTTCAACAAGAGAAATATAAGGTTTTGTCTTATCTCCTTTTCTCAAATAAATCACAATTTCATTATCTGGAACACCTTCACGATTACCAGGATTACCCCATAATCGCACATCTTTTTCACATGTAATTCCTGCTTTGTGAATATGAAGTGAAAAGATGGATTGATCTTGTCGATGATTTTTCAGACTTGAACCAGGTGGTGTAATACAATTTTCATCCCATGCACATTCCAAAGTAGGAATTAATACATTGCGATAGGAATATGAACCTCTGATATAACCTTGAATTCCACCACTGCACATTTCTTTGGAATGATAATCCTCACGTTTCAATCCCAAATACTCAAAACTTTTATCGTGTGTTAATTCACCAACAGTTCCACAGCATTTCCAAGAAGTATGCAATCCTTCTTGTGCGACATGAAAATGTCCTTTTGTGAAGAGAATGTCTTCCACACGATCCAATCGATTCCATAATTCAACTCCACTGTCAAGGAAAATGATGGATGGAAATCTTTGAAGAGCGAGATACATAGCAAGAGGTTTCCAAGCAAAACTAATCAAATTTCTGAAATGATTTGGCAATAAATCAAAATTAATGGTCACCAATTCTACATTTTTCCATGTTTTAACTTTTTCACGTTGTTCTTTAGTGAGACCCAAATCATAGACAAGAATTGGTCTATTTTCTGAGGTTGTGACACTATTCCACACAAGCCAATAATTTGATTTCATATGAGATGTAAATGTTTTACCAATTCTAGTAATTGTTTCATCATTGGGATGATCTGGAGGTGATGTGACTTGAGAGTTAATTGAAGTTACCTTGTGGCCACCATAGAGTCTGTGAACAGAACCAACAAAATTTTCCAATCGATCAAAATAATCACTTGAAGTGGCCGTAACAATGTGAGGAACTCCAAAATTAATTGAATCTCTATTTGCTCCATTTCTCAAGTGATGATTCATTTCTTCTTGTGAAGTCATTAATTTTAAAATTTTCCACATTTCACTCTTATCCTTTGATTTGAATTGATTCTTTTCAAATTCAATCAAATCACTTGCATATGGACATTCTTTTTCAATGACCTTTTCAAGTAATATGGCACTACTACTACTACCTAATAGTTGTGGTATTGTTGTTGTTGGTTTAGTAGTCACTTGTTGTTGTTTTTCTGACAAGGTTGTGTCTTCTTTTTCAGAGGATTTGAACATGGAAGATGATGGAGTGTCAGAATTTGTTGTTGTTGATGATGAAGAAGACTTTGAATGAGAGGTCCACATCATTAACAAGACTAAATTCAAAAAAATTGAAGCACCTAGAATGAAGAGAATTAAACGACCATTGATGGGTTTGGATCCGAGAGGAAGCATGAGATGCTTGGTCGGAGAATAACGAGAGTGGTCGAATGTGGGCATTTTTTTGTGGTTCTTTTGTGGATGACAGCTGGCATCACCGAATGATGTGAATCATGGAAATGCAAGAAAACGTTTAAATTTGAAACGATCAGAGGTTTTTTCAACAAAACAATAGTAGTACTCTTCATGAAGAAATTTGTTTCCATTCCATCAATCGTTCTTTCATGATTGTTGAAAAATCAAAAAAAAATGAATGAAAATTCCACATCGTCATCGTCAATAACAACATTTTCATCTCCGAACACAACATTACCTTCCGAACAATCACAAAATAATGTCAATGCATTAAAATCTTCCATTTCTGATTTGGCATTTGGATTTGAATCCATATTTAGACCAGAATTTGATTCCGTTTGTTCTCATCTACAAGAATTAATGTATGTGTTTGTTGTGGAAAATGATTTTTATGATCAAAATGATGTAAACAATAATTGAAAATATTAATCTACTACTAGACGATCACAACAAGTGATTGGTGATTTATTGAAAGAAGGAAATACTGCCATGGCTTCTATTCCACAAATGAAAGAAATTCAAGAAGTGGTAGGTTGATGAATTTATTTTTGAATTTATTTTGTTGAATTTATTTTGAAAATGATTATTATTAATAACGGTTGGAAATATTCACAAGCTTTCACATATGCCTTCTTATATTAACAAGTTGCATTTCATAAAACAAGAAATGCATCAAATTCAAGACAAAACTCATAAAATGAAAATTCGATCGGATAAATTGCTGAAATAATCATTTACTAATTATATATTTTAATATTAAATACAACAAGAGCATTGTAGTTACTCGTTCAATAAATGTTCATTCTTTCTACGTATCCAATTGATGGCACTACCTGCCTTAAACCATTCAATTTGGGTTTCATTCATTGTGTGTTGAAGAGGAATTTGAATGTGTGGTTTTCCTTTAACAGTTAACATTAATTTTGAATTTGGTGCTAACGTTGTGACTCCTGTAATGGAAATGATATCAGTCTCAGGATTAATAAGATCATAATCAGATGGGTTGACAAAGGTTAAAGGCAAAATACCTTGTTTCTTTAAATTTGTTTCGTGAATTCGAGCAAAACTTTTTGTAATGATTGCCTTACATCCAAGGAATCTAGGTTGAAGGGCTGCATGTTCTCTTGCACTGCCCTCACCATAATTTTCTTCTCCAATCACGATCCAAGATGTTTTGTGTTCTCTTTGATATTGTTTTGCAACTTCAGGAACAGTATCTTCTTTTCCTGTGAAGATATTCTTGACACAATTGATCTTATGGTTCATGGCATTCTGAAAATGATGATTTGTAAAGTAATAGTGATGATTTTGAAAATGATGATTTGCAAATTAATAGTGACCATTTCAGGGTTGAGTGATGATTCATACCGACAGGGTGATGATTTCCATTCACTTACCATAGCTCCAATAAGGGTGCAATTACTAATATTTTCCAAATGACCCTTATAGTTCAACCATTTACCTGCAGGTGAAATATGATCAGTCGTACACTTTCCAACAACCTTAATCAGAACGGGTAGATCAATAAAATCTTTCTTGTCCCATTCATGAAAAGGTTTTAAGAATTGCAGACGATCACTCTTTGGATCAATATTGATCTTGACTGTTGTTCGTTCATTGAAAGGAAGAGGTTCCAAATATCCTCCTGTACAGGAGTGTTGTGTGTCGATCGATGGTTCAAATCCTCTGGATGGTAACTCTTCACTTTGAGGAGGAACAAATTTAAATTCTCTCCCATCCGAACCAATCAAAGAATCTGTGAGTGGATTAAAATCAATTCTACCAGCAAAGGCCATCGACATGACCAACATGGGAGAGGTTAAAAAGTGACTGGTCAATAAATTTCCATCATTTCTACCTGTGAAATTTCTATTAAAAGATGAAACGATGGAATTCTTCTTTCCTTTGTGATCAGTTCTGTTCCATTGACCAATACAAGGTCCACATGCATTTGCTAAAATTTTAGCACCAGCTTGTTCAAAGACATCCAACAAACCATCTCTCTTCATGGTCGCAAATATTTGTTCTGAACCTGGACTAATAAAGAGCTGAGATTTGCTCTTCAAACCATGAGCAATGGCTTGTTTTGCAATGGATGCAGCACATGTTAAATCTTGATATGAACTATTGGTACAGGATCCAATCAATGCTGCACCAAGTTCAGGAACCCATTCCTGTGTTTTGACTTGATCTGCAAATTGAGAGATAGGGAAGGAACGATCAGGAGTGGATGGACCATTAATCATTGGTTCCAATTCACTCAAATTGATTTCAATGACTTGATCATAATTGGCATCTTCATCTGCTTTCAAATAGTTTGCAAATTTGTCTGCCATGTCAGCAATGGATGCACGGTTCGTTGCTCTCAAATACCTCGACATGGCTTTCGTGTAGGGAAATATGGAAGTTGTGGCACCAACCTCAGCACCCATATTACAAATGGTTGCCATACCAGTACAAGATAAAGAATCGACACCTTCTCCAAAATATTCAATAATGTATCCAGTACCACCCTTGACTGTCAACATTCCAGTTAATTTTAAAATCACATCTTTAGCACTTGTCCATTCACTTAATTTACCAGTCAACTTGACTCCTAAAATCTTTGGACGTTTTAACTCCCAAGGAATTGCACTCATGACATCAACTGCATCAGCACCACCAACACCAATCGCAATCATTCCCAATCCACCTGCATTTGGAGTATGGCTGTCACATCCAACCATCATTCCTCCAGGAAATGCATAATTTTCTAAAACAATTTGATGAATAATTCCAGATCCAGGTTTCCAGAAACCCAAACCCAAAGCTTGAGAGGCTGATTCAAGAAAATTGAAAACCTCACCACTCTCTTCATAGGCTTTTTCAATATCTTTTTTTGCAAGTGTTTCCTTTTTCTGAGATATTGTACTACTACTTTGTAATGAACTCTCACCAACAATTAAGTGATCACAATGAACGGTGGTTGGGGTTTGTGTTGTTCCTAATCCGGTGGTCAAAAATTGCAAAATGGCTGTTTGAGCACTTGCATCTTGAAGAGCCACTCGATCAGGACGAAATGATAGATACTGTTCCTTGCTAGTACCATCACTACTAGTACTGTTGTTGTTACTACAATCAAACAATTGATGAGCAACATGCTTTTGATAATCAAACAAGTGAGCCTTTAGAATTTTCTGAGCATAGGTCAAGGCTTGTTGTTGATCTTGTTTCAATCGTTCATAAATTTGTGTTTGTGCTTTTAACGTTTCTTCAATATCGAATTTCGGAGGTAGAGTTCTGGAAGAGATCATCTCTCTTGTTGCAGAGGAGGAGGATGAAGCAAAACGAATGGAATGTTGAGGATTGGAGGACGATGATGATGCTGTTGTGAAGAATTGCTTCATCATGATGGAGGAGTTATGGATCCTCAGGTGTGAGCCACGAGCGAGAGATGAAGTAGAGCTTGTCTTCAACATTTTCTGTAATAGATCAAAAGGAGAGAATTGTACAATATTCGATGTTTTTTCTTGAATCTCGGGGAATTTCATGTAAAATAGAAATGATTCTGTTTTTGATCTTTGTGTTGACAGATGTCTCAAATGTACTTGTTGATGATATTGGTTGCTAATAAAAGAAGCTGTTTCAAATGTCCTTGACTTGTTAATTAGAATGTCACTGCTCTTGTGAAATCACGAATTTTTATTCTCAAAGCAATCGGTCACATTCCAAAAAACCAAAACGTTCAGCAAAAGCGCTTCCAATGTCAATCTCTGAGCATGACTTGAGGCCTTCCATCAATAATGTTTGTTGAACAATGATTTCTTCGAATTTGGTCCATTCACTCAAGTGCTGTTGAAACAAGAATTTGTTAATTTCTGTGTCTCTACCTGAACATTTCGAACTTAATCGAATCATGTTGAGTAATTGGAGTGTGTGACCCCACTGATCAACCTTATGTTTGATTTCATATAATTGTAAGGACTTTTGGAAGAAGCATTCCAAAAAATGTCTTATAACACATCCTTCATTTCTAAAAATTACTTCCATGAATAAAATGCAGTAAATATTATGAAAAACATTGCAATGGTTATATGTAAAAAAGTATTCAGTTAAAATAGTAATCATTTGGTTGGTCTCAAATGGATACAATTGGAATACAGATTTCTCAATGCAATCCAAATATGAAAAGTGAACGACAAAAGTAATCAAATAAACAAGCTCTAATCTCAGGGCAGTAAATCTGCTTTTAACAGAATAGGCCGAAAATTGAACTCCATATTGATAGGTTCTCATGTTGTAGTCATCAACAAGAAGGAAAGTCAATAAAGTGAATCGTTTTTCAAGAAGAGTTTTCAAAAGCTTGAAATGAAAATTTGTCACAATCTCCAACGGTGAATTGCTTGTTTCCCTTACTAGATTGTTGAGTAATTGAAGATATTCTACAGCCTGTTCATACGATTCTCGTTTTTTTACAGCATCTAGCCATTGATCGATCACTTTTGAGAACAGCGACTCTTGAAGTTTTTGAAACATCAATCCAAAATTGTGATCCTGTAGCAGCTTAACAGATAATTGCCATAACTCTACAAAAAAGGTAGCTTCAGTAAGCTTCCAGTATGAGCTTTGTGAGCAAAAATACTCAACAAATTTAAGCCTATCGTCTTCAAGTTTTGTAGAAACTGAAACAGCCTCAGTGAGCAAATATAATACCAAACCAGTGTTGGAAGAAATAAACGGGAAGAGGTTGTTGGACTGAATGTTTGTGAAAACTCGAGTTCTGTACATGATGTAAAGTTGTTTGATGAGCTTTACAACCAATTCATCGTGAAAATAATGGCCAGATCCAAACGACTTGCAAAGCTCTTTCAATGAGATCGTGAGGTTCATGCAAATCAGCTCTTCGAAAGGTCCTGAAGATGCAAATATGATTTGAAGAAGCTTCTCTCCCATAACCAACGAGTCTTTCTTTGTAATTCCAATAGAAAGAGGATCTGTTATAACTTTTAAGAGCTTGATAAAGTTGTCATCGCTTGCACTGAAAACATTGGTCATTTTCTTATTTACCACGGGATTTTCAAGAGAGAGGAGGCGTAAAATTAAGGATTCAATGCTTTTACCTTCTTCGGATTGAAAAGTTGATGGTTGCTTAGAATCTAGAGTTGGTGCTGACGAAATATGAGGTAAAGTGCTTGTTTTTGATGGAAAAGTGGAAGACAGGTGGTGACTGCATGGAAAGATGTTCTCCTTGTTGTTATTGAGGTTGTTGAGAAATACATCTAATCCATTGACACTTGTGTGTGATTTTGTGGGTTGTTGTTGTTGTGGGGTATGAGGCTTCACTGCATGTTGTTTTTCTAAAGTTTTTCTTGGCGAAGAAATGCTTAACGTTTGGTCGACATGGATCGGTGTACTTGTATTTCTTAGTTGATTGATCTTGTTGCTGTGATGCTGTTGAAGTCTAGTTTGAGTTTTGATTGGAGTGAGTACTTGTTTGAAATCTGAATATGCATACTGTTGAGCGGATGAAGAAGAATTGCTGTTCGTGGTGGTGGTTTGACCTCGAGCATTGTGGTTGGCTGCCTTTGGAGTACCAGTGGTCATCATTATTGGAGAGTTGAACACTTTAGAAATGGAAGACTGTTGTTGCTGTGGTTCAATGGGTGTAGTAGTAGTGGTTGTTGGCATAACTCGTGCAGTTTGGTGCTGCGCAATCGTAGACACAGTATGATATTTACTGGACATCGTGATGTTTCTCGTGGTTCAATGTAGTGGGAATGAGATAGGATGATAATATATTCGTTTTAAATACAAGAAGCGTTTACGGAAGAAGGAGGATCGGATGAAAATCTCTTTGGGTCTTCTTGTGTTTTCAGCCGAGTAGTGATTGGATACAAAAGCCCTTCACTACGCGTCGTTGTTGCTCTTCGTATTTACAATTCAATGAAATGTACGGAACAACAACCCCATCAACTAGCCAGCACTGCTGATGATTAGATACTTTTTTTTTGTTTGAACCTCTTGAAGATTTATTGTTGCTGAGAGAGACACACGGAAAGATTGAACGAGAGAAAATTTTTCGTCTCGAGGCAACCGCAGAAAAACGTTTTTGACTCGAGGTGTTCGATTTATTGGAATCGGTTTGTAGTTATTTTTTAAAAAAATTCTTAACGGTAACCTCGAGCGGGAAAGATGGCGTTGTCAACAGAGAAAAATGTTACACGAACCTTTCTTTGGCCATTTGATTACAATCATCATAATCCCACACCACAATTAAGAAAAAAATTAATGAAACCATCACCTCTCCGCAATGTCCATTTCACTGCAGCAGCGTGTGACAGCTTTTGTCATTGTCTTTTTGTTGGTGATTGGTAATGTCTTGTTGGTTTCAGGATTGCTCCACATTCCGAATAGTGTTGGATCTTCCGATGTGTATCAACACATTGTCAAGATGTCAACAAGAAAATTTAATAGTGACACACCATCATCATCATTCTCACAACATTTTCAATCAAAAGGTTTTACAGTCATTCCAAATAGTGATGACCAAGAAAGTATTTTCATGTTTTTAGGAGATGAAGAATTACAACAATTGAAAACTCTCTTGTCATCATCAACCGATCACTGCTGGAATCAAGATTTGAAAATTTTATATTCTTCTTCTTCTCAAAAAAAAGAAACTCATATCATGACAGAGAATCATGAGACTCTCGAAGATGAAAATGATATTGAAATGACAAGAGAAATTATTTTGGCACAATTTGATCCTTCTTTGAAAAAAGAATTATTGAAACTCTATAGTGGATTTAACAGAGTACCAAAAGATTATCCAAACCTTGATAATATTAATAATTATTTGAAAGGTTTAGAACAGAGATTTCCTGGAAGAGCCAAAATGATGAAAATCACAAAAGAACCAACTTTTGAGAAACGACACATTTATGGTGTGAAAATATCCAATCATGTTGAGCAAGAACGTGATGTTCCTAATATTCTCATTGTGAGCGCTCATCATGCAAGAGAGATTAACACTGTCATTACAAGTATTGTCATTATTGAAAAGTTACTTTCTGACTCGAACAAATTTGGAAATATTTTGCAAGATTATCAAATTTATATCATTCCAGTGGTAAATGTGGATGGATATCATTATGTATTTTCAACAAATAATTGGTGGAGAAAGAATAGAAGATTTGTTGGATATCATAATGGTACAAAATCATTTGGTGTGGATCTTAATCGAAACTATGATATTGGATTTGAAAAATGTGCTGGAAATGATTCATTGAATTCAGATGTGTATAAAGGAGAATTTGCATTCTCTGAAATTGAGACGAGTAGTATTCGAGACTTTGCTAAACGAGTGGGTGGATTCTCCAAAGTGTTAGATTTTCATAGTTTAGGAAGACAAGTTCTCACAGGTTATACTTGTACATGGAATGCTCAACAAGATTACATTGTCAAATTAGGAGAGGAATTGGCTTCCAAAGCGAACAATTACAAGACTCGTGTTCCTCATGCTGATGGAGAACATCAAGAATATCACATCAAGCAATATACTTCCTATTCGTTTTTGATTGAAATTATGGACTCTTTCCAACCTCCTTTTTCTGAAAGTGTGAAAGAGTCCATCGAATTAATGCCTCTCATGGAACACTTTTTAAATAAGGCCATTCCATTAAGAGGACATGTTTATGATCGTGACACTGGAAAACCACTCAGCCATGTGAATATTCAAATTGTTGGCATTGATTGGAAAGCAGGAGAGAGCAGACACACCAATCATTTTGGAAGTTATTATTTATTCTTACCTCCAAATATGGAATATGAACTTGTGTTTTCTCACAAGGTGGGAACCATGCTAAAGACCAAGACTGTTCGAGTTCGATTGGGCCAGGACGATGCATCACAAGTGCTGGATGTACATTTATAACAACGGCACTTGATGTTTTTCGCAAATAAATTTGAATGCTTCTCTCACAGATGGAAATACATGCTTGGCTGGATTGTGATCATCGTTTTCCTTTTTGGACTGCCAAACTCCAGTCCTTAATAACATGGACACAAAATTTGGACCAGCAGAGTTTGCACCTTTTTAGAAATGTGGAATTATTAAGGAAGTTGTAAATAATAATTGTAGAATTATTATTTAGGTACAAATTTGTAAATTTAAAACATACCTTTGATGTCACTTAATGGATTGTCACCAATAGCATATATTGTGAGATCATCTACAGAATTTCTATCCTCATGACCTGAATGATAAGATTTAAATTGTTCAATGAGAACATTTTTTGCATAGTCATAGGTAACCTTACATGGTTTTCCAAAATATTCACATTTCAAATGTTGTTGCTTGCCATTCATATTATAAAACAAAGCATCTAAAGACTCAATAAATGCTCCCATTGTAAACCTTGGTCGACAAGCGACACCTTGATACACTAAATCTGGATTACAAACTTTCACTTTCACTTTTTGTTCAGTTCCTTCTTTTGAATAATCCAACAAATGACCAACTCTTCCATCCGAAAGAATTAAATCACAACAAACTTGTAAAGATTCTAACCAGTCAACTGGAGTATCCACTAAAATGATGGTATCAATAGGTTCATCCTTTGTTGACATTTCTAATTGTTCTTCATGTGAAAATTTATAATAATTTTCATGATCTTTCCGAGAATATGGCAATAAAAAAGGATATTGGTCAGCAAATTGTGTTAAAGATATTCTATTTGTGTATCCATAATTGTCTAAAATTCGATCAATTTCTTCATCATTTCTGCCAATATGTAAAATCTTTTGGTGATATTCTGTATTGAACATTCCTTTTCCGGATTTTCTATTTAAAGGAGTGTGTGAAAGAATAATTCTGGATGCATCAATTTCAACTCCAAATAATTTAGAAAGTCTTTGAGCTCTACTTTCCTCACTCTCTCCACCTCCATTGGTGAGTAAAACGTAAGGAATATGATGAGAGTAGAGAGATTTCAAAATTTCTGGTGCGCCTTCAATGACTGTTCCGTCATGAATAAGAACACCATCAATATCAAAAACAATGGCAAAATCTCTTGTTTTGCTGCCATTTTGAAGAGTCGGAGAGGAGTCGTTGCAACTGGAAGGAATGGATGACATGACACCAAAGGAATGAATAATTTTTTTTTCAAAAAGCAGGTGTCATCAAGTTCTCAAGTAAAGGACGACAACACGCCCAATGACCCGTCCTGACGAACATAGGTAACGCAAATGTTCACAAGACTAAGCAAACAAATGAAAGAAATTTAATGAATTGACTCAGGAGAAGAACTTTGAATCTAGAGAATTTACATTTTGAAAGCGGTGATGGGCAAGGTGAGGATGGAATTTTGTTCTACCTTGTTGTTTTTCACTAAATGTCGAATGAGAGAGATGGCCAATGCTAGTGGAGTTTGTTTGTGTGAATTTTGAATCCATGTGGCTCGAGAGTCTTCTGGGAAGTTCTGCAAATCAGTAAATAGAAATTGTAAATCCTTTAAATCGATGGCAGAGAATGTATATGTTTTTAAGGTAGCAACATCAATCACTTGATGATAAATGGTGGCTGTCTTTAGATGTTTGATAGATTTTCCATACTTGACTTGAACTACAGGTTTACGTTTTAGCTCCAACTGTGCTCCACAGTCATACCTTCCATCTTTTTTAGCTCGATTAATGTCACCTTTGTAAACTGCTTCAATGAGATAGGCATTCATCTTTTGAACACATTCTCTTACAGAGACACCATTAATATAGAATATTCTTCCACCTGATTCTGTAATGTCTTTAAACTGAACTTCGTTTAAATTTGGAGATCCATAGCTTCTAATTTTTAAATAATAATTGGCGTCCTTACTCGTGGAACCAGGAATAAAATTGACTGACTTTTTCCTTAGGCCTGTGTCCATTCCAATACCCATGTACATTCGATAAGGTCTCTTGTGGTTTCTTTTTGGAGGAATTATGAATTGTTTGAACGTTGATATAATACAAAATTTAACAACCTCTGAATCAACAATTCCTTCTAATAGACCATGATCGACAATGATAAAACTTTCATTCAAACCAAACTTCACAATTTGATTCCAACAAGAAATCACAAAATCATTGTATTGGTTCATTTTCTCTAATGAGCCAGCATGAGCTAACAATAATCCACAGTCTACAATGGGACTTCTAAACCATTTGTTCTCTGTTTGTATTTTATGAAGAAGCAAAATCGGATTGTCATACTTTGGTCCATTGTCTTCAGAGTAGACGTATCGCATGTAACAATGCAAAAATGTTTCTCCATGTTCATCCTGTGCATTTCGATAAATATCAGCTCTCTTACAGAGCCTTTCAATCATTTCTAAATTGTTAGTAATGGCACATAAATGTAGTGCCGTTCGTTTCATTTTGTCAGCCTCATTAATTCTCAAGTTAGGATGATCTAAGAGTATCTTTGCAGTTCCCTCAAAACGAAAGATGCAGGCATAATGTAGTGGAGTCATTCCAAACTCATCCTTTACATTTGGCTTAATCTTGGATTTCTTTAAACATTGGTACAAGGATTTGGTAACTTGTTTCTTTTTAGCACTAAGAACATCTCTTTTCACAACTTCTCTTAGTTTTTCATTGGATAACAGTTGCAAGGAATGGCAAGACCCAATAATATAAAGAGAGCATGATAAATTATGTTGAGTAATACAATAATCTAATGGATACTTTCCATCATTGTTTTTCAAATACAAATTAGCTCCTTTCTCTTTGTGAAGATATTCTAAAACATCTCTATAGCCATACCAACAGACCGCATGTACCAAAGTGTCTCCTTTTTCGTTGAGCTTTGTATTCACATTGTTAACTTGTTGTAAATATCGATCAACAGCTTTCTTTTCTTTGACCATGGATTTAGGTATCATCTCTAACTCATCAATTTGTTCATTATTGTCAACCTCTGTTTTTGACACAGCGAACTGAGAGCTCGTTTCAAGTTCTTGCCTCAAATTGATTAAACTTTCTCGTGCAATGTCTCTGATACTCTTAGCAATAAATTGAACGCCTTGTGAAGTGCTGTTTCCATCAAATATCTTCAAGTCTTTTTTCTTGTCTGAGTTTGCTCTTTCAATGATTGCCAATGTAATTTCTCTTATTACACTCTTACTTGCTATTGAGACTAAAGACGAGAGTTGAGATGGACATTGTTTGTCAAGCAAAGTTAAGCTATAATCATTTGGAAGCATTCCAAATTTGATATAGATTATTTCAAAAATTTTACACAATGTTTGAGTCAGTGTATCAAACTCTTTTGGATCTAATAATCCAAGTTGAATGAAGTCAAAGTAATTTTGATTATCATCAAAATCATCGTCCTCGTCTTGAATATTTGAAAAACCATTTGGCATTGCATTTGAGGCATTTGGAATAGCATTTGGATTGTACGAGGATCCAATACTGAATATATCGGATCTATTATCGTTGTCAAATTGTGATGGAGGTACATGTGGATACTCTATGGCTTGATTGTCTCCAAAATCACGTTCAAATTTTGAAGCAAAGGATGGAGCAATAAATGATTGTCTACACATCATGGCTTCTAAATTATGACCATCATGTTTCCAATTTGTATCAAAGGAAACTTCACTGGAAGTTAGAGGAGTTGTTAAGGAAGAGGTTGGATAATCTATTTCATCCTCCTCTGGCCTTACATAAATATCAAAAGAAATTGTTGCTCTGTGATTGAAAGACTCTTCACTTTTAGAATATATCGAGCTCGTAGTCGTGTGGTTGGTGATGGGCATATTTGCTGTGGGTTGATGAGTGTTGTTGGTGTTGCTCATATTGATGGAAGGTGGTCTCGGAAGAGGTTTGAGCTTTGTCTCTTCTTCTTCAACATTAAAACTCACACTCTTTGATCTCCTCTTTTGTTCCACTTGAGTAGGATTGTGTGGTGGTTGTTGTGAGATGATGCTTGGAGGAGTTTGTGGTGACATGCTATTTCTGTGGTTACTGTTTGAAAGGAACGTTGGTGATAATTCTGAATGGGTCTGTTGTTGATAGGAAGGAGGACTGTAGGTTCCAACAACGGAATGACGATGCATCTCATGAGTGGTTGCATGTCTCTCATACGGGTGTTGTTGTTGTGGTATTGAATCATGAGAATGTGTTGAGCCTTGTTGTTGAAGTGTTGTAGTCGAGGAGGAAGGATGAAACGAAATGAGAGAGGAAGTACGAGTGGGAAGAGGAGGAAGCGGTGAGGAGTTTTGTGGAATGGCATGAGGATTATGTTGCGCTACAAAGGGTCCCGAAGAAGAAGCAACGCCGACTTGTTGCTGAAGAAAATGATCCAAAACCTTGTTGTTGGGATGGTCGTTGTTGTTATTCAGCGCTGCTCGACTTTGAAAGTAATGATCCACCTTTGAAAATAATTGATCGACATTGCTATCGAATGCAGCTGTATTACTGGCATTGCTCTTGTTTTGAGCATGATGATTGTTGAAATTATAATTAATGATGGCATTCCATGGAGGTGTGGGTTGTGTGGTGGTGGTGGGTGCCATCAACGTTGTGTGGTTGTTGATGGGTTTGTTAGGATTCATTTGGTCGTCAGTGCTGTTGTTGCTTGTATGAGTGGTTGTTGTTGTTCTTCTTCTTCTTGATGGACTGATCCAGAGATGAAATTGTTCTCACGTGCGCAAGATCCGAACTCGGGTTTTGGATGTTTTTTTGTTTTGGAAATGATTCATCACGAATTAGAAATTGGATAAGAACACAAAGGTATGAAAAGGAATTGAAAAACAACGGTCATAACTCTCAATTAAGAAGGCATTTACTTTACAACAACAAGAAGGTAGTTCATGCCCCCAAATTGTTTATATGGACCAAGTTTCGTTCAGAATCCATGAATATACAACACTCTTCACACCATGATGATCTTAAGGTCACCACCACACACAAGTGTACGATTGAATCTTAATTTGATCAATAAATTAAGGATAGTGTACCATTCGCTCGAAATGACGAGCATTCTCGCACCAACTAAATCAACTAACTCCCTTGCATGCACAAACCACTTGTGCCATGGAAATTATTAATCTTTGAGAGGATCTGGAATGTCAGTTCCACTAATAAAGTGTTTGTGATAGGGTGAATAAATTTTCTTGAATTTTTCCTTCTCAGCTTTTTCTTTCTTAAGTAAACTCTTTTCTTCTTCGTGTCTTCTGTGGTCATCTAAAAGTGTTTCTCCAACTGTTGATTTTTGTTGACTGTCATTTCGTGAATCAGAGAAATATCGTGAGCTTTGTAAATTTGTGGCAGTAAGACCAATAAATATTAAATAGCCAAGTAAGCCAGTAAGGGAGCACAAAAAACAACATGATACAGCTGTTATGGCAAACCATTCACAAACTACTATGATGACCACAGATACAAACAGAGAATTATTGACACCTTCACAATCCTCTGCAAACAGTAAATATGTCAAATAACATAGTACACCTAGTGACCCAAAAAAACAAATAATTTTGAGTCCTAAAAACGTCATTGACGTATATTGATTAATGTCGTCATCAAGTCTTCGTTTTCTTGTTTTGGAAATTTGTAAACAATTTTCGAAAAAAGCGCTTGCAACCACACAAATGCTAAAAAGAACGGACAAAAAATCAAAACAAGACCACGCTAATAGCAGTGTCGATATTGTTCGCTCGGAGCAATATTCATTGTTAACGGAACCGTAATAATTATTAAAAAAAATGGTTAAAGTACCAATCGCAAATCCTAACGTAAAACAGCAAGTCAAAACCTGACAAGCAACGTTGACGCTGTTGTTGATGCAAATTATGGATTGTTGTGATTCTCATAAATCGGAGTACTTGGTGTGAATACTCACGTCATGAAAAGTACTTTCATTTTTTTGTTCCCGATGATTATGAATGAAATCGAAAAGTTTTGACTGTGTGAAAAACAAGCAAACATCTCAAGTGAAAAATTGTTTTCAAAACAAAACTCCTGTCACCATCGGAAATGTTTTATTCATCATCATCATCCATTTCACTAAGGCTCAATCCTTTCTTAAACAAGTTTTGATATGAACCATATCTTGTACAAGTCAAGGACTTCTTTTGCTCTCTAATATATTGCTTGTATCCTTCAATGCCTTGCTCAATAATTTTCATAGCTTCAGATCTAGGTAAAAAGTCTTTTACGATTACAGTTTGACTGTTCTTGTCCAATTTCTTGTAGTCCTCATAGAAGATTTTAATTTCGTTCAAGATGTGTGGTCTAAGTTGGTCCAATTCATTAATACCACGATACTCAGGATCGTCAGCATGAACAGCTATTGAAATTAAAAGCAGAAAAATCAGACATATCAATTTTAGGCATTGTTGTGGACTTACCAATAATCTTGTACTCCATAATGCCATTGTCAATTAATGGCATGACTCCAATAGGATGACAACGAACAATGCTCATTGGATGACAAGCGCTTTGCATCAATACTAAAACGTCAATTGGGTCCTTGTCCTCTCCAAATGTTTGTGGAATGAATCCATAGTTAGCAGGATAGGTCAATCTGAGAGCAACAATAAAATGGCGATGATGACGGATTATTCAAAAAACATGATGATTATGAAGCGAGTGAAAATTTGAATTCAAAGCATTGTAAATGATATATTATTATCATAATATTATGACAATAATATAACATCATTGATGATGATGATTTAGCAATGTGAGAAATAATTTTGGATAAATACCACCGTGCGGAGTGGGTCCAGTTGAATTAAAACAAAGGTCAATTCTCAATGACTATTGTTAACACTACTTACGAGCTTGAGAGAATGTGGCTCACCTTCAATAAACCGTACTTGGTATCGTATTGATACTTGATTTTGCTTCCCTTTGGAATTTCTGCCAATAACGGAATAATCAACAAATAAAACCATCACACCAAAACTTACCAATAAGGGCATTGAAAAGTTCTGATGATCCTACTTCAAGATCATGCCAACTATTCAAAGGATTCAATCATTTCGTAATGTCCGAGAAAAAGTATGAATATTATTATATACACAACAAAATTGGGCTTAAAACATACGCGTGAACAATCATGTGCGGGAAAGCAACAGAAGGAGCAATCTCTGGAGACTCCTTTGTATCTTCTGAAAATTTTACAGTCTTTGAAGGTGTTCCACTCATTGTGTTTTCTTGTGTTCGTTTCATGCACCTCGAAGGTGAAAGCTTGATGATGGTGTAGGAGGACTAGACGAGAGTCTCGGTAATTTTTTATTTTCGCTCAAATGGAGTTTTGTCGGCTGGTCTCTCGTTCCTGATCATTTCATGTGAGCTCATGAGCTGAATTGAATTCGCAGTTTGACTCTTCTACCTCTCCATTTTTCTTAGAGCTTGTTCAAGATAAAAAGGATAAATCAGATCGACAAGTTCTACCCATTCTAGAACCATCATGTAAGGATACTGTTGGACAATACGGTCCTTTTCTTCTGAAAGTTTGTCGACATCACTCGAATCATCAGACACACCAACGATACAAAAATCAGCCTCCTCAATGTTGTCTGTAAACGATCCACTTCCAAATTCGACAAGCATTTGACAGTGTTTGTAAGTTAAAGTCTTTGATGGATATTGTTTTAAAAAGGTTTCATGCAAAAAAACTTTCTTTCCACATATTGGCCTATCTAATCTTCGAACTCCATATAAATGAAGATTCTCTAAAGAGCATTTTCCTTCTGTAATCCATTTAGTTGACATGATCCAGCGTCCTGTGGCAATCGCTTGTAAAACTTTCATGGTCCTAGCATATGGTGGAGCTGTTACATTTAGCTAAACATTACAAATTTCTTCACTCTTGGGCTTACTAACTTACCAATTATATGAGTAATGTCATTAGATAGCGTGTCTATCATTTCCAGCTCAGTAATCAGATGGATTATCTCGAAATAAAACTTACCTCTATCATCGATTGATTCTTCTTTCACAACTACGTTGTACTTGATAGCTTCCTCTGTTAACATTTTCTTTACATTTTTGCTGAATTTGTCGTTTGTATTCTTAAATCCACTGAAAGTGATTACAGTGGTTGGAGGTGTTGCAATATTTAATGCATGATCGGAATTATTTGTTGTTGATTCTCTTTTCACTTTTTTGGTTTCTTGTTCAATATCTTGCGTATTTGTCGATCCTTCTTCGTCATCGTCACGTTCTGTGTCCTGGCTAGCAGTAATGGCTGTTATCACCTGAACTTCTTCATATTTTCTCTTGGTTGATCTAAGAGGGCTCGTCGTGGTGTTTGATTGATGAGTAGTAGTAGAGGTCCTCTTTTGCACACTTAAAATTTCTTTTGAAGGAGTTGGAGCTTTAGTGTTGGACAAGGAATTTCTGCTGTTTGTTGTTGTTGTTGTTGATGAGAGGGATGACCTTGATGATGGTGATGATCGAGAGGGAGAGGCTGTTGTTTCTTTTGCTCCAGAGTTGCCCATTTTTTATTGAATTTTTAAATGGGCGGGAAAAACAATTCAACGTTGATCCGTTTTGATATATTTACAAAAATTTCTTTCCATTTACAAATTCCTTCATTATTATTTTACTTCATCGTCTGGTGGATGATGGTTCACAAATTCAGCAAGTTTTCTGTCTGTAAAATTGATGTGCTTTACAAGCCAATCAATAAGATAATTCAGCAATTCAATGTCCAAACTTGTACTATGATTTTTAACATATTCCCGTTGCATGTTTCGAATTTTTGTAGTAAAAGTTTCATGTTCTAACAAATGCTTCTTTACATAATCCTCACCAATACCTTTTCTGTACTTCATCATTAACAATTCTTCATCCTCAAAGTGAAATTCTGCATTTCATTTTGGATATAAGAATGATTAAAAAATGATTCATGTCGTGTCACATTATTACAAATAATACTTTACCTGTATACTCCAATAAACAACCAATCGTATAACCAACAACCCAATGTGATTGTTTTGTGAGAGAGGCTTCACTGAGGTTCTTCAACCATTCAATTAACTGCATGTGTTGAGAGTCAATTTGATCGTAACCAACTGCATACTTTTGAGGATCCCAAGACACAGCAACTAGAAGAGAATTCCGTCTAGAAACTGTGGACATTCTTGATTGAAGTTCTGTTGCTGATTGTGAGCTAAAACTCATGGTGTTTCTAGTCTTCTCTTTTTTCTTCTTTCCAAACAACGAACTCCAAAAACTTTCTTTTTGAATGCCTGCATTATCTTGCTCAAGCTCTTTTTCCATTTTCTTTAAATCAATATTTCTCTCCTTTGCCAATTTTTCAATGGTCTTTTTCTGACAATTTTTGAGTTGAAGACTTTTTGAACTGTACAAGTGATAGAGTTCTTTGATCATGGGCAAATTTTCATTTCGCACGGCAATGTGCAGAGGAGTATCGCCAATCTTGTTTTGTACATCCAATTGAACTTCTTTAGATCTTATGAACAATTCGAAAATGGCTTCTTGTTCTGAGAGCACTGAAATATGCAATGGAGTTAATCCATAGGCAGAATCTTTTTCGTTAAACAATTGTTCAATTTTTTCAACATCATGAGACAACATTGAAATAATGTGTATCAAACTTTCCAAGTATCCTTTTGAACATATATGATGAATGACTGTTTGACCCTTATCATTTTTCATAAAGAGTAATTTGAGTAATTTTTCATGACCAATTTGGTTATTACAATATTCCAACAAATATTTTGTCACATGTGGGTGTCGTACTGCTCTGAATAAGCATGATTCTTGTTTGGTATTTCTTCTGAAAATATTATGTTTCAAATCTTCAACAATGAATTGAACTTTTTCTAAATCGCCTTCTCGACAGGCTAAATGAAGAATACTATTCCCACAATATACCTTATATTCCACATCTACATGAAAACCAAGCAGCACTCGTGCAACAGAAAATCCTTTTGACTTATTCTTGGAGTTGAGAGAGACACTGAGAGGAGAGGCTTCATATTTGTCCTGAATATTTAAATTCGCTCCATTAATGGCTAACATGGTCACACTCTTGCTGTGAGCACTCGAGCAAGCATAAAAAATAGGAGTTGCCTCTGCTCTATCTTTTGATTCCAACAACTCTGGTTGTTTATCGAGTAAATATTGCATAACAGTTAGAAAGTCTAATTTTGCAGCTGTATGAAGAAGTGTGCATTTCTTTTTTGGATCTAACAGATCTTTGGTGAAATCTAGAGGATGATCTGATAGTGTTTCTGCTTTTTGTATCATGTCCATCATTTGTTTCTCGTCCGTTACTGTGTTGTGCAGTTCAAATGCCATGTCAGCAATGTTGAACAATGCTTTTTCACACTTGCCATTTTCCACTTCAAATGATTTTGATTCTGCTGAACTCGAAAAATTAACGATGGATGTAATATTAGCAGAAATTTTCTTAATGTCTGCTGCAGTGTCATTGTCTTCATCGTCTGATGAATCGAAAGTGGGTGATTTAACAGCAGCAAGTATCTCGTCATCGTCATCCTCGTCCTGTAATTGAAACAGAGAATGTGAGCGCATTGTATTTGAATCAAACGCTCCATTGATTCCGCTCATACTTAATCGTTTGGTGCTTTCAAAAGTGTTTATAATGTCCAAAACGCTCACACGTTCGTCTTTCATTTTCTAAAGTGATGATGGTGTTGAGAGTTGAAAATAAATTAATATTGTGATGATGGTGGTGTTGTTGTATGGTTGGTGGGTGAACACAGAATGCGGAAAACCTGATAGTTTCGAGTTTGGGAAAATGGGATGTAACGACAAGTGTCAAATGTCAGTTTTTTGGTATTTGTTAGTCCTTGTAGGGAAGCAAATAGATGTCGTAAGAGTTGGGTGGATTGATGTGTTAAAACTGAAGGGAGCTGCTATTGATGTCAGAGACCACAGTTCAAAATCGAACAGCTGTTGATGGTTGTCAACCAAGTCATGTAGAGATGTTTTTTTTGAATGAACAAAAAATTTCCATTTCGAGGAAAATTCGAACACACAAGCAGTTATGATGCTCTGAAAATATTCATTCCTCCTTTAATTGATAGTTGTCCTTCTATTGCATTTAAACAACACAAAATGTACACTCATGATTGCATCCCATCAAAAATGTTGAAATTACCTTCCACGACGAATCATAAAAAAAAACTCGGAGTTGATTTCTCCTCCTTCCGTGGGAGTTTTTCATCGGAGTTATTTCCTGATTTTTTTGAAATTCAAAAAAAATGTCATCCCTCGAACCGTCCTTCCATCCGCATATTTCTTCTTCCTTTCATGAGGAAGGTGGAATGGATCTGAGATTTAATTCATTCCGAACAGGAGCTGATGATGGATATTTAGTGAATGCTCATCAAGGAGATCATGGATTGATGATGAATAACGGAGATTATTACACTAATGGAGAGAGTGGAACAAATGAGGAAGGAGTATCACTCTTGATGGGGAGTGGTTCAATTAATCATCATCAAAATGATGAAAATAACGGAGGAGGAGATAAAGTAAACGAACATGAAGTGCAAATTAAAAAACAATTACCTTCCAAGACGAATGCAGTCTCTGCTTTTTTGAACATTACCAAAACATTTGCTGGTAGGTCTGACAAATAATTTTCAAACGAAAAGATGAATTTATATTCGAATGTTAATATGATTTATTTTCCAATCATGTTTCAAATGTTTCAGGTGCTGGATCGTTTGCACTTCCTTGGGCCTTAAAACAATCTGGACTCTTAGCAGGAGTCATTACATTAATTTTATTGGCAATTTTGAGTAATTATACGATGAAGCTTTTAATCAAATGTAGAAGATACATTCAATCTCAAGAAGAGTTTAAAGAAAATTCAGAATATTGGAAAATTAGATCGATTCGAATTCCAATTTCAAAGAAAAAAACTGTGAATGAGGAGACAGGTGAAACAGAGACTGAACCAGTGTATCCTAAACGACATCCACCTCCACGAATTGAAAATCCAGAAACTGGTGAAGTTGTGACAACAATACCAAAGGCTATCGATCCTAACGATTATATTTATGAAGAGGATCGTATTATTACCTATGCTGACATTGGATATGAAGCAATGGTAAGTGAGCATGTAACACAATGTCTAGAGTACGTCAACGATTCATGTGAAATTATTGAAAATAGGGAAATGTTGGAAGCATTGTCGTACATTTCCTAATGATGTCATGTAATATTGGTGTTGCAACTATTTATTTAGTGTTGATGGTAAGTGATCGAATGGGGTATATCATTTTGTAAATAACACCACATTGAAGGCTTCATGTTTAAATGGAATGGTCTCTCAAATTCCTCTCAGAATTTGGATGCTCTTTTTCATTCCTCTATTTGTGATTTTATCATGGATAAGATCTTACAAATATTTAGCTCCATTGACTCTTATTGGAACTCTTGCTTTATTGTTTGCTCTTGGATCCGTCATTGTTTATGGTTTCATTTATCAAAGACATAATATGAAATGGCCATGGGAGTATGCTCATGTAGCTTTTATTGAGCCTGCAACTATTGTAAGTGTATTCATGTCATTTAACAAATGATAAGGTATCATTTTTTCTGTCAAGCCATTATTCATTGGAAGTGCCATGTTCTTATTTTGCACACATACTATGATGCTTAGTGTCGAACAAAGTATGAAGAAGCGAAAAGCCTATTACTGGACTCTTAATTTATCATTTATATTTATTGTTATTATTAACTTGGCATTTGGGTTGGTAAGTTTTTGAATTCAATTTCACTGATCATTCAATTTGTCATTTCTTCACGAATGTTATTATGATTTTTTCTGAATAGTTGGTATTTGAATTCTTCCCTTATAATATCAAACAAAGTGCTACTGCAAATTTACCACAAGATTCAATCTTTGTGTACATTATTCAGTCATGCCTTTGTTTGGAATTAATTTTAACTTATACAGGTAAGTTGAAAATCATGGCTCAATGATCTCAAACCTTTCAATGAATCAAATGAATTTTGACAAATTCAAGTGGTGCTCATGCCTGTGGGAGAAATCTTTGACGAAAAAGTTCTACAGAAATTGTTAGACAAAATCAAAAGATTTGTCACATCCACACGATTGTCTTCTGTTCTCTATTATTTAACAAGTGGAATATTCAGATCCATCATTGTACTGGTCACTGTTGGTTTGGCTGAAATATTTGGAGACAAATTCGGAATTGTCATGTCTTTCATTGGTGTAAGTAGAAATAATGATTCAACAATGATCAACCCTCATTTCAACAATTCCTTAATAGGCTCTTTCTCCTAATCCTCTTGCATTTGTGTTACCTCCTCTTTTCTATCTAATTATTATGAGAAAAACCATTTCTCTTTTCACTTTTATTTTAAATGTATTTATTATGGTATTTGGAGTTTTGACGATGGCTTGGAACACTTATTCGAGTATCATGGCAATCGTGAATCCTTAATTGTGAATGATAATAATAATTTTTAAATGATCAAGCTTGATCATTACAATTTTTACTTTCATCTTCTTGTATATGAGAATGGGATCGTGTGGTCCTTGAACCTTGTTATCCGAATTATCACCGTCATCTCCAAGTGAAGTAATTGTGCTGTCACCCAAATTCCTTTTCTAAAAGGACCTGTCTAATTCCATCCATTTTTCACCCTTTTTTTGTCATTGTCAACGGTCACTCAGTGTTTATCCGTCTTTGCTTCGTCTTTAGCTTGGTTTCATACAAATCAGTCACATTCTATTGCTCAAAATACAACGAATATTCAGTTCATCTTGCGCCATTCAAAAAGATGTGCATTGTAAGCAAGGTAGCATCCATCACTTGATATCATTTAAAACCGTTGATGTTCATGGTCAACTCTGTGAAATACAACACAAAAAAATGTTGAAATATTCCTTTGCAATTGTTGCTGTCATTTTGGCAGTTTGCGCTTGTGTGAGTGCTGTGTCATCTCCATTGAGCACTAGAGTGTATTTTGGTACGTAGTTGATTTTGATGGTTATCTTGTTAGAGTGTGTGAGATATATAATGATGACAATTTTATCACTGTGATCGCTCCAATGATTGACGACAATCTTATTGAAACATCCTTGCGAACTCTCTAATCACTCTATTATCCAATCATACATTGTCTGTATACAACCATATTGAATAATAATACATTTCATCATCATTGTCAATACTTGTATGCGTTGTATCATTGTATAATGGCATCATCACAACACTCTAAATAATTTGACATTTGACAAATAGGTGGTTCTTTTGCTTCCTTTAACGGAACCACATTCAACAACATTGGTTACTATGATTTGAAGGAACAAGCATTCAAAGCCATGTCCAATGGTACCGATGGTACAGTCAATATTGTCCATGTCGATTTCTTTGGTAACGTTTATATTGGTGGTTCTTTCACACAAGTCGGTTCAGTCAAGACTGGTCCTCTTGCCATGTGGAGAATTGACAAGGCTGAATGGACTACAGTTGGAACTCTCTCATTCAATTCTGGTGCTTCCATCACTGCCATTGATACCAATTGTCTCAATATCGTGACCAATACCAAGTCATTCCCTTGTGATGTCTTTGTTGGAGGTCAATTCACAACGACTAATCCTGCTGCTACCAACATTGCTTGGTTTGATTATAGTGCTCAAACATGGAAGGCAATGTCTGGATTCACTGCCAACTCAGTCTCTGCCATTGCAAAGAATGAATTCCAAACAACTACCATCAATAAGGTCTTCTTGGGAGGTAACTTTACTTCTGGTTCCAATAGCTATGGATTTGGTATTTATGATACTTCAAAGAATACATTCACAGGAGTCGATGGTGTCTCAGGTGTCACTGATATTTACTACAATCCAAACTTGTTCAATGTCGATGACCTTTTCATTGCTGCTGCCAAATTCCCTAATGCTCAATGTGTTGGTCTCTGTGCTTACAAACACACCGATGGAACATGGAGCACCAAGGTTGGAACAGATTCCATGTCAACCATTCGTAAATTAGCCTACATGAAAGGTACTTCTGTTTCATCAGTCGGAACAGTCTTCATTGCTGGTAGCAGTGGTGTCAAGAAGGGATCTGGAGGTAGTACATTCTCAGCTTTTGGATCTAACTCTCCAAATGTGAATGTTTATGGTATGGATATTTGTGGAACTGCAAGCAATGAGGCTTTGACTTATTGTTCACAAGGATCTGTTGCTGCTGGTGGTCAAAACTTTTTGTACTTTTACAATGCCAAGACTGACACTTGGACCAATCTTTTGAATGCTTATACTTCCAGTAATTATACTTTGCAAGTGAATTCCGTCTATGTCAAGGTTTCAAGTGCTATGAGAGAAAGTTCAATTTCATTGGTTGTTTTGATGATTGCATTGATTGCATCTGTCTTCTTCTTTTAATGAAGAGTACTACACCACATCATAGGATAATAAATTGAAAGATTGTCAAAAATATCAAAGATGTTTTTACAGTGTGGATGTCCAAAGCAACACCACCACAAACATTTCACTGCGATACTCCTCCTTTTACAGAGATAATTCCATGGTCTTTTTCCAAATTTAGATAAATCAACATGAGGCAATTCGAATGGCAATGGGTGACGTACCAATGGTGGAGAGAGATCATGAGAGAGAGAGGAATGATTTTCATTGAGACAAGTTGATCAATAATTGAACAAAACAAGCTCTGGATCATTTCAACATGTGTCAATGAGAGAGTTGGCATTTAAGCGCCAACCAATCGTTGCTTGTAAGTGTAAAATGTAGAACAAATAGTTGACCATATAATTCTTTTTTGGGAATGAAAATATATTTAAGAATTGAATTGAAATACTGATCTGAATATAGATTCAACGAAAAACCGTGGCGCTAGAACTTTATATTTCTAGTTCCCTCTCTGGAAAATCTTGTCACTCAACACTTTTGCTACAAAATTCAAAGGGCATTAATTTATTCGCATCATGTTTGTTGTGTTGTTACATTTTTAGAATTCTCCCGAATTGGCATTTATGCAATTTCAAGCGCAATTCATTCAAAGTCAGTAGACATAATGTAATTTCTCTTCATGCTAGCTCTCCTTGTCATTTCCAAAAAAGAATTTGCGTGTACTTTCTTTGATAATTTTAAAATCTAAAAAGAGTTTGTGACCGATCAAAATGAAATGTGTCGTAGTGTGACAAGAGCAGTTTGAAAAACAAATAAAATACAACCAATTGACAGCATCATAAAAGAAGAAGGATGCAAGAAACAACCTACTATGCCCATCCACCTTGTGGTTCTTCGTCAATCACTCGTCATTTTGCGACTGCTGAACCAATTCATGTCAACTTTAAGAATTCTAATCCTACTGGTAAAGCAACATTCCACCACAGCCAACAACAAGAACCACCATCGGTTCAGAGAGAATTGCAGTATGCACTAAAACATTCAAGAAACCACCACCACTCTTACATGACTCATCTTGATGAATCTTTTCAATCACTGCCCAAGAGAATGACTCGTTCCAAATCGAATTCATCCTTTCATTCCTCTTTTCATTACAGTTCAGTGAGCAAGACAATGAATCAGAACACACAACCACTCTCTGGTACGTCGTCGAGTCTTGAACCACCTCATCATTATACGAGTCCTCCATCAAGCAACTACACCTCAAACTTGTTGATGAAGGCCAATTATTCATTGAGTGCACCCACCACTACAATCATGAATCATTCTACAATGACTCGTCATGGTATCTCTCGTTTAACCAAGTTTGGGTTCAGATCTGAAATGGAGTTCACTCCATACAAGATTCGATTTCATGAAGGTCAGCATTTGTATAACAACAGCAACAACAACAACAACCGCCCTACAACAACCTCTCAAAACGTCAATGGTGCCAACTCGAACATTGAACATGGACTTCAACCTTCCGTCAATACTCATGTTCAAAGATCATCATCTTGTCGCCCTATTCCATCCTCTCAACCTGCCATTTCTACTGCCACTCGAAATTATCTTCCTTCGATTGGGGAGATATTAAGGAATATTGAAGAACATGACATTTCGAACACGACCTCTCAAAAGACGCAGCACCACACAAGAGAAGTCAATAATAATCCTATTATTCAATCGCCAAACAATGAACCATTCCAAAGTTTTATGAATCCATCTCATTCTCTACTACTAGGATCTCAACAAGCAATGATTCACTCTTCTTCGACAGCTGCGAGTCAAAAAAGGCAAGAACCTTTGAATTCACTGACAACATTGCAAAGAGTCCCATTGCTACAGTCATCTCCACCATCATTATCGACTTCATTCAATTCTTCATCTCCATCTTATTCAGGAGTGGTTGTGTGTAACAATAGAGATAGATCCAATAGTGTATCCTCTTACTCTTCCTCTGTTCTCACCTCCTCTGTTCAAAGTGCTAGTAGTAGTAGTTTTACAACCTCTTCTCAAACAAGTAACAAGAAGAAGGAAACTAATTCTGATGATTCAACATTGTATAAGAGTGCTAAAATTTCAAAATCAAATACCTCCATGCTAAAGAAGAATAAGAGATACTTGTCTGATCGAGCGGTCAAGCTGTTGAAAGAGTGGTTATTCATGAATTGGGACAATCCATATCCAGATTCTAATCAAAAACGAGAGTTGGCCAAAATGGCTGACATTTCAGTTTCACAAGTGAACAATTATTTCATTAATGCTAGAAGAAGGATTTGTAAAAAGTTTGAAAGTCCTCCTGAAGATTGCTTCAATTAAATTTCTTTTTCCTCCATCTGATGTTATGAAATGATGGATATTATTTTTGAATCATCTTGTAAAGAATTTTCGAATCGGAAAATGTAAAGAAGAATCATTTTCCGATTCGAAATTTTTCGTTAGTGTGTATGACAGTTATCATACGTGATATTAGTGATGATGCTTTTCTGTTTGGCTATTATTCTCTAGCTGTTGAATTTTTACAAGTGCTTCCTGATAGGCTTCATGACACTCTGAAATACATTTTGAAAAGTATTCTTTTTCGGAAACAAGTGTGGATGATGATTCATCTTTGAAATGCTTGAATTGATGTTGACACACATCAAAACAATCCTCCACCATATTCATCATGAAATGTTTAACGAGAAGAAGAGGATTTTCCGTCTCAGCAGGAGTAGTAGTTGTGGACATTTTTAAGCTCTGACCAACAACTGTCGAATGGGCTTTTGAGATTGGATCAAATCGAATGTATGATCTATAAATGATTAATATAACATTATGAATATATATTAAATATTAACCTGATTCATGTGGGAGGTGAAATGATTTCTATTGTCTGTATCTCTTTATTAAAGTCCAACCTTCAAAAGCAATACCAACTATTGTGTTCCTGTTGTCATGAAACATGTGGACAAGCATGAGATTCGTATAAGGAAAGGTATCACCAATGCCACTGATTGGTTTTGAAAAAACTCATGGGATGTATATAAATTTCATCTTTGGGTCACATCTTTTCTGGTCTTGAGAAAATTCATTTTTTTGGGTAAACCATGATTTAAAAGATGACTGATTCTTTGGTGTAGTGTGGTGGTTCTTTTTGGTGGTGAGTGTTGACTTGTTGTTGCTGGCAACTGATGGACTCGTTGCAAGAGCACGATTAAGAATTTTAGTTGTTGCCGTTTCATCTTCATGATAAGCATCTTTAAATGCAGAGGAAACCGAATGACTATCAGAGACATTGGTGAAAATACCTCCCAGATTGTGACTCAAGGTTGGTTGAGTGAAAGGATGGACAATAGCTGTCAATGGACCATGATGATGGACATCTTGTGGATTCGTTTGCGGATTTGTTGCCAATGCTGAATCATTCGTGGGTTTGATTTGAAGAGTCGATGTCGTCGTCTTCTTCTTTGCTGGTTTGATGAAAGCAGAATTGTCATCATGACGAGACTTTTGATTCTCTTTTGGGTCATTGTGTTTTTTTTTTCCAAACTGTTGTCACACAACGCCAAGAAAAGGCTTTTCATTTTTTATTTTCCAAAAAAAAAGAATTTTGCAGGAGGTGGGATTTGAACCCACGAAGCTTGCGCAGTAGAACTTGAGTCTACCCCCTTTGACCGCTCGGGAACCCCTGCTGTTTCTATACCTTTAAACCGACCAATCACAGTACGCTTCTCCTCAGACAACGATCACGCAAGTGTTTTTCGCTGGGGCTGACTTTGCCGCGTGGTCTAGACCACAAGCCAACAAAAATAACCTTCAGACATTTGACAACACCACAACCGTTGTGTGGTTCCAATAAAATGCCTAAGCTTGCAGCTTCTGATTTCGATCATGCAAACGGGATTGTCACTTGTGCAAAAAATCCTTCAAAAAACGCCAATCAGCAACTCGTGTGATCATTGTCAAAAGAAAACAATTTATGCCGATTGTCCTATATGTTTAGAGTCTGTTTTGCTCACAAATTTATACAGACATCGTTGCGAATACATTAAATCAGTGAAAATTTGTGATAATAACGCCCTGCTCACAGATCCAAACACAACTAACCCAATAACTATCATTAAGGAACAAAATGGAATCGGTGAAGTGTTCGGTAATATTACCGATAACATTAAAAACTTGGCCAAAGTTGAGGCAAACAATGCAGCTCAAAGGTATTTGGATGAATTTTTCGAACTTGGTGGAACAATGTCTCACTTGATGACGCATGAACATGTAAAAGAGAGTTTACGAGAGCATTCAAAAACTATATTTCAAAGAGGATACCGATCTGGTATAAAAGGACTGTTAAAAAAGCTTAAAAAACGAATAACAACAAGCAGTCATTTGTTAGAAGGTACGAATTTATCTGATAACCAAATAAGAACGCTTCAACGTTTACTGTTTGAGGAAAACAATGAAGAAATCGAAAAACGAAAATGCTGCAAAAGCATAGCAAAGAATTTACATTCTGCAGTGCAAGCAAATAGAGAGCAATTAGTTCTCAAATTATTAGGTTTTTGTGTAAATACACTCAACAGATCTAAAAGAGAGATAGAACATTCCATATCAGATCCTAATTTATTTTATGACGTGAGCAATGGTAATATTCAGACGTACATAAATCGTAAGGATGAACTCGAACGTCATTTTAAGAACTTTGATTATTTATGGGGTAAAATCGGGAAGCAACTCTTTTCTATAATGGACATGACAGTTCATTCCACCACAATCGCTCAAAATTTAAAAGAATTACTCCGACAGAAAATAGGGGAAAGTATTTTTAACTTACCCAGCAACATTATTACTGTGGGGTTCAATGGAGAGAAGCTGAATTTTCAAATTTTCATCACCAAAATTAAGGGTGATGCTCCTTTCTTACAAAAACTGCTGGGAAATGCTCTTGTACAAGAGAGAAGTGAACAACAAAGATATTTTACGTTTTTAGATCAATACCTATAACATGTTTCATGATTTGGAAGAATTGGGGTTTAATATGAAAACGTATGATCATATCACATACAACCATGCGGGAAACTTTATTGAATCCAAAACACAACATGAGAACACAAACGAGCAAGATGAATGTTTGTTTAAACTAATTAGAAAAGTGATGCATTTGTTTTGTGGTAGACAAGTGTACTCAAAAAAAGAAATGGAAACTATTTTGGAAGCAGTTGAGGAAATTTCTAATGCACCTGATATAACAGCTAAATGGCAATTAATTCCAAAACATTTTGAATTGGTTTGGATAAGAGCATTTGCAAACAGATCATTACAACAACAATTCGGTAAAAATCACCACCCCAACGATAATACTTTCAATAGAAAATGAAAACTCCACAACTATCCAATTCTAAAAATCAAAAAGAGCTCGATGATGAACTACAGAGAGAATGCCAAATGGGATAAATTTTGTAGCAAAATAATTGGACCAATTCAAATGCTCCAAGAGAACAAAGAACTTCATGTTGTAGAAACATCCGAATATTTGGAATTTAACTTTCCTTCTAGTGACTACATTCACTCCAATAATTCAAGAGGACGTTTTTTTTCAACAATCACTGAAAAAGATCTCAAGGATTTAGGGGTATTTCAAATTACAGAAATAAGGTTCCATGATTGTACTGACATGATCAGCACAAGTCAAAATAGAACATCCGCATCCACAGATACATCCTGTAATTTCAACGTTGATGAAATGAAGAAAATTTTAGAACATGTTTCCAACTCTAATCTAACTACAATCATCAAAACTCTTGATAAATCCATGTGGGCATTATTGAAAGGAGCCAAAGTCTTCGTACAACCAACTGAAGATTCAACAGATGATCAAAATATTTTTTCGAACCAAAACCTGCGCTCACTAACAAGCAGTTTAGACATGACAACCTCGAGCACACCCTTTAGCTTGAGGTTCGAAAGCCAGCAGCACAACCACACACCTTAACGGTGACAGGTGAATAAACCAGTGACATGTGTTATGAATCCAAAAATGAAAACGGCATGTTTACTGGCTGCTGGGCAGAACCAAGCGGTGATGCTTGGTGGTCTGAGGATAAGCGTACTGTGTAATGTGTCGTGCGTTAAAGTTAAAATTTCGAAATTCTTCAATCATAAAGATCTCATAATGACATCTTTATTTGGACAACTTAATTTAGAAATACTAAAAAAGACAATGTTTATTCTTCTCTTTGTAAGTCTTGAGAAAGAGCGGAATATATCTTTCAACTCTCTTACACTCTTCTCTATTTTCTTAACATTGTCTTCAAATTCCTTAATTCTATCATCCCATGAGTCATCAGAGGAATCATTATCCGATGACGATTCAACCTCTTCACAACCATTCAATTCAATACGATTCAACCAATGCGGAGCAGTTCAATTGACTTTTGGGATGTCTGTAATAAAAATTTGGGATGAAGATTGAAAACTTTTGAAACAACAACGTTTCGCTTGGAACTAGGCTCGGCAGAATCAGGAGCGCCTCCGTGTCTTATCAACTTGAACCTTGATTTTTTTGATCGATCAAAAAAATAGGATCCTAATTCCAACGGCCTCATTCAATTTCATTAAGGAGGACCGATCTCAAAAATCCGTTCCGGGTTAATTGAGCATAATACTTCCCTCATAGCTTGTTGTGAATAACGTTGTTGTGAAGAGAAACGAAATAACTTGGCACTTATTTTAGTTCACACTGAGCAAAACCGTGCATTCTGTGGCGAAGTCTGAAAAGCAAAAGAAGGAAGAATTAAAAGCAAGAATAGAGAGACTTCGCCACAGAATGCACGAAGAAGAAGGAGATAAATCCATTAAGGCATATAGAGGTTTCATAATAGCTTGTAAATGAATACACGAAAGAAGAGTATGGCGATGATGATGAAGTGGGGAGGGACTTATTGGTTTCATGGATATGAATGGGAGTATGTTGTGGTTGGAAACAAATTGGCTGTGAAAGATTCGAGAAAGACAACCAAAGAATTCTCTATTGAGTTGAACGGCTATGGACTGGATTTCTCTCCTTCCTGGGTTCAAAAAGTATTCTCTTATGGGGATGGCCGTATCATAAAGTAGAAAAACGAAACATCATGAAACATCATGAAGAGAATATCTACTACTACTTTGATAATCTCACAATTTGGAATTAAATGAAAGAAATCCCATGTGAAAATTTCTCGAAAATCGGTGTAAAACGGTGAGGGTGTACAATAACAAGAATTACAACGATTTATTCAGAGTCGCTAATGACCACAACCGCTTCTTCATCATCATCACTCCTCTCTGATTCTGAATTGGAATATTTAGAGATACTCTTGGTTGTGCCTTTCTTTGAGGTTTTCCAATGCTCTCTTCCACATCACTCGAGACAGATTCATTGTCATCATCGGATGATAATTCTAGAGCTTCTTCATCCTCATCCTCTTCACCTCTTTGAATTGTCAATTCTTGAGACAACACATCATCTGTGGCATGTTCTTGTACGAGATCTGGAAGATCATGCTGTAAAAAGTGAACATCTTCCCTCGTGGGTGGCAGTGTGAATCCATCACACAAGTCATTCTCGAGTGGTTTCAAAAATTCATAAATGAATTGTTTCAGGAGTGGTTTTGGCTGTATGAATGAATCTCGTTGCTGTAACCAAAATTCTTTAAGATCTGAGAACCAACTTCTTGAAATCTTGCTGCTCAATTTCATCTCTCTTCTTGTAATGTTCGAGTTCATAGTTCCGTTGAGCCTTAATAATCTCATCCCCAAAATTCTTAGCAAGCATGACTGGAACTGCATTACCAATTTGTTTGTATTGATCCTTATAACTTCCACACAATACGAAATCATCGGGAAATCCTTGAGCTCGAGCATATTCTCTCACAGAGAGCACTCGATTTTGATTGGGATGAATAAGTTTCATCGATAGTGGATTTAGACTGGTCACTAAGGTGTTACACGATTTAGACCATTGCAATCGAGCTAAAATAATTTTGGAATAATTTCGAAATTTTAAATATCCTTCCTTTAGCAATGGTTTAGCATTGGGATGGAGATCTCTATAATAGGCTCCTGGACATCGAGGCATGCTTCTGATTAACTTCTCCATAGGTTTGGCAAATATGATTGGTACAAACATTTGAACAATTTTTCCTGAGCAATTCTTGGTAAACAGTACGAGGAGGTAAATATTCACATTCGCCATCCATTAGTTCGACACTTTTTTGATTCGCATCAAAGGGTGGAAGGTCACTTGCAAAGTCTCTAAAATTCACAGGAGGAAGAGAGCCATGATATATAACCTTTTTGATCTTGGAGTGAACTTTTTTTGTAGATTTCTTGTCAATGCAGCATGAGTATTTTCTGGAAATGAAGGAATAGAATAATTGCCATCTCTTCTTGCAGCAAGAAAAATGACTCTCGTTCTCGATTGTGGAAGCTGTACAAAGGTGTTGATGAAATCATCATGTACAAGCACAGTTCAATGAGTTGTACACAGCATTTTGAATTACTTACTCCAAAATGTCTTGCATTTAAACATGAAAACTGTGTATCATAACCCCTACTGTCAAGTTTGGAAATAATTGCTTGAAGAACATCTAAAACAGTAGTGTTCAATAGACCTGTCACATTTTCAATTAGGACATATTTGGGTTTAAAATACTTGACATATTCCAAGAAGGTTAAAACGAGACGATTCTTATCGTGGCTTAAGTATTTAGAAGCTTCTCTTTCCTTAAAACGATTCAACCCGCTGAACCCTTGGCATGGTGGTCCTCCAGCTATCAAATCAATCTCATTTGGCTTGGGAATGTTATAATATTTAGTTTCTAGGAATTCTATAATTTCATCTCTGTAGTCCTGTAACTCATCCACGTCCTTCCATTTCGAAGAGTTACCATTGACAATTAACAGTGATAAGGATCCATCTTTGTTTTTTTTAAGAGTTTTGATATGTATGTTTTTTCTTTTCACTGATGATTTGTGTTGTGATGAAGAATCTAAAAGTCCGAAACGTTTCTTCAACTCATTCACAACCTTAATATTCTTTAGAAATTCCTCTGCATCTTTACAAAAGGTATGAGCATTTGGAAAGTTTGCATGATGACTGTCTGCTGCAACATTCCAAAATTCAATACTATATCTTACATCTATTCCTGCCTTAGTTAATCCTAGAGAAAGTCCACCACATCCTGAAAAGATGTCCATGGCAACTAGTTTGGGTTTATCTCTAAATTGATCGAGCAATAAGGACACATTCCTTTCCATATGATCAAAAGTATATTGTAAATCATTAGGATGCAATTCAAAAAGTCCAAATTGACCATTCTTTTCAACAAATTTGCTTTTACAGTAAAAGACATTTCTTTTTTCTCTCACGTTCTCAATCTTTTCAAAATCTTGTTTGTTTCTTACAAAGAATACTGCACATCTACCCTTAATTCTGAATATAGGATTCTGAAGAGTTCATTATGATTCGAATTGTATCTTCTTTCATTCTCTACAACCTCTGAGTACTTACATTATTAAATTCGTCAGACAAATAAAGCTCTTGATGATCTCTACAAAGCACATTATAATGCTCTCCAGTTGTGATGGTCTTAATATCATGAAATCTTCGTAACCATCTCCCTCTGAATCGTTTAACACCTTTCCAGTCTTCAAAAAACATTTCAACAATTGCAATATAATATGGATATTCTGGATTGGACCATGGTGGTTGCAGGTACACAGCATCCCCAATTTGAATCTCCATGCCATTCAATCTACATGCCTTGTAATAAATGCGCCCAGTGTCATCGATAGTTGAAGAAAGAGGTTCACCTATCCATTCAATTTTCGTTATTTCCTCTAGCGAGGGTTCTTTTAAAACAGAAGATTTTTCTTCCTTAACTTTCTAAGTTGACTTCTTTGACACTTTTTTCTTGTTGCTTTTTCGCTTGGTTGTTGGATTTTTAACATCTTCACTGTCGTCGTTATAATCATTTTCAATGACAGTGTCTGATGAGCTTTTCTTTTTTTTAATGATACTCAAATTTCTCCTTTTACCTTGTTTTGTGTTCCTTTTAGGTTGATATTCCTCTCCAGATGATGATGAGCTGGAAAAAGATGGTTCTGAAACGACGTCCTCAGATCCACTTGAAATAGAGTGATAATGTTCATCTGGAATATACTCATCTTCAGAATCTGAAGTCTCCATTTCATCGTCATCATCTTCCTCTGTACTGGACATGATGTCAGAAAGTACTCCTCCCTGTAGCATGATTTTTTGCTAATTCAAAAAGTTAAATTGAAAATACATGAACCATTCAATACATACAAGCCTTAAGAAGAAACAAGAATTCAATAATCTTGTGTCTTTCATTTTGTTAAATTGGTCTGAAATATATTGAGCATTTTCTAAAACATAGTCTTCAGTCACTTTTGGTTTTGGAGCTCTGACATATTGATTATAAATATACGCTAATTCAGTTTTACTGAGCTAAATAGTTGAATTCATTTCATAGTTATAACAGTTCATAAATATCAAATTGAACATTATGCAGTCTATTCACATGAGAATAATGTACATACTCGATTAATGATCTCTTCATAGGGTTCTAAGGGATACTTTTGTACAATTTCCATCAAAGAGTGACACAAAAAAACCTTTTGGTATGTTTTGTTAAATATATGAAAGTAATCCTTTGAAGGCCCTATTAACTCAATCCATTCGCTTGTTTCTCGAGACGACTCCACAAGAATGCTTATAATAGGAAGTCTCCGATATTCCACTGCCCATTCTTTGATGGGACCAAAGCATGTCTTTTTACCGACTTTTGAATCCTCTCCAGAAGCAATGTTAAAACAAATTCCACATGCAAACAACTCTTTTGCAATCGTTGTCATATCTTCTACTGACAAATAATTTGGAGTTATTTTACCATTGCTTTCTAAATAATCGGGATTTGAAACTATTGAAAAATCGTACAGTGTTCTATATTCACCAGTTCCTCTCACCAGAGACATGCCTGATCCAAATATTCGATGATTCGCCAGATGATTCACTGCTGCTCACAATCACAACCACTCGGTCATCATCAAAATCCGACGAGGATATATTTTCACAAGTTTCTTGTTTTTTGCGTTTCATATTTTTTGAAACTGTTTTTTGCGCAATTTTTCACATCTCAATAAATTTATTACATGATCAAATTTCTGATAGAAAAAGAATCAACATTTTCGCTGGTCTTATAAATGTCATAATCAATGAAAGAAAATACAGATTCTCCAAATAAGTCATATAATTCTGAATATCTTTCCGCAACGTCCTCTGGAATGCTTGAAGAATTCATTCGTTCTCTCATTTCTCTTGTCAATTTTTCAATTTTGAGTGCTTCCTCAGATTTGTGGATATTTCTTTGTTCCTTTTTCTTAGTTTGGTTTGTGTTTTCCTCCTCTTCTTCTTCAAAAGAGGTAACACTGCTTGCGTATTCTCTAGCACGTTCTTGTTGTTCCAATTTGAAAAACCTAGATAGTTGTGTGAAAAATGTACCTGCTGCGGTTAACAGAGCTTTAAAGCACATAAAGGCGTTGTGTCTCGTATGCATGTCTGGAGATACCAGTTCAGGAAGGAGTAAATTGCAAAATATCTTTAAGTTTGAATTTTTTGGAGGCTCCAAAAAGAGTAACTGAGTGACGTGGGATCCTAGAGCTGTAATACCAACAATTGCTCCATAATGAGTTGTTCTGGATCTCTTGGGATCTAAGAATGCATGAAGGAGTGTCTTAGTAATTCTTGGCTGAAGGGTATGATATGACGATCCAAATCTTTAAAATTACAATTATTAATATTTTGATGAAAAGCTGTAACTCGAACACTTACTTGCGACAAATGTAAGCGATAATATTGGCCGAGAAATCTCGTAGACTCCAGTGATTATCATTTGGATTTTCACAAAGGGTTTTTCCTACAATGCAAGTTAGTATTGATGGCATCAATTGATGGAGCTTTTGTCATGTGTAAATCATAAAAACCCTTTAAACTATTGTAACTTACATAGAGCTCAATATGAATATTTGGATTTACAAGGAGTGCCTTTGTCATTTCCATTAATCGGTAGAGTAATGTCAAATTTCTTAAATTATTTGTGACCTCACTCGCAATAAACTGAGTAAAATAAGGAATAAGTTGATTGATTCCAGGATCATTGGCTAAACTTTCGATAGCAGCCTTTCTTAGATCTCGTTTTTGGTTGCTTAAATCTTTGATGGCATCTGTAACTTTTTCATAGTACATTTGCAATTCTTCTGATAAAACATGCTTGACAAGTGGCTTAAATTCCACGTTTGGATCTTGTGATGTTGAAACTTTCTTGGATTGATCTTTTTCCTTTGGTTTCTTCCGATCCGATTCTGTATCTTCGATCGATGGATTTTGAGGAATTTTTGGTTGAATGCCTTGAATTGCCAACCAGTGTGTGAAGATGGATGGTCCTATAGGTACCTTTGGTAAAGGTTTCTCCAGACAATCTTTCAAGTCAAGTTCCACGTCCTCCAAAAAGTATAAATCTTTTGTTTGTTTTACTCTTCTAAATCTACTTGGTTGTGATGATTGGCCTCTAAATCCATAGAGAGGCTTTATAGATGTAACAGTAAAATCAAATTATATAATTAATATATTATACAATCACAAAATGTTAATGCTCGCACATATTACTTCTTTAAACATACCTCGATGTTCTTCATAGATAACGCATGGTTCACATCATCCGTCGTAAGAAGCTTGCGTTTTGAATGCCTCATGAATTTAGAAGCATCTTGAATGATTTCTCGAATTCTGTATTCCACATCAAGAGCCAACGTCTGGGCAATATCATCTTTTAATTTGTTGATGCCGAGGCTTTGTGCGATCACTTGCACCGTTTCTTTCTGAAAAAAAGAAGTAGAACCGTCGGACATGTTAGATAAATTCTGCTGTTGTGTTTTTCAAATAAATAGTATTGATTTGATGGGGTTGATGAAATACCAACAATAATTTAATAATATTATTCGATGAGTGATAGTGATGATGCTGATTCAAGCACTAACTGCTTCAATTTTTTTTAAAAAAATGTGGCAAAACGAGAAGCCAAGACACACAAACAGCAAAACGACCTTTGGAGATGAAACAAACGAAAATAGGAGGAATTTCGATCGATCAAGATTTAAAAGAAACACTACAAGCAAATTTGCAATTTTCGGAACACCAATTTTTGATGGAGAGGAGGAAAACCAAAAAGAATTAAAAGCACATGGACAAGAACGATATATTTCCGAACACCAACAGTATGCAAAAGACGAAAAAGGCCGACGAAGATTTCATGGAGCCTTCACAGGTGGTTTTTCGGCTGGATATTTTAATACAGTTGGCTCGAAAGAGGGTTGGACCCCGAAAAATGATTTTAAGTCCAGTGCAAAACAGAAAATAACAGACTTTATGGATGAGGAAGATATGAGAGAACTATTTGGTTTGAGTGGATCTAACCATGTTCAAGTTACTGATAAATTTCGTATGGCCTCTAACGTTGGTGACTCTTATAGCCGTGACCCTCTCTTAGGATTATTTGGAGATATGAATTCTAAAGACCGAACACATGTAGATTTAATTTTTGGCAGCTCAGCTCCAGCATCGACGGACACTTCATTGAGTCGCCAGTTATATTCTGCAAGTGAAACTACAAGCGATATTGGTCACACGTTATTAAGAAAAATGGGTTGGGTACCAGGAAGAGGAATTGGAATTAAAAATTACAAAACAGCAAATCATGAAAAATCCTCCATAGAACTTCATCAAGATGCAAAATCATACAATGTAAAATTGAAAGAAAACCAATATGGTTTAGGTTATAAGGCAAATACACTTGGGGATATTTTGCAACAGGATAATACAACCAACAATGCTTTTTCAATCACAAGAAAAAAAGATGTTGATGACGACATTTACAATACTGATGATTGGAATAGCTATGATATTGAGCTCAAACCTCATAAGGAAAATGATATTTCTGACCAACATGATATATGGAATGAAAAATTAATATTTATCAAATCCAATACTCCTTGTGCAGTGAAACGCAAGTACTCACCACCAAAAATTCCTGATAGCTTCACTGGAATACATGTTTTTGATCAACCCCAGATTAAGACCCATTACAAAAAACTAGATTACCGGTTGCAATTACATTTACAAGCTGCAGAAGAGAGAAGAAAGAAGCTTGGAGGTACACATGTACTTATTGATACCTCCACAAAACCAGAAATAGAGTATTCAGAAGATTATTCCATGATTCATAATAAGCCCATACTGTTCGAGACTGAAAAATCAAAAGAAATTAAGGAGAAATTATCCAAGGTCATGTCTCAAAGATTTGTGTCAAGTTCAGAGAATCTTCATACTCATAACAAGAATGCAACTCAACGGCCTGTCATTCCTAAAGGTACCAGAGTGATTACAGACTGGATACCGGATCACTTGCTATCAAAAAGATTTGGCTTTCCACCCATTTCCAGCTCTATCTCACCATCACCACAAACAATGCCATCCTCTCAGAAATTCTCAATGCTCGATTCCAACATATTTAATTCAGAAGAATCATCTCATAATAAGACAGAGGTCTCTACTTCAGTTCCTGCCATTAGAACCATTGAGCGAATGGAAGACACTGAGAGGCCTTCAATTGAATTGTTTAAGCATATATTTGATGTTCGAGCGAACCAATTCATTGAGGTGGAAGATGATATAGCTCCATCGAATAAGGTGGATCTTGAAAACAAGCATGAGCCTCCATCTCATCGTGAACCGGTGATGCTCGAAGTATTGCCCTCTTCTTTTAAGTCCGTTGGACAAGTCGTGCAGGAACTGAAAGAAAAAAGAGACGAAAAGACAACAACAGCACAAAAACCAAGTATCAAAGAGAAAAAGAAAGAATCGATCAAAACTGAAGAACTTGCAACAGAAAAGGAACGCCAAAGGAAATTAGATTTTAATGTATATCCCATGAAGAAAGATAGCACTAGCTCATATATTTCTCAATTAGAATCTCGAATATCAGACATTAAACGAATGTTGGATTCTTCGTCAGACGAAGAGAAAAAAAAGAGGAAAAAACACAAAGCAGAAAAGAAAGAGAAGAAAAAGAGAAAGAAAGAAAGTGTTTATGTGTTTGAAGAGCAATAACTAACATCTGAACGAGATTGAGTGACAAACAACAGTCGTTACAAAATATTTGATGAATGTTTTGAGAGAAATATTTGGAAATGCATATTGTACACTATCCAATCCATTTTGGTCCAATTCATGAAATCAACTGCAATACAAATTACCTGATCCATCCCTAAACAAAATTTACATGTTTGAATTGTTGACAAAAGAACATGAAATTGTTGTTAAACCTGATCACAACCTTGAGCCGTCATGATTCAAATTAATATCCGCGGAAATCTTATCGTTTAACGGATTGAACTTGGGTGTTCATCCAATCAAACAAAGGCCAAATAATAAAAAAATTCATCATGTGTGTCCCTCATCAGCAGCAACTTCCGACCATTCCATTCTTAAATACAGCTATTTCGGAGGATCATTTCAAAGCACACCTTCTTGCACAATCTTGGGAGTTAACTGCACGACATAAGCAGGATCCAAACCTAGATTTAGATGATCAATATTGGAAAGTGATTTTGGAAATTGATCACGAGAGAAAGTTTGAATATGTATTCCACAAGGACGTCATTGCTGACAACTCTGCATTATTTCATAATATTATAGGAGCAATGTATGACTTTGAAGATTTGAAGCAACACAACACATGTATTCAAATTGTCTCTGATGAAGAAAGGATTGTTTTTGAGCAAGTAATTATTCCATGTTTATACGGGTCAAGATTCATCGAAATTACGAAAGGATCACAGTTGATCATTGCGTTGGACTTTTTTGATTATTTACAAATGGAAAGTTTTAAATCCTTGCTTCAACCTTCATTTTTTGAGCTCTATACATCAAAGCCTACTAGAAACAAAACAGAATATTTAGATGAACATAGCGATTATTATTTGAGAGTTTATTTTGACACACATCCTACTTTTGTAGTTGACCCTTTCTACGTCAATTATCATTACGAGCGATGTATTAAGGGGTTTTGCAAGTTTTTACAACCAAAGAATTTGACGAGATGCGAGAAACTTTTTTCAACTATGAATCCAGAAAACTTTTTGCAATTAGTTTCGCAAGACTCCTTGGGAATTTATGAAGAAGATCAATTGGTGGATGCAATTGAAATATTTTTGCGAGTTCATCCTCAAATTCCAAAAGAATTTCTCAACAAAATTTGGAGACAAGTGAAAGTGAAATTTGTGAGGGATCAAACTTTTTTCAAGTTGATGAATCACGATAGCATTGACAATGCAACCAAGGAGTTCATGAAAAAAAAGAGAAATGAAAATAATGAAACTAGGAGAGATTATATCAACCCAATTATGATGATAGCGACAAATGTTGGAACATTGGAAAAGTGGAACATTTACAAAGACTCTTGCGAATACTCAGTGAAGGTACATACTGGGTACATTCACGATATCATCTGCAAAGATATGGGAGATTATAGTTTTATTTTCACATGTGGCGATGATGGCAGAGTGTGTCTTTGCAAATCAGAGAAAAAAGGCCCTCTTATGTTCATTAAGGCAATTCAATTTTCACCCATCACGCCTGTCTTGTCCATATCTGCCAATGATAATGTTCTGACAGCAGTTACTGGTTTAGGACAAGTCCATTGCGTCGATATTTCCTCGAACACCTCTGACAAAGTGACGCCTGTCATGTCAATATCAACCTTGATTGAAAATGATACTCCTTCTAGATGTGTAGTAGTCACCAATTCTCACATATTCATTGGAGATACAATAGGTCATATACATGTTTGGAACCTTGGGAATTCAGTAGATTCAAAAAGATATTACATCCACACCAAACAAGTGATGTGCATGAAAGTCATTACCTTCAAAAACAATGATTATTTATTAAGTGGAGGATGCGACCGAAAAGTGGTCATTTGCAAGATTGATCGTCAAGACGGCAGCTTGTCACGCCTCCAAACATTTGACGTTTCGACTGGTTATATATATTCCCTAGATTTTATACTTAAATCAACTGATGATTTTGCAAGAAATGCGATTGTCACTGGGGCAACAGACTTCATGGTGAATGTGATTGAGATTGGATCAGGAATAGCTACCTCATTTAGAGAGCATCAAAACTTCGTTTATTCCGTGATTTCGAATGGATTTCAAGCCATCAGTGCAAGCGATGATTCCTCAATTAGGGTTTGGAATACAGAGACAGGAGAGTGTGATCAAAGTCTTTTCTTACCAAATGCTGCCCGTAAAATTGTAATAGAGAGTTCTCAAAGTTTCCAAAATCATTAAAAATGTCATCTTTACCCATGATCCATTTCATTTCTTCAAAATAAAGCTGGTTTCAAACTTTCCAATAAATTTCGTTTTTGAATTTTCAAGAAAATAAGGTCATGTTTCATGTTATGAGCATTGGAACTGAGTTTAAGGCATCAATATCGGCAAAATTGCTCTTTCGTGATATGCCTTCAAATATGCCATATTTGTTGCATTGCTTCTTCAACTGTTGTTGTGTTTTTTTTCACCACTTCATCAATCCTTGTCTATCCTAGATTGATTCAAATCTTGAAGAGAAATTGCAACAACCTTACTGATATTTCGATTGTGTCGAAGTATTAGAAAATAATTATCACCACAAGAATGCCTACGCTACCAAAATGGAATCTTCCTTTTTTTTCTAAAAATAACCTTACTTGTCAGAAAGGTCATTTCTTTCGCTTCAATCTTCTCGAAAAAGCTGAAAGAAAAAATGTCTTCTTCAAGTAATATCGACAATAATGAAATGAATTCGGATCAAACAGCACAAGCGTCTTCTTCATCATCATCATCATCAACATCATCTCTGATCCGATCAAGTCTACTCGAATATCTCACAGATCCTCAGCTAACACAAAATACAGAATTAAAAGCAAGATTGAGACATGGAAAGCCTCAAGCTCTTCTTGTTCTGTTGCTTCATTTCCTCATGTTGAAGCATGGATTTCGGTGTGTGGGCTTGCTAGAAACTGATCCGAACACAGAATTGTCTGAAGGAAATATTTTACCTCCCCAAGGTTTTGATCAAAATCCCGAAATGTTCTCTCTCAAATACAAACATTCCCAGAGAACATTTACCTTTTCATTGAAAGTATTGATGATGGGACAATCTAAATTATTGGTTTTTGCAACAACATTGCTTTTCCCTAATTTAGATATCAATGATAATAGCAATGTTAATATGAGTCAATATTCAAAACAGCAAGAGCAAGAAGAAGTTTACCAGTTGGAGCTGAATAATTTATTTGATTTTATTGATCGAGAGAAATTATCAAACTGCACCGACAATGATTTGGACTTTGCCTCTATTTACAAGAACTTGCAAGATTTAGAATTTAGATTTAAGACAACCATTCAGAATAAGTTAGTTCCAAAAGAAGGTTATGAAACTGGTAGTAGCAGTAGTGTTAGTAGTGGCAGTTCTCAACCATCTTCATCCATTTCTGTTGAAAGACCTAGTGCAGGTAGATATCAACCTCCTAGATCACTTCTCGACGATGATTATGATGAAATTGGACATGACCCGCTTAGAATTGGTCCTCCAATTCGTTCTGGATATATTCAACCACCTCATGGTCATCCTTATCGTGTTGGAGATGAAGATCTCTATCCTGGTCTTGGAGGGCTTCCTCAACCTTTCCCAAGAGGTGGTGGTGGTCTTCCTTTCGGAGGTGGTGGAATTGGTGGTGGCGGCAGCATGGTAGGTCCAAATAATCCAATGTTTGGAGGACGTGGAAGGCCATTGATGCCTGGTGGAGGTAATCCATTTGTGCCACCTGGAGCGAGATTTGACCCTATCTATCCAAATGCACCACTTGGTGGAGGAAGAAGTAATGGAGGAGGTAGAGGTGGTAATGTTGGAGGAGAACCAAACCCTGATCATCATCGACCTCCAAGAGATTTGGATGATGATGACGATTTTCATTCCCACTTTTACATGTAAATATAATCAATCTTAACAACACACAAAAAATTTATTTTGTAAATGCTGGAATTTGTGGAAACAACAACCCGCCAAAAATGTCCGTTAAAAAAATATATATATAATTTTCTCGCAAAGAAAATGAAGCGAACCACTCGTTCGAGCAGTCGCTCTTCTTCTTCCTCCCAGCACAATGTCGAAAGAGATGAGAATTCGGACCTCCATCAGCCTTTGACAAGACAGCAACTGAAAAAGCTGCCACCAAAAGCACCCACCACCGACCACAAGACTTCCATGCTCTTACTCAAAACTCCAAACAAAACTTTTAAAGATGAAGTCAAACGAAAGAAACTTGCCATGAAAGAGAAGAATGTCATGTCTGGCAAGTTCGGAAGTGTTGTCATCTTGTCCAAAGATCAAGAAACAGCCAATGATTCATCTAATGGAGAACGAACACCCACACCAAGAACTCCACTCAAGAATATTGATCCCAATGTTCTCTTCTCTCCTCCTGTTGCCATGAATAGTACTGCAACCACAACAACAAAAAACAACACGGAAAATGCTCCTTTCTTTTCTCCCTATCTCAAAACACCCAATATGGCCGTAAAGAGTCAACAAGTGGTGAGAAAAACAGAAAATTCCACTCCCATTCGAGAATTTAAAATTCAAAAAGAACTCACCAAGATGAGAGTTGGTAAATTGAATTTGTTTCCAAATGTGTTTAGCTCATTTGCGAGTACAACAAGTCCAGAGGAAGATATTCACTCATCCAACGATGAAGAAGAAGAGTCTTATCAACCAAAACAAAAGAAGAGAAAGAATTCATCATCTCCACTCTATCATTACTTTAACATTGTGATGGAGAAGTGTGATGGTGAACTTGTTGATCTTATCCACGATTCATGTAAAACCACTTCAGGAGGTAAAATTCCAGTCTCCATAGCAAAGGCCATCTCATTCCAGTTGCTATTTGCATTGTCAATTGCTGAAGAAATTGGATTTCAACACAATGATATACATGAGAGAAATGTTTTGTACAAAAAACTTCCTTTAACGACACCTCAAAAGAAAGGTATTGCTTTTTATGATCGAATTGATGATCGTGATTATGTATGGCTGGTAGATTGTGATTTTGTTCTCAAAATTGCAGATTATGGATTGAGTAGAATAAGAATTGATGATGGAGAGGAGATTGAAAGTGGAAATGTCTTTCATTCAGAAGCCTTTAATAATGATTTGGAGAGAGTCAAGGAAATTCTTACAAAGAGAATCAAGCTTGATACTGATGCTAAAAGCAAAGACTCAAAACTATTCTCAGATCTCAAGAGAAACATTAAGGTTGGAGTTTCTGCCAAGTCTCTTCTACTTCATGAATTCTTTGAAGATATTCGGAAGGATGCGAGTGAAGATTTGACTCCATCTTTGGAATTTGAGATTGATGAATCCTATCACCAATATTTTGGAGCCAAACATCCAAAACGAAAACAAAAGATGAACAAAATCAAAGTGCCACCCTCCAAACCATTACAGCGGGAAACTCCAAACGAAACTCCTGCTTCACCTTCGATTGTACTAAATACCAGCTCCATCAGTGCTCTGGTAGACAGTGAGGAAGAAAATGTTCCTGTTAAATCACGACGAGCCTTCAAACGAAGAGAGAAGGCCACAAAATAAACAGGACGACAAATTCAGTCTCAAACGAACACTCTCATGTAAGAAAGATCTTGATGACTTTGGTCCATCCACCAATGAACCCACCACTTTACAACTCATCAAATTTCTCTACCCACAAAATTTCACTCAAAAAAATCGTCTTTGTGTTGTTGATATTCCCTCTCGAACACACCTTGATCTCTACCTTTCCCTACTGCACTTTCTCTGCATAAACAACAACAAGGAATACACTCTTCATCATTTTGTTGTGATCAGTAATCAAACCAAATCAAATACGTTAATCATGGCTTCAACTACCTCTCATGATCATTCCCCCTTTCTCACTCTAGGACATGAGGATATTGAGAATTTGGCTCTCAATCCAAAGGTTCATAAATATGCATCTCTCCGTCCAAGTGTTGAGACTGAGAAACTCAAGCAACACTATAAGAGAAATATCCCACTGAACGTAAGTTTACAAAATATCATCACGATGATCAAAATTTTAAATATATTTTCTTGCCCATTTTTGATTCCAAAATGCAAAATCTTTGTTTCTCTGATGATGATTGTTGCTTGTGCTTGCCGATATTGATAATCAACAACATGTTCAATATATCCTCACAATCAAATAGCCAAAACAATTGAAGGGAGATTTCAGAGATAATAAGCATTCGACTCTCACTGAGAGAGGCGCATTATTCGAAGCCAACCGATGTTTGAAATGGTATGTAGAAGAAATATTTTCGAAATGTTAGATGAATTACCATGTAATAATTATGATTCATCTCTGCAATATTTCCCAACGACCATTTCCTCCATCACGATGATGATGATATTATAATAATGAAATAATCTCATCTATTCTTCCTGCGTGCACGAATCTTTGGCGCTCCGTCATTTTCAAATTTGGAAACTATTGAACTGTACATGGGTTGCATGTGAAAATTTTCACATAACATTTCACACCTCCTCTCCTAATAGTGCTGATGCACCATGTCAATCATCATGCCCAACATCTCTTGATATCAAGGGATTTATCAGTTGTATTTCTACTGGAAATTACTACGGAGCCGCTAAAATGATTTTTAGTGATAATCCATTGGGTCTTTCATGTGGCATGGTTTGTCCTGTGAGTAATTTGTGCGCAGGAAGTTGTAATTTAGCAGCGACTGAAGAAGGACCAATTAACATCAAGTAAGTCAAAATTTATCTTGGCATGATTCACTCATCAAATATGATAATGGTAATAATAATAATAACCAATCACATGCCTGCTTTCGTATGAATTTGATTTCACACACAAAAGTGGCTTGCAAGCATTTGCTACAGATGTTTTCAGAAAGATGAAATTGAAGCAAATTAGAGATCCTCAAGCTCCTCCTCTTGAATCCTTGCCAAAATCCTATCAAACTAAAATTGCACTTGTTGGTGCTGGTCCTGCCAGCATTTCATGTGCTACATTTTTAGCAAGAATGGGTTACCAAAATATTACCATCTTTGAGAAGAATGACTATGCTGGTGGTTTGAGTTCTTCTGAAATTCCACAAAATCGTCTTCCTTATGAGGCAGTTGAATTTGAAATTAACTTGATGAAGGACTTGGGTGTTAAAGTCGAATACAATAAGGAATTAGGAAGAGATTTTACTGTTGAATCTCTCAAAAAGGATGGCTATGAAGTTGTCTTCTTGGGCATTGGTCTACCAGATCCAAATAAGGAAAGTATTTTTGATGGACTCACTCCTGAACAAGGTTTCTATACCTCTAAAGATTTATTACCAGCAGTGATGAACTCTACAAAAGATGGTATGTGTGGATGTAAGGCTGGATCTAAGCCTTTACCTAAACTGTACGGAAAGGTTGTCATTCTCGGCATTGGTGATACTGCTCTCGACGTTTATGGAAGTAGCATTCGATGTGGAGCTGACCGAGCAACATTGGTCTTCCGTCGTGGTTTCTCTGAGATGCGATGTGTCGAAGAAGAATTTGAACCTGCCAAGAAGGAAAAGTGTGAATTGCTTCCAAATTGTTTACCAAAACAAATCATTTTGAAAGATGGTAGAATTTCAGCCATTGAATTGTACAAGACTGAAATAGATTCAAATGGAAAGGTTGTGATTGATGAAGATCAATTCATTAGACTCAAATGTGATTTTGTTGTCTCTGCATTTGGTTGCACTCTCCGCAGTGAACATGTAATCCAATCCTTGAGTCCAGTCACTGTAAACTCTTATGGAAGAGTGAAAGTCAATCATTCCACTATGGAAACTGATGTGAAAGGTATCTTTGCTGGAGGTGATCTTGTTGGTTCTGGTATGACTGTTGAAGCCAGTAATGATGGTAAAACTGCATCTTGGTATATTCACAAATACATTCAAGAAGAATTGCACAAGTGCACAAAACTTCCAGATACTCCACAACTTCCAAAATTCTTTACAGAAATTGATAAGGTAGATTTATCTGTGGAAGTGTGTGGTGTGAAATTTGAAAATCCATTTGGACTTGCAAGTGCTCCTCCATGTACCACTGCTGACATGATTGATCGTGCGTTTGATGCTGGTTGGGGTTTTGCAGTGACCAAAACATTTGGTCTTGATAAGGATCTTGTCACTAACGTTTCTCCAAGAATTGTTCGTGGATCATTGGCGCCAAATAAGGGACCTCATCAATCTGCATTTTTGAACATTGAATTGATCTCTGAAAAGTCTGCTAGTTATTGGTGTACTGCCATTCGAGAATTGAAGCAAAAACATCCAACAAAGGTTGTCATTGCATCCATCATGGCCGCTTTCAAGAAGGAAGATTGGCAATTCTTAGCCAAGAAATCTGAACAAGCTGGAGCTGACATGATTGAATTGAATTTGAGTTGTCCACACGGTATGGGTGAAAGATCGATGGGTTTAGCTTGTGGACAAGATCCATATCTTGTCTTGCATATTTGTAAATGGGTGAGAGCAGCAACCAAACTTCCTTTCTTTGCCAAATTAACTCCAAACATTACCGATGTTGCTCAAATTGCTGAAGCTGCTAAAGAAGGTGGAGCTGATGGTGTTACTGCCACAAATACTGTTTCTGGTTTAATGACACTCAAACCAGATGCTACTGCTTGGCCAGCCGTTGGTGCCAATAAGAGAACAACCTATGGAGGTGTGAGTGGTAATGCCATTCGACCAATTGCTCTCAAAGCTGTTTCAAAAGTTGCTAAAAAGTTTCCTAAATTCTCAATTCTTGCTACTGGTGGATGTGATAGTGCTGATGTTGCTCTTCAATTTATTCATGCTGGAGCTTCAGTCGTTCAAATTTGTTCATCTGTACAAAATCAAGATTTTACAGTCATTGAGGATTATGTGAGTGGATTGAAAGCTCTCATGTACATTAATGCTCATCCTGCTTTCAAGGGATGGATTGGACAATCTCCACCTCATGAGAAACTAGAGAAACAACCTCCACTTGGTTTACCTCGATTTGGACCTTATGAATTGAAGAGAAGAGAAATGATCACCAAAACCATTTCTGAAAATGGTATTTTGACAGACCGTGCTGAGAGTACTGGAACTCCAAAAGAAATTGAACAAGTGATTAAGGTGCCATCCATCAATTCTATCATTGGAAAGGCTGTTGAAAGAATTGGTGCTTGGGGAGAATTGGATCCAAAATTCGATCATCACGTTGTTGCCATTGTCGATGATGATTTGTGCATTAATTGTGGTAAATGTTACATGACCTGCAACGACAGTGGATATCAAGCCATTAGTTTCGATAAGGACACTCACCTTCCAAAGGTTAGTGAAGAGGATTGCACTGGATGTACATTATGTCATTCCGTATGTCCTGTCAATGATTGTATTGAAATGATTCCAAGAAAGACTCCCTATGTATCTAAGAGAGGAATTACTCCAGGAGAATTCTCTCAAGAAAATGTGTTGAAATTTGCGATGATTTTTGACTCTCAGGGATCTGTGGCTCATGACCTTCATGAATAAATTATTGCACCAATTCTTTATGGATGAACTTTTCAATCTTGATAAAGTTCTCTCTGGATTGATCGGACAATAGCATCTTCATCCTGTTTGAGTGAGTGACGACTCGTTTGAATAACTGATAGCCACTCTTCTTTCATGGTATCATCATCGATGATGCGTCACATGTACTACAGTTTCGTACGTACCCGCTCGCTGAATCCGATTCTTATTGTAAAATTCGTCAAATTAGCCAAGATCCTCATTTAAAGATTCTTGTTACCCAGGCTTTAAAATTGACTGGAGCGTTGTTCAGCAACGTCAAGTGCCAAACATCAAAAAAAAATTTAACACATCATGACTCAACCATACGTCTTCAATCTCGCTAACAAGAAGCCAGGAAAGCAAGCTCTTCTCTTTGGTCTTTCATGCCTCTTCTCTGGTAGTTTAATTGCTATCTACAAGAACGTCCTTGGTGGTCCTCCAGAAACTCACAAGAATTTGGCTCAAGAAAATGTTCTCTATTACAGACCATTCGAAGAAAAGAGAGATATTTATTTCTTCAACTGGGGTCCTATTATGGGTCAATCTGCTGGACGTCCAAAGAAGGAATAAGCTAGTTTTATGTACACAATTTTGTTTTCCATATTTGTATTGCAGAAGTTTTTCAACATTCAATCGCCGACTACTACTATGACTACAACAACTAACGAATGTATTTTGAACAAGAAAAGGCAATACAAATGCCTTTACATTTTGAGAGAATAAATCACATTTGTATTCATTCTGAACTCTCAAATGATTTGTTAAACTAAAACCTCAAGTGAAAATTGTCATCTTTAAAGAGACAACATGAATCATCACATTGCTGTTCAATAAAACAGAGAGGATGGACACGTTCGGGCATATGAGATTAGAGTGTTGCTTCGTCTTGAATCGGAGAGAGATGCCAAAAGTCAAAAAATAAGCATCTCAGCATCGTCATGACACAACCATCTGTTGTGCTATTTAAAATTGTCCTGACATTGCTGTTGATTTTTTCAACAAACCAAATATCAGCATCATCATTCGTTTGTCCAGGAACCTCATCACCCAATGATGGATTTAAATATTGTGGAAGATATTCCTCGGAACAATTGAAAACTAGTATTCTATTTGGGGAACAGCGACAACAACAAACAAGTACTCGAAATGTCTCCATGAACAACTATGTTTGTTTACCGTCACCACAACTAGTTATTGATGAAGAAACACAACATTTAAACAATTTCAATTCGGATGGAAATGATCTCTCAAAATATTTCAATAGCACGAATTGTCTGGTTCGATGGAGTGATGATGCAGTGATTACGTATCAACATGAAATTTGTGCTGTCAATATTTATTCAAAAACCTTTTATGTGATTTCTGATGGTTACAATGTTCATCGATTTACTAATTTATCAGAATTGCAATTTATTGGTCCAAATTATTTTGTGAATCATGAAATTGAAACAAGTCAAACCTCTACATTTGAAGATCAAGGATTCATCATTTCAGGACCTAATTATGTGTTGAATATGAAAAATGATATTATTTCAACTGGTAGCAAACATTCTCCAAATATTTTCATTGATACTACTTTTCACTTTTATATGATTAATGTTGGAGAAGATGATCAAGATGGTCCTGGTGTGATTTTAAAAAGTGTTCAATCTGGACTCTGTGTCACAACCTACTCTAAATTAAGATTTTATTTCAAAGGAGAACCTTGTTCCAATGCATTGACTTTTAAGCAAGCTCAAATGACAAGTGACACTCAAGCCGATCTTTATTCACGACAGAAATTCTTTTGGACTGGATCTCTACTCTTTTCATCACTACCTGATTCTGATAATTATTTACAATCCATCTCTATCACAACTTCCCTATTCTCTTCACCTTATTTGAAATACTTACCCATTCAACAATTGCACTTGATTCCAATTTTGAATCAAAGTAGTACAACAGAAACATTTTATGAAAATGCATGTTTGACTGAAAATTACATGCAACACCAATTCATGACCAAATTGAAACAACAATCATTCATTCCATATCGGTATTCCTCTAGTAGTTGTGAGGGTTGTTTTAATCGATTCATGTGGATGATGATGGTTGTAGTAGGAATGGTCATGATGCTCATGCAATGATTGGAATCATTCTTGACATTTATAACATTGACATCATTTTTGAGTGTTGACAAGAATCCATCTCTTTCATTGTCGTCAAGAACCGTAGATGCAATTTGACGCGCATTCTATGGACATGGCGACACTGATGACTTTGTTTCAATCAAAACGACTTATTATTTTGTAATTTTAGAACGGAATGCCAAAATTGGAAAGAAATAGACTTTCACGAGCAAAAAAAACAAACCACATCCTTTCGTACATACCTTTCACCCTTTCAAAACAACCGGCATCAACAAGGCTTTTCACCGCTCCATCTCATCATACCTTTATCATCGTCATGGGAAAGAAGAAACGACATGTTCATAGTTGTGATTTAGATTGTTACAACTTTAATTATGAAAGTATTTATAATGAGAAGGAATATAAAGAATGTTTTTGGGAATATTTACGTTGTACTCATAACGAAGGTAGGTTAAAAAGAAAGGGTGATGATACGAATGATTTAAAACAACACGACACGATCTCCTTTTTTGTTACGTAATATCGACAACTGTCAAATGTCGTCATATCAACAAATTTCAACAGAGGCATTATATTTCATTCAAAAAGTACAACAATTCAAACGAAAAGATATTTCATCCAAACAAAAAGCTAAACTGGCTATCGAAATATATTACGACTTTATAAAGGATGGAGGAAAGTACGAATTAAATCTCTCCTCAAAAGATAAACAATTCATTCAAGATGAATTTCAAAAATCAGATCAATTATTCCACCAAGACACATGCACCATCAGCGAAACCATATTTAACACACTTGAACAAACCATTCATCTTAGTTTAAAGGAAGCAACATTTCCTCACTTTGTGAAATCTCCAAAATTTAAAGACTTTGCCATGCAACAAACGTGTGATTTTCTTGACAAAATTGGTTATAGGATAAACGTAAAGAAAATTGACATTATTCAACAACTCAATGCAGGAAGTACTTTGATGTCTCCAATGAGCACAACATCCTCATTTACCTTAAGTGATAGATCGAATAGTAGTCTGAATAATTCAACTCTTGAAGGACATGTCATTGGATCATCCTTTTTTGGATTTGAAGAGAAAATGTTAAGTAATAGTTACAACAATTCCAATGATAAAATTGGGAGATCAATAGATCAAGGTTGGAGGCTCGTTGACAAACAATCTCACATCACCATGGATGATTTTCGTTTCATGGCTAAAAAATTGTTGGGAACGGATTCTAGGATTGCAGATGACATTGGAAAATTCATCTCAAAAACGATGGGAAATGTTCCAACAGAAATACCTTCTATGAACAAATCCAATGATGGATCTGCAGAGAGATCAAAATCCCTTTCAGCAGCATCACTTCCCAATCATCCATCTCATCTTGTTCGTACCAATAGTGATCGTTTAGTATCCTTGTCATTACGAAAAGGGTCCATAGAATCCACATCCTCTTCTGTCTCGACTGTGGAATATTTTGAAGATATTTGGAAAAAGGTTGAAAAGAAAACACCAACATACATTTTGACGAACTATGAGATTAAACCTGAGGTCTTTGAGGAGCAAGATACCGAATTAATGGATTCCTTGAAAAATATTCACATTTTTAAGACAGAGATGGAGTTTCCTTACAATGTCAAATTTGTGGTAGAGACTCTTACTAAAGGACAATATCGAATTCAATTTGATGACATGCTGAAGGAATCATTTTCTTTGGGTTTTTGTCATCTTCACAACCCTCCTACTGAAGAAGAAGTTCGGAGAGAAGCATGCTCATCTTCAATGCTTCAGGAAGTATGGAGGTTTTCGTCTTTTGGTTTGTTATATCTGAAAGATAGAAGCTTTATTGTGGAAGCAAGTCTTATTCATGACATTCCAAATAATGCTTATTTGTTGTTGAAAAAGAGTGTGGATAATGTCATAATTGACGATAGTGATTGTGTAAGAGGACGACTTCTTCAATTGCAGGTGTTTGAGCATCTATCCAAGGACAAAACTGCCTTCAAGGATTTTGTTGTCATTGACATGAAAGATTCATGTAAACCTCTAATTTTTGAAAGTTGTGTCTCCAAGAGAGCCAAGGATCTATATGAAAAAGGTCTTGCTGCTCTGAAAGCAAACATGGTTTTATGTGAAAAACATTTTGCGACTCCTGGAGACAGTGATCGACTTTTAGAGACATTAGCCTCAAATGAGAAAGCTGGGCATTGCAACAAAATAGGATTTAAATTAAGGACCGATCGCTCTTCTTCTTTGGATCGAGATCTCGACATGATGCAGTACTATCAATGACAGATTTAATGAGAGCTAAAATAATTTATGATTCAATGTTCCATGTCCAGTTCCATTAATGCTTGTGTTGAACCCTCTCAAGATGGCATTAAGAACATAAAGTTTGGCCTTTCTAACGGCATCTTCCAATGAAGAACCCATTGCAAGATTTGAGGCAATTGCAGCAGCTAATGAACATCCAGTTCCATGAGTATTATTTGAATGAATCAAATCTGCTTGGAATGAATAGAAAGTGTCAGTGGCATTTTCATAAAGTACATCAACGGCCAGAGTACCTTGCAAATGACCACCTTTAACTAAAACATTGGAAATTCCAAAAGTTGTCGAAATGACCTTAGCTGCTTGTTTGGATTGTTCCACATTCGTAATTACGAATGGTCTTTGTGTGAGTTGTAGAATTCGTTCTGCTTCTGGAATGTTCGGTGTAATGAGAGTGGCAATAGGGAAAAACTCTTTCACGATTACCTCAACTGCTTCATCTTTCAATAAATTATGTCCACTTGTTGAAACCATCACTGGATCCACAACTACTTGCAATTTTCTTTCTTGCATGTAAAACTTCAATCTTTCAATCACAACCCTAATTAATTCTGGGCTATAAAGCATACCAGTCTTCACTGCACAGACATTAATGTCGCTTAATACGGAATCAATTTGTTTTGCGAGGAATTCTGGAGAAACTGGAAATACTCCTTGCACTCCTAAGGTGTTTTGAGCTGTGAGAGCTGTAATAGCGCTTGTTCCAAACACATGATGGGCGTGGAAAGTATTTAAATCTGCTTGAATACCAGCACCTCCTCCTGAATCTGAACCTGCAATAGTGAGAACAGCTTTTGGTATGGTAGAAGAAGCATTGGATGATTGTGAAATTCGTTGTCTGTCTAACTCTTCAATAGGCCATTCTTCCATGTAATAGGCAGAATTCCAAAATAAATATTCCATTTGACTTGCAATTTTTACATTTTCTCTACACTTTTCTTTTTCATCGTCTGAAGTGTTTTGTGCATACTGATTGATAAAAGAAGAAAATAGTTCTACTCCTTTTTTAAATTCATCAGAGCTATATGATTTAATCCAATCCACATATGGGTGAGAATCTGTTAATAGGGATGACTCTGAATTGGTTGACAACATTCTTTCGGTAATATATTGGGCCACTCTGAAATAAATATAATAACATGGTAAACATGCACATAATGTCTCCAATAAGGAATCTGAATGAGCCACTGACAACAAAAAACTGGTATAAAGCAAACATGACTTGGAGCTTTTAGAGCCTTCTTTGAATGCATTAATATTCCACTTTTTGAAATATTCGTGATGTAATTTAAATGATTCTTCGAGTGCCCCTTTTGATTGATCCAACAAGAACAAGTATTGTTCTTCTCCGTTTGGTGTTTTCATTAAATCAATTTTTGTTGCTACCAATGCAAATACTTTGCTAAATGTTTGTAAATAGATAGCATCTTGGATAATGTAGAATCTGAAAATCTCTTCGCTGAGTGTTCCTTCCATCATTTCCCGAATGAAAGGTAAGCCAAGGATAGGCTCAATCATTTGTTGTTCCATCATGAGAATCAATTCTCCTGCTAAGCCTTCATAACATGATGAGCACAGCACTGAATGATGTCGAGAGGTGGATGCTTGTGGGTTGTGAGGCTCCATTGCTCAACCGTGTTGCAGCAGCTTGAATTCCGAGACGCGAAAGTGGTGCGTTTTCAAACAATTTTTTGAGACGCGATCCTTGTAAGACAACCGATTTGGTTGGAGCGACAAAACAAGAAACAAAAATTCGAACCTCATCTTCTAGGTCGGCAACTGCAACACAAGAAGCGAGTTGATTCTTCTCCAACCCAATTATTCATCTTCACATCATCGGAAAATCAAGTTAAATGATTTTTTGATTCGCATCATTCACTCATATCACAGATCAAAATAATTACAATTTTAATTGATAGTAATAATTAGTCATCACAATCATCATCATCAAACAATGACATTTATTGTAAGCGCAATCGGATGGTTAGGAACAGCCTTATCCATTTTTCTTGTTCTTGCTCCATATAGAACCTTGGCCAATGCACTCCGACAAAAACAAGGAAAAGCTTCATCGTCCGATACCATTGATATTTCGACTTCTCCTGATTCTCTCTCACCATTCCCATATCTTGCCCTATGTATCAGCGCTCTGTTATGGGTTACTTATGGAATTATTGTTGAAGATATGGTCATAGTGATTACCAATGCATTTGGCTTTTGTGCTGCATGCTACTACAATTGGCTATTTTACATCATCACCGATAGAAAAGAAGAGTTTATTTCAAAGTGTTCTATTGCCCTTATTATTTATATTGTTGCATTAGGATTTGTGCTATTTGTCGCTCCAACTCATAAGGTTGTGAGTTATTTGGGCTTTATTGCAGCTGTTGGAGGTATTGTCATGTTTGGAAGTCCACTAGTTCATCTTAAACAGGTATTGGAAAAACAAAATGCAGAATCGATCCCATTACTGGTGGCAGTTGCCAACACTTCATGTAGTTTTGTGTGGATGTTATATGGATATTTGCTTTCTAATTCTGCGATTTTGGTTCCAAACTTGTTGGGTTGTTGTCTTGGTGTGATACAGTTATCATTGAAATACATGTATAGAAATAGAGGATTGCAGACCAAGGTATTTTCAATGCCTGTAGGAGTTGTTTCAGACAATGTCTAAAACAGTAGTATGCATAATGGTTGAACTAGGCCATATTCCATCTCCTATTACTGGCTTTCAATAAATACATCAGCACCATCTTTGATAGGCTCCTCATCAGTGTCACTCATAACATCTTGTTCCTTATTATTGTTATGAATTTCTTGCTCATCTCCTTTCGACGAGTTAAGGATTGATTTATCGAGGGTTGATCTTGAACTTTCGGGTGGTTCAATCTCTTCGTCAGTGTCAGACAAAATTTCAGGATCGTTCTCCTCTCCATTTTCTATCCATTCTTCCACTTTTTTCTTCATCACATACCTTATCTGTTCAAGAGCATGATGATTATACCATCCATACTTTGGATCACATTCTCCAGTATTATTCCATACTGGTTCTCTGAGGTCTAACTCTTCACTAGATTTTACACCTGAAATGACACCATAAGTAATAGCAATTGTTTCATCCTTATCTGCCAAAATAATATTCTGTGCTGGAGCAATTCTGATATCACACAGCTGGTAAAATACCTGAATTTGCGTTGGTATGGAGTTGAATTCATACGATGCATTTTCTTCATGTTCAGTGTGATGTGCCGTAGAGCTCGTATGATTGGTATTCGAAGTATGGACCGACTCCATATCATTATGAGCTTTTTCTTTTGATTGTCCCTGATATAAATAATCATGAAGATCAATATGTGTGTCAACTTTTCGTCTGGGCAGTCTTCTGAATTTGTTTGTCTCTCGTTCGTCTTCCTTTCTCTTTCCTGTTAGAGAATGTATTTTAGGTCGTAGCTCATGTGGAACTCTAAAGTCAAGTAGTTGATAGTAGGATGCAGCAATGTCTTTCTTTGGATCATAACCATAACGAACCCACAACATTCTCCATGGCCCGTTTTTGTAGTGATATGCCACTCTAGGAAGTACCATTCTTAATTTCCATTTATCTTTCCTACTTTCAAATTTGCTTGATATAGCGTTTTTTGACCAGATAGGTCGAATGAGCCTGCTCTTGTCGATCAATGAGTGTGAGGATCCTAATTGAGCAACACCTTCTTGATCATCACTTGGATATCCAAACAAATATCGAACACGATTCTCGACATCTTTGTACAAGTCCTTGTCCTTAGCTGTTACAATTTCGTCAGGAGGTGCTGTCGGCACTTCGTCTTCAAAATTGATTTCCACGCAGTGTGGCATGTATTGCTTACTAGGTTTGAGAAGTCTTTTGTATTTCTTAGAAGTACCGTCATTAGACACAATTGGAACAATTTCTGTCAATGGGTTTTGTTTGAAGGCATAGTCCATTGGCATGTCGAATCTGGAAAAAATTGGGGGAGGTAAATCTAGCATGGCTTTGTGAGTCTTTGTCCCTTTTCCAGTGTGAGGATTCTGTAGAGAAGCTCTGCTTGGTAGGACAGTAGACGTAGCGTCTGACAGCTCGTTAGAATAATATACATTATTTCTAACATGAATTGGATTAGGAGTGGATGATATTGATGAGGAAATCTTTTCTTCATTTTGAATTTCAATATCACCGTCATCATCTCCCATAATACTTGAACTGAAATTATTACGCGATGAATCAAGGGCTGTTTGATCTGAATTTTGGTCTTCATCCATTGACTGATTTAAATCGACAAATTTTGGTTGAATATATTGAAAATCCGACATTCCTTTGAAATTCACGGTTTTTGTAATAACTCCAATAACTTGTAGCTGGGATTGAGATGGATCATATCTTGTTATTATTCTTTCTCCTACTTGTTTTTTTACTTTTTTTCTTCTCAACCTCACCAATAAATTATTCGTTAATGTTACATCACCATAAACAGGATGACAACTCATAAAATTATTCGGCCTAAATCTGCATTCCAAAAATCTGTTTTCTTGATGAGTTTGTTGGTCTGTAATTTCTTTTGGTTTATGTAATGCTTGAATACTTTTCATTCCGCCAAGAATGTTGATTGCATTTGAAACATTTTTAATTCTACCAGGAAATAGAACCATTGTGTATTTCTTATCGGGAATAGAAAGAATATCTGTCTTCTCATAATTACCATAAGCTGTAGATGATGATTCTTGCTGTGATGTTTGTAATTCAACCACACTTGGCGACACTTGATTTCCAATCGTAATTGTTGTAGAACTGTTTCCAATGTTCAATGGAGGTGCTGATGATGGTGATGAAGAGGAGGCTTTTGACGATGATGGTGAGTTCTCTGCGTTTTTCCATCTTTGAAACTCCTCTTGAGAAATCATTTTTTTTCGTTTGCAAAGTCTTTTTTGATGCTATTCTTTATTGAGGAGAAGAGTTGTTCTATCATGGACATTAACTACTTAGTAGTTCAATAGAACAAGTTGCTCCATTTTCAATGAGATATCGAATTTCTTGAGATCTATTAATACAAAACATAAAAAAGAGTAGCTGAATATTTAGTTCCAAAAGTTCCATTAATGTCACACTGATTCTTCCGCCAAGAATTGCAATAAAGCAAGAAGAAATTGTTGATTGTTAATTCTGCTCAACCTGTTGGCTGAGAAAAAGTAAAACCAATTTCAAAACTTTTGAATGCATTCGAGAGGTTGCAAAGAGAAGAGTTTTGATGAAAATTATTCACAACTTCGTTTATTCATTAACAAAAAGTGAGGCCAGAAATGTGTTCAATGGATTATGAATTGTTGTTCGAAAGAGTTTGTGAGCAAAATATGACTCATCTGAAAGAACACTCACCTTTTACCAAACATGAATTATGTACCGCTCCAATATTATCTCCTACATTACTCCTTTTGTTTTTAAAAAAATCAGAAGCGAATTTCTATCGCGTCCAAAAGCTTTCCAGGATGTTTATCATAAACGTTTTTAAAACATATGGTCAGGTGTATCCTAAATAAGAAATCCAAGGAAGGATTCTATGTGTTTCAGAAAATGATTAAGCTTTCTTGAGATGGTTCAATTTTTGAGAATAATTAAGATTGAAAAACTTTTCTTTTTGTAAACACATGATTCATAGGAAGACAACTCTTTCAAAAGATGTTTCTGACCAAATAAAATCTTGTGTTTGCGTTCGAGCATTTCAGTAAATTTGTTGAAATCATTTTCCATCATTCCTGTAGAAATCACGGAATTGAAAAGAATAGCAACAACAACATCTTGAAGAAGTTGGAGAGTGTCATTTTCGTTCAAGAAAACAAGTTGGAAGGTTCGCTCGCATTTACATTGGTCCGTCCTTGTGGAAGAAGTCTTTTCTCGAGAAAGATATCTTGAAAGTTCTTTTTTAAAAAAAATGTCATCACCTGCCACTCATCGTACCATTCTGTTCATTCATGGTTGGGGTTCCAGTGCCTCACTTTTTGAAAAATATTCAAAACCTTTTGGAGAACAAATTACTTCTGCAGATGGTTTGCAATCCACACAATTCCTTTTTGTGAATGCACCACTCGAAATGGAAGAATTGATTGGAAACAATCCAAAAGATCAACGATCATGGGTTTATCTTCGAGAAAATAGATCTGTTTATTATCACTGGAAAGCAGGAATTTTGAGTTTGTTGAATCAAGTCAAGAAAGCACAACAGGAGGGAAAACAAGTGAATGGAATTTTAGGGTTTAGTCAGGTAAGTGTCACAGATTGTCAGAAGTGATTGTCAAACTGTCATGCAAAGGGAGGAATGTTGTCAACCATTTTAGGAGGTTTAATATCATTAGAACACTATGGATTACTTGAAAAAGAGTTTTTACCTGCATCTCTCTATGAATTTCCTCAACCTCATGATGACGACTCGACAAATTTTGATGACATTATTAAAGGAATTAGAGAAAACTTCTTTTCGTATGAAGGAGATGAAAAAGTTTGCCATGTAAAGTTTATTGCATTTGCGGGAGCTTTTAAACCAAATGCAATTCAAGTTCGAGAGTTTTTAAATGTGATATTTAATAAGGGCTTAAAATTGAGTGGATTTAAATCACTCGTTATTTATGGCTTGAATGATGAGTTGGTGTTTCCAGCTTCGAGTCAGGCTATTGTTGATGATTGGATCGATGAGAAAGACTGTCAAGTGTTGTCATTTCATGGACGCCATGAATTACCTTTGGGAGAAAAGGAAAAAGAAGAATTGGTCAAATTCATAAGAAATGTATGGAAGGTTTAAATAATAAATATATGAATATTCATATGAAATACATTGGCAATTTGTCACCGACAAAATCTACTTCTTTTCAACTAAACCAAAATCAATCAATGATTGAACAGTGTCCTTAATAGTTTCCTCAAATGGGCGATATTCAGTTAAACCAAGTTCCTTCAATGGTTGTGTATCCATACTATACTTTACGCCAGCAGGAAATTCTGTGTATTTACTCACTGGATATTGAGGATAATGTTCCTTAATGGTTTTTGGAATGTCTGACATTGCTCTTGTGGATCCACAACAAATCAATCTCTTTCCAACAGCCTCTTCTTTCTCAGAAGGTAATACGTGTGCGATAGCAACATCACGTACATCCACAACAGCAATAGATCCAGCTTGAATGCTTTCATGTTCTCCCAAAAGATACTTTTTCACATTGGAAACAGAAGTGTTAATATTCGATGATTGTAAAGGACCTAATCAATGATTTGAAAGTGAATACAAATTTTGTAATTGGTTCACAAAAGATCTCATGTTGTCTGTATGTACACTCGATAATTAACTTACCCAATACATAGACAGGATTCACAACAACAAGTTCAAACTTTTCCTTATTCTCCTGATACAATTTCCAAGCTTCTTCCTCAGCAAGTCTCTTTGAATAAAAGTATGGATTATTGCTGAGAGAGCTTTGCATGTTCCAATCTTGAGCGGTAAAGACCTTATTCTCTGGAATTGGAAAGGAAAATATAGCACCACCAGAACTAGTGACCACCACACGTCTGACATTGTTTTTGAGAGCAGCCAAAATGACAGCCCGTGTGAGTTCAATGGCAGGTTTCACAATTTCTTTTTCGGGATCTTGCAATGTAGAAATAGGGAGAAGCTGAGTGTGTGTTTTTTGATTGAGAGAGTCCCATTTGAACGTGTTCAATCGGAAAGGATCGATTTCGAAAGTCAATAATGATGATGCATTGAAGATGAATTAAATATTAATATTAATGGATGGAATGAAATCATATGTACTGATGAACGCAAAGGCACGACGTACCTGTATGTATGACTTCATCTATTCCTTGTAAGCCTTGTTCATAATCAGCGTCAACAAATTCCAATTGTGATGATCCTTCAAATTGATACATGTATTCGTATTTTGATTTATTTGAAAGATCTCTCACAAGTCCTCTCACTTGATGGCCTCTCTTCAATAACTCTCGAATGATGTGAGAGGAAATATAGCCTGAGGCTCCAGTTACTGCGATTTTCATGATTACTGTGAATGTGTCGTGTTTTACTAGTCTATTTCGCGGCGGAAGAATATGACCTATTTTTTGTGAGAATCTTCCCAAAAAACACATCGCTGCTCTCTCTCTCTAATTATTCTGTCGAGGTTCTCGCTTCAAGCTTATTTGATACAACTCTTCAAAGCTTGATGCTTGTTTGAGGTATTGATCAATACGAATTTGAATCGTTTCATCCTTTTCAAAGAGAGATTGATATTTTTCTTCACATTTTTGTTTCCAGAACATGAGTTGGTGAATGATTTGATATTCACGAAGAACAGTGAACCAATTCACACAGGTCACACCATTTTCCGAAAGTTCCTTCTCCTTTTCAATGTACTTTCTGAGTTGATTGGAAGTGTCATGCAAATTTTTAAGATCGGATAAGAACAGGCCAAGATAAGGGATGCATGCTTCGGATTTGACAGACTCTAGAAGACTTCTTAGCATTCTAAAATTGGCTCTTAAACTCACAATTTCTCTTAAATGCTCAAGTTTTTCTTCATATTCGTCTCCAGCCTCTTGTCTCGTAAGCTTCAACCTAAAAGCAGAAGCACTCATGATGCCAGCAGATATGGCGAATATGGTTTCAAAATTTTGATAGTTGAATAATTCAAAACAGAGATCAATAAAAAACTTGAACGCTTTGGCTCTATCGTGAACATCCTTTGGCACTACAATTTCAGACGCTACCCATTTGGCCACATTTTCAAAATGTTTGTTATTCATGACTATAGATGGACACTTGTTTGCACACTTTCTCCAAGGGAATCCAATAAATTCAAAAGGTCTTAAATTCTTGTAATGCTCAAATTGTAAAATGGTTAATTGTTTTGCCAAATCGCTGAGTCCAATGGTATATATGTTTGTTTCACGCGCTATGTCACTACGTGTTGTGGATGATGAGGAAGAAATTCGATTAATTATTTTGAATTGTCTCTTTTTCTTTTGTTCTTCCAGAGTGATCAACTTTTTGTATAAATTATGTTTGATTTGAATTCCTTTTAAATATTTTACAGTATTGAGAGGATTTTCACTGTATTCGTTAGCTCCTCCGTGAATTAAATACAAATCTAAGAATTGAGAAAATTGTAATACAATCATGTCATCGTTTTCTTCATCTTTAGGGTCCATTCTATTGATTTTTAACAATGTAAAGAATATCAAAATGAAATTTAGGATATCATTTCGTTAGAACACCTACCTAATGCAATAGTGAATGAACATGTTCAGAACCTTCATTAATTTAACAACCTTTCTTTGAGTTTCTGGCTGTTTGGTTACCATTTGTTCCTTGTCAAGATCAATCAAATAAAGAAAACACATCCGACATAAATTTGATTTTGATAAAAAGGATTCAAAAGTCTTCAAAAAAGAGCGCTGGAAGGAATGAGGCGCCTCAGTCAATGCACTAGCGGATTTTTCTTCGTCCACAGTTTCAACACTTTCACCACTAGTTAAATTTGGGAAAGTAATGCTTGCTCCAGTTGAAATAGGACTGCCAAGCAAAGGACCTGGGGGACTGGGTGAATTTGCCATTGATTGGGGTAAGTTCCCACTCAAAACTTGATTTCTCTGCTGTGATGTCATAAATTCTAACGAGCCACTCACACCTGCAATGACTGCTACAGCAATACTTGACAATTCAAACTCATCACGGTCATTCATTTCACTTTCATCAACAGATTCTATTAATTTCTCCAATAAATTATGTAGTGATCCTCCGATAAATGTGGGTTTTCCTTTACAGCCCAAATCCATAAATATACTCTCATTCACACGCAACCAAAAACTGTTGAATTCCCTAAATGATTCCAAATGTAGAAATTCTTTGTTAGCGAAGGGAATCACATTGTTTTTTCCATCCTGACTAAAGGGAAAACAAATATGTAAGTGTTTCAGTACTGCAGCTCTCCATTTGGTACACACCGCTAGACACGATGACATGGCTCCGATGGGTAAAAATGATGTAATAGTGGCCATGATCTCTTCAGGAAGTTGATCCACAAAGTGTGGAACTGGTTGTGTTTCCTGTTCCGATCGTGGGTTTGATGATGGTGGCGATTCCATGACTGTAAGATTAGGATGGGGTGAAACAGAGTCTGTTGCTGGGAGCATTTTTTTTTGGTTCCTGAGCGCAAAAAAATGACTCAACATCTCCCTCCAGACAGCAAGGAGTACCTACTAAAAAGAGTGAGAGAGCTGGAATCAGCTTTACAAAAAGCTATGACACTTATCAATAGCCTCCAGTCTCATTCACCTGTAAATTGTTCCTTTTTGGGGCAAATTTGCAGCATATCATCAGGTATTAAGAACACTAAGGCTAGCTCTCACATTTATAATAAGATCAATAACAAGTCCCAAACCAAGTCCTATAGAGACGCAGTCGCGTTGTTTCCCCCCAAAACGACATCCCCTGTACCTAAGCCTCCCACAATCCCAAAAAAACAACGCAACATGAATCACAAACGCCCTCGTACTCTCAACTACAACCACAGCATTAGCCTTTACTTTGATCATGACGTCACTGAAAGTGATCTCAATGATATCATCAATGTTACTGAATCTCGTGCTAAAGTCATGGTACCCTCTAATAGACGTAATGTCATTCAGGTCTTCACCGACAATCTAGAAGACTACGAAACATGCTTTGACACCTTACATGAAGACATTTATCAAAAACGCTTTGATTGCATCCTCAGTCCATCTAATTTTCAGGCATCGGAACATACCTTGATGTGCTACACTACCAACAAGGCTAAACACTATAAAACCATCACAAGCCTTCTCGACTTGATTTTCCACCAAGGTATTACTTACGACCAGTTCAACACTACCTTTAAGGATAAACAATACAAGCTAAGAATCTCACTTGATAACGAAGAGGACAAGATTGCTGCTATGAAACTCCCTGGATTTGAAGAGTTCAGATCTCTCGAACAGATTCGAAACGAAATGCCAGACACCTTGGCTGAATGTAACTTTGGACCTAACTTTTCCGAAGGTGTTATCAAAACTGGTGTTCAACAACTTGCAAAACGTGCCAACGTCATCATTCAAGATGACATGATGCAAATTGTTAAGCAAACCAACCAAAGAATTGGTACTTCTTTCTACATTTGTAAAGTCAAACTGGCCTCCAAACAAGATCTCCGTCGTTTCATTAATACTGAATGTGCGTTCAAAACCAAGAATGGCCATCCTATTGCCAAGCGTTTCATCTCATCCATTGACTACATTTCTGCCAAAATCGAAAGAAACGCTTCAATGATGTTACTCTCGGCCTTAGCTTTGAAATCAAAATCCTCTTTCCTATTGGTGAATTTGGATATTGAAGGAGCCTACGACGCCTTCGAAATGTCTGTCATCAGAATGGCTCTCCAACATTGCAAGTTTCCACCCGATTTGATTGACTTCATTATCAACTCATACTCCAATCACTCTCTTCAACTTGAAATTAATGATCACCTCTCATAACCTTTCGTCAAAACACGAGGTATTCCCCAAGGATGTCCATTAGCTCCACTCATCTATGATTGCATCACTCAATTAATAATTGACAAGGCCATAGAAAATTGGAACATTCCAATTACTCCAACAGAACTGGATGTCAATGATATCGGACTTCTCAATTTTGCAGACGATATGAATATTGTTTGCAATAGACATGTTAAATATAATGACCGACTCGACGACGTTGATACATGGTTGTCTCAATTGCTATTCAAAATTAACCCGTCCAAATCCAAAGGGGTTCGTCTCCCATCAAAATGACACCAAAAATTAAGGGTACTGTTATTCCACTTGAACCAAACCTTCGGTTTTTGGGTCACTATCCTTGGTCAGATCGAATTGTCAACGCAGACGTCAATGATAAGATTGAGAAACTGCGACTCTCTCTCAAATACCTACCTGTGCGAAGATTGGAACCTCTCAACTTGAAAAAGGTTATCCATGCCAAAGCCATCTCTCTCTTCACTCACCTCTCTAAAACAAATTTCATTTCCAAGAAACATCTCGAGTCCATTAACTCTAGCATTCGGTCCGCAACTAAAAGACGAATGCTCATCGATGTGAGAACTCCTTCAGGTTTCTTTCATCTCCCAACAACACTTTCTGGTTTGGACATTCCTTCAATTGTGGAATTTATTGAGCATATTCACCTTCGAACCTTGATGCTCATGGCCAACCATCCTAACAATCTCATCAGAAAAGCCTACGTCTTCGGAATGTCGCATCACAAGGAAAATGAAAACAACATTTTTCATCACTGGAAGTCCATCCTTAAAGAATACAACATCTCTGTCAAACTCAACAATCAACAATTTTCACTTCCTCAACTCTCAGGAACTAACTTTGAAATTCACACTGATGGATCCCGACAGAATGGGAAATCTGGAATGGGAATCAACATTTACGACCACAGTCACACTCCAAAACAATTACACTCACACTCTCTCAGAATTCATGATGGATATTCACACAACATTGCTGAACTCGCATCCATCCTTACTTCTATTCATCTTCTACCGAACCGCTCCAAAGCAACAATCCGTACAGACAGTCAAGTTGCAATCCAAGCTCTCAAAAAGAACTATCGAGGACGATTCCTCCTCTTCTATCGAGAATTTCAGAAAATTATTAGAGCTAGAAGTCTTCAAATTTCTCTAAAGAAAGTAAAGGGACATAAGGACCCTGAGAATATTAAGGTCGACGCTCTAGCCAGACAAAGTCTCTCACAACCCACAATTTTCGACATCAGACAACTCTTTGGTAAACAACAACTTCTTACCAAGACAGATATCATCATTTTCAATCAAAGAGAAATGACACGGACCTTTCACCACAAGAAAATGACAACAAAATTAGATGACAATCCCAACCTCATTGATCATGTTCATCGAAAATCCCTCAATATTAGATTCTTGAAAGCGAAAATCTCACCAAATTACAAGTATGCAGTCTGGAGAAATATTACCGTCTCTCATATTAGACACTTCACAGGCTCCTATTGCCCTGACTGTGAAGTCGAGTCCAATCTCCACCACTACATACATGAATGTCCGAAGCTTGACCCTGCGAGATACTTCTGTGAAATGAAGATCTCTTCTTTGATTTCCCAACCATGTACAATCACAGATTCGAATTCGTGGTTTAATCCACATCGTCCCATTTTCTACGTCCATCACTCCGGTTTCCTACCTCCAGATAGTGATGCGATAATACACGTCCTAGCAATTGAAAGGAATTGGCCTGAAATCCAAGTACTGTTAGCCCTCTTCGTTGGCAGATGCCACAAATACTACTACTCTGACAAGATTGAAGACTAAGGACCTTGTGTCCTTAATTAGAATCCCAACTGGATTCGGTGTACATATACCTCAATAAATTTTTTTTGGTTCCAAATGAAGGTCAGCATGGAGCTGTCAGCAAATTGACTTCTCATCAGTGAGGAACAAGGAACACAATTCGTGCTAACACACTACGGATAGTTCACAAAAAATTGAATATGAATAATTATTTTATGGAAAATGTGTCTGCAAGAATTGAGCAATCTCTTCCAGAGATTTGTTTGTGAAATCAAAGTTGGCAAATTTGCATAGAGCTTGATGCATCTTGGCTCTTTCTTCTGTGCTTTCTTTGGTGTTTTGTGGGACGATAGGTGCTTCTGTCATGTTAATAATACTCTCAATTTCTTTTGATTTCATTTGAGCGACCCTAATAATGTCTGGAGGGAAGTGGGCCAATTTCGCCACTTCAATACCAAAACTATTGTTGCTGTTGACACTTGTCTCATCATCATCAACAACCTTGTACAACATTTTTAATTCCTCCATCAAACTTTTGAGCCACAATTATAAAAGTCAAAAAATCACAACATGATACTACTTACACAGATTCCATTCTTTTACAACACACTCGATTACTCTCTGGATCTTCTGTCAACACCTTTAGTTCATGAAAATGTGTTGCAAACAATGTATAAGCGTTCGTTATTCTTGATAAATGTTCCACGATGGCATACGCTAAACCAAATCCATCATATGTCTTTTGAGGACGAGTAAGATAATTCGAGAGGTTTTTCGAGAATACTTACAGATGTTCCTCTTCCCAATTCGTCAATAATAATTAATGTCTTGTTTGTTGCTGTTGACAATATCGCCGAGGTTTCCAGCATCTCTGCCATGAATGTGCTTATTCCTCTGCTTGTACTATCTGACGCACCTACTCTGGAGAGAATTGCATCTCTAATACTCACAATACTACCTGCCTCGGCTGGAATAAAACATCCCATCTGAGCTAGTATGACATTAATTGCAACTTGTCTAATATAGGTGCTTTTACCTCCCATATTTGGCTAGAATGCAGAAATTAGTATAAAGCATGAACAAGAGCAAAATACTTACACCCGTAATAATATGCAACTGATGAGAAGATCTGTCAAATAAGCAGCTATTCATCTGAAAATCAATACCATCTTGAACCTCTACACATGGATGTCTACAATTAATCAAATAGATTTCATCTTCTTCTGCATCGAGTGGCTTAATGATAGGTCTCACATATGGTTTTGCAGATCTTGTAGACACTTCAGCAAATGCAGCAAAGATGTCAAGCTCTGCTAATGCGTCTCTAAGGTCTGAAAAATGTTGAGAATAGGAGCCAACAGCACCTTTGACATGATAGAGCAGATTGTCCGAACAAGCATCATACTTTTCTTGGCAAAGTCTATAATTTTCTGTGAGGCTCATCATATTTTTAGTAGTAAATTTGAATTGCTGCTTTGTTCCTCCCAGTGCAATATAATTCTCATTATTGTTAAACTTGTTTGCAACCTTTCCACCGACTTGCATGTAGACTGCCTTTTTTGTGTACACTAATGTCAGTTCTTCTTTTTTGAGTGCCTCTTCGTCTTGTACGCGCTTGCATTCCTCGTCCAAGAGTTTTATAGATTCCGAAAGCTCTTCTGCAATTTCTTTCAAATTGTCGTCAAGATTTGGATTCAATCGATAGCTATGGTCTGTGGCATTTTCCAAGTCAAGAGATGTATGCACTAAGGTAGGAAATTTTGGAATGAGCGCAGCACACAAGTCTTCCAACTGCAACAACACGGAAAAGAATATACCCTCCTCATTAAAAGTTTTTTCGTTTCTGACTTTCTCTAATGATTCTTTGATAATAGGAAGTTGCTGCACACATGCATACAACTTTATGATATCGTCACATGTGATTTTAAATTTGGCAATCTTGGAGCATAGGATGTCAAGATCAGGAATCTTTTTAAGTGCGGTTCTTATTTCTTCTCTTAATTCATGCTCCTCAACAAAAATTTCTACCATATCAAGCCTGTTTTCAATTTGACTTTGGTCCGTCAATGGTTGTCTAATCCATTCTCTAAGGAGTCGAGATCCAGGCTTCGTTACACATTCGTTGAGCAATCCAAAAAGACTATCATACTTTTTTCGATCATTTGGGCTTGGCAATAAATTGAGAGATGCAATGCATGAACTGTCTAGCTTCATAAAATTTTGTATCACAAATGATTTTGTCTTAAAGTATGAATAGTTGTGACGATCGTCTACCAATTCTAAATAATCAATAAGAGCTTGTGTGGCACATGCTACACATTCGTCATTGAATTCTGGGTTTTCAACATTGTTTTTTCCTGTTAATTTGCAAATATCAGCTTCTAAAGTAGGTTTTCTCACAAATGCACTTCTCTTGAGTTCTGTACACATAATATCAGTTCTTGCAAAAATATCAAGAACTTTGGTATAAAGGATATCATTCTTAGAAATACAAATTAACCCTTCTTTTGCCTCCATTTGAGCAAGAGCAGAATCTAATACCGCTAATTGGTTATTATCAGCAAAGCTGCAAAAACCAATAATTCGTAGTGAGGTATTGGCATAAGCAATACCAACTCTTCTTTCATTGGAGTCTTGTTTGATCATAATTGAGCATACTATTCCAGGTGCTGTGTCAGATTTGAAAATAATTTCTTCAAAACTTTGAAGATTTCCAGGAGATGCAGATTTGATACATTCATAGTTTGACTTTCTATCAGCCCATATTTCAAGCCTTTTACGATGGTCTAGAAGAATGCCCTTTACAAATTGTTCGTATAAAGCCGGTCTAAATGTCAGGTATGGAAGTCCTGCATAACGAACACCATCGACTATATATGGATGGTCTTTATCACACTCTCCTTTTTTCTCGTGATATTTAAAGGATCCATAATTGGAGAAGTGTTTATCAATAAATATGGCATCTTTTCCGTGAACACTGTAGAAAATTTCATCATCGGAATTAGAACTGATTTTTCTTCTTCTTTCGAAAAAAACGATCGTCTCATCATGTTTCGGATGTTTTTCATGTTTCAAAATCATACTAACAAATGATCCGTCTTCTTGAATGTCCTCCACCTTTTCATCTTTTGCGGAACTCTCTTCATCATCGACGTCTTTCTTCTTTTTTTTGGCTCCTTTTTGATTTGATGAGGTTGGAGCTTTGCGTTTGGGAGTTGTTGCAGTCGAGGATGATTTTCCAGTCATTTTTATTTTGAACAGAAAAAATTCTTCTGTTTTTTGGATCTGTGTTGTAAAGCTTTTATTTGTTTCATAAAATCAAGGAGTACATCACTGATCTTACACACATACACCTCCACAATAGCAAACTTAAGTAGAAAGGACCCAACGCCATAAAAATTTTATTTTATTATAATAATATATGTTAATAATTTTTCAGTCTGACTATCAATATTGGATAACATCAAAATGGAGATGAGCTCTAAAGAGTGTTGGTGTTAAACTTCCAAAAGCGTTGAATAACTCAGTTCTGAAATCTCCCAACATGGGCAATTCTCCACTCTTTCCATCCACTCCTAACTTTTTCGAAGCCATTTCTCCACTCAAAGCAACAAATGCACAACCTGCAGCTGCTGAAACAAGTGGATCCTCACAAACTGCAGCAAATGCTGTTTGAATAGCACCAGTCATGCAACCCACTCCAGTCAAATATTGAAGAGATGGTTCGTTATGGTAAATTCTAATGACTCGAGAACCATCAGAAATAAAATCAATTGGACCAGTCATGCAAACGACACAACCATATTTTCTAGATAATTCCAAAACAACCTTATCCATTTGAGAGTGATCAGAGATTGGACCTCCTTCAGCATCTACTCCTTTCAATGTTGCAAAACTTCCCTCGCCATACATTTTACCAATTTCACCATAATTTCCCTTCAGAATGGTAATCTTGTGGTTCAATAATAGATCAAAGGTTGTTTCTTCTCTTGCACGAGTAGCTCCAAATCCAACAGGATCCAAAATGACTGGCTTTCCCAAGTGGCCTGCATGTCTTGCTGCTAAATGCATGGCTTTAATAGAGTATTCATCCAATGTTCCAATGTTAATTAATACTCCGCTGGCAATTTCTACCATATCACTAATTTCGAGATGGTACTGAGTCATAACTGGAGAAGCACCAATAGCAAGAAGAGCATTGGCAGTTTGTGTAGTGACCACATTGTTGGTCAAGTTGTGAATCAATGGTCTGGTCTTTTTGATTTGCAACAAAGCATTGACCATTTGTTCTCTCATCTCTGCCTTTTCTCTCGATTGACCCATTTGATAATAATTAACATGTCTTCTCAACTCTTTGGCAGCCTCAAAAGCACTTGGAGCTCCAACGACACTACTCACTACTGCAACTCCATCCACACCACATTTCATTACGTCTTCAACATTTTGAGAGCCAATTCCTCCAATAGCAACTAGTGGTATATTTGAAACACTTCTCACATAGTCAACTAAATCCTTAAGACCTTGCAATCCAACAGCAGAACCGGCATCTTTCTTGGTCTGGGTTGGGAAAATGGCGTTGGTTCCTAAATAATCTGCTCTCACTTCATATGAGAGCGCTTCATTCACTTGCTCTTTCGTTCCGACTGTTAATCCCAAAATCTTGGAGTGACCAATCAATTTTCTAACGTATTGAGGTGGGAGGTCTTTTTGGCCCACATGAACTCCGTCGGCATTGCAAGCAAGAGCCAAATCCACACGATCATCAATGAGAAATGGAACACCGTACTTTTTACAGATGCGTTGTAAAGATTTTGCTTGTTCAAGAATTTGACGAGTATTCAATGAAGTATTCTTTTCACGATATTGAATAATTGATGATCCTCCTTCGATTGCTTGCTGTACCGTTTCCTCTAATGAACGAGATGCTTTGCTTGAAATTTCCGAATCGGTCACAACATAAAGACCATAATCAAAAATCGATCCATTGTTGTCAATTGGCTTCGTATTGTTTTGCTTGCTTGTTGAGAACGATTGTTGTTGTTTGGTGAGAAGTGATTGAAGTATCCTGTGATTGTTGAATTGCTTTTGAGCAAATTGTCGGAAAGCTATTTGGCTTTTCATTTTTGTTTTATTGGAAAATAAATATTTTGACTGGATCTTTTACTCATTCGCGCTGATGAACCATCTTCAATGAAATCTTCAAAATGAGACAAGCAATCAATCTCACCATTCAAAAGTAACAAGTGGATGGATTTCATGTGTGAATTAATCTGAAATGCACTTGCTCCTAGAGCTTTGACTTCGTTCATTATTAGGGGAGGTGACAGAGCTACTTGGTTTGCAACAGGTAGCGATACCATCTAGAGACACATTGTCCCACCTCCTTCTCACATTACCCATTCAATCTCCTCTTCATCGCCACAGCAACAACGAAAAAGCCCTTCTACTAACCTCAAAAGGTGGAAATCGTGCTCTAATGGAATCTGTCAGATTCTTGGGATTGTTGAGTGAGTAATCTTTCATCCTGAGTGGTTATGAAAGAGCTGGCAGGGACGTTAATGGAAGGATTGTATCCAGTTGGGAATAGTGGATATATTTGTTGGCTGGTTGAAATTGCGCCTGAATAAGATGTTACGGGAATCAATGGATTCATCATTGGTGATGCCATTTGCATTGGAACCATTGAAGTATTAGGATCAAGAAGAGGAATTGAAGAGGTCAATCCATAACCAATACCATATCTATGATTTGTAAACTTCTTTGGTTTTTGAAGTTTCACATTACTGATACTCAAGCGAGACAAAGCACCCTCAACAATAAAGTTCTTTTGCATATAATTGTCGTTCTTAAAGTGATGCAACAGTAAATTCCACAAAGGTTGCTTGGATAATACTTTTGCATTTCCAATGATGATAAGACCACATCTAGCACGGGTAAGAGCAACATTTAGACGTCTTGGATCATTCAAGAAACCAATGCCTTGATGGTCGTTGGATCTAACACATGAAAGAATGATAAAATCTTTCTCTCTTCCTTGGAATGAGTCTACGCTTGCAACTTCAATTTCCTTATAAAGATCTGGGTCAGCAGTACCAGCTCTTTGCATATGGCTGACACAAAATGCACGTTGTCCCTCATAAGGAGTTACAACTCCCAATTGATATGGTCTCACACCAGCCTTAAGCATTTTGGTAACAATTTTCTCGACAGTCTCTGCTTCAGTTCTATTGAGGAAAGATGTACCACTTGCACTGTATTCTTCCTGGCCGACAGAATTATAGAAAAACATTGGAGCATCAGAGTGTGGCCAAGGAAAATCAATATGAATTAATCTATCTTCCTTTTTAACACCATTCTGTAAGGTACCTTCATAGAAGGTATTTGAAGGAAATTCAGAGAGGCAAGGATGCATTCTGTATTGCACTTGTAGACGCATTGGTCTAATACCCAACATTACCAAACGTTCAAAGAGAGATCTTGATAATCCAGCTCTGGCTGCCTTTTTACACATGATAACTGGACCTAATTGACAATGGTCTCCTACAAGAACTATTTGCTTTGCTCCTTTTACGATTGGAATGAGGCATTCAGGTTCAGTAGCTTGAGTAGATTCATCAATGAGTACATGTTTGAATTTAAAGTCTCGTAGTCTAACATCACCTGCACCAACACAGGTACAACAAATGACATCTGCTGCCTTTAAAATTTCTCTCTCTGTTAATCTCTTTAACATTTTCAAACGTTTCTCATCAGCAATGGATAGTTCTCCGTCATCCTCTTTCTTTTGTTGAAGTCTTTGATACTCATCCTTTTCTTTAGTTTTGTAGAGTTTTAGCTGGTAGTGCAATGTAAGGAAGTCCACTGGTGAATTGACTGCTTCCCTACTTCTTGCACAGAGTCTGACAACTTTAAGTCCAGTAGCGTGAATCTTTTCTGCTAATTGATCAACAGCCACATTGGAAGGAGCACACACTAATACTCTGTGCTTGTTCTTATCGACCATATGATAGACAATTGAAGCACTAGTTACTGTTTTTCCTGTACCTGGTGGACCTTGAATTAATGAAAGTGGTCTTTGGAGTGCATTCTTGACAGCTGAAATTTGAGAATGATTCAGTTCAGGTAATCCAGGAGCAGAATATTTTTTGGGAAGAGTAACTTTGAGAAGAACATCCTTTGGTGTTTGGTTTGGATGGCCTAACATTTTGTGGTATAGAAAATTGCTGATACAATTCTCATCAATTGCGAAAGTTCTCATTGCATTTTGCATTCTTTCGAAAGATGTAGGCTTCCAAACAAAATCAACACTAAAACCTGTTGTAAAGCTAATAGGTGCTGTTTTCTTTTTCAACTCCAAAACAACTTCTTCTTCTTGGTTGAATTTGATAACATGACCAATGCCTTCCCAGTTAATACCATCTCTATTGTAACGAAGTCTGAGCTCATCACCAGGTACTAAACGAAGTTCATTGTCTTCACGTGTGAAATAAAAATAAGCAAGTAATCTATTACTGTTAGTTGTTTCCCAATGAACAGCAATATTATCCTTTGATTGAGATTCTTTCATTCTCTTATCATATTCAGCTTCTAATTGAATGAGTGGACTGAACACTGATTGATAATGGTAGGCATCTTCATAGAAAAATTGAACAGGAAGAGGATCATCATCAATACCTGGTTTTTCTAAATCGTCAATAGATGCATCAGTATTAGTCTTCCACAACTCCTCCAATTTGTTAATCTGTTGTGTCGTTACTTTTCTACCTCTATTCTTTTCTTCATCAGGTTCTTTGACCAACCAAGACAGCATTTGACGATCTTGAATCAAAGGAAGCCATGAATCAACATCCCAATCCATACCTTTAAGACTATTATCGTGTAGGCATGGTTCACGACATAACAATACAACAACAGAATCATTCTTTGCAGGAATAAAACCAAGCAAGAATACATTTCTGCATCCACAGTTGTAGCACTCTAGAACTGTATCTCCAAGAGGTGATTCGGGATGCAAAGAAACTTCCTTGTGTTTAGACTTGACCAAATGGTGAACAATGTGAGAACCATTTGAACCTCCTCTTCCGTTACAAAACCACTTTTGACAAATATTGCACTTGACTACACAAGCAGGATCATGAATTGTACAATATTTGCAAGCATGTTCGGGAAGCTTCTTTTCCACTACTTCTTCGTCTTCCTCATCAAAATTGAGCGGAGTAGCATACTTATCAATAAACGAGTTCAAGTCATGTATTTCTTTTTTCTTCTTTTTCTTGCTGAGGGAAGATGTACTGGAACTTGCTTTCAAGCCACCACTTGTTGGAGCTGATGATTGTTGGGAGTAAGAAAGCTGAGTACCAGTTTGTTGTGTATTCAGAAATTCTTGAGAATAGAGTTGTGATTGTGTGGTAGGTAGCATTTGGCTTGCGCTCTGTTGGGTGTTCAAATCCTCCACGTATTCAAAATTGTTGTTGCCCGGCTGACTGATTGGAGATGAGGATGTATCATCACTTTGTTCATCATCATCTTCATTTCCGCCTCCATCTTCATACTCGTTGTCCTCATCATCATCTTCTCCAATAAAATTAGAAGGATTAACAAACTGATTAGATTGAGATTGTTCGTTCTCTCCCGAGTATTCATCATCCTCTTGGAATTGGTACGTGATGTTTGGTTGAGAGGTGGGATATTGAGCCTCTTCACCAACGTTCTGATAGAATGAACTCATTTTTTTTAAACAAAATCGCATCATCTATAATCCACTCAAAACAATATTATGAATGATACGAACCCCGTTGCAAGGATAGCCAACCACGTGATGAAAAAAAATTTCTAAATAATATTTAAAGTTTCAGCTCGCCTTGGTTCCGTCTCGGGAGGAATCGAACCTCCGTCAATGGATTCAAAGTCCACTATGCTACCATTACACCACGAGACGAGCACACCAGTTATGAACAATCTTTAATTTTAATTAATAAATAATCTGTTTGAAGCTTCAAAATTTCGTGTTGGGGATGGAAGTTGTTACAACAGCAATCAAAAAAAATCATCATGGGTCATCCTGGAAAAGTGAAAATTATTTTCGATAACGGAAAAACAATCCAATACTACAATCATTATGCTCATTGGACTGTTTTAGGGTTTTTTCTCGTGCGAGATATTCGGATTTTGTTATCTAAACATCAAACCAATGGCAATTCACCTTCCTCAGCTATTCCACAAATTGTTGAATTGTTGAAGAATATTAAAGTGGTCGAGGAATCATCAACACCAACCCCTGAAGAGATTGAAAAATTGAAACAGTATGCTGATCTACGAGTATCAAGAAGAAGTTATGAAGACTGGTATTGCCTTCTTAACAAGACATTTGATTCATTGATTTCTGTGATTGAGTGTGGATATGTGCTCGATCATCCTTACTCCCAAGATTATAATTTCATAATTGATTTTGATAAAGATATGTTCAAGATTGAGGCACAGTACGAAAAATTGAACGACATTACGTTTAAATTGACAAATATTCCCGAAGATTGGATGGCTCAAATGGAATACAAGGAGGTTAACGAAAGAATTCAGTAAAATCAGCTTATTCCTGTGTTTATTTGAAACTTTTTTCAATAACGAATTGTGGACTTTAATGCACGACGTGACCTCATGTAAACTCTCTCAATTTGTGAAGCAATCGTTGTTTGAATCAGTGGTGAGACAAAAGAAGACTTTGTGCAGATGGAGTTTGAATCGAATGAACATGATAAGAAAAGCAACATGATGTCTATGAAATCCCTTTTCAAAAAGTTATGGAGAGAAATTATTATTCTTTTGTGTCTTTTGATTTTTACGTGTAGATTTTTCAATGTCATTTAGAATCATCTGACACTTTGGTCTTCCTCTTGAAATGTTTTGTAACTATAGTCTCCATCCCCTCCAAAAAGAATAATTAAATACGTTAAGCAATATTATGTTTCACAACTGAGTCATAGAGTTCATTCTCCTTTTGGATGGCAACTGAAGGATCATTTGGATTGATGGTCTCAAAGTACAAGTGAGGCTCCAATAACTCTAATTCACAAATGCTGATGTTATTTGAGTTCCAATCAATGACAACATCCAATCTGCAGTACAATATGAAAGAATTTGGAGATTTCTCTTTTTTAATCTTTTCAAATAAGTGCTGTCCATTTGCTAGGATTGTTTCATTAAATCGGCTCAAGTCTGCATATGTATTGGATCCTCCAAATTCTCCTTGCACCCTGTTAATAAAATGTAATAAAAGTGTAATTAAAATTAAACACACCTGAGAACACTCACCTAAAGTCTCCATCTTTAGGTCTCTTTTGGAGCGTGTGTGACAGTTTTTCATTCACATAAAAAAAACTATATTCACCGTCATTGACTATGCAATCCAAAAATGGTTGAACAATATATAACTTTCTATCCCTGTGTTTAGACTGACATGATTCAGAAAGATCCTTTCGAATAATTTTCAAATTTTCCTCTCTATTTGTTAAATAGTCGACTGATGCTTTGTCGTTCGTCTCTCTTGATTTTCCAATAACAAAAGTATTGAAAGACCCAGCCGATATTAATGGCTTGAAAACCAATTTCTCACAATTATTAAACATTAAGCAATACTTGTTCACCACTTCATCATCATTCAAATTTTTCACACTATCAAAATCCACAATTTGTGACGGAACAATATTGTACCCATTCCACTCTTCTTGAATTTCAAACAAATATCTCTTACTCGAATTCCAAATCATGAGAGAGGGATCATTAAATACTCGAATCATCACATGATGATTAACATCTTGATACTTGGCCTGCAACTGTTCCAAAATATGTAACCATTCAATAAACTCATCATAGTAATCCACTGATTCTTGTACTTCAATTAATCTCCTGAACTCACAAACCAACGATTTGTATCATTGAACACGACGAGCCGGAGAGTTGAATGGTGCATTACATGTCCAATCGTGAGGGAGACGTAACGGCAAGCTGGAATTATGTTTTGTGTGACAAAACAACACGCCTTTATTTAAATCAACACTTTGAACAAAAACAACAAACGGAACAAAGCACTGATCTTGCAAGCTTCGTTAAACACTCTGTGGAAGCCAGGGGAAAGGACCCAACGCCACTTATACATGTGGCTCTAAAATAATATTATGTGTTGTTAGAAAGCGGAGGAGAATATTTCGAGCACCATTGAAATCTCTGTCAATTTCAAAATCACAAGAGGGACATTTGAATACCTTAGAACTCCCTTAATGACGATGGATATGACCGCAATGAGTGCATGTCTTGGATGTATATACCTCGTTAACAATGTAAACATGACACCAAGGAAATTCTCTTGATTTGTATAGAAGTCTTTCTTTGAATCGGTAATGAGACTTATATCTCTTGTTGTGTGTGACTTGAGACCATTTGGATTGCAATTTGTCGTAGGCATGACACAATCGACCTATTCTTGTATAGTCACCTTTACCCCATTCAGTCACTATAGAATTTAAATTGAAAGTGGTTTGAAAAGTTCTCACTCCGGGATCTAAAGCAACAACACCCAATGTTGATTGAGGAGCTTGTATCTCGCTCCTTATATCAACACCGTTATGACTTTTTATGGAATGCATTCAAAATATTCCTTATGTGAAGGAGTTGATGTTGTTTATTTTGTGAGGTGTGATGCACTTTTCATTGCAATACACATTGTAGTTGTTAGTAAGAAAAATATCATATTAATCAATGCGAGCAATGTAGTGAATCTTTGCAAGCTTGAAACCGTTGAAAGAAGTACCGGCAGCGATGGTATAAGCTCCAAACAATTCAACGAAGAGAACATCTCCACATTCTAAACAGTTTGGAATATTGTGTGAATCTTTGAGAATGACATCCATTGAATCACAAGTACTGCCGTACAAAGTAACAGGCTTATCAGTATGACCTACTCTCTCTTCAACCTCATCTTTGACATTGTCCGAAATGAGTTCTTCATAGCTGATATGTTTAATTTCAGGCTCTGCGTGATCAAAGATGAGACAATTGAAGCTATGATAAACACCTTCATAAATGTAGTATAAGACTCTGGACTTTTCAATTCTTCTTGAGAAGATTGATGTAACCAAGGTGTGTGTACTGTGAGCGATATATCTTCCTGGTTCAGCAATAATCTTAACTCCACTATTAACAGGGAAAAGTTCATCAAGAAGTGGTTTGATTGTTCTTGCAACAGAAATGAATGCAGCGTTTCCGTGTTCATTACTTCTTCCTTGCCAACCTCCACCAAGGTCGAGCAACCACAACTTCTTATTCAACACTTTAAAGCCATAATCAAATACAGCACGAGCATCTCTGATTGCTTTGAGGAATGAATTAACATCATTACAACCAGAGCCAACATGGAAACTGACACCAACAAGATTCAAGCCTAAATCTTTGATGATGTCAACCATTTCAAAAGCAACACCAAGCTCAGCACCAAACTTGGTACTAAACTGGCAAACAGAATGACTGTCATCGGTCTTGATACGAATTACAATTTGAGCATCTGGCCAGTACTTCTTCAATTTGTATAACTCATCAACGTTATCAGCAGTGGTGAGTTGTACGCCACTTGTACTGGCATATTTGACATGAGAAATTGGATGACATGGATTTGCATAAATACATCTTTGAGCCAATTCATCGTTGTTTGGAAGAACTTGTTTGACGCATTCAATTTCATCGCGAGACGCAACGTCAAAACCACATCCAAGTTTCTCAAGTACTCTCAAAAAGTATGGATTTGGGTTACACTTGATAGCATAGAATGGAGTAACTCTTGGTAACTCTTGTCTCCATGTTTGAACTTGTCTTAGCACCTCAGACAAGTCAACAATGTAGAAAGGTTCCTCTATGGTTGGAAGGTCATCGCCGGAGGCGCCACATCTAATCTTTGTCTCATACATGTGTTTAATAATCTTCTTTGTAGAGAGATCAGAAGGAATGAACTCCACGCCGAATTGATCAAAGAAAGCCTTCTTGTCCATAGCATCGTAATTAAAACCAAAGACTGGTACATCTTCAAGTTTTTGTTCCTTTGCAGGAGTTTGTGGTAGAATAGATGATCTATTCAATACCTCATTCTTTTCAAGAATGATGGTATTCAATTCTTGTTCAGTATTATTTACTGAGTTAAAGTCTACAAATTCATTTTGGGTTGGGTTAACAATGATTGTTTCCATTGAGTGGTAATGTTCTTATGAATAGAATGGAATAACTTGCTGGCTTGTTGGTGCTTGGCTTGTACAAGTGGCTTCTTGAAGAAGAGTTTGCCTGCGGTTGCTTTTGACGGCGGTGTAGGGCGGTTGTTGTTGAAGAATCTCCTTGTTGTTTGAAAGCAGCAAGTTGTGAGAAGGGTGAATTTTTTTTTAATTCGAATTAAAAAACCCGTCTCACATTCATTTCGGTTGGAGCGGTTGTGAAGTGGCGGTGTTCAACCAGGTTGTGAAGATTACAACATCCTAGAAACTTGTTTGAAGAGAAAGATTGCATCATCGATGATCTATCATCAGGGATAGCTATCTTCGATATTGGGACCTTGGATTCGACAATTTCAAATTGAATACCCTCGTGACAAAGCCGTAGGTCGATATTTTTACTACCCAATTAAAAATTGCAAAGAGTAAAATGATTGGCTACTTCCGTATTTATCCATATGTTTGTAAATAGCAAAGAAGGCATTGAATAAGGTTTCACATATTCAAGTTCTAGAGAGTGTTTTTCAAAAGTTGCTTCTTTGAAAAAAGAGTCAATTGGCGAACATGACTCTCCAATGCATCTTTGAAATTATTGTAAATTGTATAAGGAACATTATTTTCCTTGCAGACTTGCTTTACAATCGGTAACAATTGAGGATATAACCATGGATTTACTCCTGGAAACAAATGATGAATGACTTGGTAATTCAAAAATCCAGACAAATATGTCCACAAATAACTGTCATGACAATAATCGATACCTATACAATAGTTTCAATATGTGTTTTTAAAACGTCTCAGTGTAAGGAAAATCAGGAGAAAATACAATTACTTACAAGTTCTTACTTGAATTTCAGCCCAGTCCAAATCATCATTGACCCCGCTTGAATTTTCAACCATTTCATTCAAAACATTTGAAGGCCATGCACACTTTTCACTAATATGGTTAATTTGGCTTAAGAATCCAAACATGACACCAGCAACCACTTCAGTTGCTACAAATGCTAGTAAAGCCTCAAATGTTGGTCTTCCAATCACTCCTCCGGTCTTGTAAAAAAGATAACCCGGAAGAATAACTCTGTAAATAACAAAAACAATCTTTGATATATAGAAATGGAAAGTAGTCCAACTGAATGTGGAGGATGCAAATGTGATTCCTGTAATATGAATATCCAGTCGATGGGTGATGTGTTGGTCATCATCAATTTCAAAGACTTACCTTCGCTCACATGTCTTGTCCAGTAATGTATAAAGTCAACTAGTTGCATGTAGAAAATAAGGGACGCGTACAATAAAGGAAGACTTGAAAACGACCCGGTTTTGGCCATGATATTCACAGGAACGGATTTGTAATTCTTAGGTTCTCCATACATCTTTGAAACAGCATTTTCATCATCAGCAGCCTTATCTGAATTGATATTTTTCGCAGTCGCCGGCACTATTGTGGTCGAATTTGTATTGGTTACTTCTAAATATCTATTCCACTCATAGACGCCAACATCAGGATCTAGCTCACTCATGTTCGTGTATACGTGATGAGCGACATTATGTCTAATGGTCCAACAAAAAAACGATTGACCTAGAATATAGCTTCCAAATGTTCCGAACCAATTCCAAAACCGAGCATTGTTTGTGAACGATCCATGACCAACATCATGCAAAATATGAACCTGACAATTTCCATTGGAGTGATTGTGTGAAAAATTGAGGATACAAAACAAAGTCGATAAACATACCATTGTGAGATGATGAAACAATCCTGCAAGTGTACCCAAAGCGACTGCTATCACCAAAGGAAGAGAAGGAATATATTGTGATGCTAATTGGCAAATGATAAGACCTGCAATAATGAATACAGCATTGATCAATCTCAATCCATCAACCTTTCTGATTCTACTCTTAAAGTCTGACTTCTTCAACAATTGCTCTCTAATTCTCTGTTTCATGAGCTCATAAATGTTTCGCTTTTTTTGGGGTTTTTCACTATCTAATGGAGATTGGAATGTAAATTTGATGGCAGCGTCGTTCGGAAGCTGATCGCTCGAATTCGATACTTTAGCACTCTCAACATCAAACTCTCCAACGTATTTGATCGATTTACCCTTGTGATTGATATCCAAATAACTCTTTGCAATTGCATTGGATGACAAATGGTAGGACTCAAATAAGGCTGTTGCATCTCTTGCACATGCGCTTTTTATCATTTCTTCTCCACCGGGATGAACAGCTGCAAACTCAGTCAAATCATACACGTGGTCATAGATGCAGGTCCATAAACGAGGGCTCTTGACGCCATCATGTTCTTGTAATTCTTGAAGAGTAATCTTCTTTTGAGACTTGAACTCGGAGGAAGAAGGGTTCATTGAAATAATACCGTTGGATGGTGATGCTAGCAAGGAGGTGGATGACCAGGAAGGTATAACTAGTAAGAAATTACAATACCACTAGCACGAACGAGGTTCCTTTTTCTTGTTGAACGATGGAGTATGATTACGATAATGTTTGCCAAAGTCCTCACAGTGGTTGCTGAGTGTGCACTTGCCAATAGCAGAGGACAAAGGTTCTTGACTTTTTGTTTCAGTCAATCTAAATTGTATCGAGAGTGAACGTATTGTTGAATTAGTCTGCGGCATTAAGGACCAAACGAACAATAAAAATCCAGCCATCCTTCGGCGTAATTAGTTTTTTGTGGAAGGTTTTACTTTTTGAGTCCGAGCTTGTTGTTGAAATATCAGGTCTTTGCGCGAGGATTGGCATGATTGTTATGCTGTATGGTGGCTGCTTGGGTCGATGACACCATTAATTTTCGATCAATGAACAAGTTCACAAACCAAACATCTCCACCGATTTCAAAAAGAATTGCCGTGTTTTCTGTAGCGATCGAAAACTCATCTCAACTCCTACGTGATCCCGCTCAAGAACCTGATCAATAATCCCTTGTCCAAATTCATGCAATTCTCACAACGCCAAAGTCCTTGTGATTTGATGTTGATGGTTAGTGTGAGAGAGAATAATCCTATCAGATCCATCAGTTTCATGAAACGGAAGCGCAATAGGAGATGAGTGACCTGCTAAAGCTCAAACTCCTAAAAAATTTCACACTCGGAAGACTGCTCTCGCTTCTCCGTTTTTGCCATCCTTTCGTCGTCAGCCAGACCCAAATTCTCTGGTAAAGACACAAACACTTCTCTGTTCAGCACAAATTTTCCGAGAGACCTTGTGTGTGGATCGAGAATATTATTGTGTTTTCGCTCCAATATATATTTTGACGTCGTGAATAGTATTAATATTTCAATATTCATCATCAATAAGAAGAAAAGAAATCTTTGCCCACATCAAGAGAGATTCCACTGACTCCGATTCTTGTTTTTTGATTCTCGGTCTCATTCAAAATGTCTTCAAAATTGTCATCAAGGAGGAGGCTCCACGAGAAAGTTCATGTGTTCTCGATACTCGTGATACTCTCCATCGTGTTGATGACAATAACAACAACAACACCTGTTGTGTCAATGAGATCCTCTTCCTCCATTCTCACTCATAGATTCCATTCGGGAAAGGATCATGTTCTATTTCAAAAATTAAAGGAACATTTGAATAACAAACCACAACCCATTCATGCCTCCCTTTCGACCCGAACGATTTCTGAAACTCCAAACACAAATTATGTGTACAGAGGTCCAACATCAAGCGAGATTTGTGTTTCTAATTTATTGTTGGGCAGATACATTAAAGATTTGTGGTGTGAACAAGTCAATCCCTACTCAGGAACACCAGAAATTCTTTCTGACATTTCTGTCATGAAAAGTTCAGATTTTAGTTATGATTGTGTAAGACCACAACCATTATCTTTTTCGAATACTACTTTCGATGATCAAATGGATGATTGTTTTAGCGTTGTGGGAATTAGAGCTTTTGATTACACAGGTACTTTTATCATGCCTGGAACGAGTTACATGATTGAAGCTTTGAGAAACGGTAGAATATTCTTTATTAACACAAATATTCAATATATTTTGGGAGGAGCAACCAGAATTTATTACAAGCCAGATAAATATGAGAACATTATCAAATTTGATGGTCATGCTCAAGTCACTGGAAAAGGTTCAGATTCCCATGACCACATTTCCTTTGCTCAAAAATCTGTAGATTCCTCTAATCTCCACATCAATGGAATGTATAATATTGAGAATCAGGCATTGCAATTGGCTAAAACATGGTACTATGCTTTAGATCCATCAGTGACACAAGTTTTACAACTCAAAATGATAAGAGATCCAACGTCACAAAATATTTATTCAGTCGCATTGCTCAAACAAAACAAGGAGAACTTGTACCAATTGATTTTCTTGCAACCTGATGCAATTTATAACAATAATTTTGGTAATGTGAGAAAATGGGATATCATTATTCCAGCTGGTAACGAACAGATTCACTTTGATTCTTCAATTCAATTTGGAAACTTTTCATCACGTGCACCAATGAGAGTGAATGCCAAAATTTTCGAAGCAAACAATTTGGCACTGGCAAGAGCATTGATCACTATTCATACCGACAAGCAAGTGAGAATTTTCGAGTTTAACGATAACAGCGACAACATGGTCATTGATTTCACAAAAGAGGATTTACTATCAACCTTCTATAATGCTCCAGAATTTACTAAAATTACCTATGCTCATCTCATTTCTGAGACAATACGAAGACCCTTATCCCTTGACAGATTTTCAACATGCTCTAATATCAAGTTCCCTCTTTCTCAGAATGTGTTCTTAGTTTTGGGTTTAACTCAGAATTATGATGGACCTAGCAACATTATTTACACCATGCTTGTCCATCACATTCATGAGTTTTCAAGTTATAACTTTGTAAAGTCGACTCAAACCAACACAGCAAATAGACCAGAAAACTTCTCATGTAAGCCCACAGAATATATTGACAATACTGGAGCATGTGCATCAAATATAGAGAGTTATACAAGATTTGATAATGAAATACTTTCCATTACCTCCAAATTTATGGATATCAATGAAACCATCAATGAAGTTGATGCCTATGACCCAGGTGGCCATCTCAATGCACCCGTTCTTTGTGAACTTACATACATGGGACCAAATGCTCCGCCAGATAGAGAAAAATGTCGATCCATGGCTGAAAGTGTTGCTTGTGAAATTGATATTTTCAACGGTGGATTGGGAGATGTATCCAATTTGTACTCTTTCTTCTATAGTTATTGGCAAGAAAATATTTTTGTGACTAAAAGCAATGCAGCAATAGAAGTGCATGCAATGGCATTAGATTTGGATCCAACCGATACACAGGCTTATGTTACACTCACAAAGTTGAACAGATTCAAAGTTTTAGGAAAAATTGTTGATCTGCACCTGTCTTCCAACAATTTGCACATGTTTATCTCTGTGAGTCGACAGAGATGGGAAATTGATGCTCTGAAAAGATATTCTCTTGTCTGTGAAACACTTTCCAAAAATCCTGATGACATGTTTTTAAAGGCGTTCAAGGATGAATGTGAACTAGTTCCACCCATTCCAATCAACGAAAACCAATTCGCACTCGTCACTAGTGCATGCATTAAGGGAAGTCTTTGTAGCTCCTTCTCCAGACGTTTGATTCGATCCACTTCTTCTAAGGGTACTTTTGTTTATAGATCAGTTGCTGAGATTCCTTGTATCATTGGAAGTTATTGTGTTGCAGGTATTAGAATTCCTTGTCCTTTGGGTTATATTTGTCCTGACTTTGGAATGGTAGCTCCACAAAAATGTAATGCAAATTATGGTTATCAAACATGTTACAGTGATAGTTTAGATACTGCATACACATGTCCAAATGGAACTCTCTGTACGACTGATTATTTAATACCCATTCCTGCAAGTCCAGGACACTTTGTTAAAAAGACAGATTATGGACAGGGTATTGTCGTTATTGACGGACTTGAAAAATGTAGTGAAGGAGATTACTGCAATTTAGCGAGAGAAGCAATTACAACACCAAATAATTATTCACTCTCAGTCTTGTTGTGTCCAGCTGATACATATTGTGTGAATGCATCAATTTTAGAACCTTCCCTGTGTTCCTATACTAATGATTCGATGGATTATTGTCCACCTGGAACCGTTTCTAAGAATTTGTGCCCAGCAGGTTATTACTGTGAAAATCCAAATTCTATCAAACCATGTTCACCAACTCAGTATTGCCCAGAAGGATCTTTCACCTATCAGCTTTGCCCAGAAGGATATTACTGTCCCAATGCAAGTATTCACATTGTGTGCCCAGCTGGTTATTTTTGTCGACAGGGTTCCATTGAACCTTCTCCCTGTTCATGGTTTTTATCTTCATGTCCAGAAAAGAGCGCTTCTGATAGAATGACTTATGGAGGACTCTTATTGGTATTTGTACTTTTATTCTTAATAGCAGTTCTCTATTTTGCTTACGAAGCTGCTTTCAAATTGTATGTCAAGATGAGTACTAGACAAAGAAAGAGAAATCCTGGTGAAAGTTCCTCTCTCTTCTCTCCAAAACAAAAATCTTATTCAACAGCCAATTCAGGTACATGCAGTTTCCATGAAGAACAATTCACTGTTGATATTGGATTCCAAGATTTAGGCCTTGTATTGAGAGGATCTGGTAAAAAAGTATTGAATGGTGTGACGGGAGAAATTAAGCATGGAAAATTAACAGCTGTTATGGGTCTATCAGGAGCTGGTAAGGTAAGTGTGTCGTTAAGGAAATGTGAAATTTTTATGAAATATACTAACTTTAACTATCTTGCGTAATATCCCTACAACAGAGTACCTTTATTACAACACTCTCCAATCGTGCCTATTACGGAACACAAGTGGGTAAAGTGTTTGTTAATGGCATTGAGGAACGCCTTTCCAACTACAATAGAAAAATTGGTTTCGTTCCACAAGATGATATCATGATTTCTACCATGACTGTTGAAGAAACTCTCTATTTTTCAGCCAAGACTCGGTTGGATGCTAGTACTCCACAAAAACAGATTAATGCCATTGTGAATGATGTCATTAAGGTATTAAGATTGGAAGATGTTAGACACTCCCTTATTGGAGATCAAGAAAAACGTGGTATTTCTGGAGGTCAAAGAAAACGTGTGAATGTTGGTATTGAACTTGTTTCCTCTCCATATGTGTTATTCTTGGATGAACCAACAAGTGGTCTCGATTCAGCAAGTTCTAAAGAAGTATGTGAAGCTCTTCAAGCAATTGCAAGTTGTGGCATTACAGTCATTACAGTTATTCATCAGCCTCGTTATGAGATTTTCAACATGTTTGATACATTGTTGTTGTTAGGAAAGGGAGGAAAAACTATTTATCTTGGTCCAATTTCGAGAGTTGAAGAATATTTCACAGAGCTCGGATTTACAAAGCCAAATGGTACCAACTTGGCTGATTTTGTGATTGATGTTTCTGCTGGTCTGATTCAAAATGACACCAACGATTTTGATCCAAGTTCTTTACCTGACATTTGGATTCAAAAGAAGGCAAAATATTCGGATGAGGAACCTGGAATTGCACAATATCTTCCAAAAGAAGAGAATGGTACTAGTTCACAATCCATCAATTCTTCTCTTCCTCTTAGTGACGAATCTCGTAAGAAGAATGAACCACCAAAGAGATCCAACAACAAATTCAAGAATCCAAGATTGCCCTACTTTTCACAATTTTTCATGTGCTTTAAGAGAAGTCTAACACAGCTTCTTCGTACATTACCAAGTTTAGTATTGGATTATTCTTTAATTTTCTTGTGTGGTGCATTCCTTGGATTAATTTATTACAATAAGGTCTACATTGGCCCACCTCCAAAAGCAGTTTATGAAATGTGTCCAAATGGACTCCAGGAAATTTGTTCCCAACCTCTTGAAGATCCAATCTATTCGACATCCTCTCTCATGACACTTGCAATGGCTCTTATGGGTGCCATGTCAGCACTTCGAGCATTCGGTGGTGAATATTTAGTATTTTACAGAGAAAGTCAAACAGGATTGAGTACATTTTGTTATTTCTGGGCCAAGGATATTTCATTGTTTATTGTGAATATTTTCGCACCAGTAGTTTTCTTGAGTATTTATTATACAACGGTATCACCGAGAGCTCCTGTTTATGAGTATTACTATGTACTGTTATTGGTTTATTGGACATCTTATGGATTAGGTTATTTCATTAGTATTATTATCAATCCAAATATTGCTCAATTAACAGCCGTGGTGATTGTTTTCATTTTCAATACTTTCAGTGGTGCTACGACTCCCTTGCCAACTCTTAAAGCAATGTATTTCCCAATTAACTATTTGCCATACTTATCCTATCTCACGTATAGTCATGAAAATGCCTATCTGATTGAATTGAAGAGATATGAAGGAATGTATGACTTGTCAAAGAGTTTGAAAATCATGGGCTACTCATGGGATGATTTTTACATGACTATTTACATGATGATTGTTTATGGGTTCATATTTAGAATTGCTGCTTTCATTGCTTTGGTTTGTGTGAAACCTTCGAGTTTGTATAATCTGGCTGTTGTTTCCATCATTAACTTCTTCCAAACCAAAGTAAGAGCCATTTTGAGAATGTTTAAGCGAAAGTCTAGGGCAAGTGATGTCTAAAAGACACACACACACACTACTACTTGCAAATAAACGTTCGTGAACGGTTGTGGATAGATACTGAGCTCAAAAACCGAGTTAGGTCCAATGATTTGAATCTTTGAACAACCTTTGTCCTCTTGATTCTTGGAATCACAAAGAGTTGGTGAGATCATCAGTTATTGTTTTCGAATTTCGATTGATCGATACCCCGTATATATATGGTGCGCACCGAATACAAGCTTGTAGTAGCATAAAAATGACTTCTCATCGTGATGGCCATGGCGACCGCTCACAAGCCTTGATCAATTCTCGAATGACACTTTACAATCTACCCGATGAAGTGATTTCCAAGATTTGTTCCTATTTCTTTGCCAAACCATTGTGTATTTCATATCCATTTCCTGCTCTGTCGTGTATTTCATGTTCCGATTTCACCTCTTTAATTTCTCTGATTCATACCAATAGAAAGTTGAGAGATTTAATTCGAAATAATGTTGATTTGTGGTCTCAATGTTTGTTTAGATATCCTTGTTTCTTTAACAATAATTTGAAAATGTTGAAACACATGATGATTAAATGTGAAAAAAAATTTTCAAATTTACAAGTACCATCCTTTGAGAAGTGTAAAACAATCGAATCATTTGATACGTTCAAACGTGACAATTACATATCTGATGATGATAAAGACTTCAATTATGTCATTGGAAAGACGAAAAAGGATGAAGACTCAGATACCGACACGAAAACCTGCCAGGATCATCATTATTGTGCGTGTGAATCGCAATTCTTGGACTATTATGCAGATTTTGTGAATGTTTTTTGTAATACTCAAAACATTGATATTCACTTTGAAGGAATTGTTCCTCTTCCTGAATTGTTGTACAAAACTTCTCCACCTTCAGACTTTATGCTGAAAAAGTATTGTGAAAGATTTCCAAATATTCAATATTTAACTTTTACAGATCATCGAGAGAGAGTGGAATGCAATTATTGGTTTCACAGAGAGATGAACTTTTCTAAAAATCTGTGGTGGTATAATCTGCAAGGAATTTTGGTGGGCTATTACGAATTCCGAGCATTGAAATCAGCTTCATTTCTCAAACCGAATCAAAACTGGTTGCCCCTATTTAAACCAAAGAAAGAAAGTGCACTGAAATATCTTCAACACTCAATTTCACTTGGAAACGGTAAATCTCACATTTTATTGAAAGAGTTACAGGATTTTGAGAGAGATCATCCAAATATTAAGGTCACTTCTACTGTTTTTGGTTCAGATATCCAATGTTTCTCAGTTATTTATAACTATCTAAAAAGAGTGTCACTCACTATTGGAGATGTCACAGAGGAAGTGTGTTCTCTTAAGAACATCAAGTTATTGAATCTTTCTTGGTTGGACATCATTTATAAGCCTAACACTTCTGTATCTCCTCTTCAGATTGTGTTTGACAACGTGAATGCTCCAATGCTAGAAAGATTTAATTGCGAACAATGTAGTTTGACAGTGATCGATACACAATGTTTTCCCAGGCTTAATAGTTTAACTCTTCACCAATGCAAATTTTCAAAACAGTTTTGGATTGATTCTCATTGTGATTCATTGGAAAAATTGAATTTACACTTTGACTCAGGTGTGACAGAGTTATCAGATTATTACTTTAACAAATGTTTTAAAAATTTTGAAGAGTTGACAATTGAAAATGGCGCAAAAATTATTGAACTTTGTGATATTCACACACTTAAACATGTTCGAGTGACAGGCGTGGACGTGTTTGATGCCAATAATTGTGGAAAATCTGAATTTGATTTTCAAAAAGTGAAGTTGAGAACATCAATAAGCCAGCAACATATTGACAAAATCTATCTTTGCTCTTCACAAGAGTGTGTAATTACCATCTCTGCAACTGAATGTGAGCAATTGAACTTGTCGTACTATGTGTCTTCAACCAGTAGCTCATCAAATATTCACAGTGTGAACATTGAGAAAATTTCAACATTGATGATCAACATGAACACACGAAATCATTCCGACATTGAAACAGCATTCTCAATGATTCCCAGCTCGAGTGTTGTTGAAAATCTTGAGTGGTCTTGCTATAATTCAAGTTCCAAAGACAGTGTTTCTCTCTTGTTGGAATGTCTTCAGCGTTTTAAATCTCTCAGGAATTTGAAATTGTCCAACTCCAATTTCAAAATCTTACACAACCTCATTGAACAGTTGAAGACTTTGTGTTTACCCTATCATATTGAAAATATTGAATATTCTGGCTCGTTTTGGTCCAATGGATCATCGTGCTACTTTAGTTTGAGCATTCCCTTTTCGAATGAAATGCAATCACTCCTCACACATAACGATGACTCTATTTCTTCAATAATGAATCATCCTTACTTGATCAAAAATGATTTTATGAGAGGTGTGTATGATCAAGAATGTCATATCATCACAAGTGCCTCCTTAAAGAATTTAAATGTTTATGGCAGCGGAAATGAACCTCAATACTTTACAGAGCTTCCACAAATACAGTTTGGGGACTTGCCCAATTTACAAACTTTGAAATTAGCTCACTTGAAAGTTGTGGAACGTTTACCAGCAATGAATCTCTTAACAGAATTGAAAATTTCAAAATGTCAAGAGGTTTCTATTAATCTTTCAGCATTTCCATCATTGCGTCAATGCATCATTGAAAATTGCAAAAATTTAAGCATCTCATGCATTGACAATTACAAATCCAAGTTGAAATTTTTGCAAATCAAAAACATTCAAGAGTTGAATGCTCAATTATCAGCACCAGAGATGTTGCAGCCAGTTCGAGAGCTCGTTATTATCAAGATTAAAACAATCACCTCAAATTCAATAATTAATGTGAGCAATATGAGACCTCCTTTCCTTGCTGTTCTTCATTTGGATGAAAAGAATATTGTGCGACAATAAAGTTCATGTCATCTTTGCATTGGCATTTGACAGTATCGACGAGTTGAAAAAATGGTAGCATTGAAATCCCACCACCGCAACATCTCATCTGGTTCATCATCATTTCTACTCTATGCTCTACTTTTCGCAACCACAACACTAACGTTCCTACTTCCATCCTCTCTTTTTGATTTATATTCAACACATCAATTTTCAGTTCAGGCCGAAAGTATTCCGAGCTACTATTCAAAACGATATGTTTTTGGACAAGATGTAGCCATTAAATCCAGGAAATTATCATCCTATCATAATGTAAGTGTTGATGTCAAAAGTGTGGAATATATTTTTCTCACAAATTGTCTTGGCGAAATGATGATTTATAAAATTGTGGCTTCCTACTCACACACATCGAATCATATGTGAGACATATATAGGTTCCATATGAATTTCACTCGTTACCATTCTGTCGACCTAAGGAAGTCAAACATTCTGTGGAGAGTTTTGGAGACTACATGTTGGGAGATAGATTTGAAAATACAATTTATCATGTAAGTTGATGAGTACTCATGTCTCACAAATTGTGCGAATATTTACACACTCTCGTGCATTTGAATGAATTCAGTTTCCTTTATTGCAAAATGTGGGATGTGCTCGAATTTTTCCATCCATGAATGACCAAAACACAATTATTTGCCCAACCTTTGACAAGAGTGTTGCACTTGATTTTATGTCTAAAATTCAAGACGACTATCACATTCAATTCACAGTGGATAATCTTCCAATTGCATATCTTTATGACAATAGAACACGATGTGGAGATCCACCACTCAGTGATATCAAACAACTTTCAAAGGAAACTACCAAATACTCAAGAGCTGACGGATTTCCGCTTGGCTGTGTGTATTATCCAGAATCTTTGAGAAATGCTCCACAGTCACAAAAGGACAAAAAAGCTCAATATTTTGTGAATAATCATTTCTCATTCCTTTTCAAGTACAACAAGAAGGTAGTGAAAGGTTCGGATTTGTATTTCATTGTGGGAGCTGAAGTTTATCCCTCAAGTATAAGACATGAGCCCTCTCAATTCACATGTGACGTCACAAATCCTGAGAAATACCGAATTGATGAAGCTACAACTTCCATTCCTTTTTCATATTCTGTAACATGGATGGAAACAGACTTGGAATATCCGAATAGATGGGATGCTTATTTAAAAACTGATTATGATCAAGATATAGAAGATTATGACATTCATCATTATTCTCTAATTAATAGTTCCATGACTGTGCTGTTCTTGACAGGAATTATTGCCGTGACTATGTACAAAATTTTGAAAAAAGATTTGGATAATTCAAAACTCGATGAAGATATTGAGTCTGATCCTTCTCTTCTCCAAGAACAAGAAACAGGATGGAAATTATTATCTGGTGATGTTTTTAGAATTCCTCCATATCCTGGTCTTCTTTCAGTCATGGTTGGATCTGGATTGCAATTCGTAGTCATGTTCACAGTGTCTCTCATTTTGACCTTATTTGGATTTACATCTCCAGAGAGTAGAGGAAGAGTTGTCGCTGCTTTCATTCTTTGTTATTTATTTACGTCTGCTGTGGCTGGATTCTGGGCACTCAAAATTTACAAACTACTCTCTGGGACTAATCTTATGATGGTTTCTGTTGGAGTTGCTTTATTTGTGCCAACCATAGTTACCATTATTTATGGAACATTGAATACCATCATGTGGATGATTCAATCCTCGATGGCTCAACCATTCTTCTCTATTTTTACAATCTACTCCGTTTGGTTTGTGATATCCGTTCCGTTAGTATTCTTAGGAGCCATGATTGCAAACAGATCATCCACCAAAGATACCCTGTCACCAACTTCAACACCCAAAGTATATCCAACTCCAAGAAATATTCCACCTCTTCCTCTTCCATTGAGATTTCCTTACAATTATCTCATTGCTGGAATTTTACCATTTACTGCATTCTTTGTGGAATTTTATTTTCTAATTTCCTCAATTTGGCTTCAACAGCATTACTTTTTATTTGAATTTCTTTTTACAGTATTTTTGATATTAATAGTGACAAGCGCAGAGACAACCATTGTTTTCATTTACTTTCAATTGTGTCATGAGGATTATCGTTGGTGGTGGAATTCATTCTTTTATAGCTCTACTAGCGCATGTTACCTTTTCATTGCTGGACTTTTCTATTATAATTCTCAATTGGGTTCCCCTCACTTTTACATGACCATTCTCTATTTTGGATATCTACTCATCTTGTGTTTCTTGATCATGTTATTGACTGGCTCTGTTGGATTTCTTGCAACCTTTTATTTTGTGAGAAAGATTTATAGTATGACCAAAGTGGATTAAGGTTATACAAGTTGTCGTACACACCTCACACAACGATAGAGTCCTCACACACAACATGTTAATTTGTTTTTTGGAATGAAACACATGGTTCCCTTAGATCACTTTCTAAAACAAACATGCACAACACATCGGTGACCAATCATCATGGTTGACGACCCCTTATTATTGCTGAATAGATGATGATCAAAGAATTACTAAAAAAATTAATACGATCGTATTTAGATCATCATCATCATGATGTCATATTCCTCACTCCGAGACTCTATTAAACTCTACATTTCATGTTCAGGCCTACAGAAATTAGATTTCTTGTCCAAGAGTGATCCATTTGCGGTGGTTTATTATTGTGGTCCATCTCCGAACTCGTCGCCCAATAGCTCCAGTGAAACCAAGTCATTGCTTACTCCTCTTCATCGTCCATTATTGAATTAGGAAAAACCGAAACACAATACAACAATCATCATCCCCACTTTGTCAAAACCTTTGACTTGAATTATTACTTTGAAATGGTTCAAAAGCTCTCAATTTCCATCTACGATCAAGACAAGGAGAATGGCTCACTTCAAGAACAGACTCTGATGGGTAAAACGAGAGAGTTTTTATTATCGGAAGTTGTCTGTGCTCGTGATGGAAAGTTAGAACTGAATTTGCAACTCAATGGCAAAGAGAATGATCGTGGCAAAGTTCTTTTATTCTTGGAAAAGAACAAATCACAAAATCAATGATGAAAAAGAAAAACAACTTTGTGAGCGCTTGAACAGAATGAATTTAGAGGAATTGACAGAAATGGTGAATGAAATTCCAAAAACTATTCAACAAGATCAAAAGTACATACATTTCAAGTGTCGAGCATCTTCATTGGACAAGAAGGATCTCTTCTCTAGTGATCCATATTTTGTAATTGAGAAGGAAATTTATAGTGATCGAAGAGAGCAGATTTTCAAAAGTGAAACAATCAAGAAGTCATTGTCTCCTGTATGGACAGAGTTTGAATTGCATTTGGATGTGTTATGCTCTGGAGATTTGTCCAAGAAGTTATGGTTTTTGGTGTATGATTGGGATAAACTTTCCAATGACGATTTAATTGGTCAATTCTCATGCACCTTAGAAGAACTCATGCAAGGAAAAAAAGAATATAATGTCATTGAGCCAACACTTGCTGCAAAGAAGAAGAATTACCCCAATTCAGGTGTATTTCATTTTGATACTGTTCAGGAAATTATGAGAAATGTGAGTATTCCAAATCCAGAACATCAAGTTTATTACAATATTCTAAAGAAGAAAGAAAACTCAACTGAGGCGTTCCTAGATTATATCTATGGTGGAACTAGTATTTCTGTTTCGATTGGAATTGACTTTACAGGGTCAAACGGGCACTATCAAAGTACATCAAGGTTTGTTTTTTAATTTCTTTGATTAGTTCGTACATTAAGAGGGGTCACTCTATAGTTTGCATCATTTGTTTGAGAATGGCACGATGAACAGCTATCAAAAAGCGATCAAATCGGTAGGAGAGGTTTTAGAGCCATACGACAACGATAAAATGTATGGAGGTATGTTTAAAATATACGGTTAGAATCTGAGGAATTGATTAATCATTAATATTAATAGCCTATGGATATGGTGCTGTAATTGAGGGAGAAACAAAAATGCGACCAATGTTCAATCAATCTTTACAAGACGATAAGGAAGAGCTTTGTAGCTTGATGCAGTTTTGCAGTTTTACAAAGATGCAATACCCAAGCTACATTTTGGAGACATGGGTTCAGCTTCCAATCCAAAAACTCTCAAACCTTATTATGGTGACGATTTTTATAGAGTCATCAAACATGTGGTTGAAAAAACGCCTCAAGTGACACAAGACTCTCAACTTTACAACATTTTACTCTTGATCATTGATGGTGACAGCTTCGATAATCAAGGAACAATTGATGCAATTATTGAAGCCAACGATAAACCAATTTCAATTGTAATCGTTGGTGTTGGAGGAAGCTCATTTAGAAATTGCAAAAAATTTGACGCTGACGACTCTTATTCTCCATTAACAAGAAGTCTCTTATTTGGATGTATCTTCATGGATCTAAAATATTGAAGCATTTGTTTTGGGATTTCAATCAAGTACTTCAATCATTTTAATGATATAAAATTTGAGATTATCGGGTGTTGTTGGCTCCTACTTTGAGAAGTCGCTTGTAACTAGAAAGAGTGTCTTTGATGGATCGCTCAAGAGAATTATTTTCTTGTTTTAGCTTTCGGGTAAGGCATTCTAACTTGTTCACCTTAGATCTTTGGGTTGCCAACTCTTGCATAACCTCAGATTGAAATTGATAAATCATTTTCTGCAAGGATTCCAACTCTTGCTGCACCATTGTTTCATAGTCTGATTCGTTGCAAGTCAATGATTGTAATCGCTCGCACATGGCACGAAACTGATATTCAAGGTCTTTTGAGAGCGCTAGATTTCTAACCGTGAGCACCTCATTGTCCTCTTTCAGTTGGATATTTTCTTGTTGAAGATGGGTTATTCGACAGCTCAAATGTTCTTGCGTTCTCTCAAGCTCAGAATTGGTTTGCTGGAGTTGTCCCTTCTGAACCTCTATTGATTGTTTTAAGAGGTTGTTCTCGTTTATCACCGATTCGTTGTCTTTCTTCAATTTCATCAGCTGCGTTTCTAATTCTTTAACTATCTGATCTTGCACTGCCGTGGGCCTGGAATTATTGAGCTCCATCCTCAACCTGTTTATTTCTTTTTCCCCTAATTTCAATTTAGCAGTTAGCTCTTGGTTGGATTTCCACATCTGATTGATTTTAACAGAGTTGTGTGTTCAATAAATTATCACTTACATTATTAACGATATTTTTGGAGGTGTTTTCGAATGCATTCACGGCGTATGTCCATGCATGGAATATTTGTAAAGCTTCCTCATGATGAAAATTTCCTTGCTCTTGAGATTGATATCGTAAATTGAGCAAATCGTTCTTTACCTTTGCGAGCTCGCAGGAGTATTTCGACCGCATTTCTCGTATGACTTGCTGATGTAGGTTCCATCCTTCAAGCCCTTTTCATTCGTTCTTATACAAACACTTACCTTGTATTTACGGTTTTCTTCTTCCAACCTCAAATAACGTTCCGATAAACTTTCAAATAGATCAACAACATTCTGCATCATTAAGGCGTGTTTTTGGCAATTTTCCAAGAACTCATTCATACTGATCATGTTTCCGTATTGAAGGTTAATGTTGAATACAAGTGATTGAAAATGCTTTTGTAAATCTTGCAGTAACTCCATTTTTTTCTAACCCTAAAATAGTGGAGGTAAGAATGTCATATAACTTAGCACAAGCAAGTGTTTATTGCTTGGTCTCATCGTGATGGTTAGTGAAGTGGCCGGATAATATATAACTGATATTTACAAAAATAATAATAATGGCAATGGTGGATGCTCCATACAGTTATTCACTGATGGTAGTCTTAGATTGTCTGGTGTTGTTGTTGTTCAGAAGTGGCGTGATGTGACTCAAACTTTTTCTCCTCAACGATTTGTTCCGTACTGGAGGATGACACATGGAGACCTAACCTTTTGATTCTATGCTTATCAATTTCCATAACATTACCCCAGAATATTTTGTGATCGTAGGTAAAAGTGGAAGTACCTCCCCACGTGGTGTCGATTTGAGCAAGATCAATATATTTACCAAAGATCTTGGCCTTCTCTATATCCTTGCCGTTAACGAAATGAATCTTGTTCTTTGTTACAGGATTGATGAATGGAGAAATAGCCTTCCAGAAGATATTAAAGATGAATGGCGTGTCAACCATAAAACACGCTCCTAATCTTTCAGGATAGCAGTCATTCAAGATATTGAGTGTTTGTTTGGCAACGCTTAATGGAAGAGAATTTCTCGTTGAATACCCATTAAAATCAATGATCCAACACATTTGCTCAACTCCTTCTGGCATTGCATCAACAGCTCTTTCTAAAGTATAAACAAGTAATTTGATATTCTTTTCATAATCAGTAGAATTCTCTCGAGCTGGGAACATGTAAACAATAGGTCTATTCATCTTATCAAATCCTCTCTGAAAGAGCTTTCCGGACGAGGCTTCCGAATCGACTTCCTCTGCCGTGATTTCGTCAGGTTTGAATGATCTTCTCCATTCCAGGCAAGTGTTCATTAGCTTTTCAGCCTTATTTATGTCATAATCTCGAGCTCTCAGAAAACGAATAAGAGCAGCTTCATCCAAGAATCTTCTCTCTCTATCGGTGAGTCTGTCATAGTCAACTCGTTTAATGAAATCGTTGAGAATTTCATTTTGTTCTTCGGTGAGAGCGGAACGAGGATTGAATCCCTTGTTCACGTCTATGAACGAGGTTGCGCTATGCCTGTTGTTGATGATAAAGGTCGTTCACGTTGTTGTGCACAGTCGAGTTATCCAAAAATTATAATTTCAACCGATATGATGATGAACACAAAAAATAATGAGCCATCGAAAAAATTGACATTTAAAACTCTAGATTGGATCATACAAATTAACACTTACATTCTTGTGTGGCCTCTGCTACTTCCGTGATGGCTATTATTCGACGATGAACTCATGATGGTGCGTGAAGAGGGTGTTTTTTGATGAATTTTTTTTGTGTCTATGCGCTTGTTTGGAAGAGAGACAATTCGGGTTGCGATTTTTTGAAAGAAATGATTCGTGCGCTTTGTCCTTCAGCGCGCTGGGAGGACTTTTGAACAAGCAGAAATAATATTCAATAATAATCGATGAAAGAAGAGGTTGGTTTTTTCTTGATTGAATTGCAAAACGCCTCTGTTTCAAGCAGTGTTTCACTAAACAGGGTGGATGTTGTAAGAATCCAATATCTCCATCACCGACAGTACATTATGGGGTGATGTGACGGGAATTCTATTCTCGAAGGGGAGTGGTTCATTGTTTGCCTGTAGTTGCTGTTTATTAAGATCAACGGTTATTGTGTTTTTTTGATTGCTGGTTAATTCCGTTATATCAACCAATTGATTTTACAACAAAGATTCAATCGTTTCGTGTTCAATCATTTTCTAAAAGTACCATGTTTTTTATCATTTTCTTTTGCATCCTCTGCATTTGGATTTAAAGAGGAGAGGTGAGGATTCAAAATCAACTCATCTGTTAATGGGTCTCGACTAATTTGCGGCACTGCCTCTGTTGGTCCTCCTGCAACACTCTCGTGTGCTTTTGTAAACTTTTCAAGACCTGATTGATACTTGACTTCAGTGTTAGGTTCGTCTCTTCCCATGATGGTGGAAGTTTTAGTGTCGATGGTGGTCACGGAGAGTGTGGGATCTTCGTCCGTGGGAAGTTTAACTTGTGTTCTTGATGAAGACATGACTGCTTTTTGTTGTGAATGTTTTTAATTGAAATGGAAGATTTGGGAATATTTTGCCAGAATTTTAATCTGGAACTAAAGAAGGAACATATCTATAAACATTAATTTCTCTAGTAGTGCGTGCATGATAATTAATATCCTAAACTTTTAGACTTCACGAAATCCTCTTCCTTCGTCAATTTCATCTCTTCCTCCTTGATTTATAAAGGAACCCGCGAACCCGCCAAAACCAAATTTCAAATTACAAAAAATAAAATTAAAATGAACGAGCTGACTCATGACGATGATTGTGTTGTATCGAAACCTGTGGATGAGGAACAAATGTACTTTGATACAATCATTGGAGCTCTTGAAGAAACAATGATGGGTAGGTGTTGATTCATGACTTTTCACAATTTCACAAGCTGTTGATCGTAACACTCTCGGAATTATAAAGAGGAGAATTTTTCGAAAATGATCGACAAATTTGCAGAGAAAAACTGCAAAATATTCGAAGAGGGAGATGAAAACAAGTTGGAATATACAACACTCTTTTCAGAGTATCAAACGATGATTGAACATTATTTAGAGAGATCACTAACGGAAAAAATTAAGAATTTCGAAATGAGCAGATTTATGAGAGTTATAGAGAAAGTGGAACAGCAAAAGAAGGATCAAGCTAACAGCAAAGAACAAGAAGAGAGCAACGACGATGATTGGGAAGATATTGAGGAAGGTGACATGTCTGGTGATGTGTTCGAAATGCTCTTGTCCTTTACAGACTTTATGGAATTTAAAGAGCTCATGGTTTCATACAAAAAGAAGGAATATTTCAATGACAAATTTTCTGGGCTGTTGGTTGTGTCCAATGGTTCGCGCAAGTAACCTTTTGAATTTTCTTATTATTTATTGAACAAATTAAAAAGAGTTTCATAACGTAACAACATTATAGCATATTATAATAATTAACAATGTGAACATGCATTTATAACCATTCGCCAGGATCTTCTGATTCTGAAGAAGATGACAGAAGGCCTTTCTTTGATTTAGATTTGATCGCTGGCCTGTCTTCGTTCTGAGATTGTCGTATGATGGTGTATAACATAGCAAATAATTCATTCACGCCTTTGCCTGTAAGTGCACTACATTCAGCAACTTCTGCAGATTTATCCACAAAAAACTTGGTGGCCAAGCTCATAATGAGCGGTTTTGATATTTTTCGATCGTTCTCTAAATCAACCTTATTGCCAACTATTATACATGGAATTTGAGACATGTGTAAATTCTCAATCAACAATGACTTGTATCTATTCAAATTATGCAAACTAGATTGAGGGTTGCATACATCTACGACTAGCACAAAACCGTCACAATCCTTGATACATTCGACCATTAATCCCAAATCATTCATTTCAGGAGCCTCCACTAATCGCACAGTAACATCTTTTCCGTCAACAACTATGAAACAATTTTGGCCTTCAACAACCTCTTGATCCGATTTTGGAGGTTGATAGGTGAATCCTGAACTTTCTACTTGGTATTTAATTATTGAGGATTTTCCTGATGATTTTTCTCCTAATACCATAATTTTCAGAACTTTGCGTTTTAATCTATGTATTCCTGAGTCAGCATGATCAATGTCGTCCGAAGAGACGGCAGAATGGATTGGAGATGAAAATATTTTTTTAAACACCATTTGTGAGCTGTTCACGATAGTAGGAAAAGTTGCTTTTGAATTTCTAATAATTATTATCCAGTATTGTTAAATACGAGAAGTGAATCACGATGATATTTGTGATGAAAAATTGCACGGGACAATTATTTCGTTTTTTGACGTCTTGCTGTTTTTTTTTGTGAAGTGTTGCTGTTTTGGTGACAAATGACATGGAGAGCGATGAATACAACGGCTCCTATTAATATTATTTAGGTGAGCCAAAATCGGGGACCAAGTCACTGTAAAGATTCATCTCAGTCCCCCATTTTGGAAGCGACTAACAGGATTGTAATAGGACTATTATTCAGGCAAAAGAAAATGTTTACTCATCTTCCTGATCTTCAAGCAAAAACTCTGAAATTTGTTTTCTCATTTCATTTCTTGTCGTTTGATATCCTTGTTGGATATATTCTGGGAATGTCTCATCAATATAAACCTCACTAGTGAGATCAGTGATTGCAATATTTGTAGTGCTCTCTCTATTCTCAGTCGTACAATAGGATAAAACTCTCTTGCATCCAAAACAACAACACTGAGAGAGACTCACACTAGTATCATGACGAGGTTGATTTTCAGCCATACCATAATCAGACTCATGACTCCTTTCAAGGCTAGTCTTCAAATCTTGCAAGTCTTCCTCTGAAAGGAATACTCCACAGAGCGCACACTTAATACTTGTTTGCTCTGGTGTTTTCAATTTTTCAATAGTTCTTAAAATGGCGTGAACTGTAGATGGATAATCTTTCTGAAGCATGGAAACAAAATCTTCAACAAGCCTATAAATGGTGCTTTGACGAACTCCAACCTTAGTGGTAATGTCGTTCACAAAAAGATGATGATTCATTTTGAACCAATAAATATAAATGGCCAATTCGTTAGCAAGGAATGTCTTCATGGGTCGAATAAAAGTAATAGGTGAATCGGTCGATGGATTAAATGTAGGAATTCCATTCATACTAGAATCTTCAAGTTGGATGTGAAGCGGTATCGTATAACCTCGTCCCTTACTTATTTCACTTAGAACGCCAATAGCCAAACGATTTGCATTTTCTCCGGTCAATACTTGCTTGAAATTCTTCTCAACTGCAAATTTGTAAATACAAGTCTTGACCATTTGGTTCAGCAAATCTTCATGAACACTCATGGTTTTAAATTGTTTGAAAATAAAATTCTTCATCTTTTCAACACTTCCGTCAAATAGCATGTCTTCAATAGATCGTATATGAAGTGTTCGATTATGTTCGTTCGTATTTGAGCAGACAGTAGATATTTGTTCATGAAGTTTCATTCTCTCTTCATCACTCATTCCTAACGCTCCACTGATATCCACAAAAAGGTACTCCCACTTGAAATGTAATTTCCAATTTGGATTTGGTGAGACGCATTGGTTTAACATACAAATCATTGCTGTTGAACTGAGTCCTCCGCTAAAACAAACTAAAACACAATCTCCCTTTCTAATCCTTTCATTTAGATTAATTTTGAACTGTTTGTGGGTATTCTCCATAAAAGTTTGTTTGTTCACACCAACCCCTCGTCTGCCTTTAATACCTGGATTTTCCTTATTCAAAAGCATTTCCGCTTGTTTTTCTTTTTTGTTACGCTTTTTAATTGGATTTACAAATTTAGGAGTTGTTTCTTTGGTAGGTTCCGTGGATGATGATGATGGTGCCACATCGTTTGATGATAAAAGTTTGTGCTCCGAGCAACCATGTTGAACATCCGACGAGTTGATGATATCATTATTGCAACAATTATTTGCTGAGCACTCACAAGAGGTGTTCGACTCGTTCTCTTCTTGATGATTATCGCAATTTTTTTCGAGCATATTGTCGGGTAATAATGGAGACAAATTTTTTGGGTGTGCAATTTCAAAACATTAAATCATCAAAACAATTCAAAATTGCAATTCGTCTTCGTGTTTAATGTGAAGTATTGTTCTCAAGGCTTTCCTTTGCTATTAAAGAAATAAATTGGTGAATGAACGTAACAAACTATTTGGACAAAATTTTAAATCTCGTTGAGTGTTGATGGTTGTCGTGGCATTGAAGAATGAATAACTTGCACCTATTAGATATGACGCGATGAGAAAAAACATTCACAATGATGATGGAACAAGCATCTCATAGCGATTACATGGTCTCGTACTCGTTTTGAAATGCCAAAATGTATTCCCAATCGCAAATCAAAGATATCTTCATAGATGTCAGTTTTTGCGTCATCCATTGTACCACTGCAAAAACAAGATATCAGAACACCAACCATCAACATATTCACACGGCTCTAGTTACTGTTGGTCGTCAATTCGAATACAGTGAATAACATTCTTTTTCCCTTGAATCTGGTCTTCGAATGTTTTAAAGTCAAACGTAAATTGGTCGGCATGAGAGAGCAATATCGAAAGATCTCCCTGTTTTGTATTTCCACTAATTGAACCATGGTTGAGAGCCTCTTTGAATTGTCTTCCAATACGAAGAATAGCATCATGATTTGTTTTGTCTCCAACCCAAACATTCAACCGGAATTGAGATTTACGAACAGCAACACACGCTCCTGTAATGATATCACCATCATCAAAGAATTCTCCAATAAGAGCCATAGCTAAATTCATCCACCAATCATTGACATTACACTTCTTCCTAAGGAACGGAAACATCCATTCACCACCATCAATATTCTTTGGGTCTTCCCACTCTGGTCGAATACCTTCTTTCATGATGTAGTAGGCACTTCCGGTATCCAAAAGTGTAGGAGGTTTGATATGATTGAAAACACTCCAAAAGTCTTCAACATATTGGAAGGTATAAACGAGAGTGAACTGTGCGGAATAGTCTTCGGCACTCGTGGGCTTTGCTCCTTCTTTTGGAGGACTGTGGTACCACAAAGACCAAGAGCTTTGAAGAGGATGTTTCTGAGAGAATTCCTCCTCGACGCTTTCCGCAACAAGGTGTTCATCGCCTTGAGAGTTTGAATCTTCTTCACTTTGAAGCACGGAACGACTGCTCTTTCTTTGCATTTTTTTCTTTGAATGTTGTGATGGTGCGCTTTATTGTAAATTTAATAAACTTTCTTAATTTGAAAGGATGAGCGAATTGACGACAGCAACACGACAAATGAGAGAGAAGACGTGTTGGTATCGAATGAGAGGTTTCAACATGTGCGACGAATTTTCCAACTCTCTCGTCGTTCTATAAAATTTAGCTCATAGTGGGTCAATGAAGTTCTTGGCTTTCTTCCAACAACAACACGACGAGAAACTAAACATCTTTATCTTCTCAAGGCTCAGAGTCTGAATTATAAGATCGTTTATTTCGTTGGTGGACGGAATGGAAAATCAAGCCAACTCTCAAGTTCAGGGTAGGTAGCACTCAACTTTTTAATGACAAATTCCCAGACGACCCAATGAGGTTTGGAATTTGCTATCGAAAGTAATTGAGCTGGATTATCCACTGTGACTACCATCCATGTGCCTGCAAAAGAACAATACATTAAACGACTTGTCAATGTTTGTAAACTTACCATGTTGAATTTCTGATGAGAGTTGTCCCTTTCTCCATGAAGCTAAACGTTGTCGTGCTTCAAGCTCTTTTAATAAATTTTCGAGATATCGCTGACTCTCTTCTTCTAAGACTGAAAGCATCTCGTCGTTAGCAGTATCTTCAAGGTCATATTCAAATTCATTGGAATCATTGTCGTCATACTCGTCATTAGGATCATAGTTGTCCTCTACTGGGTTGTTCGAAAAATTGTCATCATCGTATTGAAAGGTATCAGGTGTTTGAGGCATTAAGGGAGTAAATGTAAGAGGAATTTTTGATATCAGCAAATTGGGATCATTTGGAAAAGTTTCAATATGGGCTTCTAAGGTTTTTGAGAGCGGTTCTTTTTCAGTATTGTCTGGTGATGTTGAGTTATTTTCTGAATTGGATACAGTAGATGCACTTGAATTATTCTCATGTTCTTCATTGAGAGTTTGGAGGACATGCTCTTCAGTCATGGATGGTAATTGCTTTTGAATTTTCTTTCTTTTCTTCTTTCTTCGAAGTTCATGAGCCCTCTTTCCTAAAATTGAAGCGACACGCTGTTTGTTGTCAGTCATAACAAAACATGTCCTCTCAAAAACAATATCTGTCAACATGGGATGAGAAACTAAAATGTGAAATTTTTTGGGTTCAGTAGTATCCACGAGAGAAAATTCAATTGGCTGTGTCTCCATGTTTTCAACACTTTTTTCACCAGTTGGAAATTTTCTAACAACCATAAGCTTCTTAGTTTTTTCGATATTCAAATTCATTTCGCTTTGAAGCCCAAAACAAACTTCCATTGCATCATTCTTGGTAAACTTGAAGTTTCCTTCCTCGTCATGATTATCAGCACATTGCTTCCTGAAAACACTCTTACAAATCTTTTCAAAATTAGCACCAGGAGGCGTGTAGAAGAAGGATTTTGGGTCACGATACACTTGAGAAAGAATAAATTGTCCAAGTTGAGTTTTTGTCCAGCCTCGAGTGATGAGGTTCCGACTTTTGGTATTCCGAGGGTTTACAAGTGAAAATTTAAGAGCTGGATGCTCATCATAACATCTGCATAATTTCAATAAATTACGATAAAGAAAACAAATAAAGCGTTTCTCCTTAAGCTTTCCTTCAGCCGAAACGAATGATGACGCCTGTGATGAAGTTACAGCAGACACCACTTTGTTCATTTTTAATGAAAAATTTTGATACAAAATTGGAATTTCGGAAAGGTGACTATTGCCCTACATCATTTATCATGTTATTCAGAACCCTCTTCGTCGTCTTCGTGATCTGAATGTTCTTCGCTTGGATTATTTTCAGGGGTGTTGTACACAACGTTTGTTAGATATAGACCATGAGGAGGAACGCATCCCTTTTCAGGGAACTTAATATAAGGATTCTCAAGTGCACTCCTGATTCGATACGGTGAGATCTTGTTCAGACCAACCTTAATCAAAGCATCCACCATGATTCGGACTTGATTGTGAAGAAATGATTTTCCACGAATCACAAATCTTATTTCTCGACATTTTGCAGCCGAAAAGTGCAACGGGCTCAATGTCTGATCCTGTCCAATCGAATGTTCTTGTACTTCAACCAAATGAACTGTCTTCATCCGAGATATTCTCTCGGGAAGATCAGACCTACAAAAATTATTAAAATTATGAGTTCCAACAAAATATGAGCATGCCTCTCGCACAGCTTCAATGTTGAAATGTGTGTCTAGAGACATGGGAGTCCCACTAAAATCAGGTATTTCACCCACAGAGATCGGTACACCATTCACGAGGTAAAACTGGTCTTGTATGAAAGGTACTCTGTAAGCAATATCTGGTTTTGGTCCAACAAGTAGAACCCTATATTGATATTCTCGTTCTTTGACATTATGACGACAATGAAAAGTATTGTCTTTTTGCTCACATGCACAAATCACAATATCTAGGTCTCTCAGGTAAGAATTTACACCAAAAACAATGCTTTTTAGAGAATGATTTTTTCTTCTCTCAATTATTTCTCTATCTACATCAAAGTGGCATGTATTGTGAAGAGCATGGACTCCAGCATCGGTTCGAGAGCTTCCCACAACATAAATTGAATTTGTATTAAAGAATTTGTGGAGAGCTTCCTCAATGTTTCGTTGAACAGTATTTCCTCTTGCTTGACCCTTGTTATTTTGTTTTTGATAACCTTCAAAATTTGTTCCTTTGTATTGAAATATTAATTTATATCGTATCGATTTGGATGTTGTGCTATTGGAGAGGTTTCGGACTGTTGTTGAAAATAATCGCATTAAATTATTGTTAGTTTTGGGCAGTCGTTCCGAGTTGGTAATTGTGTTAGGTATTACAGAAAAACGAAGGTTAACATGACTGCCCGATAATTTTTTGAAATGGTTGTTGATGGTACACAGGTTTTTCAACATTTTTTATTACACTTTATGAAAGCTGGTCAATCCGTTTTTGAATAACTTTGAATTGTTCCATAACACTTTTAAGAGTATCCTTATCCATTTCAAAAAGTAGGGGATGGTTTGGATCTTGTTTGGTGCTGAGTTGCACAACAGCTACACTTTCACTAATTTCGCTTAATCTGTTGATGTTAGTTTTTTGATCTATTCTCCATTTCATGTCAGTCAAGTTATTTCCGAAATCTTCCTTTGATTCATTCACCAATTGTTGGTGAATTCTTGAAGAATATTGCGTCCAGAATTTCACCCAGGTCTGCACAAGATCGTTGGTGTTGAAAACTTGTTTTGCGTCATCATCGCTCAGCAAATGTTCTTTGAGCTGTGTTGGAGTCCAATTTTTATACGAAGCCAATCGGATCAATTGTTTGCATCTGATAACAAAAGTATTTTGTTCTTCGTTCAGGCTCTCATTACCGAACACTTGCTGATTCATCATGGACTCGGTCATCATATCATCCTTTTCAAACATAATCTGATTTAATCCTTTCAATAAAGCAAAGAAGTATTTGGCATCAATGGAAAAGGTGGTGCTAGAATCCTCTTCCGATGCTGTGTGTAAATTTGATGATGATTCTGCGTCTTCTGTTGGTCCAGTTGATGAAAACATTTTTTATTTGTAAAGAGAACAAAAATCTTTTCTTGAATGATACGAAATTGAGAATTGAATATGAGATACCTCCGTTGGATCTCTGTAATATGAATAAACAAAAGGTTTTAAACGGCGTTACTTCTGTCCATGCAATTCCATCAAAATTTGCAGTTGAGAACTCTGATGTTTTTTAAAACACAGACCACAAAAAATGAATAGTTTGCCAAGAAGAATCATCAAGGTAGGTGCGTCGACTGATGTCCTCCATCCTTCATCAACAACCTATTGCTTCAAACTTGTGCTGCATATGGTTAATCCTTGGACCAATCAAAATTTGATTCTTTATTATTTCTCATTCCTTCATCTGTAAAAATCGTTTCCGAATTTGACTGTTGTATTTTGTTGATTTATTTTGATCAATCACAATGCTTTTGTGATGTATAGGAAACCCAAAAGCTCATGACTGAGCCAAGTAAGTAACTTTTGAGAATCAACAATTTATCAGTTTGTACAATGTTGACCTCTTAATTATTTGATTTAGTTTCGGGAATAACTGCCACACCTGCTGAAGACAATATGCGTTACTTTAATGTCTCAATTGAAGGCCCACCACATACTCCATACGAAGGTAGGACTCGTGGAATATTATTTTGTTATTTGAATTAATTTTATATGACGGCTCTCTCGTTCATTATTTGAATAATTTTACTTGATATTGACCTTACCTGAATGATGTTAAATTTCAATCACAACAGGCGGTTTATTCAAGTTGGAGTTGTTTCTTCCTGATGATTATCCAATGGCTGCACCAAAGGTTAGATTCTTAACGAAAATTTACCACCCAAATATTGACAAACTAGGAAGAATTTGTTTGGACATTCTTAAAGACAAGTGGTCTCCTGCATTGCAAATTAGAACTCTCTTGTTGAGTATTCAGGCCTTGATGTCATCTCCAAACCCTGACGATCCATGTAAGTTTATTGGAAACAATGCAATTATTAATAACTCTTTATGATTCCTTTTTAGTGGCAAACGATGTTGCAGAAGATTGGAAGAGAGACCAAGATCAGGCTTTGAAAACTGCTAAAGAATGGACAATGAAATATGCCAAGTAAAATGTAAACTCTAACCACCATGTAAAGGAGTGGAGCATAAGAGCTCTTCCTTTTAATAATAAACGAATGTAATTCAGCAAACAATAAATTTCTCAATCAAATCTTCTCCAATACAGGACATAGGGAGCCATCAAACTCCATCCATACATCGCGATCGTGAACAAAAGGAAGAAGGCTTGAACTCCAAGCTCAGTCCATCCATGAAAATCTTGGAAAAATGTTGTCACAAAGCACGAGCAGAGAGTCATGAAGACATGGAAGAAAAAGTAGCTATTGTTGAGTGATGTGTCATTCTTTACAAAATCGTGCTGCTCATCCTCTTCTGGTTCTTCTCCATACCACAAAAAGTGAAGCAAGAATTGGATGCCAGTGGTTGAATAAATTGCACTGTAAATAGCGGCTGCTGTGGTGAAAAGCATCGCCTGATAAAAACGTCGATGTTGGTGTTTCAACAACTAATGTCCAAGATACTTACTGCCAATGTGACAGGATATCCTCCTGATAAAGAGCACATCTTGTCTGTGATTGGTTTGCTGACAATAACGTTCAATGATATTGTGGCAATGTAGAAAGTTATCATACTTCCACTAAACAGCGAAGAATGCTCCGTAAATAAGGATGCAATGAGTAAAATAAAACTGAGGATGCAAGTAAATATTGTAACATAAAAGTTCAATAGACATCCAGAGCTCTTAAATCCACTATAGAACTATTAGAATTATAATGATGATGGTATTAAGGAAAAAATTGTAAAGAATGATACATACGAAGGAGGCTACAAATATGGCCACAGTTGAGACAATGAAAATGCAAGAGATTGATATCAATGCAGTATCCCTAAAGTAAGAAAGCGAGTTAACACATGCGTGAAATCACTTGGAAACTAAGAACGTACCATCTCCAATCATCCTCCTCTTGCCAGCTTCGTCCCCATCTGTATGCAAAATCAATGATAAAAATTGATTGAAGTACCATAAACACGAAAAGTATATATTTTGATGATGTAACGTAGAAGTTAATCACTGACTCTGGAATGATCACATAGGGTGCTGCAAGACACAATAAAAAGAGAGGAATTTTAACCTTAAGAAAATTCATCGATTGAAATTGATTCTTTGTTCTTTGAGAAATTCTCACAAGTGGTGAACACAGTACCGCGTGAATTCCAAAGAACATCTAAATCCAAATTCATTCAATAGATAAATAAATTACTTAAATGCTTTGATCACTTACAGTGAGAGAAATGGCAACGAAATGAATGACAACAGGAACATCATCTAAACCACCAGGCAAACCTAAATGCACTAATAAAGGGTTTAAACTCTTCTTTCCAGATTGATACAACAAACTCAACAAAAATCCAAAAATTACAAATAAACAATATTTGATTTTTGTATAAATAACTTGGAACTTTGGACTCACAGCCTTGTAGTCTTTCAATCCAAATTTATACAGCATTTCACTGATGCTGTCAGAAAAAGTAATTTCCTCTGCTTCCTTATTTCTGTTTTGAAACTCTTGTAATATCTTTCGATATTCAATTTCATCTTTGTTTGTATCGGGATCATGTTCTACAACTTTCAACAATCGGCGTTTCATTTTGCTTTTAGGTGTCTGGTATTGGTGGTTTTGAAGATGTATTTCCGAAATTTTGTGTGGTGTAGTTGTATTAAAACAATTCCGATCGTGGAGAAGCAAATACCAAGTTTTTGATGTTTTGTTTTGAAATTTTTTTGGTGATGCAAAAATGGCGCGCAAAAAAGCCGTTTTGAAATTCTTCAAAACAAAAAATTGACTTCCGAAAGATTATTCCACATCGAGTGACATTTTTTAATGATTTAAATATATTCAATTAATATATTATTGGGGAAGAATTGAACAATAAGAACGTGGACATTATTAAATAAATCAACATGTACAGAAAAAACAATTACATCAAACCAACGATTAATTTGGTTCCGAACATGGAAGTTGCAAAAGCCTTCAAAGATCCTTCGGAAATGATTCGGAAGCGAAACGAACTGTCGGAGAAAAAGAAGAACAAACTTGTTACTAACAACACAGCAATAGAACCTTCCATAAATTCAAAACAAAGTACCACTCCCCATGGCTCAACAAATACTCTCATTGAGTCTACAAGGAAACGTGTGAAAAAGATTTTCACTCTCAACTTTACAAGTCAACAAAACAATGGAAGTGAAGTCATCGATGAACCAATTGAAAATTTTTCCAAGCTAGAACTCATCCATCGAAAATTAACAAATCAACAAATTAAGGAATGTGTCACTCCATACACATTTGTAACGTTGAATGAGTTATATCAAGATTGTGTGAACAATGAGAAGTATGACATTTATAACCTCTATTCCAATTGGTGTACAATATTTACTCTCATGGAGGAGCTTCCTCCATTAATTTGTCAAGCCAAAGGAGTAGAGTTTAGTGTTTGGAGAGTGTCAGATAATTTGAATGACATGTGTGCTGTGATGTTGATTCCAATCTCAGAAAATCGAAATGCAAACAAAAAAGAAAATATTGAAGAACTTGCTAGAGGACATGTCATAATCTTGGCAAATCCTGTTATATTGCAAATCAATAGGAAAGAAACAGATACAGACAACACATTGTCAACATTGTGTACTGAATCAAGTCCCATGGCATTTGTTGTAGAGACAAAAACAACTTCATTTAGGATTATTGGGAAAGCTAAACATTATGGAACTTGTGCCTATGTTCCTATGGACTTTAACAAGTATACAGGAAATAATTTGAAGCTTTTGAGTATGTTAAACGAGAAGAAGAAGAAGAGAAAGCATAACGATGATGACATGAATGAAGACAAAACTTCACAACAATCCAATCCATCCTCTTCCTCTTCAAAACAATCTCCTCATTCCTTTTGCTCATGTCCTATTAATACAGCTGTGAGCAGGTATTGTCTCTATCATTTCAATAAGAAGAGCAGCGAAGTTCAAAACAGTAGAGTTGAATGCAATGGGTACGTTAATGATGATATCAATTGTTTAGAATTTACATTTTGATGGCCTTACTTAAATTTTTCTTAGCTCGAACATTGTGGAGAAAGTAGCAAATGCGTTCGAAAAACCAACAGTTTTCAATTATTTTGGTGTGACCTTGTTTATTGACCCAACAGTGAATATCAAAAAACTGGTGAGAACTCACTCTGATGAAAAACCAAAAGACTTGCCTGATCTAACAAAAAAGAAGAAGCCAAAACCAAAGATTGACGGACAAGTCACGAATGCAGTTGTGTAAGTAGTATTATATTTGCTTGGCCTGCATCATTGCTTACAAAACATCATTAGTGACCACTTGGCTTCAAATTCAAGAAGTGCAAAGTATTTTGTGGCAGCAAGATCCTCTCTGATCAAACAAGACTTACTTGCCAATAGCAAGACAAAGAATTTAACAGACAAACAAATTGATCTGGTTGCCAGAAATGCTGTAATGAAAACGATTGAAACTGCCCAAGAAAAATCGCAGCCCAACAAGCGAAAGGTAGTAGAAATTGAAGTGTCAGACACTGAAAGTGAATCAGACGACGAAAATTAACATGATGTTATTCTAGCTCTTTTGCTAGTAATGTACATGTTCACCTTGTTTAAACATTAGAATTTTGGTGGTCGTTCGCATACAATGAGCTCAAACGCAGGCCTGACAACCTTCTCACGACCCCATGGTATCATTTCTCTTTTCAATAATAATATCGTTAATATAGTACAATTTTGTTTCCATTGTTGGTAGTTGTGCACAGCTCAAAATCCATACGGATGTTTTTCCTTAATGCTTTCTTCAAAGGCTTTGTCTTTCATTTCTTGTTCCTTTCGCAAAAACTTATCTAGATCAATATCACCGTCCAAATTTTCAGACACCACTTGATTGCTCGATACAGGTGACGAGCCTTTGTTGCTGCTGTGATTATTCAATGGATTCTTATCAAATCGTACTGCACTTGTGTGTGATGTTACTTGTTTTCCTGTTTTTTGCAGTACTAGAGAAATGGCATGTTCGGGTAACTCTTCATATCCTTCCATCGTGTTTGAAACTCCTTCATTTTCAATATCATCGTGATTATTATTATTTATAATTATTCCATCCATCAATAATTCGGATGAATTTCGATTACCACTGGCTCTTCCTAGTTTATGAAAATAATCTCGTTCAGTAATTTTCCCGTTATTTACAATCGACTCCACGCTTGATGATTCTTCAATCAACATTGAAGGAGTTTGTTTTACATTCCTTTCCTCAGCCTCCGAAAGTGGTTTGTAATAGCACGTGTAATAGCCTGCTCCAACACCAGCAGAGAACAAGGCAATACCTCCGAATATGAGTAGTTCCATTTTTTGCGTTATTTCTATTTGACATGTTTACAACGAAAGAGAACATTTACCTTTCAAGTGCTTTCAACTCGTTTGTGTTTTTGTCATAATGTTTTGTGATGGGTCAGTACTAGTCATGATTATGGCTTCCATGCATCACTGGTGATAAATTTCCACAAATGGCCAAACGAGAAGAAAGCATCCAATATTGGAATTGTAGCAAGCGCAACCTTGAAAGAAATCGAGATGTTGTTGTTAAGGGTTTAAGAAAAATTCATCTCTTGTCGAGTTCTGGATGAAATTAAAGATGACCAATCCTAATGAACCACGCTTGAAAATGAACCAATCAAAAAACGAAATCACCCAATTCATTGATTGCATTCTGTGATTGACCATTTTGCTTTCAGAATTCCCAAATCCCCTCTCGTTCCGTCTTCCGTGTCAATTGCTGATTTCCATTAAACTATTAATACCTCAAGAGAGCCTTTGCACTTCAAACCATCAAAAAAAAGCTCTTGACGAAAAACATTCCAGCATGAATACATCATCACCTCCAAACACCATGAAAATTTGTCTCTTCTCCAATTCCGATCCTTCCACCCCACGTTATTCCTCTCCTGCCATTCCTATTGTCAAACAAGTTCAGTCTCATGTTTCCAATGCTCATGTTCGTTCTTCTAATTGTTGCAATGGCGACGACGACTCTTCGCAACTTCCATCTTCGATCCCTTCAATGAACTTGTCTCAAATGAAAGAAACTCGAAATGAAATGTGTCGCAATAATACTGAGAAACAAGTCCATGAAAAGACTTCCTATTTTCCTTCCCAGTCACGTCCTCCATCACTCCAAGATGAAACTAGAACAACACTACCACAACAAGGCTTGGCCAGTGTCCTCTCTCGTGATCATAAGAGAAAAACAGCAGCCATATACATTGATCTTGATAATTTCCCAATTCGCACAGATGCTCATGCTGACTATTCAAGTGTTCTTGAAGAAATTGAAACTAAGTATCAGTTCAAAATCATATCAAAGAAAATATTTGGCGATTTGATACAATTCTCAAAACTTCCTTCTGAATTGCAATATTCTCATCAACTCATTAATTGCCCTAAAGTGAATTCTAGGAAAAACACGACAGACATTGCCCTTGCTATTGACATTATTCGAGACTTGGAAAGAAAAAAAGCCGTATGATGTCTTTATCATTGCCTCTAGTGACAGTGACTATGTTCCAATTGTTAGGGCAATTATTGAAGAGGATAAGGAATGTTGGTTATTACCTTCACACACAACACCTCATGAAATTCTGACTGGTCTGTGTACAGGCGTGTTGCAGTGTAGCAGTAACATGTTAAAGAAATCTAACAGCAGTAATTGTGTGAGCCCTACTTGCGAAGAATCGGAACCTTTATCTTCGAGCCCTTCTAAAAATACGAAGACTTTGTCTCCAAAGATGTCACCGAGAAAAGAATCAAAGAATGATGTGACCTCCAATCAAAATACTCTTACTCCTGAAGCTTCAGCAACAAGAGAGAAACAGGAAAACCTTATCGCTGCTCTTAGTCAATTATTGAAACCAGCCAAGAATAGTGACGTAGAGGTAGTTAAGAATATGATAACGAATGTGGTGAAGAAATTGTACTTTGCAGGAGCTTCAAGCTTCAATTTGTCATATGTTCATGAACGTCTAAGGGAAAGAGGAATATTTTACAAATCTTTAGGATATTCATCTTTCAAGTCGTTATTTGATGATTGGAAACAGGAACATCCTCAGTTCAAGTTGGTGACAGACCCAAAGAACGGAGAGTTAATATTTTCCAATCCAATTAGCGTGCTCAAAAAGGTAGACAGCCTTTCAAATGTAGCTGATGCCACAAATAACAATCCATCCCGAAAAATAATAACCAACCAAAATGTTTCTGTCAAAAGCTTCACAAAGAAGGAGGTGAAGAAAGCCATCACGGAAATTGTTAATGATCTGAAAGTCAATGTTTCACGATTCAACTTGTCAATTGTGCATGAAAGACTTAGAGAAAGAGGAATATTATACAAAGCGTATGGTTATGAATCATTCAAGGAGATGTTTGCAGAATGGGCAGAAGAAAATCATTCTATTCCTCTAGGCATTAAAAAGAGCAGTGGTGAGATGGTCTTCTTATAGCATGATACTTCCATTCATGACCTAAGCAAAAAAGTAACAGAGGCGCAGGACAAAGTTGGGAAGTTGAATCACAATAAATTAGGAGGACAAAATGGTTTTTTCTACGGTGGCAAAAATTTGCCACAGGTGTGCAAGAATCGAAGGGTAGAATTGAATCTCTTCAGAAAACCATTTTTTCAATGCCCCAGCCTGTTAATTTGTGTGTGGAGGTCACAAGAAATTGTCGCGTTCCTTCCTTTGTAAATAATTTAAGAATGGAATTCCAATTTCTATTTTACAACCTTCGTTTTTATGCGCTCAATAGATAAGAAAAAATTTGACTTTTGTTCATTGGTTTCGAATTTAAGAAAACCTATTGATTGACAATTTTGTGATACTCATTGTGCGAATAAGAGTTCTGAATACTTACCAATTTCAAGCTCTTTCAATTTTGGAGATATTGATACCAACTTTTCTATCCATTCATTGCTTACTGCAGATAGTGTCTCCCACCTTGTTGTCACCATTTGATTATTTGAATCATGGATATTAAGTAATGGAGAGCAATAAGAAATGTCAAGTTCTTTCAAATGTGCAATTTTAGAAATATCAAGTTGTTTCAAGTTATATGTTCGTCGAACATTGAGCTTTTCCAATGTAGATGGAATATATTGAATGTCGTCTGAAGAATAGAGTGTATCCTATTGCGGTGTTTTCCATATCGAATATTTCAAATGTACCAAATCATGACGACATTATCATACTAACCTGGACATAGAGTTCCTTCAAAGTTGAAAAATTATTTAGAAATGAAAAGTTGGAAATTTTCAAGCAACCAGAGACGTCCAATACTTCTAAACATGTACATCCTTTAGAAATATGTATCAATCCATACAATCCAACATATGGACATTTTGACAAATTCAAATATTTCAACTTTTGCATGGATGCAATGTATTTTTCACACAACACGTCATGAATACTTTCACTGTATCGTAGCTTGAGGTAAACTAAATTTTGTCCACACTTTTTTGAAATATTTTGAAATGCACTCTCTTTCAAATAATTACATGCAGTCAAGTCGATGGTATCCAATAAATCCGAGCATGAGTTGGTCAAATGTTCAATTCTCTCATTGGTAATCATTTTGTTAAAAGCAACATGTTGTTGAGCATCTAAGACTCGAAACTTTTTCAAGTATTTGGCATTGCAAACCACGTGATCGAGGAGTTTTTCCAGCATTCTATTTCTTAGCTCATACAAATTGTGTGATTTCAATATCTGAGAGGATATTCCTTTTTTAGTTTGAGAACGAGCAACAGCATGTTGTTGATCTTCCTTTCCCAATATTAATAATTCTAAATTTTCATCGTAACGAAATTTAAAATCGTTCAACAAATACCATGCACAATATCTCCACGTTTTACAAACGTTGGCACATCGGAAATAAACAGTGTAGTTATCAAAATAAGAAAATATTTCGGACAAGATATCAGGTATAAATAATGGATAGATGAGTTCAGAGTTTTGAAATTGATCATCACCGAGATGATGCAAGGTGGAATCAATTTCAAAAGCCGAGTTGTACCGAACACAGACTGAAGGGAGAGAGAGCGAGAGATATTGACCCATATTTTTAAGTGGAGAGAGTATTGAATTTTCACAAAATTGTCATCTGTTTCAAATTTATTTACAGTTAATAACGTTTGTGGTTAATTTACATACATTGTACAATAGTAGTATTAATATTAGTCGAATTATTGACGAAATGTTGATTCAGAGTATATTAGTATACAGGAAAGCAATTGATGATGTGAGGCAACACATGTGACTCATTATCTCTTATCATCTCGTGAAGGTTTGAATAGAGCATAAATTCCAACAGCCGCCAAGGCAGTTGCACCTAAAACACCAACAACAGCAGCTCCAATCGTCCAATCGTCTTGTTGTTGCTGAATAGAGGCTGCTCTTCTAAGTTCTCTTCGTCTTCTTTCTTCTAAAATTTTGGCTTTCTTTTCTTTTTCAATCTTGATACGAAGCTCAGCTTCTTGCTTTCGTTTTGTTTCTTGCTCCAGAGTTGTTTTGACTGTTAAGTAAATTGGTTCATTACCACTATCAAAAGAAGAAAGCTCTTCAAGCATGGAATATAAAGTGGAAATAAGTGAGCTATCTTCTGTGTACTTCGTTAGCGTGGAGGAGGTGTCAGTTAAGTTTGCATGAGTCAAAAATTCTCGTGTCAAATAATCGCTCCATGCTTGTGGGTTTGTGGTAGGGCTACCCATGGCAATCTTAATCTTGTATTTTAAGATCATCATGTCTCTCCAGCATGAAAGTTCATGTTTATCAATTATTTGTAAAATCTCTCACTACATCCATGCATTCACTTAAACCTCGCTTTTCTGCAATTCTCTTCTCGACAAAGTGCTTAACTTTAGAAATGTTCTTTTTCATGGCATGATGAATGAGATTCTTTGTACTATAGTTTGGAATTAAATTCTTGGTTGTTAGCTGTTTCTTTGTAATAGGACAAGTGTTCTTTGTTTGGAGCCATTGTGTGATCGATTCTCTATCAAATGTTATTCCACTTTCCGATAAGATCACTGGATCTCTCATCAGAACATGACTTATTGGGCATATATAGTGATCATCTTCTAGATTGTCTTTCCACTTGTGCAACTTGTTGATTTCGTGCTCCGAAAGTTTGTCGTTATTTGAAGGTTGATTACTACTATTATTATTTGAAGAAGAAGAAGAAAACTTTCGTGTAGATGATCCAGATGAAACTACCACTCCCGAAGAAGTGGGTGAATGAGATGTTGCATGGTGATGAACGTGGGAGAGTGTATTTTGTTGTTGCTGGTGATGAACGTGGTTGGTTGATGAACTATTCGAATGATGATGAGAGTGTTGTTGAGTGGTTTGCATTTTTTAAAGACTTTTATGGAAACCACTCGCTTTTCATTGTTGGCCCTATGAAGATTTTGAGGAACAGAAACAACAACTCATGTGTGTTTGATAATGGGAATGGAACCATTCAGGTCATCAATAAAATAATTTTGAGAAAATGATGGGGTGGTCATGAAAAGTGACAATCAGAGATTATAACGTGTTAACAATCATGCATTGAGTGTACTTCTCTTATTTGTAGTCCATGTGTTTCTTGTGCTGACTGTTTCATGTAAAACCATCAAATGATTCCCTAACATGTAATAATAATAGCACAACTCGCTCATGAGTCTGGAGATCTCAATTGGTTTGTGGAGTTTGCAAGTGGAAAGTGATTGTTGCATCTATTTCTACTACTACTTCTACTTACACGAACACCATCTCCTGGATGAATATTTCCCAAGTCTTTTCTTCCTTCATAGGCCGATTGCAGTCAAGCAAACTTTGATAAGATTACCAAAAGAATCAATGGAGGCTTCAATGGAAAGATCACAAGTTCCAAGTTGCAAAGAGAGTGTTGGGTTGTTAAATAAATTGATATTGACCTCTCTTTTTTGGAAATGAATGACAAAACCAAGGGTGAAACAACTCGGTAGTTTTTCATATGACACTCCTGTCTTTCTGAATACAAAAATGATTTAATTGCAATATGATTACAAATAGTTTTTGGATAACACTTGTAACTTAGTGTTAAATATTTCTAATTGTTCTATTGTGAACGTATTACTTGAATGATTAGGTTCTGAAATTATCCATGAAAATGGTGCAGCAGAAAGTATTTCTGAAATCTTTTCTGCTGCTTCGAGATGACTGGTCAGAACGTGTTGTTTCAAAAATTCTTGAATTTCCGTTAAATTACCTTGTTCTACTTTTCCAGAACAGTTCATGATTAATTTCACAGATTCCATGTGAGATTCATCAGTTGAATCGATAACAGAGTCACGAGAATCGACCATACTCGTCAGTTTTCCATTGTCATCTTTGATCACACCCTTCTTCTTGTTGTGAGTGGGATGTTTCCAAGAAGTTTCACCAGTGGCAGGATTAAAGTAATAGAATTTACCTCTTGTCTTGTCAAGAACTTCAATCCATCCTTTGAGACTTTGTCGTTGTGAAGAGTTACTTTGAACTTCAACATTTTCATTGGCTTTCAATGTGAAACTTCTCTTTGAGAGCAGACTGGACACTAAAGGTGCTCCACCAGAAGAATCACCTGGTGTGTCATTGCTAGAGAAGTTTGCAAACTTGCTCGTTTGAGATTGTGTTCTCTTGAGTGAGGGCATTCTCGGAGAGTTTATGGATGATTCATCGGTTTCAACATCCTCATGTCCATGCTGATGATGATTGTGAACTTCTATGGAGGATACGGATGAAATGGTTCCATTCTTTGAAGTACTGGCGACACCACCTCCTGATTTTAGTCTTCTCCATTCTTCAATTTCTTCTTCGCTTAATCGTTTTCCTTGTGCTTGTCTGCTGTCTAAATCTCCTGGAAACAATTCATCACAATATTGCACAAGGAGTTCACAAACGAGATTAATCTTTTCCAAATCGACGAGCATTCGTTGATCGTCTTGAACTTTTGTTCTCATTAAATTGGTTCCAAAACTTCTGCTAATGTTACTGGCATTCATTTTTGTCTTTTCCTCATTGAGAGTGATTTTACGGAATAATTGACAAAGCCGTCCAAGAAGATTATAGTTTTCAATAGGGAGTTTGTTGACAAGCACTTTGAGTTCTTCCCTTTGTTTTTGTTTTAGTTCGTTATTCGTTGCTGGAAGCTTGGCAACAGCAATAAAGTCATCATACAATTCAAATGTTAATAAAGGTTGTGGCAGTTCTCTTGCATACTTTTTCAAAACACCACAAAGAGTATGTGGTTTGTTCACAAGCTCAATTTGATCAAGATCTACAATTTCACTTGTGTTGAGTTTTTCTGCCATGTCTTCCATTCCCTTGGTGTGACCAGGAACACGGAACAAACCTTCATTTTCTAAATAATTTTTCTCAATATAATCAATGAGTTGTTTGATTTTCTTTGGAATTCCAAAAGGTTCACCAAATCTCCTCAAAACTTCTCTCAATTCAACACCAAAGAGAGTTGATTCATCAGATCGACTTGGCATATTTTGTGAAATGATGTGTTCAAGAGTGAATTGTGTGCATATTTGATTGGACTTGGGTGTGAGTGCATGAGTGGAATTGTTCATGTTGGAAGTAGGTGCCGAAAAACTGAATACTCCATTCTCGAATTGTTGCTTAATGGCTGTGTCAATATGTTTTTCCATAGACTTTAAGGCCTTATTACAATTTTCATAATATTCCACAAATGCATCTTTCATCTCTAGTAATGCCAAGAAATATTTAATATTTCTTAATTGTTTCTGATAGTCCGATTCTGCTTCTAAAAAGTTGTTTTCTTTTGCTTCTTGTAATTTGTTGTCGTTTTGAACTTCTGCGAGCTCTTTAAGATATTTTTCCTCAACCGCTCGATTCTAATCATGTTATCATGCAGTATTCATACAATGAACAGTTATATTTGTACACACACGCATATATGGTCATTTCACAAGGGCCTTAAACTTCTTCTTCGATGGTACTTACCAAAATATTTCTGGCACTTGAAAAGATTTTAAAACTTTCTCCAAATTGTTCTGCCAAAACTTTCAAATGTCTTGCATGAATATCTCCTGCTTGCAATTTGTGTGAAAAATTGACCAATTGTTGACCCATCAACTCTTCAGTTCGTCCTAATTCCGTGGACTCATTCAAGAGACCTTTGAAACCATTTTGACAAGCTTTATAGTGAATATGAGTAGCTTCAACTTCTTGTACTTTGGCTTCGACTTGTTGTTCAAATTTTACAGGACTATTCACCACATGGTTTGCACTCACAATGTTGTAATACAGATTTGCAGATGGAGCTGTACCTCCAATATTGCTACTTCCAATCGAATTACCACTACTACTACTTGCAGAAATATTGGTTTGAATGACTGCTGGTGTCGAAGAAGACATGAGTGCCACTACATCTTTAATGGTACCCGAAGTTCCTGTCACAATGGTGTCCCTAGGCTCTGAAACGGTTGGGGTTTGACCTTGAGGTGAAGATGTTTGTTGGACAACACCACCCGAAGAGAGATCAGAGGTTGAAGAAGAAATGGATGTATTGGTTGATGTGTTGCCACTTGTCTTTTTACTACTTCCGCTAAATAATTTCTTCATTTCAAAGAATGGTGATGATGAAACAACAATGATGATGAGAGTGGTGAGACGGAGAAGGGGATCTCTTTGAAATGTGAGGAAATCCGAGAACAGACAATAATTTTTAGAGTTTGTTTGGTGGTGATGTTGTTGTTGTTGGTGATGGTCTGATAAATGCAAATGTTATCAAACGTCGTCGTGGTCGTTGTAATGTCGTTGTTGTTGATCCGAGTTGAGTTGATAAGGGGCGCACTTGAGTGTTGTTGTTGTTATTCTTATTATTACGGATAAAGTGATGTTCGTTTCCTGATTCATACACACTTTATAATAGTGAACACAATTTGAGTGTTCATCACACACGCATTATATTGGAAAATATAGTATTGCACGCATCAAAGAAGATCATTCGTTCCATCAAGAGTTCAAAAGATCATCATCATGATACAAGAATGAACATTTATGTAGAACAAAGTTGTTGTTGTTAGGATTTGTTGAAAAAGTAAAAGACCTACCAACGGATGATTGGAAAAGGCTTATCTGTGTGCGTGATGGAGTGAACCAGCAGCAACACAACTTGGAAAGCGGTTGAAATAACAGGCGCTGTTTTTTTGTGTGATGAACGCTTGGTGATTTTGTTGTCATAAAAATTTGACGTTTGATGGATGCAGATTTGTAGCCAAATGAAATTTCGTGAATTGTTTCAACAGGCTGATACAATCATGCTCTCCCTAAATGTTCAAGAGATGGACCCAAAAAGTGCTCTTCTCGACCCGTCATTTGTAAAAGGAAGTGCGTTTCGACAATTTCATGAATGATCATTTGCTCTTCTATTTAACCAACAACATGTTGTTGTGACATACAGCAATAGTCTTTTCGAAATGCAAAACAAAGTCAATTCCATCATGCTTAAAACCATTGCAAATGCTGTAAAAATCAAAACCAATGGTGAAGAAACTCCAGATTGTATCCAAACAGTGTTTGGCGTTCCTAAATGGTTGGAGATATAAATTCCCAATTCGGTGGATAAATTGTAGAGAATAGCTGAATATCCTGCAATGCTAGCTCCCTCAATATTCGTTGAAAAGGAGTAGGAAGTTAGAAATTCATTGAAAAGTGGAGACTTGAAAGAATCTCTAATGGTTGTGATGTTGGAATTGGTGTGATTATTATTGGTGATCATGGTGGTGGTTTCAGCATTCTTGCAACTTGGATGCTCTTGGTGCATTTCCTTAATTCGACTTATATATTCCAATTGATTTAAGAAAAAGATCACACCTGCATAGACAGCTCGATCAAGAGTAAAAACAAATAAACATCTCAATACGAGTACTGAAACGTCACTAAACATTACTTTTTGAAAATATTTGGATGCAGCTCGGTCCACAAAATCGAACATGATACCTGAGGCAACACATCCCAACATGCCTTTGTAAATTCCAATCCAATAGTCCTGTTGTTCATTCGTGTTGAATGTCCATAACTTTTTTTCAAGCACTAGTAATAGTCTTCCAAAAAGTTGTGAACACAATATTTCGTTGCATGTAATGGAAAACATGACAAGAAGGTCCCTCCATTCAACAAGGTTGAGAAGCAGTGATACTTGTTCCGAGATGGTCACTGCCCACAACCAACCCATCCACTGCACTCCATTGAATAACATTTTCAAAAAGAATACTATTGAATATTTGGCGCAATATTTCACAGGATGGATGGTGGTGGTGGTTGGATCCGATGCTATCCGGTGCTTCAAGAACGGAAAGGAACAGCATGCTTGTTTGGCCATTTTTTACTTCCGCACTTTATTGAATAAATTCTTTCGTTTTGACTCTTTTGCAAAATCAAGACGTCTTGAGAACTTTGAAAGTGTTGATCAAAAACTTTTATCACTGTGTGTGACGCTTAATTTAGAACTGATGAAAATTAAATATGGTTTGATTCACCTTAATCACCATTCAATTCTTCTTCTTGTGCATTTTCAGTGCGACTGTAAGGATTTGAAATATCTACAGGAGAGCCAAGAATGGCTTTCTTTGTGACGTGTTTTCTTGAAAATTTGTGGAACAAGTATGGAATAGTGACCACTGCAACCACTGTCAAGACAATACCTAATACTTCAGCAGCACCTTCATCACCTTGCGAGAGAGATGAAAAATCCATAGAAACGATACTAGCCACCACCAGAAGTAGATATCCAATTAAGCAAATATATGACATGCCATTCACAAAATATTTCCAGAAAAACAAATGCTTGAAAATCCAAATGTCTTCCAAATATATCCAAACGTCACTTAAATCATTCAGAGGTAAAATATAACCAAAACCTGAAATAATGGAATAAATGAACAGTATGATGGAAAGAGATGAAACAGTTGTCAGTACCAATCGTGAAGTCACTGGATAATTCTTAAATATTTTAGTGGATACAGAGTTGTGTTTTTTAGAAGGTTTTAAGACATACTTGTATCCACATTTCGAGCAACTCTTAATGGATTCATTAGCAATTCTCTCATTGAAAAAGCAGCTGTCTCTACAAATATATCCAGGACAGTTACAAGTGCTCACTATTTTTCTAGTGAGCAATTCTTTTAAACTTTGTACACCTTTTCCACAAATACGACATTTCCTTGATTTTATCATCCAGTTCAACATTAATTGTTTACATTCTGAAAGTTTAGTAAAATTTTGAAAGGCAATATCGTGATCATCTTTCACGTCATGATTTCGCTGATCAATTGAAGAATTTGATTTGTTCCTTTTCTTGTATGTGGTAAGCGGTTTTATGGGCTCTTCTTGTTTTAACAACGGACCAACTTTATCTTTAAATTGTTGAATCATTTCTTTCCAAACATCCACCGTGTAATCATCGTTAAGAATTTCATTTGTATTTTTACGTGATGAAAGGATCATGTTTGAAACAATCTCATCGGTGAGAGATGGAGAAACCAATTCAAACCATGATTTATCAACACGACCTGCTCCATTGGCAATATCATGGATCGGAAGAAAACTTAGAATATGTGCTTTCATTTCCGAGGGCAGCTTGTCTAAAAGGTTGACTTCATGTCTATTTTGGGACATTTTTTGGAGTTTAGTCCTTCCTGAGGGAAAATTGGATGAGAGAGTCACTCTCCTGTCAGAGCCATAAGCATATCTCCAAATGACGAGTTGTTGTTTTTGTTGTTTTTAACTCGAACACTCATTCTTGAACAGCTGGTTCAAACATTGAAAAAAATGTCTTCATCTCATAATCTCGCAACCTTAGCAGGAGGTAATTATTGTATTGATCAAATCATGTTTATTAAATTTGAATTGGTGAAAAACGTTTGTGATTGCAGGTTGTTTTTGGTGCTGTACGTGATGAATCATTTCAGATTTATTTTTAATAACTGTTTGTTGTTAATTATGGTTGAAATTGAAAAAGTGGAAGCAATTTTCCAACGTGTAAAGGGTGTTGAAAAAGTGGTTTCAGGTAGGTCCATGCATAACAATCAATGTGAAATTTATTATTATCACAATCACAGGTTATATGGGTGGTCACATTCCAAATCCAACCTATGAACGAGTGTGCAATGGAAATACAGGTCATGCAGAGGTCATTCAAATTACATTCAAGCCATCGGATGTATCTTTTAAGGAATTGTTAGATGTATTTTGGAAGTGTCATGATCCAACTCAATTGAATCGCCAAGGTAAGAATCATTCGAAACTGTTTCAAAATCGAAAAATCAAATCTCTCTGACACCCTATCATTAGGACATGACATTGGAACTCAATACCGTAGTGCTATTTTTTATCATGATGAGACACAAAAACAACAAGCTCTAGAATCCAAAGAAAAGGCACAAAAGGATTTCACATCTCCAATTGTGACAGAAATTACAGCTGCTTCTGAGTTCTATCCAGCAGAGGAGTATCATCAAAATTATTTCAATTTAAACGAAAAGAGGAATCCTTATTGCAAAATGATCAGAGGAAAATTGAACAAATTGAATATGAAATAGTGAGAACAGAGCTAGTTCAATTCTCGCTTTCGTGTTGAATAAAATCTCAGAAATAATTACTAATAATGGATATTCGTCCAGTGTTCAAAATGTTGGCACTTTCATTTGGAGAACTTTCTGGTGTATTTTCGTGAAGAACGTTATCATTGTCTAACATGTTTGGATTATCACAAGCCGATGATGACAATTGCTGATTTGAGTTCAAAAGAACTCCTCCAATGCAAGGGGATGCTGTTGTTGATGAAGATAACATAGTATTGTTGTTGGTGTGGTTGTTGTTGTACGAAGTAATGTTTTCATTTTCATCTCCACTATCTTGAAATTCATCATTAGTATTCACAACAGAAATCGTTCTTGATAAATTCACAAACCCACTCTCAGGTATTTCATGTTTGCATCGTTGAAACATTTCAAAAGCTATTTCTACACTCCACTTGGCTTGACTCAAACAGTCCACACACAACCACCAATTTAGATTTGTTTTATGAGCAAAATCGAGTACCATGTTGACATAGAGTTGACAAGTTTCTTCATTGCAATTCGATTCTGAGAGAATGAGGCGGAGACCTAATTCTTTCGGAATACCAGTTTGTGAAAATATAACATTCGGAATTGTGTATAGAATTCTTTCACACCATTCATAATTCCAATTTGATTGCGAAAGTAGAGAAAAACAATCTTGTTGAGAAATATATTCGGAACATTTTATGGAGAGATTGTGAAGAATTTGTTGTTGTTGAGGATCGGAGGCGAATCCTGGTTGTTGTTGTTGTTGTTGCATGATGATTCTGTGGAGATTGTGATGATTGTGGAATAAAGTGTTTCAGAGAGAGAAGATGATGGCAATGTCTGCAACCGAGAGCGATTATTGATGACGTCAATTTGGCTATAGGTTGGCCTTCTGAGATTTTTTCGTAACTTGTCATCTCTTACGAGAATTGCATAAATATTATTGAGTCCCTTCATAATTATTTAATTTTTTAAAAAACAAAATGACGAAAACAGTCAAGCAAAGGTTTATGTGGCAGACCGTCAAGGCTCTGCACGAATTGAAACAGGGACTCTTTGAAACGGAGAAAAAACTTCGTGCTTCTCTCGGTTTTAAAGTAGCATTCATTGTTGGCCTTACAATATTGGGGTATTTACCCTATGAGCTGAGAAAAGTCTATTCAGAAAAACAACCCAGCATTTTCTCTTTGATGAATAAAGAATTTACACGAACGGAAGAGAGAAAGGAAGCCATGAAAAGACTTTTTGGAGAATGATGCAATTAAATTGATCATGGTAGTAACAACAACCACAATAATTTATTTCGGAAATCTCACTCTTTCTCTCTTTGAAGTTAATGAATACCAAGAATCATCATCTGATCTGCACTTTTGAAATTGTTCATAATGTTGATTTAAATAAAGGCGTCATCTGAATCGCCTCCTTGAGAAAGGGAGCAATAATTATCGATAACAATTTTCAAAACATCCAATCGATAGGGCGACAATAAATACAATTATGGTCAATAGCAGATTCAAAAAAAATCCCAAACCTTTCTCTCATTTTCGTTGTTTCTCCGACATGTCCCAACAACCTTCACCATCCAACAACACTCTCTCAGTAGGACTCTACCCATACCTCCCTGAAGGTGTTTTGGAAAAGATCAAACAAGCCTTCCCAACCCAAATTTCGGGATATCAAGTGAAATTTGTTGACTTTAATTGTTACGAAGATGAGGACTTGGAAAGCCTTCCTGATGTTGCATGTGTGGACACTACTCTTCTTCCTTTCTTGGTCTCCAAGGGAGGAATCAAGGCATTGGATGCTGAAACGGTGAAGAATGTTGCTGGTGAAACTTTTGATTTCGTTTCTGAAAGTGCCAAGGTGAATCAACAATTCTACGGTTTCCCACAATATTTATGTGCTAACTTTTTGGTGTCATCTCCTTCAGTTGCAACTCAACAAGTTTCATCCTTGTTGCAATTGGCTCAACAAGTCGGTTATGAAAAGATTGTTTTCCCTGGCATTACATCAGCAGATGCATACACTGTTCTTTCTTTGTATGAGCAATTTGTGAAATCATCCACATCTTCAATTATTGATTTGAAACATGATGATCTTCCACAGAAAGCAGAACAAGTAGATAGACAAGCTTGTGAAAAGCACAGAACAATTTTGAATTCTTCAATTATTGCATCCGACGCCGAGTTTGTTTCTTCAGTGAAACAACACAAACCTTTGGCTGATTATTATGTTGGATATAGTGAGAATTTGAGCGAAATCAAGTCTATTCTTGAGAAGGATAATTACAAGATTCAACTTATTGGAGCAAGCGATAAACCATTCGCCTATACTGACGTTTTGGTTTTGAACGCCAATTTGTGCGAGGAAAAGCAAAAAGTTGCTGTAGAGGCAGTTCGTAACTTGTTGACATGCCCAACAATTTTGCAAATCTTGTCTGATGGTTTGACTCTTCCTGCTAACAAGAGCAGCATTGAAAAGTTAGCTCAAACATCATCAATTTACAAACAGTTGTTGGAACAATTTAGCACAATGGATGTTAGAGTTTTGAGAAATGTTGATTTTGGATCAAATACTGTCAAGTCCACTGCTAAAGTTCTTAGACCATACCTCCAACACATTGCTGTTGCTACTTTACGTTGTTTGACAGCTGATACTGTCGAAAAAAGCAAAGAGTGGACATCCTGGTATGCCAATCGGAATGAGTCCAATTGCATATGTTTTGTGGAAATTCTTCTTTAAATCATCCAAAGATGATGTTAATTGGATCAACAGAGATCGCTTTGTTTTGAGCAACGGTCACGGTTGTTCTTTACTCTATGCCATGTTGCATCTCACTGACTACAACATGACGCTCGATGATCTCAAAAAATTCAGAACTTTGCATTCAAAGACTCCAGGTCACCCAGAATTTGGTCACACTGAAGGTGTTGATGCAACTACTGGACCATTGGGACAAGGTATTTGTAATGCTATTGGTATGGCTCTTGCTGAAGCACACTTAGCTGCTCGTTTCAATAAGGATCAACTCCCACTCTTTGACCACTATACCTATGTCTTTTGTGGAGATGGTTGCTTGATGGAAGGTGTTGTGACTGAAGGCATGTCATTTGCTGGCCATCAAAAATTGAACAAATTGATTGTCTTTTACGACGACAATAACATCACAATTGATGGTAACACTAACTTGACCTTCACTCAAGACACACCAGCTGTTGTTAAAGGTTTGGGATGGCATGTTATTACTGTCCATGATGCTGACAATGATTTGCTCTCTATTAAGAAGGCCATCGAGGAAGCTCATACTATCACTGACAAGCCAATCATGATTGTTTGTAAGACAACAATTGGTTATGCTACCAAGATGCAAGGAACTGCTAAGGTTCATGGTTCTCCACTCGGTTCTGATGCTTTGAAAAATTTGAAAGAAATTTGTGGATTCAATGGAGAGCAATCATTCATTGTTCCAGAAATTGTTAGACAAGATTTTGCTCCAATTATTTCCAGAAACAAACAACGTCTTGCTCAATGGAACTCATTGAAGCAACAATATGAACAACAACATCCAACAGAAGCACAACAACTCCAAAGAATGATTGCCCATCAATTGGAAGGAGACATATTGGCCAAGTTACCTCAATACAATGAAGACAAGAAGATTGCAACCAGATCAACCTCACAACAAGTTTTGAATGCAATTTATTCACTCATTCCTTCTCTTGTGGGTGGTTCTGCTGATTTGACTCCATCTAACTTGACCGATGTGAGTGGTTGTAAGGATATGCAACCTGAGAATAGAACTGGAAGATACATCAGATTTGGTGTTCGTGAACATGCCATGGTTGCAATTGCTAACGGTATTCTCTACCACGGTATTCTAAGAACATATGTTGGTACATTCTTGAACTTTGCTTCTTATGCTTTGGGAGCTCTTAGATTGAGTGCTTTGTCACAACTTCCAAACATCTTTATTTTCACTCATGATAGTATTGGACTTGGTCAAGACGGTCCAACTCACCAACCTGTGGAAGTTCTTCCATTGTTGAGATCAATTCCAAACCATACTGTGATCAGACCTGCTGATGGAAGAGAAACCAGCGGTGCCTATTTGTATGCTATCCAATCTACAAAGACTCCAACTTCCTTAATTCTTTCCCGTCAAGATTTGCCACAATTGAACGGTACTGATATTCAAAAGACACTTCTTGGTGCCTACACCATCCAAAGCCATGAGAATCCAGATGTTGTTTTGGTCGGAACTGGTTCTGAGGTGTCACTTGTTGTTGAAGCTGCTCGTTTGTTGTCTGATCTCAAGGTCAATGTTGTCAGCATGCCTAGTTGGGAGTTGTTCACCAAGCAACCTCTTGAATACAGAAAATCTGTTTTCCCAGAAGGAATTCCAGTTGTGAGTGCTGAAGCTTCATCAACATTTGGTTGGAGCAGTTTTTCTCACTATTGTGTTGGTATGACCACCTTTGGTGCCAGTGCTGCTGCTGAAGAGGTTTACAAGTACCTCAATATTACTGCTGATAATGTTGCTGATAAGGCAAGAAAGTTGGTTAACAAGTATGGCAAGAATGCACCAAGACTTCCACTTTCTGTTGTTGGACAAGAAGAGCTTTGAAGATGGTAAATAAATTATGTGTCGATCAGTTTTATAAACGTGTTAGCGATTCCAATTCTTGACTAAAAGGCGTATTGGAAAATGGTCAGAAACCTCAATGGCAAGGGATTGACTCAAATTCCACTTGTGAGAGTAAGGGAATACTTCGTATTGAGAAATATCCAATGAACGAGATTTTGGCATTACAAAGCGATCATAGGGGCAGTTGGTTTTCACCATTGTGTCATCATCATCCTTGATCAACCACTCAAAATTCTTATCTGTTCGTAATCGTATTTTAGCCCAATCGCTTGGACGTACATAACTACATCCCGCATTGAAATCACCAGTTACAAGCCAATTTGTTTGAACCAGCTTTGAGGTATTTTGTTGTGGCATGTAGTATTGAAAAACGTTGAATAAATGATCAATTTCTTGCACTGCATATTTTGGAGAGGTGTGGATGCCAGTTATAAAAAGCTGCTGATGAAAAGAAGAGTTTTTTAGATTAGTGAGAATCACAGAGAATGGAGGTCTTTCAAAATAATCAAACTGAACTGGAAATTGAAACGTTGAGCTTATTTGAGCCATTATGGAATCATAAATAAATGCTTAAAGAAATAATTATTAATTTGAAATTTAAAATTAAAGAACTTACCATACTGTTCTTTGCTTGAGGTTCTTCCTAACCTTTCACTTACTTGCAGTCGATATGACCTTGTATTGTTGGTGTATTGGTTGAGCTTATCTAACAAATCAACGATAGCAGACCCAGTGCTATCACGAACCTCCATGACAAAGGTGACATGACATTCCGATAGAATTTTCAGAAGAACATTGACCACATCTGCTTTGCTCATTTTCGTCTTACCAAAAACTTGAATATTGAAACTGCAAAACATTAAATCCTGATTGTTGAGTTTTGGAGAAGCTGATCCATGTTGTTGCGCAATGTTGAGATTTAGACCCTGAGTCGTTGTGAAAATTGGTGATGATAATGAAAAAATTATTAAAGAGGAGAGAATCACAGTTAGTGACACGGATGCAATGGAAGGGACAAAGATCGACATAAAGGTGTGGGGATGTTTGTTTTTCCTGTTTTTCTTGGTCTGTACTGATGTGTGTTGTCGAGACCAGATAAAAAATCTGGCAGGTGCTGATCTAACACTACAGTGGATGTCATCGATAGAATTTAGCATGGTTGTTTCCACTATCATACATAACAGTAGTTCTCCACTCCGTTCATTCACACCTAATCCACCCATTTGTGCAAATGACTGCAACCACTTTTCCCTCATAATACTTGTAAATCCAAGAGGCTTCATTACAGCCAAAAAATTTTAATACTTCTCGTTTGTCATCTTCTTGAAACTGTCTTCGTCAATCCAAATATTAGTTGGTTCTGAAGTAAGTGTTTTTTTAAAGTTGATAAATATTGTTTCTACTTCTTTTAGTTTTACAATGTGCAAAGGGCTCTCGTGCGTGTTGGTTTCCATATTCCGATAAAAACTCAATTCATTCATCTCCTCTAGGATCATCTTCATCTACGAGATGAACGTATTCTTCTGCTTGAAATGCATTTCTTTCATTTTTTCATTCAATTTTGTTGAAAGAACAGTAAACACAAAGCTTTCATATTGGAGCAGATCAACAAGAGAGGAGAGATCTAAAAAGGTGTTTACATTTGTGCTCACCATAAAAAAGCCGCACTGTTTCCAAAAGAAACAATCGAGTAGTAGCGAATTCTCTGTTCGGAGTTGAAAGAGTGGACGATTTTAAATCATCAAAAAGCAATCAAAAAGATCAGATGAAAATACCTTTCAAAGGGGTATAGTGGTGCTTTTCCGATAAACAACAAGTCGCTTGATGAAAAAACAAGACGTATTCCTTCTTCAACAACTACTACAACACAAACAATATTATTGCAACAACACTAGCGTTACTAATTTGCATCAAGTAATTTCTTGATGTATTAAGAATATTCTTCAAAAAAGTATTCAACTTTGAAAATGGCCACTCCGAATGAATCAAGACTTTCATTCGAGTATTATTCCACCAAGGCTTCATATGGGGATGTCCCAGAGGGTCAACAAGAACTCGCTATCAATTCAGAGCTCATTGAAATGGATGAAACAGTAGAAGGCCTGAAATTGGACACCACGATTCCTAGCAATGAAGAAGAAATCATTCAAACAAAGGATTCCAAGTTCAGTTCTATTTGGGACTGGTTTAAATCCAATGTTCTTTCACATGTCTTGATTTGGTGCAACTTGGCAATGTTTTCAGGCTTCTTGATTATAACACCTCATTCGATGAAAATTTTGCATCCTCTCATATTTGCTTTTGTTCGTTGCGTCATTATTGTGATCTCTTTATTTCCTTTGATGTTGATTGTGGACAAAAACTTTACATTCAAGAGCAAAAAATACATGATGAAAAGAGCTCGAAGGTTTAGAATTAACCATACGAATATTTATGGAAGTCGTTGTTTAGGATGGATTTATAATGTATTTTATGACGACAAGTCAGCAATTGTTTCCCATATAATACGAAGAATACCTGACTTAAAGAAAGCAAAGCAGCTGGCTATTTGTGGAACATTGGTAGTACTGAACCAAGTCTTGTTTGTTGCAGGTCTCTATTTAACAAATTCCACAATAACAGGCGTTATTCAACCAGTGGTGCCAGTGATAGTCTGTACATTATCAATGATGATGGGAAAAGAAACAAAATCCATACTCAAATTTATTGGAGTGCTTATTGCCGTAGGTGGAGGTAAGTATTGAAGAATGCAAGAATTGTGACTAGATAATGTGTGGGTTTAGCGATGTCCATGCTGCTGGTGTCTGCATTAAGCAAAAATTACCCAACAGCTAGAGAGCTTGAACCAGATTCCTATTCCAATTCGTCACCATTCGAAAGACTTCCATACTACTTTATCTTATTGCATGATGGAACCAAAGGAATCAGCTACTCGTTTATATTAGGATTGTTATGTTTGCTTGGCAACACCTTTAGTTATGCTATTTATTTAATCCATCAAAGGAACTTACTAGTAAGTGGAGTTCCAGCTGTGACTGTAACATTTTGGTCCTTTTTCTTTGGATTGGGCACATCATTCCTTTGTGCCTTGTATGCATTTCCATCATTTTCATTAAGGAAGGTAGATACCATGTCGGTATTAGGAGTACTTTATGCTGCCATTCCTTATGGGAGCCTTCAATTTGTAATAACTACATATGCCTCAAAACTCTCCACTCCAACGATTGTGTCAATTTATTCTACAGTCTCTCCTTTGGTTGCTACATCAGTTGGGGTCGTGTATTTCAAAGAGATTCCCTCTCCTCTAGTGTTGGTAGGAGCCGCTCTAATTTTGTTGGGGGTTCTCTTTGTAATTGGGGCTCGATATAAAGAAACCAGACAAGAACGTGCAAGATCAACAGATCCTACAGAAACCTCTGTACACGATGACATTGATGACACGTTGTCTTTTAATCCACTCGAACAAAAGCAATCCACAACTTCCTTATCTTCGACTACAAAGATTACTGAGCCATTAGATTTCTCTCCTTCTACACTTTCAGAGAGCATAGACTGTGAGTCTTCATCTGCAACTTCATTGGAAAGGAAGGTAGAAAACAATTGTACGGTTGAGCCATAATCTTTTTGTAGATCACAAATCATCTTTATGATTTTTATTCAGCAACTCTGAAATTTTAATCTTATCCAACCTCATTTCCTTTTGGTTGACAAGACTTTGCTTGAACCTGTGATGACAATCTAGCATTATAGTACAAAGCTCCTTTTCGATACTAGAGAACATATCGAAGGGAAGAAAATCAATTTGTTTTAAATTGTACGCATCAAGTACATCCTTAGCGACAGATATCAGGTTTTCTGGAATTGACACAGGTGTATCCTCATCACCCTCAAGTAAGGCATATATCTCGAAGGCAACCTCAAACTTCTCCTGATCAAACTTTGTAAATTTTTCTGAGACGTTTGACATTTTCTCCATTTCTAAGCATTTAACTGAAAGAGATTTAAAGTGTTGAATTTTTTCTAACAAACAATAATTATGCAAATTATCCTCTTTTTCACAATGCAATTTGAAGAGATTTCTAGTATTAGGATTCTCAATGGTATCCATTATCATAACTTCATTAGCTTTTCTGAACTTCTCAGTGTTTTTAGAATCTGTATTGATAGCATAGGAGAAAATCATAACAATTAGAGGAGAAAGCAATAATACTGAAACGACGATCACAGTAAGTTGGATAACAGTCGTAACGACGAGGTTAGCATCTTTTCCTTTTTCAATGCCTCTCACGTGTTCAACTAGATCCGTAACACCATCTTGAAAACTCTTTTTCACAGCTCCATATTCTGACGACTGTAAACGAGACACACTTTCATTGACTTGCCCAAAGGACAACATGAGATATAAGTGAGCATTCCAGGCAACCCATGCATTGGCCGCATTTTGAGTATACTTGAATTTGATCTTCATATCTTCACCTCCGAGAGACTCGACAATGGTTTCCATCAAATCAAGAAGCTGGTTCGATACTGCCGTATATTCTTTCATTTTGTTTGAATATTTATAATTAGTCTCAGCATCATTGCTCAGATTTGAATCTAGAGCTGTTTGATATACTGTGTTTAAGATTAATGTATTTGCCTGTTCGAAATAACTGTACACTTGCCCCACGGCAATTAATGTTTCTGAATTTCGTTGTGAGGCCACCACAAAAGTCGATATGGAAAAACCAGCCAACAACACCAATCCCATCACCGTGAGGATCATACCAATCAAGCATGACAGTTTCAAACAATTCAACTCTACCAAACCACAACATGTATTGATCACAAAGATTTGTCTTCTCACGCCTCTGTAAAAGAGAGGAAATTTCATGGATTTCTTGGAATTGTGATCCGATATGGGATGACCATGCATGGCTGTCGTTGTGAGACGTCCTGCAGGAACTGGATTTTTGCTCGTGTTTGATAGTTGCAAATTCGACAAGGATGCCCTAGCATTGTGATGAGGTTCTTGTATCGAATGGTGAGCTGGGTTGCCTGTTGAGGAGATTGTTGGTTGGTTAAAGCTTTCATTGTGGTGATGATCATCTCCATCCTCCTCGTGTTGGGGATGGTGAGAGGAGGCAGTCGACGAGTAGCTCGATGGAGAGAGAGTAACGCTCATTGTTTTGATGATTGCATTTTGTGGAGATGTTGTTGTGATGTCTCGGTTGCAAATGCTGCGAGATATAACTTTACATATCTTCAATTTCTCCAAGTGTCCTTTTTTTCAGAAATGACCTGAAGTGACGTCTCATTAAGGATGAAGGGTCTCCTCTTAGGTTTCAAGGAAACTTTTACATAAGAAAATTCCTGCGCATGTGGTGAAAAATGTCCTCTAAAAGTGCAATTTTCCTCCGGAGTTGCTTTTTGGGATCACTGAGGTTGAATTTCCTCAAACAACAAAAAAAAAAGTCTTCTCTCTGTCTCGGCTCGATGTCTTCTTCAGAACACTCGGAAAGTGGTAGTCAGCAAGTAGTAACGAATGATGTGCCTACTCTGTCATCTTTGCAAACAAGTTCGGAACCACGAGAATTAATCATTGAAGGCTCCACCCTTCAAGAAAATAGTTCTACCCCCATCAACACAAACCTTGCGGTTGAAGAAAGTGCAGGAGCCTCTTCTTCATCATCCTCTTCTCCATCTGCAACATCGTCCACAGCAACAACAATAACAGTATGCGTTACCGGAGGAACTGGATTTATTGCCTCACATCTCATCTACCAATTGCTTCAAAAAGGATATAAAATTCATACCACCGTGCGTTCCTTGCCGAAAGGAAGAGACGAATTATTTCAAGCTTTGCTCAATTATCAAAAAGAAACAATTCCCGATGCATCCAATCATTTCTTTGATGAAAATTCATTGAAAGAGCGAGTACAATGCTTTGAAGCGGATCTTTTAAAAGAAGGAAGTTTTGAACAAGCGATAAAGGAATGTCAATTTGTTCATCATGTTGCTTCGCCATACAAGGTCACCGTGGATGATCCACAACTCGATTTAGTGGATCCTGCTGTCAATGGAACGCTCAACGTTTTGAAAGAATGTGTCAAATTAAGAGAAACTCAATCGAATGAAGATGACAAGAGGTTAAAGAGGATAATCCTAACCTCCTCCATTGCAGCAATCGTGGACACAGCGGAGGAAAATAAGGTTTACGATGAAAACGATTGGAATACCCTATCAAGCTTAAAATGGAATCCTTATTCGTTTTCAAAGGTCAGTGCCGAGAAAGCAGCCTGGAAATTTATGAAAGAATGTGAAGAGAAACATGGTAATGTAAGTGTTACAAGTTGACGAGGATTTTTTAATTTTGTGTAAATAATAATCCCCTTACTATTTGTGACGAAAGGACTTTTTGGAATTGGTTACTATATGCCCCAGCCAAGTCATTGGAAAAGCAATCATGCCAAAACAAGTCAATCAAAGTCATGAAGGTATCATGAAAATTGCAAATGGTGAATTTCCAGTTATTTTCTCATTGTATCTGCCGTTGGTTGATGTCATCGACGTAGCAGCAGCTCATATTTATGCCATGGAGTATGAAATGAACAACAGAACAAGATTTTCTCCTTCCAAAGTTGAAAGATTTATTGTTTGTTGTGAGACTGTGGCCATGTCCAAAGTCGTCGAAATATTACGAGAATTATATCCAAAAGAATCAAATCCTTGGACAAAGCGACTGCCCACCACCAAGTTAGAAAGTGGATTTGGAAATGCAGTGGCCAAAGTTGCAGGTCTATTTCAACCAAAAGGAATTCGGCAATACATCAACAGCTCCATTGGAAAGCCTCAAAATTTTAACACCACAAAGATTAAGGAAACATTTGGAATGAAATTTATTGATACAAAGGAGACCATCAGAAATACTGTGGATTATTTGATGAACATTGGAATGATTAAAAAGTAAAGATTACATGTTTTAAGGTCGTGACATTGTCTCGTCGTCTCGAAACTTGAATTCCACATCAACAAAGGAATGATTACAAAGCAGTTTGCGATTTTCTTCGCACTCAACTCCCTTCAATGAGGGACATGTGAACACAGTGATCACTTGCTGTTGTGTTTGTTTCAAAATTCCATCATCCTTGACTGTGAGTGCAAAAGTGAACTCTTTGACCTGTTTTTCATTCATTAAATTAATGGCATACACCTCAAGGGTATATTTATGATTGAAATTGCGACCCTCCTCAATGTTTTTAAATTGTGAGAGAATCCACTTAAAGCACGCACCTATTAAGTGATCAGTGTCCTCTCTCGATCGATCAGAATTAAGGATCTTTAACAAGCGATCTCTTTCATCATTTCCCAAATGACTCATCCTGTGAACAAAAATATCGACATGGGTCATTAGAAGTATTTTCCTTCGTTCTTTCAAACTTGAGAGAGTCATGGTTTTTTCAAACAAGTTCAAACTCTCTTCTAATCGTGTCTCGAACTCTGATGAATCCAAACAAGGTAAATCAAAATCTGCCAATGAAAATACAAAAACCACACTTTTCAAAAGAAAAGTTGAGGTTGGCTTGGTGGAAGCATTGATAGTCATGACCACTAAATCTCGTTGTGAAGAAAGTCCAGGAGTATCAATCATTGTAAATTTTTGTAATTTTCGTTTTTCCATTGCATCGAGTGGTGCATTGGACGATTCTTGCATGACTTTTGCAATGGAACTCGTTGCATTTCTTGAATTGGTAAATTGAGATTGTGGACTCGAACAAGTATTATTCTGTGCATTCATGAATCGAGAAGGTGATTTTGGAGAAGTACTCATTGCCATGTTGTTGTTGTTGTTATTACTGTTCGATCTCTTTCGAACCATTTCCATTAATTTCTGAGCAGCACTTGAAGGCTTTCTGGATGACATTGGACTTCTTGGACTCGTACCATTCAGATGCCATTCAGATTCCTCTTGTGAAAGTCTTTCATGAAGAGTTGGAGTCTGAGAAGAAGGACTATTCACTCTTGATGAATTCAATGAATTGTTTCGAGAGGAAGTATTACCTCCTCGTGCACTCTTTGGAAGTAAAGGTGATGATGATTGCATTCCAACAGTATTCATTGTTTGTAATTGAGCTCGATTCAAATCAAGTTTTGGAATGCGAATTTTAAGAGAGCTATTATTTGTTGTTGTTGATGATGATGAGGAGACAACCACAGATGAACATGTATTACCACTACCACCACAAACACCACCAACGCCACCACTCGTATTGATGTCTTGTTGATGATGACTCTTTGTTGTATTCTTCAATGGTTGAGTTTGTAGTAGATTAGTTGTACAATCATGAATGGTTGCTCCTTCAAGCTTTCTTAATTCTTTCTTTCTCTTTTCAATGACTCGAATGACTCGAGTACAAATCGATCGTTGCGAATATTGAAATTTGAGTGATTGGATCGATGTGGTGAGAACTTTGGCTTTTAACACAACCTCTTCCTGTAAGATATTGTTCAAAGGATTATTCAAGACCTCATTGGCCAATCGCAACAATACTCGCTCTTCCTGAAGGAAATAATGCAAATAGTTTCCATAGAGCATTTCATGAACCATTCCAACAGTCTCAACACTGCCACAATCACAACCACAATTACAACTACACGTATCCACTGGTTTCAAGAATTCTTTTTGACCACACAAGGAGTGGCCATTCTCTCGATTAAAGCTGCTGACTCCATAGTAGATTTGAGAAATTTCTGGCTCTCGAAATATAGCACATAATTGACGTAACAAGTCATGATTCATCCACATGGATTGTAACAGGTGTTTAGAAAGTGGATTTAAAAAGAGAGTTTCAAAGGGTATCCATTGTTCCTCTTTTGAATATTCTTCTGTGATGCATTTCAAATTCCTCTTTGAATTGTTGTTGTTGTTACAAGTATTAATACTATTTCCACAACTAAAACCACTGATCGATTCCTTTAAAGAAGTTGTTGTTGTGGAAGGCGATCGTTGGTTAAATAAGAGATCCATCACGACAGAATATCGAGAGAATAAGTGTTTCCAAAGGGAGCAGGAACAGCAGCAGCAACTCGAACAAGTTGAAGTGGTAGTAGTCGTTGAAGTTTCAGAGTCGACGAGAGATGGTTCTTCTTGTTGTTCATGGATATGACTTTCGGAAGAAGAAGAATTGGACACTTGGGAAGAATCCAAAGATGATTCGAATTGCTTCTTTGTCCGAATAGCTAAAAGGATCAATCGTTTCATACTCGTGACAAGATAGGTCATTAAGGCATTTCCAAATTCAATTCTTTCGGATTGTGAAAGCGATGAAGATTGAAATTTCCATTGATTCCACAATGTGGCTACCATTGGAGGAATAAAGTCATCCATCACCAACATGTATTCAGGAATATTGACATTCGAAATGGGTGAAGCACACAAGAATGGTATAACATATATTTCACGTAGGATCATGATGGTTGATATATTGGAATTGATGGATTCACTAATCAACACAAAACTATTATAACAAACAACAACTTACATTTTCCAGAGTCACAACTTCCAACCAAAATCACCCCAAATGGTAATCCACTCTTTTTCTCGTGTTCATCCATTTGAGATTGTTCCTTCACCAGTCGAAGTAAATCAGCAGTAAATTCCATATCTTTGGTTAATGCATTTATATCATGACTGTCCTCATCCGATTGTGGGTTTGAATTCATGAATGTTGATGGATTTGATAAAACATGGACATTCTCGGAAGAAGAAACAAAAGAGGAGGTCATTGAACGTTGTGATTTACGTTTGGAAAAGTACTTGGAATGGGTTGCATGGTGGTGTTGGTCACCATTCGAAGGAGAAGATGGTTGGATCTCATTAAAGATGTTTGGATTGGAATGGTGGACGGTGGTCGTATGGTGATTGCCCATGAGTAAGATCTCACAATCAATAGTACAGCTAGGTTGTCTCTTTTGTACTGAAAAGGATTGACACGGAGGATATGGTCACGTAATCATGCGACACAAGAAGGATGTCACTTTTTTTTTTGTTGTTTTTTTATTTTTCGCCTTTTTTAGAAATATGAGGATTTGTGTCAACTGTCTTTTCCAAGGGGCTTGATTCGAATAGGCTGAAATTTACAAATTGTTTAGCTCGTTAATAGCCATTGAAAGTAGAAAATAACCATTAATACGATTAATTCATTTCAAAATTAAAGAAGAGAAGAATAAATAACATCATTAGATTTCGTACAAATGCATGAACCTCCATCTCGTTCAAAACTCTCTCGAGTGACACAAAAAGGTGAAACCCATTCAGGTACACTTGTCAAGATACTCGCTCCAATCCATGCTAAATTTCTCACTTGTTGTGAATGTGAATGACGAATGACAATTTCATGACCCAATAATGAGCTTAAATCTGAAGAAAGACGTTCATGGAAATTTTCAATGAGAGGAATAAATCCATTTCCTGAAACAATAATGTTATTCTCCAAGTCCAAGGATTCATCTGAAATGTATGAAATGCAATCAGAAATGAGTTGTGAAAGAGAGTGGAGTGATTGTTTTGAAAAGAATAAGTCTTCCATGGTTGTCTCTATCATTTCATGTCCGAATGGAATGTTCGAGAAAGAGATCATGTCATTGGAACATGAAACTTGATCTTCTCCATTCCATTGTTCGAATACATTTCTTTTACAACGTTTTAAATAACTTTGTTTTACATGATTCAATAACTCTTGTGTAACGTTTAGATTTTCATTTCCTTCCACCAACTTGAGTCTTCTCTCCAACTCTTCATTCAACTTCTTTTCACTCATTCCACCATTTTCAATCACCCTTAATGAATCCATTCTCACTTGTCCATCTACAATTGCCACTACATGACTGGTTTCATATCCCAAATGTACAACCATTGCACTTAATTTCGAACAAGCCAATGATGTCAAATACGAAGCATCTTGAATGGATAAATATTTCACATCTCGTCGACGTTGAAAAATAATTTCAGTCATTTCTTGTCGAACAGTCAAGTCCTCGTCGGCAAGATGACGACTTGATAATGGTGAAACAATGATGAGAATGGCACGTGAACAAGATGATGGTTGTTCCTTGTTCTCTTCTTCTTGCAAGAGTGTGGTACGTGTAGAAATTTCAGAAAATACTCTTTCCATGAGGTGTGAAAGTGAATCATTAGGATGTGAGGTGAAATTGAAGACACATCTCGGAATATCTTCACCTCCAACTCCGACGGTAATTTCTTGAGAAGAGGAAAGGTCGATAATGATTGTTTCAATGTTGTCGTCGTTGTCATCCTCGTCGTCGTCGTCGTCTTGTACAAGACTCTCGAGGACATGATCGGCAAATACATCAAATTCGTGTTCGGATGGCATCATGGAATTCGCATTGGAATATTCATTGATGACTGGATCAACTGTAGAAATTAATTCCGTTTCTTTTTCAGAGGTGTCCTTGCTGCTGTGATCGCTTTCGTTGTTCTTTTCCTTGTCGTGTAAACTTGAAGAGGATCCTTGATGGTGAGGGTGTGATAAAGATGACATTTTTTGAATTCAAGTGTGTTGTTGAGAAACAGCCACAAGTGGTGAAAAAATTGGTTTAAAAGAGGTGTGTCACACAGCTTTATTTCACATCAGGTTGACATTTCAAATGTGTGGACAACACAAGGGGAACATTATTTCCACCAACAATGTTTCTGCTACTTCAAATATTCTTGACACAATTCCAAACTTGTTTCCCACAATCGATCTTGCAATTCGGTGGAATTCTCCAATGGATTTCCAACCTTTTCCTTACAATCACTATAATAATTTCCACCCTTCAAACTTGAAGAAGGAGATAGAGCAAGATGCAAACTCGTCTGTGCTCCATCGAGTGGCGACTTTGTAAAGTAATAAAAGATTGGAGTCACTACAACCATCAACCATCGAGGTAAATGTCTCCCCAAATTTGTACGAACCACTCCTGGATGACACGAATAGCTTGCAGCATTTGGGGAATCCTTTTTCAATTCTCTGTCCAACTTTTTAGTGAAAAGTACATTCGCAAACTTGGAACGAGAATATATTTTACCCACTGACACTCCCAAATTGCTTCCATCGCCCTTGACTGACTCTTCTGTGAATGAAGCAAAGGTTTTGGTCTCTGCTTGTTTAATTCCAGAAGCTGCAAGTGAAGAAACATTAATGACGCGACCAATGCTGGATTTCTTGATGAGATCGAGTAATAATAAAGTTAATAAAAAGTGACCAACATGATTCGTTCCAAATTGAATCTCAATATTTTGCTTTGTAGTTGCAAAGGGGCACATCATAATTCCAGCATTGTTAATCAAAATATCCAATTCTGAAAATTGTTTTTTAAATTCTGTGGCAAATTGTTTCACACTTGCCAAATCAGTTAAATCCATGAGCATGACTACCAATCGATCAGAACCTCCATGATTCTCTTTTTCAATCAATCTCTTGGATTCATTTCCATTCTTTTCATCACGCACAGCCAGAATCACAGTGGCTCCGACAGAATGTAAGACTTTGGCAGTCTCATAGCCAATACCACCAGGACTAGCACCAGTAACAATCACAATCTTTCCTTTCAAATTAGATTTCGACAACAAGTCAGCACTCACTTGACCTCCATTGTAATACTTCTTTCCTTGATAAAGCAACAACAAGGACGAGACACCAGCAACAACGGAGGAGAGAATGGGACGAGAAGAGAAGGTCGATGAAAGATGCGAGATAAATGATTGAAACATTTTTTTGAGCGAAAAGACTTGTTGGCGACCGTAAGTGCGATGAAGTGAACACCCGACAATAGTAAAAAAAAGTGAATATTCGTCATCAAGAAATCCAATCTTTCAAGGAATGTAAGCGGGTAATGACCACAGGTTGGATGCGTTGATGCATTCCCTCTGCCCGCGATGGACACCAAAGCTCGTTGATAGAGGCTCCCCATGAAGGAAAATTCTTTTTCTCTACAAGCATTTTCCAGGTATGAAGCCGTTGTTAGAGTGAGAGAGTTCGAAGTTGCCTCGTGTCAGCTGCCAGAGAGGCCTAGAAATGCGATCGCTTTTGTGGTTTACTTTAATTTTTTGATTTTTCTTCTGAAACTTGAATTGATGGTAAACCTCGTAACGTTTATTGTCCACAAATGTGGAGCTGAACTTTCCACAATCAACACAGTAATATTATAAAAGACGAATTTTCCACATGTATTCTCTCCATTTACTTTCTCAAGTTTCTGTCGGATTCATAATACTGAGCTACCTTTGGATTCTTTGCGACAGTTTCCTTCAAGGCAGCAAGCTTTGGATAAGCGGTCAAATCTTGACCCTTTCCAATACCAGACAACAAATCGAACAAGAACAAATCTGCCCAAGTAAGAGAGTCGCCAACAAGATATCCGGATGGTTTGACTTCCTTTTCGAGAGCCTTCAAAATCTGAACGAATGGTCCTTCGTAGTATTTCTTTAGATCTTCATCCTTGTTTGGACTGAAGAATGCCTTGAAGTAAGCATCATTCAAATCCTAAATGATGCGGAATTATCGAGAGGAATACCAGAGTATCCATTGAAAAGAATGATAAATTTACGAAGATCAAATATTCAACAGGAAACCAAACCATTAATATTATAATAATAATATTTGGATTATTTGTAAAACAATGTAGTGATGATGGTCGTAACGATCAATAAGTGACGATCAACTTGGAAAAAATACTCACCTTGATGGTGTTGACATATTCATCAGAGAATGATGCATCAATGTTGGAGGATGGATACAAATTACCTTCACGAGCGACGAATCGAGCGATTGCGATCGATTGGCACAACTCGAAGTCTGGATTGTCAGATGACTTTAAGAAGGGGAGTTGGCCATACTTGGTTTGTTGCTTTAATTGTGGCCACTCTTGGAAGCTGACTGGCTTGAAAGTGTAGGGAACACCTCCAACTTCGGCAATGAGTTTGATTGCTTCCTATCATTGTATATAGTTCAACGAGAAATCAATTGATTGGGAAATTGATGATTAATATTATGATCATCATCACAAATACTCACAGCTCTACCTGGAATGTTAAAGTAAGTTAATTCGTAGACCATTTTATGTGTTTGGATTGTAATTTTTTTTTGTTGATTACATCTTCTCGTGTGTTGTCTTTGCTACATGTGAAATTTTGGAATTCGAAAGAACGGAAGCATTATCTAGTAGAGGAAGGACGCATGAATTGTCGTGAACAAGTTTGGTTCAAAACGACAGTTTTCTGCTGTTGAACATTTACTAGTTCGATCTTGTTGGTGCGGTTCCACTGCACACCAAAGGAGCAAGTGGAATACCATCTTAAAAAGCTACTGAGGTTCTTCGCTTGGTGATTTTCTTTGCCCCTGTTTAGGACCTCGTCTATTTAGAATAGCATCCCGACATTGCTGCTTTGGTGTGGGTGTTGCGGTTTGCAGTGGGCTATTTGCAACTTTGAGGCGGAAGGAAACTCCTAAAAAAGAGGGGTCAATGCCTATAACTGTAATTCGGCCTTTACTTTCGAAAAAGGTACAGAGCGGGAGCCTCAAAAGCACCAACAAAACAAAAACCACCAAGACTCAGTCATCTTGCCTATAGTCACTACCCAACAATAGGCTTTCTCTTATTCGCATTCCCATTCAGTCTTCTTGTTTTTGAAATACACAACACACCATGATTCAACACAAAGAGAGCGGAAACAACTTGTCATCCATATCAGAGGGAAATCAAACAGCAGAAACCGGTACCTCCACACATTCCCAAAATACTACCTGGGTAAAGGTACAAAGTTCAATTACCTCTATTGCTGTTACATTGCAAGACAAGCGAAGTAGAACAACATGGAAATATTTCTTGTTGATTATATGCATGCACATCTACACCATGTGGAACTCTATATTTATACCCACCCTTGGAAACTATCATTGGGGCGAGTACGGAGCATGGGTATTTAAAGCAGTCAATTATCCTTACACATTCTCTCTTGACCTGATTTCCTACAATGCCATGATAGGATTGGCTGTTGCAAGCCTTGTTTTCCTTTTGATCTATTTCATCATTCTTTTTTTTGCATACCGAATGGTCAGCAATACAAGCAAGTACTCGGTCAAGGCCAAGATGATAGTATTGGTATTAAGTTATGGTATGATATTCGGTAGTAACACTCTTGCTTTCATTCTTTCAAGCTTTATTGATTGCAATACCAACTCGTACATATCTTTGGATGGATATGACCAGGCCGTGCAGGCACTTGCAAGGTTTCCTAAGGAAGCTTGTTATTCATCACTCAATATTGGACTTATTGTTGCATGTTTCTTCGGGATCATCATGCTCACTATGACCACTTTCATTGCTCACTCAACCATTGCGAATTTGCATCCTCATAATATGGCTCCTTTTAGAATGGAATCGTCATTTACCTTCTCACTTCTCCTCTCGTTTAATGCTCTAGAAATCATGCTCACTTTTGTGGTTCCTCAATCTGTTGTATATATTCGAGCTGTGATACATATTGTTTTCTCAGTGGTGTGGTTGGTTGTCCTTTATTTTCAAACTCCATTCTTTAGGAGAGCGGAAAATTCGATTTACTTTGCGTTTGGAAGCGCCAAACTAGGTGCTGCCATTGGTTCATTAATTTCGAGTGTCTCTAACCCCTCATATATGTGGGATTTAGGGTTGGGAATGATAATCCTGACAATTGGCCTAATTCTCATCTTTTTTATGTTGGGTTTTATTGCCATGGAATTGTACTCTCGATTGGTGTTGAAGAGAGTAGAGTCATTGATGGAAAGGATTGTCATGGAGAAGCAAGGAGTCAAGGAAAGCGGCTCAGTCTTCTCAGAGAGAGCAGTTGAAAAAGATGCTCTGACCATATATGTAGAGCTTGAAGAACATGGCTTGTTGCGCTACTTGGCCATGTATTTGAGATTTTCCATAGGTGAAATTTCTTTGAAAAATAGTATTGTGCCTGAAACCTTGCCAAATAGCAAGGCACTATCATTTGTGAAAGGAGTTGCAAACCAAAAAGCGTTTTCCAACAGCTCATTACTGATATGCGCTGCTCTGATTATTGCTTATGGATGGAATGATGAGAATTCATTTATATTTTCAATAAGTCTTTTGAGAAAGGCAGTTCGTCATGCAGACCTATTGGAGAAAATTGTTATAAGAGAGAGAGAAACAGAAATTGAGGTGGACGCAGCAGATGCCAAAAATGTCGTGGAAATTAAACACACCTTAGAGAACACAACTAAGTGGCAAGACGAGTTAAAATCACTACATCGATTGTTTTGGAAGGAGTTGATGAATGAAATACCAAACATGGAGAAAATCGACCAAATGAACAGGAGAATCTCGTACCTGACATCCAAATGCGAATCTGCCTTCACAAATTTGATGGCGATTGCGTCAAAAGATAAGACTGTTCTGAGAGCCCATGCTCTATTTCTAGAACATTTTTTGTTTGAAAAGGATTACGCACAAGAACTGCTCGCTGAAGCATTGGCTATTGAAGAAGATGAAAATACGAAACGCTCAAAACAAAGATATCCATACAAAAGGGTTATTACTAAGGGAATGCTTTCAAAGAGTATCACTCAACCCTATGAAGAGGCACGAATGGTAAGTAATGTATGATTTGTTTCTTGCTGCTAACACAATTAATAGTCTGTAGAATCAAAACTTGATTTGGTGGAGTTAGAGAAGGAAGAATCGTTTAGTGGAGTTGAAGGAAAGGGAGAATCCAAGAAAGAAACTATTTTCAAATATGCGCTTCGTGTTCCTCCTCCACACCGATTCCAATTATTCCTCACCATTTCATCAATAGCCCTCTCATTCATTGCCCTAATCCTCTGCTCAGTATTTTCACTTATGGTGTCCTCTTATATTGCGGAAAAGCCTCAAAAAGAGTATGATATTTGTCGATCTTCCATGGCAACAGCTGGCCTTTTTAGAAGTGTAAGATTAATTCAGAATGTGATGGAAATGTTCTCCGGAAAGTACAACATTACAAATGAAGTGAAGGAGCTCTATCGAGAATTCGCAATGCATCGTTACATAAGAATGAACGGATATGTCGACAACCTAAAGGTAATACCAAAGTACGCTCAGTCGTCGGTCTTCAGTTCAGGCATGTTTGAATTTTACATCGCACCAAATATTTCAGTAATGATTCCTTTCATCGCTGAAAATTCCAAAGATCAATCCTACCTGTCCTACTACTTGAGAAATTCCTCTATGGAAGAAATTAACAATCTTGTGATTAGATATTTCGACAAGATTACAAACAAATGGACTGTAGCAGATTTCAATGCTCCTCTGTATGACTATGAGTTTTCCTATCTCTGGATGAACAAGATTCCACTTGGCGGATTCTATACCACTTTCTGTGAGTCACTGGTATCGAATAACAATATCGATGCAAGTCAGTTGGTGAAAACACAAATGATCTCATGTTTGGCAGTGTGTATTGGATACGGTGTTTTTGCTTTGATTTTTGTTCTACTTTCCAGGATGGAATTAACATCCACAAAGAGGATTATTAAAATTTATGAAGATAACCTTTCAAAGAACGTTATTGGAAGAGTTTACCATGAGTTGGGTTCTAAAGATGACGACTCTGTTCATCAAGTATCCAAAAATATTATGACAATTCCCAAGAACTTTATTCCCGTGCTGCTGTTACTCAGTATTATTCTCGTGTGGATTTGTGGGGGATTAATGTACATGGAAACAAACTTGAATTTTGATAATGCGAAAGTAACTGGTAAGTTTTTTGTTCATGCATAAAGAATTAATTCAACAACCATAAAAATCAAAGGACAAACAATTACTGCTGGATCATTTGTGTTGAGATATGTACACCGAATCGCCTACAGAGTGGGAGAATATTTCACATTTTACAGCATTCCACCAGGTGTACCTGTAAACAATCCTTTACTTACCACTAACGCAGAGTTGTTGGCTTACAGGCTTCAAGTAAGATCCTATGTGACAGAAATCAACAACAAGTTTAACAATTTGGTGTATGGAGAATACAAGACAATAGGAAGATATGAAAAAATAGATGACTTGCTGAAAGGAGTTGCCAACTGCACTCTACCCTCCAATGCCACCTTCTTGGAACAGTTTACAAGCTGTTTCGGATTGGAAACAATGATTTCGATGTTCTCTAGTCAAACTTCAATGCTGAATGATAAGCTATTCAACAAGGAATATCAAAACAAAACAACTGAAGCTTTCAAAGAATATTTTTTGCTTTCCTTGATGGGAGATGCACTGTCTGATTCAATTAACTATTTCATGAATACGTTCGCAAAAGAAGCCTCCACTCCAAAACTAGAAATTGGAATTGTGTTTACTATTATCGGATTGATAGGCCTTTGTGTGTTGAATTACAATTTTTATAATTCCATAACAAACCATTACAAGCATGTTCAAAGTTTACGAATGATGCTCAATTACATTCCCCTTAATAATTTAGATTCGAATGAGACTCTTCGTAACTTTATTTTGCACAACCAAATTCCAAACAAATTGACGGCATTCTTACAGAAACAAAGCAAGAAAGACCTTTCTCACAGTGACACATCAGGTATTAGAGCTTTGCTTAATGCCTCTGTAGATGGAGCAATTTTGTGTAATGCTAGTGGATTGATAGATTTAATCAACCCAGCCGCACAAAGAATGTTTGGATACAAACAATCAGATATTGTGGGAATGCAAATTTTCACAATTTTCCAAAAAGGAGACCGAGAAACTATTGAAAAAACAATTAGCGAACTTAAATTGAATACAAGAAACAGTCATGATGCTACCTCCGGGGACAGTCTTGAATTAGAGTGTGTACGAAAGAATCAGTCGACATTTCCTGCTACCATTAATATGTTTACCGCTAATCTTGGTGGTGCTCAAGTTCTTGCATGTGTCATCAAGGACATCACTCAAGAAAAGAAACACAACGCTTTGTTGGCAGAAGAAAAATCAAAATCCGAACATTTACTAAGAAATATTTTACCAGAGGCGGTTGCCGCGAAGTTGAAATCAGGGGAGACCTTTATTGCAGAGAAATTTAATGACATTACGTGCTTTTTCAGTGACATGGTAAACTTTACCAATATGTCATCTTCTCTAAATCCTTCTGAGCTAGTGATGATGCTGAACACGGTCGTGAATGGATTTGACGCATTGACTGACAAGTATAACTTGGAAAAGATTAAAACAATAGGAGATGCCTACTTTTGTGTTGGAGGACTGTAAGTAACAATTACAAACAATCAAAGCTAACACAATATTCAAGACATTTGCAATCGACTTCTGATCATCCTGAGCGTTGTTTACGATTTTCTATTGAAGCTCTCACGGTAGTTCATGATTACAATCGAGGGAATAGTGATCAACAAATTAACATTAGAATTGGACTCAATACAGGTGGTGCAGTTGCAGGTGTGATTGGAACGAAAAAGGTGAGTTGATATATTGTTGTTGTTTACTGATTTACTATTGTTGAAATTATTACACGGAAACAGTTTGCTTATGATTTGTGGGGAGATACGATCAATGTTGCATCAAGAATGGAGTCAACGTCATTGCCAGGAAGAATACACTTGAGTAGATCTACCTATGAAAGAGTTCATGATTTGGAGTTTGATTTTGAGGAACGAAGTGTGGAAGTGAAAGGTAAAGGAAAGTGTCAAACCTATCTATTGAAGGCCCACCACCATGTCAACCCCTTATACAATGCTCTCGAGGAGCTAACAAATAATTTCCAAAACAACAACACAGTTCCATCCGATCATGAATAATAATTATTGATTTCAGAAAATAAGATTTCGACCCTTTTCAAGACACGATGAGAATCTTCGAACCTTTTACTACCTCTGTTGCGTTGCTTTCTGTGCAAAAGAAGCCCTCGGTTGTTCGACTAAAAAACATGAATTACATTCGTGCTCTACGACAAACTCGAACAATCAAGATTATACATATAAAGTAATCGAGTTATGGTTTTATATAATTTAAAACAAATCGCCTGAAGTAGAAGACATGAGGCTTGAGTGACAAAGAGGACAATGGTGATACTTGTAAATCTCACTCTCAATAGCCCGATGTTTGCAAGTTGGGCAAGTCCAAAAATCTTGATCTCCAATATTTCGTCCCGTGACGACACAAGCATAAAATTGAACATTACAAGAGTTGCATGAACCTTCATAATCATAGGTATCGGCTCCACAAGTTGGGCATGGCCTTGTTTCCAGATCAACACTATTCACAGGACTATCTCTGAAAATATCTATGGCAAGTTGTTCATACTTCTCCTTTTCTTCCTCTGTTAATCCTTCCATGGATTCTAGTTTGATAAATGCTTTTGAACAAACTTTGAACTCTTTAGCATAGAATCCAGCAAGAGCAAGCAATGAATACAATTCCTTTGGTGCAAAATATTCTTCGTAGCATGTCACTAGTCTCATTGCAGTATTAAGGCAATCAGCTAGTTTGAATTCTGTCAACTGTTTTTGTGCAAGAAGGAAAAAGTGATAAGCTTCTGCTCCTCTCCATGGATTTTCAAAATTGGTGGTAGCGTCATGAGAAAGCATTGTTTGGAGGGCCTTATTCGGATTCATTCTCATAGTTTGATCATTTAACAATCGATTCCTGTACCTCTCAATTTCAAGAGCAGACAAGACGTAAAACTTTTTAGCTCGAAGTGGTGACAACTTTGTCTTTCCTTCTTCTTCAGCTAACTTGACTAGAATCTTCGCTGATTCTGTATTTCTATTGGCCTTTTGATAGAGCTCAATGGCAGAGGATAAATCTCCACGAGAAACCAAGTGATTAGCATACTTGTAGAGAATATCCTCAATTTCACCCATATTATGTTTTTCTGCCAACGTGACAGCTTCATCCCATTGATTCAATTCTACACAAACGTCAATAGCTTGTTTGATTTTTCCACCTTTTACCAAAGCTTGAATGGCCTGTAAAGATAACCCAATGGATGCCAATTTGTCACCAATGACAGGAAGCAAAGGATTGTTTTCTGGAAGCTCTTCAATCATTCTTTCAAGAGATTCAAAATCTTCAACTCTATAATAAGCTTCAATTAATTTTTCAAAGTTTCTTGATTTGAGATAGAACTGAATCGATCTGTCCCATTGCTGTCTGTCTGAATAATAATCTCCTAAATGATTAAAAACGTCCACCATAAGTTCATCACTACCATTCATTTCTCTCACCAAAGCGAGCACCTTTTTCCAGTCACCATATCGTTTTCTGAGATCAATGGCTAAATCCTTTCTGTCGATAGAACGATAAATTTTCTCAGCTTCATCCAATCTATGAAAATATGCTTCAATCTCTGCTTTTTGCTTTGCCTCATTATCTAATTGTTTGATTTGTTTAACAAAATAAACACCATGGTAATCACCACATTGAATATAAGCTTTGTATGCCATGTCCAGCTCAAGGTCAGACATTGCTGCTTCAGCTAAAAGCCTCCAAAGTCTTGGGTGAGGATTATCCTTGACAAATTCGTTCGCATCTCGAAGACTAACACTTCTAATAATTTCTTTAGTGTCTCTTAATGAACGTGTTTCATAGGTAATAACACTGTCACTCTCTGGCATATCTGGATTCGCCATAATATCATCCATAAAAACAGCCTTAATTTTCAAATTATTGAAAGCACATATATATGCTGAAGTTATTACAGGTTCTTCAGGAGTCAAATCTCTGAATGTGTACATCTTGGTTTTTTCCATAATTGCAAATAATGAAGGATTGTCATCTGACCATCTCATCTCCCAAACATCTTTCTTTTCCAATTCTGATTTCTCAGCGGTGATATTGCCTTTCTTCTTTTTCTTTTCTGTTTGATTTAATGATGAGACTGTATTTGGGGGTGATGATACATTGTAAACTTGGAATGTACTGTTAATATCAATAACAGACAATTTTGTACAGTCACAATTTACAGCAATCTTCAGAGGTCTGCAGGGTATGGAGCATGATCCAACAAATGAAAGTGTTGGAAGCAACGTATACACATTCACAGTTCCTGATTCTCTTGAGATTATGAGATATTTCTCATTGGCAAATATGCAACAGATTGCGTCATCCGTTGTTGTTGATTCTAGTTTTGTTTCATCCTCTATCTTTTTGAACTTGTTCTGGTCAATGTGTAACAAGTATTGCTCAGAGTCTGCCTTTAAATTTAAGATATTTCCTTGATTTGCTTGTTTTGGTCTATAATTCCAAACATAAACATTACAGTCAGAGCAAACAACAACATGATGCTTGGTCATGGCAACGTGCTTTGGCTCAACAGACTGAAACTTGGTTTCAACAGGACTACCTATCGAATTGCAAATAATAATTACAAATGCTTCCTTAGGAGCCTCCGTTTTGGTCAGCAACACACAATGTTCTCCACACGCATCGAGAGCCAACAACTTTTTGATATATTTGACATATTTTTGTCGAGTCTTGTAATTATAGAAAACGACACACTGCTCAGGTCTTTCAATCTTGGTAAAAGCATAAACAATTGTTTTAGAGAAATAACCCCATCTGTAATTTGGTCTTACATTGGCAAAGAACAGGTGAGCATCTACAGCAAGAGCAAGCCTTAATCCAGATCCTTCCCAAGTCACACTTTTCACTCCATTTCCTGGTACTTTCAGAGTTTTTAAGTGAAGACCATATGGATTGTAAAATTGGACAACACCAATGGATTTTCCTTCTGCTTCTTGCTGACCAGCAAGTGCTAAAACAGTTCCTGAAGGATTCCATTTGGGTTCGCTTATGGTCATACCTGTGTCAATCAAAACAGGATCGTCATCTAAATCACCTCTCATCAGCTGGCATCTTCCGTTTCGATAGCAAATTGCCAATGTTGGAGCGTTTAAATCAGGATATCCCTCCCTTCCATCATACCAGTCAACACCAGCTAGAGCATTAACAGAGCCTTGTGAATTTTCAACACAAGTAATATTGATGGAATGCTAAATTTTAGATTCATTGTGTAAATAATGTTGGTTAATGATGATATATTTCACAATAAATTCCGAGTCTACCAGAATTTAAACGTACCAATTTAATTCCAGAATTTGAATCAAAGAGCCATACTTCTCCATTAGATGTACCGAAGAGTAAATATCTTGCATCAGGAGACCATTCCACATGTGTCAATTGAACTTTGAGTGCTTTTCCCCAATTTCTGTTTCCGTCAACACCTCCCACAATTACAGCTCCTGCAAAATGTTTCGAATCATTTTTTCGTTCCAGCGAATACTTACCATCATCATAAACAATACAAATCTTCTGTCCATCGCTGGACCATTTCAAGTCTCTGACAATTGCATTCTCTCGGTTGTTTAACATTTCTTCATCCCATTCTTTCTTTTGCTTATTAAAATACCAAACAATAATTAATCCATTCGCGTCGCATGATGTAAGTTTTTCATTTTCCTCGTTCCAGCTCACTCGCATGACTGAGCTTGGTTGTTGATCTTTGCTTTCCTTTCCCATATGGCCTCCTAAACCTTGATTGAACTCGAGACTTGTCGGAGCTGTGACTCCTCGTTGATTGGCGTCAGTTTTCGTTTCTAGTTTCAATACTTTAAGTAATCCTCCTTCTCCTCCACAAGCAATCCACCCGTGGTAGTGTTCCCATGATATATGATTGAGCTTGAGGCCATTCGGAATGCTCACTTTCTTGTTTAAATAGATCCACATGATTCTATGCAGTGTGTTTCAACGTTGTTGTATCGATTTAATAGAGAAGTAGGTTGTTCCCGGTCCGATCGAACAACAAAGTTAGCTCAATTTTTTGTAGTTGGAATTGTTGTATGAAGTTCTTCATGGCGCCAAAGCTTGAGACGAACGCTATTTATTCCTCGACTTTGCTGCATAACGATACATTGTCAGCTGTGACACCAATGTTGTCAAAACAATTATTGCTGTATAATAAAATGTTTTACGTTGGCAACTTTAAGGTCGACATCTACCCATATAACGTGGATACAAGCATGTTTGTCTTACTGTCTTGACTCTTCTCTTTTCTTCGTCTTCTTCTCTCAACAACCACAGCATGTATCTTTCAAGACCTAAACCATAACCACCATGAGGACAAGTGCCATACTTTCTTTGGTCACTATACCAGTAATATGGTTCAGCACTAATTCCCTCCTTCTTATATCCTTCCATGAGAGTATCGAAGGATTCGAGACGCATACTTCCACCAATAACTTCACCAACACCTGGAAGCAACAAGTCAACAGATTCAGTCAGCGAGTTGTCATCTTCACATCTCTTCATGTAGAAAGCCTTCATGTTAGCTGGGAATTTAATCATGAGGACTGGTTCACCAATTTTTTCCAACATCTTTCTTTCTGGTGCATCAGTAATGTCATCACCAAATTCAAAGAGCTCCTTTGTTTCCTCATCTTTGTAAACTTGATTGTCTCTGCAGAATTGAATACAATCAGCATAAGTCATGCGTTTGAATGGGCGTTTCAAACAATCCTTAAGTTTTTGTGCGTCAGGGTTGACCTTCAATACCAAATCCTTGCACTTTGCCCAAACTCTTTCTGTAACGTCACAAACTAAATCTTCCAAAGTATTCAATAAATCCTCAAAAGAAATGAATGGTCTCTCTGCCTCAACATGAGTAAATTCGCTCAAGTGACGTGGAGTGTCAGACTTCTCTGCACGATACGATTGAGCAATACAGAAGCTGTCTCCTAATGCAGGAATGACTGTTTCCAAATATAATTGACTTGATTGAGTCAAAAACGCATCCTCACCAAAGTAATCAAATTTGAAAAGTGTTGAACCACCTTCAACTTGAGTTTGAACAAGAGTTGGAGGAGTGATTTCAGTATAACCACGTGAATAATAATGTTCACGGAAGCTTTGTAAAACTGCTGAACGAATCTTTAAGATAGCTGAAGTATATTCTCCTCTTAAAATCAAGTGTCTTTGGTCGAGCAAAATCACTGGATCTTTCACTTCTTCGTTGAATGGAAGACTTTCTGGTGATGTTCCGATCAATTTCCAGAAATCAGCTTGCAATTCAAAGCCCATTGGAGCTCTTGGATCTGCCTTCAATGTACCTTTGATCATTACAGATGATTCCAAATGAAGAGTTAAAGCTTCATAGGTTTGACACAAAACTCCACTCAATACAGTTTGGAGTAGGCCTGTACCATCTCTGAGAGTGATGAATAAAAGTCCTTTTCCTTGGACTCTAATTCTATGACACCAACCATAAATCATCACACGTTGTCCCTCATATTGTGGTCCGACATCTCTGATTTTAATATGTTTAGCCTCTGGAAGTGATGTATCTTCTTGGAATGAAATTTTCTTGGCTTCTTCGAGTTTTTGTTGTTGTTGTTTTTCCTTTTCTTTTGACTTTTCTCTTTCCTTTTGCATCTTTTCCACTCTCTTGGACACCTTCTTTGATTGAGACTTGGCCATTGGTCTGACTTCAAAGAACTTTGTAACGAGGGAGCAGAGCTCTTCAGATTCGCCTCCTTGAGCAAATCCGGCTTCTCTCAGCGAGGTTTCGTTCACATCGGCACCGGTATAGCTAGCTTGTTGCTTTGCCTTTTCGACAATACCATTGAGAAGGGCTTCAATGGTTTTTTCTTGTTCTTCACTCCATTCTTCTTTTAATGATGCTTCCTTTTCCTCTTGGAGTCTCTTGTTGGCCTCGGTAAAGAAGGTAATCAACAAGGAAAGTGGGAGTTGTTCAGCTGATGAACTCATTCTCGTGATGATGAAAATTTTTTTTTAAATTCATTTAAATGAAAACATTCATCATCATTGGTTATCCATTAAAAAAAGGCCAACATTTGCGACTCTTGTGGTTTTATCAAATTGCACTCAAGACGATATGATTGTGAAATATTTCGAATTGAATACATTGCACGAGACAGTCTCACTCATCCTCATATACTTGCCATTTTGATGAGATAGCTCAGCTGTAGACTACAAAAATTTTCTTGAAAGCAACCAATTGGTTCCTTCTCAAAATTTCCCGAAAACTCTTCTTTGAATGTAAAGAATTTACAAAAGAAACCTATCCGTTTGTCATTTGGTTGACTTTTGTCCTCAACCATAATCTTCAATGACAGAAGAGAAAACAAAATACATTCAACCATTGAATCTAACCCAATCGAAAAGAGAACAGGACAATTACAAAGTTTCATTTTCTCATTGTGAGTCACACATTCATTAGGACAATCTCACCAAATGGTGGTGGCTTCCTTTGCTTCTCTTGAATCGTCATCTTTCAATCTTATAAAAAAGAAAAGCACTTGCCAACAGTATTGTGTCACTGCTTGATCATCATACAACAATAATTTTATCTCGAGAGTCTCGTCGTGTCTGCTTCTTCTTCGTCGGTTGCTATTGATACTCTCATCATATTCCGACTCATTACGTACGACTCTACACTTCTTCATCCTCTCCATTATTGGTTCTACTATTATTTCATTGTTTTCTTCCAACAACAAGTTGACCAACCATTGGACAACAAAGTATCTCTCCGTCCTATCTCTCTTTTCTTAGAACTCCAGCAAGCATTGAAATCTTTTGTCATTATCTGGGAACATGCCTGTCAAGAAACTGTTTAGTTTTTCGCACAACAATAATAATCATCATCAGCAACAACAGCAACAGCAACAACAACCACCCATCTTGGCAACAGCATCCTCCGCACAGGACTTTGTCTTTAATCCCAGCAGTGCATTGTCATCGTCTGATAATAATAACAACAACTTGTCATTCAATAATAATAATAATAACAACAACAACTCAACTCAACATCTCTCTTCACTCACTCATTATCAACAACAACAACCATTCTTTCAACAACCATTTCAAAACTCGACCAATAACATGCCAACCTTTAATAACAACAATTCACAACCAACGTTCAGTCAACTCCAATTCTCAAATAGTGGTAGCAATAGTGGTGGTGGTGGTGGTGGAATGGGATCAATAAACACCCACTCACAAACCATGATGATGATGAATAACAATAACATGACGATGATGATGAACAGCAACAACAACAGCAATACCACAAATCACATGACTTCCTTTAATAGTAGCAATGTCAACAACAACATGGTCTTTCCACAACAACCTCAACAACAACCATCACTCCTGATGACTTCACACAGTGTTACATCATCATCATCCATGAATTTTCCTTCATCGATCAACAACAACAACATGAACCATACACCAATGCAAGGAATGTCTTCTTCTTCGTCGTCTTCGACCATGTACGGAACCTCACCAGCCATGATTCAATCACCACCAACAACAACAGCTTCTTCTTCGACAAGTACCATGGTGATGAATCAACAACAACAACAACATGTTCTCACTTCGAACATCACCAACACCTCAGTTCATCCAATGGGAGGAGCTTCCTCCTCATTAACAATGACAACACCACCAACCCAATCCACGTCAAACCATACGAATGCGTCGGTGGTGGCATCTGGTGGAAATACAGTACTCGTTTCCACCATTCCAAAATACACACCCTGTATTAGGTGGTCATGTGCTCCAAGTACAATCACTCTGGTCAACAATGCTAACAACAACAACAATTCAAACAATGGTGGATCTTCTGGAGGAAATGGATCATCTAGTACCACAACTTTCAATTCTGACATGATGATGGTGATGAATAATTCCATGATGGTCACGGATAATAATTCACTTTCTCAAACTCTTATTGATCACAATTTCACAGCAGAGGATTTAAAAGTCACAAAAGGGAGTCCACTCATTCACACCAAATTGTTTTGTCTCAGTGATCAAACACTTCGTGATTGTCCATATTTACGTCCGAGTGTACAAACTGACAATTTATATCATTTAGTGGAGATGGAGAATGAATCTTCGTGGTTACCCAATGACCGAATTGCTCCTAAAAAGACCACTCATAACTGTCTGGTCAATGATTGGTTGGTGTTTTGTAGTCAGGATCCTCAATTGTTGAAATTAGTAGGTCGATACATTGGATCTTCAAACAATTCATCTGCTGATGTTCAATTATTTGCTGACTTTGTGCTCGTGACCAGCAATAATCACGACGAAGATAGTCGAGAAAGTTTATTTGGAAAACAACGTTTCAAAGGTGGAATTCCACTTCAAATGAAACTTGTTCGTACTCCTCAAATCATTACGAACTCAAACAGTTCAGGAGGAGGAGGCAACGGCAGTAGTAGCAGTGGTGGTGGTGGTCCAACTTCTTCCAACGCAAACATGGCTCCACTTTTATACTTTGAAAAGAGAATCAATCGAGAATCTGTAAATAATAAGGATGCTCCAAGTGCGAGTGGAATGGGAGGTAAACGTGTGGCTCAACTCAGAATTTACCTTAAAGACAAGGATCAAGAAATTTGTTTGGTGCATTCGGAAGGATTTTGGGTGAGAACAAAGAGTCGTGAAGAAGTTCAAAGAACCTCCTCATCCAACTCAAAAGAATCACAAGTCAATTCGGTTCACGCTTCGACCAATTCTCAACAACTATCGAACAACATGAATCATGCAATTTCTGGAGGTTCCGATTCACCAGTCAGCACCACCACTTCCACCACTACTCCCTCACTCACCAGTGTTAAAAAGAAGAAATCAAGTTTTGGAGGATTTGCACTATTCCATGGCAATGGAGCTCGAATGAAGAGAGAGGCAGATGAACAGTCGAGTGTTACTACTACTGCTGCTGCAACTACAACAGCGTCATCGACCTCTCAAACACCACAAAAGAACAACAACTTGTTCAATTCAGTACCTCAACAGAATCAAAATTCAGTAAGCAGTGCTGTACAGCCACAACCGAATATTATTTTCAACTCGAATTCATCGTCACAACAAACAAACTCTCAATCACACTTTCAAAATTCAAATTTGGATCCTGCTTCCATTCAAAACATGTCAAGCTCAGCAAATAGTTATGGATCATCGTCCTATCTAAGCAATAGTGGAAGTTCTGCTTCTTTTGTGAATTCACAAAACAATGGACCCTATTTGGTGGCAAATGGAAATTATCAAAATATGGCTGGAAATATTTCTCCACTTCACAACAATCATTATCACCATCCACATCATCATCATCAATCAAGTGGAAGTATGGACTCGAGTATGATGACTAATGGTCTTGTAAATGCATTTTCTGACCAATCCGATTATTCTTCACTCGGTTCCACTCCAAACACAACCAGTCAGTTGTCACAACCAAGTATTACCTCACTAGATATTGTGGAAGTATTGCGTAACTTGTCAATTTCAATTCCAAATAGTGCAGGACCACCTGGTACTCATTCCCGACATTCTTCCTTTACTTCTCCTAATGGATTAGCAAGTAGTGCAAGTTCCACTTCAAGCTCTTCATACTTTTTACAAAATTCAGCCGACAACAATCCTGTGGGAAGTTTTGGAGGTCTTCAATCCGCGATGGACACATCAAGTGACAATCTCGATGCTACCATTCAAAAATTAGATGCTGCCATTAATTTATTTAGTACCATGAAAGATGCATGTCTGAAAATGAGAGATAATCAATCGAATGGAGATCATTCCATGACACCCACAAGTCTCAATGAAATTTATGCTCAATTCAATTCTTCAATTCAAGACAAGCGAAAAGATAAGGGTCACAAACGAGTTAGAGGCAATAATGAAGGTGCTGCTAATGAAACCATGTATTCTTCACCTCAAATTCAACAGAAAAATCATTCAGTGAATACCTCCTTTGGTAGAGTGGCTTCATCTTCCGCTCCAAACTCTTCCACTTTTAACTTTAATAATAGTTTTACGACAGGTTCACTGATGGGTAATGTCATGATGAACGGAATCTCTGGCTCTAACAGTCACACAAACAACAACCAAAACATTCATAGCAACAACCTGTCAAGTAGTATGAATAATTTAAGCACGATGAATACTTCACTTTTTAACCATGGAACTGGCTCTCAAAGTTTAAATAATATTCAAAATCACATGAATCATCAATTCAATCATGGAACAATGGGTGCTATGGGAGGCAATTTCATCATTAATACGACGAACGAGAGAGGACTTCCACAACAACATTCGACCATTAATTTTGATGGAACCGAGTTACCTCAATCACTGTTTAACACTTCAGGATCAGATCCTAACGAGGATATCTTCCAGCTGTAGATGTCATATTGCCATACAGATTCAAAATTGGCAACATGAAACAAACTTCATGTTCGCGATATAAACTAATTTTTTGCTCGAATAATCGAATTAATTACTATTCATAATTGAGATTTGTGCGACTGTTTAGTTTGTATATGCAATGAATGCGTGGTTATTGTTGTTCCAAAGAATGGAATTGTCTACAGATGGTCTCTCACCAAATGCGGTTTTGGAAAATTTCCAAATTGTAAAAACCTTAAAAATCTTTAGAGTTGGCAAATGGAAGGCACATCATTGCAACATTTTCATTACATAAAACAATAATTCAAGTTAACACTTCTCACTCAAAAACAGCTTGAAATATACTCTCAACATGAATCAAAATCAAAAGATGTGGTTGTTGGGCGGTACAGCCGCCGCTCTCATTGGAGCTTATTGGTACAACAATAAGAAAAAGATCAAGGGAGAAGCTAAAAAGTTGGAATCTTCCATTGGCAAGCAAATGGAGAGTGTTGGTAAATCGATGGAAAAGGAAGGAAAGAAAATTCAATAAACCAATCGAATTCAAACTGATTCTTCTTAAGGCAACAAGAGGTAATAAAATCAGCAATCAGCTTTTCATTAAAATGATCTACAATAGAGAATTACATTTCTTGTTTCAACTAATCTCTTTTCGAATTGAAAATTTGGGAAATAATTTTGGGTCTTGTCCCATTGTTAACTTGCTGATTTAGACTGTGAACCAGTTCAGCACCATGACGAAATCATGGAAACGAACAGTTTGACTTCCATCCTTGTCGAGTGATTTGAGAGTGACCTCAAAAGAATCCAAATCATTGTATTTGGTACTTAAAATGTCGTAAAAATGTTTGAATTCGTCTGCTGACAGGCTAGAATCGTTGTCATGATCGAAAGATTTGAACATTTTAGCTGCACTGACAAGGAGTGTCAGTTTTTCTGGCCTTAATATTCCATTTTTGCTCGCCAATGCTTCCCAACATTCATAAAACTCTTTGAAACACAATGCATTGCTGCCGTCTTTATCCAAGAACAAATGAATTGCTTCAGTTTCTTCCTTTGAAAAATTGAATCCCATATCGGACAGCAAACGATCCAGTTCATTTAAATCCATCTTGTCGTCATTATCAAGATCATATTTTCGGAACAATTCCTCAATGATCGCCTTCTCTTTCTCTGATATTTTCTTCATGATGATGAATGATTCTGATCAAAGGAATACAAACAACAACAATACAAAAAACTCTGCGGAATGACCAACACCTTCAAATTGAGCGCTTTTTTTAATTACTGTAAACCTTGATCAAGTTCATCCTACATCGCGAGAGAGATGAAAAAAGAAGAACTGAAAGAGAAGTCAAAATCTTTATGTTACCTCTCTCTCATCTCTTGCAACTATTTCCTCTGATTCTCAATACTACAATCTGTAGGTGTTACTTTCCAAGCACTTGATAGGCAATTTTCAATCCCTCCGTTCTTGGCTGATGGTTTGCCAATGCAAAGAATGTACTCGCACACAAATCCAAATGATTGGATCGGGCACAAGGATTTTGCTTTCCCTTACAAGTGTTGCATGGATGACTCTTTGGACACATATTATTCACGGTCATAATGATGGGTTCTGAGGTTTTACAGGCTCCCTCAGAAGGATCCACACACCATAGTTTAATCTTGATCCCACATCCTCCCTTCTTACATTGAGGAGGAACACATGATGGACCAAAGCAATAGCCTTTGGCACAATTTTGGCAAGTACTGGATGAAGTACCTCCCCAGCAGGGTCCTACTCTCACTCCGAGTCCTTTGAAGGCATCCGAAGGAGCTCCACAATACTTGGTTTTGAAACCACACACAGGAGTACCCGCTGCTGTTTCATCGTACCAAGTGGCATTGGCAATATTACGACCCGAGGATGATGATTTGACACCATTACCACCATTACCACTATTACCACCACCTCGAGAGGAGGAAGACACACTATTTCCAATGCGCCATTGCATGCTCAAAGGAACCACTCGCCCATTGCGTTTCATGACGGTAAATTTGACTTGTGAATTGGATGGAATTTCTTGAGGTGATTGGGCTGTGAAATAGGAGCGGGTTGAGTCCCATGAGGGAGAAGTGGCATCGAGTGTGTGGGTTTGTCCTGTTTGAGAGAGAATCGTCACTCGGATTCTTTGGGTGACTCCAGGCGGTGAAACTTTTAACTGAACCCACCAACCATTGCTTTCTGGTTGTATGGTGAGACGAGTCGTGGGTGGTTTTGGTGTGCGAAGAGAGTCGCTGAGAGTGTTCAATTCTGTCGAGGAGACAGTTTCAGAGATCAAGGCGACAAGAAGTGTCATGAAAAAGATGATCGAGATGGTGGAGACGAAAGAAGAAAAGGTCCCCTTCTTCTTCTACAGAAACAACAACCATCATGACAACAATAGCAACGTTGAAGATGATTCATCTGTTGAGGTAAAACCTTTATCGATTGCAGCTTTATTTCACATCAGGTTTGACATTCCAAATGCCGAGGCTTAATCGATTGCAGAGCACGAAATTCAATTTTGGTTTGCACGCTCAAAAACTCCGTACGTCCATGCCTGTCAAACAACCACCCACAACAAGGAAGATCACTCGCGACAATGACAACCTAACAACAATATTGAAGGGTTTCGGACTCAAAGTAGATTTAAAAAGCTCTCTTTCACTCCATTCCAATCCATGACTTCAACCCTTCCATAGAGATCTGAGAGAGGATGATCTGGTTGATGATGAAGATGAACTTTTACCTCATGAAGGATTCATGCTCAAAATACACTTTTCATGTTCCGATCATTTGAAAGCCTATGATACCATCTTCCCAAATCGACTTCATCAACCAACAGACACCTCATGTATTGAATCGAGAGGTATTTGCCAAATATTCACAAGACAATCGAAAGAATAGAACCACTTTGGATATCGAAAAGGTGAACATTGACATTGAAATTTGTAATCACTCACCAGACCAGAAACAAAACTATTTCAACGAATTACTGTCTCGCTACACTGAAGGCTCTAACAAATCACTTTCACTCGAAGAGCATGTGTTAAATGAAATGGCAAATTTTGGGATCCATACCGTCCTATCGTATTACGTTGGTAAACAAACTTAATGGTACCAAATGAAACAACCTCATTTACGATGTTCGTCATGATCACCTTCTATCGGTAAAGACCATATCTCCTCACACCACAGTATTGCATGGTAGAAAGCAAAAACATCAAAATGCTCAATTTTTGTCACAACAAAATGAAAGCCAAAAATTAATTTGGACGATTTTTGCTCTACCAAAACCTTCTAAAAAATATTGTGGTGAACGTTCACTTATTTGAGGCCTTTTCAGGAGGTAGAATTTGGCGACTGGAAAGTTCGAGTGTGTGGGATGTTGCGTGGTTAAGGTGCCAAATACAAAAAGTAGTCGCCAAATCAATGTTGGTGAAACTCACATCCTATAGTGGTCATATTGCTTTTCGATTTGCTCACGCAATATTGAGCATGTTTTCACGACGATTAGTTTCCACTGATGTGTAAAAGCTTTTACTCGTCTTCCTTTTATTCAAGGTTACACGTATTCGTAGACTTGAACAAATTGTGTGTTGGACCTACCAAAGCACTCAGGGCTGTACATTTCTTCCATGTGACTTGGAGGAATAACAAATGAACCAATCGTGGTGGCTCTGGCAACATAGGTAAATGAATGACAGCCAACATGAAGCATTCTTGCAAAAGCTTCAACTCTTTCATCACGAATATTTTGATGTTCATGCCATGATCGTGAAAATCCATTGGTGTTTTCATCAACTTTTTGATTAAGGTCAACAATTTGAGTATCGATTTCTGGATTCACAACTTCAAATCCAGCTGGAATCTTGTCAACTAGGGCCACATTATATCTTTTGACAGTATTGGTAATATTAATTTGAACTCTAACTAGCTCTCCAGCCTTAACTTTCCAAACATTGGCAGCCTTGTCAAACGTTACATGTTCCGCTTTAGTGACTCCTTCATAATAACGATACACAGAAAATCCTCTATCCATTGACTTTAAACACAAGTTCTCAGGTGTGTATGAAAGAGCAATTCTGTAATATAATCTACCTGGCCCCGACTTTGTCACAAGTAGCTCTTTCTTACTATCTAATTCTTTTGGATTAATGACTTCGGCATCAATGTCTTTTCTTGGGACGAAAGCCTTAATTGGCAGAGATGTAATTTTCTTTTCTCGACTTCTTACTTTCCAAGATTCTTCACCAATGTAAAGTGTTTCCTCAGATCTTGTTCGATCTACAAGCCAAGAGTGGAGAGTCATATCAGGAACTTGATTTTCAAATATTTTAAAGTAATCTGTTAGAGAAATTAAACAAGTTGCATTCTCCTGAGTATTATGCCATCTTCCGTACCGACTGGCATTTCTTGCTGCCAATAAACTGCGCACCAATTTCTGAATAATATCACTACTTTTTTCTCGGTCAATTTCCATGAGACAGCTAAGGACAAGGCTATCAGTTCTAGTATCTGAGTGGAGCATGACCATGTTTGCAATTTCAGAGTCTTCATAACGTGTAATAAAACGTGCATAAATACCAGAATCAAGAGTGACATTTTCGGTGAAATATTGTATGAATAATTCTAACCATTGATTTGGCGTCTTTTTGCTGGACCTCTTTTCCTCCTCCGATTCCTTCTTACATTTGTGGATAGCCATTGAAAGCCAAGCAGCACATTCAGGTGTGAGTTGATTGGTCAAATCTGCCACGTCTTTGTAGTGTGACAATATGCCTTCGCATAATGAAATTACTGTATCATGTTCATGAGGCTCTGCAAGCAAAGAAAACACATAGTATGCAAAGCTTTTGATAGAATCTTTAACTACTCTTGGCCATAAAAAGCTCAAAAAGAACAAACTATCAATTCTTTGAAGAATAGATTTTGTTTTTCTCAAAGTTGCTTCTGGAATTTGATAACCTTCCTGTTTACATTTTGCAAAGCATAGACCAATATAGCATGTTAAATATGGATCTCCAAAAAGTTTTGCACTCCAATATGAATACGATCCATCATATCCCTGATTATCAAACAAAATCTTCAACTCCTTATTAACAAATTCATCCACTTCTTCTCTCGATCTAATTTTCATGAGATTAAATAATTCTTCTGGTGCATAAAATTGTAAAATAATTTCTTTCATACACACAATTCCTAAAATCTTTGACGCTCGTTGCTCATTGCACTCATATGGATATGAATGCAAGTAAATGAGAGAGTCTACTAGGGACGAGAGAGCAGTTGTGGACGTAGTGAGAGTGAACTCGCCAAAGTTTGCTAGCAATGGTTTGTCAGGAAGAGAAATTGGTTGAAGAATAGTTTCATTCGTTTCACTCATGTCTCCATAAGTAGCAAATGCTTCATTGGTGGAGGGTGTGAATATTCTAAATTCATTCTTTACAGCATCGCTCCAACCAATCATCAAGTCTGCTTGATCTTGATTTTCAGGCTTATCAGCGACAGCATTTAAAACTCTAAGCCCAACCTGAATACATGCTGTTCCGCATTTGAGGACACGAACAGGGAATCTAACTTCAGTTCGCCCAAGAGCAGGAATTGTAAGAGTAACTCCTTTATCTCTTTGAGTTTTATCCTCATTGTTGAATATTCTTAAGTTTGATGTATGGCAAACAACAGCCACAGTCAAAGAGGCTGTAGTTTGATTTTGAAGCACATAAGTGAGATCACACATATCTCCAAAATTAAGAAATCTTGGCAAGGATGGACGAACAGCAATTGGTAATGAGGTTGTAATTTTTGTTTTTCCAATCCCAAATAAATCTTCGCCCATATTTGCTACAGCTGTCACACGGAATCTAGTGAGACTATCCGTGAGTTTAAAATTCAAAACTACACGACCATTCTCGTCGGTATTTGCAAATGTTATAAATGCGGCATCTGGTCTGAAGCTGGACCTGACCGCAAATTGCTCTTTTCTTTCATTCATGTCTTCAGCTTCACCTGCCAAGCAATTTGCACTTGGCTTTGGGGGAGCGCAATCTTTTTTCTCTAAACACTTCTTCTTGCGCTTTCCACCTGAAGGAGCTTCTGCACAACATTTCTTGCATTCTTTGCATGCTTCACTCCTTGTCCTACAGCAAAAGTCACAACAACATTGTAAACAATGGTCACTAAGGCATTCAGCATCCTCTTCATCAATGTCATTTCTTGATGCCTCTTGCATTTCTTCATTAAGATCAAGTTCTCTTTGGTTCTTTCTTGGATACAGCCAGTACCTCACATCTGATCTATTGGAAATGAATGATGTTTGGCAACTGTTTTGAACAACAAAGGTAGAAACAGGATCTTGAATTTCGTGAGATACGATGTCTAATACAGCTTCGTCTACAACTATTAAACACACTTCACAATTTTGTTGATTTCTACCCTCTTTGTCCGTGACAACCACTTCCACGGATGTGTCTTTTCCAGGACTTGTCACAGAATGTTTTGGAATTACAGATACGTCAAGCTCATGATGTTCTTTGGAAACATTCAATTTCAAGAACCCAGAGGCATGTGCTGGCAGTTGTCGCTCTTTGTTGCTTTCGTCAATGTAGTTATCTAGACCGTACAGTTTCACATGAACGTCAATGTTCGGCCTATACTCTTTTTTGATTGGAACCTTGAGTTCAATAAATCCTGTTTCTCCACTAATTTCAAATTCTTCTTTTTGAACCAACCCATTACAGGTTACCCACATAATTCCAGTACAATTGCCTGAAAATGGAGGAGAAACGAAAATGCTTGCAACTTCTCCAGGCTTGTAAGTTTCAGAGTCATACTTATTTGCAACCAACTCGAGAGTGTCCTGATTAAGAGAAGCATATCCTTTTGATTGCAGATGGCTCTTGTGTCCGAACTTACGAATTGAAACTGAACATCTATTGATACCAGATCTGAATAGAGGTGTTACAGAGTCTTTGACTTCACACATAATGGCATATTCTCCGTAGGCAGAATCATTTGTATTATTGCTAAGAGTAAAAGTATGAAGCATTGGCTGAGTTTGAGAGATTATAGTTAACTCAGTAATTGGAGAAATAGTCTCCCAGCTCTTATAACCCTTTGTTTCTGAGCTCAGCTTGACAAGTTTGCATTGTATTGGTACATCCTTCACTGCCTTTCCTTGGATATCAGTGACAATGAAGAAGCAATCGATAGGATCATCAGGTTTTAAAACCACTTTCTTGGTACATCTTACACCCACATAATATTGACATGGATGCACAATTGTCTTGCATTCAGTGCCTTGTGTCTGCCTGTTGATATCTTGAACGTTTGCTTGACACGATATTTGAAGCGGTTGCTTTGCTTTGAATTGAGGATCCCAAAGCTGTAACAATAGATTGCTCTCACCAGTGGTATCCGTCGTATCAGAACAATAAGCAGAAGCATGAGTTACAGATTTCATATTATCTAATATTCTAGAAAGATAGATATTTCTACTGGTTTCTGTCTCTTGGAATGTATAGTGCTCCCATCCGGGTGGATTGTACGTTGTTGGTGCTACTTGGCATGAATAATTCACATTTGCATTTCCAAGTGCTCCACCACTGTAATAATTGGCAGAAACTTTGCAAATTAACTTATCTCCGATATAGTTCGCAACTTTAAACGACGATGGAATGATGGTGCTTGAAACATTGTATTCAGGCGTTCTAAATTCCTCTACTGAGAAGTAGTGGGTGAAAGATTGTCCTGATAATCTAATATCAATGTAGTGACTTCCCAAGTTTACATTGTCAGGAATTTTTAGCTCAATTTCAAAAGATCCATTCGAGTTTGCCTCAATCTTTCCATCTGCATATTTGACCCTTCTTGAATCGTAAAAAGTGTAGGTTCCTGAACAGTTGGTTGGAATGTTAATGGAATAGGTACCATACTTTTCCGAGTTCTTACTGAAATCAAAATTAATGGATCTTGCAAATCCCTTAAAGTGAGCAATTTCATTTGGCTTATAAAGCCCACGATCATTGAAAATATGGGCCAACAGTTTGTTCTGTTGACGATAAATATATCCTGCATTCATATTGGTATAGACAACACAATCATTTTCCGTTGATACGTATATAATAGGATGATATCCCAATCGTTCTGGACCTCCTTTAAAGGTCGCAAAACCTTTCTCATTAGTGGTTTTTTCCGTTCGCTTTTCATCAAATCCATTTTCTGTGGGATGATACTGGTCAGTATATGTGTACACTACTTTTGCGTTTGGTACTGGTTTTCCATCTTGAAAACTGGTAACAAATACAGTAAATTCAGATGAGTTTGGGCTCACATGCATGACATCCACACACAAATTAGAAATTTGCAACCAAATACATTCATACTTGTCTCCAAAGGAAAAAAAGTTATTGTACTTGGGCTTCATTTGAAGGAATAGCTGTCCAGTTTTTTGAGATGGATTTTGTAAATAGGGTTGCAATGAAATTGTAGCAGAAACGGATCTATCTTTGACATAATTGTTTGGTTTAACCTTTTCATTATAAACAATGTTACCAAATGACCTTTGTTTCTTTGTCACCCACTGAAAGTATTCATATGAAGGATATGAGCTAAAGAACGATTTGTGGTACTTTGGATAACAGACCTCTCTCGCCATAAATTCCGGATCTACTTGACTAATAACTGTCAATGTTTCAGAAATGTTAACACAGTCGAAATAAACGAACGGATCAAAGTTTTCGAACAAACTTGGAGGTAAAATGGTGATTCCAGGAAGAGAGTTATTGAATTGTTTTGACTCTCCACTAACTTCAAATGTTGCCACGTAGTCCTTCTCTAACGTTTGGCCATAAATATCAGGAAGACCCTTGTGTATGGTTACAGAGTAGTTCTCTCTTGCCAGAGTATTGCCTGAAATTGTAATTTGATGTATACCAAAACTGATATGACAATTTTCAATAGCAGGGTGAATTGTCACATACTTCTCCTTTTCTTGTATTTGTTCTAGATCAATTGGGTTAGATGTGTTAAACGTAAATGAACATCCTGGAGTAATGTTGTTGTAGAAGGTATACTTTTTGGGGTTGTGGTCGGAAACATACATTTTGTCAAAACCATTAATCGTGCTTCCGAAACTGTGTGTAGAAAGTAAAGGGCCTTCCAAAGACTTCATTCCTTTTGGTATATTCACCGAAAGACTCTGACCGACCTGTCGATCGATAAGTAAATGCAGCCAAACATATCTGGAGGTTGGATTTTTGTTTTTGGTTAAAAGATCATTGTATGTATGAAATACTGAAGGAAACTTCTTTTCAAATTCTATCTCCTTTAAGGTTTGAGCAATTATTGAGGGATCGTTTAAAACTTCAAAGTTGATGGTCTTCGTTCCACACGTGATTTTGACACTTTTTGAAATTTCCTCTCGATCGACACTTTGATCAAATCTCAAATAACAAAAAGGTAGGTATGAAATCGGAAATGAGTTAGAATAAGAGGATGGCACGAATTCCTCAACTCTCATTGTTTGGGTTTTAAAAGTAACCTTATAGTCTTCTTCCAAACTAAGTCCAAGAACAGACTTTGTTTTTGATTTGAGTACAGTATATGTGAACTCTGTAGAACGATCGAATCTAAAATAAGGTTGGAAAAGCAATGACTTGGTACCAATCCATTTCCATTTTCCTTTCCTAAGGTTCTCTGTTATAGGCCTGATTTCAATGAAATCGATTTCCTCAAAGGACTTGGTCTCAGCATCGAATTCTTCAATCATGTCTTGATTAAAAGTGATCGAAAGAAATGGTACTGAGTGGAGTTCACTTGGCTGATTTCCTGTTGGGAGAGCTCTTACAATCTTCAATGTTTGCTCTTGTTGAATTTCCTCACGTTTCTCATTGGCCAACATCTCACCCACCTTGATCATGTTCAAATCGACTTCTTTCGGAGGAAATTGAACCATTGTTTTCACTTCAACGGTACCAGGTTCGGGTGGTCGAAGAGAAGCATCCCGTATCAAGTAATTTTGTTGAAGAGAAGCCTCTTCATCGAAAAATGATTCCTCTTTTCGTTTCAAAAGCTCATCCAACAATTGATTGAGCTTGTCTTCATTCAGTTCTTCAATCCGAATGTTTTTCAACTCTTCCAACAGCTTCTCGGATCTCTTTCGTTCTTCTTCAAGGGACTCGAGAGTTGTATCGGACGTTGATGATGATGTTGCTCCATCATTCTCTCGTATCATACATTGAACAACTTCTTTGCTTTCGGCCTTCCTGGCAAGCAAGTGAAACTCTTTGATGGATTGAAGCGTTGGATCCAAGTCCAGCTCCATCACCTCTGTATTTGGTGCTTGTTGATCCGATGATGAAGACATCTTTGAAAAAGCTTTTTAGAACCAATTATTGGAAGAGGAATAAGGAATGCGAACGAAAGAGAAATTTTTCTTGTTGAAATGAAATTAAAGGAGAGTTCATCCAATATTATCGATATTGATGGAGATCTCAGAGTTCAATTTTTGTACAAAGGAAGATGTTCCTTCTTCCTGATTCTGAGAAGTCTCTCACTTGAAGTGGTGCACAGCTGGAGTCGTCGTTGTCATCCAATGCATTTATACATGACTGTGACCATTGTTTTTACAGTAACTGTTGGTCCTCGGTTTCCTCGTCATCGTCCTCCTCAACATGCGCCTCCTCTTCATAGGGATCATTGTCATCATCGTCATTACATGGTGATGATGGTTGTTCGTATTGTTGAAAATTCACACATTTGGAAAATAATGTGGAATAAAGCTGTTTTTAAAATTTCAAAATGAAAAAATGATCCGAAAAAGACAAGACAAGAATCAGCAAGAAACATATTCTTCATCCGATTCTGATTTGTCGAGTGAACGTGAGAGAATTCCACAAAACTACCACTCTCGTTCTCCAAATTGCGATGAATACTCATCATTGAGTGATGATGATGATGGTGAAAAGGATCACTATTCAACGCCGCCTAGAGACACTCACTCGGAAAGTCCAAAAAGCAAAAAGTTAAAAACATTTCATCATGGGTCTACTACTTCTTGCTCTTCGGATTCCAACACGGTATTTTATGAAGAGGTATATCCATCAAAAAACAGTCATCCTTTTCAATCCAGCCAAGATGAAGATAAAAAGGAAGAGAAGACTCTTGTACCAGACCGAGTGGAAACATCTCCTTTTTATATTGAATGGATAAGTCTTTCTTCCAACAAGAATTCTTATCAATCAAAAATTTCATATTTTGCAAATTTCACACTGAAGAATGAGGTGTGTGAGAACATGTATACAATTGTCGTCGATGGAAGAAGAGCTCATAAGAATGAAAAACAACAACAAATCAAATATGTATTTTATTTCGGTTCATTATTAGTCGTGGTGAATGAAGAATTAGAAATTTTTGCTGCGAAAATGCCTTCGAGTGAAATAGTGATCAAGCCACCTCCTGCAATGTCAAGACCAATGACAAAAGCAGAGATATATCTTTGTAATGATGAGCTTAACTACTCTCAACATTCGAATTTGTCTTGTTTGAATGAAATTGTACAAATACGCAACACTTCCGGTGGTGTGTATGTTGTGACGAAAAGAAAAGTATTTCATGCTTCGGTTCATAGGCAGTGCCCATACAAGATGGATGAAACTACATTCAGGCTGTCATTCACTGCATGTGTGTGTGACATTGATGAGGATGATTATTTCATCAATGCAGAAGCTAGCTCTATTGATCATTTAATTTTCTTAACAAAGAATAATTTTATTTATTCAACAGGTATGTTAATCTATTGCTGGAAATCATATTAGTCATTGCGCTACTAGGCTGGAATAGTCATGGAATGCTTGGGAATGGTACCACTCAAAGCAAATACAATATTGTTTCAAAAGTAAGAAACACACCTCATGAACGAAATGATGCTGTTCGGATGGTCTGTTGTGGGCCCTTAATATCCATGTACGCCACACACACTCATGTTTATGCCGCTGGAGATATTGGGCATTTGCTAAACAACCCTTCACAACAAAACAATACTTCATTAGTTTTTGTACCAATCACTGGTTTACCTTTTGATCCTTCATCAATCACAAGCATCAAACATGGTGCAATGTCTACATGTTTTCTTATCAATGGAAATTTTTATGGATTTATTGGAATTTTGGTAAGAAACAAACGCTCACAATGCCACAACATATTGGTCAATTTTATCCTGCCACAGCGACCATTGTTTATTCCTTGTTGAATGGGAAAATTTTAACTTTTCGTGAAATTAATTTTGAATTTGACAGAAATGAATTGGCTTACCATGAAACTGAATTGGGTACATGTGACCATCGATGTTTCAACAGCTTTGTCCACACCTCTAGAAATGTTATTTTATTTCATGTAGGCACCATTTGTGCCAAGGAAGCATTTACTTTGCTTTATAACATGGCAAAACTTGAGAAATTTACGGATGTTGTTGTTAATTCGAGAGATTAACTTTTTTTCTCATTTACAATACTTTAAGCGTTTATTTGAGACACTTATTAACAATGCTCAAGAGCCATCCTCCTACTGGCATAATGTATCTTGTCAGAAAGTTATCAGAGAGAGCAGTAATAAGAAGCTTCTTTTTGGTTTCCGTGAGTGGTGGATAACGCAAATCCAAATCGAGCCAGTATTTCTTCTTGAGCACAGACTTTTTGTGTGTGAAAGTGTAGAATGACGAGTCTCCGTGATATGCACCCATTCCTGAATATCCCACTCCTCCGAAAGGCAGCAACTCTTCAGCTACTTGCATCACACATTCATTGATGCCTACTGCACCACTTTGCGTAATATGCATAATCTTTTCGACGAGAGCTTGGTTTTTGGTGTAAATGTATAATGCAAGAGGCTTTGATCTCGAGTTAATAAATTTGAGGGCAGCATCAAGATTTGCCAATTTGCTTGGATATTTGTCACTCTTTTTTTCTCCATAAATGATAATTGGCATGATTGGACCAAAAATTTCTTCTTGCATGACGAGATCATTGTCGAGGTCTGGATTAAGCACGAGAGTTGGTTGCACATATTTTGCGTTTTCGTCAACATTACCACCATAAATGACCTTGTCTTTCACTTGATCAATCATTCCCTTGAGACGTTTCGTGTGATTCACCGACACAATTCTGGAGTAATCTGGGCTCTTGGAAGCATCTTCTCCGTACATTTGAGTAATTGCCTTTTCCAAAGCGGGAATGAATTTATCTGCCACTGCACTGTCCAACAAAATATAATCAGGAGCTACACATGTTTGGCCACAGTTAAATGTTTTACCCCATGTAATTCTGTTGGCAGCCACAGTACAATCAATATCCGAGTCAAGGATCAATGGTGACTTGCCTCCCAATTCTAATTTGAATGCAATTGATCGAAAGAAGAACGAATCACACACGAAATCAAACACAAAATTGGAACTTGAATCCAAGTAGAGATCAACTTACCCAATGTGACAGGAGTCAAGTGTTCAGAAGCAGCTCGCATAATAATCTTACCAACACGAATACTGCCTGTGTAGAAGATGTGATCATAGGGTTCCTTCAGCAATTCCGTCGAGACAGATGCATCTCCTTCCACACAACGAACATACTTTTCATCAAAATATTTTGGAACGAGTTTTGCAAACAAGGCACTGCAATTTGGAGACACTTCAGAGGGTTTCAAAATCACCAAATTACCTGCGGCTAAAGCTCCAGCAAATGGAATACCCATCAAACTGATTGGATAATTCCAAGCTCCAATGATCAAAACAACACCTAGAGGTTCCTTGACAATAAATCCTTCCGCAGGAATATTTCCCGTATTGGTGATCGGTACACTCTCAGTGGCCATCAATCGGTTCAAATTATCCAACAAATAATGTGCTGAATGAATTGGCATATTCACTTCAGTTGTCTTCAAGGGTTGAGTTTGAGCCAAATCCTTCTCTTGAGCAAGTTCCCATTCGGAACGATTCTCTTCAAACATGGCGATCATTCTCTTCAATTGATCAACTCTCCACTCTCGTTTCCTACTCACTCCGCTTTGAAAAGTTTCCTTCATCGAGGCCACCATGGTCGTGAAGGCTGTAGGGCTATTCGAACTATTAGGTGATGATGGGTTGAGCATGATGGTTGAATGTTGTTGAAATCAATTAAAAATTATTTTTTTTTTGATATTTCTTTTTTGTCCGTTCCAAATGATTCTCCAAAATTTTCCTTCCACCTCAGGTACCACAATGTGAGTGTCGGAGTGGTTTGCGACCCCGTGTGTGTTGTGAATGTTGTAGGGTTGATGATGATGACTTTTGATATCTTGAGGTTCTTGAGAGCTTTATTAATGTGAGCGTGCGACAAATGAACGTGAAAAAATCGAATGTCAACCAAGCTTGTATTTCGATTTAAAATCAATGAACGAGTTCAGACCTACCTCATTCGTACGTACGTTAAGGTCTTGCAGTTGTCTTGCAATTGGCTTGCTCAATCACATGAGTCAAATTAAATAAGGCACTAAATTCTGTAATTTCTAATTGCTCATTAAATTGGAACCAATTGACCACATGATACTTTACATGACAACCCTTCTTGGTAAATTGTGAAATGGTTTTGGTGAAACCAGCATATAATTCGTTCACTTCAATTTTGCTTGTAATGCTTTCTGTAATGTTCACAAGAGTGTTGAAAAAACTGCCAAAATTTGTCATGATATTCTCCTTTCCTTTGACTTGTGAACTTCCAATGGGAATATTTGCAATGGATTGTTCAGCAAAGAGTGTGGATAAGAATGACACATCTCGATTCACTTGTCCTAATTGAAATAAATGTACTCGTTTCAAAATTTCTTGATCTCTGTTTCGAGATGGTGATTTTCCTTCAAAGCTCTTCACTTTCCCATCAATATTTTCATTAGAAGGATCATAATTAGATCCTATACTTTGTTTGAAATTGAAAAAGTTAGTAGGATCATACTTTTTCTTAGTTTGCAATAACTTGTCATAAAAAGGTCCGTAATAAGCTTCCTTCCATTTGGGAAGAAATGCATCAATATAATTAATATATGCTCCATTGAAGTGAGGGTTCATTTGAGCATAAAATGTTTCAATCCACTCACTGTTCATGGAATACTCTTCCTTCTTGGTGAAGATTGCCTTAATTTCAAATGTGAATTCTGCATCGCGTCGATAGAAGGCACTCGATTCCAAATCAATTTCTCGAATTCTTCCACCAACATGTGAAACAATCAACATGGATGATTTAGAGGGTCTGTTCTTCATGAATTGATAAATCACAGAGGTCAATTGCTTGGTAAATCCTCCCTTACTCACTAATCCAGATTTGACAATTCCCAAACGATTCTTAATATCTGTCGTTCCACTTGAAAATCCATGAATAAATGATATAAAGGTTTGTTCTTTTTGGAAAATGACACTTCCTCCCATCGAAAGAAAAGGTGAATATAATTTGTAACCCTCTGAATAGGCTCCATTATAAACAAACGTCAGACATAGATTATCCTGTCCAGTTTGAGGTACCTGGAAGAACAAGACATAGACTGCCATTTCTTTAGGAACTGTTTGTGTCCACTTGTTGTAATAATCCATCACTTCCAATGCCTGTTCAAAAGTCCAACAAATCTCTGCCGTGAAAATATTCTGAGCTCGATACGTTTGTGTCTTGATGGCCATGACGACACCAAAGTTTCCACCACCTCCTCCTCTCAAGGCCCAAAACAAATCAGGATGACTCTCATTATTCACATGAATGTAATGAGCATCTGCAGTAACCACATCAAATTCAAGCACTTGATCACTACCAAGTCCATAACTTCTCGAAAGCATCGAATAGCCACCACCGAGAGTGAAACCCATGGCTCCCACAAGAGGACACGTTCCAGCAATTGGAATGTATGGATTGAGAAGAGGATAAACATCTTTCCAAACCATTCCAGCTTCAATGAAAGCAATACCTCTCGAAGGATCTAACATGAACGATCGATTGAAATATCTCATATCTAACACAATGTCATGATTCAAACAATATCCTGCTGCACTGTGTCCTCCTCCCTTGACAGAAAAGCTGGCATGATACTTTTGTGAAAATACAATAGTTTCTTGAACGTCTTGAACTGTACGTGGAAGAACCAATAGTTGAGGTCGAATTTGATACGATCCATTATCCACATAAATCGATTCATTGTACAATTTTTGAAGAGAAATATTAGAATCTGACTCATGATTGGTTAGGACGAGTCCAGCAATTCTATTTTGAAGCTCATGATAGGGAAGGTTGATGCGAGGAGGAGCTCTCCTAGAAGAAGAAGCAATTATTGGCAAAGCTTCCGAAGTGAAAGCAGTGATAGAAAGCAAGAGAGCACTCGCCATCAGCACCACCATGCATGAGGAAGAGAGAATGAACATGACCTGACTGAAGGCATGATGAGGAACTTGAGGGGAGGCAACAGTTGACATTTTTTTGAAGTTCTCGAGAAATAGTTTTCTTGACGCTTTAACATGCATGTTTCAAAGTCCTTGTCCTGGGAGTTTGTTGCCTGTTGTTGTTGAATTGCAAACTCCGCCTCTTTTGCATGAACGTTGATTTCTGTAAATTGCAATACGTTGTTTGACTCTCCTCATCACATCGACGAGACTCTCAAAAAATGGAATTTCCTTTGATGGACATTCTTACGATCCAAATACTGTACTCACAGCTTATTAACCCGATCGTGCTGTTAGTGGTTCAATATTTATTTTGGACATATCGACACCTGTATTGTATTCATCCGATTCAAGTTCGCAAAATACAATCATAGGTCAAGTGGAGAAAATCAAAATCCACTCGATTTATCCGTTCAGCAACATGTCACATCAAAAACTTTGGAGTCCACACAGGAAAAATCTAGTCGGCATCCCTCTATTACAATTTAAAGATCAAGTGACGATGTGTCTGAACCATGCAACTCCATTATCTAAATACAAACAGTCCTGTCGTAATGTCGTCAGATAGATGGTGCATCCCAAGAAAACACACTTGATGATTAATGATTCATATTGAAGAATATCAAAATTCCCAAGTTCCTTCCTTCTTGGAAATTGGTCTTGAAGGTGCAGAATCAAGAGGTGATGAACCAAAAGCGTTTGAATCAAACCTTCAAGTAGCCAATTTTCTTTGGACACCACACTATCTTCATAAATCTATTGTATTTAATTTTGAATTTACATTGCATTTTCCTCGTATCTTTTATCGTTCGTTGGCCATCATGGACACAACAAGATGTATTTGTAAATCTTATCCTCTCCATTTTTGATTTTAACTGACTTTTTTAAAATATTTGACAAAAATGTCTTCGAATCCGAGTGTCCTAGTTTAGATCCGAACGTTTTCAAATAGTAAGAATCAAGAACCATGTAGAAAGAATATATTTGTAGGTTGGCGATTTGATACATTTTTGCATACGTCCATTGCTCTTTAAAAACTAGATAATGACCATCATCGTGGTGTGTCTGTGATCACTTGCTCATAAAAAACAACGCAACAACAACTATTCCGCAATCACACAAAGTGTTCTAAAAACTCACTTAGCTCCACTGTTTTTGCGTAACGAATTGCTTCTCAAAGAGATAATTCTCAGAAATCGCCTTTCTGCAGTTCTCTTGAGTTTTTACTACTACTACTACTCTATTGTTCTGTACAGGTAAGTTTCTAAAGTGCAAGTTGGAACGAACCACATGGTGATTTGACACAAAATGAACTTCATGATGGCTCTTGAACGCATTCCACATTTCTCCTCGTTCTTCTTCCTTGTTGACTTGTTCAATCACAATGTTCAACATATTCAAACACACACACACATTATGAATTTCAACTCGTTCATGATCATCGGTCTTTTCATGAATGGATTCAACGACCTGATTCTGAATCTCTCTGGTTGGTTGGTGGGTTGGTTGCATAATATCTTACTAAATTCAATTTGCCCGTGCATCATCTGAAATTTTGCGTGATGTTCTTCGCGACACCTTGAACTCATCATCTCTTCGAAACTCCTTCTATGTGTTCCATGTGAAATCATGATTGTTGTTCTTGTTGTTTGAAAACAACGTGTGTGGTTGTTGTTGTGTGCTGTTGCGGATTACTATAAAACCTCAAACGCCATGTTATCGTCTTGTAACTGCCATTTTTGAATTGCTTCACTTCGAACAACACTTCGTCGTTCCTGTCGCGATGGATGTCTTCCTCTCATGGTCGCATACCTTCTTTCAAAATCTCTCAATTTCTAATTTCCTCTCTCACAACCAAATCATTAACAATCCTGTCCACAAATACCAACATGTCTCTCTTCACTCCAAAACGAAATGGTGACCATGTCAACACCTTACGCACCCAATCTCTCACATTCACTCAAAAAAACAATTACACCCGAAATGTCGTCCGAAAAGAAGCGAAACTTGCCGTTTCCGTCGTCGGAAGAATATTTGCGCTTTGCACTGAACGCGCTTCACTCAGTAAGAAATTACTCTCAATCTCTTTCAATAACAAAGTCATCCATTAACAACATTGGAAAGATTCTTGGTGCAACAGTAATTGGCCGACTTGATGGTTCTCAATAACAACGCAACAAACAATTCAAAACAAACAAGTCCACTCTGTACGAACGGTATGATGAATGTTTTGACAAGTGGCAGTGCTTCAACACCGAACACCCATGCTACCCCGCATGCAAGCCACAACACTCACCATCATCATCATTCTGGAAATTCTTCACCATTCGAACATCAACCCTCTCAACCACAACAACATTTCAATTCTCGGTTCATGCCAAGTCTCATCCACCCAATGCCTCATCCACAACAACAACATTTCACAAACAACAACAACAACCATCACATGGGTTCTATAAACAATTCCTTTGATTTCACACAAAGAAGGCCTTCCATTTCCTCAAACAGCTCAACACCTTCCAACTCTGTCAACAAAAGTTTGACCAATAACAACCATTTGTTTTCCCATCCCTCAGCACCACCACCACCCAACACTCAACAAATGCATCACCATCCCATTAGCAACACCTCCAACAACAACAACAACAACTCGACCAATAAGACAAATTCAATGGTTTTGACAGCAACAACCACTTTATGTAACAATAGTGTTCCACCCTCTTGTTCAAACAACATTGTGTCCTCCTCAACCACTCCTTTGCAACTTTTGAACCATTTGGACCGACAAACTGTGGCTCTCTTACAATTGGTTCTCAATTCATCCTCTTCCTCCAATAACAATAATGATAACAATGGAAATTTGACGAACAACATTAACACCACCACCACCACCAATACTATTACCAACAACAACACTGCAACAACACAACGGTTGAACACTTCTCAAAGTGGTACCACTCCAAATCCTACTACTAGTCGGAGAGAATCACCACCGTCGTCATCTCTTTTGCTGCTCCCACCCAACACCAGCCAGTGTTCTCAAATGACAAATATGGTCTATATGAACAATTCTGGCAGAAATCAACACGACGACCACAGAGAATGTACTTCCTACACGGCCATGCTCATCGACAATGATCACCACCATGAGAATGGAAACCCCAATTCATGCATGGATGAACCTCTGCAACAACAACACAATGATTCTTCTGATCACCACCACCACCACCACCACCACCACCATCAACAAACATCTTGTGCTTTCACAAGTGGACCTCTCTCTTCCACGTCTCTAGCAACAACAACAACAGCTCGTTCCTCATCATCAGTTTCGTCTTCATCGAGTTCCGATTCTTATTCACACCCAACATCAACAACAACAACTCTTCAACATCATCAAAAAGATGAAAACGATGCATCGTACACAATGGAGGAAAAAGCACCATTGAGTCCAATCTCCAATTCGTTTTTCCTCCTCTCAGATGATGCAGTTTTACCACTCATAGCAAATTCGAGCGAAAATGCGAATGGGATAACGAGAGAAACTTGTGCACTGGATGGTGATCAAGTCGTGGACTTGCAAGTTGAAGGTGATCCATTCTCCTCTTCCTTTCATGAAAGAAACGAGACTGTGACGAACAAGATGGCGACGGCTCACATGACACCAAATATTAAACACCCGCACCAAGAAAAACAAGAATACGAGGAAGAATCTTGCTCCCATAATAAGCAAGTAACAGAGACAAAAACTTCAAGTCGTCGACAATTATCGAAAAGAAAAACTCCAAGCAGTACGACAGTAGAGAAAAAACAAACACGAAGAAGCAACATGAACGTGACGAACTCTTCATCGTCCTCGTCCTCATCCTCATCCTTCTCTGCCAATGCAACCCATTCAGAGGAATCTTCTCACCAACATGTTCAACATCATTCGAATGAAGAACAACCAACAACAACTGACCATACAACTCCAAAAAAGAAGAGAACCATTCGTGATCGTTTGATATGGGGTGAAGATTTACATGCAAAATTCGTCCGAGTGGTTCATGAATTGGGTGTGAATGAGGCTCGACCCAAGGAAATTAAAAAGTTGATGAATGACGATCGAGTGAATACCACACACATCAAATCACATTTACAAAAGTATCGAACCCATCTGAAGAAGAAACAACAACAACAACTCGAACATCAACTTGGCGAAAATTTAGGTACGGGTGGTCTCGAAACAAGTGCCAGTGGCCACTCATCATCCGCATTGAATGAAGTCTCAAAGAGAAGTCATGGAAGCATCTCGTCCTCTTCCTCTTTGAAAAGAAAAAAGCTCAAAACAGAATCTTCTTCCTCATCATCGTTGTCGTCTGGGATTCAAGTCGCGAGTAGTGCTGGTGCTGGTGCTGGTGGTAGTGGCAGTAGCATTGAAGAACATGTCATAATGCAGCAGCATTCAGAGACATTGAATCACACATCGTCCAAGAAAAGGTCACCTCTTGCACACAGCGCTTCTCAAGATAGTTTTTCAAAGAATGCAAAAGAGAATCACATGTTGAGAGTGTCGTCATCGTCATCCATGAATAGTGGTAGCCATTCCATGAATGTTACATGTACGAGTGGAATGACCCCTCCATTATCTTCAAACAACAACAACACGAGCAATAACAATCACTCATCTCTTCTTTCAGCAGATCCATCTTCAAGTCTATTACATGCATTGACTCAACAACAACAACAACCACAAACGAACAATGACTTGGCATCTCTCACGATGGAACAGTTACTCAATGTTTATCATTCAAGTTTTCAACAACAACCTGAGCTTGACACGACACAAACCAATGCCTCCTTTGTTAATACTCACCAGCCTGCAACAGGTTCGACATCTCCTACCTCTCACATGGCACTTTTAAATTTACCAAATCCTTTTCAAACGAACGTGTCACTCTCTCCGACGGCAGCAACAACATCGACCACCGCCATGCATTCTACACAACAACAACAACCCTACATGAATCGAGGTAATACCAATAGAGGAACGATGAATGGAACGACCTCTGTAAACGCCATGAACAATGCATCTCAACCTAACATGATGCTTTTGGTGAATCAAATGACACTTCAACAACCACAGATGAGTTCAATGACACAACCATTTGGGGCGACAGGCAGTTTGAATTTAATGCAAGGATCAAATTTTAATCACAAATACCAAATGCCAACTAATAATCATACAGTGGTTCCAAATGCAACAACAACAACAACAACACCTTCTACCACTACTGCAAGCAACAACACTACGACGAGTACAACAAACTTTATGGACATGACTTCATCTGTCTCAACAACCAACGGATACCACATGGGTTTAACTTCACTACCAGACTATATGGCCATGCTAAGAAATATCTGCAAATCTGACGATGATATTGCTGAACTTTTCCAAAACATTCAACTTCAACTTCAAGAGCAAAAAGATTTAAATTTTGTGATTGAGGGTTTCAGACTGGGATTTTTATGTGGTTTACGCACTCTAGATAAAAACAAACAAACAACACAAATGTAAAAAACAATACATTCATTAAATTATGATCAAGCTCATTTCAAAAGTATATAAACAATAATTATTTTGTTTTTTTACCTCCACGTTGGTTGAAGCCACTATTTTGGGAAGGATTGTTGCTTCGTTTTTGACCACCTCCTCTTCCTCCTCTCTTAGATGAGCTGCCTCCTCTGTTACCATTGTTGTTTCGACTCTTACGTGTGGAATCATTATTTTCCAACTTGTACAATGTTAAATGCATTTCCATATCACCAAAGGTCTCATCGAGTAAAGTTCTAACACGAGGCCAGACAAGCTTATCCAGACCACATCCAATTAAGGGCATACTAATTCGTTTCACATTGTGTTCGATAGCGTGTTGTTTCATACATTTTAAGCTTGATAGGAGAGTGTCATAGGTTGGCTTTAAAAAGTATTTTGGTTTAGTGACCAAATAATAAATGTATCTATTTTCTTCTGGAATATGCAAAACAGCCAAACCACCAGTCTTGGCGTTCTGTTTTCTCAATTCATCAACTCTTTCATATTTATTCTTGAATATCAGCGCAATACCTTTACTCATAGCTAAATCCTCGCTCACGCAGTGGCATATGGAGTCTGTATTTTCATCGGAGAACAAGTCACCCACTTTTTCAGAGAAACCATAAGTATTTGATGAGTTAGAATGCTGATTATCGGAACTTGTTGATCCCATAGTGTTGTTGTTATTCTTGATATTCAATTCTGTGATTATGGTTGATGAACTTGCTGCTGTGGTGGCTCCTTCGCCAGTGCGGATCAAATCAGCAATCGTTGTGGTTGCATCATCATCGTAAGGCTCTTCTTTCATTTTTTTCTTGTTGATTCTGGAATTGAATTTGATTCGTGAAAAACTTTGAAGTTGTTTCAATCAAGGCAATTATTAATTTAGGTCAGTGACAAACTGTCTTCCTTTCGCTTGTTAACGTATCCTAATCAAACTATTTCAAATATAAGTACAGCTTCAACAAAACCTCAATTCAAATAATTCAAACTCTTTTGATAAAAAAAATGAGCGAATCAGAATTATTCCTCACCAAGAGAAGTCGATCATCATTCGAAAGTGATGAGGAAAGTGATGACAACAACGAAAGTGGCTATTCCTCAGACACAGAACCAGAAATGGACGAGAATGATGAAACAAAGCAGCTAGAAGAGGAGTTTTCTAATTTAGTGGTTGTTTCTCAAAGTGAGTTGGACACTATGGAACAACGACTTTCTTCAAATCCGATGGCTTATTATCGTGAATGGCTTGATTTGATCAAGCAATATAGATTCCGATACTATGCAAGTTCTAAGAACATTTCTAATAAGAATACGACAGATCTTCCTCCAGCATATTCATCACTCACCAATGAAAAAACTTATATAAATGTTTCAGCATTTGAAAAATTGAGACAAATTCGTTGGAACATGTCAGATCAGGTTCCTTTGGGGGAAAAGAGGTGGATTGAATGGCTTAAAGAAGAAGAAGAATATTTGGAGGAGTTGTGTTTTTCTGTTAATACAAAGATGATCATCGGCTCCGATAATTCTTCGAACGCAAATATTGATAACACCAGAAACACCATTTTATTAATTTATGAGAGATGTTTGTTGTGGGAGAATCCTTTATGTAAGTTACATTCTTTTGAATTTTACAAATTTAATTATTAATTTTATCACAAATAGACAAAAATATTGCCGAACAATACTGTAATTTTATTTTGAAATATTATGAAGAGGATTCAAGGAATGAGCAATTTATCGAAGATTCATTTAATTTTGTTTTTGAATTAATTGGATTTAAACCTTCCATTTGCGATTTATTCTTGGAGTACTTACAGAGAAAAGAAGCCGATAAGACGTCTGAAAAGCAAATTTGGAGCCAAAAAATTCGTAACATGTACAGAAAGCAGCTCGAAATTCCGTCTCAGAACGTGTTTAAGGTTTGGAACAGCTATATTTCTTGGGATAAAAACACTAGCGATGTGGCGACTGCTGAACGCAACATCCAAGAAATGAATGTCATCAAAGTAAGATGTATGAAGGAACTTGAGGAAAGGCTCGGCCTTGAAGCAGATCTTTCCCAATCCGATGAAAACAATAAGGAAACAAACTATCTTAAATATGTGCAATTTGAAGAGGCGAAGTACCAAGAATGTAAAAACTATTTGAAAACCTTTAATAACGATCAATCTCCGACTATTGATATGAGCTTTCACGAATTGACTACTGTATTGCAAATTCAAAAAGCTAGAATTGTGGAATTACTCAAAACAGGTTCATTCGAATGTTGGAAGAGCGAACAAATGTGGCAGAAATATTTCTCTTTCTTAGTGTCTGAACGATCATATGGCACATCCTCTCAAACAAGCCATTCCATGATTATCAAGAAATTAATATCAGCCTATACTCAATTAAGACAGCTGAAGTATTTATCAATATCTCCATTTGAAACATATATTTCGAATTTTATTGAGGTCGCACCCAACGATCAGATAAATACTATGGTGCAAGCTTGTGTAACCTCTTTCGTGGCCACCAAGAATAATCCTTGGAGCTCCACATTATGGAACAATGTGTTGATTGGCCTTTCCTATTTATTCGAAGCCTTAGATCTCCATCCAAATACTATCACACAGTTAACATCGAAGTTTTCAGAGCTGATGCAAAATGTAATGTATCACAGAGTTCTTGGGGGTTTAAATTGCTATGCCAATGACTTGGTTTACAAAGATTTTTATCAAGTCTTCTCCTTCTATTGTACAGTACTAGCCAGGTTAAACAGATTCCTGTTCACACAAAGTGTGATTTATGCTAATGGCGGAATTACTGTGCAAGACTTGCCCAAGTGTCAACAAGAGGTGTTTACGGCAGCTGAGCAAGGATTCGAAAATCTCATTGGATACATGAAACAATATTTTGTTAAGGATGATGCAAAGACCTATCTGTTGGAATTACAGTATACTGAATTCATGCTGGAAAATGAACAGCCATTACGTGCCAAAGAATTATTTGAATTATATATACTAGAGACTAGTGACAATAAGAAAGATATCAAAGTCTGGTATGAGTACATACGATTACTTGAGCGTTTAAATTGGTTTGCGATCGATAGAGAGAAAGCACTTGCTACAAAAATTTCGAGTATCAGAAATGCATATTTGGAAGGTGTCAAATTCATAGAATCAATATCTAATCGAAAAGCATTCATCAAATCATGGATTCTATTTGAAAAATGTAATTGTGATTCATTAGATACAGTTTTCATGGCAGAAAAAAAATTTGAGAATCTTAACATGGAAGAGGCCCAAACCAAAAAAGAGAAGAAGGAAGCGAAACGAAAGGAAAAGGCTGAATCCAATAAAAAGGAGAAGGCACAACAAGAAAAGCAAGAGCCAAACACAGGAGAATCGCAAAAAGAAGCAACCAAAGAAAAAGCAGAGAAACCAAAGAAATCAAAGAAAGAGAAGGAAAAAGAGGAACCAAAAACTAAAAAAGTTAAACTGGAAGAAAACATCAATGAATCGGGAACTGCATCCTCATTAGCAAAATCTGAAGAAGCAACTAAGGAAAGCAAGACACACAAAAGCCACAATGTAGTACTTTGGAATTTACCCTACAAGATGAAAGAAGACGACCTGCGTACACTTTTCCAAAATGAATCGTTTGAGACCAAACGTGTTACTCTGGTGAAAAAACAAAATGGATCCTCGAAGGGAATGGCTTTCGTTGAAATGCCCGATGATGTTTCACTACAAAATGCCATTCAAAAGTTTAATGGATACAAGGTTGACGAAGAAGGGCATGCACTTCATGCCTCAGAAGCAGATCCAAATAAGATGAAAAGAATTTTGCACAACCAGAAACAGCTTGAAAAGCACAAAGGAGAACGGACTCAACCAAAATTCAAGCCAAGCGCAGAAAGGCAAACATCCTTCTTTGCTGCCTCCTCACAACCCCAACCTGTTTCAAGCGCACCAACGAAAAAACCTGTGTTCAAACCTAGAAATGTCAAGTCAGCGTCACATACTTCAAAACCAACAAGTTCTTCCACTCAACAACCCACAACTGCTTTAGCATCTGGTGCCTCATCAAGCAATGCTGTTGTTCCAAAAGTTGGTGGATTAAGCAACGAAGATTTTAAGCGTTTCTTGCGCCCAAGTGAAACCCAAAAATGATCGAGCCAAAATTTGCTCCGCTCAGAAATAAACCATCCGTGCGATGTCGCAATTATTGCATGGTTCACCAATTCACAAGCAACGATCAACTCCTTATTTCTGAATTCACACACGAACCACCATCAATATTTCTTCAATTAATTAACAAAAAAAATGAAAGCAACTGTCATTCACGCCACTGGTGATGCCTCTGCTCTGAAATTTGAAAATAATTTCCCAAAACCTGCGTTCAACAAAGACTCCGATCAAATATTGATCCGAGTCGTGTATGCTGGAGTAAATTTCATTGACACCTATTTCAGAAGTGGATTATATCCAGTTTCATCGTTCCCTAAAGTTCTTGGCCAAGATGGCAGTGGTTACATTGAAGAAATTGGTGATCAAGTGCCAAGCAGCTGTGGACTCAAAGTCGGAGATCGTGTTGCTTTTACGTCAGGATCTGGTTCTTATGCTGAATATGTTCTCTCGGGCTATGTGAATGTTGTAAAGGTTCCTGACGAGGTGTCTCTCCAAGATGCAGCTACTTGCATGGTGCAAGGGATCACTGCTTATTATTTGGCATTTGATATTCCAAGTGTAAGAAGTGATGTGGTTTTGGTTCATGCAGCAGCAGGTTTGTTATTATTTACTATTTGCATAATAATATATGAACATTATTGCCTTACCATTGATGTTTTCTATGAATGGAAATTTACATGTTTTCTTATGATGATTCAGGTGGTACTGGTCGAGTCCTCGTTCAAATCTTGTCAAAAGTAAAAAAAGTGAAAACAATCATTGGAACAGTTGGATCTGATGAGAAAATCTCGCGGGCAAAAGAGTTAGGATGCACTCACGTGATTCAATACAAAAGAGAAGACGTGGTTCAAAAAGTGAAAGAAATCACCAACAATGCAGGTGTCGATGTTGTTTATGATGGCGTTGGTAAAGATACCTATTCAAGCTCATTGAACTCATTGGGAGTAAGAGGATTGTTTATTAGCTTTGGAAATTCCTCTGGACCAGTTCCTCCAATTTTACCATTAGATTTGAGTGCTAAGGGTTCTCTCACCTTTACAAGACCTCGAATGTTTGACTTTGTGAGAACGTATGACGAAATGAGAGAAAAATCAGGAAAGGTCTTCTCGTGGGTTTCACAACATCTCATTTCCATGAAGATTCACAAAGTTTTCAAGCTTGAAGAGGCCGCAGAGGCACATCGAGAAATTGAGGATCGTAAAACCTTGGGTAAGATTTTGTTGCAAGTATCCCAAGTCAGGAAAAAGGAACATTTGAAAAATTCTCTCAGCTATAAATAAAATCAATTAAAAAAAATTTGAACACTCATTTGACAAGACCATAAATAGGGATCAGAACGTGATTGAAATAATCATCAACAAATGACAGAATTATTCGGAGATAATTGTTTATTATTTTCTGCACCCTCTCATGTTGGTGGATCTGTGGACAACACAATCATACCATCGGTGGTTGCCTACTGTGAGAAGGGTTTTTGTTCCAACAACACTGCCACAACAACAACAACTAACAACCTCCCGAGAGGTTCTCTCTATTCCATCTATGTAAACGATAAGATTCATGTCATTCTTGATACTGAATTTACCATGCAAGCCAAACCTATCTTGATTGAATTGAGAAGTTTTCTATTTGAAGATGAAGACAATGATGAAAGTTTTGAAGAAGAGTCTATTCTCGTGTCTGATTTTTCATTCCCAACTACAAGTGTTGTGATACATATTCGGAGAGATAACTCTTCACGAAGAAAGAATAGAAAAAACAAGGCTAAATCCATCAAAGGAGAACTCACTCCTCAAGATATTGAAAAGAAGAAAAAGATGAGACGGAGCTTAACTCAAGAAGCCACTAAAAAGGTTTCATTCCTACGGGTTGTGCGCCAAGAGGATGGTGCTGTATTGGCTGTCTCTCAAAATATGTGGTGCCGAAGTAAAACGAGAGATGAAATGGAAAAGAAGAAGGAGAGAAGACAGCAAACAACAACTAAAACTAGGACCAAAAATCCAAGCACTAAGAGAAAGGAAAATCCACAAGTTGAGCTTGTGCCTGTGGAGCTAGATCAAGACATGTTACGAACACATCTCTGTAAACGATCCAAGTCCAATGAGGAGAACAACAACGCTAGTGCTGCCTCTAATGTTCACTCTGTTGTCACTTCTAACAACAACACTGTAAATATTAATGAGGAAGAAATTCCAATGGAAATGCTTCAAATGTACAATCCTCAAGAGTGGATGACGTACACGAATGGAATAGCTGATAGCTTACATTTCTTGACACAGCAATTGTGTATGGCTACCACAAAGAGCTATCAACCAATATTAATGGTTGTACCAGTTGTAAATAATCACCTACCAGAAGAAGAGAATGACTTTGATCCATCCATGTTTCAATCGGCTCCAACTGCATTCTTCAATTCGCCTCTCTTTGCCAACAATAATAACACGCCAAACGGAGGAGCTGTTAATTTGGATGAAATTGACTGGAGTCAATTTATGGAAACACCAACCTCACCTCAACAAGCGCGACAAGATGTCGTCACTCCAAGCAATGGAGATAATGCAATGACGCCTTCCAAAGCAATTTCATTGGATGATTTCTCTCAAAATGACTTAGATTTTTTGCTTAATGGCAACTTTTCCACCCTTAATGTATGTGAACAGGTTGAATTATCAACTTGTTGGCCAACAATACTTTGAGGAAGTTGTGATGAAGTATATGAATGAGAACATGTCAAGTTGGAAGTATCCAAGTAAATTCATCGAAGACCTCAATCCAAGAAAGTTTATTCCACCAATCATCAAAAAATAAATTATTCATGTATATTTGTTCTAACGCTTCTTTAGTAAGGGAGTTGTTTGATTTCAAAACCGTATCAGTTTCTCTTGAAAATAATGTAAAATTTTTTAGTCAACTGAAAACTTTATTTAAAGTTCCTGGTTGACTTGAGGTATTGGTATCGAGAACTGCACAATTGCTCATACTTGTTACTTCCACATATGCAAAAGGCAATGAAAGTTGGAATTCCATGTTCACTAAGATGCCATCTTTCATTGAGCGTTCAAGGTACTTTGCAAGAAGAATGAAGAACCTTTGGTCGACCTTCCACACTTTCTACATGGACCCTTGCACAAGCCCTTCAAAACGAAAAAAGTTGGTTCCACCTTTGAAGAACAAACCTGCCACAATGGTTGCAAATCAATAAAATTATTAAGCGTATTGTAATGTATCTTGAATGCCAATTTGAACAGTCCGGAGAGGGTCGACTTGTAAATCAAACAGCCTTGATGTTCACTCGAACCACATTCTTATCGACAAGGTGACACTTTAAAAAATCTCCATATTTAGTAAATGACACAACATGACCGCGCCAAAAGGATGTCAAGCCTTACTCGTCTCAATGCAGCCTTACCACATTTTTACCGCTTAAATACTACAATCATGGTTTGAGACCACCATAAATGGTGACTTGTGCATTCTTTGAATGCCAAACCATCAAATAAAAAAACAATTAAAATTCTTCAGATGTATTGGTGTGTGGCTTGTAATTCCAAACCACCCCAAGAGCATTCTGAAGGGTTTGGATCGCAACTACTTGAGAGAGCATTTGCTCACAGCTTGGAGTGTGTATATTCATTTATTCATTTTCCATAAAATAGAAGAATGGTTTGGAAGGAGGATAAGTGACTATTCTGTTCTTTGTTAAGGATTAGACTTCTGTAATGGCAACTTTACAACAGTTTCTCAGGGTGGTGAATTGTCATCCCTTCGAGAGAATTCAAGCATTGAGGAAATATGACCAATTCACATGCTCTGTTCCTTTAAGACGAGATCGATTTAGGATGCCTTCCCTCGATGAAAAGTATATTGGGAATTCTCCATTCAACAATAATGATATGCTGTAATACATTATGATTTTGAAATTTAATTGGATAAGATGACAATCCTAGCAAGACCTCGAATTAGTTGTGAACACAAATTAAATTCTTTCAAATCCATCAAGTATTGCCTTCGTTTTACACGTAATGCTAAGTGTTCACAGATCAAGCTCCAAGGTACGCTAAGTGTACACAAAGGACAACATGGAAGCGCTCCATGTCGATTGCTGATGATTTCAACTGCTTTGTAGTGCTTGTATGCAGTATCGTCATCAACATTTAACACATTTGAGTTTTGGATCAATGGAAAGATTTCAGCATATTCCTTACTCAACCCATCTTCAGTCGTAACAGTTGAAGTTGTGATGATGATTGCAACGCCCAGATCAACCAATAAAAACAATTAGTTCAAAAGTCAGCAAGTTTAAAATATTTACAAGGATCTTTTTGTCTGAAAAAGAGGGTTACTTCTTACAATTGCTGCACAAGCAATATTGAGGTCCAATGTGCTTAGCGATACAGCTCACACCTGGGAAACGTTGCCGTTGTTCCAAATAATCTTGAACGAAATCGCTAATCTTTTCTCTGCTGACATTAGGCATGACAATACAGTGAGCTACTGTTCCTTCACATGCAAGTTGCCACTTTTTAACGAATTCTTCATCCTTAGGTCTTTCCAAAACAATTGTGTTTGAGTGAGGGTTTAACAAGCATCCTACACCTGCATCTCTTAAGAGTTGTTCCATATACTTTGCATTTTCCAAACATTTTCTAGCATCCTTTGCAAATCCTTCAGTGCCCTTCTTTCTCAATGTGAGCCACAAGTACAAAGAAGCTTGTCCATTTCTTGAACCCATGATAGTAGTGTCAACACTGTTGAGATAATCAATGTGACTCTTCAAAGTCTCCACATATCTCTTTCTTGTGATTGTGACACCACAGGGCATTGGGCATCCCATAAACTTGTGTCCTGACACTGAGATGCTTCCGACAGGTTTAGTGAAGTTGACTTCGAGTGCTTCCTCAATGAATGGTAAAATTAAAGCAAACAATGCACCATCACAGTGAATGAAGAATTCATCTTCTGTGTATCCAGTTCTCTTGAAAATGTCCAATATTGTATCCAAATTATCAACTGCACCCTTGACAGTAGTACCAATGTTAACATTCATGACGACTGGTCTCTTCTTCTTTCCTTGAGACAAATCTTCAGTCTCCTCTCTGTTTCTGATCAACTCTTTTTCCAAAATTGCGTAATCAATCTCACCAGTATATAAAGTAGGAACTCTAATTTCAGGCATTCTGTATAACTTGGCGGCCTTTGAGACAGAATAGTGAGACTCTCTGGATGACACCAAAACTGCATCAGGGAATTGCTCTCTTCCCAACAAGATTCCATACAAGTTGCCTTCTGTTCCACAATTAGTGACATATCCCCAATATTCATCATGACTCCAATTTTGAGCATTGGCTTCATCGGGACATGGACCAATCTTCCACAATTTGGCAAAGAATTGCAACACAGATTGTTCAAAAGCTCTCGAGTGAACACCATAGTTAGATTCCACAAAAGGATCACCCAAATTGTTGATACTGTATCTCAAGAAAGGACTCAACTCTTCATGGTTGTAACTTAAATTGTATGGGTATCCAAAGTGATGGTAAGTTCTTTCTTCAACGTGTTTCTTGTATTGAGCAAGGATTTCATGAGTAGGCAAATCCTCTTGGATGATAAAGTTAAAGTTCTTATCAATATTGGCGTTATTGTTGTTATTATCATTCAACAGCGGAGTAGTGCTAGTCGTGTTGTTGTTCATCTTGTTGTGAGGAAGAGTATTATATTGGAGGTAATTCAAAATGGGTGATAACGCGATTATGAAAGAATTGGTGGTTGGAGTAATGAATGGATGTAAAGGCTTTTTCTTTTGGATGACTCTCTCGGCCTAGAGAGCACACTCGCAATTAAGCGAATTTAGCGAAGCGATAGTAAAGAGGTTCAACAACACATCATCACACGCGTGTCATGATGACGATGCATCAAATAAATTGAAGTTTCTAAATGTTCACAAAAGGCATCGGACTTTTGCGCTCCACGAAATGTTTCGATCGCGACGGTGGTGATGCCTGAGCGTACGATATTCTCCCAGACGACATCGTTGTTTGAATGATCACCACGATTTTTTGAGGTTGTTGTTGGAAGATTTTAAGTTGGAAACACGCACGTGCGTTCGAATATCATTCAGTTGATTGGTTTTGAAGGTTCACTGAGATTTCATTCTCTTGCTTGAAGAAAAATGATTATGCCAAACATCTGTTTCTGTATGAACACAACCAATTGGTTGTTTCAACATCAAATTGTGAGAACGAATTGCAACATCTTGTCATGCATGAAACCTCATCACCAAGCGAATGAGATTGTGAATATTCAAATCATCATCGAGTCAGTTGATCCTAAACTCGCGCGCCATGATTGACATACGGTGTTGTGTTAATACTTTTACGAATATTTCTTAATTATTTTTGTCCTTCAAAAAATATGAAATCATCATCAAACGCCACATTACCGACGTCGTCCTCCATTGAGGAAACATTAAAGATGATTGAGGAAAGAACATCCCAAATGAATTTGGAAATTCGGAGACATTTTGATAGAAGTAAAAGTAGTAGCAACATTGATACAAAACTCACAAGTAATGATCCGCATCAGCAACAATCATCTTCTCCTATTTTGACTAGGAATAGAGGACAAAGCTATAGCTCACCAAAGGGAAATCAAATTGAAGACATTTCTATGGTTTTTAATGCAATACGAGCAAAAAGAAAGACCATTGAGAAAAGTCCATATACGGCAGCAACAAGTAGCAATTCTGTTGATTCTGGTACATTACTTCCAGAATTTTACTCTACGGCTATGCGAAAGCCACTGTCTATGAACAATTTTTGCGCTTCACCCTTTTCAAAACAAGCTACACCACTTCAAAATATGAAAAGCGTTCTCAATGGCTCGCATCAACATTCGGATGTTATTCCGACAACAACGGTTAACAATTACAACTTGTGTAGAGAAGATGAAGACATTTCTGAATGTAATTCTGATCGATCAAGCACAAGCGGTTGTAGCCTGAGTTCTCAAAACAACGTTGTAGAATTACAAGCAAAAGTTGATGCTTTAACAACAGCCTTAACAAAAGCTAACAATAATCTTGAAGACTTCCAAATAGGACTAGAAACATCCATTCAAAAACAAAATGAGTTAAAAAATTATTATCAAAGCTTTCTTAAGAATATGACCAAACAACATACTCAAAAAATTGAGGATTTACAAGAAAGAATACATCATCTTGAGAAAGAAAATCAATCTCTTAAGGAGCAATTGAAAATGTCAAAGGGAGACACTAATTCGCGACCTGCAATAGCAAACACATCTAGAGAGCCTTCATTGACCCAAGATGCTGTTTTCAAAGTTTCTAAAAAAGCCCATCAGATATGCACAAGTACCAGGAAAGAATTGCATGACTTAAAAACATTTGTACTCTCAGAATTGAATCCTTTCAAGGAAGTTTCAAAATTTTCCCAAGATGTGATTTCCAAAACACTCACAATTTTTGACACATCCACCATTTCTGAACACTATAAGAACAAATTTGCAGAGCTTGAAGAAAGACATCAAAAGTTAAGCCAACTGCTCCTTCAAGAAATTAACTCTCGAAAACGGCTGCAAAATGATTTAATAGAAGAACGTGGAAATATACGTGTTTGCTGCCGTATACGCCCTGAATGGTCGTTTCCTGCTGAAAGCAACAAATTCATTCATTCATTCTTTCATAGAAGTTGTATTGTACATGAGAAAACGACTGATACCGTAATCACAATCAACAGAAAAGGACGAATTCGAACCTTTGAGTTGGATCAAGTGTATGGCACCTCTTCTACTCAAGAGCTCATTTTCTCAGACTTGAAACCTCTTGTTCACTCCTCATTCGATGGATATAATGTATGTATGATGATGTATGGCGAAACAGGAAGTGGAAAGAGTTTTACCATGAACGGAACATCAAATCAACTTGGCATTATTCCAAGAACCATTACAGAATTTTTTCACATTATTGACATGCATCGATGTTTTTGTGAGGTAAAATTGAGACTAAGTATTGTAGAAATTTATAACAACGATGTACGAGATATGTTATCGTCGAATGCCTCCACAGAAAAAGAGACGTACAGTCCTGAGCTAAAATATTGTCCTGTGCAAGATGAGCAACATTTACGCCAACTTATCAAAGAATGTATTTCAAAACGATCTGAAGGAAAGACTTTAATGAATGCCAACAGTAGTCGATCACACTTCATAGTGTCTATTGAGATTGAAAAGAAACTGTTCTCTCCGACAACTGAAAAACTCACTCAACATCCAACAGATTTATTCCTCAACAAGCCAGGGGAAACAACCAACGAAAGAACTCGTCAGAATAGTATCGCACAACAACAAATCATGACACAGCCTTTGAACACAAAATCAGTGTTGAGATTTGTTGATTTAGCTGGTTCTGAAAATGTAGAAATGAGTGGTGTGCATGTCCACTCTGAACAGTTTGCAGAAACATCGCATGTGAACAAGAGCTTGTCCGCTGTTCAGGACGTTGTTGTGGCGCTTGCTCAAAAACAACGCCACATTCCATACAGAAACTCAAAACTCACACAAGTTCTTCGAGATTCTCTAGAGGGAGACAGTAAGGTACTAATCATGGTGACCGTTTCTCCTCAAGACAAGTTCGGTGCTGAGACAATCCATGCACTTTCGTTTGCAGAGAAAGTGAAGCAGATTAAACGAAAAAAGGCAACAAGACAAGCTGTCGTGAACTGAGCCAACATTTGTAGTGTTACGGAACGACTCAATCTTGTTCCCCCAATGCACCTTTCGAACAACATGATTGTGAATGAAACTTATCGAAGCAGGATTTATTGTTTTCTGGTTCTGAAACAATGAACAGCACTACCAACAGCCACAGCACTGAGCCCCAAAACCCACCACACACAACCAACGAAAGGACAACAACAACTTGGCATACTGTTCATTGTTGAAATGTAGGTTGGTGGTGAACAATGAAGCTTCTCGTTCACATACTCTTCCGAGGTTGGATAAACTTTAGGCATCACAAAGATTTTCTTCTCTTTTCTAGGAGATTCTTGACCTCTTAATTCCATTAAAGCTTCACTTGGCAACAAGTACCATCGCAAATGGCCATACTTTCGTTCTAATCCATACTTGTCATCATCTCCAAAGAGTCGTGTAATTTCTTGCTTGTAATCCAATTTGATTCCATCTTCGGATGTGAATAGTTTCACCGATTGCTGCAATAATTCTTCTGCATCTTGTAAAATTGCAGAATAACTATGTATGGTATTTGGTTCCATATCGTGCAACTCACTAGAATTGTCCAAAAACTCAAGACGTCCATTCTCAAATGTAATGTCTGATATTCTTTTTCGATGTTGTTCCAAAAAGTCAGTAAAGTTTTCATGAATAGAAGAAATCTTATTGCTTGGTCGGTTCAAATTGGGATTAGATGAGCCAACATCAAACCTTCTATGCATCCACTCATTGCTTGATTCATTAAAAACATAGTATGGTAAAAATTTCCATCCATGAGTAGCGACAAAATCGACTGCTTTCAACACAAAGTCAACAGTTTCATCATCAAAGAAATAATTCAAATTTAACCGAGTCCAACCTGGTTTTAGGTGTGTCAAAGAAATGGGAGATGAATAGGATTCAAGAAGTGCCTCCTCGAATTCTAGAGCTGTTTCATGTGAAATTCCCAATAACTCAATTCCTAAAGGACCAGCACAACTACAACCTCCTCTTGTTTGGATACCAAATAAATCATTTAACAATAAGCTCACAAATGAGTGGTGCAAGAAACCGTCTCCATGTTTCACGAGAAATGAGAAAAAAGCTAATTTTTTCAATCCTTTTGCGATACATTCTTTTCCTGGACCAAGAAGAATTAAATTTGGATTTTTAGACCAAAATTCTAAAGCTCTATCTCGGTAAGCGTCTTCCAATTTGCCAATGAGAGAGGGTCCTACTGCTTCTTTTAGTTTGAAAATTAATGCACATCGAATGGAGCCAATAATATCGGGTGTTCCTCCCTCCTCTCGTTCTTCAATCTTTGCTGTGTAACTATGATTTCTATCATCCACAAAATTGACAGTTCCTCCACCAGGACGTGTTGGAACAGCTTTTTTCCATGTGATAAATATATTAATCATATTAACGTAATTAGAAATTTCTACACACATCTCAATAAAACCTACCATTCATAAAGAGCTTTCTTTTAGCGATTAAAATTCCAGGAGTTCCAGGACCACCCACAAATTTATGTGGGCTAATGAAAATTGCATCCTTATGAAGGAGAGGATCATTTGTTGGATTCATATCTAATGGGACATAAGGAGCTGAAGCAGCATAATCGAAAAAGCAAAAGGCTCCATGCTCATGACACAATTTGCAAACTGCATCACAATCCGTACAAACACCCGTGACATTTGAAGCTGCACTGAATGAACCTATCAATAATCGTTTGCCATTCTCGTACCTGATTACCATATCGATCCTCAGCAATCTGAATAACAATAGCTCCAGACTCTCTCCAAGGGAGAATGTTTGAATGATGTTCATAGGAAGAAATAAAAACCACAGGCAGTTCAGATCGAGAACGAGCCAGTAATACTCTTTCCCTTATTCCAATACAATGCACCAAAGTATTCACTGCACTGGTGGAGCCACTGCCTACAAACAGAACAACATCACAATCTCCATCTGTGTTTTTGGAAGCAGTATTGGAGCAACTGATACAATTATTATCATTCTTGTTGCATGATTTTGCTAATCTTGCATTCACACACTTTGCAATAATTTCTCTTGCCTCCTCTCTGAAATGTGTGGTTTGATAACCTGTAAACGAAGTAGTCGTATGAGTATTGGCATAGGTCGGTAACACTTGTTCAAACAAATAATCTTCAATAAATTTCAAAGGTTTTCCAGAAGCAATATAATCACAGTAAGTAATAGGAATAAACCGATTGGTTGAAAATGGAGTTTTGAATACAGCCTCTGCACCCACGACATTGTCATGAATCGTATGAATGAGTGTTATCTTTTGTTTGACCCACTTTTGCATCATGGTTTCATTCTCGAGAACAGTGGACGAATGATTTCCAAGAGCCACATCCATCTCATGGTTGTTGTTGTTTTCAAACAGACAGGTATCATTCTTTTGAATTCCGTTCGGAAGGTAGAAAGTATCACCATCATGATGATGATCACAAATCGTAGTTGCGGCAAGGTCTTGCAAGACTCTATACGTGATGGAATCTTTGGAGAAGGGACGAGATCGATGAAGGCTTGAACGTTTCGTGGTTGCATAGTTTCCTGATGAGGAGGTTGGTGTCGTTGCTGTCGTAGTGCTGGATGAGGAGCGACCCCTTGCTGTGGAACGATGAGAAGGAGGAGTATGAACGTGTAATACTTGTTGTTGTTGGGAGTCTTCTTTGGGATGAAGGAAATGAGTCTTGTTGTTGTTGTTGTTGGGAGAAGAATTTAATGCAGAAGAAGAAGAAGATGAACACAACATGATTTCTTCATCACTGGGTTGTTTCATTGATTCAGGAGGTGTTGAGATGGAATGCATTGTCTGGTCCGAAGTAATATTGGGAATCATGATGAGGATGCAATGGTCTTGTTGTTGTTGGATTGACTGTTTCAAATTTTTCTATGAATGGACTTGGATGATGAAAATGAGTTATTATGGAAATGAGAGTAGAGACGATTAGCCACAATATGGAGAGTATTAGAAGATGATGATTTGCGTTCAATTTTTCTTCAATATGATGGTTTTGTGCCGAGTTGGAATGTTGGGTCACAAACTCCGGAGTAGCTCCTTTCAGAAATTCCAAGACGGTTTTTCTTGAGTGATAAAAACAACAAGGAACGGGTGTAATGACTCGAGGAGCTTTGGCACAAGAGAAAAGTAAACCACACGAAGAAAAGCTGGGACACTCGAATGTTTTTTTGTTTTTCAAAACGGCTTCCGTTTCTCATTATTTTGATATGTTTGGCGAAGATTCGGCTGAAATACACTTTACAATAGCAGTTGTCTGTTGGTTAAAAAAGGAATTTACTTGTCCACGAGTCGGGTCACGCTCTAGGTTTAAGCCAACCACTTGTCCATTAACTTTTGAGTTTCAACACGAGTACGAACAAGGTCTGGCAAATCATTTGGAGAGGAAGCATACAAGTCCGCACAGTGAGCAGTGCCTATTCAGAAGGTATTTCACAAGTAAAATTTTCATCAAATTATTCATTATTGAAAATAGGATTAAGAAACAAATTCGTTTCCGAACCGAGTGCATTCATTGTGAAATTGAGCATTCATAAAATTGAGTTACATTCAATTATTTACACAAAATTCACCACAATGACTTACCTTGCATGTGAAAAATGTTTCCTTGTGGAACGAACTGTGTAGGTCGAGTCACTGCCAAGACCGACCATGGATCCACAGAACCACTTGAGAACACTGTATTGCTCGTGTCAATATTCTTTGCTCCATACATGTTATTAGTGAAAGCAATGTCTGGCTTCATTCCATTAATTCCGAAAATTTCAGAGCATTGTTGAAGGAAATATTGCAAGGTGATCTTTGTTGAGAATGGTTGTTTGTCACCAACTGCATCTTGATAATATCCAAATTCAACACAAGTTTGGTAGGTCCAAGCACGTCCAGCACTGTTTTGATTTTGAGGGAAAGGCCTTTCGTCTTTCATTTGTTTTATCATGTCACTGTATAAATTTTCAGTGCATGAATTTCCAGAGTATGAGTTGAAAGTATTGACCCAATTGGCAAAACTTTCCAAAGCATCTGATCCTGATTCAATAATATTACACATACTTGAAATATTGAATGCCTTTTGTCCATTGTTATCCAAATTGTATTGAACTACTTCACAAACACCGTCAGAAAGTGAGGAAAAGAAAGTAGCAACATCATTGACATCTGTTAAACTTTCTGGATTGCAAACATTGAACAATTTAGCGACACGTAGTCTTCCTGCTGGAGTTAAAAGTAGTTGTTCAGCAAGGTCATTGGCTTGTCTAATTCTTTCAGCACATTTTGGTCCAACTGAATTTTGAACAACCATCATGTACTCTGGGAATTCTAATTGTGCCAATACAGGTCCAGAGCTGTGAATATTTTATCATTCAATTAGTCAACATTATCATAAAAAAGCATTTGTAAGTTCAATAAATTCGGAAATTCAAATCATCAAAATGCATAATAAATTATAGTATTTTCTTGTCTCTCCTCACTCATAACTTACCTAGCAATAGCGCCAACAAATAAATGTGGATATTTAAGCTTCAACCAGGCTGATAAATTTCCAGAGTATGAACCTCCAAAAGAAACAAACTTGGTCTTGGCTTCATTAATATTATACTTTTTGATCAAATAACTTCTAAAATCCACTAAATCCTGCAATGCTTGTTCACTGGTCAAGTATCTCAAATTTTGAGTAGAAAGAGATTGTCTTGGTACGGATTCTCCATAGAATCTGTGAAACAATAATTGTCATCATTAGAGATTTGCTTAATCATAGACTTACCTGTGCTCCAATGCAGCAATTAAAGCACCATATCGTTTAGCATACTCATTAGTAATGAAATGACCATTGACATAACCGGCAGAAGCTGTGTGATGGAATAAAAAAATTGCAAATATATACAAACGATCCATTTTGGCATGTATAAGAACGATTGATTCATAATAAAATTCATCATTTCAAAATTATACATCCAATTGCCAATCATTCATTTAAATGTTCATGATTCATGTAAAATTACCACACACTTACCTGGTCCTTCTCCACCAATGATAATAAACACAGGTCCGTTATTTGCTCTATTCCACATGGTTTCATTGACCCAAAAACGTTGTTGGAATGTCTCTGTATTTTGTGGGTCGAAATGATCCAAAGTTTGAGTCATCCATTGGTCGACACCTCCCGAAGATGATGCTTCCCGCAAGAAGAGATTTCTATTTTTCTGTAAAAGACGATGATTCAAAGCACCGATATAATTGGTTCTTGTAAGGACACGAGCATGGAGGACCGATGATATGATGAACACGAGCAACATCACACTCATCGAGAATAACAAGAGGGACGACGTGCGCAACATTTTTTTGACATGCACGTTCAGGAGATGGAGAACTCCGATGTTTTTAATGAATGTCATCCCGAAGAGCAAATCACATAATAAATCGCTTCAAGAACCATTCGTTTAATAATTATTATCTGAGAGACATCATATCATTTAGGGAAAGAGATTCATACTGAGTGTTCGATGTGAAAAATCTTCCAAATTGTTTGGCTCCATACGAAAGTTGGTTCGTGCTGCAACTTGCATGCAAAATATCGCTCGCACTCGAAAATATCCTCCAGAAACGGAGTGTTTCATCTCCTGCTGCAGATACCACACTACTGCCATCCGGAGATTGAGCCAAATGAAGGACGCGACTCGTGTGACCAGTGAGTTCTGCAACTTTCCTCAAACTTGGATATTTCCAAACAATGAGTTGATTCTGTGAAAACCCATGGGAAGAAACGAGTTCTCGGTCGTATTTGGACCACAATAAACTACACACTTGTGATTTGGTATCTACACTGTTCAATAAAGCTCCATTCGAAGTACTCCAAAAGTGAATCTTTCGGTCAGCTGTTCCACCACCACTGGCCAACAAGTGACCTTGCCATGGACACCACGCTAATGCTTTCACAGCAGCCACATGTTCATTAAAAGTAAAAAGAGATGGAGAAAAGCTTGCAGCATGTGCATCCCAAATGTGGAGAGTGTTATCATTGCCTCCTGATGCAAGTTGAGATCCATCGGGTGACCATTTCAAACCACAAACTTCTTGGGAATGGCCAGTGAACACTGAAGTGACTTGGCTGGGATAGTTTGGAATGGCTTCATGTTGTTGCATGAATAGACCATGTGTGGAGTGAATATTGAGCCCACCAGGTCCAACTCGAACATCATGATTCAAAATTTTACCATCTCTCGAACCCGAGGAAAGCATGAACGGACCTTTCGGATTCCAAGAGAGAGAGCCCACTCGAGAGCAATGCCCAAGCATTTTCCTTACCAACTTTTTTCGTTCAACATTCCATAATTCAATGGTACAGTGATTGGTTCCGACTGCTAGATGAGTTCCATCCATAGTCCAAGCCACGCTTGTGATGGTGTTAATATTGGTTTCTACTTCTTCTGGAGAACCTTCACTCGTTTTGGTGAGCATGTGAATATTTCCATTGTTGGCATCCCACAAGTAGACAGTATCAAAAAGAGCCACTGCCAGTATATTTTGTGAACTCCAATCGAGTAAATTCAAATAAAAGTCATCCAGCATTTTGGGTGCATCCAGAACACGTTCAGGGAGAGAAGAAATTACACGTTGCTTGGAATGGCCACTACCATAGCCACCTTGCAGAAGCTGTCGTTTTTCCATTTCTGTCATTTGTGAAAATTGTTTGTTGCACGAAAAGACAGCCTGTAATTTGTTTTGAATATTAGAGTCAGCACTTGTTGAAGTTTGAAGTGCATGTTTCGGAGAGAGTACCACAGACGAGGACATGTTACCTCTTCGAATATTTTCTTGATTGTTGAAACACGAGTCAGAAGAGGTGGAGTTTGTGTCACCAGAGGGATCTCTTGATTGGCCTGAATTTCGATAACTTTCTTCTGTCGATCCATTAACGGAAATCATACTACCACAACTAATATTAAGGCTGTGAAAATTTGTGGGTTTAAATTTGAAAATTTTCTTTTCAGAAATTTTGGAAGTGGAATCGAGTAATCGACTTTCGAGACATGATTCGAATTGATAGGGCATGTTCATTGTGGAACTTCCATTATTGTGACCATTGTTGCTGCTTTGTGAGTTGGAAGAGGGAGGTGTTGAAGGAACATTCGATGTGAACATTAAATGTTTAGCAATTTCCAATTCACTCGAGGTGCACCGTTGTGGAATGAATCGATCTGCATGAAGAGAGTTTGTTGGAGACATGATGGATTCGTAATTCCTTCTCTTACCAGAAGTAGGTGAAAATAAATCTGCGTTTGATTTGGGAGAAGAAAGTGATTTAGGAGAAAATGGGGATAGTAATTGAGAATTTGTACACTCTTGATCACAGTCATTATATGATGTAACAATATTGGAAAAGTCCAATTTCTTCACAATACATGAAGGTTTGGATGCAACAGTGATCCTTCGATTTGTCTTGTTACAAGCCGTCATGCAATTTCTATGATTGACATCTGAAACTTGAGTGAGAGGTTTTTGGCATGACTGAGGAGAAAGTACCGAGAGAGGATGTAACCTCTTTTTAGACGGACTCAATATGAAGGAGGAATCTTGTTGGTGGTGAGCGAATGAAGTTGCTCGTGAAAATTTTGCATTTCTAGATTGTGGACTTGTCAGTAAATGGCTTGGAGCTGTGTGGGGACATGAAGGTGAAGCAGTAATTGCTGTACATGGGGTGCTTCTTGGCGGTGTTTTTGGAGGTTGAGAGTCAGCAACCATCGTTGAATTTGGTTGTTTGAGGTTTGACAAGTCCTCAAAGTTACGATAGTTGCTGGAAAATGATGAAGATATAGGACTCATCAACAATAGCGAGTCCGTAATTGATGAAGTACTCGTTGACAACATGGAACTCCTAGATCCAAAACCACCATCCATGTTTGAGAGGTTTGATGTATTCAACGTTGATTGGGGTGAAGACTGGTGGTGGCATAACTTTTGGCTTTTTCGTTGTTGTTGCTTCTGTGGTGATGAAGGAGGAGATGGAATGGGTGATGTGAGAAGGAGGTTGGACATTGTGTCTCTCGATTGTATTTAGGAGCCAATCACGACCGATCAGTATGATGTTGTTGTTGTGGGAGCGATATCAGTCGCTTGGACGAGAAATTAAAAGGGTCTGAAAGGGGTTGTCGAATTTTTTTAATTTTTTAAATTCATTAATTGTAACGGTTATTTTTTTGAGAGCAAAATTGTTCGTGCATATGCTCAAGGCTTGTGAAACCGAATCCTCATGATTGAGTTGATGTACATCAACACGGCTTTCAGCACACAAACCTTTTGATCAGTAGAACAAAGGCTTGTTGCCGCCAATAAAAAACTTCAAATTCTGGCCTGAAGCAACAAATTCCTCATCACGTACACAAAAAAAACGCAATCATCCTCTCGGACTTCATTCCGACATCAACTTTGTTTACACAAATTTTGTGATAATTATTAATATCATTTCTTGTGGGAACGATCATAATACGAAGTTTTATTCTAGTAGTAGTGGAGTATTTACTTTGTCTCAAACACAAATGTCCATCGGAGAAAGTGATATATACGAAGTAGAATATATTATCGCGAAAAAGTACTCCGGAGGAAGGCCAACGTACTTGGTGAAATGGAAAGGTTATGACGACAGTAAAAATACATGGGAACCATTCGAAAATGTGACATTGGATGGTCAAACAACTATTATTGATGAATTTGAGGATAGAAGAAAGGAAATTCAATCGAGGCTGAAATCAATTAGGCGTGAAAAGGAAGAACAAATACGTAAGTTTTTTAAGGTGGTTTTCAAATAATTAATTTTTATGCAATTTTTAGAATCAAGAGCAAAGTTGGCAGCTACAAACTCTTCGGAACCGATTAAAATCAATAAGAGACAAATTTTAGATGACGATGCTGACAAGGATAAAGAGAATACAGAAAATTTGAAAAACTCTGCATTGGAAGCCTCATCATCAAGCAATAATAGTACTAACGTTACTAATAACACTTCGGAAGAGACAAGCTCAACAAAAAAGAGAAAATTAATTTTGGACGATGATGAGGATGACAAATCAAGTGCAGAAACAAAACCATCACAAATGACAGCAAAATATATTTCAAGTATTGACACCAATCCTCTTTCTAAGGCAAGAAAAAAGAATCCCGAGGAGTGCAGTACAGGCGCCAGCCAGCCTCCTTTCCGAATTCAGAAAAAGAAAATTTTACCTCCATCATCTTCATCTGTTAGTGTCAAGCCTTCCCTTATTTCAGGATCTAGTTCGCAAATTTTACCTCCAGTGCTATCGTCCTCACTCGTTTCACAATCTTCTTCATCATCCATTCCTCCTACACAGCCCTTGAGTCATTTGCCTCTGCCACCAACTAATCCTCCATCGACAGATAACGCTCGTACTGTAAATAGAACATTGTCACATTCTCCTCCTTCAGATCCAAGATTAAGGTTTTTTCCAAAGCTTGCCACTGAAGCGTGCGTTGGAACAAATCTTGCTCCCTCAACAACAAGTACATCCATGCCACCACCCCAAGTAACCAACCACAACGGTACTCAGGACACAATACCAAATAATCAGAATCCACCACCTTCTGCTTCAAGCTCTGCCACCCAAACCATTCAACCTGTTGTGGGAGGTATTGCCGCTTTCTTAAGCCAGCACAAGGATGACAGTACTTTCTCAAAAAGCAAGAGAAGAAAAGCACCCGCACAATTGCAGATCTACCCAGAGTTCAAAGAACGTGACATTGCTCTTAAAATCGCCTCCACGTCAGGTCCTGTTTCTCCAACGGACTTGTCACGACGAGCAACCACTGATTATGGTGCAGTGGGTTCCTCTCGCTCTAGCTCCTTAGTTTCTCCTAATACTCCACCTGTGCCTTATAATCCTCAAAACTCTAAACAACCAACAACAACGTTAGGTCCTGTCTCTCCAACTGATCCAAGAGGTCAATCTGTCCAAAGAATGCCAAGCAGCAGAAATATTACTGGACCAATTTCTCCCACTGATCCCATGAGAGCCGAATTCCCCTCACCACCAACAAATTCCCCTCCAGTTCTTTCTCGTGACACAAGAAAACTTGCTAGCTATCCACCAACTTCTTCCAACACGCCAGTCACACAACCAGTTGATATCAGCAAAGAAAGGCCATCTGATTCGGTTGAGAAACCTAGTGACATCAGTAAATCCAATACAGAAAGACCACCGATTCGGAACGGCCCAATTTCTCCAAGTTCCATTGTCCCAAACTCAACAACACCCTTTAAACCTCCTACTTCCAGACCAATGATCGCTGGGCCAATTTCTCCAAGTGATCCAAATAGGTCTACTGTCATTGCCAAATCAAATTCAGATAAAACACCCTCCACGACAACACCTCAATCGTCACCTCAAACACCATCTGTGCCATTTAACAGACCTCCATCTTCATACAGAAGCGGGCCAATATCTCCAAGTGACACAAGAAGACAAGAAGATCGCTTCCAGAGAAAAGAGCAAGGCTATCATGAGAGAAGCTATGAACAAAAATCTGGTTACTACTCAAGCAGCAATTATTATTCAGGAAGTAGCAAAGAGTACTACTCATCAAGTAGTAGCAGACCATATTACGAAAAATCCTCTGACAGATATCATAGCCCATCTTTGTCTTATGAAAAGCGACAAAGCCATTCATATATCGATACTACCAAGAGTTACAAACCAAGTCTGATAGACACCTCCCATAATAATGAACGAAGTCAAAGCTCTAGTGCTCCTCCAACTCTCACAAATTCTCCATCCAGTTCTGCGAGTAGCCTTGATTCACTACGATCTAACGAAACAGAGGGTCCATTGCACGTAGTCGAGTCAGATATTGAATTGACTGACGGCGTTAACTTGAAAATTAGTAATTTACATATTCAAGCATTTGTTAAGGGAACAAGAGATCCAAAGTTCACGCCCAATATTAATGTTGATGGTACAGCAAAATGGGACTTTGAAAATCATGGAAGAAACGCCATCAGATGCTTCATAACCAGCCAAGAACCTAATGATCTTCCCTCACTTGACAAGCAAGCATCTGATTTGAAAAAGAATAAGAACGCGTTTCGTGCCAAGTGGGATCTTGATGGAAGACGATACAAAGTGTTCATTTATCCTTCTTGTCGAGAGGTCAGAAGTGCATTCTCAATGAATCCACCTGACTTTCCACTTATTGGAGAACCTCATTTTGTTGCGTTACTTCAGAGCAAGACTTCCAAGTAGGTCCCTCCTCGGAGAAGCACCGTTCTATCCATCCAGAGTTTGGCAGGTTCTAATACAAATGAATTTGATTTTACAAGTTTATGTGAATTTCAAGACGTCGTATTTCCTTAAAAAGAAATTCAACAATTTAAAGTTATGCCTTCATTTATGCTTCTCACAGCTGTGATTGGACAACAGCAACAACAACACTTGAAACAAGATTCGTGAACACTAAAGAAAATAAATCTCACAACCTCTCAAGATTCACACATTTTCTTCCCTTTCCTGAACAACAACATTTTTTGCGATCAACACCATCACATCATCATCAGTAGTAACAGTAGTAGTAGTAGTATTAGTACGGAAATGGTAGAAACCAAAAGATTTGACTCTAATGCCTTGTCTCGAAGCAGAGAACACGAACAACCCATCGTCATTGATAATTCACCCAATCTCGACAACCGCACGGTTCAAGTTCTAAAATCTTTACACAATGAATTGTGTTCACTCCAACAAAAAACAACTTCCAGTGGAATGTCTCCTCCCTTGGCGACCAACATCACTTCAAGACAACACAAAATTCTCTCTCAATCGAAAAAGATGAAGGATGCATGTAACGACATTTTGAATTTGTTATTCAAAGGAAATATCCCAAAAGAGAGCACAACCACTACATCCTCAAATGCCAACATTTTGGAAAACATGGAAGATCACATTCGAGAATTGTTGCATCTCGATTTGGATCAGTTAAAAGACACCATTGAGTTGGTCAATCAAGGAGAGTACAATCGAAGTCGGCTTGGAGAATTGAGAGTCAATGAACTCAAAGACGTCATGGGTGAGATATTTCTGAAATGAAAAGACATGAATAACCACAACAACTCTAATAAATGGTATTTTGTTTTGTGATACCATTCATATTAAAGAACATCTGAGCAAGCAACAGTAGCACTATCATTCATCTCAGAGTATCATGTTCAAAATTGAACTTCCAAGTTGAATTTAAATCACAAGTTCACCTCTTTCAAAGCATTAATTCAACTTTTGCGAACGAAAACACCACCACAAAAATTACAATTCCAAAAAAAATGTCTCAATCCAGAACTTTCAATTTTCAAGCCGTCCATGTCAACAAGAATCAAAAGGATGAGCTCTCACAATCTTCTGAAAAGAGACCGAGAAGATCCAATAAGAATTCACCCAGTTCTTCCGAATATGAATCTACAATGAGTGCACAAGTCCCACCTTCCAAATCTACTTCTCAATCAGAACCACAAACATCACAATTTAAATCTCAACATGTGGCATTCAATTCTAATGATAATAATAATAATCAAACTAAAACTTTAGGTACATCCACTAGTAGTGGTAGTTGCAGCACCAGCAGAACTCGTGTTGTAAAATTACAACGTAGAAATGGTCAAGTCGTTCAAGATTGTGAGGTCTATATCGGAAGAGCCATGACCATGGGTGGATGGAATTTACCTCATTCGAAATGGGGCAATCCATACCCTGTTTCAACATGTAATGGCAGTGCAGAAGTGGCATGTCAAAAATATAGAGATTACATTCTGAGAAGGGATGATCTATTGCAAGATTTGGAAGAATTGGATGGTAAAGTATTGGGATGTTGGTGTAAGTCTGACCCTACGAAGGCATGCCATGGAGACACGTTAGTAGAATTGTTAGAAATGAAGAAGAGAGGCGAATTGGAGGAGTATGTCCGTAATTATCGGAAACAATATCCTGAGCCATTGTATCCACGTTCAAAGAGGTGAGAGTTGTTGGCCTCAACTTTACAATGAATTCGATTTCAAAACTCCTTTCCGGAAAATAAATTCATCTCTAGATCATCGCACAAAAAATGTCCAAAACATCTTCTTCGTTGTTAATCCCCAGCAGCACAACGATGATCACTCAGGCTGGTCGTCTTTTGTCCATGAAATCCATTCAAAAGAACAAGCTTTTCTTGTCATCATGTCAACAACAACAACAACAATTCCATACACATCGTCATCATGATCTTTCTCAAGGAATTGACTATTCATTCATTCGTGGTAACTTTGATCAAGAGTTGATCAATGAAACATTATTCGAGAGATTTGAAAAGAGAGTCTTTGAAATGGGTGATTCCCATGCTCTGTTACAAGTGTGTGGAAATGAACATAATAATTATAGGGATCAACGATTGAGCTGGAGAGAGGTTTATGATCAATCATTGCATTTGGCAAATTCATTGCATCGTTTAGGATACAAGTAAGTCATGTGTTAATTCTGTTTATTGGTAATTTTGATGAGTGTTTTTGATCCTATGTTTGTTGTGGTCATGATGATCATGATGATCTTTCAAATTCTTGTGGAATCTCTTGAATGATGTTTTTTTAAAAATTTTTTTTTAAACATTCATTTGTAAATTTCATCATCTTGTGTGTTTTGAAACCTATCTCAATATACACACAAATGCTATTTCTGCATTTATAGAAAGAACGATCGTATCGGAATTTGGATGCCAAACTCTCATGAATGGGTTATTGTATTGATGGCAGCTGCAAAACTTGGTCTCATTGTTGTCAATGTCAATCCAGCTTACAGAAAACACGAATTGCAACATGCTCTCAATCTTGTCCAATGTAAAGGTCTCATCATTGTTCCAGAATTTAAGGGAACCAATTATGTTCAAATGCTCTATGACTTATGCCCTGGATTGGAAAAACAATCTTCACATGGAAGTGCTTCTTTTTTGAATTTGGATTCCTCCAATGCTGTTCCAACAGTGGAGAGTGAAGCATTGCCTCACTTGAGACACATTTTTTATTGCTCTCCACTCAGAGAGGGTGATTTGACAAGTGAAAAGCATTACAATGGAATGATTAATTTTGTGGATTTATTGAATGTGACACTGCCAAGAAATTTTTCTCAACAAAGTTGGACCAAAGTGAAACATCATTGTCATGATACTTTGAATATTCAATTTACGTCGGGAACTACAGGTAGGTTGTGTATGGAGAAATGAATTCTTTCATTCCAATATGGGTATTTGTGCAATGCACATTCTTTTTCACTTGAAATTATTGAATACATTTGAATTCTCCATGTTCGAAATAGGTCTTCCAAAAGCTGCTGCTCTCACTCATCACAACATTATTAATAATTCCTATTTCGTTGGTCAAGGAATGAATTTACAAACAGGTCAAGACAAACTCGCTCTCTGTGTACCATTTTATCACTGTTTTGGTTCTAATTTAGGATTTTTAGCATTCATGTTGCATGGGTGTGGAATTGTATTGCCAAGTTTTGGATTTGACGCTGAAGCAGCTTTGAAAGCCGTTCACAATCACAAATGTACTGCATTACGTAAGTATTAATCAGTATTTCCAATTCTGCAATAATATATTTACAATCATCGTCGATCCCTTTTAACATACACACATTTATAATATTATTATATTCTATTATTATTATTAATATTTTTACAATCATCGTCGATCACTTTAATATATCACACCAATCATGTAAAACTAAATCGAATATCTCTCTATCCACACGCACACATCACCCCTCGCCCATTTTCTACCACAGATGGAGTTCCAACCATGTTCATTGCAGAATTGGAACATCCCAATTTCAAACAATATGATCTCTCCTCTCTAAGAACAGGCATTGTGGCTGGCTCTCTCTGTCCAATGCCTCTCATGAAACGTTGCATTCATGAAATGCATCTTTCTCAAATCACCAATTGTTATGGAATGACTGAAACAAGTCCAGTTTCCTTCCAAACGCATATTGATGATAGTTTGGAGGTTCGTACGACCTCTGTGGGTCGAATCCATCCACATGTGGAGGCTCGAGTGGTGGATCCAGAAACTGGTAAAATTGTACCATTTGGAACTCAAGGTGAATTGCATGTGAGAGGATATTTGGTGATGAAATATTATTGGGATCAACCAGATGCGACTAAGAAGGTGATTGATAAGGATGGATGGATGAAAACAGGTGGGTAGTGGTATTGGTTGTGCCTCATTGAGTCATATTTGAATTTTCTTTATTTATTGGAATTTCCATATATTCTGATCGAAATGAATGCTAATTGTATATATTTTTTTATGAAATACATGTATTTTAAAAATAGGTGACATTGCTGTATTTAGAAAGGATGAAAAAGGACCTTATTGCAGTATTGAAGGAAGAATTAAGGACATCATCATTCGAGGAGGTGAAAACATTGTTCCAAGAGAAATTGAAAACTTCCTCTATTTACATCCAGCCATTAAGGATGTAGCCATTGTGGGTGTTCCAGATGCCAAATATGGTGAACAAATTTGTGCTTGTATCATTCTCAAGAGAGGTCAATCACTCACACAGGAGGAATTGAATGCTTATTGTCATAATCAAATTGCTCACTACAAGATTCCAAAATATGTTCTCTTTATGGATGAATTTCCACTCACTGTTACTGGAAAGATTCAAAAGTTTGTATTGAGAGATTGGGCTTCTGAAAAATTGGGTTTGAAGAAGGAGTAGTTGTTGTTGTTTGTTTGTTTGTATTGGAATGAGGTAATTTAACCAGGATCGATTGGACGTTTTTTTGAACTTTCAGTCAATTCCAAAATTCAATCGATCTATTTAAATTACCTCCATGTATTATTTTCTAGATTAAAAATTTGTACCTGTTATCGTAACAGGCTGACTGTATGGTTTCAATGAACTCGCGGCTGATTGCTGACCCACACCACAGGCGCACTGAAACAGTCAGTAAAGCCAATACGAATAAATATTGACTCCCGAATGAGTAGCCCTCCTAGCTCAGTCGGTAGAGCGTTGGACTTTTAATCCAACGGTCGTGGGTTCGAGCCCCACGGAGGGCGAAAAAATTTTTTATTTCGGGCGTTCGGTGTGGAAATACTGAGAGGAAAATCAATGAATGAGGTATTGAAAGTTGAAATGTCATTAGATCAACTGTGGGTCAACTTGATGTCGTAAAGGTATCACTTTCCGAAGTTTTGACCCATTCTTCTTCAATGTGAAAGTTGTCATTCTGATGCTAGATGGAGATGTCTAAATACAGACGATCGTTTGCTCTGTTGCTTTGTTTGAACTCGCTTCCATTTCGAACAACAAAAAATTGCCCATCTCTCGAGACAAGTCTTTCTCATTGTTCGAGGACTAAACACCCAAAATGAACCCCAATCATCAGCACCACGTCGACCATTCGCCGTCATCTCCCTCTGTACAATACTCTCCACCATCCACTCTCCCAAGTGGTGGTGTTAATCTTGTCGGATCATCTGGATTGCCCATGATGATGAACCAAAGCGTTCAATACACTCCACAAGTACAGGTTTCTCCCTTCGTGGCATTCTCACCCGCACAACAACCAACAAATTTCCATGAAGAAGAACATCATCACGATGATTCCATGCTTGAACTCAAAGACTACGATCAGAATGTGCCTTCAAATTTCGCAGTGGTTTCCCGAGGACTTCAACAGACTGGAAATCAGATCAACTCCAAGGAACACAACGCCACAGCACCATTAACAAGCATGTCCCAACCATCGCCGCACTATTATCCTCCACAATCATCACCGCTACCATCACAACAACAACAACACGATGACACAACCTATTCAACCAATAATCAACCTCAGATCATGATGATGCCTCGCCCAACCTCTAACAATTACATTATGAATCCTGGTGGACATGTCATGACCACTGCCGCTCATCTCCAACATTCGTACATCAATCCAGAAATGATGATGACTTCAAAATATTCGACATGGACACGTGTAGTTTTGGTATTTGCCATCCTTTTGACACTTTATGGAGTGGTTCAATTAACCTCTTTCTTCTTTACAATTTATGCCGTCGCTCAAGGTATTTCTCAATTTAAATTTTCAGTGTCATCTCTCGTCATGCAAGCCATCATCACTGTGATTGTTCTTGTGTCAGGCTCCATTGGTATTTATTCCACTCTCACGAAGAATGTCAAACATAGAAAATATTCCACCATTGCTCATCTCATTTCATTGGCGTAAGTTTTGTCTGGTAACACATTGTTTAATATGACTCTTTTTCATGTATCAAAATCGATTGATCATGTATTTTGATGTTTCTCTTCGCATTATTTTATATATATATATATATCAATATTAATTTTTGAATATTTACAACCTTATTTTGTGTGCATTTTAATGTTCACAACCTTGCTTGGTGTCAACCTTAATCTTATGATACTTGTATCAATGTTTAATCACCTTGCTTGATGTCAATCTTAATGTTGTATATGCATCTTTATGAAATGTTATCAACCCTGCAACACTACAGCTTGCTCATTCTAGTGATGGTTATTGAAACCATCATTGCTCATGTTGAGCTAAAACTTGATTTTGAATTTCCTGGAAAGGATTCAACCACTGTGTTGGCAATTACAATTTTCTCTGCTGTCTTGTCCTTGGTTTGTGTGATGGCCTGCTGTGGCTCTTGTCTAGGATGTCAAGCCTATCGACTTACCATTATCAAGAATATGGCTTCATACTCTGAACAGAGTACTAGTCGTGGTGAGGGTTCTCTCAATACTTCTCAAGAAGGCTTTGTAAGAATGAATGACGAAGAACCTTAAATAATTTTGTGGTGCAATTCTTCCATGATGTTTTAATGACTACTCACAACCAATAATGAACAACTTTGTAAATAGCTTGTATTTACTTTATTGACCTGATGTAATGTTCCCACAACTATTATTTTGTTCAACATTAAATTATTTATATTGTCATCACAATTCTGCCAGAACAACTGATGGCTTGATTCAGAATTGTACCAACAACAAAAAATGCCCAAGTCAACATCCTTGATCGAAAAGTGGACCAAGATGCTCAAGAGAAGAGTGGACAGGTGGTGGGGATTGGATCCTGAATTTAAACACTACCTTCCCGAACATCAGAAGGAATACCGTACACCATCACCTTCGTAAGTGTTTCTTTTGGGCAATGAGTTTGGAGAGATGATGATTATATATTTTAATCTTTGAAATTTGTGGGGTTTAATCATCGCACACATTTCCCCGTGATGATGATAATGTCGTTCGAATGACTATCATTATGAAATTTTGTTTTTGAACCATGAATCATCGTACATGATTCGTATGATGAAATGGAATGGTACTTAACAACCACATACTGCCAACAATTTAATATTTAAACAACATCTCAACGGAATGACAAATTTGGATTATTATTATTATTTTCCTTTCAACAAAACAACACTCTCTTAATTTTCTTCTTCAACAGATCTCAAGAGGATGTTGCCATTCCTCGTCAAGCGTTCATCAAGAACTTCCATATTAAATACTATCAACAAGATTTCCGTAGAGGAGCCGGATGGAATCCAGAACATATCGATACTATTGTTTACAGACAAGAGGTGATAGAGAATGCTCAAAAGGGAAAGCTCAAGTTGATGCCAGGCCAACCTGTTGGACCTTTTTACGGAATGGATATGGACAAGAAGGCTGCTTATGTCATTGACGAAAGAGAAAATAAGCAAGTCTATACCTATAATGTAGATCGTTATGTTTTCAAACCAGAAAGTGCCACATCGCTTGAACAAATTGCAGCTGAAAATGAAGCTCAAAAGCTGTACGCCAACGCCCAAAAAGTTGATTTTCTTGGAAAGAAGTAATTGCATTCATGTCATGGCACAACATCAAAACATCATGGTGTTATTTCAAGAACTTTTTATGGTCTGGAAATTATCATTCTATTGGTCAAATTTAACATTGCAATAAAACTAGAATAAATTATTTAAATTGAAAATATTCATCCTTAATATCATTTGCGTGGATCCAAACTCTTAAATTTTACTTCTTCTTATCGACTTGCATGTTTCTAGTTGCTTTTGGTAGGGTCACTGTCATTCCTTCCAACTCCTTAGAGACAATGACTTGACAACCCAATCTTGAATTGTGAGCCAATCCATATGCCAAATCAAGCATATCCTCTTCTTCCTCTTCTGGCTCTCCACATTTGTTGAAATATTCGTCTTGAATGTATACATGACAAGTAGAGCAAGCAAGAGAGGCCTCACAAGCACCCTCTAAATCGATATCATTGGCATGAGCGACAGCCAATAAATGCTCTCCTATTGGGGCCTTTACTGTTTTTTTGATATTGTTCTTTGGGTCAACAAATGTAATATTGACAGTCCTATTAAATTTAGAGAAAATTGATTGGGCGCATGGAGTTGCCGAACATTTAAATTATTATTATATGTTCGGAAATTAAAATCATTCAAAAATATTATTTTCACAAGTGTTGTCCATACAATTATTTCATCAAATATTTTGTACAATAATGTGTACTAAAAGTTACCATACATACTCTGCGTTCGGATTTTTGTATCCAACACTCATACATTTCGAGTTTGACGACGAAAATTCTCGTATGGTGTTGCTTGTAGAATGACTCATTGCCACAACATTAAAATTCCTATGAGCTCTCCACATTTCATCCGTAACTATGACAACCTTTCTAGAAACAATACCACGACTCATCAACGGTTGGATGATGGAACGAGGCAAGATTGTGTTGAACATTTTTTTTGTCGAATGCATGGACCTTTTGCACTTGCGCGCTTGGATATCACTAGAAAGACCTTGTACAAGCGCAATACGAACACTTGGACTTCCGCAACTTATTTCAAAGAGAGAAAAAAGCAGCAGTTGGTTCATGTGTGATCGAGTGTAGCAATCCATCATCACTCTCATTGAGTTTTGTAACAGCCTCCAACCTCAAACTTAACATCTTTGAGAAATGTTTGAGCCAATTAAAAAATGCCTACCATTGAAGAAGTCGTTGAAGAGAGCACAGAAGTAACTACCACCACAACAAAAACCAACAATAGTCCTCCGGGTCAAACTCAGCGAGTGGAAACACCAGAACAACATGTGGACGAAGAAGATGATGATGATGATGATGATGAAGATTATGAAGATGTAGAAGATGAAGAAAATGAAGAAATGGAAGATGATGATGAAGAAGATCAAAATGATGAAGAGGAGCAAGATGAGGAGGATGATAAAGTGTTCAAGGAAGGGAATCAAAATAATATGATGAATAGTATCATCAAAGAGTTTAATCCTGTGGGAGAAACAATTCAAGCATTAGTCATGTCGAAAGAGGATTTCACTCCGTACATGAAAGAAAAACTCAAAAGCCTCAACTTACCACTCTATCACAGACAATTACCACCTCTTAAAGAGGTGGAGCGAACATTTTACTGTGTTGGCGAGGAAATGTGTGGCTTGGTAAGAAATGCAGGTATCGAGTTGACTCCAAGTAATGATGGTTTTGCTCCTCATATGAAGTTTTCCAGAATGATGGCCGACAATCTGACTTCGCATGGAGTTGTCGTTCGTTTACTTGAATTGTTCAATATTCCAATGAACTCTCTGTGGTTATATCGAATTACCGAAAAAAATTCAAAGATTACCATTGAAAGAGTTAAGGATTCATTTGCCTTTCCAGTGTTTGTGGTTGTCAACACTGTGAAGGGAAAAAGAGAGTTTGATGAATTCTCTAAAGAGGCCATGACTCACTCTAGTGACCAAGGATATTTCGATTTGGCTCTTGCTGATAGAATTATCAAAGAGAATGAAAATAACTCCTCTGCTATTAATTGGCGAGAAAAGAGTAAGGAAATTTTCAAGCTCTATTTACCATCAAGTGGCAGTGAAACACCTTCAGCGGATGAAAATGAAAAGTGGCATCAATATTTTGCCTCTCGAACTAGTGCTCAAAAACAACATAACTCATTCATTGAAAAAGAATATCCTGAAGAAGGAGATTATGTTTGTAGAAATATGATGAGAGCATTGAAAAATGTACTTCGTGGAGACAACTTGACACAAAGTGTTGCAAGAGATTTTTGTGCTCAAACTGTCATCAAGTCCAAAGATGCAGGCTATATGGACTTTGAAGCATTACAAGATTTAAGAATGGAAGGGAGAATTTACTCGACTCATTCCTATCAGTGTCTAGATGTTCGCTATTCTTATTATCACAAAACAAGATATTATTCTCATGATTACTTTGCCAAGCTTGAATACAGAATTCTTCCTCTAGCAGTAGACAACAATGAAAAAGACAAGAAAAAAAAGGATGATGAAATTCCTTGGTCGATTTTCTTTGAAAATTACTTGGACGAGCCAGATAGAATTCCACAAGAAGATTGGATTATTATTGAGAAGAGAAAATTCCTGTTTACGTTGAAACATTTACGTAGTGTTCGAAATGCTATTCTTTCTAATGATCCTGACTCTCCCTATTCAAAAATTTCTGATATTCAATTATTGAAGACCATATATCATGCAAGCGGTGCAACTAATGGAGAAGACTCACTTTTAGAAGGTGACTGGGTGGGTTACAGAATGAGACAACTCGCCGGATGTCCCTCTGAGAAAGATTACGAGTACGAGGAAATTGATTTTGACAAAGTCATTGAGGATCATCTCAAAGAAATCAGAGAACGTCGTCGCAACAAAAAATATGAAGAAGAAGAAGGAGATGATGACGACGATGATGATGAATATTATGACGATGATGAGGGTGACGAAGACGATGACGATTTCCATGACAACCCTCAAGCAAACATTGACATGTTTATGAGAAGTTTAGCTGGTCAAAGAGGCACAGGTCAGAGAGGACAACAAGTACCACCAGGATGCGCCCAACAATAACATACAACTAGCCTTACAAGAGTTTTTACTTGGCATGTTGTGTGAAACTGTAGATGACATGATACTTTAATACAAATATGCGTTTTTGGATATCTGTGGCTTGGATACTGTTTCTAATCTTGAATGTTTCCAAAAGATTCGCGATGTTTCAAGAAACTTGAATCGTGGACATGTGCGAGTATAGAAGAATCACCAACAGTATCCAGTCTCCTCGTCGTTATTTCCAAAAACAAAGATGCATCATGATGCTTTTAGGCCGTGGTTAAACCATTACGTATTTGGATTACGAACAGAATTTATCAAAAACTGCCTTACTTTCACAAAGAGATATTTGTTCGTTCTTAGAATAGGGTTTTCTGCTTTTGGCCGCTTGTTTTGTGCAACCTGTAAATACTCTGCCGGTGTAATATCAAAGAATTACTACCATGCAACATAAGAAGGTGTCATCTCAGTACAAAGTACTGCAAACTGTTGTATTTCACAGTTTTGTCCATGAATCAACCATATGGAAACTGAAATCTTTCTCAACCACGCTACAACCATCACTTTCCATGAAAATAATTTGTCCAAGTGGATATCCTTTCACCAAATATCATCTTTTTGACCGAGAATGATGCAAAATACAACTTGAAGTGTCGCCCTTGCACCCTTTGGCGACCTCACAATAGTCGAATCCTTGGCCCACAAATTCCACTGTAAACGCCACAACCAACCTGCTGCTTGTGGTCAATGATGGTATCGTCATCCCAAATCCTCGCAATTCACGATTTCCATATGACCGATCGACATTGACACAACGGCCCAGAAGTGGCAAACTGTGGACGAAATCTCCAACCGTTGACTTGAAGCGCCCAACACGAATTTCAACGAGAGAGACAAACTCGAACAAGCATGACAAATCAGCAGTTCTCACCCTTTCAAATTATTCCAAAGTGGACACATCAAACAAAAAACAACAACAACAACAGCTCACTTCTCGAGAAGGTGTTTGTGATATCAACAACAAGAAGAACTTCTTCCTTCTGAATTGGATCTCTTGAACGTAACGAAAACACACTCTCTCTTCCGAAGAGAACTGATTCATAACACGAGGCCTATCATCCTCAACACACTCTACAACACTGCTTTCACTAATTCTCTCTCTTCACAACTTGTTCTCAGTTTACAACACCCAAATATAACAACAAAAGGAACCATTCTCATAACCAAATTCTATTCCTTCATCTCCCATCAATTCCTCTTTTCATATTTTCTTCTCGTTCTTGTCTTGATCCCTTCCTGAAAACTCTTTTTGGGTCTTATTGAGATTTCTTGAGTGATACTCACATCATTCACCGTTCGTCAGAATACAATCACACACTTTCGATTCCCTTTTGAGCAATAGGTGACTGTCATAGAGATCAAGAAAACACACACCTCTTTGAATTTATAATCTTAGAGAAAACAAATCCTCAACGTTATTGCAACACGACCAACAACAACAACAACCACGACGACGACATCTCTCGTGTGATCCTTGATTTTGAAAGATCTTTTTCATACCTCTACGGCCAAAATGTCTTCCTTGAATACAATGACAAATCATCACCATCCAACCACGACGACGACGACCACTTCCTACATTGTACTGCAAGAAGCCAGTCTCGACCATTTGGGTCTCCTCTCCATCGTCGATCCCAACCTAATGATCCTTGATGGCTCCAACATTCCTTCATCATCTCTCAATCTAGAAGACCACAATCAGGGTGGTGGAGTGGATATCGATAGTATGCACTCTCTCATGTTGGATCACCATAATGATCATCATCACATCAACACCCAACCACCACCTCAACTGTATTCAACTGAATGGATCCCATCTGAGACTCAGTCACATCCATCACATTATCCTCTCCAAAATTGTATGATAACGAGCCGTCTCTGTGATCCAGCTGCCACCATGAGCAATTCATGGCAACAAGTTTCAAACGAGTCGGTAACCACACAGCCATTCTCTGATGCTGCACTGCCAGAATTGTCGTCATCGTCATCAACAACACCACCACAACAATCGTTGTCATCCACTTCCTATCCACACTCTGTCCAGCAACAACAACAACAACAGTTTGGTTTGGAGAACTATTCTCATCCAACAACAACAAGAAGAAATTGCAACAACAACAACATGTCGTTCCTTCCTCTCAACAACCAACATCATCACCTACAACAATCTACTCAATTCCCACAACAACCATTCCTTAACATTGCAGATGTGCAGCAACAATCACACACGAATCCCTATCTCCTTTTGCAAAGACAGGAAGTACCACAAAATGTCATCAATCAAAACGTTGAATTGGATGATTTTCACTTCCTTTCCACAGATGACACTAATCAGATCAACCACAACAATAACATCAACTCTTTACTCCTCGAATGTTGTGTCCCTTCAAATCAACAAGTTTCAGATGACAATGATTTGTTGACTATTTTGGGATATTTGGAAGGAAATGATCAAAATGGTGCTTTTCATACCCCCACCATGAATAATACTGTAAATAACATTCTCTTCTCATTAGAACAACAGAACAACAACATCATGAACAACAACAACTTGAATCAAATTCCACACTCTGCTCTCCACCATCGAGATCACAAAACTACTCCTTCATTGATCATGTCATCTTCTCACACTTCTACTAAAAGTAATAATAGTAGTTGTGAATCCAAGAGTGTCATTTCATCACACAGTGTGGGTAGCAATGATGTTCGAGAAGAGGTCATGAAATCATCATCATCACTGCTACTCTCCCAATCATCATTGATGAACAACAAATCTGAGTTGTTACAACAAGGAATAACAACAACAAACGCCAGCACTTCAACCACCACTACTTCAACCAGCACTACATACAACACCATTAAGGATGGACCTAAAATGCATATCCTCAATGATGATGATACAACGATGCGAACCACTGAGAGTGCTCGATCGAAACGATCAGCCATGATGATTCGTTGGTTTCATTCCTTAATTCATACCTCCTTAAAGGAAGAAGAGGAGATGAATGCAAAAGAAAGTGATACAATTCTTGAAATGACTTGTGATCCTAATGGTTTTACTGAAAACAATGGAACTTGTCGTCCAAGAGGATCCAAATTCTCTGTATTCGTCAATGATTGCATCAACATTCACATGACTCGTATTATGAAGAGAATTCACTTGTTGAAGCAACAACAACAACAAGGTCTCACCATTCTTGCAGGTAATCCTCATCATTCTTCTTCCTCCTCGCCATCACTATGGATGGAATCGTTTGAATCGAAACCACTCCATGAAATCTTTATGGAGGAGTGTCGTGTCGAGTTGTGTTCCTATCTCGATGAGGATGATTCCTCAGAGGCCATCATGGTCGAAGGTTTTGAAACACTCTCCTCCGTATTGGGAGGAATGTCTTTCCAACAACAACAAGATTTGGAATTCCCTTCATCGGTGGTCTTGCAATTACTCATCAAACGAGACAATAACAATAAGAGAACTGCTGCTGCTGCTGCTTCCAGAAAGAACAGCAATGCAAGCTGTAATCACTCCTCTCACAACTCTTCCTCCTCTTCACTCACCACCGATTCACAGAAGGGAAGAAAACGAAAAAAGACGGATGGTGGTGCCTCTAAGAAGGTTTGCTTTGTGCGAATGGTACTCGTTTCTCAGGAGGAGGAGGAGGAAGAAGAAGAGGAGGTTGATGAGACAGAGTTGTCGTTCAACAGTAATGCTGGTGGTGCTGGTGGTGCTGAGGGATCATCCCCTCGCGGCTCGTCTGTGGTGGTCTTGGCACAAAGTGATAACTTTTGGGCTCGTTCCAAAACAAGACAAGAGATGGAGAGAAAGAAGAATCGTGCCTTGGCTCAGAAACGGAAAAAGTCTCTTATAGAGGAGGAGAATGCCTCTCAAACTCATCACAATGGTAACCATTCAGAGGCTTCCTCGTCTGAAGACTTGAACCTCATTGTTGAAGAGGACTCGAATCATGAACGGCATGAGAAGGATCATGAGACAAGTCAAAAGAAGAAGAGAAAGACGTCCAAGACAAAGATGACTACTTCAGAGAGTAATACTTCTCATGACCTCAAAAAGACCTCAACTTCGACGAGAACAACGAGTGCAAAGAGAAACAAGAAAACGACCTCTGCCAAAACATTGTCCACTCTCACCTCTGCCAACACGAATACTCCAAATTTTACCTATGATACAACCATGATGAAGGGAGGAATGAACTCGGCAAGCTATGGAATGGTGTTTGAGATGTAGAATTTGGGTTTCTCTCCTATCAATATTTATAATAAAAACTAGATGCCTTCTTGAAAATTTCTCTCCAAATAAGGTCAACTCAATACAGCTAAAAACCCGCCAAAAAAAATGATAACGGTTTCATCACCACCAAGAAACAACAATAATGCAAATGCACGAAGCACCCGAAGAAGATCTCATCAACAAAATGAAAAGTTGATGGAGAAGAAGAGCGAGGAAAAATACAAAGAAGCAAAATTAAAAATTGCCAAGAAATTGTTTAAGGAAGCAGCAGAAGATTTAACGGAAGCAATCAATTTTAAACCTCTTCCGAAATTTCATTTCTTGAGAGGAAATTGTTATAGACATACTCAAGACTATGATCGAGCCATATTGGATTATACAATTGCAATTGACACTCAAGAGGAGGCAGCTTTCTATCTAGCGAGAGGAAAATGTTTTAGAACTATCGGAAAAATCAACAAGTCAATCGCAGATTTTGACAGAGGAATTGATGTTCTCTCTAAAACACCACAAACCACAAATGCATTACCAAATACAGCTTTGAACAATTCTCGAATTCAATCATTGGACACCTCCACATTGCTTCCTGTGACAAATATGGGTGGAGAGAATCAGTCAGTGCTCTTTCAACTATATGTGGATAGAGGATTGAGCTACTATGAAAAAGGAGATAAGAAAATGGCAATTGAAAACTTTGGGAAGGCAATTAATTTGAATATCACCAAGCAGCAAAATTTGTTCAAAGCATATTTTCATCGAGGTAACACTTTGAGAGAGTGTGGAGAGCTGGAGGCTTCAATTGAGGATTTGACAAAAGCCGCTGATCTTGATCCTAAAAATGCTGCTGTGCACAACAACTTGGGCCTGAGTTTTTTTGAGAAGAGAAATTATCCTGGTGCAGAAAAACGATTTACGCTCGCCATTGAGAATGACCCCATGAAAGCAATGTAAGTATTCAACAGTTATCTTGACAAACAATGACAATGGCGTCATTTAGATATCACAACAACCGAGGATTAGCCTATTACAAGCTAAAGGTTTATGAAAAAGCCATCGAAGACTTCACATGTGCCTTAAATCTTGATCCTGAGGATGGAAATATCTATTTCAACAGAGGAAACACATTACTTGCAATGAAAAGGTATGAAGAGGCCTTGGCAGACTTCAATCTAGCAATTAATAAGGTTGACACTGATGAAAATTACTTCCACTGCAAAGGAATTGCATACCAAGAAATGAATGATATTCCTCAGGCAATCCAAATGTTCAAAAAAGCTTTGGAAATTAATGAGAAAAGCGTGCAAAGCTTGTATCATCTAGGATTAATGTATCATATTAACAATCAACTTTTCGAAGCTAAGAAACAATTCTCTAAGGCGCTTGAAATAGTTCATGATCATAGAATCTATGAAAGTCGAGGATTAGTATATATGGACCTATTGTATTACGAGTTGGCAATTCAAGACTTTTCAGCAGCTATTCGTATTGTGCCAGAGTCTCCTTCAAACTTTTTCCACAGAGGTAAATGCTTTCTCTGGCTGGAGCGCTATACTGAAGCCGTTAACGACTTTAATACGGCATTCAAACAAGGATGTGACGATCCTCAAGTGTACAATGCGAGAGCCATGGCATACAAGCATCTCAAAAAACATGACGAATCAATTGCTGATTTGACGTCTGCTATCAAGCTCGATGAGAGAAATGTTGAATATTATTTCAACAGATCTCAATGTTATTTTGATTTGAAAAATTATAGGCAAGCTTTGAAAGATTTAGATGCAAGTATTGAAATTGAAAAAAACGAACCTAAATTATTCTACTTGAGAGGTTTGACCTATTATGAAATGAAAAATTACAAAAGTGCAATTAAGGATTTTAAGGCAGCGTTGCGCCTGAAAAGTGGTCCACCATCATCAAGCTCTGTAAAAATTGGAGAGCCCACTTTTGCTCATGATTGCTATTATCACATGGGTCTCTGCTATTGCTTTTTAGAAAAGTACGAATATGCAGTGGAGGCATTCACAGAAGCCATCGAAATGATCTCTGCTAAGGAGAATACACATGTCAAGGACTCTTCATCTGCCCTAATGATCGACGATGCTACTCTTCATGCCTGTTATCATCATGAAAGAGCTAAGGCTTATCAAATTCTGGGAATGAATGAGCGAGCTCTGGAAGATTTCACAGCTGTGATACAGTTCCAACCTGATAATGCATTTGCCTACTTCAGAAGAGCTTTTGCTTGGAAAGCACTTGAGCGATTCGAAGAGGCAGCAGAAGACTTTGAAAAAGCTAAATCCCTACAACCCAACAATCCTAATCTCGTTGTCAACTATAAGAAAATATATGATATTGCATATGTGGAGTTATGTAAGCCTGGAGAAAATCAATACTAATAGCGTTTTAACCAAATGAACATGCTAAATTGTACAATTCATAAATTAAATGTAAACTCTTCATTAGATAATGATTCACTATAAATAATTTTTTCCAAAATTGTGAACTATTACTGGTCATGCATTCTTACATCAATAAACATTTCTTTGGGTCTTCCTTATACATTCCTAAAGATGTTTGAATCGCTGTCGCGAATAATTTTACAACAGAAATGTCACTCTCTTTCGCACTCACTTCAAGATAGGTTTTACATCCATATTTTTTGGAAATTCCATTATAGGACTCAAAACTGTGAAATCTTTTACAGTGTTGTTGTCCAACCTCTAAATCATTTTCCACTAGATCCATCTTGGTACCACACATGATAATGGGAGTGTCAGGAAAATATCTCTTACACTCAGGAATCCACTATTCATGTTTCATCAAGAATGTTTGAAATCAAAACATAAATGTTCACCTACATGGTTAATAGCATCCATAAACGTTGATTCTTTGGCTAAATCAAAACAAATTACAAATGTCATCACTCCTAAATATTGCAATTTTCGTTTTTCTTCTTCTTTTGGAGATTTAATTCCAACAATATCCCACAATTCTTCCTTAACTTGTCTGTCATTAATTTCCACATTCACAGGATGAACTGTCGTTTCTGTGGATGGTGATGCATTCTCTAGAAAGGCACTTTTTGCGAAACGATGAACCAAACATGTTTTACCTTTGTGAAAAGAGCAACCATAGAGGATTTCATAATGTAATATGATTGGAAAAATAAATTCATTCGTTATAAGTCATCAAACGGTCATTAGATTGACAGGTAAAAAGTAACATTCAATCCTACCTGTGGATGGAGAACCAATGATTGCAATTTTAATAGCAAATTCTGGATCATCCAATAACTGTTCAATTTCCTGACTTATTCCGTCTATTAAAGCGAGTCGAGGTGAATGTGTCATCATGGTTAGATTCGAATCACTCACCTTCATGCATCGATCGACTTGCAAACATTTTTTTTAAATTTCGGAAATCCTCGAAGATTGATTTTGCACACCAAACAAAACAATAGGAACTCCTCATCACAAAAAAAACAGCCTTTTGAATCGAAATGGATGTGAAGAAGTCAATGTTGGTGTCATGTTTGACAAGATCTTCAATTAAGGGCAAATCAAGACTGGAAATACACTGAAAACATGCATTTCCTATCGTTGCTGGTTGTGATTGGTAAAATCTCATGGAAATTAATCCGAATGTCTAAAGTCACAGAAGCAAGAAAAATTTATGTGCTACTTGTTGGAAAGTAAAGCTTCTAATTGTGCAGCACCGACTACATTGGTTGTTGAACTATATCTGAATCGAGTAAGTTTTGGACACTTTCCTTGTTCTGCAGCCTGTATGATTGAATTAACATCATAAATACTCCTATTGCACAAAATTGAAAGTTCTTCAAGATGAGTGGTAATGAGCCCTGTAAAATCAATGGTGCAGGATGGGTCTTTAAGATAAGGAACTATTGGCCTTTGAGGAGATGGTGAAAATCCTGGCGACACAAATTGGCATGTTGTGATCGATAAAGATTTCAAATTAGAGAATAATTGTAAGAGGCGGTTCAGCATGGAATTTGTTACATTTTTCACACAGTGTAATTGAAGGGTGTGAACATGTTTGTATGATTCCATCAATTCAAATGTTTCACTTTCAAATAATGACGTGTAATCTTGGTTGAGAGTTATTTTGGAATAACTTGGGAATGTTTTCAAATATTTGTGGTCTAAACATGTATGATTAAAATTCTGTAAATGCTTCAACGTTTTCAAATATCCATCAAGATCAAAATAATGAGTTAAAATATATAATTGAGGAATTCTAATTTGCTGTAAATTAGGGAATTGAGCTACTATCGGTTCCCAAAACGAAGAATTGGCATGCTTGGGAGGAAATAAAATTTTAGGTTTTTGCTTTGGTGGTTGTTTTGGTCTTTGATAATCTTCAGGGAAATAACTGTCGTCCAATTGCTCTTCTTCTTCTTCTTCTGGTAACATTGGAATATAGAAAAAGTGTGTAATTGACTTTCGGATCTGGTCATAAATTTCACGATTGGTACCCTGCATTAAATAAATCACACTTCGAATGTCAAGAAAAGGACAAATGGCAGTGGCCACAACACTCGCAGATACCTTGTCAAATAATTGTATTTTCACACTCGAGTTAGTTGACTGCTTCTTTGTGCTATATGCCAAGTTTATCAAATCATCTCTCCACGAAGGATCATTGGACCATTTCGATTTTTCATCGAGCACAGGTATTATTGATTGCTGAGGTATCACCGATGATAGTTCTGATGATGTAGTGTTGTTGTTACCGATGTGGTTATTGTTAGGGGAGGAGGAAGCACTTCTCATACGATCTTTTCGCTTCCCTGATTTACCTCTCGAAGAGAGGTGTTCCTCTTCATCTCCAATGAGATTCAAATCGGAATCTCCGTTATTGCAGGTGGTAGATGATTGGCCCATTGGTATTGAATGGCTGGAATGATTATTGATTGCAGTTGTTCAATTTAATGAAATGGATCAGTTGATGATGATGAAAATAATAAATATATATATATAATATTGATATTTCAAATTCTCTATATTGCTACTTTTCAATAGGAATAGAGAAATATTATTAAGAACGAATAACGATATAATAATAATATAATAATAATATTCCAAAACAGGAGTTATTGGCTGAAAATAGTTGATAACAACTGATCTAGCTGAGTTTGGAATCCGTCCGTCCCAGGTTTGAATAATACTGAGCGTCAGAGTTGAAGATCGCAGGAAGAGGAGGTAGGCGATGATGACGGGCAAAGAGAACCAAGTGGAGGTTTTTTGTTGTTGGTGATGTTCCTTCTCCTTGAGCACACCCAATAGCTGTTCGAAGGGAACTTTGGTATCAACCTTCCATGTTCCAAGAATGAGAAGGCTCTCTCTCAATTTCAAGGAGGTATCAATGCCTCACAGAGCCATATGTTGGTGGATCACACACGTATTTCAAATCAAAGCAGCAACATATGAGAGAAGACAGAAGTCCTGATCAACAAAACCTTAAAAATAGCCTCTTTCCAACTCTGCAAACAGGATGCTGTCACACCGAGAAAAGCAATCCAACAGGCAGAAATCACAATACAACAAGGATCAAAAGAACAAGAATGAAGATTTTTGGAAATTTATCAATGTTATCAAACAGTCAATCACTCACGACCCTTCCATATTGAAGAACAATGTTCATTCGGAGCCAAATGCAAAGAAAATAAAACTGAGAGACCACAGAAGGAGAGCTGAGAGTGAGGAGAGTAATATTCCGAATACCTCTTTTTCAGAGAGTGATGATGGAGAAGAGGAAATCCAAGATGAAAGTGTTAATGACAAATTAAAACAGGCCACAGAGGATTTTCTTCGCAACATAAAGGATCCTAATTTGATGGAAGAAGCCATCACATTGTTGGATGAAGCCTTCAGCAAAAAGGAATGGGAACGAATACTCTTTCAAAATGTCATTAGATCCTTGCAAGCGAGAACAACAAACGATGGTGAGGACACTTCTAGGGTCATTAGAGTTGCCTACGATTTGCAACAACGAAAAATGTCTCGTGTTTTATTACTTTTCCATCTCGTTGACCTACTCATGAAGGGATATTCAGAGGGAGACAATATAACTGCCTCCAGTTTCATGGATTTACTTGTTAAGAGAAATTATGCACACATTACTTGGATGATCAATGCTACCTCCGTTTTAGTATCCTGCAAAAATGATCAATTCAATTCTGCCGAAATTAAGGAAAACATTGGACTTATTATTGAGGATTATATTGACCAATGGATTTTTCGTTTGGAGTTTGTGGACGAGAGCGATCTTAGTAAGATTGAAAAACGAAAGAAGAAGAAAGCCTTTTACAATAGGGTGTTGCCAAAACAAAAACTGAATGAATTGAAGAAAATATTACTCCCTGAACAAGAAACTGTTCAAGATTTCACCAACACAGTTAACCAGAGTACCTTCAAATACAGGAAGAGAAAGGAAAGGTTCCAGCGGGCTATCAAATTTATTCAAAGAAAATCTGCTTTTGAAGTACACGAGGTAGTGGTTCGACTGCACTATACCAAACATCTATTAAGAAACTATGTAAGCTCTAAAATGGAAATAGATGAGCAGGCATTTATAGAACAGGCAAAAAAATGCATCTACAAGTTTGATTTCTCTATCAAGAAATCTTCCTGGAATCGATCAGCTCTCAACGAGTATTTGAGAAAGAGGAACATGAGCGAAGTAAAGTTCCAGGAGATGCTGGTTGATGCGGAGGGAAAGGACAATGAAATAACATTGTCAACTCGTAACACTTCCAGCTTCAGTATTCGATTGGATACTTCCGATCCATACAATCTATGGGTGGAGTACAAGTTCCCTTGCCATTTTAGATTCACTGCTGCTCATATTGACACCAAAATTGATGCAGATGACAATGAATTACTAATAGAACTTTTTCAGCTGACCATCACCTATATATATCAGACGTCTGAAGTTGATAACTATGAGTCGTACTCACGAGCTGAGCTATGGAACCCCGAAAAGAAATGTGTGGAGCACAGCATTGTAAAAAAGAATGCATTTTACACTCCAGAACAACAAGAAGACTATTTTGATAGAGATTTAGTTCGATATCCAATTACATCTGTTGCTGGACCTAACAAACTAAACATAGGAATTGAATTCAGGGGAAGAAGAATGAAAACCAACCAGCTTGACGGATCTTATGGGACACTAATTGAAGACTGAATTGTTTTAATAGTGCCATATCAAGTAACTTGTCCAAGTTAGGTACTAGATTTACGCGACAGAAATTGAGAATTGGTCAAAGTAGAAGAATGTGGAAATTAGCTAAAAGTCATACAAAAAATATTTCCTTTATTTTACAGCAGATGTCGCTACTATTTTGAAATGTGAAGGCAATAATTTGAATTTTTAGCAGGACCAAACGATAATAAGTGGAAACAACCGCCCATTTCGAAAGTGCCTCTCGCATGACCTTCAATTTTATTTTATCACAAACAAAAATACACAATAATACCGCTGCCGAATTAATTTAAAACATGCTGGATACAGGTCAAACGGTCAACACTATTCTCCAGCTTTTAAACTGTTTCTTTATTGAATGGTTTGCGGTTTTATCCTTTCTATCATCAGTTAACAATCAACCAAATTATTTAATCCTTTGTGGATACAAGAGATGGGGATGTACATTTCACAACTCAAAGCATGACAAGAAGATCAAGCATTTTATTTGGATGATCGTAATTGGATTGTTCAGCTATGAATTTATAGTACACTACAAAGCATGCACACTTCCGATTGTTAGGGGAGAACCACCTCCAATGTCTCCCATACTTGCTGAGGAACTCAAAAGAAGAAGCCATAAATCGTCAGAGATAAAGGATGGACTTTCACAAGTTCAATCCGGTTGTTTAGTGGCTAACGTCAGATGCAATTCACCAAAAAAGGTTCATTTAATTCAACACGATTGGCTTGGAACGTAGGTATACATTATTTTAACAACAAAGAGTACACCAAATGATTCAACAAGACATGTAAATGCACATGTGGCCAAAATATTGTTGGAAGAAAAAATGGGTTATTGTGTCGATATTGTTGAACTGTCTGTAAATGAAGGACTCGAGCTCATGGCAAATAACGGTGACAAGGAAATGTATGCAATTCTCGAATACTGGTCAATTTCTCGAAAGCATCAATACATGTAAGTTCTCACTTAAACCACCGTTCGGTGGATCGTACTCAATTGGGAATTGACCTTTATAAAATAGAAAATACATCCAGACTGACAAAACCATTGTGGACGCAGGAAACCTCGGTGTATTTGGGAAAACAGGATGGTACATTCTATCTTTTATGACCGATCAATATCCTGGAATCGATATTTACAGAGAATACCGTACAGACAAGGCTGCTAAATATCTAGCCGTAAACTCTTCATCAACCTTAGGTAGACTGATAGGACCTTCGAAAACATGGATTTCATTTGAGCAACAAATCATCAACAATTTGAAATTGAAACTCTTTGTCGAATATACACCGAGTACTGATCCAGAATCTGCCATAATAAGCAGAATTATGGAAGCTAACAACAAGAAACATTCTGCTCTATTTTATTTTTGGCATCCCCACTATTTGTTTGCCTTAATTGATATTAAGGATGTTTATTTACCTGGTTACTCAGATAGTTGCTGGACAGCCTATAACCAGGAACATGGTTTGATCGACTGTGACTATCCTACGGAAATTCTAAAGAAGTTAATCTCTCCACTTGTCGTAAAAGACGACCTCTTACCATATTTCTTCAACAAATTTACCTACGACACCAAAGATCAAATCGGTAAGTCAGAACTCATTTGGTTGCTATTAAAAATAGTATTTACTCATCCGCACACTTGTAAATTTACAATTAGAAATTATGGGAGATGTTGTAAATAACAACATGTCAGTATGGGAGGCTTCATGTAAATGGATTAAGAACAATACCAATATTGTGAAGGAATGGATTCCCAAGTCACAACCCCAACAAAATGCAATCATAATTGGGCTTATTGTTGCGTCTTTGTCCGTTCTTTTGATTATATTTTGTTTTTTGTTCACCATTGTAGTGGTGATCTTCTTGATGCTTAGGAAAAAGATAAGAAAACGAGAATTGAGATATGCTCCAAAGACCTTGCCCATAACTGTTGTTTTTACGGACATTCAAAACTCAACGATCTTATGGAATATTTTTCCAAACAAGATGAAAACTGCTCTTGAAATTCATAACCTGATCATACGAGTGAATATTTCAAAATACAAAGGATATGAGTGCAAAACTCAAGGAGACTCATTCATGATTGTATTCGGCAATCCTGCACTGGCACTCGCATTTAGCTTGAACGTTCAACAAGATTTGTTGCTTGCTAATTGGCCTCTAGAAATTCTCAACCATGCAGACACTAAGGAGGTGAAGTACGAAGAACAGCTCATATATAGAGGACCTCGTGTTCGAATAGGAGTTCATACTGGCAATGATTGTGAGTTTCACTTGGATAAAACAACGCAACGCATGGATTATATTGGAAATACTGTTAATAAGGCCAGCAAAATAGAAAGCTTAGCTGAGGGAGGAAGAATTTATTGCTCTGAGGAATTTGTTGAAGCAATCAACCAACAGGTAGCTCAGCAACACACCACAATAGAAAAAGAAGCTGATTTGATATTAGAAAAAATAGCCAACAAGAATATTCAATTTCAATCATTGGGTTTGGAAGAATTAAACGGTTTGGAAGGGCTTCATTCTATATATTGGGTCATGGACATGAATTGTAAGAGAACCTTGTATCTTCGACAATTAGAGCTGTCTACCATGAATATCAACAGAGAATTTCGGCATATTGAAGAACTTAGACAATATCTCTATGATCCAACTTCTCTTGACGAAAAAATCAAAAGCAAAATTTTGATTGATATTATCAACATTCTTAATAATGGATTTTATGACATCCCATCGAGGATGGAAAAATTCGAAGATACTCTGTTTGCAATTGTTTTTCATAACGTGTTTGAACGACTGAAAGAAGAAAATGAATATTACTGAGATTACGACATTTAAATCCATTTTGTAGTTTTTCCTCAAATACTACACCTCTGATTGGATCACAGTAACAACATGTTATTTACTTTATGAGTAAGTACATAAATATAGCCTGCTCGTTTTTGGTAATTTTCCTTTTCATTGCCTTTGTCAGACCTGACTCAATTCGGTAGAACAAATTACCTACACGAATATGTGCCTAACCCCTTAACTCCATTTGTTATTAGAAGGTGCAAATCTTAAAGGATTGAGAAAAAACATTCATTTGTCATCGCGTTGCACACCTCTCATATTGCATAGTTCATATGCACAATAATACACTCTTCAACATTTACAAGTCATTTAGCATCATCACAACATTTCTAATTTTACTCTCACATCACATCACCAGTTCCTTTTGTAACGGGATCAACAGCACCATTCGCCCAAAAAAAGAGAAATATTTTAATACTTGGTCTTGCCGATTTATTAATGTCACAACAGTTAAAAAGATAGTGGTGTGGCTTGTAGTTTTCGTATCAACCTGTGTGATGTTAAATGCAAACAACAATGGAGGTCTTGTGCCCCACCAGAATCTGCGAGGGGGGAATTTCGTTGCCTACGCAGAACCTCCGACAATGTCTCAAAGAATGGCGGATACGATCAACAGAAGACGAAGTCATGAAAAGTCAAACCGTTTAGAGGGTGATACAGGCTGCTTAGTTTCTCAAGTACAATGCAATCCCTCAAAGACGGTACATATTATCAAGTTTGATTGGTTGTCATCTGCAATCAGTGCTGAATTAGCTAAAATTGTGTTGGAAGAGCAACTTGGAATTTGTGTTGAAGTGGTGACCATGAGAAATGTCACACAAGCTCTTGATGAAATGTCTAGATATGGAGACCAAACATATTACGCTATACTTGAATTTTGGAGACAAACACGAAAATCCTTGTATGAGTAAGTAATAACAACACAACCAACAGCCATTCTGATTGACACATGTAACCAAAATTGAAGCAAGTATGTAGAGCAACTCAAAACAGTTGTGGATGCAGGAGAGCTTGGATTTTATGGTAAAGCTGGATGGTTTGTTTTTAGCTTTATGATTAAGGAATATCCTGGAATCGATGTGTATCGAGAATATCGCACAGACAGGGCTGTCCGATATTTAGCTGCAAATTCTTCAGCCACTTTGGGCCGTTTTTTAGGTCCTGCCAGGACATGGCTTTCATATGATGAACAAATTATTAACAACTTAAAGTTGAGGCTGGAGATTGAATATGCAAATGAGACAGACACAGAAGAAAGTATCGTCTCAAGAATTGAAAAAGCTTTTTTGGCTCAAAAACCATCTCTCTTTTATTTGTGGACTCCTCACTTTCTGTCAAGCACAATTGACTTTGAAGAGGTCTACTTACCCGGTAACACTGATAGTTGTTGGACCGAACGTAATCAACAGCTTGGATTGATTGACTGCGATTATCCAGCCGATATATTGAGAAAGCTTGTTTCGCAGAGTGTGTTGAAAGATGATGACCTTTCCCAATTTTTCAAAAAATTCTCCTTTTCGTCAGAACTACAAATTACTGACATTATGAATGATATCGCATATAACGGCACAAGCCCGTTTGATGCCTCTTGTAATTGGATTAAGAACAATACGATCATTATGAAAAAGTGGTTACCAGATAAGATGTCAACAGGAAGTGCAGCCTTAATTGGAACTATTGTGGGATCAGTCACAATTCTCTTATTTGTGTTTGGATTGATATTTGTTGTTTGTCTTGTTATTTTCATAATGTATCGAAGAAAACTGAGAAAGCAGGCCTTAAGATATGCTCCAAAAACATTGCCCATAACGGTGGTTTTCACAGACATTCAAAACTCAACATTACTGTGGAGTACATGCCCTGACAAGATGAAAAACGTTTTAGAGATTCATAATCTAGTGATGAGAGTGAATATAGATAAATACCACGGATATGAGTGTAAAACACAAGGTGACTCCTTCATGGTAGCTTTTGAGAGTCCATTAATGGCACTTGGTTTTTGCTTGAACGTTCAAAGAGATTTATTGCTTGCCAATTGGCCTCTGGAAATGTTAGAATATGAAGACATGAGAGAAGTAAAATGGGAAGAAAAGTTAATCTATCGTGGTCCTCGTGTTCGAATGGGAGTTCACACAGGAAGTGATTGCGAAATTCATATGGATAAAACAACCAAAAGATTTGACTATATTGGAAATGCCATTAATAAGGCAAGCAAAATTGAGAGTATTTCTGTTGGAGGACGAGTGTATTGCTCTGAGGAATTCATTGAAGCTCTCAAACACACAGTCTTGACTCAAATCATAACAGTTAAAAAGGAAACTACAGATACCATACTCAAAAAGCTTGCAGAAAATGACATTCAATTTTTCAATGTGGAAGAAGAAGAAGATCAAGAGGTCTACTGGATTATGGAATTCAGTTTTGATCGAACACTGTATATTCAACAATTTGAACTAAAACTCGGTGTCGATAAGGAGGTTGCAGAAAAAATCCAACTTGGAGAAGATATCAAACGATTCATATGCGACCCTGATTCATTTAGTCAAGAACAGAAGAGCAAACTTGTCTATGATTTTGTCACCATTGTCAACCATGACAACATTCGTGACAATGTTCCACCATGGAGTTCTATTCCTGTACCTAATCTATTTAGTGTCGCTTACAATTACATTTCAAGAGGATGGTCATCTCTCGATGAGGAAATACACTTGCCTGAACATTAATTCCATCCATCACATGGTTACATGATGCCAAATGTACATTTACATTCAACACGAACAAAACTTTATTTTCACAGTAGCTGTTTAATATAGCTTATTCTAAATCAGTAATTCAAAGGTGAAAGGCTCTGAAGGAACGACATCATCGCCAAAGGTTCCTTCATGTGAACTCATCTCCTCCGTCGTGGATCTCTTTAGTTTACGAGTAGTTGTCGTGGTGGCAGCAGTTGAAGAACGTTTTTCTTCCACATCACTTGAAGAGGGTGCTGCAACTGCTTGACCAGAGTTAGGATTGTTGCTTGCAGTGGTTGTGTTCGAAGAAGAAGAGGATGAAGAAGAGCCTGCTGTTGAGTTCTGTCCTCCTCCTCCTCCTCCTCCTCCTTCTCCTACTCCCACCACAACATTTGGATCACTCTTATATGTGCCACCAGTAGTAGCCACCATTGGAGTATTCATCATGGCCACTGAAGGATACGTGTACGCTTGTGGTTGTTGTGGATAATAGTAGTAACTATTGGGATAGCCATAACCATAGTAAGCTGTAGGATAACCACCATAGTAAGGTGTTGGGGGCTGTCTTGCCATTCCATAATAAGGTGAGGAGGCATAGGGATAATACGAAGCAGCAGCAGGAGGAACAGCACCATAGGGAACAGCACCACCAACAGCACCAACAGTCGTACTTGCTCCTCCTGCTGGAGGAATACCAGTGCCATAGTATTGAGGAGAACCGAGTGCTGCATTGTAGGTGGCCACAGGAGTGGACTGAACATACTGTCCATTCATTCCGTAACCTACTTGTTCCAACACTTCAATCTTTCGATAGTATTCAACCACAACATTTAAATAATACAAGTAACCATTCCAGTTTTGAACTTTGGCCACCTCTACCACACGTTTCGAATACTCATAAACATTGACAATGTATTTACGATAGGCAGCTGGTGCAAAGGATCGATACTTGTACAAGTATTTGGCATGATTGGCCAAATTGTTGGCGTACTTTTTGGCAATGTCATTGTAATTGGCTGCTAATTGAGGATCCTCACTTGGAGTTTGACCTTGTGGTTGAAGTTGTCTTAATTGTCTCTTGTGGAGTTGTTCACCATAGTATCGAGTGTTTTGTAAGTCTTGATGCAAGAGATTCTTGTAGTAAATGAAAGGATTGAAAAGGAGACGAGAGGCTTGCTGAGGAGAGGAAGTGCTGTCATCACCACCATAAGAGTCAGAATCAATCTTGTCGACCACTCGTTGATTGCCACTACCACAAGCAATAAAGTTCTCGTATTCAATGTTATCTTCGTCGTCTGAATCATCTTTCTCAATGGGAATATCGTCGACAAATTCATCACGATCAGCATTCACAATGTCGTCATAAATTTCTCGATCGTTGTAATACTTCACTCGCTTGGTGCGTTTAAGGTTTGGTTTGCTCGCTGCGGAGACTTCACTGGCCATGTAAACAAAGACGAACATGGATGACAGAAGAACGGACAAGATAACAAGAATAGCTAGTGTTGAATGACTATTCTTGTTGTTCCTTGCCATGTGTGGTCGTTTGGTGGATGACTTCATGAATTTCGTTTTGCTTGTGTTGTGGATATAATACAACAAGGAGTGGTGTAATCACAACAACATCTTTGCAACGATAACACACACTCTAAAAATGGTCAACTCTCGAAAAGAGAGTTTTCTGTAATCGATGAAAATGCTAATGAATCTTTAAGAATTTCTTAAAATCTCCGAGTTTGGTTTTTCATCGTAAATGGATTTTTTCTTTTCAGAGACGTCGTCCAATATTGATATTATTGTTGAAAATATTCATTCTACGCAACAAGTTCAGTATATGGTGTGGACAGAGTACAAGAACTCTGTGTCGTTGCAAACGATCATGTCGAATATATTATAATGGTATGATTTATTTGTGGCCTGATCATCACATCTCTGATACTTTTTCAGTACTCACTTAATGCCTTGGCTTACAAGCTTGGAAGGAATCGACCAGCTCCAGAACTTCGTTGGTAAATTACTATTTAATTTTAACATCATCAAATACAGAAATGATTCAATCTCTCTACCCCAATGAATCTCTCTAATTACTTACAGTATCCCCAAGCAATCGACCACACCCAACCAATAATACAAATGGCAGTTAAAAATTGTAACAAGGCTGAGACAGCATTCACTGTAAATACATCATCTTCCTCACAGAAAAACCTAGATTTGAAATTTGTTGCAATTGTTATTGTTGTATTGAAATGTGAATAGGATGAAAACTAAAAAACCTACGCAGCAACAAGAGTTCCGATTCCAGGCAAGAAAATGTTCAAAATTAGGACAATTAAAGGAAGGTTACCATTGAGTTTAGGTACACTTTTCAATATTGTTCCGATGCCATCCTATTCCGAAGTTTGATGATGATCGTTATGTAGTGATGATCAAACGATGGCGAAAATTAATTGATCATAATAATACAAGAAGGTATTACATTCAACAGTTCAGTTAAATATGAAATCAACCATCGGTCCGAATATTGAGATATTTCAACCATGGTTCCTTCCTGAATGAAAGGATTTGTGAATGATCCAACTTACACCACCAACGAGTGAAAGAAGTGCAGACATTTTTTAGTTGGAAGAATTATGAATTGGAATCACCTGTTACAGAAATGGTCATTAATTGTCACACAAACAATGCTTTGAATTGCTTTGGATTGAAAGCAGATATGTATGAACAAAATAGAAGATTATGGAAATGATCATGTTGGTGGATCTTTCTTCTCTTGCATTTTCACTTGATAAAAGGAGTTTTCACACAATCTCCTAATGTTTCGGTTATTGTGAAAGATATAAATCAAAGATTTGATCACACAGATCCTCAATAGAGTACACAATTTTAACTTCTGGTCGAACGAGGTGAGTTTGAATTTCCACATCTAGTTTTCTCTGATACTGAGGATGAACTCCAACAAAAAGCTTGACGTGTGGCATCATTGAAATTTTCCCTAGCTCATATAACTGTCACAATATATTTAACCATTCAAGAAAATAATAAATAGCAATGGTGGATCACGAATATATAGTTCAGTAAAATCAATAATAATGAATATATAGTTCATATTATTAAAACGTGTTTCGGATTCAACACAATAGAGTTCACCATCATTTTTCAATTCATGAGCTGAACTGAATGGAGATGGTCATAATAACTTACAGTAATGGGACATAATGTCTCAGAACAAAACCAAAAAGAAACTGCATGAACTGAATGTAAATAGGAATGTTCCCATTTGATTTGAATTTCCGATTGACTTTGATCACTCACATCAAAATTTTCTCTTCGTGGATTGTAAATTTTGATTTGTCTTGGTTGCTGTTGCTGGAATAACTTTTCACATTTGTTGAATAAATTCTGTATCACGTCACGATGCCAGTTTCCACAACCTGAAATTCCTCCCGCTAAAAACAATGATTTCTCAATGTGTTGAGATGATGAATGATCATCTTGTTGTTGACCGAAACGAGATTGTTCGGGATGGGGAGTGTGAAACGGAGCTTCATAGACCAAAAAAGAAGACATTTTTTTACTGGATCTGGATGGCAAATGAAATTTGTTCACTTCTTCTTCGATCTTGTTGAAATGTAAAACAATAAGCATTCCAACAGGTTTATAATTGATCATATATAACATTGAAACAAGAAGGTCACAATATCGTCAAGGTTTGAAAGATGTAATAGTGCGCATCTATCATGGTTTGAATTTTTCATTCAATTCGTAAAAGTATGTATTTTAAGCTTTAGTTGATGAAGTCGCGTAATTAGTGCAAAGTTTTCCCCTCTTATTCATTATGGCATTTGCTGTTTTTGTGCAATATTCATGAATCTTTTTTTATGATTATAAGCACTAATCTATGCATGGTGACTCTCTGAGACGAAACAGAACGAGATGCGATTCAACAACCACCACAGAACAGTTTGAATCATGTTGTCATCATGTATCTTAATAATGAAAAACACAAATATGTAACTACTTGTTGGATCATAAAACATTGGATTTACAAGATCAATGGTTGAGACAAGGTTCTCCTGATCGTCCAAGTATCGTCCTCGACCGAATGAAACATACCATACATGTCAATTTTCCATATTGAATAAGTGGATTGTTAGCATCTGAGGTTTAGAGGTAAAATTCACCATGTTAGCCAACAAACAAAATGCATCACCTGATTTCTAAAAGCTTAATAAAACAACGCCACCCAGATTGAAGACATTCAGGAGAGACCGCATCATCAGACTCTTTTAAAGAAACTTAAAAAAACAATCAACGTTTGTTGGATATCATTTAAGAGTTCTCTCTCACTGCTTGCTGCTATTAGCCACTTGGCCGTTGTGTGTACTCTCCCTCAACGAATATATTCGAGTTGAGTCTCTATAGAGCAAATTCTCTCAGACTAGTATTACTTAATCCGCACCCAAAAATGTCATCCTCAAGCCACTCTTCCAAGTTCACGATTGTAGATTTAACCAAGGAAGTAGAAGAAACTACCAAAGAACAAGTCTCTACAAATGGCCGTGCAAAGAGAAATAAGATCAACAAACGGTTTAGAAACAACCCCGGTTTTGCCTCTAACTTTTTCTTCTTTCCTTCCAATGTCAATTCTACGACTGGACAATCATCACATAACTTGCAGAGTCAACAACAACAGCAAGGATCTTCTTCGTCGATGCTTTGCGCAAACACGCCAGCCATACCGTGCACGCAGACAGCTGCAGCATCGATCAACAAACACGAAAGTGAAAAAAATACTTCCAGAAAAGTAATGAGTAACACATCACCAAATTCGTATCCTGCCAATTCATCCACAACACCACTTAATCCATTCACCTTTGTGACTTCAGATAATACCATACAGTTTGATGAAAAAGGAAATGCCATTGCTGGTACAATTCAACTACCTTCGTGTGAAATTCAAAGCAATCATACGTTTTTAGACGAAGCGTCCATGCTTGACCTCTTGCAAAACGAAGATACCTGTGTAGAAATGAGTCCTTCGTTCAATCAATCATGTTTGAGTACTAACAACACGCTCCTCGCAAATTTCTTATCCTCTCCTCAGAATTTTGGTTTTTCTAACATTGCCTCAAGCAACAATGTATCTGCAACACCCAACTCCTCCACAACTCCTCCTTCTTCTCAAAAACGACATGGTCGCAATCCTACAGCAAAAAGAGGTTCCATTTGCCAGGAAATTATAGTGGACAAGAGAAGATATTCATGCAGTGATGTGATGTTCTCTCAAACGAAAACATCGCATCAACCTTCTTCGTTTACGAATATTTCAATGGTTTCGACGATCAATGCACAACACAATAGTGAAACACCCAAGCCAACTCGTGGAAGACTTGCTTCACCTCAAGCAACATGGGAAACCTTGCAGTCGTTTGTTTTTCCTACAACAACAACCTATGAAGTAAGTGAAGAATCATCCAATGAGAGAATATTATGTGAAGAATCACAATATTCCACTACTTCATACGGTTTCCAAGAAGAAAATTCATGTGAGGCATACACAATGAATCCTTCTTTGAAAAAGAGGCGACCTAGTGTTCAAGTTGATACTGACTCATTGTCATCATTTGTGGCTAACTTCCAGAATCAAATGAATCTCAGTAACGCTAATAATTCTTCCTTAGGGTTTAACAATGTTGTCTTGGTCAACCCGTCACCAAAGTTGCAACAACAACCAAACCAAGTCTATGAGCCTTCCTTGACCACCAAGCTCATGCAACAACATCAAACAATGGCTGCAAATACTACTATTAGTACTGAAACAACAGCGTCCACCATATTCAACAGCCTTCCTCAGACCGTTCAACAACAAGTGGTCGATATTATTGTCAATCATCTACTCGTGCAGAGCAGCCAGGAAAGGGCAGAACATGTTCCGCAACAGGAGAATGGAGATGAGCTCATCGTTTCAGGACACAATAACAACTCAAGCGCCAATGCATCCTCGTTCCTCGACGAAAAGGACCTTCAAACTCTTGATTTACCTGGTTTTGACATTGCAACTTCGGAACCAAGCTCAGATACTCCACTTTCCCCTTCTCTACTCTCACCTTCCACCTTTTCAATTGCAACAGCGGTTGAATCCAGTGTAAATAATAACAATAATATGGGCTACAGCAGTGGTGTGATTGAGCTTGCTCCACAACACTCTGTATTAAGTACCTCGTCGGTATTGCTCACATCATCTTCCATATCGTCAGAGTCCTTAGGAGACTTGAGAAATTCCTCCAGTATTCAATCCTCTCCTACAATCTCTAACAGCAGAAGAGACATGAGCTCAAGAGATGATTATATCCCTTCTTCTTTACCATCTGAAATTTCTGCAGAGACTTTGACCGTTTCCGAATCTGCTTCAATTCTTTATCAAGGAGTTTCTAGTGCAAGCAATCCAGAAGAAGTCAATTTTACTGAAGAGGAATACGAGAGCATTTTAAGAGACTTGTTCCAACAAGTGCCACAACTGTAAATAAAAACAAACACGTTCATTTGTGTCCTTTTGGTAATTCTCAAGCGTGTTCTTTGTTGTTAACATGTATCTATAGATACTCTAAATACATGAAGGGTTGGCATTGATGGGTTTTATCGAAGAAGTGAGCTTCTTCCGAGAGAAACAAAAATTAAAAATAAAAAAATGAGAGGCACTGCTTCCCTTGAGCAAGACGCTCGTTTCACCAACAAAGACAAACAGCTAGTGCAAACGACTAAATTCCCAAAAGGCTTTGATATTAAAGTAGATATGAGCAAGGTAAATCTAGAAGTTTTTAAATTGTGGATTCACTCTAAAATTGAAGAACTAACAGGCTCGGATGATGAAATGATAAGCGAATACGCAATAAGTATGCTTCAAGATTCATCACCCGATCCAAAGCAAATGCAAATACAACTTGCTGGATTTTTAACGATAGACAATGCTGCAATCTTTATGACTGAATTGTGGAAGTTATTAGTCGAAGCACAAAATAGTCCAAGTGGAGTTCCTCAAGCCTTGTTGTCGTTGGAGATGGAAAGACTGAAAAAAGAGCAAGAGGAACAAGAGAAGATTTCTAGGAAGATTCAAGAACGAATACCGAATCGATATTACAACTCTACAAACAAACCTAGTCATCATCAACAACAACAAATCCGAAGCAGTCATCACACTATCAAACATGGTCGTCATCATTACCGATCATTACCATCCTCTTCCTTGAACACATCTAATCGTCAACACCGATACTTGAATAATACACCACCATCAGCTTCCGCAAGTGTGAATGCCAATACTCAACAAGACATAACTAGAGAACAAAAAGAAGGAGAAAAACCATCACTAGGTTCCGAACGAAGACTGAACGCTTCAAACAGCTTTGATGATCAAAGAGATCGGCCCTACACGAGTGGCAACAGAAATCGCTTTGAACAACACAGGGGCGATTTCAATAGTAATCCTAGAAGATCAGAAGGAAAGTCACCATACTCGTACAACAATTTCTCAGCTGGAGACTTCTATGAGAAACCTCTGCGAAAAGATCGTGTAGAAAAATCAAATGCAGACAAGACAGTATCACCCCCTCGAAAGATGCCAGCACATGAAAATCAAAGCCAACGAAGAGTACCACCACCTCCGCCCTCTTCCTCAGAAGATTCCGAATCAGATGGTGACAATTACATTTCTGAAAGACGAAAAACTGTAGATGAATTCGATCATTTACGTAAGAAAGTTCTGGCTTCCATGCAGTCAAACAGTAAACGATGAGAGTTGTGCGTACTTCAAATGAGAAGGTTCATTAAGAGAAGGGTCATGGAAATTGTAAAGGTTGCGACTCCAGACAATCATCCATGAATTTCTATTCGAAATCTCCAAAGACCCAATCCAGCCAACATCATTCAAGAATTGGGCCCTTTCTACGCTATAAAGCTACTGATACTGATCACGACAGATCTTTTTCACAATCAAACAAAAATCAACAAAACAATCAAACAATGATCACTGTTCCACAAGTTGTCAATCTTAACCTCGCTGGCCAATGGAGAGAATCAGGAGGCAAAGTCTGGCACTGCACTCAAAACGGACATCATTTCACCTGGACTCAAGAAGGTACTGGAAGAGTTGCCACTGGTATTGCTGTTCCAAAGGTTAACTCTTCCGAATTTGCTGTCGTGTTGACTTTTGACAACACTGTTCACTGGTTGTTGAAGCCATCCAGTGATCATAATCAATTGCATGGACCTTCTGATGTTTTCACTCGAGTGCATCCATTGGTTGCTGAAGCTCCATTTGGCGGCTACCAAGAAAAGAGTGGAAAGGTGTGGCAAGTGACTGCCTCTACCCCATCTTCCTTCGTTTTGCACAATCAACAAGATGGAAGAAATGCTGATGGCTTCTTCTCTAGAGATCCAACCAATGGAATGTACATTGTTTTTATTAATTTCCATAACAATGGACAAGATCACTTGTTGAAGGCTGTCACAAACTCTTTGGCCTCTATTCCTCTTAGCAATGGTGATGTTTTCACAAAGACTCATTAGATTGAAGGATTGTGGAGTGAATAGAATTATTGCAATAAATTAATTCTCTTATGAAAAGAGAATTACCTTGTTGGCAATGACAATTTTATTCAAGCTCACTCATCACTGTACTCCAACACATTTCTATCACGAGTTCTTTTTCATTTTCTTTATACAATAATTATTATGTTTAACACAAATTCTATATTCAACAATATCTTTTGATGTGTAGTTGAAAACATTTCTACATCCAACAACACCATTTTTCAAATCCAATAGAGCTTTCAGATTTGATGCAAAGTGTAATCCTGAATGCCTCAATGAAAAAAAGAATTAGAAAAAACCGTGATGGGTGGCCCTCTGACATTCTGTTTTCTGAAAAAGAATCGATTTTCTGTGGGTAAGCTAAAACACTCGAGCATCTGCAGATCATGAATGGCGCCAACGAGGGCTGTGCTTTACGATGAAATTCTCTCCAAAAAAATTAGCCGCATCAAATGACCGATATTGATAAAGAGAAGATTCAACGAATAGTCAAAGACGCTGTTGAGAGCGTCATACAACATGATACACCCTATGATCATTCAAAAGTAACGCATTGGGTGAATAACATTATTGATAAAACAATGAAATCAGCAACGGCCATGTCTAAACCATATAAATACATTGTAACTTGTGTGATTGTACAAAATAACGGAGCGGGCTTTCATACATCCTCTTCGTGTTATTGGGAAACTACGGATGATAGCTACATTGATAAATTTGAAGGGCAAAACCTCTATTGTATAACCAGTGTGTATTGGATCAGCCTTTGAACGTGTTTCATCAAAATCTGAATACCTCCAACAAATTTCGCGTCCATGGAAAAGTACTAACACTTATTAAGATGATATATTTTGTTTTGGAGAACTATTATCATTAACACTAGTCGTGCCCTCATTTGTTTTCGTATTTGGTAACGCTGTATCCAAATCAGTGGGTTTGCTTTTCACTTCCTCCCGAAACATGGAATAATGTTGACTAAAAGTTTCCGAGTTCATTTTGAACAAATTTAGTTGACTGTCTTTTTCTTGGATCTCCTTGGCTTTTTCCAAGTCTTCTTTTAGTAGTGTATCATCTTCTTTAATGTGAGCTATTCCGTGCATTTCCTCTCTAAATTTCCGGAGGCCTCCGGCCATAGTTCTTATCTTATTCATCCAATCTTCTTTGTTGATCATTTCCGAAGTACCCAATAAATCAGACACATCTTGCTTTTTTTTAAATGTTCCCAAATCTCTTCCCATTCCTTCATTATATCCGATGAGAAATTGCCGAATCGACGATTGGACGAGTGTGAATCGTGTTCTCACAAAATGTTGAAATTTTGCTTGAAAACCTTGCCAATCATCCATGTGTGATGTTGATGGTTTATCATTATTATTAACATTCGGTGTTTGTTCATTAATTTGTACAGATTCTTCATTTGGTGGTAGTTCTGGCTCTTTCTTACTTTTTAATCCGACTGTTTCCATGGCTGCAACGGTATCATTTTTCAATTCGACAAATGTTTCAATAATTGCCTCATACATGAATCGTATTCGGACTTTGATCGGAACTTTAGGAGATGGAGGCTCGTTAGGATCATCAGGCATTCCATAAGTGTGTTCATGTTTAATATCCTCCCATCGCCATTTCACTTCAAATTTAAGCTTCTCCCAATAATGCTTGAGTTGGCTGAAATTCAGTTTTGGCATTTTTTCGATAAAATTAAAAAAAATTTCGCGAGTGTGTTTTGTGCTGCTGTTTGTGCTTTTGCTGTTTCGTTCATCTGCCTTGACAAACTATTATGATAGAGCTCTGCGCTCGACTCTTGATTTAATATTCAATTCTCATAACACTATAGACACCATCCGATTTCCAATTCAAAAAATCAATGCTCCAAAACCAACTCTTTCAGGAAATTCCATTTTCGAGTATTGATGAAAATATTTTAATTGGACATGCACACAACGCAACCCACACATCGGGATGTACTGTGATTATGAGTAGCGATGGAGAGGGTTTTCTGGCTGGAGTTGACTGTCGTGGAGGTATGCTATCGAAAAAGATTAATAGATTGAACTGTACTGACATTGATTCATATCCTTTGTTCTGGTCTGACCTTTGAAACCACACTTTGGTACACAATACACGAAAGGTGCCACATGCAGCAGGGAGACTGATTTATTGAAATCTGGAATGTTGGTAGAGAAAATTCATGCTGTAGGTTTTATTGATTCTCTAAAATTGTTGCAAAATGAATTCTTATTCTCGAATGAAATTGTCATGCATTAGTGTGTTCTTTCAGGAGGTAAGAATTTTATTTGCGAGATATTCATTACCATCACTTGGTATCTTACCTAAAGGAAGTGTTTTTGGCTTAGATTGTTCTTCAGGAGTGACAAGATATTTGTGTGAAAATCAAGTGGGCTACCATACAGATGTTATCAATGTTCCAATTGTGTGTCAAGCTGCTCTTTATGACTTGCCAATGTTTTTACAAGATGAAATTGACACCATTCCGTCGCAACAGCAACCAAACAGCGGCTCAAATAAGGGAAAATTTCATTTACTACCTAATTATTATGAAATGGGTTATCAAGCATGTTGCAATGCTCGCTTATCCATTCAAGAAAATGCACGCCAATTTAATAGTGACAACATCGATCATCATATTGAAATGAATGGAAATATCGGAGCTGGAGCTGGAGCAAGTGTCGGCAAAATTCATGGAACTCAAACTTCAATGAAAGGAGGACTTGGAACTTTTGCAATTCAAGTGGGTGATTTAAAAATTGGAGCTCTTGTGGCAGTTAATTGTTTTGGTGATGTTATTGAAAATGGAAATATCATTGCTGGATGTCTGAAAAAGAATATTCAGAAAAAAGACCCTGAAGTGGATGACCTTAAAACTTGTTGTGAATCGAATGCCGACAAGTTTTCAACAATTTTTGCAGATACTGAAATGGTATTGATTGAAGAGTACTTAAAGAGAAAACATGATCTCAATGGATTTGTCTTAAAGGATTGTGATGGAAATGATCACAAACAATTTATGAATTCTTCAAGTCAACACGCAAAGGAACTTCAACGAGCTTGCACCAACACAACATTGGGTGTGGTAGTTATTGGCAGGAATGCAAAATTTGAAAAGTCCCAACTATCTAGAATTGCAGCAATGGCACATGATGGATTTGCGAGATCCATGAAGCCCTCTCACACTCTCTTCGATGGTGATTCGATTTTTGTTCTCTCGACTCATCGTGACGACAGCCAAGAAACCACCACCACCACCACAACAAACACTCCATCGAATATTGATAAGAAGGAATATCAAGCTCCAACCAATTTAGTTGGATCATTGGCTGCCTATGTGGTGGAAAAGGCTGTTATCAGAGGTGTAAAAAGTGCCCGATCAAAGGGAGGATATCTCGCCCATTGTGATTTACAGTTTCATAATAAACACAACTAATACCATTCTTCATGAAATCCTCAAACCACTGGAAGTTTGGAAATAAAAAAAAATGAGCAGCCCTTCAACGTTTCAGAGTACTGGTGGTGCTCCTACGATCGGATCAGCACCAACTGTTGGTGGCTCATCATCAACACCCACGACATCAACGACGACAATAAATTCATCCAATAGCAATAACAATCATAATAGTGGCCCAATCAAAAATACCAAGAAACCAAAATCTTTACAGATTGTTTCTTCTCCTCCGATTATTAAAAAACTGCCTGATGATGTGCAACAATTTCTCAAATCGGGAACCAATATTGGATGTCTTTCGGATTGCATTAAAGAATTGGTGGAAAATGCAATCGATGCTCATGCAACGAATATTGAAATTTTATTAACACAATCGGGATTTACTTCCATCTGTGTCAAGGACAATGGAGATGGAATTCCTCAAGAAAATTTCGATACATTATGTAAAAGATATTACACACACAAATATTCGGAAAGTCACAGAGATGGACAACAATGTGATTATTTGGGATATAAAGGAGAGGCTCTCAACAGTATTTGTAATATCAGCAAAGATATACATGTAAAAACAAAGTATGGAGATAATGATTCCGAGTTGGGATCTCATATTATTTATGATAAGAGAGGAGAAAATCTATCTGTGAATTCTATTCGGCACTCGAAAGGAACAACAATCGTTGTGAACGAATTATTTTCTGCAATACCTGTACGAAGAAAATGTTTTCAAAATGATTTGAAAAAGCAATTGGAGCACACTATTACAATCTTGAAGCGAATTGCTCTCATTCATTTCAATATTCGATTTTTATTGAAAGATGGTGACAAGACTCTATTCCTCAAACTAGCAAACATTCAAACGATGAAAGCATCACTTCAAGCGGTATTTGGAGCTGGAAATATTTTTGAACATTTATACTTTTATGATGGAGCATTGAATACAAATACAGCAACAGCAACGATTTCAGCCACGCACGATACACCAAGCACAAATGGAGCAACATTAACAAGTAGTAGTAGTAGTGATAACAGTGTTGTTCACACCAATATCAACTCTTCTTCTGAAAATGCACTGCCTCCTTACTCGATTCAATGCTATGTACCACTTTATGAAACAATTGCAAAATCGAATGATACCACACTAAGTCCTGAAGAATTAACCCCTCTAAAAGACATTACAAAATTTGTCTCAACAACAAAACCTCACATTTATGCCAACAATAGAGTCATTCTGGAATACAAAGAAATCCAGCAAGCCATGAAAGACATCGTTTCAAATTTCTTCAGAAATCAGAAGGGTGTTAGTTCCAATCTATTTTACATTTTGATCATTCGAGTAGATTCCCACTATTTTGATGTGACCATTAATCCTAACAAAACTAAAATGATCAGCTCCTTAGATGAAGCCATTAAAAAAGAGCTTCAAACAAATATCATCAAACACTATGCAGAGGAAGTGAGAAAATTCAAAGAGAATAATTCAATCAAGCTGTTGAGTCAGGATGATCCAAATATTATTGATAATTCCAATGCTGTGCTCAATGTTTCAAGAATATTGGCTTCATCACCCTCCAAGAATAAGAATCAACCACCATCTTCCTTAAATAGCTCACCGAATTCCACAACATTGTCTCTTTCATCACCACCACAACCACAACCATCATTCCTGAATGATACTACACCACAGAGTAGTAGAAGATCAGACGATTCATCATCACCACCTCCTGCTAAAAGCAGCATTTCCAGTGGTTGTAGTGCTGTTTCAAGTGATGGTAGTAGTGTTGGTGGTGGTGGTGGTGGTAAAAACTCATTCCATCAAAGCAACACTAGGACCACCACCACCACTACCACCACTCGAGATGGCTCTCGACAATTAACCTTAATTTCAAGTTTTTCAAAACAAAACAACTCGACACCTAGTACAAGACCACCTCAGAGAGACATTCCTCTCGATGATTCATTACTGGATAGTGTTCAATCTTTGGATGAAATCTTTGGTTCTCCCATTGTTGTTGGAGGAGAAGGAGTGCCAAACAAGAGTGGTAGTGGTGGTGATGGATCAAATCAGAGAGAACCAAACAAGACAACAAGGAGTGAATCACATCGATCATTTCAACGAAATCCCAATGCTATGGAAGATGACGAGGATGACCACTTGTTGCTCAACAATGACCATCGAACAACCACCACTTCTCTGACGAGTAAGCGTGTACATGCTGCTGATTCTCGACATTATTCCTCGCCTTCTTCTTCTTCAACATCTGTGTCAGCACCGCCCTCTTGCATCTCTGACATTAACAACCTGAAATGTACAAATTCAAAAAAGAGGAAAACATTGCAAACGAGTATCAACCTCGTACCGAATGCAACACAACAACAAGAAAGTTCTAATTATGAAATTACGATTCAAGATTCTGTAGAATTGAACGTTGAATATCTCACTAAAAAGAGGAAAAAGTTTATAGAATGCATGACGTCTGAAAGCAGTGCCTATGTCAATAATAACACAGATTGTCGTGTGTTAAAAAGTGAGTTATCAGATCCATCGAAAGTGCAAATTCTTGGAAGTATTCAACACAAGCTTGGAGTTTTATATCATTGTGAACACAAGAACCTTTTGTTTGCGAATCTATTGCAAATGAAAGAAGACTGTCTTTACCACAATCTTCTGCAGACGTACGACTTGAGTACTTCTATAATTCCTCTACAGTCACCTCTTAATTTATTAACCATACTAAGCAAAGATGCAAAAACATCCAAGGCATATCGACGTTTATGTGTTAAGAAGGAATACCAATCTATCTTTCAGCAAAATGGATTTCAAATAGAATTTGAAGTTGAACCATTGCTCAATGAAAAACAAAAAAGGATTGTTAGGATTGATCTTGTAGGAATGGTTAGCAACAATGTATTTAATACAAGCGGAACCAATGATCACTACAGTTATAGCCAGGACAATTTGATTGAGATTCTTTCAAAGATTGACGAATTCGAACGTGATATTTTAAAAAACGAAGAAATAGTCAAACTGATGAGTGAAAGGAAAATTGCAAAAGACGATCTCATCTCTCAATGTAGATTCTTTTTTCGGCCAAACGTTGTCAAGGAATTTATGAAAAATCACAGTCACCGTTATGCATTAGCCACCATTCGGGATTCAACCATCCAAGAAATTTGTACAGACTTGAAAAACACTTCATTGTTGTCACCTTTACAAGATTTTATTGCCCGTTCAACAGGCTCAGAATTAGCAGAGACGGATATTACACACTACTTTACTGTGAAGTCATTAGAGCAATAAAGCCACGATCACCAAAATCAATACAAGAGTAATGGAAGTGAATGCAGTGGAGGCTGATGCATCCAAATACACTTTAACGGCATTGATCGTATCAAGGGAGTTTGAGGTGTTGAAAACAAGTGACCATTGGTTTGTAGAGGCGTCATAAAAGACCAAATTGTTTCCAGTTGCTGCAAACACAGATCCAGCTGTACACTTTGTAATGGCAGCAAAAGTGTTTTCAATTCCACAAGTGCCCACAGCCTTAACTTCCGAGTTGGTCACTGGCCAAGAGTTAGCACCGAGAGCAGCAAAAGCACCTTTGCCACTTGATTTGTAAACATTGACCTTGTCATCAAGGTTTGATCCTCCCAAGACAATGGTTCCCATGGTTGTACTGAATCCTTTAACGTACGCAACCGAGTAGAAATAGCGAGTACCAACACGATCTGGAAGGGAGGCAACAGCAGACCAAGCACCTGTCTTGTGATTGTAGTTGCAAATACCCACACAACCAGAGGTTCCAAAAGTACTAGCAACGACAAAAACATCATCCGTTGACAAGGCATTCACATTGTAATAGATATCGTACACTGTAGAAGTTGGTCCGTTGGTAGGGAAGGTCCAAGTATTGGTAGAGACGTCATACACTCCAAAGTATGCACCAGAAGAGAAATGTGCAGCTACGTAGACTTTGTTACTGTCGAAAAGTGCATAATCGCTTTTAACAATCTTTGTCACTTGGGTAACAGACTCAGTACCCAATGGAACCCACTTCTTCTGGGTGTAGGACCATCTTGCAAGGTTGCTAATGCTGTTTTCTCCGTTTTGGTAGAGAGTGAAACTACCACCCACATAAACATCTCTTAGATTAGAACCAAGCATGCTGTTAATGGAGGCGACTTTATAGTCGGTAGCAATAGTAACCACATTTGCCCCGTTGTTCATGTACGCTCCGTTATTAACAACACTTTGCCATTTGGAATCAGTCTCAACATTTTTGACGCTTGTTGCAGAAAAGTTCAAACCGTGGAATGCAATTGGGGCAGTAAGGGAAATGGATGAGTTTCCGCCTCCAACCGATGAAAAAGCTCCTCCAATGTAAACAAAACCAAAAATATCGACGTGAATACAATCGACTCTTCCATTGGCACCACCTTCCAAGGAATCAAATAACTTGGTCTTTAAGTCATAATAACCAATGTTATTGACTGTTTTTCCTTGGATGGTACTGAAGGAACCACCTGATTGTTGTTGTAGGGATAGGAATAGTTAAAATATTAAAAATTCATCATCATCATCGTGATGAAACATTTGCAATCACTTACCAAAATATGCCTTGGTCGTGATTGGTAAGGTCAGAGCCTCACACACTGCCAATAAGGCTAGCAAAGCAACAGCAACACTCCAAAATCTACAGGCGCTCATTTTTTTGTTGGGAAACTTTTGGTGGTAACCGTAGAACTTCGAGTGAAGTTGGGCACAAGCTTACAATGAACTAGTCGAACCAATCAAACTGAATCATTGTCTGTTGTTGTTGATACAACCGACCCGAAACGAAGAAGGAATTCGACAAAGAGGGAAAAAACTCTTCACTTGAAGGAAAGTCTCACCAGTGGTCAAATTCTAAACTGTAGTTCAAAATCAAATTCAGCCTTATCCTTGATGTTAAAAGGTTATTTCTAATTAGAAGCTCCTTCACATGTAACAATAGAAATGTCATAATATTTGGGTCTCAAAAGTCGATGGTGGAAATGCTTGGAAGCAGATCGAGTCGTTTCCAAATAAATAATTGATAAACTTTCATCACAGTCGTTCGTATAACCTCCTCCAATAGCTATTAATTTACATTTCTCACTGTACGCAGCAGGCATGGAATATCTTCCCTTGAAGCCATAATATGATAAATCAAAGCTGCAAAACTCTCTACTCTCAGCATCATACAGGTATATAAACTTAGACATATCTGAGCCATTTCCATACGCTATTTGTGAGCCACCAACTACAGCAATGACACTATTCGATATTGTCAAGAGTTGATGTCCTGAGAGTGTTGGCATTCTGAATATGGTTGGGTCCAGCAGTTCCCAGGTGTTTGTGGCAAAATGGAAGATAAAGCATTGAGAAGAAAGAGGAGCTCCTAAAGTTGTCATGAATCAAGTAAATGAAAAGGTTGAAAAAAGTTCAAAACCGGTTATTTGATTCACAGCAAGACATGAAAGGTTAAATACGGTTGCAGTTCAAGAGTTGACTTACCTTGACCTGGTCTCAATTTTCCACCACATACCATCATAATGTCATACTTTTCTAAATATGTCGCAGAATGATATGCACGATGAGAAAACGATTCACCCTTAACAGTCACTGGCTCTATTGTGAATGTCTTAAAATCAAAAACCAACATTTCTCTTTCAAAGGTCCCACTTCGACCTGCATTGCCTCCTAACACATACATCTTTCCTCGTCGTATAATGGCTGTATGACCTTCCCTGAAGGGTACTTCACCAGGAGCATCATTGGCTTCCGTTTTACCAATTAATTTAAATTTGCTTGTCAATATTTCTGAGACACATTCATCATTAATGCTACCACCACTATTGTTTTGATCTGCAGATCCATTCTTAAATGTCATTTTCAGAACATCATTAGACATGATACGCCCACGTATGAATCCACCATAAATATAAACACAATTGTTTTGTGAATCAAATGCCGTTGAATGATATATGCGACAACTGGGACGATCTTTTGAAATGGTCGTCGAACGAAAATCTCTTGGCTTAAAAACACTGGCATTTGGTTGAGTAGCTTGCAGTTGATATTTTTCTCGAGCTTGTTTCATGACTGTTGTCAAGTTCAAATCGTCTAAAACCACAGTATCCATGTCGATAGCAGGAAAAAAAGGTTCTTCATCATCCTCAGATCTGGGTAATTTCGGTGACTCTATCGTTGAAGGGTGATCCAGAATTGCGCGAGGTGAGTGCAATCTCACAAATTCTACAAAATCAACATCTTCCATAGCATGTTCATACCATCGTTCAAATCCATTAAATAAATAAAATCGATCAACATCTTCTTCAACTTCATATCGTACATTGGCGAACTGCAAGGGACTAGTTTTCCTTGTCTTTTGAGGTGCACTAATAAACACAGCGCTTGCGTTTCCAGTCGGATGCCAAGGGATGCCGTACAAGCCTAATCCTCGAACTTTTGCAAAACTTGAAATTTGGTACTCGATCGGAATCATCATACTCGCTTGATCATGAGGTTTTAAAAATAATTCTTCAATGGATTGAGATCTTTCTGAAGGACTTTCATCATTATTGATGTCGATAAGCAAAGATACTGAATGACTTTGCATTTTTTAAAAAAATTGTGTTTGCGAATTTTGATTCAATAAATATTGAAGTCATTTATGGGTGAGGTGGTTTTGGAGGCTTTTGTGCTTGACCTACTTCACCTCGAGATGAGTGTGACATAATGGATTTGCTGGTGGATGAAGATACCTTGTTTGGTGAATATTTTGGATTAAAATCGTCAGCCACAAGGATTTGCGTTGGATTGGGCAACTTGGTATTTGAACCACCAGCCCATTTTACATTTTTCTCATCTCTTTTGAGCAATTTAAGTTTGTTATTTGTGGGGATAGACCCAACTTGACCTGGAAAAATTAATTCTGTGTTCGAAAACTCGTCTAATTTTCGTTTTCTATTTAGTTGAGTGTTGTTAAAGGTGTTGGGTGACATGAATAATTCAGACTCAGAGTTGTCACTCAATGATGAAGCATTTGGGGTGCTGTTTAAGGAGGAGGTCATCATGGAGGAATTCAGGAAAGGAGAAGGTGAAATAAAGCTGCTGTTGAGTAATCGTGAGGTTGACTGTTTGACTGGAGTTTGCTGTCTGTTCAAAATTTTGGATTTGGGAGAAAGAAGGATTTGTTGTTGCGGTTCTCTGCTTGTATCTGATCGTTGTCTATTATTGTGGGAGACCAGCTTTTGGACGGTAGGAGAGAGTATGGATGATTGGGATAGGGGTTGTTTGTTGTCACTTTGATTTTGAATTGCCCTATTTGGGTGTGATTTGTGGGAAATAGGAGAAGGTGAAAACACGGAAAAGAATTTGGTTGGTTTTGGAGTGATGGTAGTTGATAAAGGATGACGCTGGTCCATGTTGCTGGTCGTTGTTGGGAGATTGGTTGCTCTTGTTAATGGTCTACTCAATCGCAATGTCTGTTTTGGTGTTCCTATTAGGCTAATGTTGGAAATATCCAACGGATCAGTTGTTGGTAAACTCTTATCCATATGTTCTTCTGTGCTCTCAGGTAAGGAATGAGTTCGATCTTTTTCCATAATGATCTGCTCCTGATTGTCCTTATCATTTTCTATGTGTGAATTTTCTGCAGAGACATTATTTTGTTCTAACTCCTCTTCTAATTTCCTAAGCTTTACGTCATGTTCTTTTTGGAGTGCTTCTATTACCTCTGTTTCTTGATCCAATTGATCCAACAAGTCCTCAACCTGTTCTTTCTGAGACTTTTTAGAAATAACCTTTTCATCAATAATGCGCAAAAGCTCCTCTGTTTGTTTCTTTTGTTTCTTGATTTCATAGTCCAATACTTGACACGTCTCGTCATCCAACAATGATTCATTATTGTTTCTGTTTTCTTCTTCTTCCATCGAGTTTCTTTTTCGCTTTTTATCAGAAATAGCCTCATGATCATTTTGTTCAATATTCGGATGCTTGGTAACACTTTCTAAGAATGTAGCCAAAACGTCATCAACTTTTTTTGAAAATTCAGCTATAGATCGTTTCTTAATCGTGAGTTGGTTTTCAAGGTCCTTGCTTTGAACAACATCTAGTTTTTTTGTACCTATTGGTGTGGAATATTCTTTTCTTGTAATATAGCCCAAAATACAGGCTTGGATGATTTGCAGTGTTTGCAATGTATGGGTGTGCTCCGATCTAGTTAATTTGGATTTAACAAGAGCTTGGATAACGAGGCTTGCGTCCAAATAAATGTCTTGAGAGTTCTCTAAATTTTCTATAATGTTGCTTGACATTTTCTCTTTTTGCATTTCATTCTTATAAGACCTAGCGCAAATAAATGAGCGAACGAAAGCCTGTAGTTCTGTAATATTGCAATATTGTCGTTTTACAAGATTTCTGATCTCTTTTCCTCTGATAGCAGATTCAATTATGATGATCTGTTCTCTTATTTGCTTTTCTTGCTCTAATATACGTCTCCTGTCCAAAGCAACCACACATAATGACTGCATGACACTAATGGCTGATGTTAATTTTTGCATTTTGCTCCGTACTAATTTTGCTCGGAATGCTGCTTGCATCATTGCAGCTCCACAGATAACCTGAGACAGATTGCGTCTCTGTTGTGTTGCCACGACAGCAGATTGTATTAATCGAGCACTTTGATTTATCCTACCTATGTATTGTCTATTAATGAGACTTCTGAAAAGAGCAGAAATCATTGTTGAGATTTCATTCTTTCGAAATTCTTCCTCTTGTAATTTCTTTTTCTCCAACTCTTCTAATCTTTCTTTTCGCTTCCTTATCAACTCATTTCTAACGCAATATCTAGAGCATAAAGATTGAATAGTAATCGCTGACTTTAAAAGATTTTCGTATGTATTTCTCACTTGAAAACCTCTATACCTAGCTTGATACAAGCACACAGCTGATGTCATCTGTTCTCTCTTCAGTCTAGTGCTCTCTCTTAGCTGAGAACATGATTTTTGAGCCAAAACTTTTCGCCAACGGCTTTGTATTACGTTTAAATGGTGTAATTGCCGTGAGAAGTCTTGTTCACAGAGTTTTCTCAAATAAATGCTTTGGATTGTTAATGCCAAAAGCGATCTTGATGATTCGTCAATTGCATTGTTTCCATTATGTATCTCCGAATTTGTAGTCTCACCATTCTCGGAAGACTTTTTAGGAGTAAATAACATATCATCATCACGGTTTTCTGGATGAGTATTTTCTTGATTATGTATATTATTATCATTAGTGATAGCATTATTTTCTGAAGGTGCTGGTTGTTTTAATTCCTCATCATCACTTTCAACATTCTTTTTTCTTCTCCTCCGAGCTTTTACAGGGGTTTTTTGAATGGGAAATTTTTCACTTTGATCCATCAAGTCCTCATCCACAGATGTTGATTGTTGTACAATTACTACAGTTTCAGTCTTCTTCTTTCTTTTTGGTCGCTCCTTCACCGGTGTTTTCGTGAGAAGAGAAGCTGAATCCGATGGTTCCTTCTCTTCCTTTCTTGTTTCTTCTTTATCTTGCCTTGCTGCTTTGCTTCTTCGAGTTGAAACAGGCATTTTTGTTTGAATAAAAAATTAAAATGCTCTCTTTTTCAAAAATATTATCGATCGGAAAGGATACACTTTCAAAAAGCTTTCAAATTTGACGAATCCTTGTGATCACAACAACAAGTATTTTAGTCGATGAATTCATTGTTTAATTAGGACTTGAATATGGGAATTCTCTCTCTGGGGTGCACCCGCCCAAGATGCAAACAACAATGGCATCACAAGACCTCAAACGTTTCCGCCTTTTCTCTGGTTGTGTCCGTTGGTCATTGAAAATATTATATTGAAAAAACTGCATCTCTTTGCTTCGCGTTCGATCTTCATAGTATTACACCTTTGTTTGTCGTTTCTGCCGAGTCACCGAGCAAACACTCTTTGTTCCAAACAAATACCTATTACAATTATTGGATTGTAAATATTGCAGAATTATTCAAATATTAATTGAAAATGGGAAATAAGCATTCTCAAGGAAAGAAGAGCCATGGAGGGGAATATCTTAAAAGATCATCCAGCCAAACACCAAAAAGCTTTTCCTCCAATCAGCATTCATTGGAGAAATCACGTCATTCCTCTTTGGCTAATTTAAAACATCTATTAAGAGGTAATTCAAAGGAAACGTTGAAACAAGTTTTCAAGATGGCAGAGACCATAAATAAGGATGCAACCATCGTTGTGACAGCCCATCCAATGACAACATTTGGCGATTACGACTCTGGGAGAGATCAAAAAGTTCCTCAAAAGAATGCTTGTGTCAATGCTCATGATCAGGTTCCATTTACGAGATCACGCTCCTCTGCTCTTATTAATGCAATTCTCATTAAGAAATTAGAGGAAGCCAAATACCAACAACCTCCAATCAAAAGTCCTGAAACTCCACATTATGACACGGCAAGACAATTAATGTTCCACAAAGAGGATGAAAAGTTACCATCTTCATCATGGCAAGATGTCTGTCCAATTGGGTTTGATCCTCGTTCTCCAACTCCTGACGTTGCAAGAACTCCAATCAAAAAACAAGGTTCCATGATCACCAGAGATCTTGACGTGAGAGAATTGAACAAGTTAATTGATTTGAATGCAATTCCATTTGATGACGAACATTTGAGATTACACTCTCAAGTAGCATTCACTCCAACGGATGGTAACATGTTGACCTCATCAGGAAGAAGTATTATGGATGACGATGGTGACGAACATAACGAAGATGTGCCAGTGATGGAAGAAACACAAAAATCTTCAAAACCAGCTCCTAAAAAGGTGACCGATGTATCAAATGATGATTTGAGCTTTTCAAAACGCAATAGCTTCGTCTTGCCATCTCCTATCCTTGCATTTGATCCAAGTAAGAAGCATCGTAAATTACCACCTAACAATAAGGAAATCCTTGATATACCAATGTTGAATATTGAATCAAAAGATGACATTCAAGCCAACAATCCACAACTCCTGGTTGACCAAGAGTTGGTGACACCTGCAGCCAATAACACTCCATCCACACAAGGTATTCAAGAAATGGGAACCATTCCACCCGAAAGTTGTGAGTTTCACAAAGAAGATGACTTTGAAATACTACCCAATGATATGAACAATAATACAGATGAGCCGCTACCATCGAATGGTCCAACCATCTCAATGAAAAAGATGCCTTCCCTTAAACCTGTTCCCTTCATGACACCACAACCATACCATGGAGGCTACATGTCACCCTCTCCCTTGCATAGAGCAGCAGCTGCTGCCACTAATTCATCACCATTATTTGGTAATCACAGTCCAAGCTCAGAAGAAGCATGTCCTTCATCCAATTCTGATTCCACTACAGATAGTACTATTAGTTCTGTATATGCTACTCCAACAACACCAACACGGAATGATCATAAGGAAAATTATTCAAACAAACAAGAACCCATTTTCACAAATATTGCTGTCATTACAAACAATGGAGCCAAGTTTTTACCAAAGCTAGCTACCAATAAGGAAGTCTCATCACGAACAAATCATAGAGATCACGCAGCAACAGTAGTCGCCACTAAACATCATCCTCCCCATCATTTAAAAAAGAGCTCGAAGAGTCCTTTGAAAGACATTTCCAACAATAATTTCAACAATTACATTAGATGATTTTGAGGAAGGAAACCGACCCGAATAAACAACGTCATTACCAAATTCTTTAGAGAGTTTTCCAAAACAATCTTGATTTCTCTCGATGTAACTAATTTCGTCTTGCTTTTAAAAGTAGAGTGACTAAACCCAAATTGGGATTCATCGTAATAAATTGAAAGTTGGCGCCAAACAAGAAAACGACAAAAAAATAGCCATTCTTTTCAAATGCTCAAACAATCAACGCAACAACAAATTGGCTCACACGGTTCGGTCTTTCAGATCGAACAGAATTTATCTCAAAGATACCCTTACAAAGAAATACCATTCAATGAACGAATGCAAAATGTTGTCTATGATTCATTCGGTTATATGGGATTACAAAGAAATATTGACATGATCAAGGACACCAAATTTTCAAATGAGGAACGAATTAAATCCTTGAAACTTATATTCAACTCGTGTATTAATCCCGATATGAAAGCAAGAGCCATTACTCAATTTAAGATTGTCGATTCCTTACAATATCTTTTCAGCTCCGATTTTCAGAACTCTGTCGCAACGATATCGCACAGAATTTTGCTCAATGAATGGGCAAGCAAGATTGTTTATTCCTTAGCAAGCATTTCAACATTTAAAGAGGCCCTAAAACCACTGATTTTTCCCTTGCTCACTGTGATCACTGGGGATATCATGAAAGGCTCAAGCACAAAACTCAAACACACCACACACTATAGAGACAAGGTTGCTGCAGCTCAAGCTCTTCACCAATTCAGCCTTTGTCACATAGGATGTAAAGTTCTTCTCTCCTATGACATGGAGCGGAAAGACGACAACAAAATTTTAGATGTTCTAATTTATACCATGAACAATTCAACAAGCGAACTTCTAATTGAGTATTGTGTCAAGACCGTCTCAAGTATGTGTGAGTTAAATTCAACAGCAAGAGATCTAGCAGCAAGCTTAAATATTGTAAATTCCTTGAATACCTTGCTAGATATGTTTGAAATGTATCCAATTTCGCTGACAGCAAATGCGTGCCTGCTAGTGTGGAATGTATCTTTGGATGGGCAAGGAAAGCCGTATTGCAAGGATCACATACCAAAGTTGGGACGTGTGATAGAGTACGCCCTTAAAAACATCGAAACCATTGATCTAGATAATATTCCAGAGAATGATACTTTTTCAATCCATCTTTTAGCTTCACTGCAGTATTGCATTGGCGCAATGTCATCTATTTTGGTGTTTGAGGAGAGTAAAATTTTATTGACAAAGAATGTGCATTCAGAGGACAATAGAAGGCAAGAAATCAATTCAGTGAACTTGCTCTGTAGGTGTTTGAACTCCCTCAGAGATCGAAGCTCCATGCTTAATCAATTGGCTTTCAAACGACATTGCGAATACGGTTCTGCTATTGAGAGAAACATTTTATCTGCGATAAAGCTCGGAAGTGAGCTGCCTCGAGTTCGAGACTCATTCTCGAAAATACTCAAGCAACACACAGATGGTGAAAGCTCAAAAGGAACATTATTCGATTTTGTGTATCGTGAAGAGTCACATTTGTTTTATCCCACTTCATTATAAATTCTCCTTAAAGAAGGTGGTCATTCTTTGATAATACTTTTCTGGCTCAGACAACATTAAGATACAATGATCCTTACAGTCTGAAAATGTGTGCTTTAGTTCCTTACTGTTGACATCTCCATAATAGGTCGAAACTTTCAAATGATCAAGCTTGGAAGCCAAAGCGCTGCATCTCTCTGAATTTTGCATGGGCACAAGAATATCACTTTTTGGATGATCAAAATGAATGGCGACCTTATGCACCAATACTTGAGTTCCACTTTCATCGTTGCCACTACGACTACTCTCGAGCTCCACTCGCTTATTCCACAATCGAAATGCATCATTCAAGAATGGAGGATAACTGTGGTGAGGATGATTTGGTTTTGCCACCACAGAGCCAAATAATTGAATGGCAGGCCACAATACATATCGAGCAATTTTCATTCGCATTGAATCCAATTCCAATCGATCGTCATGACCCACAATATAACCCAACACTCGATACAAATTCGATTGCAATGTAAATTCGATATCACAGGCTGGACTATCCAAGAACATGGCTCGAATGGAGTCCTTGTTGTGAGGTGTTGATTTCAAATAGGCAGTCATGATGGTTGCTCCTCCTTTCGATAATCCATACAATCCAACATGTTCGTATCCATATTGAGATTTTACATGATCAATGGCTCCTAACAAGTCTGCATATTCTAAACTTCCATACGTGCTGTAGGACTTGTCTGAAAGAAGGACACTTGGATATTCCTTTTCGGATTGGCCATGATTTCTCAATTCAAAGGTGAAAAAATCATATTCTCCATTCGGGAAGGCATTCAACATCATTTGAAGTGGAATGGTAATGGTATAATGATTCTGTCTCATGCGAAATCCATGAACGAAAATGATGACCTTTTTAGTGGTTGTTGCTGAAGTTACCTCTGTAGAGGATGAAGATGATGAAGACGATTTGATTCGGTACAATCTTCCATTAAGGTTCACTCGATACGGAACATCCTCAGTTTCTCTACTCGTAAAAGACACATTGGATATTTCAATGGAATTCTTCATGGTAATCATCTTTTCGGTGAGTCCTTTCAAGAATTTGTGGCTCATAGTTGCATTTCTCCAATCGCTGCAATTTATATAAGTCTGAACACCAAAAATTGAGTTTTCTCTTGATTTCAAGTAACCTTCTGTGTAGAACTTGTCAGAGAGAGAAAACATGGCATGATACATGAAATGACCTAATAGTAAATAGAAGGTCAAGAGAAGAAGAAGGAAGAAGATACATGTATTCCGAATGCAAGTAGATGGAGTTTTTGGAGAGTTTGATTTTTCTTGATGTTTCAGTGGTACTGATGGAGCACTGTGATTACCCGATGATGATGAGGATGAAGAGGTCATGATGATGGTTTGAAAAGAAATGTATTTATCAGCCAATAACTAGTTCGATTGATGGCAGCAAAATATGATCAACAATATAATAAACTCTATGATTATATTACAGGAATTATCAAGATGACAAGATTATACTCTCTCTTTACACGATGGATTCTTTCAAGTGTAAAGGGTGATGAGCCACACGAATGATGATGGGTGTCGTCTTTTTGTTTTGAAAATTTCCTTCTTTTTCTCCGCTCTTGTCATCTTTTATTGCTGCAGTAGCGATCATCACACAAAACCCACCCTGATCAGGATATCATAGGTTGGAGAACTAATCAGAGGCCTTTTCCTTGTCATCTTCTTGTCCATCTTCGTTTTCATCTTCCTCATCATCGTCACCTCCAATTCTCAATTCAATACTCACACCAACAGCATGATAAAGATAGGATGCAATAAAGCTCACAAGTGCTGCAATTAAAGCAACTCTCAATACTGTTGGATAGTGGTACTTCCAGAATGTTATTTTTCCATCGAGAGCAAGTTCTAAATCATCAATGAAATCCATGGTGTAGCTATCAATCTGTGCTTGAAGATTAGCAATTTCAGACAATAGAGAGTCATGTGTTTCTCTCAAATTCTCCAAATGAAATTCTTGTTGTTGAAGTCTCGAAGTGAGAGAATGAATTACATCATCACTTTTAGCATATTTAAATTCATTCTTAATGTGAGAAATCATCATTTCACAATGCAAAATATCCGACTCATTTGTTTCCTTCTTCATCTCAAGAGCATCAATTTGATATTGCAATCGATTCACCTTTTGATTAAACTGTCTTTCACAAATATCAAAATGATCCAACTCGGCCTGAATTCGATCAATTTGTCTTTTTATATTTGCTTGTTGTGTGTCGTAGGCATAGTACGATTTCAATGATGCCAATCTCTCTTCCAAATCCTTTCTATATTGTTCATAGATCCAATAGGTTTTACTGAAATGAAGTCTATTTACATTATTTGCCTCCATGTTCGGAACACCACTTTCCCTATGGCTCAATGATGTATGGAAATTCTTTAATTGTGCTTGCCGCTTCATCAAGGACAGAATTTGAATACATTCACTATTCTTATTGAAAACGGATTGATGATGATTCTTGGTAGTGGTCCTGATCGCATGTGCTGAAAAAACAGAACTGATCAAGTTGTTATTATTATTAATGTAATGATGACGATGAGCTCGTCCTCTCAGTAACAACATCGGTGAACCCGATCCCAACGGCGAAAGAAGAACAAGCCTTGCACAGTTCTTTCTCATTTTTCTTTTGAGGGCGCTTCTCTGGAGTCCTTTCAAGGGAGGACTGTTTTACACATGAGAAGAGATGACCACCTTCCTCTATGCAAATATTCCCAACAATTCGTATCCATCACTTTTCTCTGTCCTTTCACAAGAGAAATTTGAATCATTCGCCCAAATTCGGCTTGAATTAAATTCAAATTTAAAAAATTGAGAGAGTGTTCGCTTGATCAAATTGAAAAGTGCTCTCTCTCTCTTTCACATTGTCGTGTTCTTGAAGAACATTTCTATTTATTGGTTATTTTTCTCAAGTCTACCATTGTGTTTCTCTTTTGGAAGTGTACTCACTCTGGTCTCTTTCGCAGAGTGATTTGTGAAATATATTAATCGTGAAAACACGAAGAGGAAGATATTGTGATCAAAAAGCGAGTCCATCCGTGACCACAAGCCACCCATAACATGTACATTTGTGTCAGTACTGTCACGCACTCCAATTACAGATATTCAGATATTGATCTCGTTTATTATTGAACTCTACAAATATCCTTTCAGTCTCTGATCATTGATCACGCACACCATCTCCCTTCCCATGAATCCAAACAACAACAACACCCAAAAAAAGAAAACTCAAAAACAACCTATTCCATTCCATTCTCAGAAAAGTAAAGCAATCCACACAAGCATTACCACCACCACCACCGATCAAGATCCATCATCATCATCATCCTCGGATCACCACGTTCAGATCCATCCTTCCTTGAACAGCAAGAGCTCTTCAAGCCAAAAAAACTCTCCTCACAACAGCAACAATCAAGCTTCTCATCAACAACAAGAAGAACAACAAGCACAACTGCAACAACACCCCAATCATGATGAAGAGGTTGGCTCCTCCTCCTCCTCCTCCTCACTCTCATCAAGGCTTAATTCCACTCTTCCGAGTAATAGCAGTGGTCGTAGTTCTTTGAGAAGAAACTCAAAGAGAAAAAAATCAAAAAATTCTTCTTCTGGTTTTGGACTTCGTTGTGCAGAAGAGGATAAGAACCAACATCATCATTGTTCGGAGTCGCAGCAAGAATTTCAGAAAGAGTTGTTTGTGAACAATAACAACGATTCCAAGCAACAACAAGGAAGAAATTCAAATTCGGGAAGCAAGCCAAAAGTTGGAGCTGGTGGTCATCATCATTCAATATTGAGTCCGACTCATAAACAATTATTGCGGAGAGTTCAAACAAAGATTGAAACTGAGGATTATACTCAAGATATCAAATACAGAGATTTAGAAACGAATGAGCAGTACGATTTGAAATTAAATATGAAAAGAACAGTGATTAATAACATGCTGGAGATTTACACGGAAATGAATCGAAGAGCTCAATGTAAGTGTTAAAACGTTATTAATCATAATGAAAAATAACATTCCCATTACTAACTAATTGCCTATTTATTTCACACAACAACACGATACTGAATCAAGACTTGATGAAATATATCGGATTTGAAATTGATAAAACTTGTTTTTATGACACTGAGGTTAAAAAAGGTTATGTTTTGCATGAACATATCGCTGAGGTGAAGAATGAGCTTGCTGAAAATCATGGCAAACGGGTACCAAAGGACATGTTTGTGAAGTACCCAAATGACCCTAGTAGGTCAGTGTCAATGTGTGACACAGAGGGAATGTCAAAGCTGTTGGATCACATTTTACATTCATATATATCCAATTACATGGTATGCCCAAAGTGCAAATCAGTTAAAACCACAAATCCAATCGTTGTTGATAATGATCAACAACAAAACATCTTAAATGAATTTAAGGAGAATTATAACGAAGAACTAATAGAAACTCAACAACGCCAACTTATTGAACGATTGGATGATTTTACATTTTTCACGATTCAATGCAGAGACTGTGGACATATCGAAAAGATTGAAAATGCAAATACTTCTGATCAATTTATTAAGCAAATATTTCAGTCAAGACAGAGAAATATGTCCAAATCTCTCAAACATCAACAACATCAGTCTAATGATAGTAATGTTTCACACGAACAATCATCAGAATTTGCAAGTAATGCCGATTACTATCCACCAATGTATGGCTATCCACATGATCAACACTCACATTATTATTACATGCCATCCTATTATCCAACGTCAAATGTTCTTCCACCAACGCCAACCACAGATGTGTATAGACAAGGTTACTATCCTCAATTCTATCCTAATTATTATCCTTATCCTTATTATATACAACCCATGTATGCCATTACTCCACCCTATATCAACAACAACATGAATTCTGCCAGTAGTGAAGGCTCTTCCTCTAGTTTATCGAGCTCTTCTTATCGACCTGTGAGTGACAATGGCTTTAATGGAGGTTCATCATCTTTTGATAGTGGAGGTGGAGGTTCATCATCTGCAGGTTTGGAATTTAACCCGAGTTACAAAGCCGCTGGAATTATTCCCTATTCCTTACATAATGGAAAGGTTTACTTTTTATTAGGAAAGGAAAATAGAGGAGGTAAAGGTGACTTTGTGTCGAATTCAGGCATGTCACCACCAACAACCACAGAGAAAGAAAGCCCATACAATGTTGCCAAGAAAATTCTGACATGGTCTGAATTTGGTGGAAAACGTGAGAAATTCGATGCTAATCCTTTTCATACAGCATCCAGAGAGTTTTTCGAGGAAACAAGAGGATTATTTGGAGACATTCATGAAAAAATTGCCCCATTACCAGGAAAATACTACGCCAATGGAAAGTATTACGTGTTCATGATCGAGTTGCCATTTGTTGATCTGGAAGAAGATTTTGCAAACTCGACACTGGTAGATAGTAATACTGCGAAAATCGAAAAACTAAGACTTTCTTGGATTGATGCCGACGATTTGATACACAGAATTTATGTTCACTCATCGAAATACTATCACGAAAATGGACTTCTTAAACTTTCAGTGAATGGCTCTGACAAGGATGAATTCTTGCATCCATTTGCGTTGGCCTTGTTTAGATTTATGAAAACAGAAGTGTTGCAAGTCATGGAGAAAGCCAAAATGAACAAGCAACGCTGAAAGTGCAACTTTGAATATTAATTTATTTAGATTTAAAATGGATATTGATGTGTAAATTTATTAAGATTTAACATGAAAATTCTACAATTAAAATTGAATGGCATTTTCGAGAAGAGTATCCACAATCTGTTCCTGTGAAATACTTCTCAAGTCTTCCAAAACGACAGAGGTGTCCACACTTGTTTCCATTGAACCTGAGGTTGTGACATCTCTCGAAGTCGTTGCAGAGAAGAGAGTTGGAATGAGTACTGTTGTCTCTTCATACACTGGTGGCAACAAGGACTTTTCAACTCCACTGAACACAATTTCTGTTCCAGTCTTCTTTGCGGCACGAACCATTTGAGATTCTTTGAGTACTGTCTTGTAGAGCTTGATTGCTGGCTTCTTTTTTACCATCGTCTCCACAGAGGAAAGTCTCGACAATTCATTGGTAATTTTCTTAACCTCTGTAATGGATTTGCTCTTCTCATACTCAAATTTCTTCTTTCTGACAGAGGTCGTTGTGGTTGGACAACGAGTGACATTTCCAAGGGCTGACAATCGATAAGCATAACCAGTGTCAAATAATCGAATCACATCAAACTTCTTTTCCTTTTTACCCTTCTTTGATTCTGGTTTTTCATCGTCCTCATCTTCATCAACTTCAGGGGTCAACACAGTATCTGTGAGCATACATTTTGGAACGATTGGACAGAGACCTCTCATGAGTCGATCACTAAACTTTTTGCTCAATGTGAAAGTATCTTCCTCGACCACATTGTAAGCATTTTGTAATAATTTCAAATCATATCTGTACTTGTCAAGTAAATGAAGTAAAATTTGTCGATACATGGAAAAGTCAGTTTTAGCATTTTCTCTTGTGAGTTTTTTCAAAATTTCTGGAATTGGCATACTTCCAATGGCAGAAAGCACCACCACACGCAAGAATTTGAGTTGAATGAGTTGAAGCCACAATTTGGCCAAATTATGCATTTGATTCGATTTTTCTTGTTCTAATTTGCTTCGTTCAATAATTTCTTGAATTTGTCTTTGGAGTTCTTTTTCTTTTTTTACTTGAACTGAAATGTATTTCTTCATTCGTTCAATTTCTTTGGAAATTTCCTTCTTTTCTTCTTCATCTTGTTGATCTTTCAACTCTTTTTCTTTTTCGAGTAATTCTTGTTCTTTGGTTTTTCTCAAATTCTTTGATTGTTCAATTTTCTTTTTGATCTTTTCAATGTCACTCTCTTGTGTCGCTTGAAGTCGTGACTGTTCAGATGAAGAAACATCTCCATCATCCAATAAATCCTTCTTGGAAGAATTAAGTCCTGAAGAATCCACATTACTCAATCGATACGATTTGTAATGTTCACTCAATGGAACATTGAATTGATCCATCAATTTAAACCAAAGTTGTTTCACTTGCTTTTCATCGACTGTTTTTCTTTGTGTATTTCGTCGACACATGGAAATGGCAACGGCGAGTTCTTTTCGAATCTTTTTAGATTCTGGTAAATCTTCAACTTTGAGAGCTACTGGTCCACGTCCAATAAATTCATCATCTAAACCATAATACAATGGTTGATTGGTTGTTTGAAGTTCACCACTACCATTACCACCATCCTTTTCATTTTCAGAAGAAGGTGTTAAAATTGAGGGTGGAATGAGACCCTTTTGGATGAGTACATTCTTTCGAATTTCGAGATATTGATCGAGAGGAATGTCATCCAAATCGACCAAACCTAGAACACTTTCCACATTAAAGAATTTTGCATCCTTTTCTGAAAGTCCATCAAATTTTTTAGAGGACATGTCGGCTCCTTGTAATCGTTCTCGTTCTTTCACGTCACGAATGTGTCGATATTTGCTGAAACGATAATTATTGGGATCAAGAATTTGTGCCACTTGAGAAAGACACTCTTCTAAAATGCTAGTCTCACGCACAATGTTCTTCAGGACAATATTTAGAGCTTCCATCACTTCACCATTTCTTTCCAACAAGAAACTGACTGCATCTGGAATGTTTCTGCAATATTCAAGAATGTCCTCGGCCTTTTCTCCTGGGAATTGATGAGTTTGAAGCCAGTCACACACTCGATGTGGTTCAAATTTACACAAAAGTCGAATATATTGATATTGAAGCTCCATATCAACTTCAATTTTAGCTCGTGACATGTTCGAATAATAGGCAGTAGCAGATTCACCAGTTTTGGAGTTGCTATCTAAGAAATCAGAATTATTTCCTTCATAAATGTTAATAATTTTAGAAAGATAGTTGAATAATAATCTTTCATCTTCGACATTCTTGATGCTTGACGTTATGAGTGCATTTAGAACTTGTGGATGGATGGTTGGGAAATATTTCACAATGAGAAGTGTCATTTCCTCACTGTCAGATCTCATTAAATCAAGTAAATGATCAAGAATAGCATCATGAATATAAATGCTGACAACTTCACTGTCATTTGCCAATTCTGAAATGTATTCAAAAACAGGAACCTGTGGCTTGTTATGTCCAATAGATTTCTTCAATTTCAAGTCATCAATATAGTTCTTAATGACTGCCTTGTAATCTTTCTTCTTCTTATTCAAAAAAACAGCAACATCATAACAATTATTTTCTTGTGCAAAATCAATCAATCGAACCAAAATAGCATTAATTGTTTGCTCATTAGAACTTTCAAGTTTTTCCAAAATTCGAATCACAATTTGTTGTCGATGCTCTTTGAAATCATATTCTTTCACTAAATATTGCTTTCGTTCTTCAAAATAGGCCGACTGTTTCATAAGCTTGTCAAGACTATCCTGGCGACTCTCCATTCCAAAAAATGAAACTTTTGTACCTTCTTTGCTCTTTTTGAGATCATTGGTAGCCTTTTCATGCTCTTTGAACTGTTTGAGTAATTCTTTTGTTTCATAACTTGTGAAAACAGTGTCGTGACAAAGGTGAGTGTAAATTCTCTTAATTTGGCCCTTGTCTTCAGAAAGAATATTTCTTGCGATCATTTCACCTAAAAATTCATAGAGGTATTTCTTTTCTTTCAGTGAGAAGAATGGACCATCTAATTCAATATCGAGTTCACCTTGTGGAGGATCCAAAACAAAGGTTTTCATAGCTTCAATCAACTCTTCCTTTTGCAATTTTGGAACCCATTTCTTGATGGTGTTACTTCCTTCATGGATACAATCGGTAAATGAAGTAATGACAAAATCTTCAAGAATGTTATCTCTATCCTCTTGATCTTGTAAAGGGCATTTGATTGGCTTTGGGAAGTTGACATAGAATGGAGAGGTGTTAATTCCTCTTTCAAGTTGAACCTCTTCAAAGTATATTTTGAGAACTTCAAAAGTGTCCTTTGGATTGAATTTGATCAATTTCTCGAGATTCAGAAGAGCAACTCCAGTACGAGGAAGTTTTCTTTGAGAGGTTCCAGATTCTTGAGATGTCTTGGAATGTGACACTCGAGTTTGTTCGAAAATGAAATCAATAATCAACCGTTTGACCTTTCTCAAAATATCAAAATCAGTAATTTGATAGGCATCTGTGAAAATTGTTCCATTGGTAATAATATTTTTAAAGTATTTGAGAATAGCATCTGCTTTCTCTTGGGACTCTGGAGAACCCAAATCTGAAAGACTCACTTCTTCCAAATAGGTTCGAGCAGGTCCAATAAAGTCCTTCTTTAAAATGCAGTGGGCATAAATATTCATTCTACACATGGTGTGATCCTTGTAGCTACACAAATCTCGAATCGTATCAAATGGAATGTCTAACTTGCTAATATCCAAGTTGAGAATAATGTTTTCCAGTTTGCTCAATCTTGCTTTTTGAGAGAGATGTGTGATGGTTGGAGTTTCTGATTTGAGTGAGGACTGATCAGAATCGATTCCACCATGATATTTAATATATCGAGAAAGATCAATGAGACCTTTTTCTCCACTCTCTGAATCTGCACTTGATGTGTAAAGATCTTTGATTTTCATAAATTGAGATTTGATAAATGCATACGATGCTTTCTTGGAATCAATGGTCATCATTCTTGAGAGAGCTCCATTCAAAATTAATTCTTCAACGAGTAATTGAAGGAAGATGTGATCATAACCATGATGTTCAAAGGACAAGAAGGTTCCTTCAATGAGTTCAATGTTGTTAATTTCAATCGCTCTTTGAAGACAATTTCTTGCAACTTGAACCAACATTTCCACTTTAGAATGTGTCAATCCACTGTCAAGTTCCAGTTGATGAAGTTTTGTATCTCTGTAATCCACAAGAATTGAGGAAATCAAAGTGCTTACTGCTTCATGTCTTTGATTTTCATCCTTTGTTGGAAGACCGATCAATGCACCAATTCCACTTGGATCATTAAACATTTCAACAGACATGTTCAATGCTTCTTCATACTCTCCAATGGATTGTAAAGCTACAACTCTTTCATCCCAAGATAAACAACGCATGGCTCTCAACTCTGATGCTCCCAATAAATAAATGGTTGGACTCTTGTGTTTCACTGTCACAGATGTACCACCATAATAGGCACGATACATTTCAGAAGCAGCACTGTGAGTTGTACTTGGTAAACTGATCGTGTCGTCATCAATAGAACCTCCAGTGTAGATGGATCGTAGTAAACTTTGCGTGTTAATGGAGGAGTGACGAAGAATGTCAATATATTGGAAGGATGAAACATCATAAACGCCTCGAACGAAAGCACCTCCATAATGAATTCCATATTTCTTCTTGAGATTAATTGGAACGTTCATCATTGGATCAGAAACATAGTCCAACATGAGATCTTTACAATTCACTTCTTCAATCCAATTAGTAGAAGATTCAAGTTTTCGATCAATTAACAGCATTTTTCCAAGTTTAGAGTCAAAAACAATGAATATATCATCCGTGAGCCAATGAATTTGCTCCACAGGAAATGGAACAAATACTTCAGAAGCAAAGTAAACGTTAGGTAAATCACTTGAGCTTTGATGTGAAGAAATATCTCCACGAGAGGAATCATTGTTTTTTCCAGTATTTGGAGAATTCAATGCACTCGTACTATTTGAAGTACTAGTTCCAAAGCCAAACATCATACTAAAGAAACCAGATGATTGTTGAATCTCAACATGATAGAATGCAATTCTATTTCCCCATGCAACAGCCAAATAGGGATTACTTTGATCGTTCAAAGAAACAGTGAGACCTTTGTGTTCGCCATCCACCATTTGACTTCCTTTCCATGCAATTTTGGGTGAAATTTTCTTTCGAGCCATGAAAGATCCACTCGAAGTAGAAGATCCACTTGAGGCATCCAAAACGCTATTGTTGAAGAGGGTTGCCAATTGTCTTGAAGTTGGTTTCACTGAATGAATAATCACTTCAGAATCCGTTGTGACAGCCACAAGAACAAATCGGTCGAGAGGATGTCTTCCCTCTGATTTTGGAAGTAAATGAATATCGGAGAATCGAGAGAGAATCATTTCTTGTTGTTGTTTTCTTTCATATTCTTGCATGCTTCGTTGTTGTTCTGATGTTAGAGTTTCAGTGATGATTTGTCCTTCGTCGTCCGTTTTCAATAATTGTGAACTACTTGGTGAAGATGGAACTTCTTTTGGAATATTCGCCCAGTGAATGGGTTGAACATCTACATAATAGGCAAACATGATTTTTCTCACATTGAACACTTTCATTCTTCCACTTGTATCAACTGCCAAAAATTCAATCGAGTTGTACTGTTTGCTTGTTTTGTGAAAATTCACAATTTTGTGAATAGGTCTCTTAAAATATCCTTTCAAAGGTTTCACAGGTTTAAAGGTTGATAAATTCCAAATATTGATGGAACCATCGGAATGTCCACTCACAAGTACACGTGATGTCTGTGAAAGTACTTCAATATTTTCCTCTCCTTCTTTCTGTTCATGATTCATCGAATCGAGAGCAAATGAATCTTTCACATTAGTAGTAGCAGTTCCTGTTGCTGCATTCACAGTGAAATCCTCTTGATCACTTGAAATTTTATAATACAACAAGAGAAGATCTTGCTCTGATTTTGCTCCATATTCCTCATAGGGTAAATTCATTTTGGAACCAAAATCCATGGTAGTAATTTGAACAGGTCGTTCCACTTTGGATCCATTAGTATTGATAATTTCTTCCATTTGAATAGAACCCATAATTGCTAAACGACTCTCTGTTTTTCTGTGATAGAGAGCAATGAGACCGTTTGTAGTACCGACTGCAATATATTTGCTGTTCACACGAATGATGGAAGGAAGACCAATTTTTTCCATGACAATTTTGTTTGCCAAATCTTTAAAGACATGTCGATATTCAATTTGACGGAATACTTTTCTTGCTCGTTGCATGTGACTTTCATGTTCCACTTGTTTTTGAAGTTGTGATTTTTGACTGGAATCACCACTTTGAGCAATTGAAGACAAATCCACAAAGGACGATTGTTGAGAGTTAGAATCTTGTTGATCCTTTGAGGAGGAAGCAGTAGTCTCAGAGCTTCCTTCCATCATTTTCTGATGTCTTTCTTTTTCTTTTTTCACAAAATTTCTCACTTCTTGAACAGCACTCGCCAAATTGGTGGGTTTCAATTGAAATTCATGATTTAGACCTTCATCTCTCTGAGAAACATATCGTCTCTGAATGGTACTGTAACTTGTGAGATCTTCAAAAAGTTCAATATCAATGGGTTGATCATTTCTTTCAAAAGCAGCAGGTTTTGAGAAAATGAGACCTTTCTTTTCATCCAATTGTGAATTGGGATCATCAAACAAGTCACGAATATTAATATTTTCATCTAACAATGGAACCTTATCGTGTCTATCCAAGGTTTGCATCAATATTTGTAATTTATCCAAAGTAATATGTTTCACTTTCTTTCCATCCTCATCGTCATCATCGTCTCTTGAAGATTTCAACACTCGTTTTCTCATTTGAGGATTACTATTGTCTTGACTCTCATCGTTGCTTCCATCCAAGAAAGTGAATGGTTGTTGTTGGGAAGAGCCATCATTGGAAGGACTCTCTTGAGAGACACCACTTGCACCTTGTCCAGTACTTGTGTTGTTGTTTGCACCAATATTCTTCATCAAACCACTGATCAGTTTCTTGGAGAGAATCTTTCCTTGACTTTCAGTCAAGAGTGATGCTGCTTGTTGTTTTGTAGTGGAAGACTGAACGTTTTTAATCACTTTGAATCCACCACCACTTGGTGAAGATGGAGATCCCACACTTGATGTTGCTTTTGTCGTCGGCAAGGGTGTCGGCTGAGCACTCAATGAAGCAACACCCATGGCTCGTGTCATGTTGGATGATGATTCTTGAACCATTTGAAGAGAAGAGGTTGTGATCAAAGAAGGAGTGTTCATCGATGAAGAGGGAGAACTAATGCTACTACTGATGGTACTCAAAGGAGGTGAGGAAGCACTCGATGATGAAGGTGTACCGACAGAGAGTCTGCTGTTGCTGTTGCTGATGGTGGTATTCGTTGCTCTATTTTCAATGTTGGCTTTTGGAGTAGCAGTGCCACCACCACCGACGCCACCACCGACACTACCACTTCCCACTCTGATCTTGACGTTACCTCGTGAAATTCTTCGGATGTTTTTGGTATCGTCTTCTGGAATGAGTGTGGGTGTGGTGGAGGTTCGATTGTTGTTGTTGTTGCTACTACTGGAAGTGGCAGTGGTGGCACTTGTTCGAAGCACTGGTTGTTGATCATCGTAGCCATCATCATCCTCGTTCAGGAATGATAAATCATCACCACTGTCCTTGCTCATTTTTTTAATTTGAAGTGACAGATGACAGAGAGAGGTGAAACTTTTTTGATGGCATAAAATGTATTGTTCAATCATATTGAAACAAAGGCACGCCTTATTGAACTTCTAATTCAATGACCAAAATCTTTGTCAATAGTTCAGAATGCGTTTTAATGATATCTTCCCAAATAAGCGTCATGATAAGAAGTGAATTTTGTTGGTATGAAATCGAGCGTACAACAATGGTCAAAGTCAACAACAACTTTCAACCAGAATTGTTTGTCACACAAAATATCTCGAGATGCATATTGAATTGAAAAAGGTACTCGTTTGAAAGCTTCTAATACAATTTCTTAGTCTCGTCTCATCCTATCACCTGCAAACTCTAATGCATAACCATTTTGTCTTACAGCACAGAGGACCACTTCTCTGTCGTTTTTCAACTCATTGGATGCATTGGCAAGAGCAATACCATTTTGTCTTACAACTTTTAATACAACCTCTTTGTTATTCTTCAATTCAGAGGCAGCAAATATAAGAGAATATCCACATTGATTGACAGCTTTTAACACAACTTGTTGGCCTCTCTTCAATTCATCAGAAACATATTCCAATGCTTCTCCATTCTGTGGAACAGCCAGTAACGCAAACTCTCCATCATTTTTCAAGGCATCACTTGCAAATTCAAGAAACAATCCATTTTCTTGAATGAGTTTCATCATGATGTCTTTTTGTGAATAATTAAAAGAATTTAAATGAGAAAACTCTGGAAATATTGCTTTGAGAACTGTTAACATGAGTTCATAATCGAAAAGTAACTCCTTTGGTATGAACAGAAGCGCCTTCTTGTTTTCCTTGATTGCTTCCAAAACAATTTCCTTGTCCAATCTCAAATTGCTCTCTACAAAAACATAATTGGTTAACTGAAGTACTTCACCACTTTGCTTGACAGCAATTAAAACCAATTCTCTATCCGTTAAAATTATTGGGTGCATATAACAAAGCCAATCCATTCTGTTGAGCTAACTCCAAAGCAAATATCTTGTCAAGTATTGATGAGATATATTTCCATACACCTGGGAAGTGTTTTACAGCTATCGATATCACTTCTTTATCTTCCCAAATATTTGGACTTGCAAATTGAAATTCATGTCAACACAAACTTTCTCGATCTTCTTGCAAATATTTGGCTGCATATTCCAATCCTTAACCATACTTTTTAATGTGATTCAAAACAAATTCTCTATCATTCATAAACTCCACAGGACTGAAATATTGGATATTTCAATTCTCGATTCAATAACCATTGCTTCTTTCTGTTCGATGAAGATCATTGAGTTCATCAACAGAAAAGAAATTCGAAAAAACAAGAATGATTCAACTCGATCTCAGAGTGAATGTGGTTGTGATCTCTCTTTGACATTTTTCTTGCGAGATGAGTTCCCGAAAACAAATAAAAGCTTTCTCTCGATAAAAGAGTTCACAATAAGTTCAACCACAAAAAAAAGTCGTGTGAACACATGATTCAGCCCACCAAATTCTTGTGGGACAACCTCCTTCAAGCCATTCAAATTCAGACAGAAATTGTGGAATACTTGGAATGTGATGATACGACATTCGACAACACAACTGTGGAATATTATCGAACTCTTTTGAATCAATGCATGAAATTTCTCGGAGCTATTTCATCATCCGAAAACGACAATGATAACCACTGTAATGTTCACTCAACGTTGGATCATCATTGGAGCAACACATGGAATGAATTATTGAACCGATTTCAAGACATTCATCTCCAAACAACAACCACAACGAGAAATGCAAAGCTTTTGAGACAACAGTTAAATGAACTATTCAAATCCACGAAGAAAGCCTCTGCAGAATATACGTGTTTAGTTGCCATTCAGGTCGGTTCTTTTGATTCATCTTGTACAGTGAGTCATGTCCAAAACTCGCAAGAAAATCCATTAGTCTCAACCCAACGAGCTTGTCTTTTATTAGAGAAAGGTCTTCGACACAGAATTGTGCAATTCATTCAACATTCAATGCTCTATGGAGTGCCTCTTCCAACTCAAGGAGAACTTGAACAACAAACTTCTTGTGGTAGCAGTAACCTCAAACCTGCATCGTCTAAAGTCTTGTCTCAAAGCGAATCGATCATGGCTTGCATCTATGCATGTTTCATTTTGCATGATTTGGAAATGAAGATTGAAGCAGAATCTATACTCTCAATCCTTAAGGCAGCAAATATTGAAATACCTGGAGTCTATGCAACGATTGTTTCTACCTATTTAGGAAAAGACAACCAGACTCTCTTAAAAAAAGTGTTAGAATTGAATTCTGGCAGTTTTGGACAAGTAGCGCAATCAGGAAGCTCCAACTCCAATGACATTGTTATCCATGAGGAAAAGTATGGAATACCAAGCCAACAGTCTGACGAGGAATTTGACTTTGCGTTTTTCTAGGGTTGACAAAAAGATGTGATTCTTCTCCATCTTCATCAGCTGACGAGAAGAGAAAAAAGTTCAAGAAAAAAAATGAGCGACAACGAAATGGAGACGACAACCACATCAACAAACGAACAACAAATTAGACTTCCTTTGCTGCCCTTTGCTCAACCTCTTGTTACATCCGAGAAGGACGTGAGCAAACTTTTCAAAGTAATCTCTAAAGCTGTACAATCAAAGGAGAAGAATGTTTTGCATAGAGGAATAAAGAATGTGAACCGAGCCATCAGAAAGAAAGTCAAAGGATTTGTTGTTCTCGCTGGAGATAGCTACCCAATGGACATCATTTCTCACTTCCCAGAACTCATCAAAGCCACTGAAGGAGTGGAGTTTGTTTTTGTGGAATCAAAAGTTGAACTGGGAAAGGCAACTCTCACAAAGAGACCTGCCTGTGCCATCATGGTTGCCGAGCCACCAAAAGAAAGCAAATTATACAAATATTATAAGAAGGCAAACAAGGTTGTGTCGAGTGCTCAACAACAAGAATAATTATTATCACAACAATAAATAATTTTCTAGTTCAATTTATTATAACATGATGATGAGATTGATTGGAAGCCTTTTCATCCTGTCTCTCGATTGTTCTCCCTCTAAAAACCAATTACAGAAACGAAAAAAATGAATGTTGAATTAAGTGGCACCACCTTATTGAATACTTCAACTGCATCGACAAACCTCTCGTCATTAACGGGCACAGAAAGTCTTCTAAATGCTGATCAAGAGAGGCAGCATAATAAATCGAGAATTTCAGCATCTGTTCGGGAGAAGCAACACATTAATATATGGAGTACTTTATTGAAACATCAAAGACGAGATTCCAAATTGCAGGAAGGAGTTCGAGAGAGTTGTAATTTAATATTTCTGGGAGATGAAAAGAACGGCCAACGGAGTTTAATTCGAAGAATACAGGGGAAGGATATTTCTGGTGAGGTAAGATCATTTAATTCCAGATTGAAAGGATTTGCAATAGCCCAACACCTCATCAGGTGTATCATGATACACTTTCGATAGAGTATACGTTTTTTAGAGTGACCGACATCAGTGGAGAATCGGATAGCAATTCAGAAAACCAAAGTTCACTCGACAAAGAGGACAAATATGTGAATATTTATCAAATGGAAAATCAACACTTTTCATATTTGTTGGATTTTGCATTGACGGTCTCAAATCTTGAAAAGTCCATCGTGGTCATTACTGTAGACATCTCCAACGTAAAGGACGTCATTTCAAGGACAAAAAGATGGGTCAAAATTGTTCAAGATCATATTGCAAACAAACTAATACCAGCAATGTCATCAGAGGACTCACAACGTTGCTTTCAAAGAGGTATTGTATTTTTGCGTCACGATTAATTTCTTTTGAGATATGATCAATAATAATTTGACACACATCACTCATATTGATAATCACTCAGTTAAGGACGTTTATAAGAAAGGTTACTCACAAATCGTGAAAGAGTCAGTAGATGTACCAGTTGTCATTGACACAAATATTGGAGTTCCAATCGTAATTGCAATCACAAAATGTGATCTGGTTGAACAAGTGGCAGATTCCTTTTGTGGTCGACGTGCCGTCGTTACTTCAAGACCAGACCATTTCCTTAATTTTGTTTTATACAAACTTCGAAGTATTGCTTTGAGATGTAAGTTTTTAGATGAAATACTGATTTTCCGAAAACCTATTCGCGATTTGAAGATGGTGCCTCTCTTTTCTATACATCCGCCACTTCTAACATCAATTGTCTCACCCTGAAGAGTTATCTTTTGAACGTGTTTTTCAATACAGCCTTCTCTTTTAAAGACAGCATTGAATACAAGGATCACAGTTGCATTTTAATACCAAGTGGATGCGATTCTTCGCCAAAGATTAAATCCATAGATTGCTCCACTTTTCCATCAGATCCTGAAAAAACAGATTTTGATTCCACATTCAATGACTTATTCTTTGCTAAAGAAAGCTCACAACAAACGGCACCCAGTGATAAAGAACCTGTTGAAGATTTGGAAACTTTTCTGAAAAAGCAGCAAAAAATTAGAAACATGATTCAATCCAGACCACTTGATAATGAACCTGGATCCTTGCAATCTCCCTTATCATCCAACTTGAGCTCTCCGGGACGTCATATGAGACAAAAGAATTCGATACCTCTCACTCCAAGAACTTCCAAACTTAATGAATTGCAGAGCCCATTAATACTTCCAACCCCAATCGCTTCTGAATACTTTAATGAGCATAGCATGCTGACTCAAAAGGGGTTAACAACGCCGAGAACCCTGAACTCGGCAATTAGTGCGTCATCCACTCCCCCAAGTACTGACCAAGTCGAAGTTGCAGAGCACTTCTTCACATCCTTGTTGCAAAGGTACTCAAACAAACAAACCCCCCCAACCAAGAACTTACAAAATTGAGGGTGAGTAGAAGAATTCGGTGACAATTAAAAAGAACATTCACCTGTATCGTTTGTTTCAAGGCGAATATATTTATTTGGTTGTTGATTAGCATTGCGTTTGATTCTCAATTTCGGAACATGTTTTGATTTTGTGTGAATAATAAAAACATAACATACAAAAATGCAAGATCAGCTGCTGCATTCACCCCTCACGCCCAAAGCAAAAACCTCTTCGTCGACCACCTCTTCTCTCACGCCCACCAACAACACTCCCACAGATCTCCACGATACAGAATCAGACACTGCTTTCAACTCTGCCACTCCTTCCGAATCATCTCATCACCACAACAGTAACATTACCGTACGACAACGATCTTTGTCAAAAACTTCCACAACATCAACAACAGGAGCATTCATGATGACAAGTCCTCGGAGTCAACAAAACATCCCATCACACATGGATGACCATCACAATCATCCTCATATTCAACAATATTTACAATTAATGAAAGTACAAAATACCAATCAATACCATTCATCATACGCCTTGTCGTCCTCATCGGAACAAAACAATCATAAAGAAAATAGTAATCATCATCATCATCATGATGGTGGTATGAATGCAGCTGTTACTCATGAAATTTTGTACTTTGTGATACATTCAATTGAGAAAGGCACTTGTTGGTTTAGTCAGTCGTATGAAAAAGTAGAAATACCGAATATGACACAACATTCATCAAGTAGTAGCTACTTGGACATGACCAATCAAATTCCATCCTCTCACAACAAGCAAATAATTTCACAAATTATGAATGGTGTGAATGAAGATTGGAAATCACACAATACTTTCACAATACCAAAAATTCTACAAGATTCCAATGCTGGTAATAGTGGGAGTGGACAGAGCTCTGTAACGACTTTGACAGGTCTCTCTTCTTCTGGATGTTTTTTAAGAACGATCAATAATGAATCTTGCATGATTATTTGGAAAATTCCACCAAAATGCTCCTTCTGTTATTCACTTGTTTGTACATTGAGATGTAATTTATTGCATGCAGAACATGCCTTAAATCAAATCATTGCTCATACCGCCTTTAAGAAGGATGGAGTGACTCCTATCGATCCAAGAGAGTTCTTATTGAAGCCTGAAGAAATTCTTTCAAAACTTCATCATCAAATGCCACATGGTAAATTGACTTTCCTCAATTTTACAAAAGGTGTCCAATCGAACATGTATTCATTTCTTCCAGATTTTGTCTTGAATTAAAGCTATTCAGACTGAGCGGATTTAATAATGGTTTGGTTTCTGATTCTGGTTTGTATTTCAAGAAAAGAACTACTTTTTCTGGGAGGACACCACACACATCATTGACATGAATCTGGTGTTATTGAGTGCTCCGAATACAAACATGTCTCTCGAAGGAGAGACGGAATTATCATTCTTAACAGAATGACTATCACAAATATTTAAAGATTGCTATCATGTCAAGACAATATTTTCAACCATCGGAAGGCTTCCGATAGAATTTTCTTTCAAGAAAAAAAATACAAAATGTTCGCACAAGCTAGACCTCAAATCTTTGTACTCAGTATGTATTATCGGTCATGATTAGCTGTTGTTTTGTATAACTCATCATCGCCGTTGTCTATGATTATTATTATTTGATGTATACCGTTTTAATGCCATGTTCCGTTCTCCGTAATCCCACTATGCTCATCTTTTTGTGTATATTGTATACACTCTGATGGATGTCCTATCTACCCTACATTGATGATGTTTCATGCCCGATACTATTGAATCATTCATTTCATTAAATTGTATTCACACTCAATAATAACACAACCACAAACAATATAATGATGAATAACATCATCTTGTATGCATAATTACCACCAACAACAACACCAATCCCACTACACTTGACCTTTTCTTCAATTTACTTCACTACAACAACAACAACAACAACAACTCATAGAGGGTAACTCGAAGAGAGAGCAAGGTTCAAAGGCTCAACTTGCCAATATCCAAGCTGCTAAAGCCATTGCCTCCATTGTGAGAACCACTCTCGGACCAAAGGCCATGCTCAAAATGATTCTCGATCAGATGGGTACTGTTCAACTGACCAGTGATGGTAATGCCATCCTCAGAGAATGCGACGTTACTCATCCAGCAGCTAAGAGTATGATTGAATTGAGTAGAACACAAGATGAAGAAGTTGGTGATGGTACCACTTCAGTCATCATCCTTGCCGGTGAAATTCTTACAGTGGCCGAGCCATTGTTGGAAAGAAAGATTCACCCAACTCGTATTGTGAAAGGCTTTTTGAAAGCTCTTGAGGATGCTGTTAACTTTATTTCTGAAAAGATGTCAAGAACTATCGATACTAACAATTATGAACAAGTAGCAGAAATTGTGAATACTAGTATTGGTACTAAATTCACTCATCGTTACAGCGATTTGATGTGTAAATTGGCAATTGATGCTGTGCGAACAGTTGCTATCGATTTGGAGAATGGAAAGAAAGATATCGATGTTAAAAGATATGCACGTATCGAAAAGATTCCAGGTGGATTATTATCTGAATCTCGAGTATTGAGCGGTGTCATGATTAACAAGGATATTCTTCATCCAAAGATGAGAAGAAGAATTGAAAATCCAAGAATTTTACTTTTGGACTGTCCTCTCGAATACAAGAAGGGTGAAAGCGAAACCAATGTTGTTTTGGAAAAGGAAGAAGATTTCGAAACCCTACTCAAGATGGAAGACGAGTGGATTAAGAAGACTTGTGGCGACATTATCAAATTCAAACCAGATCTTGTCATTACTGAAAAGGGATGCTCGGATTTGGCCCAATATTATCTTCTGAAACATAATATTTCTGCTCTCCGTCGCGTCAGAAAGACGGACAACAACCGTATTGCTCGTGCTACAGGAGCCACAATCGTTTCGAGAACATCTGAAATCAGAGAATCTGATATCGGAACAGGAGCTGGTTTATTTGAAGTTAGAAAGATTGGTGACGAATACTTTTCATTCATTGAAAATTGCAAAGATCCTAAGGCATGCACAATTCTTTTGAGAGGTGGAAGCAAGGATATTTTGAATGAAATTGAAAGAAATCTGGAGGATGCTTTGCATGTTGTAAAGAATATCTTTATTGATCCTCGTATTGTTCCTGGAGGTGGTGCTGTTGAAATGAGCGTTTCTCAACATTTGATGCAAAAATCAAAAAGTATCAAGGGAATTGAACAACTTCCATACCAAGCTGTTGCTTCTGCATTAGAGGTTATTCCTAGAACGTTGGCAGAAAACTGTGGAGCTAATACAATTCGTCTCATCACTGAATTGAGAGCTAAACACGCCAATGAACAAAATCTTACTTTGGGAATTGATGGCCAAAAGGGTGTTATTGCTGACACTGCAGAATTGAAGATTTGGGAACCTTACGAAGTGAAGGTTCAAACCATTAAGACCGCTGTTGAGGCAGCTTGTTTGATTCTTCGTATTGACGACGTTTTGTCCTCATTAAAGCCTAAGGAAAAGAAATAAATTATTGAGACAAGAGACTCTTTTAATTTGTAAATCTGACAATGAGGGAGTTGTTTTTCACTACAGAGAAGCTCTTTTTCATAATGAAAATATTCTTTAATGGTTCAATATGAGTTCAATATGGATTTCAGTGCCAAGATGCAAAATTCAGCAATTTCAAAAATAACTTTTGAAAAAAAATGTTTCAAAATCTCTCCTCTTTCGTGGACTCGGTCAACAAGAAGCATGAAAGAAATCAATTGAACCGTCTTCGAGAACGAACAAAATATTTAAATGATGAAGATGATACTATTATGGATGATTTAATTTCTTCTCCAACACAAAGAAAACTGCTCGATTATGAAATTCGGAAAGAAGGAGCTTTTATCCTTTCCTCCCATAGACGTGTGGTGAATCATATCTTGATCTTCTTGATGGATTTTTCTATTTACAATGACGCAGAAACGAACCATGATCATGGAAAAAAGAAAAAGAAGAAGAGCAAGAAAACTCAACATATTATCTCCGATGATTTGATGAATTTAATATTGGTGAACAAATTATGGTCTGAATTGGTTCATGCACACTATTGGATGAATGAGTCGTTTCGATCTTCTTGCTCACCAGGTCCCATCAATGATTCAAAATTACATTCTCAATCTTCGTTGTTTTTTGGAAAAACTCCACTACTTTCTGTTCCCAGTCATCTATTGAAAATTCCATTTCAGTTTCATTCAATTTCAGGTGTCAATCAAACAAAAATTGTTCTCAAATTAGACACTCAAATACCCATTTACATTTCATTTTACAAAATTTTTTTCGAAATTTTTGTATATCTCCGGGAGTTGAATGATCTTAGCAGAATATTAAAAGAAAGAAAGGCAACAGACTCAAGCAATGAATATAGAATAGATCCTGCTATTACAGAGCTCATTCAACACTCGACTGAGAGAATGAAAATGATACTATTATTTAATCATCATCATGATTATCAATTTTTCCTTTACACATTGAAGGATCATTTTGCACAACACGGGTTTTGTACTCTGTTTTGTCATGGTGGAACTTTTAGTTGTTGTGTTTTTGAAAAGAGTAGAAAATTGGATCAGATGGTTCCCTCCTCTCTTCACAAGACATTTCACAAATACGTGACTCGAAAAAAGCAAGGAAAACGACAAGTCTCAAAGGATCAAAATAAGCGTTGCAAATCTGTTGGTAGTGAAATTCGAAGAATTCAAGAAGAGCACTTTAAACTTAAATCACGAAAATATCTTGTCATGTGGAGTGATGTCTTGGGAAAACGCGAGACTATTATCTTCCTGAATGCTCCTGGACCCTACAATGAATATACATTGTTCAATAGAAAGAAGGAAGCAGGAACACGAAGCGTGACGAGCAGTACAAGTGGTGGAGGTGGTGGTGAAAATAGTGATCTCGATGATGAAACCAAGGCAGTTCAAAGTAAGGAAAACAAATATGCTGACTATATCGATAAGAAATATGTGTGTCCTTTCACAAAGAGTCAATGTTTTACAATGCCAGGTGTGAAAGCTATTAACACTTCAAATCCCAATCACACTTCAAATCTAGAGGCCAATGACGAATTGCTATCCATTTATTTTCATGATGAGGAGGGTCTTCAATCTCTTCTAACGAATTCCAGACTCTCTCCACAGCAGGGAGGAACTCCAAATTTTGAGTCTGATGAAGATGCACATGAAGAAGGAATGGATGACGTATTGTCCAACGATGACACTGATGATGTCTGAATTATTTCAAGTGTTGATTGAGGATGGTTGAAAGATTCAATAAACCGACATCAAAAACCCTCTATGTGTTGACAAAACAATCAATATTCCGACAAATGGATGTTTGTGCAAGGTATTGATAAGCTTCTCTTGTACCATTGAACAATTACCATGTTGAACATAGAATTGATTCTTGCATTGTCTGTAAAACAATCAGCACTATCTCCGGATATGGACACTCAAACAACAATTGTCACTTTCAACGTCACCATTGAACAACCATCATCGATCTGAATAAACAGAGACATATTTGAATTCAACCTCCAGGTTCAATAATTTGCATTTAAAAAAAATGATGAACAAGAACGAAGGTAACAACAATGATTCATCATCGGAATTGAAAAATACATCCAAAGAGGAAGCTTCTTCACCATTTGAATACTATGAAATATTAAGAGGAAATATTGACAATGAATTTAAGAGACCGAAATTAATGCTTCCTCTGGCATGGAATAAACTCAAACCTCCTTCAGAAATATTCGAAAAAGAGATTAACAAATTTGGAAGTACAGTCAGCATGTATAAAAAGGGAGAAAATGAAAATTTAAAACAAATTTCAGTGGATTTTGATTATTTGAATGCATTGTCGGAAATGCCAAACATTGAACCAATCAAAAGATTGACAAAGCATTATCCCAATGCTTCTAGCGGATCTAATTCAGAGTATCTATTTCATTGGATGGACTTTAGAGAGGAACATAATCAAATACCATTAATGAATTCTGTGATGGATGTGGACGTTTTACGAGATTTAAATGTTCCACTAATATTTAGTAGTAACAAAGATCCATCATCAAAATTGCTTAAACTTCTAGTTGAAAAAAGAAAAGAATTTGTGGAGAAATCTAAAAGTCATGAGGAACCTTTTCAAAATTCTAGAATTCCTACATTACCTCAAGGGCCCATTTTGCAAAAAGATGAACCCGTGCAGCCATCAATAGCAGCTCTTACCTCTCCAACAATGCATCAACCTCAGAAACCAATGATGAATACCGTCACGAGTTTTTCTCGAATAGATGAACAAAGTGAAGGATCTGAAAGTGAGGAAGAAACAAAAATGTATATTATGGAAGATGATCATTTAGAAATGGGAGGTTTTGATCAGCCAATGTCACATGAAACAGAGCCTATAGAACACGTTCAGACACCTCTTCAACAAGTCAAAATGCCCCAAATTGATGCTCATGGTTCAGAGAGAAACGAAGAAAGCACAAAATCAATCTCCTCTCTTGCTTCTGTTCAGTCCGTAAGTCCATCAACAACATCGACAATTGCTCTATCAACCTCAAGCGGCAACACTCCTGTGACACAAGTTGTAGAAACAAAGAAAAAATGTAAAAGGTCTAAGAAGAAGAAAACAGATGAAACTCAACTGAAGAGACAAGCCAGTTCAAAACCAACACCCAATCCATTAGATCATCTTGGAAAATACTCCTGCTTAACTCAAGAGGATGTTGCCTTCTATTTGAAGGGCTTGAAGCAATTTAAAGCATTTCAAAAGCAAACAGCTCTGTCAAATGCTCTTCCTCCTCCACCCCCATTGTTTTTCAAACTTAAAAAGATGATTGAAGAAGAACAAGCAATCTATCGAAAATATTTATTTGACGATGCATGGAATAATAGACTTGTAAGATATTTTCACACTGACCCATACATCATGGAACAAGTTGAGAAAATGAAACAAAGGAAGAAGCTTGATCGATTAGTTCCTACAAGCGCCACTTCCAATTTTCATGATATGAAACATATTCTTCCAAGACATTTCGAACTTATGAAATCCATGAACCTCTTTAATTTGCAAAAAACTAAGATGTTAGTTTCTCCTACCCTTGGAGGAAGCACGATGCCAAACGTTGCGGATCCAATTCTGAAATTTTCCAAGAGTATCTATCAAACTACTGACAAATACTTCACCTATCACAGAAATACTCTTATTTATCAACAGGAAAGTGCAGAGCAAATAGAAGTTGACTCTACAGCCTCTGATGAAGCATCTACATCTACAACAACTGCGAAGATTGTCAGGTTACCAAAACTTCCAATCAGCACTAACATTTACAAAGTGGATGATCCATCTTTGAATCCCATTGCAGGTGACACCTCATCCGAACAAGTCATAGATCAATCTACAGCTTCAGTCTATGACCCTCTCAAGCATTTACACAAATCTAAATCTTCCATGAATGTGTATTTACACCGCAATTTACCTCAAGTGACGGATGACACTATTATTAACGACGTTATTTTACCTCAGTTCCCAGAAATTGACTTTGTTTGTGCCAGTAGTGCCATGTCTGCACTTTTGAACACTTTAGGTCCAACCTTCTCAGAAGAGTGGTGTATTCCAGTAATAGCAAAACCTTATTCAGGCCGTACATCTAACAATAGTTTAACGGAAAGTAGTGACAAAACAAAACAAAAGAAATTCACCATATTTTTGGAGAAACCCTTAATCAAAAAAGTGTGGACCCAAAGAGATGTGAATCAATTGTATTACAAGTACACTGTCAAAACGGTCTCTCTCAGAGGACCTCTCATTCATGTACCCTCAAAGACTGCAATTCCTACTCTAAAGATAGATGAACAACCAGCAGAAAATTACACACAATTTGAATTAATGCATCGTGATGGAGAACCAATTTCATATAATTTATTCACTCTTGGAAATTTGAAAATATTATTTCGAACAAAAATAGATGGAGCCTATAATGATGTCAAGACAGATCGAGCAACGGTTGTGAAATTGATCACAAAACTAGAATATCAAACAGAAAAAGGACTCGAACTTTCAACACAAAGCGAATTGGCAAAATGGTGGACCAATGTCTTTTTGAGACCTGCTTCTGCCATTATTGTGAACCGAATCGATGTTGCACAAAATCGAGTTTGTAGAACTGAATTCAAACGAGTGAAAGATGTGCTTCCAGAAGTAGAGGATGAAGAGGAAGAAAATGAAAGATATTGGTCTAACGTGTTGACATCAAATTTATCATTGAATCCTGGAGTAGCTGGAGGAGGTGCAAATTCTGGATTTCAACCTCAATTATCCATTCAGACTGTTTATGGAGTATTGACAGAATTGATGAATCTCATTTCCACTTTTCAAGAACACAATTTACTCGATTATCGATTTTTAATTCAAAAGATGGCCAATGAACCCTATATTCACTTGTTGGTGGAACATCGAAAATCATCTTCAATTGATTCCTTGATACCAAGATCTCAAAAGTTTTATTACGATCTTCACATGGATTATGAGAAACATGGAGGAGTGAATGATTTGAGCAAGATGGATTACATTCCCTTGACATGGAAAAGTAAAAAACAAATTCCATACACTTTTCCAATACGACCATCGTTGACAACGATCAACCAAGAAAAACACAAACGAAAAAACAAGAACCATCATCGTAACGAACAAGTTTCCAAGAAAATAAAGCAGTAATATATATGAATATTATTGTTCATTGTTCAAACGTTCCCTAGTTGGTCATTTGTTAGATCTACTTTACCCTTAATATTTCCCTCAGGGTACCATATATGGTGGTTTTTACGCATTCCTTGATTCTATTTTATTTAAATTATAAAGTAGCAGTTATTGTCAGTAATATTAGTAACATCATTAAATTAGTGCAAATGCCCTTACAAAATATCTTGAACAATAAGGTTCGTAAATTTCCTTAAAAAAATGCCCAAGTCCAACTTGTGGTGCCACGACACCCTCCTCCACATTCTTCAATTTCTCGAAGGTCCCGAGGTGGTTCAAAACTGTATGGTGGTTTCTCGCAAGTGGCACCAATGTGCAACGAGTAACTTGTTGTGGAAACGTTTGTTTGATCAAGTCTTTGGCAATTCAATATTTGAGTGGAATGTTCCACTAGATGATGAAAATGATGATGAAAAGCACTTGGAGGACTCCAACTCCTCCGTCAGTAAAAAACGAAAGGCGACCAACTCCACCAACAACAAAAACCAATGGTTGGACAACAACAAGCATCCAAAGAAACAAAAAGTCATCCAAGAACTAATGGAAAACCATTCAAAAGAAGAGCCACAACATGAACAACAAGACGAATACTATTATTATTGGTATCATCTTTTCAAAAATCATTTTTCAATGCTACCTCTCATGAATCGCGAATATGCCAAAATTAATCGACTCATCATCATACAACGAAAAGCTCTTTCGAACAACAGATTTCCCTCATTTCCAATGTGCATGAACTTCGTAAAATTATTTTTCAATTGAAAGACCATGTAGAGGTGGAGGATATGGCTTTGGTAGATTCTTTTCAATTCTTTCTGAGGTCGAAACGAATGTCAAATCATCTCATGTTGTGTGTGATGTTGTCAATCTTGTATGTCAAAGCTGAGGATTTTAATTATTGGAGGGATCGAGTGGTTCTGAAAGTAAAAGCGCCCCAATATGGAGATCCAAAGAACTTGAAGGATATTGAAGGAAGAATGTTGATCTTGCCATTGGCTTCTTTTTGTTTGATGATCTTGCATCCAAATCGTACAAGCAAGCTGAATCTGAATACTTCATTCAATTGCAAAAACCAACAAGATGATTTGTGTGTTTCTCCTCTCATCGCATTTACCTCAGAACTTGAATTGTTTAATGATCCGGATTATTGCTGCTTTATCCTGATGCAAAAGTACGGACACATGATGGATGAGAACAACATGCTCGTGTTTTGTGAACATTTTGACCATCCTGTATGGAGATATTTTTCTTCTCGAGGTTACTTACATGTTCTTTTCGTGATGATAAAACTAGGGTTCAAGTGGAAGCATTCAGTAAAACAAGCTATGTTTGATGCATTCGTTTCAATACCTATATTATCTCTACGATTCATTTTGCATTTAGAAGCTCAACTTGATGAATATTGATTTTTAAATGGAAAGAACTGTGTTTATTCAAAATGAGTGGGCAACAGAGTTTTCATGTTGTAATGAATCACAACGTCGCCAGACGAAAATTTTCCTTCGAGTTGCTTATTTAAGGAAATACGGCCAGCCTCTAAAATTGCTGTCGTCAATATAGAGGCAGACAACATTGCTGGACGGCAATCGTTCTCTGTTGTGTTGCTGTGTTGAATGACATCGACGGATGGTAACTGTTGCTTGAGGAGATTCAAATCGGTGACAAGTGAATTCTCATACAAATAAACACACTCTACAAAACTTGAGAGGCTCAAATAGCCATAACCATTTTGGCCTGAGAATCTTCCAAACACATCAGGTGAGTATTTCATAAATAGAGGGTTGATTGAACGAAGTCCAAGACTTGTGGGAGCATCTGATGCTACTGTGTATCCACGATGAGCTTGATCAACGGTAATCTCTCCCTTACTTCCTTGATACATGAATCGTTGCTGGGAGTGGACATCTGATTTCTTTGGTGCTACCCAAGAACTTGTGTAGACAGCAGTGCCTTTGAGACATTTTGAAAAGTTTTCTGCAGAATTATCTTTCGATGGATTTTCGCAAATTTTGGATGACAAGTCAACCCATTGAACCGTGAGAGTAATCGAGTCTTCAGTGTTAATATTAAATGGCTCACTGTTAGCAACACCATAGGATCCACTTGCAAATACCCTGTATGGTCTCCAAAATCGTTGTTGTTTTTCTGAACTTCTCGTTTCCATTCCATTTAATGCCCAACAATGGAAATCAATATGATGAGAATTTAAGTAATATGAAATGTCACTATGAGATGCCCAATTCTTGAAAGTAATGAGTTGTGAACTAGGTTGAGACATGTAACTTGAAAAATAAGAAAAATCACCAATTTCATCTTGATTCAAAATTCGATCTCTTGCATCCGAATAGATTGGATCCCATCTCTTGTGAACCTCAACGCCAACGAGTACATTCTCTTTACGAATTGCATTAATCAACTCATAGTGATGTTCTAATTTTTGGACGAGTGGTTTTGCCACAAGAACATGCATTCCACTATTAATGCATTCCAATGCAATCTCATAATGTGTATGATCAGGCGTGAATATGAACACAACATCTCCCTTGTTTAACCTTTTCAATCCTTCTCTGTAGGCATGAATATCTTTTTCAACAGAATCTGCAGGAAACGTTTCTGTAAGATATTCATCCACAACAGACAGAGCTTCTTCAGAGTGTTCATCTCTTCTCGAACCAGAAATAATAGTATTTCCTTCAAAATTGTATCGACTCAACCCTCTCTTTAAATGATTTCTAATACCCGTAAATTTAGTACCTTGTGTTCCTGCAAGATAAATGTGATGTATTTTTCCTCTCCGACGTAAATCAAAAAGAGTTAATAATACCACTCCGATAGGCTTATCGGATTGAGAAGCAGACTCATGAACGTATCCTGTTACGTATTCCCCAATACCAATGACCAGAACATTGGGTAATTTTGGGTTTTGTTGTTGGGTGGTGGTGTGATTGATTAAAGTTGTTCCATAGGACAATGAATTGAACATTTTTTTTGTTTCTGAAAGATCGACATTGAGACATAAAAATCTTCTCGAAGAAAATCCAAAATTCTGAATTAAGTGTCCTTCCTCTGAGTGACACAATCCAAGAAATTATCTAATGATGAATTGATGATGATGTTTGACCAATGAGGAGAGGTTTCCCCATTCAATGGAATTGATCATGGAGAACTGATTTGGCATAGAATCCCAGTTAGGGCTCGTTACTAAAAACATTTGAACCAAATACATCGAGTTGTAGTAGAGAATTAGTTTTGTCGGCGCACACTATTCCTCCCGCAACAACAACACCCTGAAAAAACATGCCAACGAACACCCTGAAACATTATCTCGAGTTGTTGTTGCTGCAACAGAAAAGTCAATTCAATTCAACTCAGGGATCTATTCCTGCCTCTTCCACTCATTTTCAACATGATGACAAAGAAATTGATCAAGCAGCAGCCATGGTGGGTTCCATTATTCATAAACATCAACAGAGAAGACATCTTTCATCATCCTTTTTTGAAAATAATAATGCAAAGAACGACCCATCGACCAACCAAAACGAAAAGCGAACGGTCATCAAAGAGGGAAATGTTGTTCAATGTTCAATGAATGGAAACATGTCATGCGATGGCATTAGCCCTCCATCCTCGTCACCCTGCATGGGAGTGGTGGCGAACGATGCACGACATTATCCAGCAAATGTCAACAACCAAACTTCTTCTTTTCCTTTCCTCTCGAATCCTCAAAACGCTCAAATAACACAACAAAAAACCTCCCTCATGCGGTATTATTTGAAGGAATGGATGAGCAAAGAAGAAGAACAGAATAGCCTTGTTGTTGCTTCTTCTTCAGACCATGCAACGACCACCATACTCGTTTCTGAGTTGTGCTTGGACATTCACCAACTTTGGAAATTTTATATGCCAATTTAGTGAATCGAAGACAAGTCGTCACACCGTCCATGTTGAATTCAGCACAGAAACAGCAACAACCACAACAACATGATGACCCATCCCTGCATTCGAATATGAATTCGATGAGGTCTAACCAAAAAGCTTCTGATTTGATGTTTTCTTTTCCTGCTGATGCAACGAGAGAAACTTTCAAGCCAATAGTCACATTTTCCAACAACCTCAACAACTCTCAATCGCCGTCCTATGTGACATCTAAAATTACAAAACCAAACAAAATGGTTAACAAAACAAACAAGAATCCAATTGTGAAATATTCTCTATAAAACATATGTAATACTGATCTCACTTGTTGTTATATGTTGTTTGTAACTTGCAAATAATTATTGATGGATTTTTTACCACTCTATTTGCATTCCAAAAACGCTTTTTGGTCACTACTCGAGTCATTCTAATTTAATTTCCTCAAACGTCAGTTTGACATGAGGAGCTGACTTTATCACCACTTCTTTTTCTCTCTTCATTTTGACATGAAAATCATTCACCAGCGACTCATTTTGCAAAAATGAACAACAACATTGGATGATGATACATCGTAGTTTGGGTAATTCCTTAATGAGCCCAAGTAAATATAAACCATTCAAGTCATAGGGAATCTTCAATACTTTCAACTTTTTAAAAAATTTCAAGTGCTCCACTTCAATCTCTGTGAGTTGTTGATTTTCAATTTCCAATGTTTCTAATGTGTCACTCCGTATACGAACTGCCTTTACAAGCTCTTCCAAATAATTAGTATTAAAATTCTGTATAGACCTTGTGGTATGTGTAGACGTACGGATATGAGGGTGTAGCGAGATTGATCCAATCACTAATTGTTTCAACTTGACTAATGGTTCTAAAGCTTGCTCCAATAAACTTGATAAATTCATATATGTGAACTCTTGGAAATAAATACACAAGCTTGTAAGGTTTTGGAATGGAAATCTAATGGTTGCATTGAAAATAGATAAACTAAGTTTCAATTGTTCCAAATTGTGCATTTTCGATAGGTTTTCTATTTGTTGTTGGCTAAGCATTTGACCTTGCAAGTACAAGATCTTCGTAGCTGAATATGGTTCAAGATGTGGTGGAGGTGGGGAGCACTTCTTTGGACTGACAGTACTAAACGAAGACGAGGGGTGTTGTTGAGGAAGTGCGGAATGAACCCACCTTCTTGTTAACGGCAAAACATGTTTCATGGTTGAAGTAAATCCTGCAATACTCAACTTCTTAAGGTGAGGAAATAAAAGATCATCTCCTAGAAAGGACAAATTCAATTTCGTAGAAGGTGACCCTATATCCAAATTAGAAAGCAGTACAGATAAATCTAGTTCAATTTCACGTAGATTGTGCAATCTTCTGACAAATAGCTCCATCTCTTCAAATGAGCAAGTATTTTCTCTCTGATGGCGGTCAATCAATTCACTTTGCTCTTTAGAGACACCATGAGGAAGTAGCTTTCCAGTGAATACATCTCCATTAATCACAGCATATCTGTGTAATTCAAGAAAGGGATTGCCTCTTAATCTTAAAATTTGTAAATTACTTGTAAAATTTTCTTCCTGTCGCCAAGTGTTCAAGGTCTTGTTAGTGAGAATTGGATTCACGAGTTCGAGATGCTTCAATTTGTGTAAACTTGAAATATATTCCAGAGCATGTATTTCTTTCGTATTGTCACTTGTCCTCTGTGAGGAAACATAAGAGGGAATATGTGCACTACTTGTCACGCTTCCAGGGCTGACATGGTGGTGTGTAAGTGTGCATACGATCTTTAATCTCTGTAAATTGGGGCAGCAACGCACAATTAATTGCATGGTTTCAGCTGAAATTGTGGAAACAACAAACGAAAACTCTTTCAATTGCCTTGGAGTCCACATTAAGGATTTACCTGATTGTGACGAGCATAAATCCAAAAATATGGGCATAATGTCGTCTTCAATAATTGAGATGTAGGTTAAATTTAAAGATTCCAGTGACGTACAGAAAGATAGATAATGCGTCAATGCTTTTCTGAATTTGTTACTTTCTGCAATATTTGGAGTAACGTTGAATTTTGTTAGACTTTTCGCGGTCAATGATTTGAGCTTATTGATGCATTTCGCTTGGTTCATAAGCTCAAATAATCGCAAGTCGACATGCTTGTCAATTTGAATTTCCTCAAGTTTTATATCACTCTCAAATAATTCTCTCAAGCAACAATTTAGAATATCGTCATAGGTAATAGCTGCTGAATACACATCTGAAATTATGACTCTTTTTAAGTTGGGCAATTTTACCAGGTTGTGAGTGGTAAATCGTTTAAGCTCTTCTCTATTTGAAATATCATGCTTCATCACGAATGAGGTTTTAAAGTTTCTTTCATATTCACAACTATATCTACATAATAAATTACATGTTAGTCTGATTCCCCATAAAACGTCATATTCTTCCAGGAAGGAAAGAATTTCCATCCAAATATGATTATTTTCAAGAAATGCTTTTCTCGTTTCACTTGGTAAATCAAATTTGAAGGATTCTTGTTGAAAAGCAACATTGGTGCATGGCGTGTTGGTTTTTTCTTGGTCCAATTTTTCAAAGGTGGGAGTGGAGGATGAAGCATTCAACGTGTGATGTAATTCTCCAGTTAAGTCTTTGTTCATGGTCTGCATGTTTCCCAGTGAATGTGTTTGTTTGATCATTTGAGTGAGAGTCGATGTGGTTGGTGGCGTGTTTTTACGTATCATATTTGTTGGACATGATTGAAATAATTTAGAGTCTTTGAGTGTTCGTTTTAAATCTAATTCTTGGATGTGAGAAGAAGGTGGTGGCTCATTGGTGCTACCAGATTTTGCATTCTTCTTTGGGTGAAGTGAAAGTTGTTCCTTTTCCACGTGTTCTTTGGTGATTGAGGTGTGTGATTTCTTCGGAAATTCATCCTCCATTTCTTCATCATTCGGTGATGAAGAAATAAAATCTCTCGGAGGTGATGAACAAGCAAAATGTGTTCTTCTGTCGCTAATATTATCATCACTGAATTGATCTCCATCACAAGATAAATTAATCTTTGTTTGTTCTGTAAGACTCAATGTTGTTGAAGTGGTTGTAAATGATGAAGGCAACTCTATCAACAAGGTCTCTTTCTTGGAAGATTGCTGCTCGGAACGGTTTCCAACATCATTTTTTTCGTTTTTGTTGATTTTGAATAGCCTATGATGATGATCACCATCCCTGCCTTGACTGTGGGATGATTGGATCGTCTTGTTGTGTTGACATTGATCAACCATTGTTGTTGAGTGTTTGATGTGGCCCAATCTTGATTTCGGAAATTCACTGCAGTGTGTTGTTGAAGTTGGAGGAGATACCATGGTTGTGAAAGGTTGTTTCATTTTGTTTGAACGGTCCACAAGAAAAAGCCAAAAAGAGATGGAAGTCAGGAATAGGAGCTGTTTGGAGTTGGTTGATGCATCACTTGAGGGACTTTTAAGGAAACTTTTCAAACCTGTCGATTTTATGTAAATTTGTCATGATTGCGTGCTCTCCACTTGCAACTGAGGATGGTTGAAAGATTCAATAAACCGACATCAAAAACCCTCTATGTGTTGACAATGTTCGAACAAAGAGCAAAACTGCAAAGATCAATCTCTTACTAGGCATACTTGATCCGATCAACTACATTGACTTGACCTGAAAAGAATACCCAATTCCAACTGGAATCCCATGGAAGGCATCTAATGAGAGCTTCAACAAGATTTCTCTTCTTTTTGCTTTCTTCGTCTTCTTTTTTTGACCTGTTGAAAATGCAGGACTCTCGTTGCGGCATCTTACTATTGGCAAACAAGATTTCCAATTCCTTTACGAAAGATTTGGTAATGTTTGCTTTTCCATTGCTACATTTCAAACAGTTGACTGTTACCTCATCTTGTGTTGATGTTTCTTTTTTTTCAAATTTAGTAATTTTGAAATAAGGAGAACTGCCTTCGTCATCTAGTGCAAAATGTTCATAAACCGTTCCATCCAATGAAAATCGAGCAGAGACAAAAGATTTGTAGTCAATGGCACCATATCTCAACTTGATATAACGCACACAAGGGTTGGAGTTTGAGGGTGAAGAAGCATAAACACGATATGTGGCATTGTCTCGGAGTTGTGTGATGATTTTTTGGATGATATCATATTTTGTTTGTGATTCCATCAATGAGAGAGCTTTGAAACTGAAGATTGTACTCACTGTTGAAATAAATCGAGTGGCAAATGACCATCCACTCATCATGTAATATCTGTGGAAATCTCTGCAAGTTAAGGCAAAGTTTTTCATATGCTTCTTCTTTAAGAATTTCATGATGTGAATAATCATATCGGTACCCATTGAATTCAATAAAGGTAATAGATTTGTTGTTGATTTGATGTAATCCTTCTTAGTTTTGTGTTGTGACTTGGTCCACTTCTTTTTTGCATTGCATTCGGAAGATGTGGAATCGGATTCAGAAGCACTGCTCTCAGAATCAATAAAACTCATAGATTCATAATAAACAAATAAGCTATAATCGTTTCTTTTCAATGGTAAAAGGTGTAGAATGGCCTGAACTAACGAGTTATTACTAATTTCCTCACCAATCTCTAAGCAATTTCTGAGTTTTTGGAGAGTTTTTGAGCTTATCTTTAACTCTGTGACGTCTTCCGTATTGCCCATGAGATGTTGAAATTCTTGAGTAATATTAGTCTCACCTTCCTCTTCGATTTCTTCATCACTGAATCCGTCATCATCGTAGCATGATCTATCTAGAGGAAGTTGCAAGTGGTTTTCAATGCTACTTAAAACGTCCTCTTTTATACAACCTCCAAATTTGACAGAAATACTGAAATTAGAGCCTTCCTCTCTCCCATTATCCATACAAGTTCCTTCAGCATAGAAATGAATGATGTCATTTCCGTCAACGCTAAAATAGGCCTCAAATGTATGGTCATCATAGATGGGAGATATTATTTCCCGAAAATTATATTTCACACGATCTAAAAGTTTCTTTTGCAGTTCAGATTGATATTCTTGGGGGTAGTCTTTTGAGCTGGAAAACCATTCTTTCCAATATGCTTTCCGTTCATTCAACCTCTTTTGGGCAAGATGTTGTGTATATTTGTAGTAGTGAGCACACGATTCAGCTTGTCTGAATATTTCAATTTTGTCCCTTAAGGACGTAACATGTTTGAAGACCTTCTGAATTGAATAGTCTAATTGAAAAGGAAAGCATTTGAGAAAAATGGAAGAGCAAACGAGGCTGAGAGAATGTAAATCTTCATTCCAACCCAAGAATATTTCGGCATTTGAAGAAGCGACAACATCATCCTCACTTTGGTCGCTTTTACTGTCATCATCAGACTCGTCGGACTCTTCTTTTAGTTTCACAAAAGTCGCCAAATATTGTAAAATTATTTTGAATGCAGAGTCTGGTAATGAGTTAAGAGAAGAAGGGCAGCTACTCTGTACACATGCAGCATCAGCAGCATCATCATCTTTGGAATGATGAACGAATTTGCAATGTTTGGGGGAACCTTTATCCTCCTGTCCGAGAGTTCTTTTCATTTTTATCTTCGAAAAAATCGATCGCCCCATTTGGGTTGACACTTTACATCATCAAGTTTTGAATTTGAATTTGAATGAATGGAGTGGCTTTCATCAGATGATAGAAGTTTGTTCGTCATTTGGTTTCCTTATTCGTTGATGCTTTCAGTCTCTGAAGCTGCTGTGATTCAAAAGGAAGAAAAAATGATAAACTCTGTCCAACAAACATCTTCAAAGGAGGAGAAGCCAACGAACAAGACCACAGTAAAAACCAATATTCCAGCTCTTGTCGTGCATTTCATTAAGCCTTGTCTGTTGGTCTTGTCGGGAATGGTTTGTTTGTTGATATTTTGTGGAGTTTTCTTTTCCGTGCTCATCTCGCTGTAGGTTATTGTAGTGATGGTCTTCAAGTTTTCATCAAGAAGGATAATATTGTCCTTACTTATATTATCTTCATGATTATGATTTTATTTGACTCATTAGAGATAAATATGAGTTTCAATACAACCAAGAGGCTCAATGTTTGGTCATGTACCCCCGAATTGCTTGTTCCGAAGAAGTGAACCAAGGTCAAACGTGCATGGCCTTGGTATGTTTGCAACAATCAAATACTGTTGCAGTTTCGAATTATAAAGATTGTCCCCCTTCACAAATTAAGACTGTCCTCAAATTTCCCCAAAACACCAAGTTTTATAATTTGACCTCGGGAACCAACACTACCTGTTTTGTGAGCAATGGAGGAGCGAGCAATTTTGTGTCGTACACAGTGAACAATAATGAAAAGCTTGTATGGAAAATCCTTTCGGGACTGAGCTGGGGATTTTTGGGAATCTTAGTTGCGCCCTTGTTAATTGGAACTTTGATTCTTTTGACGTGGATTAACGCTCCCAACCTTAAACAAAGAGTTAGCGCCTTAAAGAAGCTAAAACTAAAGAAAAAATCCGTTTCGAAGGAACAAATGAAATTAACACCTGAACAAAAGGCCACTGGAAATTGTCAACCTCAGTGTGATCCAATTTCTTTGTCACATGAAGGAAAATTGGACTTTGAACTCCAAGAGCAGCCAATTCAAAAGGAAAATGAAACCTTAGATTTGGAAAATCCAAAATCTGAACAAGACAAGACTGAACATGAGGTGATTGAAGACACACAACAAACCAATCAGTAAAACATCTTAATCTCTTTTCTCGACCCAACAACTCTTAAAAAATGATCTCACGACATCGATCTTCTTCCCTTCAATCCTTTCCATCATCCTCTCGGACCTCTGTAACATCGAATAAACAACGACAACAGCCCATTCGGTTATTATTTCCAGCAACAACAGATGAAGAACGAGAATTACAAGAACGACACTATATTCCATCCCGATATGTAATTGCTATCGGAGATGTTCATGGCCATTTGAAAGCCCTTCAGAAATTGTTATCAAAATTGGAACAGCATTTGGGAAAGGATTTATTTGAAAAATATCATTTAGGTGTGTAAAAACATTATATCCATTCAACATTTAGAATCTTTTATTTCACGTGTGCACAGTTTTCTTGGGGGATTATGTGGATAGAGGTCCACAAATTAAAGAAACTATAGATTTCATGATTGGATTAAAAAAACAACGAAAGCCAAATACCACTCATTTTCTAATGGGAAATCATGATCATGCATGTTCAATGTTCTTACGTTTATTTGATGATGCGGTGGAGAGTGGGAAATCGCTTGGTGTCACTTGCCAAAATTATCCTCGCGAATTTGAGCTATGGAAAGGAATACAAGAAGTTGCAAATAATATGCACCTTCAGGGTCGACGATGGGGTAGTGGGTTTGTTTATTCCAGTTTCAATACATTCTACAGCTATTGTTGTGAATCAAGCTCCCAAAAAGATATGGACGTTGTGGGTGACTATGAAAAATTCCAAGCGAGTGTTCCCTTTGAGCATAAGAACTTCTTTCGAAACTTACCATGGGTTTTGTTTAATGAGGATAATATATTTGTACATGGTGGTTTCCACTCTTACACAAATTTGAAAGAGCAATTAATACCATTGCTAAAGAGAGATATTTATCAAGCAAGAGTAAAACCTCTTTCTGAAAGAGGATACATTGATATGGATGGTCACAAAGACACTCATAGAAGAATTGTGAGCGGCCATGTTCAGGTTAAAAAAGCAAAAGTGAGTTCGAAGCGAGCCTTAATTGATATCAGTGGTGGTATGACGGGAGAACTATGTGCAATAATATTACCGTCGGCCAAGATTATTACTACTGAAGAAAATTCAGATCTTTTAAATTCAACCAGAGGTGGTATTGATGACGAAGAATTGCGAGAATTATTAGAGACTGATTAAATAAACAATTTTGGTATTCACACAATCTACTTCGTTCTCTCTGCTTGTTGAATTGTTTGAAAAAAAGTTTTGTAGAAATTGATTTTTTCGGTGTCAGTTGTTCAAAAAGCGGTTGTTTGTCGATGGACAAATTGAATTGCCAAGGAATTTATTGTCATTGTGCCATCCTATTCGTTAACTTTCAAGAATCTCTTTCGCATGGCTTTGACTTTTTCAATCTTGGCAGTAAGGGTGTTCTTATTTGTGTCCTTCTTCTTTGTGAATCGTTCTCTAACTTTTTCTCTTCTTTCTTCTGCCTCTCTCTCCTTTTGCATTTCCTTTGATTGAGTCTTTACTCGGTGTGGTAAGTGTCTATGATTTGCAATCTTTCTCACCTCATCAACGCTTCTATATCTCTCTATTAACTTTTGGTTGTATTCAATTTGTTGTTGTTCCTTCTTGGTCATTCCACCTCCTCTCAACGGAGCACTTCGTTCATTCTTCCAAATTCTAATTGCTTGATCATCACTACCACTATAAATATATCGTCCATCACCCGAATATTTCACACAAAATACTCGTTGCATTCTCTTGGTATGATAAACCTCACGTGCCTTATAAGAGGTTGAATCGGTTCTGAAAATACGAATAGTCTTGTCATAACCAGCTGTCACAATTTCTGTTCCACTTGGATTATAGTCAACATCCAGCACTGCATTAATATGGCCTGTGTGCATCATGAGTGGACCCTTTTCCAATATTCTCATGTCAAAAGTATATACATTGCCGTCTTCGTTTGCTGCTGAGAAGTGAAATGGATTCATTGGGCTCCAACACACCTTGTTGGATTTTGTTTGCATGGTCACAGCACGAATCATTTGGTTTGTTTTCATGTCATACAAGCCAACAGTTCTGTCACGAGCACAGTAAGCAATCAAATTCTTCTCCACCTTATTAAATTTAACACTATAAATAGTTTCAGTGGATGTTGCAAGCTCATATTCTTGTTTACAGACCAATCTTGATGAGCTGCCAGGAATTAGGGAAGAGGAACTATTTCCTGAACAATCCCAAATTTGAACATATTCGTGACCACTTGTCACCAAAATTGGATCACTATAATGATGATCAATACAGAGTAATGCATTATGTGAAACGACATCTTGAATAGGAGTGGCATACGATGGTAGCTTCACATTTGTATTATTATTGGATGCTCTTCCTCCACCCACATAATCCGCTAATGTGTATCCAATACTTCCAAACTTTGTACTTGCCATATTCGGATTTACATTGGCAACTTTTAAATTTAATTCCCATCTTTTTAAATGTTTATCTGTTCCTACTGTAAAGTAAAACGAGTTCTCACTCGAATCCGATGAATGTCTATAAGGAGGAATGACAATTCCATTGACAAACCCGTTATGAGCTCTATCAATGGCATAGATTGTCTTTCTCTCCGTTAAATCCCAAACTCTAATTTGCCCATCACAACTTCCACTAATGATATGAATGAGAGAGTTAGGATCTGTACATATACATGTAGGTGTATCGGCATGTCCCGATAAATCAGCAAGAAAAGGCTTTGCATAAATATTATCAATTTTTGCAGCATTAATGGCTCTTATATATTCTCTAGGCTTTTCAAAACGATGAATGAGTTCGGGATTGGGATCGGAAAAGTGTCGGGTCGTTTCATAGGAGGTTCTTCGTGTATGAGCATCATCATCTCGGGAGATGGTTGTAATTTTTACCATGGTGGTTGTTATTTGGTTTTGTTCCGTATGATGATATGTTGTTCTTGTTATTAGTATTGTTATTATTGGTTATTATTCCTTCCTCTCGAGATACGATGATGATCGTCGGGTGATGATAGAGTTCCAAATAATAAAATATTTTTGAGAATTTTTTTTTCATTCAAATTGTTGAACATTGAGTTCAGAAACTCACTGCGACAGTGGTGTGAAAAAGATTCCTTCTTCAAAGGTTTCCTTAAAACGCACACACACACACAGATGAACACTTGGAAGTATAATTGATTATAACGTTCTATTAGGTACATGGAGAGTCTTAGAATGATGATGAATTTATAGTACATAATGAGTAGATAAATGATGGCACTTGAAGTTTTCACACCAACATTTCATCATAATCATCCACATCTAACTCTTGAGGATCCATTCCTCCTCCACCTGTTCCATCATGATCGAATGTTTCACTATTATGGTCACCACCATATTCCCCATCATCAAAATTCTCTTCTCCATCACCATTATAGTCTCCTTCATTTTGAGTGATTTGTTGTTGTTCATGCATCACCACACCCATAATTCCAATTCCCTTCTTCTTTCGTTTACTCGCTTCGTATTCATCGTCAGGATCGTACGCATTCTTTTCTTCGTCTTCTTGTGAATTTCGTAATTTCACCACTTGCAATCCAATTTCACTTTCCTTAATATTTCGTTTCTTTTCAGCTCGAATTCGATTCAATAGAGGTGGAAGGAAATCCAAATTGCATGCACCCTTCAAAAACTCATGTTCCAACAATTCTTCGACACTTGCTCTCTTTTGAGGATCTTTTTCGAGACATCTCGAAAGGAAATCATGAAAGACATCGGACCACTCTGAAGATGAAGTAAAGGTTGGAGGAGGTTGAGAACGAATCAAAAACAAGGCACGAATCGGTGGATGTTCCATCAGAGGGACTGTTCCATTCGCCAACTCTAAGATTAAAATTCCCAGAGACCACACATCGGTCTTTTCATTGTATTCGGCACCTGAGACCACTTCGGGAGACATCCAGTAGGGTGTGCCCACCACAGAACGTCTTCGTCCAGTATTCTCAGCACAAAAGCCATAGTCTGCTAATTTGATTTTACCGTCTCGAGTGATGAGTACATTATCGGATTTGATATCTCTGTATCATACAGAATTCCAATCGAAATGATGATGATAATTTGTTTATAAATTCCATGTGAAAATGGAATGGCATGCCACATGGTGGTCAACATTCACATGTATGATCTATGTAAAACATAGCAAATCAACTATTCAACACTTACCTGTGAATCACACCATATTTTGTGTGAAGAAGATGCAAACATTTAAGAATGGGTATAAGAATGGCAGCAATTTCACTCTCTAAAAATCTGTGATGTATCACATTGTTATCTCCAATCAAATCTGTTAATTTTCCTCCAGAGACATATTCCATTGTGACCCATAATTCATCATGACTCTTTTCTTTATATTCCAACATGGTGTCCATATCAATGGTGGTTGAAATGGAATTTGAAGAATTTGGTGAAAGGATGGTTGAATTCGATTGTGGTTGTTGTTGTTGTTGAGAAGTGGATTGTGGTTGTTGTAATTTTCTTCTTTTCGAATCAGATAAATATCTTCCAATATGTTCATGAACTTGACAATTCACAGTCGAATAAGTTCCAAAATATTGAACCATCAAGGTCTTATCCAATGCTGCATCGTAATCAAAAATTGAGGAATATGCCTTACATGCATGTTTCATCATGAAAATTTCATTCTCAATCATGTCAAAGTTTGTATTCTTTGAAGTGGTGAGTGACATGACTTTGATGGCAACTTTTTTACCACTAGGAACATGAATGGCTTTATACACATCTGCAGTGCTACCAGTACCAATCTTTTTCATTTTAGTGAAGAGACGAAATGGATTCTCGTGACTAATCAAATCAATGAGAAGTTTGTCTTTTTTGAATTTTGGAGTCATGTTCAATGTCATGGAGTTGTTGACATCATTACTTCCAACTTCGACGTAATATCCAGCTTCTGTTCTCCTCACATTAGTGAAATTCATCACAAATTGTCCATTACTAGTCACATGATCTGCCACCGTCGACGACGACGACGAGTCGATTGGTGTCGTGACAGATTTTGAACTGGTTTTTGTGAAAATCTTGGCAAAGAAACCCTGAGAGGCTGATTTCGAATGTGGTTCATGTGGTTGAGAAGAAGAACCTGTCGTCGCCACGGATGGAAGAGAAGAAGACGATACTATCATCAAAGTAGGTGGTGCGCTACTTGTCGGAATAGCGGATGAGCTTTCAGATGAGTTGGCTGTGGTGTTCACGTCGAATGATGAAGAGTGGAGAATGGTTAATTTGGAGGAGTAGTTGTTGTTGTTCTTTCCGATAAAACTACCACCACCACCACCACCACCACCACCACTACTACTACTAGTACTCGAATGATTTCCACTTCTCCATTTGCTGAAAAAGGAAGAGGTGGAAGAGGCCAAAGAAGCGTGTTTGTTGTTGTTGTTGATGATGAGGTGATCATGGAGGACAACATTGGTAGCACCTAAAGGTGTCAAAGGAGCACCACCACCACCACTCGAAAGAGAAGGAGAACTTGTGGTGCTATTGATCGTGTTGTTGTTATTGTTGTTGTTCACCATCATCATCATGTTCGATGTGTTGAGCGCAGGTGGTGGTAATTGTTGTTGAGAGTGAACGGATTCAACCGACAAGGAAGGAGAGGAATCACCACCATTGTTGTTGTTGTTAGTGTTGTTGTGAATGAATGAACCGGAACGAGTGGTGATGGTATTGTTGTTGTTTTGCAGAGTCAATGATTGGTCATTAACAACAACTCCTTCGTGGTGAGAGGTGAGGTCTCCGTTCAAATCAGGGGTACTGACACTGTGGACATCATCCACTGTGAAATGAATGCCTTGAAGACTTGACAAATCCCAATCTTTGGGAACACCACTTAGACCAAATTCGCGATCGAAATCGACGTGATGTTCGAGACGAACGTTGAAGGGAGCAGAAATTTCGATTTGACCACTCGTAGAGAGTGATGAAGTGCTCGCTGACGATTTGTTGTTGTTATTGGTGGTGGACTTGCCTCTGCGGAACAGACCTTTCATTTTTTTTATGATGACAGTTGACAAAATATGACAAAGGACTTTTGTTCATCTTGATTAAGGAAGAGATCCAATTCCTTTGTGAGAGGTTCTTTTTGAAGGAATGTGAAATAACAAGAAAAGGTCAAAAACATCATGTCGACTGAAATTTCCAGAAATTTTAAATGTTTCCAATTAATAATGAATTTTGAAAATTTGAAAAAAATGAATTCGTCTTCGGAATCCTCTTCCACATCAACACTGCCACAGCAATCCTCACAGCAACTACAATCGGAAGAACCTTCCCATCATCGGAGCTTGGATCATTCTAACACAGGTTCATCACCCACCTATGATAATGCTCAAAACAATGAAGCTAAATTATTACAACAACTAAAATCAGTCTTGAACGATACAAATCAGCCCACTATCTTTACAAAAGATGATATAAAATTACAACAACTTCAACAACAGCTTGATGAGTGTTCCAAAAAAGCACACTCGTTTCTCTATACAACGTTATCTCTAGCGGGTGCTGTTCCCATGACCTTATTATTTAAAACAATGAAACCATTATATATTTTGCCAGTGATTGGAGGAGCTACCGATTTTTGGTTCACTTCTCAAAAGTGTGCAAAGGAGAGAACAGAATTGGATCGATACATGTTGAAAAGAAGAAAATACGAATTAATATCTGAAAAGAAGAGATTGGAAATGGAGAGAAATGCTTTATTGGAGGAATTGAAACGAACAAATGGTGGAAAATAATTATTTAATATAACAATAATAATATTATAATAATAATATATAACTATTGGAACGAGTTTTGTAGTTTTAAATTCGACACAGTTTTTGCATTATGGAAAATTACAATTTTGGACATTTCAAAATTGAATTAATTTCATTTCACTTTAGTAAAATCATGATGCTGAGTGTGATCATTCCATCTTAAATGATATTAAAAAAAATATAATTGTCATCAGCTGAACCATGCCACAAAGAGTTCCCGTTCCGAACAATCGACAAGTTTTCTGGGCATACTGGCGACCAAAAGTGACCATAACCATTCACTCGAATGGCAATGCTGTTAAAACAGTGCTTACAAATATTTCTGACCTTGCACAGTCGTTAAAAGTTCCAGAAAAAGGTAAGGACAATCAACAAGATCACACTCGGATCGAACATCATTAAAAGTTGTCGTGAAGTATTTGGGTCTAAAATTGGGAGCTCTTGCAGTGTTTCAATCAAGTCAATCCTTTCTAACAGGACGGTACACTGTTGAAATGATTGAAGAATTTTTGGAACAATTTGTTGCAGAGTTTCTTTTGTGTTCGAAATGTAAAATACCAGAAATTACATTTTACAAGCAAGTCGTTCATCCCACATTTGTGTTTCATAGGGAACCAATATTGAGAGTGTGTATGGCGTGTGGAATGGAAAATTCACCCATTTCTTCTGACTTGAAATTGCATTCCGTGATGTCATGTTGTGTTGATAACCAATGGATGAAAGTTAAATTATCTCCAAAAGCAAGATCTGTAAAATGCATGTTTGACAATTTAAGTATTGCAATTCTGCAACACGAGAGTACTTGTTATGATGGTGACAAGTGTATTCATTTGCTGAGTGATATTTCAATTTGCTGTGATTGATTATTCCATCAAGATAAACCTTCACAAAGCCTCGAATTCTGGCCACTCACTCAAAGTGAGCTCAGTGGATTTTCCTTCGGAGGGATCTGACAGAACTAGAATACATGAACACAAATTAATGCAAAGAGGCGGATGAAATTCCTGCAATGTTGCATGTCGTTGATCCAATTTATGAAGCTGCAAGGGTTCATTCCAGTTGGCCAATGAATGAACTATTAAATTGGATCAACAACATGCAAGCTGAAAGGGTTCATTCCAGTTGGTCAATTTTCATAATTAGGGTCATGACAACCAACAGAATTGGTTTAGCAGCTTTTATACCGGTCCACTCACAAGCTCACACATGGTGGACCAGGAAGAAAGATTATGAATGGAATAACGTGAAATCTTTGAATTGACTTAATAAAGGTCCGGTGTTTGTGGGATTTTCTCCATATTTTGTCAATTAACTTTATTCAGCAGAAATTTGTGTGGTTGTGAGGAATTGATTATCTCGAAATGAGAATAGAGGTGAATCAGGAGATTAAAATTCCTTAACAAGGTTCATATACATCTTAAGAATTTGAACAGGACAAAAACCATTTGCACTGATCACTGGATCGATTGGATGGAGTCGATCATTGAAGAAAAAGTCAGTTTTGTGACCAGATAGATTGATATTGATCCAATTTTTCTTCGGTTTATCAATCTCAACATCTGACCATTTCAATTCACATAATTCACCAGGGCGAGCGAACAATCTAAAACCTATTACTAGGATTGCAGTCGTAAGGGCAAATACAAAACATTCCGTCCGGTGATTGATTAAGGATTACTCTGTCAGACTCTTTGTGAAAATCGAAAGCAGTAATAAACCAAGAGAAAAGACCATAGATTTTCGCATATTCTTTTAGAGTAGATGGAGAGAGGGACACAATTATACTAAAATTAGTTAGTTGTGAAATAGAGTGCCATTCACTTTGAAGGCAATCATCTCCAGATTCTCGAATTTGTTGAACAATTCTGTGTATGGCTCGATAATGAGCAAACTTCTTGGAACACTTATACTGCTTTCTGATATTTTCAGCAGTACTGAGAACCAGGGAGAGGAGGGCCAATTGGGAACTACTAATGTCCCACGAGCCCTCGATTTGATGATGTGGATGATTGTTTGAGGAATTAGACAAAGAGGAGGAACGCAATAATTGATTGAGTCTGTTTCCCAAAGAGACTGAAAAGCGTCGTTGTCGTGCCAAGAGTTGAATTGAATGTGGACTGCTGAATTTGATGTCGCGAACCTGTCGACCGTATGGTAACCGAATTCTCTGTGAATATGGTCGAGTAGATCTTCGGAAGAACGCCAATCTCCTAATCGACTTAACCGATCTGCGATCACGTTTTGATGGGATGGAATGAATACCATCTTTGAAATCCACCATTTTCGTTTTAGCAGAATCGACCAAATGTCCTTTGAGATCGATGTGAGATGATCATACGTTCCATAACCTTTCCTTAGATAACTGAGGGCTGTGGTATTGTCTCCCCGAATTTCGAAATTGGTGTGAGAAGGATAGCTGTTGAGTTGGTCTGCTTGACGAAAAAAATAGAGGATTGCCAGAAGTTCTTTCTGATTGATATGTAATTCCTCCATCGAGTCGAATTTGCCCACCAGAATATTTGAACAAGCGTGGATGCCGTATCCCTGTGGGGAAGCATCTGAGTTGACTGTGATCGGAGTTGGCCATTCCAGCTCGAAAGGTACACCAATGTTCTCCTGAACTATGTGCTGAAGGATTAATAGATCTTTCTTTGCTCCTCGGTTGATCAACATGCTTGAATTCCAACCTTTCTTTTGAACCACAATTAACATGTCTCTCCTTAGTCTGTGGAGAAAGGGAGGAATGTAATGATTGGCTACTGAAAGGAATTCCAATTTGCCTATGAATTTGGCCACGTGTCAGCATCTGATAAATTTTCTTGATTTTTCTGCTCGAATAAGCACGTTTGAGAGTTCTAATGTTGTGCTTATCTTCTCTAATGGAATAAGAATGCCGCCTGATACAAAGTCTAAAGAAACTCCAGAAGTCGATTGATTGAGTTGGGACCAATATACATTTTTCTAATTGCAACAGCTAACCTAGGAATAATAAATCGAGGACGATGGTCATTATATGATCCCATAGTTCTTCCAATGAGAAAGCTAGGATTAACATGTCGTCTATGTAAATGTAAACCATTATACCATTGCTTCTCCAAACAATAATAATTTCATTGAAAATCTTGGTGAATATAATTGGAGCTGGGGCAAGACCGAATGGAAGACAATGGAATTCGAATACCATCCCTTCGAATTGGAATCTTAGTAAGTGTTGGGATTCTGGGTGTATTGGAATGTGGAAATAACCTTTCTTCAGATCTATCTTTGCAACCCACATTCCTTTCTTGAAAAACTTGATGCATTTGAGTAAAGTGTCCATTTTGAATGACGTTACTTCTATACCTCCATTGATCATTCGTAGATCTAAGATGAATCGAAAAATATCCTTTCCTTTCTTCGGGACAACATTGATTGGATTTAAGACTATTTGTGACGATTCTGGACCTATAATTTTGAGTTGCAACATTTTCAGAAGTTCTGCTCTGATCCATTCTGATTCTTGCTTATTGAACTGACGTTGATGAAACTTCTTCCAAAATGAGGGGTTTGATGAAAGACGAACATCTTGGTTGATCATGTTCCAAACATATTGCGAGGTTCCCCATTCCTTCCAATTGTCTAAAAAGTTTAAAAGGCGTCCACCCATTACTTTCTCGTCAGAGGGTATTAGAAGAAGGAGTTTATTGGGAGTTGGGGTTGGTGTTGGAGTTGTAACCTCGTCTTTGAAACGGTGGTTTGTTCCCAGAATGAGGATTTCCACTTGATGCTGGTTGTGGAATGTTGCTGAATAAAGTTAATTGACAAAATATGCTGTCGACCTTAAGGTCGGGTGTTTGAAGAGACCACAAACCCATTAGTTCTTCCTTTAATTAACAAACGAATTTTATTGTTTACTCTTTCGAAACATGTTGTATGATTGGTATCTCTGATAATATCCACGATTTCTGTCATATCCGTCACGACGTCTGGATGATCTATTCATAAATTGGTTCATATTCTTAATAACATCTTCTTGATGTTTTTGTTGAACTCTCTTTCTGCTTTTCTCTCTTTCTTTGGCAGTCAAATCCAAAAAGTTATCAGCGGATATATAACTTGAGATAAAGTTATCCACTGCTTCAAAAAAGCTGTTCTCTGTTCCTTCGTTAATGAATACCATCACCAGTCTCATCAGTAATTCAGAGAATTCAAGAGCTTCAATATTGAAGATCAAACTGAAGTCTTTTTAACTTCTACCTGCTCTACAAACACAACACAATTTGTGGAGGATTTCCATCACGCGTTTATATCTTTTAGATTTGATTTTATCTGCACCATATGCAGAATCCATTGGGCTGATAAAAGGAACGAACTTTTGCAATAATACGTTGATTCTTTGCTTCCAATCTGAAGCAGAGGTTATTGCAACGTTGGAATGGGTTACTAACAAGTCATAAAGCTTGTCATTGCTGTAAATTTCGCCCAACAAACCAAATCTCTCGAAATGAGATTCAAGGAGAATTTCTCTCCAATAGTCATGCTGAGGTTCATTTGTAGGAATGGAATTGGATGACGGTTGAGAAATGTTGTTTGAAGGAACCATTAGAGGAATTGAATGTGAAGATTCTCCTTTGGACCCGTTTATAATTGATGATGGACATTCAGTTTCTCTAATTTGCTTCTGAATGTTCTTCTTAAGAGAAACTGAGCGACAATTATTTCTTTTCTTTGGAGTGGATGGTTTGGTGAGCTTGAGAGGGAACTATCATCACTAATAATAACTCCAAGAAGGGATTGAGTCTATTTTGACTCATTGTCTTGAGAGTTTTTAGGAGTCGAAGGTTTTACTTTGGGCATGATGAGCGTGGGAATGAGAGAGCGAGAGAGCGAGATATATTAAGGGAGAGCTAGAAGTCACTAAGCAAATCAAAACGCACGAAAAAGCAAAAAATTTTTGAGCCATTTGTTCCTTAAAATTAATCAAATAAATATTGTTTAAATTTTCGAAATATAAAAAATCAATTTTTTCAAAAAAAGAAAAAATATTTTCTGTGTAATAAAAACATGTAACTTCTATTATTAACCATTCATTCATCATTATTGTCGTAAATTGATGAATAAAAAAATGAATATAGGATTGATATGCCAAATATTTTATCGGAAAGAAAAAAATATTATTGAATGTCATGATATAAATGAAATTAAATTATTTTTTTTAAAAATGATAAAAGAATGTTTTGAAAAAATAAATATTAAAAATCATTCGTTAATTAAAAAAAGCATCTATGGGTATGTAATTCATTAAATATTCGGCCTTGATATGTTTTGAATGAAATGAAGGGCATGAATGTTTTAATTGTAAACAATTAAAGAGTTTGATTGAATTTGATATGTTTTGAATATAATAAAGGATATGTTTTGATGAAAGTTTTATCAAACCTGCTGCGAATAGTTGAAAAAAATTGAACCCAAAAATTTATTATTCACCTTCGGAAACCGGATCATGGTTGCGATCCTTTCTTGTCACAGCATTACATTGGTAGTGGTTTCACATTAGCGTCGTAAGACTCCCACCTGCCCTTTGTAGGCTTATGATAGATACCCTCCAACCGGTGTCGTAGGTTCGTTAATGAGATCTATGATGTAGGGTGGAGTTATTGCCCTGCCGTATTTCAGTGAATAGCATGGACCACCCCCAGAATTCCCATAACAGGTTCATCTCAACACTGATTTCATAGAGTAGGCACGCAAATCCCTAAGCTATATAGATTCAAATCACAGGTCCCATAGACCTTCGTTGAATCTAGAAACATCTCCGAATCTTATATGTGTATCATGACGCTGCTAGTTCATTCAGGCTCCCCGGCGATTGCTCATTACTCGCCACCCCCACCATAGCCCGTACATCGTCGATACCGAGAATCTACCTTTACCCCGCAGGAAGGCTGTCGAGCCTATGACCACCATCATTGATGGTTTCTTTAATAGTATCTCGACTCGATTCATTTGCAAGACAGTTGCAGGCTTGCCATAATATCGATCACCCTGTCTACATTGTGCAACTTGGCTTTGTCAAAAATTGTAACAACATATTGTATTCTTGGAATACAACACGTTCAAGTGTTCCCGTAGGAGACTTGGGTATCTCTCGCAGGCACCTCGAGATAAAGGCGTAGAAACTAACTTTCTTCAGCCACCACAGGACCAGTTACGGCATTTTTTTGAATTCGCGAATAGTTGAGACAACGCAGGTCTATCTTGATCGAATCTTTTCGACAAGGATTTTTATTGAGCTAACCATTTATTTTATTATTTTAATTTCATGTATCTAATTCATCATGTTATCTTATTTTCATGGATTTATCAAGCAATTGCTTAATGTGACTTCTTGCGCTTCACATCTTAGAATCTTTGTCTCTGCCTTCCTCCTTCATACTTCCTTGTGTTTCTTTGGTTTTCTCCTTTTTTTCGCTGAGCGGTTTTTGGAGTTTTTACCTTCTCAAATCTTAATTAATGCTCCGGACTCTGCTGAATAAAGTCAATTGACAAAATATGCAGAAAATCCCACAAACACCGGACCTTTATTAAGGTCGGTTGTTTGGAGAGACCACAAACCCATTTGTTCCTCTTAATTAACCAAACGATTCTTGTTGTTTACGTCTTCGAAACACTCATCGCCAAGCATGTCATCTTGTTTATTTAGGAATTCCTTATCAACCAAATTCAAAGATAAATTATCCATGTCATGACTATACTCGGAACATTTATCTTCCTCCACCAACTTGTCCCAATTTTAGAGGCCCTAATCTTTCCGAAAAAAATTCTTGAGGATAAAAAGCCAATCGAACTATTGTTCATTTTCTCGTGAAATGCACTCTCAACATGGCGATCCTGTTTGGGTGGATATTGAAATCCATAAGGAGAGTCGGGCAAGAACTTGTCAATCTAAGCGGTTCTTTCGTAACCCAACATTTTAGCTCTTGGTAAGTCTATAGTTTCAGAGGTTTTCTTCTTTCTTTTAGAGAGGTTCTTCTTTTGAGGAAGGTCCTTCGGTTGAACAACATTCTTCTTTTGAGGAGTACTTGTCTTGTTGCTCGTTGAGGATGTTGTGGATCATTATTTTCATCCAAGGTTGTTGGCGAGGGAGAGCAGATGGAGACTGAATCTGATCAGAGGATTGCACAACCTCAGCAGCAATTACCGATCCTCTGAAGGAATTTCGGCCAAATGAGGAGGAGGAAGACTTGTATATAAAAAAATTTCGAATTTATTTGATTCCCTTAATTAAAAGGAGACTATTCCAGCAGCAACAAGGACATGAAATAAAAATTTCGAATTTTGGGATTGTTCAAGTCTTTTCTTGTAATGTTCTTCTTCTTGCTGAGAGGAAGCTGTTTGGTTGATGGACATAGTTGACACTACATACTGTGTTGTTGATGTAATTTTTCTAGCGATGTTTCCTTCTAAAAATTACAATTACATGTTGAAAATAACAATTTCATTAAGGGAAGAGTTTAAAAAAATAGTCATTCCAAAACCATCCAAGTCTGATAATAAGAGAGCCCAGAATGAAGCCTCTTCTTCTTCAAATGAGCCTCAATTTGCTCAACCAACTCCAAAGAAGACAAGGCTCGTACAATCCAGACTAACTTTCGGTGGTTCCTCTTCATTAGTTGGCCAACATTCATTCTCGGTTGATCAGGTTGGGTCATCTTCCTCTCATCAAGATCAACCTCCAATCATGATTCAGTCAATCTTACTCCCTTCAGGGGCTTCTGTTGTACCAACTGTTTCATCCAACCGTTGGAAATTCTCTGCACGGCATGTCATCACTTGCTGCATGCAGTGTACTTGATGGAGAAGCAAGGAACCCAAACGGAGGGTGAGGAAAAAGTTCTTGATGACTTTAAGGAATGGGTCCAAGTTCACATCAAGAAGGTTCGATTGTTGGGAGCTAAATGTGCCAAGTGTGAAATGGATTTTGAAAAGTTGGGTCTTGCTTTTTTCATTCTCGCTCATGTCCATCACATCAAAACCGATGGTGCTGATCAGAGACGCAGTGCAACACACATTCTCGAGCTTGAGGATAGAGACGAAATTGCTGCACATGTGAATGAATATACTCTTGCACTGGAAGGAAAGCAGTCACTCGAATTGTATCAATGTTTGTGTGCTTTCTGTCATCAAATGGTACACATGGAAAAGAATGCGAGATTGGTTTTGAGCAAGGAAGAGCACACCGAAGATAGGGAGAAGGTGGAAGAAATGTTCAATTTACAATCAAGATTCCATTTGATCCCAGAAATTAAGAGAAGACTCTTTGGTGGCCGTGATGATGAAAAGTAATTTGGAATATAAAAATTCAATTTTGGCATCTGTGGGGTTTGAACCCACGAACCCATACGGGATTAGATCTTAAGTCTAACGCTTTTGACCACTCAGCCAAGATGCCATCTGATAATGAAAATGGAGTAGAGTCTAACGATCGACAAGTGGAGGTTTTTGTTTCTATTCCTTGTGTTGAGCGAACATCTAACTTCAATTTTGAGTGTCTTGATTTCTTCCTCTTGCTTATGATTGATGTCTCGAAGCTGGGTGATGATCTAAGAACGGTTTGTAAGAATGGATGATCACAATTCTAGAAAATGCCTCCACTGCTCATATCTCCGTCTTTTACCTCTTTCACGACAACATTTCACCCAAACATCGCCGCCTTCAACAATGATGATTCATCAGCACTTGTTCCACCAACAACGGAAAATTCATTCAAGTCCACTCAATTACGATTGTATCATAAAACGAGGAATTATCACATTCAATCCTTGACCAATGCGTTGCATCCCAAAACTGAAAAGATGAAATCTATGAAAATTCCATCCGATGGTCAAGAGGATGGTGCTGCCATCAACAACACTTCTCGAAAACAGCAGAATCCGAACCGATCATCATTCATGACGGACTTGACCACCACCTTCTCGAATCAACAAGATCCATTCACACCACCATCACCACGACGACATGTTCATGGTGCATCACCGCTGCTCGGAATTACCACCACCACTCCGAAAGAATCCATCTTTCCTCCGAATCATCATCCACACAAGAATAACCACCCTCACAACAATCAACCTTCCCAAGATCCACTGGCAGCCATCTTTCACAGCCATCTCCAACCTTCTTTAGATGTTGATGATGATACTACAAACAACAGACAGCTGAGCGATGACGATCATTTAATGGATGACAAATTACTGTCATCTTCCTCCTTCTCATTGATGACGAGTAGAAATGACCTTCGCTCTCCTCCTCCTCTCTCGACACGCCCATCCACTCCTCTCTTTCCACGAGCTCCTCATGAATCAAGTCATTCCCTTCTTCAGAAAGAGATGGAATCTCCTCCTTCCCTTAATCATGAGATCCATCATGACTCCTCTGTTTTATCCACCCCACAAACTTTCTCAACACCAACTAAGCTTACTTCCATCATGAAAGACCATGACTCTTCCTCAAACACTCGGAACACACCAATTGGATTGACATCCACACCACCACCACCGAATGATGATCATCATTGGTTGATGAAACAAATCTCATCCTGGTTTTCCTTTCTCATCCATTACTTCTTCAAGTCGTCTTCCTTCAATGATGCGACCCTATTCAAACGAATTTTAAAACAACTCGTATTGATCAATCCATATTTGAGAGCAAACATTCGAAGAGGAAGAGAAGACACTTTTCGTGCACGATCGTATGGTGGTGGTGGTGGTGGTGCTCCTACTGCCACTCCAACCACTTCCACAATTTCCTATCACAATCATTCATTGGCTCCTTGGCAGTGGAGTTTGTGAAAAGGAATCATTCCATTTCAAAAAAAAACAGTCTGACAAGACAACACTCCTCCAACGAATATGCTGACTGACAGATTAGTGACATACTAACACTCATTAGGATTCATATATAAGAACGCCCACTCACGAGGAATTACAGTCGCTTCGCAGCAACAACGGCCAATATTTATGGAAAATATATCACAAGACATGTAATCATGGGAATGAGCATAGAATTCTCTCACGATTATCTTCAATGCTGACCCTTTTTGTTGATTATTGTGACAACGAGAAAAACACGGTCATTACTTTAGCAGGAACTTGTGTTGAACAATTGACAACAATGGATGAAGTGATCACAGCACTATGTGACTTAATAATGCAGTTGATGAAGTTTGAACATCAAAAAGTCATACACAACGACATTAAGCCAAACAATATTGTAAAATATGAATCACATTTCTACCTAATTGATTTTGGAATTGCTACTTGTTTCAGTTCGAACTGATGCAAATATGAGAAGTCCAATACAGTGCATGCAAATATTGTCCACACACTTTCCTAATGAGATGCAGAAATCAAAGCAGCACTTTACTCAACCCCAACACTTCACAGAACAGTTTAAAGTCAATTTCTTCTGGTAATCTCAAGTGAATTTGGAAGCCTGATAATCACTTGAATTCGTTCCCTTATTTTTCCAATAGTCGTCATCAAACAACTTTGATCGGTTCAATTAATAACTATTTAATCAGCTTTACAAAACAACAACTCGTCATCATCATCATTGACAACAACTGTTGCAAATGCTCTTCTGAAGGATTCGAAATCTCCTCACTCACTCCATTGGAATGTCTTTCTGTAATGATGACTAATCTGTCTTCAAGGTGACCCTCACTCATCAAATTGATGTGTTTTGATTCACTCACTCCCTTGAACCTACAGCATGGGAAGATTTTGAAGAAGGAGAAAAAACGGCATTTTAGAGACGAAAAGAGAAAAAAAATGTCCAACATTGTTGAAAATCTGAAACAAGCCTTGAATCCCAACAAGACATTCCGTCCTAAACATAAATTCATCAAAGGCTCCTCTCAACACACACTCCACAAATACAAGAAGGAAACGCTTGGAAGTGGTGATCTAACAGCAGCAGTCAAGTTACCCGAAGATGAAAATTTAAATGAATGGCTCGCCATCAATACCGTTGATTTCTATAATACAACAAATTTATTGTATGGAAGTTTGGGTGAATATTGTACAAGAGATTTATGTCCTGTCATGTGTGCAGGTGATAAATATGAATATCAATGGATGGATGGTAAAGATTACAAGAAAGCCACCAAAGTCTCCGCTCCCGATTATGTTTCCTTGTTGATGGACTGGATTTGTCAACTCGTCAATGATGAGAATGCATTCCCCAGTGATCCAAACAAATTTCCAAAATCCTTCTTGACCATTGTAAAGACCATATTTAAGAGAATGTTTAGAGTCTATGCTCACATGTATTACAATCACTACAAGGATGCTAAACAATTGAACTTGGACAGACATTTAAATACTGCTTTTAAACATTTCATGTGTTTTGTCAATGAATTTGATTTGATTGATAAGAAGGAACTCGAACCACTCAAAGGTGTGATTGCTGATTTACTTGGCAAGTCATCATCGGGAGTTGACAGTAGTAGTGATACGAGTTTATCTGCAATGGGAGATGGAAATGCCACTTCACCATCCTCCGATCAATAGGAGAAGTGAGTTAAATGGGTATCCAACAATTACACCATTTCACATCATCGTGTGGATGAGTAACCACATGATAACGATAATGTACAAAACTCAGCTGATGACGAACATGCTTCTTTTTGCAATTTCATTATTATGAAAATGATGATGATTAATAAATTATTGTGTTGAAAAACGAACCATCACCCATCAGTAACTGACAAGTTTATCCAAGTATGTCACTAAAAGAGAAGAACTTGTGCTTTGCAAAACCATCAGACTTGAGATGGGAACCAATTCAAAATGTGTAAAATTTCGAATTGGGTTTCAAACACTACGTTGGATTTATTGCTCATCATTCACACCAATAATTGCCAACGACAATGGTTGAGTTGTTGAAGATTTTTGCAGACTGATTGGTTCGTATGGTTCGAATCTCTTCTTCTTTCTTGCCCATTTAATTGTCAAAGTCTGTCCATTTAACTTGAATTTTCCACCATTCTTTTTTCCTAGCTTTTGCATGCATAACTCGGCATCACCTTGATGAACAAAAGTGATCAAGTAACAGTGATGACTGGGTACATGGCGACACTTTTCGATCAGGTCTCTCAGGTCAACAGTACCAACACCTTTCGTATTCTGCCCAGTGGTTGCATAGATTGAGACAAATTCTAGTAGAGTCTTTTCATCAATATAGTCGTCTGAGGTTTCCACAACATTTCGATTGACTGAGCCAATTTGGATCGTTTTCAAATCAATGGGAGGTGATGTAGTCTCCATAGATTCTTCTAGTGACGCTGCTGATGTCAATCCTAAATTTCCATTGAGAGTGGTAACTACAGTAGAATTTGAAGCAGTGTCATCAAGACCCTCCTCATCTCTCAATTCGTTCAAAACATTTCTATTGGCCAATTCATTTCTTAATAAGTGCCTATTGGTTCCTCCCTCGCTTAACAATTTTTCAGCCTGTGAGGCAAAATATACATTTGTTACTGAACTTTTTTGACCACTGAATGCACTTGCTGTATTACCTTCAACCGATGCTTGATGATCAGTGAGAGAATATTGTGAATCTCGCACATAGGCAGGAATATCATAATCCAAATCCACGACAGTGACTTGACATAAATTCTTTGTAATTGCACAAACAGGACATATCACTGTTCGTTGATAATTTACATCTTTGGGATGTTTTTTCCATGAAAAGGATGTATATACTTTTCCACATAATTTACATTCAGCTCCGAGAGTATATCTACGCATTTTAATAAATTTTCCATCTCCTAAACATTCTTTTCGGATGATTGGAAATTCTATAGGTGTGCTTGATGAGCCTCCCGATGATGAAACAAGGGTCGACTTGGACACCGATGAGGCAATCGTTCGACTCATTTTTTTTATTCTTCGGGTTCAATCTGAATGCTTTGCTTTGGTACCACGAAAATCGCTTGGTCTCATATTTGATAGATAGAAAATAGATCTCAGCTGTAGAATATGAATTCAAAATGAACCATGTCATTTATTTGACTCTAACAAATCTTCTGCATCGGTACATTTGGTATTTGTGTTCACAGTCTTGGTCAGATTGAGACAAGTACATGCATACTAAGGTCACAGCAGCCTGAGATCGTTAAAGGCATTTATTCCTCCAAGCTCTACTCAAACGTCAAGTCCTCTAACAAATCTTCTGGATCGACACATTTGGTATTTCGAGAGGGTTTTCTTGGTGTCTGATAACCCTCTACGAGAGCTTGAGCAGAGCATGAAGGTGAAAGTTGGGGTGAATCCACAAGGTTAGCCCGAAATAACATGTTGTTGTTGTTGTTGGTACCGGAATGATGCTTTGCAACCATTGATTTCGCAGCCTGCAATTGTTGTTTCAGTTGTTCAATTTGTTGTTGGAGTTGCTTCTTTTCATCGTGAAGGAGTTTGTTCTTTTCCTTTTCCTTGTCCAGCAGGTCATCGGATTGCTTCTTGGCTTCATGATATTTTTGAATAATCTTCTTCTTTGAATTGATTAATATTAAGAATTGACCATATAATTCCTTCTCCATTCGATCTTTCTCTTCAACAACAAGTTTTGATTGTTCAATACATTCATTGTAGTGTTTAGCTTGCTGGCTGAGTTTGTTAATGGTTTTTTCATCATTCTCCTTACTAATGATGAGATATCGGAAGAGCGAGATGTGACCTGCCTTAGTGTTGGATGACTTTTTCAATTCAATATTGGAAATAATGTAATCGCCAGATGGATTCACAATCATGCTAATGATGAAATTGAGATTTCCATTGCTCAAATAGCTGACTCTATATTTGAATTTGGAGTTGTCTTGTTTAATGACGGAGGTGTGGATAATGTGGAACATGTTAAACTCTTCACCGGAAGAAGCATGTCCTGCATAGGAAATACTATGATGATTGTAGTAAATATTCTCGCCATCAGAGATGGTCAGTTTAATAATCTTTTTACTTGTTGTAGAATGGGAGTGATAGTTAGAGGTGTTATTATTATTGTTGGGGATATTATTATTATTCGTATTAGTGTACAATGTTGTTGTGGATAAGGAGGAGGAGGATATGGCCATATCGGAGACCAAGGATGAATTCTGAATGGGCACGGTGGGAAGAGCAAGGCTGTTGATGCTACCAGTAATACTACTACTACTACTACTACTACTACTCGAAGAGGACAAAGCAAGGCTTGTTGTGGTTGAAACGACACAGAGGTCGCTGTACACGACGAATGGATTTCCATCGATTTCAAAATATGTAACGGTTTGTTCATTCATTTTTTGGCGCGAGTTTTTAACACACAAATTTTCACTTGTGTTTTTTGTTGAGCGGGACTGCATTGATTTTTGCCTTTTTTATCATGTTGATCTCATCGCTTTTCTGTAAAAAATTGCTTCCACTTTCTAATCCCATCACCTAACAAAATCATCATCATCGGAAAATGTCCACCCATCCGCAACAACCACATCACACAAACAACAACACGAATGAGAATGATGGAACAACCGAGAATAATGCTGATCAAACCTCTTCCGCCATACTGATGAATGAACCAACGGAACAGGAAAAGAAAAACAATCCAGACAACAATCCCATCACCGATCAAACGGTAATTAAAAAGAAAATCAAAAAACTAACGGAAATTCATCACGACTGGCACGATGGAAATGATTGCACATGCTGTTCCAGGTCCTTTGATAATATCATCATTACCACTTCGAATTTACATGAAAGTGATGAAACTATGAAAAAAGTTTATAACACAAACAGAGGAGCATACTGGGATTGGTTAGGAATGGATGACATGGGAAAGAAATGTTTCTATTACAGAAATGATCCTTTCAACAGGGAAGAATATTCAAATATTGGACAGTTTTTTGATGCTCTAGAAAGTAATTTTCAAATAATCAGAGATGAATTGGACAATATATTGAAAGAAGAAGGACAGGATTTTCAAGCATGGCCAGAGACTATCTGTAAAACAAAAGGAAAATGGAAAGTGTATCCATTGGTAAGTAGTGACCTCAAATGCAAATATCATTTGTAATGATCTTGTTTGTTGTTTTGTTTATGGCAACATTTTCCAATGCAAATTTGTTAATTATTTTATTTTTATCATATATTGTAAACAAGGGCTTTGCATTTGGACGAGATTTAACCAATGAACCAACAAAATGTCCAAGATCAGTGCAATTACTTTCCAAATTGAACAAGGAGTGCAATGTACATATAACCACTGCTGGATTCAGCTGCTTATCCTCATATTGTTACATTTCCCCTCACAAAGGTTATTGTGGATACAGTAATCATTGCTTGAGAGTGCATATGGGATTGAGAGTACCCACCAGCAATCACCATGGATGTGCCATACGTGTGGGAAATATTAGACATTGCTGGAAAGAGGGTGTTGTTTTTGCCTTTGATGACTACATTACACATGAGGCCTATAACTTTACAAATGAGGATCGTTATATCCTATTGTTGGATATTCGCTTCAGAGAATGCGAAAAATTCAAGTTCTACCAAAAACCACCACTTCAGCTGTCACCACAACAACAAAATTTATTAAGCTTAAATCTTAATAATGATGACGATGATGATGATAAATGCGCTACAATGCAAGACCAATCAAGTGTTGGTTCATTGATTCACAATAAGTGGAAAGGTATTGGCAAAAATACCACTACAACAACGTCAACTGCAAACAGTCATGAGCCAGAAGAAGGCCGAACATTTGTCATCCTCAAAGAATACATAACCAACGACATTGAATGTGTCAATGCCAACTATACGAACGAGCTGAAAGATATGCTAAGGAATGTTGTGGACAAGCATAATTGAACTATGGAAAGAGTTATTCCAAAAAAGCTTTTGATTTTTAATACATAACACACAAATCGCAGCATAACTCTTGACAAAAGATATATTCTAGATCTTGATTGAGATTTTGTTGTTGAACTCTCGCTCTTGATTGGGAATTTTTGTGAAAATTATTATCGAATAAACAGATAAAGAGTGACTTTTATCTCAAAAACAAAAAATGCAAAATCACAACGAGGAAAGCATCACAGCTCATGATTCTGTCGAGTCTTCGGAACCATCATCACAATCATCATCGGAACAACAATCTCAACCATTAAATAATATTAGAAATGGTCTTTTGAATCCGAAAACTCTCCAACTCTTGGAAAATAGAGCCAATTTATTATCAGAAAGTTTCAATCATTTAATCGGATCTCTTCAAACGTCCATGTATGCGAAGAGTGCAATTACATTACAACACATTGAATTATACAGAAACACCGTTGATAAATTTTGTACAGATGTTCACGAATCAATTGATAGCATGGAATCTTTCATGAATCGATTAAATGATTTGAATCAAGAGTTGAAACAGATGAGAAATTTGTATCATAATATTAAAGAATTAAGAAAGACCGTGGAAATTATACAACACAATGTGAATACTCATCAACAAAATCCTTCTTTGATATTTTTGTCGAGTCCAGCAGGGGAACAAGAGACCAGCAACAGAAATGATGATGAAGCACCACAAGAACAAAATTAATCACAAATATACGACAGTAACTGGAGGACTGGTATTAAATAATTTATTCAAGAACTAAACTTTGGTGTGATTATTTGTCTTTCAGCTCGACAAACCCCACGAACTTGTATTTTTCATGTTCGTCATAGAATTTAATCCAATCTTTGATGGATTGAATTTGTTCTTCATTCAAATCAGAATATTTCGATTGCACACTGGTACACTCTTCTTTCTTTTCATCAAAGCATCTGTGAAAATGTGAGAGAAAAAATCAAGATTTTGACAATTAAGCAAGCCTAAGGAAAAGCGTAACATACCCTGTCACAAATGATCTGGTGCCATCTCTACCTGCAAAAAAGCTATAGCCACTTCCAGGTCCATAGTAATCTAAAAAGAGAGATTGGGGTTGAATAATCATCACAATGTTGCAACTGGTAATACTACTACGAACCTTTTCCTTCGCTAACATCATACACTCTTCCAGCAATGGCAAGTAACAATGGTAATTTCTTGTTCTCACCCACTCCATTATAATGAGATAAATCTTCTTCAGTGAACACAAAATAATCAGTACTGGACTTGCCCCCACTCTTTTTAAAAGGTAACTTGGATCCAAAAGTTGTAAAATCTACACAATGCGATGCTTGTGGCATCAAAGAAGCTTCAGTAATTGATGTGGATTTCTTATGATGGAATGTTTTCAAGTACCACCTTACAAAACTTTGTTTAAAAGCTTCATCCGTCTTGTACAAGTACACACAATACACCGCCCAAAAGATCGCTGAGTAAATTATAAAATACAGAACATATCGGGTAATGGGAGTTTTCTTTTGTAGATCTTGATGGGACGAGTTGGATCCGATGCCTTCCGTATGACTTTGATTGCTCAGAGTTGATCCATTGTTGTGCTGATCTCTGTCTGAGGCAGTGATGTCAGCAGCATACGGCTCTTCTTTTCTTCGCATTTTTTTGGATTTGAGAAAAAAAAATTTGTGAAAAGACATCCCGGACGATCATCATCACCCCATCAAAATTTTATTTATTATTATTATTATTGGAACAAGATGATTCTGTTGGCACTTCTACAAGGTCTCTTTTATACCTCTGTGGCTCTCAGTTCTCTTCATGTGCTTCATTATTTTCTTTTCCAAAGAAAACGGATGAAACATTCCATGAGAGGAAAGAATGTATTGATATCGGGAGGATCTACAGGTATTGGACTCGGTATTGCAATTGAATGTTTAAAACAAGGATGTTCCAATTTAATCATTGTTGCTAGAAATAGAGACAAATTAGAACAAGCTAAAAAAGAATTAGCAACATATTCCGAAGAGAAACAATCAATTTTCATTTATCCATGCGATGTGACTGATGAAAAACAAGTGGATTCCATGTTGGAAGAAATTTACTCGAAAATTTTGAAAAGAAAAGTAGATTATTTATTTATCAATCAAGGATTGTCCATTCCAGGTTATGCTACACTTCAGCCCATGAGTGATTTTAAATATCAAATGGATTTAAATTATTTTAGTCATGTACTGGTTTCAAAGAAATTTATTCCAACCATGCTTGACGAGAAAATGGATGACTCTTCTTCATCACATATTATTTTCGTTGGAAGTGCATGTTCAATCACATCATTTGTTGGATATGGATCATATGCTCCAACCAAGTATGCTATCAAAGGTTATGCAGAGGCATTGAGAAGTGAATTACTTGGAACAAACATTCGTATTCATTTGGCATTGCCTGTGGATACTGATACAGAGGGATTCAAAAAGGAAAATGAAACAAAACCAAAAGAATGTGCCACATTGTCAAGCTTGTCTGGTTTACAAACTTATATAGAATCAGGATCTTCACTGGTTAGAAATTTGATGAAGAGTGGCATTCAATTCTATGTGACTTCCTCCTTTGATACTTATTTGCAAATTGTGGGTGGAACTTTGGGCGTTGGTCCTTGTGTCAACATTTACAACTATCCTTTATTGGATGTCATTGTGGGTGGAGTGATGGTCATACCAGCAATTTTGAGAGGTTATGCCTACTACTTTGATAAGGTCAGTTATGAGGCTGCACAAACACACAGAAATGAACTTTTCAAAAAGAAGTTGTACAAACCTGTCGAATCGTTCAGAACGAAGGTAGAATAAATGTGCATATGCCACTCAACAACAATCATACCTCTTTGAATCCGATCAAAAATAATTGTTATTACTAAAACAAACTCATTGAATAGGAGTTCGAGACTAGTAGGTCCCCAAAGCACTGTATTTTCATGATTTACAAAAAACTAAAGCCAGTTCAAAAAATGGGTCAACCCTTAGTACTTTTTTAATGAAAAGTCAACTCTGTTCTTCACTAATTCCATGGTAGACCAATGAGTGTCAATGGCTTGAATAAAATCGCTTCTCACAACTTTTGCCCTTTGCTTTAAATAGTCACCCTCATCAATTCGAATATAGACACCCTCAATAGGTTCATTCGTCGAGGAGTAGTGTGACTTGTACGTATTCAGTAAATGCATGAGATATTCCTTAGTGAGGCATCCTCCATTGTTGTTATTATTTGGAATTTGTTCAATAATGCACAAAGTGGGGGCATGCAAGCTCAATAACTGATTTCTTTTCTGCACAGAGACAAACTTTTCTGCATGCTTGTCATAAATATCAAATGCAATAAATGTGTCTGGTAATTTGTCATACAATATTGAGTGTTTGGCATAAACCCATTCTCCATAAAGAATATATCCATTGTTGTTGTCGGAAAGAAGAGCATAGAGTTCTCCGCAATGTTCATCCAACCACGACTGCAATGTTTTGAATTGGGAATGCGATTGGCATGTAACATAGTGTGATCTATTTTGACATCTCAGTTTATAGGACTCAACATCGAGTGAAATTCCCAAATTAGATCCATCAATCTTCTCTTCCAGAGTAATGAACGGAGCACTGGCTGCAGAATAAAAACTCGAGGCCACATCTCTCTCATCCAACACGAGATCATCACGAGAAACGTCCTTGTTCGTTGAGAATAGATGAGGAGTACGAGGAAATTTAATGATATCAATCACTTGAGTCATTTCATTGTCTTGATCCGATGAGGAGGAAGAGGATGATTTGGAGCTTTTCTTCTTTGAGGACATTTTTTTGGGTGGAGGACTGACTCCCTTGTTGGAAGGTTCACACAAGCGTTTGGCCAATTTAAACAACCGTTCATTCAATTTCAGCTTTGAACTTTTATCTTCAGGTTCAGCCTTGAACTGATCACAGCAAAGACTTGAATTTATGGTTGGATGTCCAACTTTAAAGTTGAACTTGGGAATTCAACAAAAACGATCATTGGGTTGGTCCATGTTCAATACGTGATGAGATTAAATTTAAATTTTTCAAAAAAAAAATATGTCTGATCCCTATCCTTCTCCTACTTCAAAACCTAGAGGAAGAGGAAGAGGTCGTGGACGAGGAAGCTCTAGTTATGATGGTGGTCGTGGACGAGGAAACACAAGTTACAGAGGAAATACTGGAAGACCATCATTCCGATCCAGAGGAGGAACCCGAGGTAGGGGCGGAAAAAACGTTCATCAAGGTGATAATTTATCGTCATTCTCTGGAACTCATCAAGGAAATCGTCCAGACAGAGGAAGAGGAGGAAAATCAAAATTTGGTGGTGATGGACAGAGACCAGCCCATTCACCATTGGATGATATCATTGATACTTATCTAACGGAGAATTACAAAAAAACAATAGATACCGGTGAAACGATGCTAGAACTCACCAATATTGCAGGATCACAATATTTGATTGGTAATGTTCGTAATTTTGATCCAACTAGGATATACCGTAAACTGTGTGAACGTATTGTGCAAACACTTCCGGAAGTCAATCTGCTGGATTTGCGAAATAATAATTTGGACTCTTTGCAAAACTTTTCCAAGTTGACTGAATTACAACATTTAACTGGTATATGCCTATCAAACAACAATTTTAGTACTGTAGCTGATCTTCAACCTCTGGCAGGCTTACAATCTTTGAAGCAGCTTTATTTAAATGGAAACAAATGCTATTCCGAAGGCCCAAGTGAGCAAGATGTCATCACACTATTGCAATATTTTCCTTGCCTCGATGTGATTGATGGTGTATTAATTCCCGACACTTTTAAGCGTAGAGGAAGTATTATACCCCCTATTAATATCGAAAATGTATATTTGGAAATTAACCGTGATGTAGTCGAAAATTTTGTTGTACTATTTTTCGGTAGCCTCGATGATAACAAACAGGCCCTGAGTACACTATTTGATGAAGAGGGATCTGTTAGCCTTTCAATTGGAGACAACATGTTATTGGAACCTCAATATGCCCCGCTTCATGAGAAAAAACGTAATCTACAACCAAGCAACCAGGCAATAGATCCTCAACATTTAATCAGCACGGTTTTTAAGACAAAAATTGCAAGAGATAGTGCATTCAAACTTTTTCCAAAATCCAAGCACAATGTAGATAAGCGATACTTGGTTGTCGATTGTAATGTTATAAGTCCTCAAAATCAAACTGTGGTATCCCATTGGATGCTGACGGTTCATGGACATGGCACTCATTTCAAGCCACAAGGAATCAAAGATTCCTTCTCTTTTACTGCAACCTTCATTCTTAAGCAAGAAACTGATCGTTTACTGATCACTAATTTGATTTATCAAATAAGACCCTATGCTGGAACAAGTCGAGATGCATTTGTGGATGTTTGTCAACAGGTTATTTATACGAATCAATTAGATCTTGCAAAACAAGCGAAATTAAGAGAATATGTCTATCGCACAAGGCTTAAACCTGAAGTTGTATTTAATCTCTTTAATCTACCAGAAGTTGCATGGACACCAAGCAAGTTCGAGCCTATTTTTGAAAATTACAAAAAGAATGGAACGATCAACGATTCTCACATGTTGTAGCCCCATTCCAACACGATGCTGTGCTTTAATAAATTTCAACCTTTACAAAATTAAGAGTCTTTACAAAATTAAGAGTGACACAGTGGTTTAACTTGAAAAATCACAATAGCTGCAAGTTGCTTCAAAACAATTTTAAGTGTCAGAAATCCTAACACTGAAAATCATCAAAATTCACGCATATTTTTATTTAGTCCCAATTCGACAGGTAATTCACACAAAAAATGTCCAAACTTGCCTATCAACATCACTCTCTCACCTCTCCACAAGAATTCAACACTCTCTGTGCTCAATCCATCATGGAAAGAATTCAAAATGCACTCAACAAACATTCCCGTGCCATGATTGGGTTAAGTGGTGGCTCTACTCCAATTCCAATCTATAAAATCCTTTCCGAGCTTTTAAAACCCATTCTTCCCAACAAGAATATTATTTTCTTTTTAATGGATGATCGTTATGTCCCGATGGATCATTCCGACAGTAATCAAAAATTAGTATTAGATTCTCTCAATGTTACTCAAGAACAAGTAACTCTCATATTTCCAAACAACAAATTACCCATTGATGAATGTGTTAAAGATTATCAAGAGAGATTACAACGTGAATTAGAAAAACAACCTAATCAGAAAGTCACTGTATCTACTTTGGGAATGGGACCTGATGGTCATACATGTTCCATATTTCCATCCACTAATAAGAATAGAGACATTTTCTGTGATGAATTCAAAGTGGTTCACACGACGACCACTCAATTTGCTGTCTTTGATAGAATCACTGTGAATTATCACTTTTTGTTGAAACACTCTGAAGAATTGTTCATGTTTTTCAGAGGACAAGACAAATGGAAACTCTGGAAGGAAATGGAACAATTCATTTTAGAGAAGAGAAATGGTTCTGCCAACGAAGATACCAATGACTGGTTGAAATATCCTTGTCTTCCATTCTTGTGCATGGAGAATTGTGTCTTGTTTAGCAGTGAGTAATTGGGGAACCTATAACTGCTTCTACTGATCAGCAGATGGGTAACAATGAATGTTGTTTTTATCAATGTGTGTGACACAGAACAACAGACGATGATGCAAAGATTATCCCGTGATTAATAAAAACACTTGTCTGCCAAAGTTCACTCCTTTCTCATCACTTCAATTCAGAATACAAAGGTATCCAACAACTTTAGAGCAATTGACGTCGACACCATATTGTTTTGCAAAGTCAACCAATTTTAAAAAAAAATTAAAAAAAATTCAACCCACAACCAAAAATGAGCACAACAGCACCACTTACAAAAACATCAACCACACCCGTATGAGAGAACGGGAAGAGTTTATCAGAATTTTTGTTGGACATGTATCAAGAAATAATAGACTACGATTCATTATCAGCTGAAGACAAAGAGCAGGCTGAATATTTCGTATCTAGGATTAAACAAAAGCTGCAAAATGAGCAGCACACTGCAGCCCGATGATGAGATGGACAAAAAGTTTTTGGTTTTCACCACCTTTTTACGTAATCTCGGAGCTACTGTGGATGAATCTTTACCTGAGCACAATGCCATACAGGAGCTAAAAGAAAGGATCGGAAATAGACAATAAAACTTTAATTTTCCAACACTTTTTGAACAGTTCCATTCATGTGATCGCAAAAAGAGGTTCTAGATAATGGTTTAAATTTCTAGCTCCAAAGAATGTCGCTATTTATTGGACATTTTTTGAAGTTTTCATGATTAATCTGTAATTTTATCTGAAAGTAAAAAGCCAAAAAAGGCGCCAAAATATTTACAAAAAAAATGCCAACACCGAACAACCTAGTACCACCTCCAACAGCAATGATGGCTCTTGCAACTTCGGATCTCAAATCAAAGCAAGAGCATGAAATGGAGATGCTCTCCCTTCAACATGAGCTGAGAAGCAAAAATGCAAAGATCAAACAGCTCCAATCGAAATACGACCAAACAGAAAACAATTTTAAATATATTTTGAACAATCACAAAGAGTTGATTAACCGACTAGCAGAAATTGAACGAGATTTAAAAGAAGAACGAGATAGGAACTCGGAGTTACAAAACAAAATTCAACTTCAACAAATAGAAATTGCAAAGTTATCGGACAGTGAAGAAAAAAACAAAAAACTAAGGCAAGAAATTGAATCTCTCAAAAAAGTTAACAAGAATTTACAGGACACATTATTAGACACAGAGAAGTTAAAAGAAAAGAAACAAAACAAAAAATATGAGACTATTATTGAGCAATTAAAGCAAGAAATCAAACAGTGGAATGACAAGTTTTCAGAACAGCACACCAAGTACACAAAAATTGTTTCAAAATACAAAATTCAAGAAGCTCAATTAGAGTCATTAATGGAAAAGAAGGAAAAACGAACTATTCCAACACAGACAACGACAATACAAACATTAGACGCAGATGTTCAAACAATTGCAGTATCAAAACCTCTCACGTATCATCAATCAGCGCAAGTGAATATTATACAACCTGAACCTCCAAAAAAAGAGTACAAACCGCCCGTAATTGATTGGAGGCCTCCTGTTCAAATCATTAAGGATGAAGAGCCTGTAATAGATGTCGTAAAAAGCACCTACAAGCCTGAGGTAATTATAATTGAAAAACCAACATTAATATCTGCCGGCAGTCAACAAATAGCACATACACCTCCCAGAATCAAGCCAGCCGAGGTTGTACGCAAGGAGGAATCTCCCAAAATGCCACCACCCATAGAACAAGTGGCAATGTCAATACTGCCTCAAAAAGCTCCACGTAATGAAAAATCCAAAGAGGCACCTCCTGTTGTAACAACAACTGTTCAACCCAAACAGAAAACCCTAGAGACCTCTGAGGAGGATATGCCTCAACCTAAGGAGATCAAAGTTTCATTCACTGAACCACACTCTGATAATAGGTGCACTGTACGCTTATTCAATGTCATACCGAATCTAACATACTTCTTTAAGGAATGGGGGAATCTTCCCTTCTTTTTGTCTGTCGACTTTTTCAAACATGAAACTCAACTATCAAATATGACTAATGGTGTTTCTAATGAGCTGGCATTTGAGCGAGTTTTCGAATTCGAAAATAATCCATTATTTCTGTACTATGTAGCCAATGGATCAATTGTTGTACAATTAACTCTGGTTCACTCCATTGACAATTGTGAAGTAATTGGACAAGGAGAGATTTATCTGTCGAGCTTCATCAAGGATGGATTTAATAACACGTTAAAAGGAACTATCACTCTGTACGGAAAAGCAAACAAAACACAAATGGCTACAGTTGATTATGAAATCAAGCTTAAAGACTCGATATCTAGAATTGTATCACCGTTCAAATCGGAAGAATTAATCAAACTATTTTCTGATAAGACCTTTGTCGCTTCCGCACCAATCACAGACCACACCAAAAACCGATCAAAAATTCAGGAAGCCTCTAGTGTTGAATCCAGTCAAATCGCAGAACTAAACGACAGTAATATTCAAAGCGATGAACCGCTTGAGAATGATCAGCATGCATCATATCTGGATGAAGAATTACTAAATCAGCAATTAGAAATGGGAGATGTCATCTAAGTTAAAAAAACTTCAATTCTAATTAAAAAAAAGACTACTGCTTTTTTGTGACATCAAGATGATACAAGTCATTTCGCTTATGTTCAAACACAGGCATTCCCTCTCTTACTGTACATAACTGAGAAGGCCATGTTGACATGTCAACTACTCCCAAAACTCCCTCAAAAGGTTGGCTCTCTTGCTTTTCCAAGTCAAACGCTGTTTCTTGTTGGCCCAAATCTAACAATATGTTGCCTATAATAAGGTGTAATGATCATCGAGTTGATTTATCATTCCAGTTTCAGTAGCAAAAACATCAATACGTTATGTGTGGTGTTGCATCTTCACACTTACCTAATGGGTCAATAATCAACGAATGTCCATAAGACTCTCTTCTAGAGTTATGTTTTCCCACCTGAGCAGCGGCAACTACAAAGCATTGATTTTCAATTGCTCTCGCCTGAAGTAAAATCTTCCAATGACCCAGCTCTCCTGTATATTTGGTAAAAGCGGCAGGTATCAACATAATTTTAACATCTCTCAATTTTCTTTGCAAAATAAACAACTCTGGAAATCGCAAGTCGTAGCAAATACTCAGCCCAACTATTAAATCTTTAGAAAATAAGGACCCATTGTCATCCACCAATAATTCTTGTCCAGACTCAGTAATTTCAGATTCTTTCAATTTCACCTTCTCAGTATTCAAGTCAAAAAGATGAACTTTTCTATAAACATTAACAATTTCTCCCTGAGTATTCACCAACACATGAGAATTAAAGATTTTGTTTTGATTGAGTGGAGAAGTCTCATGCCAACCACCATAACTAATATTAATGTCATATTTTCTTGCCAAATTTTTATAATTTTTAAATAGTTCCGAATCTAATGAACTAGCATGAGCAAGAGTTTCATATGCATTATTTCCCATAAATGCAAAACATTCAGGAAAACAAATCAAAGAAGCCTGATGGTACTGAGAAGCCTCTCTGATCAATTTCTCGCACACTGAAAAATTAAAGGCTTGATTATTGGTCGATCGGAGTTGAGCCAACGCAATTTTCATCATTTTTTTCTTTTGAAGATGACTCGCTCAATACTTGATGATTGATTCTATTTGATAATAATGAATGCTTGTTTGCATGTTTTTGTATGTCATTGTACCCAAGCAAATCGTGCATGTTCAATGAGTGTGGTTGTTGAAATTTATTTTAAATTTCGAACCTTTTTAAAAAATGGTATGTTGTGCGAGTGCATCATCGGATCATCAAGTGATGAAACCAATTTAAATAATAATAATTATTTTACAACATAAATCATGATGATGAATAACACATATAGCTGCCATTAACACTTTTAAGGGGTGCCATTGGTACCAACATGTTGGTGGAATTAAAAAACGGTGAAACTTTTAACGGAACGCTCACGAATTGTGATCAATTTATGAATATGAATTTAGAGGATGTTACATGTACAAGCCGAGATGGTACTAGGTTTTGGAAAATGGATAAAGTATATATCAGAGGATACACATTGAAATATATTCGAATTTTAGATGAAATTATTAACAAAGTGAAGGAGGAACAAAAGAAGAGTAGAAGTAAGCCACAACAGCAACAACAACAACAACATCAAACGAGTGGTGCTGCTAATACAAGCAGTGGTACTTCAGCTACAACATCAGCTCCTCAAAGAACACGAAGTCAAACCTCCGGAGCTGGAAGAGGCTCGGGCAGAGGCGATCAGTCTTCTAGGTCATCGACTAGTGGTCAGCATCACGGTGGAAGAGGAAGAGGAACACACCACAAAACCCATTAAATTTCAATTTTAGTCACTATTTATTTGGAACATGTTGCTTGAATGATTCAAGTGCTATCGTTTCTTTTTAAAATCTTGTCATCTTATTATTGATCTGTCAGAAATTCTCCAATTTTCTGAACGTCACCTGTGACAAAAGAGTGAAAAAATTGTTGTACAAGCAGAGATGGTAATAGGTTTTGGAAAATGAATAAAAGATTAAATATTAATAAATATTAGAGTGTATTCTTACTAAACTTTCACACACAAATGATAGCTACCCAATTATTTCTTTCATGATTTTTACATTTCATGAATACGAGGATCGCCTTCTCGTGGGATGTTCTTCATCATGGCCTCAATAAATGTAACAGAAGAACCACTGCCACCAAGATCTGGAGTCAAAATCTTTGTAGAGGCATTCTTGAGTGTTTCGCTGAGAGCATATTTAATTCTTAATGCATGGTTCTTCATTCCCATATATTCTAACATTTGAACCGAAGAGAGAATAAGACCAATTGGATTGGCAATCAATCTACCAGAAATGTCCATGGCAACGTGTCTATTACCTTGTTCGAACACTCTAACACTGTTCATATCATCAATATCGGCAGCATTAAATCCTGCAATACATCCAGGTCCACCAACAAGAGCCGACGCAGTGTTACTGATAATAGATCCATAGAGATTAGGTGTGACAACAACACTGTTCGTGAAAGAGTTGGGATGCTTTACCAGTTGCATGGCAGCATTATCAATAATTAATTCACCATATTCAACATCTGGATATAACTTTGATACTTCCTTACAACATTCAATGAAAAGACCGTCCGACTTTTTCATAATATTGGCCTTATGAATTGCTACAACTTTGTTTCTTCGTGACAATTTAGCATATTCAAAAGCCCATTTTGCAATTTTCAATGATGCTTCACGAGTAATAATTTTCAAACTTTCAACAACTCCAGGTTGCACCTCATGTTCAAGGCCTGAATATTCGCCTTCAGTATTTTCTCTTACGACAACCAAATCAACTCCTCGGAATGGTGTGAATACGCTATCGGGTAAATTTTGTGGTATCTTAATTGGAACAACGTGTGCATACAATCCATATTTTAGAGCCAACATTCTGTCAATTGACTTGCTAACATCTCTCGTCATAAATGGTCCCTTCAATACAACTTTGTTATTAATAATGGACTGATGTAAATCCGGATAGTGAATTTCTGGATCAATTTGAGACCACTTTTCCTTTCTTAAATATGAGTAAGCTGTTCCTCCGGTTGGATTTGTGATTTCACGACGACGTTTATCTTCTTGAACAATACTTCTTGTTGGGTTTAAATTACTATCAGAACCAACACCAAAGAATGAACCAGTGACAAGGTGAGTATCCCATTGAATTGGAATTCCAGCATAGTGGAACAATTCACATACACAGCTACAAATTTCAACTCCAATACCATCACCTACGTAGTGAATATGATTAATATGAAAGAGGTGGTATTGAAATTCATAGCACGGATATAATATTATTATTATTATTTGATATTCAGTAAGATAAAGAGTTGAGTGTTTTTCAACATCCAAGACATTCATCATTAATAAAACAAAAGGTGATATTAAAAAGCATCATCATCATACATCAACCATTAATTCTTCACCAATGATCTTACCTGGTAGCAAGGTAACCTTTCTCATTTCATTCTTCTTCTCTTGATCTCCCATTGCTGAGGTAGAATAAAAGGCTTTCATCAACGGAGCCAAATTGGCTTGATGTGATGAGACCAGAGGCGTATGATGATAATTTTGAAGGAAACGAGAGACTACTTTTTTCATTTTTTTTTGAATAAAATTTTTGAATTAAATCTGGGTATTTCATTGAACATTAATGTTTTTTTAGTGTCGGTGGACGTGTGTTGAACGAGGTGATGGTTGTTATTATCATTACATAATTATCAGTAATTTCTTTCACTATGATGTGGGGATGAGACTTTTTGCTCCGAACGTCTGAAAACATTTATAGAAAAAATGCTAACCTCAGTAGGGGTATCATCATCACCTCGCTGTTCATTGTTTTTAAACCCGAATGATCATCAAGGACATTTCAAAACACGTGGTGGTTATGCCAGTATCATTCAACCGAATAATTTTATTACTGAAATTATTCATAACGTAGAGTGTTATCCCTTTAACACAGTTGAAAATCATCAGAATTATAATTTCATATTATTCGGGGGAGACGATCATTTCTATTTGAGTGTTTATAAAGTGGATCATATCAGCAAGAGTGTGAGGTAGGCTATTTAAATTTCGAACAACCAACAAAATGAAAAGATGATTGAATATAATTTGTTGAAAGTGATATTTCAAAACCAATATTTATGGAGTCCACACATGGCAAAAGAATTACATTTCTAGCATTTGCAAATATGATTGAAACAGATTATCTGTTGACTTTTGCCGTTGCAGATATTTCAAACACTGTTTCAATCTATCAATCAGAGAGGAGAGTTCACTCTGGAACTACTCTTTCCTCGAAGCCTATCGGAATTAAGAAAATTGCCAATTTTAACTCACATAAATTGCCACTAAATGGATTGAAATTTGTGAACGGTAGTGGAGATGCGAATCGATTACAATTAATAACTGTCGGTGAAGACCATAAATGCATTCTCACCTCTTTTGAGAGCAACAAATGTATTAGCAAAACGATACTTGAATCTTTTTCTGCGCTTTCCTCTGTGAATATCCGAACTCCAAACGAGGTTGTAATTGGTCAACACTTTCCTGCTACATGTCATATTTTAGATTTGAGAGAAAATAACACCCGTTTAAAACCTTCTCTATCTTTAAAGTATGGTAACACATCTGCAAATTTTACGCTTCATGACTCGGATGTGCATCCGTCGAAAAGTGAATTAATTGGATGCAGTATTGGAACTAATTTTTGTATTTTTGATTGTAGAGGAACCTCATCCTCTGTGGTCCATACTGAGCTCGCGCATTCATCAAGTTTTTGCAAACGATTCAGATGGGCAAATAATCCAACGCAAGAACTATTCGCAACCACAAACCCGTTTGACACAATCAAGATTTGGAGTTTAACAAGTAGCAGCTCATACGATACTAGTAAGCATGTATTACAAAGCAACAACATCTCCTCTATTTTGCTTTCCACTTATAAACAGAGTCACATCATTGGAGGAATAACTTGGACATCGTCTTTTCCAAATTCCTTAATCACTGGTGGAGACAGAAAATTAAACAGCTATTGTATTTAGCTTGACATTGAAAAATTTTACTGAACATAAATTACACAAATAATCTTGACGAAGGGTATTTATATTTTCTGTTTCAATTTCATCAAGTCATGTTCATCATCTCGGGAATAAAGGCCCTCTCTAAGAGTTTTGCTTAATACCTCTCTTGCCTTTTCAAATTTGCCAGCATTCATTAGCCAAGTGGCACAATTTACTGCAAGTCTTCCCATGTTTTTGGTTTTTCTATTTAAATAAATATTTTTTCGAGATTGACATGTGGCAATATAAAAGAGAGAATCATAGCAAGCTGCTGCTTCGTCTACCATCTTCAGCTTGTTAAAAAAGAAAGCCAAATTATAGACTGCTTTGTTATAAATTTCTTCGGATATAGATGGCTTAGACAAGCAAAACATAATGACTTTTCGAAAATAATAGAGAGCTTCTTCTGGTGACTTTCCAGCAACATCCAGATAGGTGGCATAATTTAACTTAAAAATGATGGAATAATGTTCCTTTTCCTCTTGAGTAATTTGCCCTTGTTGAAGACTTGATGTTAGAAATTCCTTTCCTTTCTTAAACAGTGACTCAATGGTTGCATGGGATGGTCTAGGGCCGTTTTTTTTCATGGAAATTACAAGTGAATATATTCTATAAAAGATTATGTAAAATTTGAATTCATCTTTCATATTAGGATTGCTCTTGATGTAGGCATCACAGCCATATTCTGCCAAATCATACAAATCACCTTCATGTTTTTTCCTTTTTTCATAATATTGCATCATTAAATGTACAAATTTTTCGGGTTCTAAATTTGACTTTTTATAATATCGGACTGGTTCATGAAGGTCTAATTTATGATTGTATCGTCGGAACGGGGCTTCTTGTAACTGCTTTTCATCTGAGTGATTAAATATTCAAACGAAATGATCATTGAAGGTAAAATATTAAATAATAAAATGATGATGATGAAAAATTTGATTAAAACGCATTCGGATCACATGGAGGCCCGATCCGATCAATACTTACTGTATTGAAACTGAGAAAATATTAAATGTGGATCTTTATCAATCTCCTCCATACTTCTTGGACCCGATGATACCTGAACACTTTTGCTCATTTTTTTTCTGTTGCTAGCTGCCCGCATATGGCCGAGTGGTTTTTCTGGAACTGTGGCAGCCAACTGGTCCAGCGTTCGAATTCCAGGGGTTGCTGCTGTTATCGTGAGCAGTTTAAACACCTTTACTTCCGTGGTGCCTGCTAGGAAGTCACTACGTATCTTAGTTCGGCTTGTAAATAATGTACATAAAACCATCGAACAACGTTTATCATCGAATAAACCCATCCCTGAATTTTTTTTCTGTTGCTGTCCATCTTATGAGGTTTCACTCAAGAACATTTCCTTTTTGTTTCTATTGGCGGTCTTCCTTTTGGTTGTGACTTTTGAGTGACAATTTTGATTTTACGTTACTGAACTTGTTGACAATAGATTCATATCCACAATCACCAGGCATAACAGCACCCTCCATAGATGATTCTATTTCATCTTTCATGAGAGTCATAAAGGCACTATCTTCGACTTTTGGACTACAAGCCCAATAGAGTTTTCAAATTAGTATTTTTACCTCAATGAGGTAATTTAATTAACCAGGATCGACGGATCGGATCGGCCCGATCCAACGATTATTTTTGAACTTTCTATCAGCCAATTCAATCCCAAAATCCGATCTATTTAAATTTCCTCAATGAAATTGAAAAAGTAAAAGAAACAGCTTGAGGTGAAACAAATCTGTCCTTCCAAATTTTAATTTGAAATATGAAATTGAAAATTTAGGGTATCACTTTGACAAGTTGATTTTCTTAGACAAATTAATTTTTGCTTCTCCGGTTCCACATGGACAGTTGAGAAAACTGTAGGATAGGAGAGACTCTGCATTCAAAATAATTTTACAATATTTGGCGACTTTTGTGAAACTAAAAGAAGAGTCCGACGAGTCTGATGATGACAGTAAAAGCGACCAAAGTGAGGATGATGTTGTCGCTTCTTCAAATGCCGAAATATTCTTGGGTTGGAATGAAGATTTACATTCTCTCAGCCTCGTTTGCTCTTCCATTTTTCTCAAATGCTTTCCTTTTCAATTAGACTGTTCAATTCAGAAGGTCTTCAAACATGTTACGTCCTTAAGGGACAATCTTTCCAATATGCTTTCCATTCTTGTGTGCGTTATATCAAGTTGAGATATGGTGCCATTGACTACAAATCTTTTGTCTCTGCTCGATTTTCATTGGATGGAACGGTTTATGAACATTTTGCACTAGATGACGAAGGCAGTTCTCCTTATTTCAAAATTACTAAATTTGAAAAAAAAGAAACATCAACACAAGATGAGGTAACAGTCAACTGTTTGAAATGTAGCAATGGAAAAGCAAACATTACCAAATCTTTCGTAAAGGAATTGGAAATCTTGTTTACCAATCGTGATTTGCCTGAATATCTTTCCCACTTATTCGACACGTGGAAAAAAGAACCAGCAGGCGAAAAGAGGAATAAACTCGTTGAAGCTCTCATTAGATGCCTTCCATGGGATTCCAGTTGGAATTGGGTGTTCTTTTCAGATCAAGTCAATGTAGTTGATCGGATCAAGTATGCCTAGTAAGAGATTGATCTTTGCGGTCAGATTCGAATCGTTGGAAGTGGAAAGTATGCGATCATGACAAATTCACAAGAAATCGACAGGTTTGAAAAGTTTCCTTCATGATGCATCAACCAACTCCAAACATTCACCCAAAACAATGCAATAATAATAAAATTTACAAGTTGACCCATGACCGTTGAACATGAGTACTTTACGGAAAGACATTCATTCAGTTTCGATGATAGTTTATCAACAACTCTCCTGAGAATGCATTCAAACTTAGAGTGCATTCTATTGTTGAATAATAATGATAACCTTAATAATAATCATATTGAGAGCTTGTGAAGATCATGATCTATTCATACTTGTTTTTCAAAGTGAGTGCCACAAAACGAAAATACTGATTCAGGATCTGTATTCTATTGTATTTTTGTGAACCCATATGATTAAATTCTCTCCAATGGTGTCAAATAGAACATCACCATTATCTTCACAACACAAATGGTTTGACACAGGTACAAGTTCCATAATAAATAATTCATGTGTCCAAAATTTGTTCACGGTTGTTAAATGTATTCGTAAAATAGAGCAACCTTACCTCCTCAGATGTGAATCATGAAAGTTGACTGATTCTTCTGCACCAAGTTGTGTGAACGTAATCTTTCGGGATGCATTTTTTCCTTATTCTCTCTCATAAATTCCGTGTGTCCTTAAATTTCCAAATCGAACAACGTCAAAGGTCGAACAAGATATCCCTCGCTGTCATTTGTCATCATTTTCTCAAAGAAAAAAAATAGCGCTCAACAAAACTCAACCTGAATGCCCTTCAAAAACTTTCTCAATTCCATCGTAAATAGCAACAATACGGGTGGTTCTAGCCACACGACCCGAACTTCTCAATCACACAGAGCCAATCACATGTTCGCCTTGTTGAACCCTTCCGGACATTCCACTCTTATTGAAGATGGAATGATTCATATCGACAATGATAGTACTTTAAGTGCTCATCATCACCAACAACAACAACAACAACAATTAATACAAGGAAATTCTTCTTCAACCTCCTCTCGTCATTTTCCATTACAACAACAACAACCATCAACAACAACAACAACAACAACAACATACTCATCCGCCTCAACCAGTGGTGGCAGTGGTGGTGGTGGTGGAGACCACACAAGTAGTAGTAGCGGTCATTCAGTCGAAGAAATTGAAATTGTCGCCGAAGACCAACAATCCAATGCTTCTCGTCAAGAATTAATTGTGACAAGTGGCAGTGGTGATGGTGATGGTCGTCGTGATGACACATCTAAAAAGCAAAAAGGAAGAAAAAATTTGAAAAATTCCTCGACAAGGCCAAGTCGATCCCGATCCTATGACCATCTTGAAAGTGTTGCAAGTGTCACCACGAATAGTACGACTGCTCTTGATTTGATTTCAATGCCACAAGGAGAGGCCTCTTCTTCGAATCCACGCGTGAATCAAATGTCATCATCATCGACAAGTCAACATCAAATGGATCGACATCTTATCGAACATGATCGAAGAATTCAAAGACAAATTGAATTGGAATCAAAGAAACCAAAACGAGTACGAGTGTTAGTGTTGGGATCTGGAAAATCTGGAAAGAGTACTCTCATTCGAAAAGTGAAATTAATTGACGGTGACTACACGTTAGAACAAGCCAATGAATTTAAAGCTAAAATTTTAAAGTTTGTGTTAAATAATGCCAAATATGTGATTAAGAATTCACCCAACACTGAATTGAAAGATAATATCAAGAGAAAGAATCAATTACTGCAAATGTGGAAATTTAATAATCAAACCATGAATGGCAGTGCTGGTGGCTCTAACATCCAAAATTCGACAAGTCTCACTCCAACATCTACTTCTTCGAGTCATGCTATTCTTGGAGCGAGTGCGAGTGGTAATAGTAGCAGCAGCAGCAGCCATGTCCTGTCGAACAATGACAACAACTCTTCTTCGAATAACTCACCAGGTCTCACTATTTCACAACCACGAAAATCAATGTCGATGACAGATTCTACTTTGAGTCGAATTTCCTCTTCACTTGGAGAGTCATCTCCAATTTCACATCGAGTATTATCACCACCAAGTACTTTAACACAACAGCCATTCATCGATGAAGGTCAGAGAATTACAAATACCTTTTTGAATCCTGAAGCAGTTGAATTGTTTAAGAGTTTGTGGAGAGATAAGTGTGTAAAAAGTAATTTTGAGCAATTATGTTTGAATAATTCAGTACTTTATAATGCCAAATACTTTTTTGATAAGATTGACACGATTGCATCAAGAAAATATGTTCCATCCTCAAAAGATATTCTCACCACATATATTGCATCAAATGCCATAGAGACAGTTCAATTGAATTATACATTTCCGTGTGAATTTGTGGATATTACGGGACAACGAAATGAAAGAAGAAAATTCATTCATTCACATTTTGATAAGGATTCAGTGTCAGCCATTGTATTTCTCGTGTCATTGACAGAGTATTGTGAATATTCATTTTCATTGTACCCTTCATCGAGAGATCATGACAATGACAAACAAAAAACAAACCATGAACAACAGGATCCTCTACATTTTCAACCCACTCAACCAAAAGAGGACAAGCACATCCTTTCTTCCAACATGCAAAATTCTCTTTCTCTCTTTAAAGAGATTTTAATGTATTATAATGATATGCCAATCATTTTACTTTTTACCAAATTGGATATTTTCAAGAGAAGAATTAAGAGAGTGCCACTGAATGTGTGTTTTCCTGATTTTGACTATTCTGGAGATCATGTATTTTTATACACTAGCTTTATTGCAGGTAAGTTGTTAAAACATGAATGTTGCGTTGTGACAACTTGTTGCGCAAATATATGTGACTTGTTCGACATCGTTCGATAATTGTTTGCAACACTTCACACAGATAAGTTTATTAATGTAGACCCAACACTTCGACAGCGATGTTTGTATACTCATTTTGTCGACTTGGTCAATGAAGATACTGCACAAATGGTTCTCGATGACATCAAAGACATTATCCTTCAAAAGACATTGAGAGATCATGGCCTGTTTTGAGGTAGTGGCTTTGTTTCAATCTTAGTGCTTAGCAATAGGAGGTCAATAAATAGGACACATTTGCATGACTGTTGTTGCAATTTTTGGAACAATTTTACTAACCAAGAACAACTGACTTCTTCGAATAAATAACGCTTTAACACGGTAATCCTTCACCTTAATGTTGCTTGGTGAATGTGTCATCATCGTCAAAATAATCCAATGGTTCAGCATCCTCCATTGTTGGTGTTGCTGATATCTTGTTCGGAGATGATGGCTGTTTTGGCTGACCTGGATTGGTACGTGCCAACACTTCTTCCTTCTTTCTATAATATTCAACCCTCTCCTTTTGAGAGAGATTTCTATAATGAGCTGCCTTTTCTTCTGGTAGATTTTTATACAATTCCGCAGAAATGAGGTTCCATTGTTGCACATTCAAGTCTGGGAATTGTTCCTTCACAGATGCGAATATATCCATTTTAAAAAGTATGAATGGTGGTCTTGGTTTTTTGATTAACTTCCATTCTGGAGTAGTTGCTTTTTTTTCAGCCTTTTGTATTTCTTGTAATTTTTGAAATTCTTCTCGATACTTGTTTTTTTCTTCATCACTTAATAGTTTCCATCGAGCAGAAAGAATTTTAGCTGTCATCAAGTTGAACCGTCCTTTCACATCGCTGTAGAGATTGTCATAATATTCCTGATTTGCAAAATACTCTTCTTTAGATTTTTCCCAATTTGCTTTAACATAAAGACAATAAGTGGAAGGTAATCGATTGTCGCCCTTGATGCTTTTGGGGACAGTGTTTTTTAATCGTCTTGTCCTTTTCTGCAGACGTTGTAATTTTTCTTCGAAAGATGTTGGTTCCCCTTTTGTAGAAACATCCTGGTCCGGTGCTACCACTGATAAATTCATTTCCTTCAACTTATTGAAAAGTTCGGATTTCTTTGGATGCCTTTTTTGAGAAGAGTTGTTGTTGTCGATATTATTATTAAATCTGGTATGATAATTGTGATGATGATAGTACTGGGAGATGATGAATGAAAAACGAGCGGATGATGAGAAATTCATCAATACGGACGTGTGGGTCCATGTTTTGATGTTGTGCAAAAGAGAAGAACTCCTTCTAATAAGAGAAGGCATTTTTTTTAATCTGTTCAAGATATTCCTCCCGCTCAAAATTTGTACAAAATTTAAATCTCAATAAAAACAATAACAATGATATCCTCACGACCATCACCACCAATCGATGAAGAAACAACAACTCGAGAAACCGACTCGGACTCAACGTCAACTCTTGAAGTTGAAATTGAGTACCATCGACCAGAGCTGAAAGAGTTTGATCCTCGGATGCTCTCTCCTCCGAAACCTCTGTCCTTCAAAGATAAAGTTCGGAAACGAATACAAACAGGGATGTATGTATTGTTGTTGTAGGGATTTTCGAAGTATTGAATCTGTCTTGACTTGTGCTTATCAATACTCTTCTCCATAGTGTAAATATTTCTTTATTTATTTGGGAAATGATTCTTTCGATCATTTCCGTTGTGATATTGGGAGTGTATTTTCAAGAGTGTGGAAGTTGTGACCAACCCATATGGTCGTGGCTACTGGTCAACACCTGTATGTCTTTTGTATGCACATGCTTAGTTTTGTTTTTGAAAGGAAAAAAGTAAGTTGAAGAGACTTTGAGAATCAAAAGGGTGAATCTCACTCCACATACGGTTTTTATTCTTCAATGTTTAAAACAACAACCTTTACAAGAATGGTGGTCATATCTATACTTTACAGCTTTTTCAGATCTGGATGGAGTATTTATGGCATTGTGGTGGTGGCTAGAGAAACTAGTTGCGTGGGTAAGAATGCCAATGGAGCTCATATATTTTCAATTGTTTCAGTGATTTCAAACATGGTTCAAGTGGTTGTGATTGTTCTCATTGGAAGCTTTTTGATTGGTCTTTATGTGGCCAAACTAGTTCAAAAAGATAAGAAGAAAGAAAAAGGGCAGTACTCACAACTGGATGATCTCAGCTCATACGTCAATCAATCCGTTCCACTCATGGAAGAAGACTCTAAGGCGTCTGAAAAGCATGAGGAAGAGTTGGAATTGGAGTCAAGTGTCCACAACCTTATCATCGAAAATAATTTTTCGAGCAATGGCTGTTCGTTTCCTGTCGATGAAATCATCTTGGAAGATGAAGTCAATCATGAGGATATTGCTGTTGAGCATCTTGACCTGGATCCAATCGATGAAATAAAACTAAAGTTTAACTTGTAGTGAAAATGTTATTTTTCAAACCATGATTTGCCTTCCATAGATGTGTCTGTGAATTGATATGACGATGACAAGGTAGATGAAGATAACGAGCGATTCACCATATTTTGCTGTTCCTCCAGAATTTTAACAACATTCATCAATGAGTCCTCATCATAAACTTCCCCTTCAGAGTCTGAGGTGAAAGAGGTGTCAGAAATAAAGGAATCAGTGAAAGAGTGTGGCTTGTCTTCTCGTTCTGGAAGTTTCTCAGGTTGAGGGGGTGGATGAGATGGCTCTGGAAGCCGATCCGTGCTCGACGAAGTGGTGTCAGCAAAAACCAGTAAATGGCGCAGGTTATTGGCTGTAGATTTATGAGGACTCTCGTCTTTCTTTGCTTTTTCTGATTTTTGAACGATGTTTAACAAATCCGAGTCGTCAATCGTTCTATCAATTCGCCGTGAGCTTATTGAGCTTGGAGAAGCTTCTTCTGTTTTTTTGATGGTTTTCTTTGGAGTTGCCAAGTAGTCCAAGAGTGGAGAACGCCTCTTGTCCTCTGAAGAAGAACTGTCAACATAATTTTGCGAGCCGATCCTCATTTCTCTCACTCGGTTCATCACGTCATGATAATCCTCAATTTCTTTTGGCACAGGATAATTCGATGATGATGACTTTTTCGACCGTTTCCTTTTTACATCCATATTCGGTAAATATGGTTGGTCTTTCTTTGAAGTGGATGAAAATGAACGCTGATCCGTTTCTTGAGTGTTGGTTGGCCCACTCGAATTACTAAGCACAGGTGATATCTGAGGAGGTTCATTGTTTAACATCAAGTTAGAAGTGTTTGTGGCTACAGTTAATGTTTGAATAGGTTCTGGTTTAGGAGGCTCCTCTGTTTGAACTGAGGAATCCTTCTTTTCCTTCTTTTGAAGAATTAAAGACATTCTATTAATCTCCAATTCTTCCACAAGTCTCTCAAGCCTCAATTTATCTTTTTGTAAATTCCCTATTCTCTCGAGCATTCTCTTGTTTTCCTCTCTTAGATAATTAGTTTCGGATGCACGTTCTTGTTGTTCTCGCTCTCTCTCTGTTGCTAGTTTTTCAATAATTTCATCGCTTTTTTCTTTCAGCCTTTTGAGTTTAGCTGCACTGGTGTTGTATTTTGTTTTTAGTTCATTCGATTCCTTCTCGAACAGTTCTTGTTGTTGCTGATTTTTCAGCACAAGGTCTTCATTCTTTTTCACCTCTTCTTGATATAATTGTTTGTATTTAGATGCTTCTTGATTACTTTCGTCCAAGGCTCTCAGTATTTGGGCCAGCTTTTGTTTATCGGAAAAACATAAATCCATAAACCCAATCTCTTTCCTGGGAGCTGTTTGATTCAAATAATCTTGAACGGAGAGAGGAATTGAAGTCATTGTCCCTCCGATTTGATTATTGTTCGAACAAGATTGTTGTTCCGATATTGTTGATGAAGAAGCATCACCCTGAAGGAGATCTTTGAGTTGTTGCATTTTTTGAGTTGTGGTTGAAAAATTGTTTATATTTGGCGGGTTCGAAATTTTTAAAACCATCAACTAACAAAGTGGTTTCAAAAGAACGTTTAGAAAGGTCCTTCACAATGAACATTACTTTGTAGCATGCACCTAATCTGAATGTGTCACCAGTTGTGGCTATCTGGATCTCAAATGATCACTGATATTTGTTGAGATTAGTAATTGAGATTAGTCATCATTCGGCTATGGAATACAACAACATCTTGAGGTTGGTGTTTAGCGGAAATATTAATATGTCATCTTTTGCTATTTTCAAGACCAACAAAGCAAGCCTTACATTATTACTTCCTAAGCGTCGCATTGTTTCTGTTTTTTGGAGATAATTTATTCTTTTTTCATTGCGATATCAGCAATTTTGCTCAAATTAAGAGATTGAGATGAAAAGGCTCGCATTTGGTCGCAAGCATTACCCAACTGGTTGGCAATCATCAAGTAATTAAGTTGGTTTGGTTGCTGGACAGACTTGAGCATAAATTCTTGTTCTTCTTGTGTTTTGTCCTTCTTCTTGGCTACATATTGCTTTTGTTGAGCCAATTTCTTTTGATAGGTCTGATAACGATGATTTTCGTGTGACAAGCCATCGGCATACTCAATAAGACTCTCCAATCCGCGTGTCAAGAATTGAGTGTTAGCCATATCTAAACTATCATAACCAGCCAAGAGATGAGAAGGTTCATCATTTTCAAAATCCAACAAGAAAGCTTGCACCAAGGCATAATTGTGAATTTGAATAGGAAGCTCGTCGAAAATATCCTTATCAGAAAGATTCAATTTAGCCAAAATCTCTTGTGTGAGTTGAATGTTTTCAATGGACTCTGGTAAGTTTGCTTTTTCAGTTAATACTTCAATATCTTCCTTCTTGTTCTTATTCTTGGTGTCGTATTTCTTTTTCATTGTGGAAAGCTCATTTTGTTGCAAGTAAGCCATTTTAACAGCATCAATAAATTTGTCAGAAAGACGATATGCCTTGATGAATAACTCGCCACGTCTTGTTCTTAATGGGTCAAATACCAAGTGAATACATCGCTTATTTCCAAGAGTTCTTTGATATTGATATTGGTTGGCAATAGTTGTAGAATTCATAAAACTATCCATATATGTTGATTGATACCATCCGACAGTATTGTTGTCAACATTCACATCGGAAAGACCTTGCAACATTTCAATTTGATATTTTTCATCTTGATCACTTCTTTCCTCCTCAGTCATGTCTGTTGTATATGTGTTCATGTAGTGTGGATGAAAAAAGTACAAAGCCGAGAGAGCAAGTGTAACCATTTCATGATGGTGGTAATGATAATTTTGGTGGTAATGGGAGGAATAAAATGATGGTTTGATTCAATATTGAATCGATAGGCAAAATAAATCAAAACAAAATAAAAACAACTTTGAAAACATACTATCGCTATAAGATGGGAATGGGAAGCAATTGGTAATTTCCAACACGCCACCATTATCCAAACCTAAAAGTTGACCAGCCACTTGGATAGGAACCTTTTCGGTACAGTGATTCATCATCTTGAGCAACACCATGGCATCAATGCTAACCTCGCTTACGTGAGGAGCATTCTCCATCTTGCTGATGAAGTCTTTGTCAAACTCCACCGTTTGCGAGTCGACCTGAACATTTTGAGCTTGAGTGATTGTGGAGGCAGCGGATTGCTTTGTTTGACTCATTTTTTTCTTCAAAAACTCTAACAGCATGCCAGGATTGAAAGTATTGGATAATTTATTGCACAAAAGGTTCTTGTTTATTTAAATTATTATTAGTAATGCTTTAGAAGCAACATAAATTGCTATATTAATATTAAATAAAAGATCAATTCAAACACCACGATGAGAGTAATAAAGCAAAATATTTTGTGGTCATCAAATAAAAATGATGATGAATCGTCGAGCTGTGATGAAAGGTGTTGCGAGCCTAATCCCAAAACGTTCAGCAACGGCACAAATTGGTGGCAACAACACCAGAATCGCTGATATGGGACCTCGCGTTGAAAATCCACAACAATTGAATCAGGATGTTCCTCCACCAGGTGGTTTCCCAGCAGTGAGAGTCAGAAGAAATGCTCCAAATAAGTTTTGGTCGATAGGAACCTTCCTCTTTATTACAACAGCAGTGATGAGTTATGGATGGTATCGTTATTATAAGTGGTTGAAGAAGAAAGAGTAAGTGGTCATGGCTCTCTCATGATGAAAACCAAAATTTAAAACAATATATTCCCACCCATCGTGATGTCTTTCGTCGAACACAAAATCATTGGAAACGTTCTGATTCTTGAACAACACAAACAACATTAATCATCGTCATGATTTTTATCATAATTAATTATCATCAATGTGGATGACAATTCAATTCGCTCCATCATTTCATCATTCATTGGGAAAAAACGAATGATGACATTACTTGATTGTTCCTTCTTAAATAGTGAATTAAAGAAGGAACGTGAAGTTTTGGAGTTGGCAATGACACCTTTTCTGCAAGCCGAACATGATATTGCTTTTACATTGCAAAGAAGAGCCTTTTTAAAGAAGGTTGAGGAATTGATGAAAAATGAACCAGACTTTAACGCTTATGAAAAGTTTTACAATTCTTCTTCCCGTTTCCTTTATCCAGTTTATATCGCCCAACTTCGTCACCTTACTGGAACTGGTGTTTTAGAGAAGGAGAAACAGTTTTATGATAAGGCAAAACAACCAGCACAACAATAATATTATTGCTGCTATTCGAAAAGTGTCTCTTAAATGTAAAACTATTACAACAAGACATGCAACAGGTCAACCAACACGTTGTGATTTAAAACAAAGGGCTTTATGACATTTTTAAATTAAAAAATAATTTCCTAGTTTCTCTTACCACCACGTCCTCTACCACCTCTACGAGGTCTATATCCACCACGGGAATTTCCTCCAGTTTTTGATTGTTTCTTAATTCCTCTCTTTGAACCCTTCTTTTTCCTTTCAGGGGGTTCCATTCCTAGTCCAGAGTTGATTTGCTTTTGCAATTCGTCAGCAGCAAATCTTTCTTTACGTTTCTTAATCTGCTCCTTATCGGTCATTGGATCCGATGCGCTTGAAGATGAGGAGGCTGCAGCATTAGAAGTATCATCGCCCTTCTATCGATAGAAGGTTGACGCCACAGTTTCATGATAAAGATCACCGTCATTTTGTATGATCAAATTGACGTAAAATTTATCATTGTCATCATCACGATCGAATAAAATCCACAAATTTTCAGTTTGTATTCAAAAGAAAAATCAAGTAATCCGAATTAGAACATCATCAATAAAGTAATGAAACAAACATTTTCGTTTGTGAATTTCTTCTTTCTCAGCGCTGCTCTTTCCTCAGAGGTCATAGATTCAACCTTTGTTAAATCTGAGACTGAAGTTGTTTCGTTGTTACTCATTTTTTTTGTTTGAAAAAAACATTCAAAGCTTCGTCTGTGATGCTTGATCCAGCAGTAAGGTTACCTAATTCTAATAAAGCTTGATGAGATGACAAGGAATTGAACATTCTAATTGAAACATTAATCGTTGAGTGCATATAACCGTTCAAATTTTAGAATAATCGATTCGTCCGTAAACAAAGAGTTGGGAAAGAGAATATTGGAAAAAATGTCTCCTCCCAAAAACACCCCCAACAACAGCGGTAATGGTCTAACGCCAAGCACGACCACCACTGCCAGCGACAATACTCGTTCGGGTTCGCCCGTGGTGCATCCGAGGCGACATTTCCACTCAATCACTTCATTTGTTGGCAAAAAGATCGAGGCAGGTAATCAACAAACCAACAAATTCTTTTCTTCTCTATTGTCTGCACTTCCGAATCCCAATACTCCAAAGGTTGTTCCGAATGTAAAAATTCCTCTAGTGAATGAATTGAAACAAGCTAATTCTACAGTAGTGAAGAAAATCAAACAAACAACAAAAAATCAAAAGATTGGAATTTCATTTTCGGAATGGATCAGTTTTAGAAAACCAAAACATGAAACGGAAGAGTCGAACGTACGGCAGTTGTCAAAGACATCTTCTATGAGTAGCAGTATGGATGAAGAGATTGGTATTAATCTTTCACAATTGCTTTCACAACTAGATGACTTGGATCAAGATGATGACATGGAGAAGTACACAAGATTCGAAAAGATGGAAGCTTTCCGAATGTGTTTGCAATGTGTGTACATGCCATTGTTTCCTCAATTGTCTCTTAGTAGAGATGACAAGCTTGAAACATCCAATGATATTGACCTTAATCTGCTAAAGCACACTCTCAAGGCCAGTTTTTCTGGTGTTGTTAACGAGAGAGATTTTAATGAGGCTTGGAGAAATATTGACAATCAATACTTTCCATTTCGATCGAAAAATACGATTGCTCAGAACAGTGTTGGAAGTGACCTTGTGAAAAATGCAATTTTATTTCGGAAATATTTGGCGGAGAATGATTTGAATCCAATGTACAATATGAAGAAGTATGCAAACCAAGCAGAATATCAGAACTGGAAGAGAGATGAGCTGAATCAAATATCCATTTTACTCAACACCATTGATCAACAACGAACCTCTGTATTTTTAGGAAGTTTTAATTTGAATCTAAATATGCTCACACTTTATATTCAAAAAGCTTTCAAAAGTAGGTACAAAATTGCTTGGTGTTTGTATTATTTATTTTATTACTTTTTTGATTCTTTCGTAAATAATGTGGCATACTTATGGAATTTCAAATATTTGCCACAAACCACCCCATTTATTTGGAAACATTGTTTAGAAAACGCCACCGACAAGCGTCAAATATTCTACAAGCTAAGCTTTGTAAAACATGTAAATACTCCACCAATTGTGTTCGAGTCTGACAAAATCGAAGAAGATGGAATGATTGTAAATGGAAGAAAGGATATTTCTCTCCCCACTATTCAACACCAAATTACAACCTCTGTCGAAGATCAAGACATTATCATTGATTTTTACCACTCGCAACTAAAAGGTTTGAAAAAAACACATTTTTCCACAGCAAAAATTAGTTTATCCAACATTATGAGAAAAGTATATGACGAGGAGGGTATTTGGGGGAGCACCAAATTTTCAAATATCATAGATTGCTACTCTACCGACTCTAGCCCTTCTAATGAGAACATCATTGGATGCTTATCAATATCTGGTGATGTTGCTTTTAGGAGATACCCTAAAAACGCTGTCGTGCAAACAGACTTTTCGAAAGAAAGCAGAATTGATTGGATTGAGCAATACAAAATTGTACTCCAGTACCTCATTAAGGCAAGAGAAAAGTTGAAAGACACTCTATGTGAAGCATTCTTATGCCCTAGCCAAGCATGGATTCTGAATGACTTTGAGAAGCGATATGGAATCACTGAGACGTATAAGCGATTGATATATTTGGAGGTATTCGCCTCAAACATCAAATTGGCTATAACATTCTCAGAAGACTTACAAAAATGTTTAGAACTTCTTGATAATAATATTGAGAGTAAGCATTTTCAAATGACGCTGTCAGAGAGAAACAGATATTTTGATTTGACAGAAATTTTGGTGAAAAAGATTGAGAAAGCTCTCAAGAAATTTATTTCCATGTTTCCAAAGAATCAGCCATCTGGAGCTCTCAAATCATTTGTGTTTATTCACCACCTTCTCTGCTGTGAATATAACAATCGTATTAGCGAAAATGATTACAAAAAGAAGCTCAAACACATTATCAACACTGCACTTCAAGATCATTTGGATTTAATTCTCAAGGATATCATGACAAGCTTGGGAATTGATCAAATTAATGGTCCGGTATTGGTAGAATTGTGCAAAGAACTCGTGACTGTGATTGATTCAATATTCTATTACTGTGGAGTTTTTCCATTTGAAACATTCGAAATGGATTGTCTTCAATTCTATTATACAAAATTTGAATATTTCATCAATGAATGTAAAAAGAATAATACCATTAATGGATTTTACATGCTCAGCTTGTGTAGTACCATGAAAGCTCTTCATGAAGAAATTCGAAATGATTTTCCAGAGAAAGATCTCGAGAAATTCAAATTTATCGATTGCCAAGCGCTCAGTGCTGGTTATGCGGATCGATACATTGGAGAATTGAGAGACGTGTTATCAAAATGGATCAAACAGTCGATTGCCGTAGATACTTTTAATCCCGTTACAGAAAGCACCATGCATAGCACCTCTGTCGTGGACTACTTCACCTCTGTGAATCAAGTCTTTGAAATGTTAAAACAATTGGATTTCTCAAATTCAGATTTATTTATGAGATTCTCCGAGTTGGTCATTCAAATCACAACTACCGAATATGCGAAGAAACTCTCAGATTTGTGCCTTAATGAAATCCACACAAGCCAAACCATGAGTAATCAGTTAGAATCGGAAAAACGATCCTCTGGAATGCTCTTCAATCTCATACCAAAAGCATTATCGAAAGGTTTATCTTCTTCCTCTCAAATTAATATTCTTCCGATTGGAATTTCCAAACAGTTTGTGATTCGCCTCAATGATATTGAAGCCTGTAGACAAATGTTACGAGATGTTGTTCAAACCATTTTCGATAGTACTGCATGGCAAGAATATGAAGAACACGAAGATGCACTTTTAGTTATGGATGCCACTGAAGATGGTGACATTGACTTTGATGCTCTCGAAAAAAGGTCCAATGAAAAGTCAAAAATGATCGAAGAAGAGTTCCAGAAAAAGTCAAACATGACCATTCAAAAATTCTCAAAGCAATTCAACGAAATGCTCTTCGATTTGACATTAATGACAGCAAACATTTTTCAAGCTTCTATTCGAAATACAATTACACATATTTTACAAGAAGCCAAAAAAGACCTACAGAAAGCATCGGGAAAAACAGAAGTCCTCAAACTCTTTCAACACAAATCCGATAGTTTGCTTGAAAACACTTTATTTACACCAATATTAACCCCCGCACTCGAAGTCCTCTCTCAAAATTGCTTACCTGAACTCTTCCAGAAAATTCTCGAACGTCTCTTTACCATTGTAGTTGAAGAGTTGTCTCTCATGTTATTTGATCCATCCAATTTCACAAAAAAGCAACAAGATCGAGTATTTCTCACTCCTCAACAAGTCTATGTATTGGAATCCATGTTAGAATTATTTATTATTTATTTCTGTGGAAATGAAGAGAATCAAAGTAACAATGATGACTCTTGTGGCATCTTTTCAAAGGCTTTTGTCAAAAGTAAGAGCATGTTATTGACCAAATTGTGCAAACTTTATAATCAACCGACCGAAAAACTTGAAATTCATTTGCAGAAACTTTCAAGCAAACCAATATTCGCTGAGAGATATCCCATTAAGGCATATCACATTGTCTATGTTCTATTCTCAAGAAAGAAGAATGATCAAAAAGCTCGAAAACTCTATCATGAGAATAGTGATAAGGCCAAAATGCAACGACTCATTGCCAAATTCAATATTTATGCAAGATATACCATTGTAGAAGGTTCTGTCAAACTTCCATTACTATTCAGTGCCACTTGTTCAGACTCTACGAAATATGCAGCTGGAATGTTGCATGTGGCTGGTACATTTCTTCTTTTCGAGTTCAGATCTTCAAATGTTTATCATCGAATTTCATTGCATGATATTACTACTATTCACTTGACAGAAGGAATGTTCTCACGAAAGGGAATTTCCATTCACTTTAATGATTCCTCAAATTCTGCCATATTCGTTGGCTCCACGTCGAATCATCAGAAAAATGGTGTGAAATTTTATTTTGCTGAGGAAGGATTGAGAGCATCACTCGTGGAATGTCTTCAAAATCAATTCAAAACACTGAATAGAAATGATGTGAAATTTATGAATGAAAATACTACTCCAAGCAGTAAGAGTAAGCCATTTTCATTTCCATTATTTGGAAAAAAGAGATCAATCACTTCAGAGTCGAGTGATTCCATCATTTCCATGAATGATAATGTGCCAAATGATGATGAAACTGAAGAATCCAGAGAGGATGTCATCAAGAAGAGATTCGATGTTGCCATTGATGAAGCATGTATGTTAGATTTTTCAGCAAGTGTCAAAATGGTACAAGATGCAACCTTCCAAGCTTCTATCTTTATTTTCACAAGTAGTTTTTGTGTGTATTCTGTGGCAGTGAGTGTGTGTGAAAAATTCGCTTGGAATCGAGTTCAGAAAATTACATGCTCTCCATCCGATGGAAGTCTACTCCTTTCACTGAAGGACTTTGGCGACATGACGATTTTCAACACACCGAAGGCAAATAATCTGGAGTTTTTGAATCAATTCAACAAGTGGAAATCCCTCACTGAAAATGTTCAAACCAAAAAATCTCAAACTCTCAGTTTGGAAAATTTATTGAACTTAACCGAAGAGCAAGCCAATCGATACTTTTTACAAAAGTTTCAATTACACAAGATCAGCTCAAAAGAGAAACTCGTAACGTACTTTATTATTTGCAATCATCAAAACAACATTCCAAATGGTATTGCCTTTGTGGCTGAACAATATTTGTGTTTTGAAATTTTGTTCCAACCAGAAGCCAAAGATACTGTCATTCCATTCACAAGTATTCACAGTGTGAAACAAAAACAACCCACAGAAAGTCAATTAGGAATTATTCATATTGAAACCACTCATAAATTGAGTTATGATTTGGTTGTGATTCATTCTGCCATGCCATTCGCTTCTCTCTTTCAACTCATTACATCAAAAACAAAACGTAGTCAAACCTTTTCACTTAATCCCTTGAATATGATTAGTATGGGAATGGGTGTGATTGGAAGTTCGAAACCATCTGGAAATTCAAATGATGAACATTCACAAAGATAACAAAAGAGTTGACCATGTTTCATTCAACAAACAAAACAATTTTCTGAGAGCATAAGTTATGGAGAGAAGGATGATGACCGATAAATGGGTTAGACTGTAACAACTGAGAGAGTGTCGTCCAGCCGACTTTATTTATCGAAACCAATTCGATCGAGGAATCACTGCCAAGCTACGCCAAGTACAACACACGGTACAAGATAGCCGTGAAGAGGCAAAGCGAAACCATAAAACGTGATACTTTTCTCTCATGAAGAATGAATGGAGCGATATTCAGTCACTCGATAAAATTGGTGACTTGTGGTTTGAAAAAATATTTATATATCAGAAAAGAGGATTTTTTCTGGGCTGAAGGGCCAAAATTCACAAATGATTGACCTTTCCCATGAATAAAACTGTTTCGGTTGGTTCATGCATAATGATCAATCCGAATGGTCGATTTGCAATAAATTGATGTTCTTTCTTGGGTTCGTTGGAAACTTTTATGCATCTAGACATAATCACCGCAGTGGCAGCTGCTGCCTCTGTTCCACTTTCATCGACCTTAATGACAGCCTTGTGAATGACATCACTAATTTGAAGTGGTTCACGAGAGAGATTTGAGAAATCGGCTTTCAAGAAAGCACTCTTCATGAAGAAGGGAGGCTCTTGAAGAATTTCACTCAAAGAAGCCTCAAATTCAATATTAAACTTTGGAATGTAGAGTGTTTTGAGTTTGATTCCTGTCTTAGTAGAAAAGGATTTAGGAGTAGCTACTTGTTGTGCAAGAAATTGATCAAATTTCCTCTCTCCTTCGAGTGTCACTTTCTTTTCATCATGTTCTTCATTGGGTAGCATGTTGAAGAGCATCATAGAGATGACTGGCGAACAAACGTTGAGAACCAGTCAATACTAAAGAAGAACTCGAGGAAGAGGAGGAGGAAGAGGATGAAGAGCTGAGTGAATCATGATGGGAAGAAGGATGGAAGAGCATGATTGATTTTTTCTTCTTGTGAGAGAGAGCAATTATTTGGTGTTCGCTCTGGTGTTGACCAAGAAAGAGTGTTCGCCATCAGAGATTAATCAATCATGAACATGTTCGAGTGCATGAGATTAGAATGAAATCTTGGGCTTTCTCTCTTAATTGTGTTGAAAGTCCCTTCTAATATTACATTTCGGAGAATTCGAATCAAAAAAATTAATTGTGAATCATTGATGATGATGCCATTTGGGTTCAAACGCTGTTTTTCTGGTGATCAGTGACATTCTTGTCATTCCATTCGATCATTGTTGAATGCTCATCAATAGTCTCCTACCTTGGGAATGACCATTTGTTACTCCTGTCACTACTCTCACTTGTTGTGAATTCCCATTCTCTTCAACTGGTTAAATGTCCATGTCCATAACAATAGCCAAATTATTAGTAGTAGTAGTCTTCATCACCTTTTCCATTTTCAGTGCACTCCTCGATAAGGCATGTTGTTTTCGATCTTGCATTTTCCAATCCTTATACGATGGAGTGAGTTGAAATCTTCGAAAGGTATCTCTCAAATTTCTTACTAATGCTATAAAATCAATATCATTTGTAAAATCATCCGATTGGACATAGACATCTTAACATGATCCTTGTTGACGCCATTTATGAAAAATCGCTTTGGATTGAAAAATTCACACCGAAAGTTTTGCATATGATCACTCACATAGAGATTGTAACTATCATGACACAATGTTCGGTACAAGGAGTCTTACACTTGACGAGAGAGATTTTGTTTGAGAGTGGGTTTGATCAAAGAATTCGAATGAGTAGCACCACTCTCTCGTCTCTGATTTCTTTCATGTCACAAAAGAGTTGTGTAATGAAAACCACATTTTCAATGTTAAATTCACTTTTTGTATACAATCTCATTAATTCAAAACCTTCAATGTCCATGAAAAGTCTCGACAATTCTTCACCCAACAATTCAAATCTAGAGTTGTGATCTTGTCTATTGGAATATCCATGTGTTGTTGTGGAATGCTTATCACAAATTCTAATTGAGGACAAATGAGGTCTGACATTTCATCTTTACATTCTTGTCTCCATTTATGTTTCGGAACTTTAAAAAAAATGCTTTCATCCAAATGGACTCGATCATCATCATCCCTAACATTCTCCCACGTGATGATAATGTCTACAATTTCAAAACTACCACATCATCTTCTCTCTGCATTCCGTAAATTCGGAGTGAATTCCACGACAAGCACTTATTATGGTAATTACTCGACATGTTCTACATTACATCATGATGAAAATGCAATGGTAGCCATGGAATGGTATCGGAAATTAATTAAAAAAGCATCGTTCATTCCGAACCAAGCAAAACGAAAACAAATATTACAACAAATTAGAAAGGAATTTAAAGATGCCACTCAAGTTTCATCATCATCCGATTGGATTAAAAAAGCAGAGCAAGCTCTCCAATTTTTAACAATGATTACACCAAAAACACCAACATCCAAACAAGCATCCACTCCTCAACAACCCCATGATGGTATTGTAAAATATGTAAAAATTGATGGCGAGTGGGTCGATGTAAGAAATGTCGATCCTGACAAATTGCAAAAAAGAGATCTTGCCTATATGAAAGGTGGATCAGAAGATAGTTTTGCTCAATCAACACCTTTTTCATGTCCACCTGGAGGATGTGGCAGATGTCAATAGCCTCCCATTTTCATGGACGCGTAAATCTTTTCATTGCACATTCAATGATTTGAAATAGAGCAATGAAGCATGAAAACACAATCATCAGTGGACACTCGATCACATACAGTGATACTTTTTATCACAGTAAAGATTTCACAGTGTCAAATCCAGACAGGTCATTCCCTTACTGTTTTCTAAATATTCACGTAACATGTCTCGCTCCCTACGACCTTTGCAACACACTAAACACGAGCCATCACCACCACTTCCCACTCCTTTTCCGCCATAGGCTAATTCTTGCACTGTTTCATCGGACAACACTGAGTGAAGAACTGGAGCAGTAAGCTCACTAGGGCAAAGTGGTGCCAAATGGCGGTCAAATAAATCTTGGGCTGTGTTAAACAGCTTTCCCAGACCTTGTGCATTATGTTGCTCCACATATGAAAGAGCTTCACTACATATTCTCACATTTTCTTGGAGAAGATACTTTCTCGCATTGTTGACAAGTGTTGTGTCCAAGGCATATTCATTAAGGGAAAATGCTCGATTGAGATCTTTTAAAATTTTCACAGTGTCTTTAGAGGCATTGAGATCGATGAGAAGCATGTAAATTTTTCCATTTGATTGGTTGTCGTGGTATGACATGTTCTTGTCATCATCGCATGAAATTTTTGTCTGGGTGGTAAATGAAGGCACATCCTCCGACATGGATACGTGAAGATTACCAGACATGGGCTGATTCGTTTCTCGTGGAATCATTTTCTCAATATTCATGGTTGAATCTAAATTAAATCGTACGGAGAGACATCGAGCCACGTCACCATAAGCACAAGCATGGTCGAGCTTTCCACATTCACTTCCAATCGATCTCTCTCCCAAGAATGCAATTTCAATTTCCTTCTCAATACTCCAATTTAGATTATAACAATGATTGAAAATTCGAGCAATTAAAACACAAATAGCAGCACTCGAACTCACTCCCTTTCCCATTGGTAATGTAGTTCTATAATTGTGACAAAATAAACTCTTTTTGGAGTTTGCAATTCTCTCCACAACTTGAATATCTGAAAATATCCCTTTCAATACTCCAATCATGTAAGAATAATATTTTACATCGGACACATGTTCAAAGAAATAATCTTGCTTCAATAATTCACTCAATGATAATTCAAATAAATCGCTTAATTTAAAAATCAATCGGTTTGATTTTACAAGAGGAGTTGTATTCTCTGTTTCAAATGTAAAATTTAATTTCCGTAGTAGATGAAAAGGAAACTCGGTACTTGAGTCATCATCATTGGTAACATTGGAGGTCGGATCCTTTTTCAACTCTACGTTGGTTTTCAATGATAATAGATCATCACTCCATGGAGTGGTGGAAATAAATTCCTCTCTCACACGAATATGAATTCCCTGATCCGTAGGACAAATTAAAGCGAGTCCATAAAACGAAGTTGATGAGAGATCAGTATCTGCGTGATCATTGAAAGCATTCTGCTCTCGAGAGAAAGACTTGTTATACTCGGAAATAGCAGCCCAATCACTATGCTCTCCAACCAAACATATTCTTCCAGGCATGAAGAATTCTTTCCACTCCTCCTCCGTCTCGTCATTGAAATACTTGGAACACATTTTTTTGATGTGAACTGGAACTGTGGCAGCCAACTGGTCCAGCGTTCGAATTCCAGGGGTTGCTGCTGTTATCGTGAGCAGTTTAAACACCTTTACTTCCGTGGTGCCTGCTAGGAAGTCACTACGTATCTTAGTTCGGCTTGTAAATAATGTACATAAAACCATCGAACAACGTTTATCATCGAATAAACCCATCCCTGAATTTTTTTTGATGTGAACAATAACACTTGACCGATGGTATCTCTTGAGAGGTCATGTTGGCCATCGACTTTGAGACCTCTTAAACTTACTTTCAAACTCTGAATCTCATGTTGAACGAAAAAGTTGTTCTTTGCAAGCACCATTGTATACGAAGCGCAAGCTGGAGATGGGATAGTTATTCTGCACCGAGGAACTGAAGTGGAACCCTTCCGAACCCGAGCTGGCGAGGGTTTGGAACTGTTTCGCTGAAGTTTCGAGGTGATAGAAGCAATTTTTTACTGTGTTCCTGCAAACACTCTCTCAAAATAACAAACCGAAAAAAATGGATCCACAGCCAATTACACCACCCGCTACAAAGAAGAGAAAGGTAACACAGGAATGAGAATTGTGCTAGATTTTGCTTCTGTTTGATGGTATCTGTTTTCGCATTGAGGAAAAGTAGAGCAACATTTTCATCTGGTAATACATCAGCACGCTCTTCTTTGTCAGCATACGAGCCAGAACTGTATGACTCTATGGTCTGCTTTAATTGTGGGTAATATTGTGCCTTCTTCAATTTGTATCCAGTGGTTTCTTGATAACAATGACTGATGGCAGAATGTACTTTCCACAGCTTTTTACCAGTGTAATCGTTACTTTCGGCTAGAAATTTGAAAAACGCTATCATACTTCTAACATCTTTCGTATCCAAAGTGTGTTTTTCGCAATACATCTCATACAGTTCATACTTCTTCTTGTATTCTTTTATGGTACGAGCATTCTTATTGTTTGTAACGCTTGAATCTGCTTGTTGATCATTCTCTATTGATTCCATGATCTTGTCCGCTTCTGTTACCTTTCTCTTCTTTGTAGCGGGTGGTGTAATTGGCTGTGGATCCATTTTTTTCGGTTTGTTATTTTGAGAGAGTGTTTGCAGGAACACAGTAAAAAATTGCTTTTCGTTGTGTTCCACACTATTTTTATCACAACTCGGTTTTTCTGTTCCAAACCGACTGACTTGGTCCCGCTGCACTCCCTTCAGAGAGTTCCAAACACAGTAAAAAAAAAAGGATCATTGCTGAAAAGAGAAACGTCTCTGTTCCAAAACCGAGCTTGACCTTCGAATATGTGGAGTGTATCACGAACCTTTCCTTCAACCTTGACCTTGAAAGTTTTATCTTCAATTTGATGGATGAATAAAATTTTTGAACCGATTCGTTGTAAACGATAAAATTCGGTTGACTAGGATTTTTTCTTTTTCGAAAAAAAAACTAGAGACTCTCCACACCCATACACCATCATGGCAGGAAAAGCAAGAAAACAATTGTCGAAGGATGAAAAGACAAAGTTGAAGGAACAATATATTGAAACCTTCATTAATATGCTCGACAAGTACTCAAAGATCATCTTTGTCGAAGCAAACAATGTTAGATCAAGACAAATGGCTGATATCAGAACCGGTTTGAGAGGAAAGGGTGAATTGCTCATGGGTAAGAACACCCTCATGAAGAAGGCCATCAAGGTTTTGAACGCTGATTCTGAAGGAAAGTACAAGTCTTTGGCTAGCAAGCTTCAGGATCTCGAGAAGATTCCACCACTCCTCAAGGGTAACGTTGGTTTGGTCTTCACCAATGGTGATTTGAATGAAATCAAGGACATTATTATGTCCTACAAGGTCGGTGCCCCAGCCAAACAAGGAGCCATCTCACCAGTCACTGTTGTTATTCCAGCTGTTAACACTGGTTTGGAACCAACCAAGACTTCATTCTTCCAAGCTTTGAACATTAACACGAAGATTACCAAGGGTACCGTCGAAATTATCAAGGAACACGTTCTCTTGAAGCCTGGTGACAAGGTCGGAAACTCTGAGGCTGCTTTGTTGCAAATGATGAACATTAAGCCTTTCGAGTATGGTTTGGTCATGGTTAACATTTATGACAATGGTGCTATTTACTCACCATCTGTGCTCAGTTTGACTGATGCTGTTTTGGAAGAGAAGGTCAGAGACGCTGCTAACAATGTTGCTTCTATTGGGTTGGCTTTGGACATTCCAAACGAAGCTTCTATTCCTCACTCTGTTGCCAATGTTTTCAAGAACTTGTTGGCCATTGCTGCTGGTACCGATTTCTCATTCAAGCAAGCTGAAAAGGTCAAGGAATTCCTTGCTGATCCAAGCAAGTTCGCTTCAGCTGTGCCAGCTTCTTCAACTGCAACCACTGTTGCTCCTGTTGTTGAAGAGAAGAAGGAATCCGAATCTGAGGACGACGGTGATGCATTCGGTGGTCTCTTCTAAATTACTCTCGGCCTTACAAGAAAAAAAAACAGTCTATTTGCGGATGCCTTAAATAAGTTAATGTGGTTAAACGAGGGGCCATATCATTGGTGTAGCGCTAACGGTCACTTCGGGACTCTAGTATCCTTCCATATTATTTAATAAATCCAAAAGTATTCTGTAAATGAATTGTTTGGTGTGACAACATATGCACGAGAACAGAGAAGCTTTCAAAAAAAAGCCTTTTCTCGCGTGGTTGTGTGTAGCAAGAGAAGAATGTAGTCAGACTCAAATGAGGTTTTTACTTTTTCTTTTTCTTCTGTTTATGAGGTGGAGCATGGTGCGATGTTGGAGGTGACGATATTTGGGAGACTGAATTTAGTTTTTCCTTTACCTTGTCTTCTGCAAGAGTGGTGAGAATTAGTTGTTGATTTTCTTGTGACATGCATTCTCCCAAAAGATATTGCTTTAAATCTTGGTATCTGTTTTCGTCAGTGGAGGTGTATTCCTCAATGCTCTTTGGAAACGGTGATGCAAAATCGTGAATTCGATTGCTAGCATTGACAAATATCATGCTCACCTCTTTCATCAGATAGGCGGCTATTTGTTCTCTCGTTGGAAGGCACTGACTCCATGCACTCATCTCATTATACACATGATTAATCAAGTTAATATTTTCCATTGTAAGGCAGTACAACCTAGCCGTGATTGCCAAGAAAATCATCCATGGCATGACAGAAGTTCTAAATGCCATGTTCAATTTTTGATAAATTTCTTGTGTAATCTCCAATAACACACATTGAATATATTTTAAAGTTTGACTCAATTGTAAAATATTAAAGAGGCATTCATCGACAGCGTCCAAAATAATCTTGCAACTCGAAAAAGTCACTTCAAAGCGTTTCTGATTTTTCGAACCATCTTTTTCAATAACCATATTTTCATCAATTTTAGCAAGTGATCTTCTCAATTCCTTTCCAGATAATCTGTGCATGTGCTTTTTAATAAATTTGTTCAATTTGATAATTTTCTGTGTATGATTTTCGTTACGATAGGCAATTCCAAATCTCTTTTTCAATAAATCAATAATTTCTCCTTCATATTCATAAAACGAATAATTCGAATTGTATTTTGTAAAAACATCATGCAGTGAATTGGATTTGTTATCGTCCATGTCCGAATAAAAGAGATTCATTCGTTCCCGAACAGAATGAAATCTTTGTTGAAAGGTCTCTCCCTCCAAGTAAATTGAAAATTGAATGACAATGGCTTCATCACTGTGGAGAGTCAGAATTTTCTCAATTTTCGAGAGTTCCTTGAGAGTTTTTGTGGTTTGTTCGATGGTGGAATGTTCTTGAGTTTCTCGGGTGCCAGAAGACACGCTACTTTTTGGTCGAGAGACAAACATTTTTTTGAATGCAAGACAAATGTACTAAAGAAACTTCATTCATCTGCCGTGTCATGACAGAAAAAACACAAACAAAATATTTCGCTTCACCAATGATTTTTACATCATCTCCAACAACATTAATAGCCAAAGAAAAATCAATTTCGAACATCCAAACTCTCATCAAGTACTCAATCAAAAGAAATGTAGAATTGAACAAATGTGCCTAACATTCAATCCACAAGAAACTTTGTACAAAATTAAAATTAACTTTGATTCCAAGAATCCCAACACTGAATTGATTGAACAAGGATTTGAAATTATCAAAAGAAAGCAAGAAACACATATAGCAAATTGTATACTCCCTGAATCAACAAGTGAACTCGCAATTACCAAAGCTATTAAAACACTATGCAAGAACACAACCATCAAATTCGAAAAAGAGAGACTCAGTATTAAGAAAAAGGTAAAAGATACCTACTCATACCTAATTGTTGAATACAAGCTTAATGACATCAATGAATTGAATAGACTAACCTCAACAAGATTTATATGCTCGACAGAATTGAAACCAATTTCAAGACAATTCAAGCCAAAGTCAACCGCATGAACGTGCGTTTAATAGTTTTACCAGCACCAATGGTGCTAACAATAAACTAATTAGATTTTTTTGAATGCAAGAGTCAAAAGCCCCAAGAAATCTGAAAGGGATTCGAAAAGAAAACATCAATTTGAAAAATAAATTACTTCTCAATTGGTTGTCATATATCCCGTGTAGTCCAATGGTTAGGATACCTGGCTTTCACCCAGGAGGTCCGGGTTCGATTCCCGGCATGGGAGCTTGTCTTTTTTACCTAATAGCTTTGAGGACCATTTATCTTACGGTGATAATTTCAACATCGAAATATTGTCTACCTTCTATCATTATTCTTCTCATAATGTCTGAAAACATAATTTCCCTATCATAACAGTGCTTGGCATGAGTTTTTACAAAAATGGAATCCAACCAACACAATTTTCTCACAAACTCTGAAAATGAAGGAATAACTCTTGTAAATAATTCGTTACTATTGTGATCCTCAGACTGGTCAATAAAGCTCATATCGTCATGTTTCATATAATCAAAGCAGTAATCAACTAATGCAGCCAAATACTTGTAGCTCTTCTTTGAACATTTGTTTCGATACCTTTCAAAAACGTAAAACAATGTGAAGCCATGCTCGTAAATTATTGTAGCCATACCTTGTGGAGTAATTGTTTAATTAAAATCTAGCCTCACACATGCCATAGTTGCGAATAACTCTCTCAAACTCGTTGGAAATACACAATCAACATTTGTCACAAAATTTTTCAACACATGTGTGAATAATTGACGAGAATTTGCAATCATTTTGTCATTCACAGGGTTGAACTTTTGAACACATGGTTTGTGATTGATTTCATACAGCTGAGCTTGTTCAATAGAATTGACAATTAACTTGTTAATACTTGTGCTGTTGATCAATAGTTGGAATATCATGGAATGGCGAACATTGAAAAATGCACTATTTTCTTCTGTTGCTCTATTCTGTTCGCATTCAGTGATGGTTAATATTTTTATCATATCAGTCGTTGCATTTACCAAATAAAGTAACCTTAAGAGCTTTCTGTTCAAGTTTTGAAACGTAGAAAATGAGGAAACAGTAAAATAGAGTTTCATCAAAATTGAAAGATAAGTTCTAAAGTTCTCGCAACTTGACATCTTGTCATTATTAAGAATATATTTGTCAATGTTTGAAAAAAATTGAGACCTGTCTATTAGTGCATATTTGCTACCTCGAATGCTTGTCTGTGTAATCTGATGACTATGTAAAGCATCCAATATTCCATTCCATAAGAAATGAAAATCGTGTGATTGAAATGAATTTTCTGTCATTAAAATATTGTGTCCTTTTCCAATGACATTTGAAAAGTAGTAATTTGTAATTTCTGTGAAATCACACAAGCTCTTTCGTTGATGGTGTTGTTGATGCGCTTGTTCAGTGGAAAGAGTTTGCAAAATAGTACATGCACAAATCCACCTTAATACAAGTTCTTTGTTGATATCATCTTGTTTGTTAAATAGTTTGACCGGAACAAAATTCAAATAATTTCTCAAATTAAAAGATTCAATCTTTTTCTTCAATGTTTGAAAAAGTATTGAATATGACCTGGTTGAACGATGATGCTGACATTGATTTTGTTGTTGTTGAGAGTTTTCCTGAAGTATTTTCGAAACGGAATACCACACAGCCAAATCTGCATGACAGGTCGCCGAGTATTTCAACATGGTATTGAAATATTCTTCTGCTTCATCGCTCGATCTCATTGGTAAAATTAATAAAAGTTTAAATATGAATTCGCAAATGTGAATTTGTTTTTTAAGAGGAAATTTCGAGGTCTTTTTTGACGTATTCTTTGATGCTGTCATGTCAGATAATGTCTCAAGTCGTTCAGTAATTTCTTGTTCTATCCCATTCATATTGAATAATTCAATCGCCTTCTCTTCTCCCAATGTTTGACATTTGTGTAAGAATTCATACTTCAGAAAGGTCAATAAGGCAAATTGTAAATATTTTCCGGTGAATAATAATTGCTTCCATGATGATGACTGATTGCTCGAGTTGCCTTCGTGTCTTGTTGAATCATGAACATCAGTAGTGGTCGTTTGTGACTCTTGAATGAAAAGTTGTTGAATGAAATACAAAAAACAAGTCTCAACAATGATGAGAGAGGATGAAATATTGCGATTTGAAATTTCAAGTTCACTGCACATGGGAGGTATTTGTTGTTCTTCTTCTTCTTGTATTTCATTCTTGTCGGAATGATGATTTTTCAACCAATGTTTGTCATGATCATGGTTCGGAACCTCATCATCATGATGAAAAAATTGCCAAAAATCATCAGATCGAACTTTTAGCATCAAGACTCGGCATATGACATGTAAAGTATTGAGAACAATTGGAGAGATTTGTTGTGGAGGGTTGGAGGAGGAGATCAATGAATGAATCCCTTGTTCCGTATGATTCAAATAGGGAATGAGTGAAGAGGCGAGTTGAGTTTGTAGATCAATAAATTGATGAGTGAAGGAAAGAATGCTCTTCTCGAGAAGTTCCCTCATTGATTCATGCTCATTGTTGCTGCTGTGTCTTGTTTTCACAGCCTGATCATCGATCAATGGGACAAGATGGACGAGTACAAAATCCTCCATTTCTGAGTTGAATTCAATTTTTTGTAATTGATTTTCGTGTAACCACACCAAAATAAAACAATGAAAACAACATACATTGTTCACTTTTTGTTTTACAAAAGATGAGTTTATGTGATGAAAATAAATAATTTCAAAATGACCTTTGAAGATTCCAAGAATACCATTACTGAACATGACAATTTGAGGATTGATTTTCAGTATTATTTAGGGAGACTTTCTTTAAGGCATTGTCGTAATGATATTCAAGTTCAATCAATTCATCCAATTCGGTCTTATTTTGTTTAGATCTATATTCTGTCTCTTTTTCTTCATTGACTTGAATGGTGAAGGAAAGATTCTTCTTTTGTTCTATACTCACTAACACATTACAGCACTGATCTAATTTTCCTTCAAAGATCATTTTAGCTAATGGTGACGAAATAAATGTTTGAATATTACGTTTGATTGGTCTAGCTCCATATTGAATGTCAAATGATTGATACAAAAGGAATTGTCTTGCTTCTGGAGTCAAAGTAATTGTAATGGGTTTCTTTTTTGAGAGTCGTTCTTCCAATTGCCGAAGTTGTAATGTTAAAATTGTATCCAAATGAGTCATTGTCAAATCATTGAACACGACAATTTCATCCAAACGATTTAAAAATTCTGGAGCAAATGTATGCTTCACCTCTTCCATAATAATTTCTTGTCTTGTCAAGTCCTTGTCGTCCTCTCGTTCCTCCTGTAGTCGTTTGGTTCCGACATTGGATGTCAAAATAATTGTAGTGTGTTTGAAAGAAATACGTTTTCCATTATTGTCCATGCACATGGCTTCCTCGAAAATAGGAAGAAGAACATTCCAAATGGATGGATGAGCCTTCTCAATTTCATCGAGAACAATCACTTGATGAGGATTTCTTTTCACTGCATTTGTTAATTCACCACCTGTTTCAAAACCAATGTAGCCTGGTGTGACTCCTATTAATCCTGTAATGGACCATTGAGTATTGTATTTGGTCATGTCAATCACTGTAATAAACTCTTCACTACCATAGAGAACTTTGGCCGTCTGCTTGGCTAGCTCTGTCTTTCCGGTTCCACTTCGTCCTACCAACAAATATGCACCTTGAGGCTTGTTCTCTTCCCTTAATCCAGATCTTGCCACTCGAATGGATTGAGCAATGGTTTGAATGGCTTCACTTTGACCAACAATGGTCTTTTCAATTTCACTCTCCAAGTTAATGAGAGAAGCATTGGATTGGGAAGAGAAATAGATATCGCTCGGTTTGATTCCAGCCATTCTTGACACAACAGTTGCCAAATCTTCTAAGGAGGCAGTAATATTCACATAGACATTCTTTTTCAGTGATTCTTTAAAATTGCTAATTTCTTTCTTGAGAGCAGGAAGATCTTCCTGAATAATGGCTGCAGCTCGCTTTGCATACAAAGATTCAGATGAGTCAATTAATTGTATGCATTGTTTGAGTTCTTGTTTAAGGTGATGAATATCGAGTTTGTTTTTCTTGTATTTCAAAAAGGCATTCAATTCTGCAGTCCATGTTTCGTTGCGAGTAGACCATTCTGTTTTCAGTGCTTGCACCGTTTTTGCAAGATCTTGCTTTTGTGTGTTATTGTTCTTATCCATTTCAATATTTAGGATTTTAATTCTGGCTTCGAGATCCAAAATTTCTTGCGGCATTGCACCAGCTCTTCGTTCTGCAAGTGCAGCCACTTCATCGATAATGCTAATGCACTTGGAAGGATTATTCTTGGTTGGTAAATATCGATCGGCGAGTCTCACTGCTTCTTCAATGAGTTCACTTGGTATAATCACTCCATGCCAAGTCTCAATTGAATCTTTTCTCTTTTCAAGAATTTTCAGAGTGTCCGACCAATTGGTCTCTTTCACCTCAATGATTTGGAAAAAGGGATAGAGGGGAGAGTTTTTGAACATGGCAAATTCAGATGGAGTCATGCATCCAATCAATTGCACTTTTTTAGTTTCTAGGAGAGGATGTAACACCGAGGAAATGCTGTCGTAGAATTTGTACGAGTAATCATCGACCATTTTGAAAAGGCCAGGAATGAAGAGAATCTTCCTCTCAGAACCATGACTTTTTTCACGTGATGCATATTCTCTCAATGTTTTAAGTCTGTCATTGAATGCATTCTCTACAAATGTTTTGGAATGAGTGACGGATTGAGATCCAAATAAATAAGTTGCTTTTTCCTTGAGGGTCGCTTTGGATGGATGAGGTGGTATTTCCCATCCGTAAGGATCATACACTCCGAGTTTTTCCAATGTATTCATGAATGCAACGCTCACATTATTGGTCGAATTGCATCCATAGAGATTTTCCACGTTCAATTCCACCACTTTAAGATTTTTCAATCGAGAAGGAAGAGAGCCATAGGCACTTTCTCGTTCAATGGTTTGAACAAATGCATGCACAATGGAATCTCTTCCAACTCCGTGTTCTCCTACGAGCATGACATTATTGTAACCTTCGTGTTTGGAAAATATATCCATCATGCATTGAACTTCGGCACTTCTTCCATCATAGACAATTTCTGATGCAGGATCCTCTTGGTGAAGAATTTTGTAATTGAGACATTGTCCTGTGAGTGGAGCGGAGGGTTTGGGAGGTGATTTGAAGGAGGTGAATGATTCTTCTTTGGATTCTTTGGTAATGGGGTTGACAGGATGAGAATCTAATGATGATGATGATGCTTTGGAGGATGCGCCAGAGGAAGCTGCCTCCGTCGTCGAATTGTTGAATGTAGTGGTGATGGAGTTGGGGGTAGTGGTGGTAGTGGTGGTAGTGGTGGATTTGGTAGTGGATAGGGTTGCAGATCCTATGGATGATGACAGCGAAGAAGAAGATGCCAATGAGCTCTTTTCAGAGGTGGCAGCAGCAGATGTTGTTGTTGCACCTGTTTTCTTTTTATCTTTTCCTTTCACATTCCGTAACTCCTCTTCGGAAAGATCAAAAAACGATCTCGCAATCGGGCATTGCTTACTGATCTGCTGCACAAGTAAAAGTTGTTGGGAGGAAAAAAAGGTAGAACCTATTGAAGAAGAAGTATTCGCACACAGGAGTGTTCTCGAAGCTCGGGCAGCATGTTGATGATGTTTAATTTTCGAAATACTCGATCGAGAGAATCCTCTCCTCATCTTGTATGTGCAATTTTTTTGATTTTATGGAAAACAAAATTGTTCATTGAACATTGCCAACTAATCATGATTTCATCAAGAACTCGATTTTGATTGAAAGAGTAATCAAGTTCGTGCTGGGTTTTGATTTTTTGATTCCTGAAATCATTCACGGATCGTATTGGATCCAGAGACAACCCAACTCATTTGAAACAAACACAAAACATTCAAGCAAATTGGTCTTGGTGCATCACAGGATTGATTTGCAAAAATAAACTTTCTGAATGTTAAGTTGATGGAATAAAGGATAATTGAAAAAAAGAAAAATATTTTGTTCCGATTCTCATTCATCACCATTTCTTCTTTTCATCATCATTACTATCATATTTTCATCATCAAATTTATTCAATTTTTAATTCGTGTCTTTAAAAAAAAATGAGTGAAAACAAAAAGCTTAGCTGCAGATTCTACGAACAACAGCATCCAGAGGTCGATGACCTTGTGATGGTCAAAGTCAAGCATATCACCGATATCGGTGCCTATGTAACATTGCTTGAATATAACAATATTGAAGGTCTCATCTTGAGTAGTGAATTGAGTAGAAAGAGAATCCGTTCAATTTCTCAGTTAATCCGTGTCGGAAGAAACGAAGTTTGCGTTGTGTTGCGTGTTGATCCTGAGAAGGGTTATATCGATTTGAGTAAGAGCAAAGTTGCTGCTGAAGATATTCCAAAATGTGAGGAAAATTATAATAAGAGCAAGGCTGTTAACTCTATCATGAGACACTTGGCCGAAACTACTCATCAAGACATGGAGTTTTTATATTCAAAAATCGCATGGCCATTATTCAGAAAGTTTGGACATGCCTATGACGCCTTCAAGATGGCCATCTCAAATCCTGACCAAGTCTTCCAAGACATTGAATTCCCTTCCGAAGAAACAAAGGAAAATTTGATTTCAATCATTCAAAATCGTTTAAAGCCACAACCAGTCAAGTTGAGAGCTGATATTCAAGTAACTTGCTATTCATATGAAGGTATTGATGCTATCAAGCAAGCTTTGATGGAAGGCGAAAATGTTGGCAGTGAAGATGAAATTGAAATCAAGATTACTCTCATCGCTCCTCCACTCTATGTCATGACAACCACTACAAGTGACAAACAAAAAGGTTTGGATACCTTGGAAAAGTCTATCAAGGTCATTCAAGACGTGCTGGCCAAGTATGAGGGCGAAGTCACAATCAAGACTCCACCTAGAGTTGTCAATGAAAGAGATGACCATTCTCTTGCCATCCTAATTGATAGTTTGAGAGAGCAAAACAAAGAAGTGGATGCAGACGAAGAGGAAGAATATATTGGCATGTAATTGTCATCCAGTGATCACATCACTACATGCAGTCCTGGGTTTTCAAACTCAATATTGTTTCATTCATGCATTCATTCTCTTTCAAAGTGGTGCCATAGTACTGTGTTCATTAAAAACTTTTATAATTTCATCTTGTCAAATACGGAGAAAAATTTGCATGCAAAAATTTTCACAAAACAAAAAACAGCACATCTCTATAAAAGCCATGTCCCTTCACCGACGATTCTTCTTCCGGAACGAAACTTCTTCGATGTGAAGAACAGATCCAGATATCCTCTCGAAATTTGAAATTCCTTTGCATGCTTACCATTTACTCTATCGTCTCAAAGTGATTGTGAAAAAGAATTACAAGTTGGTACCAAAGGCTCTGGAATGGTTGATCGATGCATTTGAAATGAACAAATTCTATTACGTTCATGGGCCAGCGAAATACAAAGAGGCACAACCATTCGTTGCCCATATGAGCATACAGATCGTTATAACCCAGAAATAAGATGTTTTTCAAATTTATTTCACGATTACATGGAAAGAGATGCATTCAAAATAGATGGATTTGGAGAGAGTTGTTTTGAGATCTTTGAAAAGCATTGTCCAGGTAATGTTGAATATTTTGGGCGAGTGTGTGGAAAGGGTAAAAAAAGCTCTACAATTTTGCTGTGTTTATTTGTGATAAATTATTGACAATTCTTTGGAAAAGAACATTTTGGGCGTTCAAGATCTTTGATGATCGTGATCTTCAATTTTTAAAAGTAATCACAAGGGATGAATCACTTAAAAGTTATGGATTTTTCATAGAATAGTTGCGAATGAAGTTTTTTCTTCTCAGAATGGCTGAAACCACAACAGAATAATCAAAGAAAAGAATGGTTGAAATGTAAAATACATCTTTTGTAAAACAATCAGTTATTATAATCAGGTGGTTTTCCAACTGCAACCTCATTGAAAACACTCTATTAAGATTCTGTCACACTAGATTTTGCAAAGCCTCAACCACACTTTCCATATCTGCACCTGTCACCTATCACACATAAGTTTTTCATTCAAAAAAATAACGTCTCCACATTCCATGCCCCAAACAACCGTTTCTTCTTCTTCTTCGGTTATTCATCACCCACTCTTTCCATCTCTCCTAGCCACCCACAGCGTTAACGTCGCTGATGGTCATCGTCACTACAAGAGTGCTTCCTCTCAACCCTCGACCATCACGAGTGAGGACATTAAAAAAAAGTTAACGGAAAGTGGAGAGAATTCTAATAATAATAATAATAATATTAACAATAATAATATTCAGAACGAACAACAAAATAATCTCTTGATCAACTCTTCAACAAACTCAACTTTGAACCATCATGGAGGTGATCATTCTGTGATGGTTTCAGCCATTCCCATTCAACAAGATGAAACTTCAGTCGTCAATCAATTGTGTCATAATTTTCTAGTGCAAGCAAATTATCCTAGTGTGGTTGAAAGTGAAATTCCAAGTATGGTCATGAATTCACAACCTTCTCTTTCCTCTTTTGATCATTCGATTTGTGGTCTTGCAGCAATCACTGCATTACATAAATTGGAATTACAAACTATGTATAATTTATGTGAAGATTTTATAGATCAAATGCAACACACTCTTCATATTGAGAAACAACATGTGAAATTTTGTGCAAAACAAAGAATTCAACATCCGAATGTGTATGGAAGTAATGCTGTATTTTTTGGACCTAATTATGGTAATGGTGGTGGTACTGTGAATAATCATGGTGGTAATGGTGTTGGTGGTGGTGTGAATAGTGGCAGTGGTGGTGGTGGTGTTGGCAATTCTCTGAATTATGATTCTTTTGATCCATTTGATGCATCACCAAATTTGGCACTTGATCAACATCCGAATGGTTCAGATGATGGATTGGGAGATGATGATGGAGATTATCCATTGGCAGAGATTAAAAAGACTGAGGATGTGGTGAAGGAATTGAAGAAACGATACTCGGGTGAAGTGTTGACATTGGCAAAAAAGAAGAAGAATTTTTCAAAGAGTGCCACCGATGTGTTGAATGTTTGGTTTTTCCAACATCTTCATGGTAGGTAAATGCGTGTGATTGTAAATTTTAATGTGTGGAATCTAATATTTTGGACAATTTATTTTGGAACTATTGTAATGTCGAATCACTCACTTGCAATGATAGATCCATATCCTAGTGACGATGAAAAGAGAATTCTCTCTCAACAAACTGGTCTATCTCTCTCCCAAGTGAATAACTGGTTTGGTAACAAGAGAATGAGATATAAGCGTAAAATGTTGGAACAAAACAGAAGAAATGGCCAGAAAGGAGCTGGTTCTTCTCAAGCAGGTGATGATGATGACACTCCACAGCAACAACTTCAATTCCATAACGATCAGGATTTTAATTTCAACTAGTTAGGGAGAGAATGTTTCTCAAAAATTCTTAACTCGAGAAAATTTGTTCTCTCTTTACTCTTCGAATTATGCAATAAAAAAGAAGTACTATTTTACTTTTTAGTTAATGCTTTTCAACAACTTTCAAAGCTTTGGTGTTAAGAAAGTTGCAAAACGTGGTGCATTCATTTACTAATAAACATGGTGCATTCAAAACAAGGTACTTTCTTTAAAATTTAACAAATTAAAAAGCAAAGTGTACCAAGTAACCCACACCAATACCCACCGCAGAACCAACAAATAATCCAAAATTAAGGAAGAAACTCATCATGTAGGCAGCCTTTTCTTGTTGAACAGCCTTAACAATGGATGGCCCACTTGCCATACCAATCGAACAACAATAGCCATTCGTCAATCCAAAGAGAGCCAAAATAATAGCATACCAGATGGGTTGGGTGATGAGAAGAGGATTCACACAAAATATCACTGTTGGAATAAAACCCAATCTTAATAGAATCAATACCCATAATTGTTTGTGTGTCAAGAGAATGGTTCGCTTCCAGTTTGGTAATGCTCGTCCAATACAATCGAAAACATTGAAAATTGATAATGTGACAATTGGATTCCAAGAGACCTTACTATCGTGATAAAATTTGATATCTGTAATGAGACCAGGAGCCAAAGAGAAGGTGGTTAAAAATGTAACGAAAATTCCAAGTCCAGGAGACCAAAGACGCTTCATCAGTGATATCCATGTCATGCTCAATTCATTAATATTTGAGTCCTCTGTTTCTTGAGGTTTTTCTGTTAATTCTGTTTGAGTATTGTCCTCAGTTTCTTCACCTTCTCCACCATTATTAATTGCTCCAACAGTGGAGGCAGTCGGAAGTTCGTTAGATTCTGAAGATTTGAATGAAACATTGTCCGCTTCTTCCTTCATTTTCTGCTCCATTATCATGTCCTTCTCCAATCGACTGATACGAATTTGCTCGTCCAAGTCTCGAGTTGGTGTTTGCATGTTCACGTAATGTTCTTTACAATACTTTGTAATGGGAAGTCTCAGTAAATAAATAAAAGCAATGATACAAATGACCTGAATGATGGCACTGAAAGAGAAAAAGAGAATAATACTGTTAAATAAACCTTGTGCTGTGTCATACCAAATGAGCCTCGAAAACAGCCTAAAGATTGACAAGACTGCATTTCCCAAACTCAATCCAACTAGAAAGAAGACTGTATATTTCCAAGTAAAGTTGGCAGCAAAAGAAATGACAGCTGAGCTTAGTACGCCACTTCCCACACCAACCAAACAATTCAAAACAACTATACAGACTAGCATGAAAATCTTGTCATAGGTATCATCCTTATTATTGAATCCATATTGCAGGACTAGTACCATGTTGATAAATAGAGTCACCATTACACAGACAAAGTTTAGGGCATAACCCATGAAAATAAATTGTTCAACAGTAAAAGTTTGTGCCTTCAGGGTATGTACAGATTTTCTCCACATAAATATAGTATATAGTAATATGGCTGCCAACTGCCCAATATTGAATCCCAAGCTCAATATATATTCTAAAAAGTCTATAAAATTGAAAGAATCGGAATCACCTCGTGATGGAAATATCAAATTAAACCAATCTACTGCCAATTGGTAACAAATTCCAGGAACTAAAACTCCAGAACCCATCAATAAAAACATGATCCTCGCAAGAGAAAATGCATCTCTTGGTATTCCTTTCATTAACTTTTTCGTTTCCGTTCTGCTCACTTTCTCAGCAAATGAAACAAATTTTCGTTCCGAAGTGTTTGTTGAGCTTCCCCCAAAATTATTATTATGAATTTCTTCTTCATTCACAGCTCTTGTCGTTGGATTTGTAACAAGACTAATATCATCCTCTCCATAAAATTCATCATTTCCGAGAGGAGTGTAGGCTCCTCGATTCAAATTCGGCATTTTTTTGTAAATTGCTCAAGCAGGACATCACCTGGTGGTCACGTCAAAAAATCTCGCCAACTAAACAAGGCTGTCTGTCCATTGAATGGCTTCTTCAAATCTATTACTTGAGAGTGACATTCATCAATCCATTGTTTCATTAAACAAGGCAACGATAGAGAATTTCACAACGAAAATTCTTGAAAATGTTGCGACTAAAGAATGTGTGTGAATAGACGAATTGAGAAAAAACCAACAACAGTGAATTGTTTAATTTTGTTTTTGTCTCTTCCTCTTGCCAGGTCTTTTCTTCGTAATTCCTGCATTCTTTCTTTTGGTGGCATCATTCTTGCCTCCCTTGTTCTTCTTTTCACTCTTTTCAAGGAGCTTGGAATATTCCTCAGTGGCAGCATCCACATCAAATTCTTTTCCTGAACCGCTGTATGTTCTTCGCCAATGATCTACTGCTTCAATATCTTGCTTCTTTCTGGCAATCTTTTCCTTAAGTCTTTCAGCCTTTAATTGTTTTCCAATTTTTTGTTGCTCTTTTCGTTGTCTTCTCTTTTCTCTTTCTTCAATGATCTTTCTTGATTGTACTAATTTGTTTCTGATTTTAGCCATGTGTTCATCGGATTTAACCATTTCTGCAAAGTAGTCATCAGGTCTGTGCACTTTTATCCCTAAACTATGCAATCGTTTAAAACCATCTTTTGCACTTGTGATGGCTTGGTTATAAAATTGAAGTTCCCTGTCAATATCATCTTCGGGATTTTCTACTTTGAGTGGGGTATAGGAATTGAGTTGAAGAGTGTGTATCCAATCGAGATTCTTGGTAAGAATTGGTAATTTGTTCATACAAGCCTTGATAGCATCTACATCATAAATTTCCTTGGTGTTCCGAAGAAACATTTCACCAACGGCAGATGCATCATCGGAGAGTGCATTTTCTCTCTTTTCAATGAGAGCTTTGGCTTCCATCAAGTTTTTATAGGCCTCGAATTCGGCTTCATCCAATTCTACATCATCAATCAATAGTTCATTGTTTCTATATTTTTCCGCATACGAAGCAAGATATCTATCATTATCGGCATTGCTGTATTCATCGTTGATTGTTGTTCGTTGTTGTTTTTCGGTGTTGCCAAAGTCTTGCTCAATGGCTTTGAGTGTGGCGAGATAGGAAAGACTCATTTTTTTTGAAGTGGAAATCGCTTCAATTATTTGTTCGATCTTGCTCATTGCCAATAGGTTCGATAAGAGCGTCATTCATAGATTCTATTGGCAATGAACTCACAGAACGTAAAACTACTAACCAACATCAACAAATGGTAACTTTATAGTGTGGATGGTCTATTAATTTTTAAATAAAACCAGCTTGTTTCACTTCATTCACTAATTTACCAATCTTTTCATCCTCTGTTGAGGTTTCCATTTCTTGGAGGATGACCATGAATTCTTGGTCTTGTGAAAGGGCATGTGGTGCAATTTTGCCTTGCTTGAAGAGACAGAAGAGACACTTCAAAACAACAAAGGACACCTTAACCTTGTCCTTTCTTGATTTCATGAGTTCAACAAGGCCAGAAACAAGGTCTGGATACTTGGTCAAAACAAGTGTAGTATTCTCTTCGTTGCCGTGAATCAAGTTGGCCAAAGCATCTAGAGAATAGAAAGAGATAGCGAAATGTGAGGCCTTTGTAGCCAATAGGTAAATAATTTCAAAAATGTCAGGATGTCTCTTGGCAATTTCACTTTGGTTGTCCTTCAACTTGCACAAATTGGAAAATGCAAAAAGAACATTGATCACTAAACTGACATCAATCTCAGATTCTTCAGAGTTGGCAAAGTAAGAAAGCATTTCCACAAGAGGAACAGTTGTTCCATGAGAAACAATGTATTTGCAACTGGCATCTGTTCTTCCAATATTTCCCAATGCAATACAACAATTTCTTTGGATGAAAACATTCATTTGGACTGCTATTGGACTTGCCTCTTGATATTCTTCCTTGAGTTGATTCTTGAATAAGGTAGAAAGAATGTCAGCGAAGGCCTCTACCACGTGATTTTCAATCATGATTGGAATATTACGATCTGAAAAAAGAGGACCACCATGTTATCCAATTTTACACAGCTATTGCTGAAGTGATACATACCTTCAAGAGCTAAGAAGCCTAACAGCTTGACGACAAATCTCAACAATTTAGAGGAACTAGTGACCTTCAAATTTTTTAAAATGGATTTGATTAACTCGACCATTGGTTGAATTAAATCGAGCTCGGTGGCCATAAAGTATTGCATGCAGTCTATCTCTGCCACATTCGAAAGAAATTCCACAACATTCTCTTGTATTCGTTGCTTGAATGCAGGAAGTTGAGTGTGGGTATGTACGAATTTTTTCAACGTGCTCGTAAAGTTTTTAGACTCTTTCAACAACAGTTCTGCCCATTTGTTGTTGACCTTCACTAAGGAGACGTCCAAGAGATGAATGACATGAGTAATAATTTCTTGAACAGATTCCTCTTCTTCCTGATCACTTCCATCCATAATTTCAGATATTTCAATATATCTCATCATGATATTATCCAATGCTGTAATAAGGTTACTGTGCTCAATGGTCAGGTCATTAAATTCCTCTAGTGATATTAAGATGAACATGATGAAACAAAAATGCATTGTTGTTGACTCAAAGTTAATAACACTTACTGTGCGATCCAATTAAGCCAACAATCTTAATAGCAACAGACAAAATGTTACCTTCACATGACGGGTTGTCCAAAATATCATCAATGATAACATCGAGGGCATCTTTGGAGTCAATTTTAAGTTTCACCACAGCCTCACATGCTTCCTCAACATCGCAAACATTTTCGAGAGCTCTCAAAGAATGATAGAGCATTCCAGGCTCTTGATTATCTTTATATTTGTAGACAAGGGAAACCAATGATTTGACGCCACCAGCAGTGACGACCTTTCGTCTAATACCATCTGTTTGATAGTATTGAGTTTCAGGTGTCACAAAAATCATCATTTCACAAATACGTATATATTATTAATGACCCAAAACAGAAACTTATATACTTACCATCCGAATGGGAGAAATTGGCTAGACATGCACATGCACTCTTTCCAAGATTTGAATCATTTGTCTGAAGGGAAAAATCAACAAACTTGCAAATGAAATTCACCACTGGAACTGCGTGATTTTCCTCTTCACAAATAATCAGAGCATTTACCGAATGTTCAAAACACAAATTTCCAAGCAATCGGCACAATTGAAAGTAGAGCACTGATTTGCTTTCATCTAGTATTTCGGAATGTTTCTGTAATAATCGGCAAATACTCGGGATACCATCAACTTCTCTAATGGCATCTCTATTGATCACTACAATGTTATACAGAATATACAGTTGTTATATAATTATTACGACAGCGATGATATTAACGTCAAAAATTCAAAAACATCAGCACAATACGAACATTCCCTTGCAAGATCGGCCAATATTCTACAACATTCTGCTAATTCCTGAATTGATGAACCCTCGCTGTTTTCAATCTTTGCTATACAAGATCTAATCGTTCCGATGTTCACATTATCATTGAGGATGTTTTTGGTTGTTTCTTCTGACAAGTCTTCCTGGAGAGAAGAAGAAGAGGCTTGTTGTTGTTGGGGTAACATTTTTTTGATGTTCTCTGAGAGTTGAAACGACGTTTCCTAAAACAATGTTCTGATGATGATGTTTATCTTAATTTTTGGAGATATGTAGTGATATTATATGATTCAGTAGTCAGCCATTGTGTCGAGATATGATGAAAATATGGATATTGGATGAATATACAAACAAGAAGTTCGTTCAGCATGCCCAATAAAAATGATGAGTTGCGAGAGTATCTCGGAGGAAATTCCACAAGACATGAAAAGCTCCACTCCGAACCCTCCTCGACTCGAAACACACTCTCGCTCGGAAAGAACAACAACAACAACAACTATTTCTCATCAGCATCCTTCGGGAAAATCATCAACACAACACAAGAAACAAACTGAATTGGAACGATATTTTGAATTTGTGAAATTGAATGGAACAACCACGAACACCCATCATCATCATCACACGAACTCATCTTGTGACATCAACACTATTGATCCTTTTGGTAGGAGAACTACACTCTTTAAAATTAATTCAAATGATCCACTCCTGTATTTTAACAAATTGTGTGTCGCCATGCAATTTTCACAATTACTTTCTTTAAAACTATTTCCGAATGCAAAAGAAATAACTGAAAGTTTTTCAGCCTATTACAACATTCGAGATTACTTGAGTTTCACAAAACGACAACACTTGTTATCGGATCATAATGTTCTTTGCTATGTCATTGCGGATGGAAATGTTCCGAGAACAGGTGCAACTATTGCTTGTTCCACCAATTGGCAAGTCTTCTCCATTGATCCAAGAATGAAGAAAAAGTGGCAATCTCAATATTGTGTGCCATGTGAGGAAGAAGAGAAGGAAAGAACATCCAAGAAGAAGAGCAACATGAGTGAGTTGGTTCAACACTCTCCACACACCCTCTCCTCTTCATCCTCTCCTATTATTGTACAAGATCCTCCCTGCAGCACATGTGTGAGTGGTCTCTCAAGTTGCTCACAAATTCAACGATTGTATCCTCTCTCACAAACCACTGATGAATTTCTGCAGAGTGCTCTTTTTGACAAAGCACTTAAACATCTCTCGCCGACCCTTAATGTCATTATTGCTGTTCATTCTCATGCCGATTTGTGGCAATTTTATAAGGAAATACCCAACCCGAAAGTGTGTCTTTGCATTCCGTGTTGTTTTCAGCCCAACATTCCTTCGCCAATAGCCATCTTCAAAGATGAAGCTCTTCATAGTGAAAAGAATGTGGTTTACTTGTGGTCCTCTTGAGGTGACCATGGAACTCTTAGGCACTCTCAAATGCCACAATCTGATGAGGAAAACTTGCATGGATGATCGACTTACTTTTGAGCACATGCACGACTTGCCATGTGTGTTTCATATTATTGCAATAATGGTTTGGTTGTTATTGTAATTCCGAATCCACTGTTGATGTCTCTCTCGAGCAGGTTCAACAAAATAAAAAAATGCCCAAAGATACAACTCATTCTGAAGAAGACGAATTCTTGCAAGAGGAAGCCAGTAAAGAAGTGGTCGACGTAGGTTTTCATGATGATGAGAATATGATAGATTTAAGAGTGTACATTGATGATGATTCAATGTCAAATTTTACATGATCGGGATGACGGAAATTGTATTCTGATAATGATGATTGGATGAATTGTTGTTGTTGTTTTTATTATTTTCATATATTCGTTTGAATGTAATATCAATGATGATATTAATATCACGAAACGAGACAGGATATTGAAACTATTAAAAGACGTATGGCTGAATTGACCGAGGAGCATTCCAAAATCAAGGCCATGCAATTCGAAATTGAGAAGGGATTAAGTACTGTCGGAGAGGATCAAGAAGAAAGAGATTCACGATCAATTTTTGTTGGAAACGTCGATTATTCGACTCTTCCAGAGGAGCTTGAAGCCAACTTCAAACAAGCTGGCGAAATTGAGAAAATTCTCATCAAATCCGATGCCTACCAAAATCCAAAAGGGTATGTAGAAATTCAACTTACATTGACAATGAATGACCAATGAATGGTTTCATGATCATCTTTCAAAAATCTTATAGTTTTGCATATATTGAATTCAAAGATAAAAGCTCAGTAGAAAATGCTTTGCAATTGAACGGAACTGAATTTAAGGGAAGAATTCTCAAAGTATTACCAAAGAGAACCAACTTACCAGGCTTAAAGAGTGCACCCCCAACAAGAGGTCGTGGACGAGGTAGAGGAGGACCACCACGTGGTGGCAGCAGTAGAGGAGGAAGTAGTTACCGAGGAGGACCTCCTCGTGGCGGCCGAGGTGGTGGCAGAGGCCGTGGACGAGGACGTGGTGGAGGTCCATATTAACCATTTGAATTCATGATAACATTCACGAATCAGCTGTGCTGCTGTTGTTTAAAACTCGTTTCCCCTAAACACTCACTCTAAATTATTAAATTGATCCAACAATATGAGCTGTCTCAACGTTCACGAAATAATTATGCCTTTTTGTGTGTCGAAATTCTTTTCATGCATGTTGTGGTCTTGATCATGGTGACAGCATTCATTGTACAATCACCAGATCCGTCATTCTTTTTCTCACAGGCGCAAAAAAATGTCAACAACAAACCAAATCAATCTTTCGACCGATCGTTTTGCAGTGAATTTCAATCCAAACACTCACATTGCTGAGGTGATTCTCAATCGTCCAAAACGAATGAATACCATGGACAAGGCCTTCTTTTCCGAATTTCTTAAAATCATCCGAGCACTCGATGAAAACAAGGAAGTGTTTGTCATCCTGATCAAGAGTACTCCCATTGATCAATGTCCACATTTCAGTGCAGGATTAGATTTAAAAAGTATTACCAGTGATTTAATGCCTTCCGATGATTCTAGCACTGAACTCTCTCCAGCTGTCTCTAATTTAAAACTTTCTGCCATTATTTATGAAATGCAACAAGCGTTCCGAGCATTGGAAAAGACCAACAAACCTGTCATTGCTGCTGTGAATGGAATGTGTATTGGTGGTGCTATTGATTTGATTACTGCATGTGATATTCGATATTGTACCAAGGATAGTATGTTTTCGATTAAGGAGACTCGTGTTGGAATTACTGCTGATTTGGTAGGTATTCCATGATGGAGTATTATTTGTGAGTGATTTCAAATGATTCATCGATGAATCTTTGTTCTGGTGTGAAATGTATTTAAAAAACATTCATGAACGTGGTGGTGTGAAACGAAAATGAATAGGGAACATTGAATCGAATTCACAGAATTGTTGGAAGAGGATTTGCAAGAGAAATGGCATTCACTGGAGATGACTTTGGAGCTGCAAGAGCTCATCACTTTGGATTGGTCAATCAAGTGTTTGACACTCAAAAAGAAATGTTCGATGCTGCTCAAAAATTGGCCCTCTCGATTGCTTCCAATTCTCCACTCGTTGTTCAAGCCACAAAACATGTCATGAATTATGCTGAAGAGCATAGCATTGATGATGGTTTGGATTATGTTCGATTATGGAATTCTGCATTCTTAAAGTCTGAAGATTTGACAGAGGCTTTTATGGCCTTCATGGAGAAGAGAAAACCAAAATTCCAAAACCGATTGTGATTCGATCAAAATCAGTCTTGTGGATTATTGATCACACTTTTTGTGAGTGTATGAATAAAAGAAGAGTTTGTGACATTTATTGGCAATTGGTTCAACCTGTATATGGCTTTCGAACAATCTGTCACTAGTCATTAGTCAAAACAAGAAATATGTAAAATATTTTTGGATTGCCGTTCGATTTTATGAGTCGAACGTGCAGTTTGGTTCTTCACGCTATTTGATGCACAATACCAATCAATGAAATGACCGCTCTGTGCGGTGGCATATTTTTCCTTGAAAACCTAAAACTGATCTTCTCATTTTCACATACCAAGAAGGGTAAAAGCAATTCGAGAGATAATCCTCACTTTCCTGTGATTAGAAGTGGTTGGTCAACAATTAAGATTCTCATGGAGTGGACTTATCGCACAAATACAAGACGTCTTCAAATGACCTCTCGAACCTGTGAAGTAATCTCCAAAATTGTTCGATAATCTACATTGAATACAGTAAACCATTGAGGCTTTGTATTTTCGTCACAGAGTTGTGCGGTGCTCAATTCATCCTCATTCGGTAACAATTCCTTAATGTCGAGTAATTGGGCAGCGAGAAAGATCATGGACGCAGCTATTTCATAGCAATTATATTTGACACAACAGACAGTATCATAGGCCTTATGGGCCAGTTGAAAACAAAACTGTACGAAATAATTTTCCACTTTAAAATTATTAAATCCTTGCAAAGCACCACAATAACCCAAAATATATTTGAAAGGATGATTGACTGTTAATCTAAACTTTAAGCATCTCATCATGACACTTTCATATCCAATCACAGAATCCTTTAAATTAAAGAGCTCGTCATGCCATAACTCTAAAGGTTCGCTCTCTGGGTTTAATACCTTCCACATGCAATTAATAACATCTCGAACTCTCCTTACTTGTTCTTCAGTTTTACAAGCTAGAAACACACACGCACAAGCAATCAAAGTAACATCATATTCTTCCCGTTCCACAAATTTCAAACAATAATAATGAAAATAATAAAGAGCCGTGCAAGATGTAATCGGAGACAGCTCCAACATGAAACACATTTTCCGAATTAATTTAATCATTTCTTTCATAATAAAATCCGATTCTCTCTGGTTCTCTTTGTCATGATGAGTACGTGAAACATTTGGATATTTATCCTCACCATCATCATTCTTTCCATCCTCAACGTTCGATCGAGTGGTGGTTGTAGTAGTTGTTCCTGATCCTCGTCCTGTGGTGGTTGATTGCATTTTTTTATTCCAAAATGAAAAATTGATACAAAAAAAATGTGGGCCAATTCTGTTCTTAAATGGGCCGAACAAACGTTGGAGAATGTGGATGGTGCCTCTCGGAAGATTGCTGAGAAGGTACAACAACAACAACAACAAATTGGAATGCCATCCAAAGCATCAAAAAAGGAGGATCGAAAGAACGTGTTAACTTCTCCCGGTAGTGATGATGATGGTGGAGTTTCTCAACTCGTTACGACAACAACAACGGGAGAAGAGATGAAACGATCAGCATCCCGAATGGTTCTTGATGAAGAAATTAAAAAAGAAACTGAAAAAGTGATGCAAGAGTTTTATGAAAAGAGTGAGGAAGAACGGTTGAAGGAGGCTATCGAGCATGCTCAACTCAACAAACAACACCACCGATTGGAAAGTGTAAATTCCTCCGATTCGGACGATATTAATAATAACAACATGGGAGAAATCTCTCAAGTTGTTCCACAAGATACAGAGTCTTTGTCAAGAGACAAGTTGCTCGAACAAACAATTCTTAAATTATACGAAGAAATTAAACAGACAACGAAATCAAATCAACTCTTGTCACAGAAATACGAAAAATTGAATTCAGTGTCCAAACACTCACAAAGATTTAATGAAGAATCACAAAGTGTAAGTGCGGCATGATCGGAAAAATCTGATCATTTCTCTTTTGCCTTCGTAATTATTATTATTATTTTTCAGAGGCTTGAGGAACAAGTAGCAAGACTACTCGAAGAGAAAGTCAAGACCGACACAGAATTAACAAACGCTCTTAATGAACGAGAGAGACAGGCCCAAAAATATCAATCGAGAATAGAATCTCTGATAGAGCAGTTGAAATCAAAAGACACCCTAATTTCTGAAATGCAGGTCGAAAAAGATGCGTATGTATTTCTTTGACTTTTTGGTAAAAATTCATCAATCACGGAAATTTCAACAATGGAAATATTAATTTTTACTTGAACACAGAATTGCAAACGAGCAGTTAAGATATGAAAAGTCCACTGCTGAAGAAATATCAAAACTGAAACAACAAATTGAAGACCTTCAAGATCAAACAAAAGAGCTTAAAAAAGAGGAAAAGAAAAACATAAAACGGATAGAAGATCTGGAGGCACACCACCAAGAAAATGTAAAGAAACTAAAAGAAGAATATAATGAATTGGAAAATAGCCTCAATGATAAGCTGGATGAAATCTCAAGATTGGAAAGTACTATAAAACTAAAGGAGCACGAATGGCAAGCAAAAAATCAAGAGTTTTTGGAATATAAAAATAGAGCCACTAAATTGCTGGCACTAAGAGATAAGCAAATTGAGGAGCTTAAAAAATCAGGTATTGAATCCCAATCATCTGGCTCAAAGGAACCATCAGTAACGGCAGATGACGACTCGGAGTTAATGCACGCCTTAGATAAAGAAGATATGATGATTGATTTGGAAAATGTCAAGGCTGAAAATCAAGAATTGCTGTCACAGATTGAACTCATGAAAAAACAACATGAAGCTGAGATTAATTCACTTCGATTCAAATTGAAGACTCTTGAAAAAAATTTAGAAAAAGAAAAACAGACCAATGGCGTCCTACAGGAAACAATAACTTCTCTTAAAATGAACTTTGAAGAAACAAAGCATCAATATGAAAATGAAAAGAAAATTATTAAGGATCAATTGAAAGAGAAGAAGGAGGAAATTAATCAATTACAAAAACAATTGAATCAGGCCAAATATAACAATTCAAGCAATCAGAACGAGCTCGAACTACGTAATAGAGGAATGGCTGAAAGATTAATTGAAAAACAAACACAACTCGAAACGTTGAATAGCGAGAAAGCAGCCATTCAGCTCGCCTTAGAAAAGAGTCAACTTAAGATCAAGGAATTGCAACTCCTTGCTCAAGTCACACCCATGTCACGGCACAGCCACTACGATGAAGAATCACCCTACGGCAATGATGTTATTCATTCATCGGTCTCTATGAAGACTGATCGATTTTTCCAAGATTTGTCCAAGCGAGGATTTGTGGCAAGCAGAGTTGCCAATGCTATGGCCATCATTGATAGCTTTTCAATTTCCACAGGAAGCATTTTGAGAAAACTTCCACTCTTGAGGGTGTTTGTGGTTGTCTATGTGATTTTACTTCACTTGTGGGTGGTGTACATTTTATCACATTTGACTCACTAACATTTTCTGTACATTTCGTAAATAATACTCTCTCCATAATAAGAAATAATTATTTTCATTCACATATCATTAGCAATACAATCATTACAATTATTGTCTCACCTTCAACGAATTTAGGATAGTTCTTATTCTTTATGATTCACACAATTATTGACTCACCTTCAACGAATTAAAAAGTTAGTTCTTATTCTTTATTTTCGAATCCAAAAAATGAAAAGCCAAGAATGTCCTTGTCTCCCTTCGGAGGCACAACATCACTTGCTTCCATTCAACACTGACAACAACGATAATAATCGCACATCAACACCCGTGATGACATTCAAAATTGATCACTCGGAATTTACCACTTCCACTCATCGATTGCTGAGACTCGACTCTCCACGAATGCCCTATTCCGAGGAAGGAAAAGCACACCATCGAAATGCTCTTCATTGGGGACAACGGAAATTACTTCTCTCCGAAATTGAATTTCTAACTCAATATTCACAGCAAGGAGATATTGTTATTTATGCAGGAGCAGCACCTGGAAATCATTTAGTCTATTTAACACAAAAATTATTTCCTCATTTGACTTTTATATTCATTGATCCAAACAAATTCAATGATCATTTATCTTCTTTACCAAATGTTAAAATTTTGCAAGAATATTTCACAGTGAGCATGGCAGAGGAATTTGCACAATTGAAAAATCAAATGATTGATTCGAAAAGGTCCTCTCAAGAAAGTTCGAACAATCATGAAACAAATAATATCTTGTTTATGAGTGATATTCGAACGGCTGATCCTTCGATCATGTCACTCGAGGAGTCTGATAAATGTATCATTGAAGATTTACAATTACAAAAATCATGGATTAGCATTTTAAAACCTCGTTTCAGTATGGTGAAATTTCGCTTACCCTATTCGGAAGGTAAAACCAAATACTACACAGGCGATTTATTTCTTCCAGTTTGGGGAAGGAAATGGACTACAGAGTGTCGACTTGTTGTTTCTGAAAAAGATGTCGAGCTTGTGAATGTAGTTGAATATGACAATATTGAACATGCAGAACAAATGTTTTATTTCAATAATGTCACACGATTTGAATACATCTATCCTCATGGAATTGTTGGAAAATCAGAAGGTGTTGATAATTGGTAAGTGTCTAGTTGAGAGAGTATATTTCAAGTTTTTTGGATACGACCTTAGAGTTCTACATGTGAAAAATTTCATCTTTTTTCATTTCAACCAACAACACACAAAAGTTATGATTGTCGATCAGAGGTTCACATTCTCTCAACCTACCTCAACCAATTTCCTCATATGAAACATGCCATTGGTCAAGAATGGCTCTCTAATAAGGTCAACCTAAAAAACAAGTCGAAAGAAGACTCAGTTCCTTCATCCTCCATGGATGCAGAGGCAATTAGTCATAACAAAGAAACTGATCAATGCGCCAACAATGAGGACGACGATTCATTCCAATTCATTGGTGAATGGATGTCTCAAATTTCAAAGCAAATTTCACCTAATCATCGTTCCTTGTGTCATGTTCTTGATTCTTCACAGTTCATTTTCAATCCAACTGTTCACTTACTTCCTCAACAACAAGATTCTAAGGAATGGCTTGAAATGAGGAATATGGTCTTGAAGCGTACAAGTGAATTCTCAAAGTTGATCTATCGTTCACCCCAACGACATGACAAATCCTTCAAAATTCAAGTAGGAAATGAACCATCCAATCTCAATAAGAATACAAATGAGAGTAATCGTGTTTCGTCATCAACATTGCAGCAAGAATCCCTCACGGACCTCTCTATTGAGAATGAATCTTCAGGAAATCCATCCCTGACGAAAAGGAAAAAGCGAAGAAAACACAAAAAGAGAAACAAAAAGACAAAATTCAGTGTCAATGATAATGAAGAGGAAGAGATGGAATCACAACCTCTCATTCTTGAGGAGCCTCCAACTGATATTCAGTGCGCTGAAACAACTCGAGTTGATGGAGATGAAAATGATGACAACCCTCGTCGTCAATAACAGATGATCATCTGTGGAATAATTGGAACAAATTCATCAGCGCCATCACCAAATTTCTTGAACGACTAAACTTTTCGCATGACCAACGGTTGGGTATTCATGAATGGTTTGATATTTTATTTGTGAAATTTCACACTCTTTCGCCAAATCTAGAAAGAGATAATCCCACTTCTATACATGGAAAGAATCAGTAGTAATTGTAAAGAGTTGTGATTAGTGTCGTTCATGGAAGATAACTTGCTCTTATCTTGGATTCATTATCCAATTTGAATCAAGAAGTCATGGCATTAGATGAACATTACAAGTAGATGCATTCACACTTCTAAGGAAACCCTTCTTTCAAAGCACTCAACCATGAAAATTGAAATTGTCACTAGTTACCAAGATCAATGACAAGCATTCAGGCTTCAGTAAGAATGTTCTGCAAAAGATTCGAAATATAATCTCAACTCACCTGCAGACATGATGACAACACGTGACACGAATAGAGTGATTCACTTTGATTAGAACTGATTATGTGAATAGTTGTGTGTCTACCTTCCTGTGAACCACAATATTACGCAATAGGAAGACCTGAAATCAAGTATGTATGTGCTGCTACTTGAATGGGTCTCATCACTTTAAAAGGAGATATCGCAGACCACTAATCCCTCATTCTTTACAAGACACCGTTGCATACAAAACGAATCTGATCAGTACTTATCAAAATATCCATACAAGTCATAAAGTATTCTTTGTTTGTAAATAACGGTCTAATTTTTGTGATAATTTCTCTGTTACTCTTTGGAAGTTAAACGGTTAGAAAGTCTTTTTACTTGAATTATATTTGAATACCTTTATAAATTGTTTAGCAGTCTAATTTTAACATTGACACCATCATTCACATGAGCTCTTTGAGCATTCATACAACAACTTGCATCAACCTCTTGTTGATGAGAGAGAGTCCATCAATGTATGTAAGAGACTTTTTCTGAAAGGATAATCAATTTAAAGGTTCTCTCTCTCTAAATCTTTCTCAATGCTGTGAAAAGACTTGAAAATCCAAGAGTTTTATTTCTGTCATGAAATTGTCACACTAAAAGGTGTTCCATGAAGGTGTAGTCAATATGTGCAGCACCGTCGTGCGTTAACACATCATATATTAAAACGGTGTTAACTTTCAACATGTGTTAAAAGGAGAGAGATGAAATTCCAACATGTGCCATTACATGTCTCACCTTAAACAATTCCAACTCGGTGACAACAATGAATGGTGATAAATCAGATGTCCTGAAGCAATCATTTAAATCCTGTCGTTCTCGGCGTGATAAAAGGATTTTCATTCGTTTTAGATTTCAAACGTCTTCACTTTTTCAAATAAACGAAAAACATAGCAACATCCTTTCAAGGTTTCCAGACACTTCCATTGTTTTTCATTCTCAACAAGTGTCATTGAACATGACTGCGCTCTGAAATGGTCAGCGTCATGTTTTAAATTGAATTTTGGAGCATTTAGACCAAACTAGGACCGCAAGTTCTTTAAATGGACATGCCTCTCCAAAGCAGAGAAAAGGTGCGTCTTCATGAAAATCGTTGCTTGCGAGTCCCAAAGCAAGAGATGACTTTTCTCTGGATTCGCAACTCCCATTCAAACTCACTCAAAAAAAACACAACAAAAGAGATTGTTTCAGAAGAAATCAAACCTTTCAACATTGAAGAAGAACATAACGTGTCATAACTTAGCCTCTTCCAGAATCATCTTTGGAACGATATCGCTGCAAAACAGTCTGTGAAGAGAACTCTTTCCAGTTTACTGAAATACTCAACCGCTATAAACTCGCTTGTGTGTCAATACTATCATCATCAAATCAGTCCTATTATTACCATTTTTACTCTATTTTTGTATATCTACTTGCGTAATCATCATGGGCCAGCAAAACAAACGTTCAAGCCTTTCATTGGATGAGAAGGCTTTAAATCTCTTCAATGTTGGTATCGATACCAGTAGCAAGTTGCAAGAGAAGCGAATACAATCAACTCCAACACCAACAGACTACCAACAAGAAGGAAGAAGACGGTCCAAATCGAGTCTTCCTGCTATTACTTTGACTAAAACACAAGAGAAACAACCACAATTGAAAGGATACATGAAAGGCAGAAGACCTAGAAAGGATTCACCTGAAGGAGAAGCAGATCAAGCCAATATGGATGACACTGGTAGCAACAATAACAACTCAACCACTACTACTACTACTACGATCCAACAACAACAACCCAAGAAGAGATCCACCGTTCATAAACTCTTCAAGAAGAACAAGCCTAGCTCCACTCCCTCTCCATCCCTCCCTTCCGCTCTAGACGAATTGCCAAAGAACAAACAACAACAACGAGAATATGTCATGGGATCCTACATTCATCCTCCACAAAATGGTGCATTGAGAAGAGGAGGTGCTCAAGCAAGCAAGAAACCAACACCACAATCTGTCTTGGAATACAATTCTGAGCGATTGAGAAGCAAGTCGGCTCCAGTCATTTACTCGACGGATAAGATTCAAGTGGTTGGAGGTCACTTGCAACGAAGAGATGCAATCAATGATCCTCTTCCAGATGTATATATCACCATTACCCCTCCACTTCCAGAAGAGAATACACTCACCAAAAACAAGTATCAAAGTCCATATATTGTAGTCATCCCTGACGATGATGAAGCTTCCTCGCCATCCTCCACCTCCTCTTCTTCAACGACTTCCTCTAAGAGTTTGGATGAAGAGCCTTACCTGATTGTCCTCGATGAATACATTACCTACGTGGAGAGACCATTAACCAAGAAGGTTGGTCCAATCATGAAAAAGAAGAAGGAAAAGCTCAGAGAAATGGTTCAATTGTATTACCTCCAGAGAGAAGAGCTGGTCGCCAAGACAAGGAGAGACTTGATGCCAAGAAGTGGAAGAAGAAGGTAATCAAACTTTCAACTCTCTTGTATATCCATTGCTCCCAACAACAAATTTTCCTCAATTCCTCTGCTCTTTTTCCCTCCTCTAACTTTCTCTAACTTATTGCCCTTTTCCCATCTTTACCTCCTCCTTTCATCATTCACCAATGTTATCAAGAGTCCACCAATTTTGTATGTATCAAATAAAAAGAAACCCTACTGTACAAACGTGTGGACCCTTCTCAAGAAGAAGAACTGAATGGTTGATCAACTTATTAAGACTCTCTTTGAAGGGAAATTTGTTTTTGAACAAAAAATGAAACGTTCCCATTTGGCTCGGTTTTTTGCTCACAAGTATCAAGCAGCCATTCGGGATGAGGTGAATCGGAAAAAGAAAGAAGAAGAAGAAGAAATTGATGGTCGTCGACGACAAAATGATTCAGGACCGCAATCGAGTCAAATTTCTATTTTCAAACAATATCAAAACGCCTCGGATGAAATATTTGAAATATTACCACAGCTATGGTATGAAAGAAAACGAGAACCTTTCCTCTACGAAATGAATCACTGCGTTGTGTTTAATGATGCGTTTCTATTTAATTATATTCTGAAAATAATTTCATACTTTTCACAGAATCAATGTGATAGCCATGAGAAGAAAATAATCGAAGGAATGAAGGTATTGGTAAAATCAAGCTTAAACAAAGAAAGACACCCCAAAAAGATGGAACGTGCGGTCGAAGAATTATTGGATCAATGCAATTCTCAAATTTATTATTTGAAACGTAACGTAGTGAATGGTAGCAGCTATGTGAAAGAGCAAGAACAAGTTTGGCAACGTTTCACATTGAAGGCCTCTCTTGTTGTTTCAGCATTACTAATTATATTGAACATCACATCAAAGTGGAAACGAGAGCAATCAACAGAAGAGAGAGAGTTAAAGATCCAAGAATTCAACTTTTTATCACTACAATTTATTCATGAGCTTTGCTTCATGACACATTCCGAAAGAGTGAAATGTTCCTTGGATATTATTGTGAAAAAGAAAAATCCATCATTTATAAGAAAGGTAGCAAGATTTTTCAAAGTACTTGCCATAGAGAGAGCGTATCGATATTCTTCATTCAATCAAGCACTTTACTTTGTTTCGATATTTGGAAGTAGATTATTTCCTGCTCTATTTAAGAAAGTATTCAAGGCTATTGAAAAATTCAAAGGACAGAAACAGGCAAAAGACAACTCAACTGATACAAAGAAACAGGCGACCAACAATAATCGATTAAGAGACATAGAGTTTTTAGGATTTATTGTTGGATCATTATTTGGCGCGGGAGGTTGTGCATCAGTCGTTCTTACAGGACTAGATTATTTGAAAGAAAAAGGTCTTGGATCTCACATGAAAGATACACCTCTCAAACTTGTGGGCATTTCTAAGAGTTTTTGGATGAGTATTGGAGCACTTTTTGGTATAGTGACAAACATTGTTGTCAGACACAGTTTGAGAAAAGGTGTGACACTTGTACTACAGAAATATTTGAATAATCCACAATTTATCAAAAATGTGGCTGGAAAGAAAAAACGAGCTCATGGCAAAATTAATGATTAGAACTTTTTCACAATTTATAGATAGAGAAACAAAGAAAATATTATTTCCAAATTTTAACAAGAAGAATACAACGAATGATCAACACAAGTCATCTTCAAATTCGTTGACTATTCTCATGAATGATCCTTTTATTCTCTCTCTGTTAAAGGATAGAGTTACCTCACTCAAGCAAATGAACAAATATCTTGGATCACTAATTGAAATACTCTTGTCAGAAGATGAAAACACTCTGTTTGGAAAATCAAGGAACTTATTCAACTATATTTCCAACCTAAAAGCAAAATATTCGAACCTTTTAAATAGATTGATACCTATACCATCAGAAAATGCAAAGTGGCATTACTGGAGCACCTATTTTGCATTCTACTTTGCGGACATTTTCTCCAAACAAGTGGCTGATGTCGAATATGAGCAAAGAGAACAAGTTATTTATGAATTGAATTCAGATTTGACTTTAATTTTAAATGCATTCGCTAAAAGAGAGCAATTCTTGAATAATGAAGGCAATTCTGTGAATTCCTTTAGAACCTCCAAGCTTTAAGACTCGCTCCGTCCAACCACTGTTCACCTCAATATTAACATTTAAAGCTCAACAAGCTTCTGTATTTTGTTAAAGCATTCCTGATTTTCAGCACAAATATTCGAATGAGTTTCTCTCATCAGTTCGATAATGATATTTTTCCTGAGCACTCTCTTTGCCTGTTTCGAATGCATGAAACATATAAGAAAATTTAATCATTATATCATATATGATAATATATCATATAAATGAATATATATATAAATGAATAAATCTACTTACGTCCAAATTTAACGAAAGATATGTGAATATGAAACTTGTGCAATAGGACTGCAACTTGACATTTTTCTTGAATTGGTTACAGAGACGAAGCGCTGTGATGATTAACTCTTCAACTCGTACCATTAGGGTACTGATGCTCTTACAGAATAATAAATTTCTCATAATAAGCATAATATACTCTTTCACATTCTCATTCGGTGATTTCACGAGTTGATCCACCATGTGGTCAAAAGTATCCTTGTTCAGGAGCAACTCGTGACAATCTTCAAAAAATGACAGATGTGAAAACATGCATAAACAGTATTCCAATCTGTTATCATCTTTCTTTCTAATGAAATTCTCTTTCATGGACTTGATCATTCCTTCGAATACCAAATATTTAGTCATGGAATATCTCACTTCAGCTGAAGATATCAATATGGTCAATAGATTGAAAAATGTCATGGTGGAGCTGAGCTTGGTCTTTAGAGAAGTCGCTTGAGAAACAAGATCCACAATCCATGCACTTGCTTGGTGTTTGTTGAGATCAGTGGAAACTTCAATTTTAGCTCGATCATTTCCACAAAATAAATTATTCAAAGCCAAACATATGCTTGTTTTCAAATCAATGTCAGCATAATTAGAGAACCACATGAGCTTGAACTCTTGAATAATATTGCACTCTGTAGTGCAAACTTTCTTTGCTTCTGTTCCAAGCAGTAACTGCTGCAATATTGTTAAATTCAGAAAAAGTTGTTCCTTCAAACGTTCACTACTTCCAACGTCCTTGTTATTTCTTCGAATAGATTCAATGGAGAGTGATGAACAAACTCTCTTATTAAAGCTAAAGAGTGTCAGTGTCAATTCTCTCTGGGTAGATGCTTGACAATTCTTTCCATAGATGGAAAGTAACCAGGCCAAAGCTTTACCAACAACATTCAAGTCATCCACAATTTCATCCATGAAAAAAGCTTCTTCCATGGAGGCATAGAGAGCAATAAGTCTTGAAAGGATGTCATTACATTTCTCATTCTCAGAAGAAGCTTTGATTGGAAAACATTTTCTCCCAAGCAATGTGGTCAGAAATTTACAAGCTGTCAAGTGAAGGCTCCTGGAATTATTTTCACTCAGGCATGAGAGAAGAGCTTGTAGAAGTCCCTCTCTCGATCTCACATAGTCGGAATCTCCCTTAATATTTGAAACAAGATTGTTCATGATCACTAAGCAAAGCTCAGTAACCACTTGAAAATTCACATCCAAATTGTGGTGAAGTGAATGAACCAGTTGTAGCATGCACTCCAAAATGACAGTCTCCTTAATCAAGTACGTTGATAAATCCTTATTATTCTCCATAATTTGAATCAATACCAACAATAAGTTTTGCAAAGATTGGATGGTGTACTTTGTAGGTTCAATGTTTGAAACCGCTTTGAGGCTATTGAGCAAGAAGGACAATGCCGCCTTTTCCATTAATATTTTGCTTTGAGAGGATGGATCTTTCTTCAGAATCAGGTAGAGAAGGGAGGTTGAAGACTCTAAAAATTGATGTGTTGGAAGTTTGAATAACTCTGTGAAGGGAATTTTCTCAATAAAGGAATCAAATGGCGCAGAGCTCACTGAAAGTACTTTACACAGAGTCCAGAGTGCTCCTTCTTTTGCTGACTCGTTGTCATTGCTGGAGATTCGTGATATTATCAAATCAATGAGTTGAGGATTATGTTTACAAAGAACATCTAGCTTCTGTTGGTTGATAATTCCGTTTGAAATAATCTTGAATCCTGAAATTCTTAGAAGAGGTTGTTTTGAGAAAATCATTTCCTCCATATGCTCTAAATTGGCCAAATCGAACGTGGAAATTTTACACTGTTTAAATACAGAAGACAAGGAGCACAGAGTATAGAGTGCCATTTGCAGAAAATGTGACTTTTGGTAAATACCATTTTCAACAGTTTGTTGCTCTTCATGCACCAATTGGAACAAGTTTGTAAAAAGAGACTTGAGTAGTTCCATATTTTCAGTAGAGAATGGTTCACCGCTCAGGGCTGCAATGCATACACATCTCAATGCAAGGATGCGAAGATCATAGCTTTTCTTTTGTTCAATATATCTTTTCAAAGATATTAAAAGATATTCATCATTCAGTACTAACTTCAGCTCGTCTCTACAACTAAACGAGCAAAGAAATTCCAAGCACGAGCATAAAAATTTCAACAAGGTGCAACGAATTCCCTTCCTATCGATCTGTGATTGAGAAGATTCAATGTAGAAAATTTCACAAAAATTCTTGCAATAACAGTAGGCCAACTCTGTGATGGTGTCCTTATCCGGTACGTGGTGTTTGAATATCTCAGAGAAGAACTCAATAACGTTTTCCAATACGAGATCATCGGCTTGGCTGGTTGGAGCCTTATGTAAGAACTTTAAAAATACTCTTCTCCAATCGCTTTCCTCGAATTTTTTCATGCACGAGTCGTCAAGAAGTAGATAATCTTGCAAAATATGTAGGTTTGTTAAAAACTCGCTATGGCTTCTTGATTGAGACAATTTTGTTAAGGCCATATCAATGTAAAAATCTGGATGAATTTCTTTGAGAATCAATAATTGTGAATTATTTTTAACATCCCTCTCGAGTTGTTTGTCAACAAATAATTTGACAATCTTTGCAAAATGAAGAGCTCTCCCCGATATCGTATCGTATCCAACGCAGCCAATTTCAAAAGCCGATGAATTATTGATATCGTAAAAGTTCGACAATACTAAATTTGGTAATGAAAATCTAGGATTCCCATAATGTTTCAAGGTGATAGTCATATCCTTCACCTCACGAATAAATAATTCTTTTGAAAAAACTACTGCACCAAGGATTTTAAAAGCTAATTTTCTCATTAGCATATCCTTGTGAAACATTACTAGCAAATTTAATGATAGTAATAATGGTTAGAACATTGAAAATATGAACCACACTTACGTGATGAGAGGTGGACAATGATGGGTGATGAGCATAATACAAAGCAAGAAACATTAGTAACCACTACAAACAGTAGAGCCAACAATTCTGTGCATGCATATTCTGACAACCTGCGAAGGATCAATTGCAAAAAATCGGTATTAAAAATTTCTTTCACATTATTGGATACTGTGAATGGTCTTGGTGTTATAAAACTTTTTAATTATCATAGAGAAGAACTTACACTTAGCAATGGTGAATAGTTGTGAAGTAACAGATTTAAAAATTTCAAAATCTTTGGTCTCATTAAAGAGTAACAGTAGGCTTTGCAATTCCTCGTTGGACAAAAGAGGTGTTGTTGCCGAGTTAATCTCAAAAATGTGCCCAATATCATCCAAATAAATGCTCATCAATGGGTCACTCTCTCCAAAGTCAAATAAATCTGAACGATTCGTTGATTCGTGAATCAGTAATGTTTTTAGATTGATTGTTGCTGCCTCTCGAACCCTGTACGCAGTTAATAGTTATTAATTTGAAATGAGGCCATTAACTTACCATTTGTATTTGTGAAATAAAAATCGAATGTTATAAGCTATCAGCTCATTCTTGGTCATGACTCGTTCAAATAACTGCAAAGTCAACAAAAATTCATCGATATCATCCGTTTTTCCCACAATTTCACAATATTTCAAAAGGCATTGTAATAGTGGAACAAATGACGAAAATAATTTGATTGACTTGGGACTGTGTTGAATGGTTTGAATCAATGTTGTAAAATTTGTGGTAGAATTGTTGTTTCGGAAATAGTGCAAACAAATCAAGTAAATCAATTCATCCGACGCTAATTTCTCAAAGAAAAAATGTGGATCTTCCGAAATAAATTGTATAGTGTAGGCTCTAACTGCCTCTGATTGATGTGAAAGGAGTGTCTTGAGAAGAGCTTGACAAGTAGAAATGTCGTCCAAAAATTCTGCTGATACAAACAGCTCTTGAAGTAAGCGTTCGAGTCCATTTTTTTCTTGGTGCAGCATCAGAGCTGGAATAGCTTTTGTCACACGTTCCAAATGTTCAACAGCACTTGAGAGGGGTTTCAGCTCCGTTTCGTGGATTATTTCGTCGTAGCAATTTAAGGATTCAATGAACTTGAAAGCAGAAAGACATTCTTTGAATGTTGCTGAATCTATTCTTTCCAATTGAGCGCATGCTTTGGAATGAATATTTGAAAACGAAAGGTGCAACACTGGATCAAATACATGTTCTTCAAGAGCAGGCAAAACGACAGGTAATATGTTACATAACTATTAGGATCGGTTGTGGATGATTTAACAAAATTTGTTGTCAAGATTTGGACCTACGTACCAATGATGAGTCACATTTCGACAATAAGAGAGAGAATAGGTCCAAAATTTTGAACTTGTCGACTTCATCTTTTGTTTCGTTGATCCAACTAATTATGTCATCAATTATGTTACTTGAGCTTTCAACAATAATTAATTTGTCCAACTCTGAAATGGGTTCACAAAAACATTCAACAACATGCTTCAGTACATCAATAGACTTTCCAACCAATGATAATTTCCTTCGACATGCACTCCTCAGTTTTGAATAAACATATTTTAAAATGAAAATTAGAGAATTAAAGTCAATCAAAACGTAGTCTGATTCTTGAAGGTCAAAGTCATGAATTTTCATGGAAAGTTTTTCAAAAATGTTGCAAAGACATGACATGACATCATTTTCAATATACATTGGATGATCATTTTGAAGTATTAAGGTGAGTGACTGTTGTGTTGCAGATATATATAACATTCTTAAACGCGACCTCAATTACTTACTCGAACGATATCTGAATTTTGCACTAAACATTCTATTGGAAATTCTGTAAGGGGGGATTTTTTAAGGTCATGGAGAGCTTCTTGAACAATTTCTGTTCGTCTTTGTTGTAGGCGAATATTAATTTCGAACAAGTACTGCTTGTCGGATTCCATCAGGTCAATTTTTCTGACTTGTTTGAATTTTTTTCGAATAATTTGATCTTCCGATTGATCCAAATCTTGTGAACTTTGTTTGTTCTGAGGGCTTTGAATTGGAAGGTAATCTTGTATAACCTCTTCATGGTTCGTTTGTTTTGTGACGTTTGTGGCATCCTCTTGATTTTCGATCTGTTTACGAAATGCTTTTAATTTTTCGACAATAAAATCAACTTCCGCATGAATGTCTTCAGGTGCATAGAGCCGCAGTGTTTGAAAAAAACCAATGGCTCCAATTTCAATTAATATTAAAGCACTTGTTTGTCTCTGATTGAATAGAAGAATGCGATGAGGAATCGGTCATTAAAGTCATCTCACCCTCAAAATACAAACCTTTGCAAACTCGCATAGAAGTTGTATGACCTGTCGATAATAAAAACATGGGTTATTATTGAACCATTTGAGAAGAACTGCAAGAACATTTTCATCATTTTCCAACATTTCCACGCTCATCAAACCATATTTAAATTTGTTCAAAATGTTTGCCATACTTCTTCTCTTGATATCCACATTCGGATGTTCAAGCCTTTGCCACAGTGTTCCCGATGAGGAAGACAGTGCTGAGGATGTTGTTGCAGAGTTCTGGTGTGTGTTTGCCTCACAACTGAGTTGTAGTGGTGAGGATGAACCGCTCATTTTATTTCGAATCGTTGTTGTTGAAAACAAAGACTCTGCTGGAGGTTTGAGGTGTTGCGCTGTGGGTTCAACATACAACAGAAGCTATAACACCAAACCCAGAGATGAGCTCATCCCTCTCGGGAGAGTTTTAACTTCTGATATTCTCTCTCAATATGATGTTTAGACCCACCACAACATTCCTTCATGAATATCAGCCATCATTAACTAGCTGCAGTCGTCAGATATGCCGCCTTTGACTTTACGATTTTGGTACTCGTGCAGTTCTCTCTCCGTTCGTTTTGCATCAACCTGAATCTTTGAAGAGCTTTGAAAAAATGAGGAATAGTTCCATCAGTGGTGGTGGTGGTGGTGGTGGTGGTGGTTTTGGAAGTAATAATAATAATAACAATAATAATAATCATAGTACGACACGATCATCATCTCCATCGTTTTCATCATCAAGGCCCTTAGGAACGTTTTCAGCAACATTGCCAGCTTCGGGCCCTAATAGAGGAAAATCAGCAACAGGAATATCGTCTCTTTCAAAATCCTCTCAGTTCGGATCGGGAACGAAACATAAATTAAATTCTCTTTCGAGTAGCACTGGTGGGATCGGCTCATCTTCAAGCTTGACTGCAGCGTCAACAACTCCAGCCAATTCAGCCAATATCTCCTCGTCCAGCTCACCAACAACAATCATTGATACTAAGGTTACATCGCCTAAACCAAACACATCTCCTCTCATTCATTTCTTTTCTTCTTCGACCTCTACGGGCACAAAACGAGGGATTGGATCAGCTGGAGGAGATTTTCATCAACCAGTGCGGAACTCATTCAGCGTCAATGCATCAAATGCAAACTCGAATGGCGTTAAAAATCAGCCCTTATCACCTCTAGGAAGAAAAAAGAATGAAGAAAAAAATTTCCAATCTCTCACTCCAACAACAAAGACTATTTCGCCAATATCTCCCACAAATAGCTCCAAACAAACGCCCACTCCTTTCACTGTATCAACATTTGAAGAAGAAGAAGATGTTGACACAATCGAAGCATCCTATATTAATCACCACCCCATAACACCCATTGCCAAGGTAAGTTATTAAGGATGCTCTTTAAGTTGTCACAATGTTCTCATGATATGTGGCCCTACTCATTTTCAATACAATAATATCACGATTTGATTTTCAATCACACATAAAATGACTGGCTCACACATAACAAACGCAACAATGCATTGTGAATGCGGTATGATATTTAGAGTAATAATCCCTTTGATCTTCCCTCGACATACAATATTAACAAGCAATTATTTTCAGAGGCTATTTCACCCTCAAAAATACCACTTCTCTCACCTCCACCCATTCCAAAATCTAAACTGAACCTGCAATATCGAATTAAAAAAGCCTCCTCAGGAAGTGGGGCTGATGCAAATGCAAGCATTAGTGAAAAAGCCCTTAAAGTGTCAGTGTATAGTAAACAAAAACCAATGTGTGACGAGAATACTCATCCAACTGGAGAAGACGCTTACTATTGTTGCTACAGCGCGAAACATGAAGTGTATAGCTTTGGTATTGCTGATGGGGTTGGTGGCTGGATGGCATTCGATATTGATCCATCCCTAGTGAGTCGCCAATTAATGTGGAACTGCAAACTGTTGCTCTGTAGCGATCAACTGAATCAATTTGTGACAGAAAATAATTATCACGTTCCAAAAGAATATGAACAAATGGTAGCGAAAGGTCTTGAACTTCCTCAGGTCATACATCCAAAAATTCTATTGGAGAGAGCGTTTAGGTTGATGACCGAATTCAATCAAGTGAAAGCAGGAGGAACTACGGCATGTATAATCTTTCTAAAACCTCTGCCTCAAAACTTGTATCAACTTTCCTATGCAAATCTTGGTGACTCTGGATTCGCTGTGGTAAACAAGCAAAAAAGCAAGATACTCTATCGAAGTAAGGAGCAACAACACTATTTCAATGCTCCTTATCAACTTTCGGTAATACCTCCGGAACTTGATAGTGACGAATTAATTAAGGACGATCCTAGTTGTGCCGATTTACACATCAATTGCTGTACTCTACGTGAAGGAGACTATATTGTACTTGCAACAGATGGACTCTTTGATAATCTTTTTGATTCGGACATTCTGAAAATTATGAGGTCAGCAACAAGTTGCCACAGTATTTCAAAAAAGCTTGTGCAAGAAGCGGTGAAGAGGTACAACTCACCAACGCTCCCTAATCACACTCCCTTCTCAATGGGATTGAGTAAGGTGACTGGGGAATTCAAAAGACATGGCAAATCTGATGACGTAACTGTATGCTGTGTTTCTGTTTGCTGTAATTAATTATTTCTCTGTGTGTAGAATTTTACAAATCTAAACTTTTTTGATTTTATATCTATTTGGTTCGCAAGCCATTTCGAACAGACTTTCTCTTGTATCTCTTTCTTTTGGTGCGTTGTTGTGATAAAGTAAATTTAAAAAATTGTTTGATTGTCGGTTTGTCGACTCGTTTCAGTCTTCTTTTCAAGAGAGAGATGAACCTTCCTCCCTCCTCCGATCATTCATTTCTATTAATTAAACAATTCAAATGTCAATTTTGGAATAATATGGTTGCTCTCTCACCAGGCACTCTATTCATCACGACTCGATTTATTTTGTTTGAATATGAATCGGGAAATAGAGGCAACAACTCGTCATCGGGATGTGGTGGAAATGGAGGAGGAACATCGAATACTGGAAATTGTAGTGGGGGAGGAATGAGTAGCAGTGGCGTTGGTTTAATGAATACAGCCACGACCATGATGAACATGTCTTCTTCTCCTCCTAGTGGCAGTGCTCCATCCAAGATATTTGGAAGCTCCACGGTGGATGATGAAGACTTTGTAGATGTGACCTATGTACCTGAATTCAAAAATAGAGAAATCAAATCGAATACTTCATGTATTTTGATCCCTCTGCAAGATATTGCTCAATGTACAAAGAGTTCATATCTATTCAAATCTGTTCTGTGGATTCAAACTCGAAATAATACGAGTTATTATTTTGTTGGACTTAAAAGCATTTCGAATACGAGCACGATCATTAATCACGTGTTGGATCAATTGAAAATTCATGAGAGAAAGAGTCACGAGATTTCAACAAAACGAAAAGAACGACCCGTAGAAATTAAATTAGATGAAAATGGATTTTTAAAAGCAATTGAGTATGGAGATGTTGAAGATGAGGAGGAGGAACAACGAGTGATTTATAATGCAAAGGGGAAAAAGATTGATCCTTTCGCATACATTAAGAGTTTGACACCATCGAGTTTCAGTTTCAGTGCAAATTCTAGCAGTATTAGCAGGCAGAAAAACTCTGTCATTTCCCTTCCTAACAGCTCTGCCAATCAGGCAAATTCCAGCAAGAACAAGTCATACATAAGCGGATTCAATTACTATCTGGGGGCATCTTTGTCAGGATTGTATTCATACAGTGTTGGACCTGTGGTAGGCCTATTTTATGGCTCCTCCAATACCAACACGTCCTCTGCACAAGAAAAGAAAAAGAATATTACAGCATTGGATCATTCTTCTCTTGAAATTCTAATTAAGAGTGACAAGTGTAAGTTGTATTTCCAATTTTAGATGGAGAGAATAACAATGTTACATTCGTAATTGCATTTCATGGGGTTGAATTTTGATGGTGCATGAAAACTACAATTTGGTTTATACTTCGACTCATCATTCAGGGCACAAGAAATACATCGTTCTCGACGAAAATGGATTTTCCATTGTCGATCCCACCCAACCAACTAAACAGACACAACTTTTTCTTTTGTACAAACAAATCACAGATGTTACTACTGTAAATACCTTCACCTGTAACATTAGGCAAGTATCACTTTATTATTAACACACTCGAGCTTTTGACTCTTTTTCTGATCGAATCATTCACATTCATTCATTCACGATGGAATCATCCCACATTCTGATGGATCAAATCTTTCAAACAGTTATCAAGAAAGCAACAAACATGAACACAAACACATCAAGCTTACCTCAATATATTTACCCCTCATCTTAAACATTTTCCTTCAAGAAAATCAAACCATTCTCTTTTTAGATGAAAAAGTTTCAAAAACCATTGAACTCGACAGTGTTCTTTCTCAACAACTCCAACAATTCGATCAGAACCATTCCACAATTAGCACTACCGAAACTCTCCCTCGAGCTTCTGTTTGTCAAGAAGAAGAATCCGTTCCACCAACCCTCAATCGAGAAGAGGTTCACACGGTGCTAACAAGTCATCAACAAGAAGAAGAAGAGGTGGGACTAAAAAAGTGACGGAAAGCCCTTCCAACCTTCTTCCAATTCCATTTGCCCAATTCGAAACACGAACCAAATAAAAATCTCGAGCACTGAAAAGCACAACGGTATCGATTCGTTGTTCATTCAAAAATATATTTACCACACAAAGAAATCATCATCACTACCACCCACGAGAATTTCATCATGAGTCAACAACAAGAATCACTGGTTCCAGCCAATCGTCCCAAATCCACTGCTCAACCAAAGTCCTTCAAAGAGCAGAAATCCCTTTCGGAGAGAATTGAAGAATCACGAAAAGTGAGAGAGAAGTATCCAGATCGTGTTCCTGTAATTTGTGAGAAATCAGCCGTTGAAAAGGTATGTTGATATTCAACACACAGTGATGAGAACAGGTTGTTATTCATCATTGGTTTTATATTCCGATGATTTTTGGACGTTATTTCATCATTTTGGTCATCTCAAAATTGATTCTATTCTCCGCTCCTCGCGCAACCATCACGGTGATGGGATTTCATTAATCATCATCATCATGACAAACTTAATCTCATCATAATCCACTTCCACATAAACACCCGACTCACTTTTGATATGAAATATATATATAGGATTTACCCTCCATTGATAAGAACAAGTATCTCGTTCCAGCCGATTTAAATGTTTCACAATTTGTCATGGTTGTACGAGGAAGACTCTCCGTCGATGAAACCACCTCTCTCTTCTTTTTCGTTGGAAAGGATGTGCTTCTTATGCAGACGGATCTGATGGGATCCATCTATGAAAAGTACAAGGACGAAGATGGATTTTTATACATTTCCTACTCGGGACAAAACACTTTGGGAGCTTTGGAATAATCATTCAACAATGCAAGTTTTTGAGATCTCTCTCTAATATTTAAAATTATATCTTTATTGTAAGAACAAATTATTAGTACAAATTAAAAGAATATTATATATATCAATAAAAACAAAAAAAATGTCTGATTATGCTGATTTGTTGGGCGTGGAAACAAAAAAGTCATCGACGACGAGTATTGTGGATCAAATAATACGTTCTCCGAAAACGTCATCTGTGTTGAAAGGAAAACAAAAAGATGTCCATTCTATGACTCCTCTTCGCTCACCTTCATTGGAAACACCTCGGAGGCAATCTGCTAAACGTAAAATTATTCAAACAACAGACAAGTGGAGATGGAAAGCTTTTTTGAATCATGCTAGAGAGGATGGAACAGTTTTATATCATTGGACTCGGGTAGATAATGACGATGAAGAGCAAGTGGCTCCGAATTATCCTTTTGAAATTTTAAATAAGAAAACTAGAGTGTTTAGCTATGATGATGATGAATATAAAGAAATTATAGAACCCTTGCATAAGGATGAAAATTGGAGCCGAGAAGAGACGGATTTGTTATTCTCATTGTGCCAACAATATGACTTGCGTTTTATTGTCATACACGATCGATTTTGTAAAAGTGAACTCAAGACACAACACTCACTCACACCTCGATCTGTGGAGGATTTAAAAAAAAGATACTACGACATTTCAAAAGCTCTGTTGCAACATCGAGCTAAAAAACGATCCATTCCAAATGATAAATTGAAAAAACATCCTCTCATGGCAGTAGAGTATGATTATGATTACGAGGTGAGACGAAAACAAAATTTAGAAATGCTTTTCTCGCGATCTTTAGAGACAGAAAAAAAAGAAAATGAATTGAGAGAGCAGCTAAAGAAAATTGAGGCCATTAAAAAAAAGAGAAATGAAGAAGAACAACAATTAATAAGGCAAAAACAAAAAGAAGAAAAAGAACGGCTCAGACTTGAAACCATCAAAACTGAAAAACAACGATTACTTGAAGAAAAACTGCAATTGGCTTCTACACCGGCCGTCTTGACAAGTATGGAAGAGATTGAGGAAAAAGAAGAAAAAGAGGTTGCACAACAACAAGAAGTCAACAAATTTGATACCTCTCTCTTTGCAAATATGAGATCAGGAGTTTATTCGAGACGAGAGTTAATGAAGAATTATGACGACTATCTCTATCACACTGCAATTTTATCAAAGCTAGGTTTTGATCTCAACACGCTCATGCCAACAAGACGTGTGCATGAAGCATTTGAAACAACTCTAGTGCCCCTTCTTGAAAAGTACATTTCTCTCTTTGGCAAGCCAAAGATTGATGAATATGAGTACTCAGACACTTCACTCCTGACAGCAGAAGAAATGCCAGCAGAGTCTTCCTCCTCTGATTCGAAAAAGAAACGAAAAAAGCAATCAGGTTCTTCTGAAAAAGATTCCCAAAAAAAGAAAAAGAAAAAGTAACAATAGTTGAATGCTCCAAATAAATTATTCTGACACTTTAGTGAACCAAGTTCAAATGTGAATAATAGTGATAAATAGCAAAAATTTCTCTTCGTACACTCCCAAAATTTAAACATGATTGTTGTTTGAGATTAAACTTCTCCTGATCCCTCTTTAGATAATCCAAGGAAAATTTTCATATATTCATAGACCACAAAGTTAATAGAAACAACTGGAATGACTTTCAAATAATTCGAAAGAAGACCTTTGTAAAATCCAACAAAACCGTATCTTTGATAAACTTGACGGAAGGCATCAAATAAAGAAATATGCTCAGTACTACCTCCCATACCAACCATTTGCATTCTTCTTCTTACGACGTCAAATGGATAGGCTGAATAGAGAAAATTTTTGATGTTCAATAAAACATGTTGATCATATTTCAATGAATGATGTCAGTAATTGATGATGTCAAGTTCATTGACCACAAAATGATGACATGTTTGTTGATGAAACCTATTATGCCAATAAATACTTACTGACAGTCTGGGCAAACGTTCCACTCACAGCTCCAAGAGCCAACTTGGTGACAATACCTAAACTATCAGATCCTAAATATTCCAAACATAAAACTTTCAATTTTTCATATGTTGTAAAATTAAGAGCAACGTATGGAGCAATTCCGAGTAGGGTCGGAACAATGCCTCTATAAAGTCCATATAATCCTTCTTGTTTGTAAATCAATTTCAAGCAATGATTAATTCCGTGATAGATTTTTGGTTCATATTGGGCACTCAATCTACACCGCACCACATCGAGCGGATAGGAAACAATAACAGAAGTCATACCGGCCAAACCACCACACACAAGTCTTTGAACAGTGGATATTTTGCCATCTTTCGACCTAGCAATTGCAAATTCTTTATACTTTTCATAGGAAACAAATTGTGCTGCTGTGTAGGGAACGATACGCACCACATTACTACCGTTTCCTTTAAAGTAGCCCATTATTCCTTCATCCTTTCCGATTTGAATTAAACTACGCACAATTCCATGATATTTAACTTCTCCTGGTTTGGTATTTTGAACAGAAAGGTCTTGAACTTGAAACAGGATTTTAAGCCTTTCAAATGGAGCAGCGACTGTTCTTGAAACAGCCCCGCTCACACCACCACAAACACTGTAACCTATGCCTGCATTTGCATTGGCAAGTTCCTCGATTTTGAGCTTCAAAGTACTCTTCTTTACTCCTTCCGATGAAGGTGATGATGGTTTTGATTCCATAGGTGTAGGTTGTTGTTGTTAGGTGCTTTTTGGAATATAATAAAAACAGGAAATATGAATAGGTAGATTTTAAAAGGTATTTGATGATGGCGATGATGAAAAAATTGAATCAATTCAATGACCGACAACAATGTGTTTTAATGATGATATGAAAAGGTGAGGAGGTTGCGTAGTGATGATGCAGTGGTGCCGACCAGTGTTTCAGAAAAAAAGAGCTTTATGTTCACGACGGAGGAGACGATGCGAATGAAGGACGACGAATTTTTTTCGTTCGTTATCTTCGTCCGACTTGACTTACACCAACACAGCTGTCGCTTCCTTGTCCATAATGGTGGTGGAATTGTTGGTGGTGTTGGATGGCAATGATGATGACGACTCTTGAGGCACATAAGATTCAGAAGATGGTTGGAGGGTGGTGGAAGTTTCATCGCGTGGGGTTGATGCATTGGTTTGTTGCTGGTCTTGCTCACTATCTCCTCCCACCGTGTACGCAATAGGATTGGTCTTGTCTCTATCTTTCATGGAAGACGATTTCAATAAACCAATTCTCTTGGCAGTGTTGCGTATTGGTGCTTCCTTCTTGCTTTGTTCGATTCGTTTCAGAGCACTTCTTTCAGCTCCAATTTCTTGATTCTCCCAATGCTTTTTGATGACATTTTCCTTTTCTTGATGAAGTCGTTGTTTCTCTTTCAGTCGTTCTTGTTTGAGTTCTTCTTGAAGTCGTTGTTCTTTAAGTTTGAGTTCCCGTTTCTGTTCTAACTTTTCACTCAGGGACAGAAGCGCTTCTTTTCGTAATTCTTCTGCATTCTTGGTGTGCATTTCGATCATTTCAAGCTTTTTCATTCGATTCGTTGTTCTTTCTTTTTTCATTTGGTCTCTGTGCCTTCTCAAAAGATTTAGTTTGTTTTGCATTTCCATCTCCTTTTCTTTCTTTTTTGAGAGAATGTTTGTTTTTCGTTCCTCTCTTTCTTGCTCCTCAAGCTTTTTCAACTCTTCTAACCGTTCTTTCAGTTGAACAATAGACATTTCAGCCAATAATCCCACCTCTGATGTTTCTGTTCGATCAAATGTCTTGGTTTGCCTTTTTGGAGCATTTACAAGAGCTCGAATTTGTTTGATGAGCTCCTCACGCTTTCGTTGCTCTTCTTCCTGTTGTTGCTTGATGAACTTTTCATTCTTTTGGCTCTCCTTCTTAATTTCATAGGCGGATCTCTTTTTTTCTTTCTTGATTTCATGTTTCACCACTTGAATTTTCTCTTGAATTTCTTTGGCAAATTCCTTGTTTTTCTCTTCCAAGAGCTTTTGTTCTTTCTCTAATTTTTCCTTCAGCTCTTTAATTTCTTCGTCTCGCTTTTTCTTTTGTTCCACAGCAAGTTTGTTGTTTTTCTCGGCAATATTATCTCGTACGAGTCGAGCATTAATGTCACTCTCCATCGCTTCCTTCTTCTTTCTTTCGATTTCTTCTAAATACTTCTTTTCATCTTGAACCTTCATATTTTCTTGCCATGACTTGAAAGCAGATGCGTCTCTCAGTTCTGATTCATACTTTCTCAGCATCTCTTCTTCCTTCTCTTGCTTCTTCCGAATAAGAGCTTCTTCTCTTAATATTGCTGCAGCATTCAGTTTGACATTGGCAGGTGCATCTAACACTTTCCTCACTTGTTCAATGTCTTTGATCACTGGTTTTGGTGAGGTGACGCGTTCCATGGCTGGTTCGGAGGTGTCTTTTTTTCTTGATCTTGAGAGCGTTGATGAGGCATTCGGCGCTTTGGCTCTCTCCATTTCTTCTCTCAGTTTCGAAATTTCCTTCCTATTATTCTCTAAAATCTTTTCGTCTAGAAACGGTATAGACTTTCTGCTCTCCTTGTACATGTCAAGGGCTTTAGCGACAGCAGGATTCTCTGGTTTATAGGTGGTTTCAGGAATTTCCTTAGTTTTAAATGTATATTCAATCACTTCTTCAACTGGTTTTTTCTTTTCTTTTTGCATCGTTAAATTAAAGGGTTCAAACACTGTGTCAGACTTCTTGGGTGGCTTGTCTTTGCCAACGATTTTAGAAGCCCATGAAGAGATAGCATCTTCATTCTGCCGAACTGGACTTAAGATTTGAGTATCGATCCATTCTTTTTCATACAGCTTGCTCCACTCTTCCATAAATAATGTGGCCAAGTTTTGCGAATTGTAAATGAAGAGTATGAAGCGTTGTCTCTTTGAAGGCGTCATGGCATTTGACAAAAAATCCTTTACAAATTCTAAAGGTAAAATTGAGGGAAATAAAAAGTACATGGTGTACAGAACAACAGAGTAGTCGATCTTCTCTCTTTGAAGTATTATAAACTCATTCTCTTTTGCGATACTTTTTGAAAATATTTCCAAAGAGACATCAATAAATTTTGAATATCTCTCTAGCCCAACAATTAAATCAGCAATAAAATGTTTATCCTTTTCTCCCTTCTTTCCCATTTCGTTAAAACAATTTTCTACAAATTCAAACGGAGGGTATCCTCCATGATCGCCATCTAAATATCTCTCCGAGCAACCAGTACAAAAGCTGTACAATAATGAAGGATTGAACTCCGAAAGGTTTGTCTCATTGGAGGAGGCCATCATTGATTTATTGGAAGACATCATCAAAGATGATGGTGTTTTTGATATTCCCGATTCGACATTCGTGCTGGTCGTCATTTTGCAGCATGAATTTTTTATTTTAAGGTGTAAATGGAAGAATTGGCGCCAACATCAATTTGCGTGTGCGCTCGGAATTACAACACTTTCCAAGCTTGAAAAAATTGAACCATTTTATCCTCATCATCATCATCATTATCCTTCTAACCTTTGGGATATTGATTTTGTTTGAATCAAAGTACAAGAACCCTAATGAAAGTCTGTCTGTTTACAACATTTCAAAAATTATTGAAAGAGTTCGAGTTGCTAGCAAAGAATGTGTGTTGGATGTAATTGCAAGGTTTGTAGAGAGGTGCTGTTTCTATGAATTCGGAACTCATCATGTTGATAAATCGAATGAAATATATATCTTGAACGAAGGGAGGTATTAGTAAGCGTGAAACAAAACGAAGTAATGGCCTTCAATGGCCTGTTGATATATTTCAAGTAATTGCATGGATCGGATTAGCATTTATGCACGTTGATTTTTATATCATGGTTTCTACCGTGTCCCGAATAGAATACCAAATTACTGCAACTGTTATTTATTTCATTCTCTCTCTAATTAGTGCCATAACGCACATCGTTTTGATATTTTATGATGCCGCTGATGAACATATATTATTAAAAGAAAAGGGACTGGAACCAGTCTATGAAGGGAAGAAAATTGTATTTTGCAAACATTGCAAATTGATTGTGTAGGTTGGGATTTAGTAATGATTGTCACGATCATTGAAAAATATTTAAAATAATGTACCTATGAACTACTGCGGAAATCAACAACTATTTAGATATGAATCAAGCAAGCACTGCAAATTATGTATGAAATGCGTACAAGGTTTTGATCATCATTGTCGATGGCTCAACATGTGCATTGGAGAGAGGAATTACAAAATATTTTTCGTATTCTTGAGTGACACTTATTTTCTTCTTCTCTATGTATTTCTCGCAAAGGCCGCCTATGTGATAGAAGCAAGCATTAATTTTGAAGAATTTTCAAAACGTTTGATTGCCATCTACTCATTCTCAAATCCTATTGCCCATTTGGTGATTGTTGGAGTTGGAGGATTGGTGACTTTAATTGTGGCTCTTTCACTCACTCAATTATTTTTTCTTCACATCAAACTTAGTACGTAGAGTGCTCATGAAATTAATAGTAAGAATAATTATTTATTAATAATTATTACATCTGGATGATAAACTTTTTATTAGTTTATCTTAAAAAGACAACCTACGAATATTTAATGGAGAAGCGTGCGAAAGAAGTCGCCAAATTGGAACAACGTAATGCTGAACGAAATGATCAGAGAGCTGAAGAAATGGCAAATGCAGATACACATCATGAGTCTTCAACAACTGCAAATACTGAAAGCACTCTCTCTTATCACATTGAAAGGTATTCCAACAGAGTCTATCCTCAACAACCTTATGTCCAACAAAAGTCACAATCGGCCAACAACAGTCAAGAATCCTTACCTCTGCATGAAACGCCAGCAGATTTCATGACCAAGTCTCTAGAATTTTCGAATTTACAAGTCAAAAGAACATGTTCAAACTTGATTGCAACGAAAGGAGATATGGGCGTTTACAAGAATGAACAGGACACCAATGCCAGTACAGACAGTATTATCATCAACTGTGACCGATCACATGGAGGAAAAAGTCCTCGAAATTTCGATCTAAACGCTTCTCTCCAATCGCCGAGACGTCAAGCCAAGTCAACCGGAGATGTGAAAGGAGAGCAAGCCACATCCTCTTCTCCCAGAAATCGACAACCAGCCACCGCCTCAGAAGAAGGCGAATCTGTGAAATTATCTGTTGGGTGTAATGAATTTATATCTGGAAATGTGGTGGATGTATTGCAAAAGAATGAGGATGATCTTGAAGCGAACCAACAGGTAACAACAACTATTCCTGTGGAGCAATAGTAATTGCGAGAGTGTCAATGCCGCCATCAAATTCTCTTTTAGACACCATTGATTTAATAGCGTTGGGAAATCAAGTATCCATGACCTTTTCCAACATGCAAATCGTTTTCATGAAGTTGCTCCCATTCATGTCTGACGTGATGCGATGTCAAAGACGATCGTCGATTCAAAACAAATTGACAACAAGTTGTTACAAGTTGCTGAACATAATTCATTTATTATTATTATTCAATGTTTAGCACCAGCTTGATTGATAGAGAAAGAAATGGCATCCATCCATTCTGTCATTTCCTCCTCAGAAGAAGCCAGAATAAAATACTTTTTGTCATTTCGAGAATCATACAATACAAAACATCCTTTCGTGAAAGTCTTGGCAATACTTCCATTTTGCAAAATGATGGTTCCGGTTGGCTCTTTCAATTTTTGAATACTCTTGAAATATTGTAATTCACCAACTCTCAATACGAACCATCTCTTTTTCCAATTTTTCACCACATGACCTTGTTTCGTGAGATAACCTTCCTTAATAATTTCACTAAAACCAGTCTTTTCTGTGGCTCCATAAGATTTCAAAATGGATTCAATCTTTTTTCGTATTTCTACAGAGACAGTCGATTCAATTTCCTTACTATTCACAAATTGGAGAGCATTCAAAGGTTGTTTCTGATTGTGAATACGCAAGAGGATTGCTAACTCTTCGGTGTTTTCTTTGGTACGACATACTTTCTTGATAAAACCATAATTTCCAACAGTAATTGAGAAATGTAGACACGAATAGCCATTGGCTCTATTGACACCCACCAAATTGGCTTGTTTGGCTAAGAGTTTACCACAAATTGCTGTGTGTATTCAATTCAATTTTGAAAGAGATCGAGTGAAAGAGGAAATTCAATTTTGAAAGTGATCAAGTGAACATTGAGAGAGTTGAGATGAAGCATTTTTCAAAAGTAAACATTTGAGTTGAGATTGATGAATATTCACACACAAACACACTTGAAAAAACAACACCTACCTGCATTACCACTTGACCAAGCCAAAAACATAATTGGACTCATTCCATTATTATCCGTACAATTCACATCATAATTAAATACATAATCTTCCTTCAACATGATGTCCACCATTTTCACATGTTGCAAAACACACGCCAATGACAAGGCATCCATCACAAATCCCTCTCTATTCTGTTCCACACTCACTCCCACCGATTTACTCAAATTTCCAAACATTAATAAAGTTTCCACACTTCCACCAAACACACAATACAAAAATGGAGTATAAATACAAGAAGAGACATCTCGAGCACGTGTGAAATATTTCTCAATAAGAGGTTGAAAATAAGGAGGAGCCAATGGAGTGGCGTGACATCCAATATTTGTATCAGCTCCACTTTCAATCAACAAGTATGCAATTTGTGTCAAACCAAAGAGAGATGCAATGTGAAGTGCAGTCAATGAATTGAATGAAGTTTGATTTAAATCATTGGATCCACTTCCTTCCTTATTCATTTGAATCCATGAAATGATATGTTTCACAAGATGAATATTTCCAGAAGCGACTGCCAAATGAAGCATGGATAATTTCGAATGTGGCAATACTGTTGTTTCACTCATCGTCATGCCGGTTTTTGAATTTCCAACATGAAGTCTACTCAAGAGATCATTAAATTTTTGATGATCACCTCTCAAACATGCAAATAAGAGAGGAGATTGTTTCAAGTCTTGTTCCATGTCATGAATACGTTGTGAAATTGTGAGGGATGAATTGGGAGAGGTCAAATGAGTCAAATGAAGAATGATGAATTTATCCTTGATGGTGAATGAGTCATAGGACAAGGTGGGTGAACAAGTTGTTGATAAAGTTGATGTTGTTAAAGTTGTTGTTGTTAAAGATATTGGTGAAGATGTTGAAGATTGATTTGCCATTTTCTTTTCCACTCTCTCATAGAGTGCATAGTATTGATCGGAAATGGAGGCCAAGAATCGACTCGTTTTCTTTTTTACAGAACTACTAGTACTACTACTTTGTGATTTGTTAAATTTTCTCAATGGAGAAGAAGGAATGGAGGTATTCAAAGTTGAGAGAGCATTCAAGGTTGGACTCGTTGTTGGATGATGATTGTTATAGATGGACATGCCTCCACGAACTTCTGAATCACTGGCTCGTGTGACACCTCCTCGTCGACTTCGAGGAGTAGTTGTTGTTGTAGTAGTACTTTCCAATCGATTGGAATTCCCACCCAACGTTGTTGTTGAGTCAACACAGAGTTCACTTCCATGTTTGTTAGAATGTTGATGATAAATAGAATAAACTGGATCGCTGGCACGAATGGGAAGTGGAGAGGAGTTGTGATTCTTGTTGTTGTTATTGAAAGGAATGTTTGATTTGAGTTGTTGTTGTGGTTCTTGTGGTTCTTGTTGTGAAGTGGATGTTGTGGTGATGGTCATGAAGGAGGATTGAGATTTTTGAAGGTCTGGATTATCTTTCGGACTACAAGTTATCCATTGGTGTTGTTATTGTTAGTGTGTGGGTATGTGCGTGTTATTATAATCATCGAGGTGTTGTTGAATGTTTTTGGTGTCAAAAAATGTCAACAGTCAAAGAGTGAAAGAATTGTGTTGTTCAATGTTGTTGTGGCGATTCCAAACAAACAAATCTGAAAGAAGAATACTTACTGATACCAGCTGGTTTCACCTGTTTCCGGATTGTGATAATAAAAACGTTGATAATTGGGATCAAAGAGTTCTGTCCATCCATTTAAACTACTTCTGTTCTGATTGGCACTCATCAACGTTTGTGACACATTGACTTGTTGTTGTTGATGAGCTGAGGATGAAATTGTTGTTGAGGATGATGATAACATGGGAGAGCTTTGTACAGCACCATTTTGACTCATTTTTTTGGTTTGTGATGAGTGACATTCGACAGGGGATGGCTTGAAAAGTTTGAAACGATGAACTCCGCCAAATGGGTGTGTTCTCTCCATACATGTCCATCGTCTCTGAATAACCAACAAACTCAACAGGTCCTGGAACTGCATTGGTGAGAAGAGAGGTCAATTAGCATGGTTGTTGTTTCATGCTCTCATTGAGCTCTCTCGACTTTGAAACAATCATCGAACAGTCCTTCTCTCTCAGTGAGATGATCCACCACCAATGTGGTTGATCATTCATAAATTAGTAGCATGCGCATTCCTCACAATCGCACCTTCTTTCCAAACTTTCCATTATCCGTTGAATTCTCCAAATGTTGTTTTCTACGGCTACCTTCGTTCATTTTCCTTTCTTTTTCCAAAACATGCTCAGTGTCATCCAAGAAGAGATGCAAATTCTTCTCAATGAGTCTCTGTGTACATACGCCCCGCATCATCGAATGAGTTGTTGTCGTGTGTGTGTTGTGGTGGTGTTGTGGTGGTGATAGCCGTTGGCCCTTACGAGGATGACGCGCGCTTATTCAAGGTTTCGCACAAAAAAAATACTTTCACCACTCTCTTGAATTGGTTTCTTCGTGTCCTCACGGTTCTGTATTGAGAAGGTTGTCTTCTTGTTGGAAGTACCACGAAGTAGTGAAACACTACCTGCCTGCCCGTTATCCGATTGCTTTGCACTGGTGAGACTTATCCATTAACGACATCATCATCATCATTATATATACTCTTTACAGTAGTAGTGGTCAAGAGAAAATACGGTTGTTTACTGCTGAAACACTCATCTCATTTGCAAATTTACAACAACATTATCATCCTCCAATTGTTTAAAGATGACTCATTGTGATATATCATCATGGGTTCTGGTAACCACTTACCTCAACTATGCCATCCTCATCATGTTGGGACATGTACGGGACTTTTGTTATGAATTATTTATTGGCTCCATCCACCAAAATCCTAAAGGTTTTGCTCCTCTTGTAAAATCCTATGAAGATTTTTATAATAGAAGACTTTATCGTCGTATTTGTGATTGTTGGAACAGGCCAATTGCTAGCAGACCTGGTGCTTACATTGAAGTGATGAAACGTTACTCCAACGACTATAATCAGACAATTCATGTTACCGATGAAACGATCCATTGTTTGAACTTGGCCAGTTACAATTATTTGGGCTTTGCTGATAGTCCAAAGCATGTGTTGGACGAAGTTCTTGCAAGTCTTGACAAGTACGGACAAGCTCAAGCTTCAGCCTATGGAGATTTGGGTTTCACCAAGGTCCATAGAGAATTAGAAGAAATGACAGCAAGATTTGTTGGAAAGGAAGACGCAATTGTATTTTCTATGGGATTTGCAACTAATAGTACTACCATTCCATTGTTGGCCCCAACTCCAGATTGTTTGATTATTAGCGATCAACTCAATCATACTAGTATTGTTGCCGGAGTAAGATCCTCAAGCGGAGCAAAGGTCACTGTATTTAAACACAATGACATGGACCACTTGGAAAAGATCGTTCGTAAGAGCATCATTGAAGGACAACCAGGAACTCACAGACCTTGGAAAAAGATTCTTATCATTGTCGAAGGAATTTATAGTATGGAAGGAGAAATTGTTAATTTGAAGAGAGCTGTCGAAATTAAGAAGAAGTATGGATGTTATTTGTATGTTGATGAAGCTCACAGCATTGGTGCTTTGGGTAAGACAGGTCGAGGAGTCTGTGATTATTGTGGTGTCAATCCTGCAGATATTGATATTTTGATGGGAACTTTCACCAAGAGTTTCGGATCTGTTGGTGGATACATTGCTGCTAACAAGGATGTGATTAGTTATTTGAGAAAGAATTGCTATGGTTTAATTTATGGTAGTATTATTCCAGCACCATGTGCCCAACAAGCACTCTCTGCTTTGAAGGTTATTACTGGTGAAGATGGAACTGATATTGGAAAGAAGAAACTTGCTCAACTCAATGAGACATCAAATTACTTTAGAGAAGGCCTCAAGAAGTTAGGATTTGAAGTGATCAGCGATGCTGACTCTCCTGTTATTATTACCATGCTTTACAATCCCGCAAAATGCCATCATTCTCACGAATGGCCCTAGAAAATGGTATTGCTGTTGTCGTGGTTGGTGCTCCTGCTTGCGATACGTTATGTTCACGTGTTCGTTTCTGTATCTCTGCCGCACACACCAAAGAGGATGCTGATATTGCTTTGAAGAAACTTGACAAAATTGGTACTTGGACAGGAACTAAGTACAAGGTGTACGAAAGTCAACTTGTCAATGACTTGTACCAACTTATCATGTAAATTTTTTAGGATATACAATCTAACACCTGTAACATTTAATTTTTTGAGAGTTTTTCTGGAGATGACTTCAATCAATAATAAAGTCGTAATCCTTTTCGTAGAGTATTTAAAGTTAAAAAATACGCAAATGTCTTGGACTCCATATTAGTCATGACGCTGACCGATTGAATTTTGTTGAATCTTGTTGATTCTTTCTTTGGTTCTGCTTCATGCCTATTCGAAAAACTGATAACTTTTTAAAAGTCTTTAAGGTGGAGACGGTGTTGCTTATCGATTTTGTTGCTGTTGCTCAGGTTGATTGGGTGTGACATTTGCATTTCTCTTTGGAATGTTAAAAGTAATGGCGGGCGATTTGGATGATGGGGTTTTTTGAACATTGCTTGAGCATGTTGAATTTGCAGACAATGGAATAGAGGCGGCTGTCGTTTTGGTAACTGAGGCTAACAAATCGTCATCGTCATCTTCAGCAACACTCAAAGAAGAACTCGATGAAGGAGTTGACATTGTAGTTGACATCATTTGTTCATTCTCATTCGAGTGCGTTCTTTTCCGCTTGTGCTCCAAATAATCTTCATACTTGTTTGGTTTTAAAATGTCATATTCTTCCTCCTGGTATGATGTTAATTGTTGCATTTTTCCAAGTGATGATGTTCTCCTTCTTTGATTGATGTCATTCTTATCATCCTCAGGTAAAAAATTGTTGATAACCACTTGATTTTTTCTTCCTGAATTGCTCGAATTGGAAGTACTATTATTTAATGATTGTTTTCGCTTTCCCAACGAAGAAGGAATTAATTGTGGTGTTTTAGAGTTTGTATTCGAATTATTAAATTTTTTTGGAGTGTTGGTTGGTAGTTGAAACTCGTTCATTGAATCTTTGGAATGATTTTCCAATTGTTGATGATCATTTCCAACACTTTGATTGAAAGGAGTTTGTATTCTTGCCTGCTCTCGTTTGGATAAAGCATTAATTTCCAAAATTTTAGCTTCCGTGTTATTGTGATGATCATCTACGATTGTAGCAATGTTAGTTCCTTCTTCGGAATTTTGTTGAGGTCTTGTTTGTTGTTCATTTCCGTGATTATTAGTATTATTGGTCGTCGTGATGGCACTCTTCGGAGAAGGAAGATGAAATCCTCCAAACACAAAAGGCATTTTTTTGTAAAATCATTTTTATTAAAAAATAATTTAATATTTAAAGTGACTGTTGGTGAAATATTAGTAATTATTATTATTGAAATGAAATAATTATTATTGAAATGATAGATCCTTATAGGTAATGGCATAGAATGGTTGTATAATAATAATAATTACAACTTGTGAATAATCGCTCCACCAATATAATCACAATATTTGTAACTTGGACTCCAAACATTAGTGTCATACTCGGTTGGTAAAACAGTGTCACAAACCATTCCTCTTGCAACAATTCGAATCGAATCAGCACCATTTGTGGGGAGATTATTACTCAACATGTGTGAATCACATGCTGTAAATGTATTTGTGAGAGGAATGCTTTCTGTGAACATGACATTTGCTTTTCCATTAGAATTTGGTTTGGAGAGTGCTGAAATTTCCATACTCAAATGTTGAATGGTTGTAGTGAGTGGAAGATTTGGAGAATTATAGTTTTGTTTTCCATCAGAATTATTGGGTGGGAAAACACATGGATATTTCACCTTAATATTGAAACTTGTCTTGGAATTTTCAGTGACACTAATGGAGAGAGGAAAAGCAGCAACTCCAAAATAAGGTTTGAAACATGTCTTGTCATCATTAGGTTCAGCATGTTTCCACATTTTACAAAATAAATCCACACCATAGGTGACCCTGGTAGGATTGTTATTTCTATCCCAAGGATCTAACATGATAATTCCTGTAATAACTTCCTTTCCTGATGTCACATCTTTTTCAAATTCATAACCTACTGCCACTCGATAATGACCTCCTGAATCCACTTTAAAATTCATCAAACAAATTACTGGAATGTTATTTTTCAAAAATTCATTCACCAAATGATCGACCCAACATGGAGTCGAAGTGTCATTTCTCGCCACCTCACATGGCAAGAGTGTATTTCGATCTGGATAGTACAAGGTCACAAGTCCAGAATGTTCAAATAAATTTACTGGTACAGAAGCTTGTGATTGGTTTGCAAATTTCGAATTAAACCATCCTGATGTTGGAGCTACTTCAGGAAATTGAATATAGACTTGTGAGGTTGGTGTACTCGAGAGTGGAGAGAATCTGGCACTTCTCACGACATCCAAGCTCAGAGTACCTGTATGATTGGAAGTACGAGCCACATCAATGATGGATCTCTGATCAATGATTTTCTCTTGATAATAATAGGAGAGTACCATGTTGAGGCTTGCATCTCCACAGGAATAATCCGTTATTTGATCAAGATAGGGAACTTGGTGGATGATGTATTGTTGTCGTTGTTGGGTTTTGGTGGTGTATTTCGGAGTAGGAGTGGTGGTGGTGGTCAGAGTAGTGGTGGAAGAAGAAGAAGAACTACTACTCGGATCCGACCTTCTTGTTGTTGGGTTTGTAGAAGGCCTTGAGAGATGGAGATTCATGGCGTCAATGGACGAGTTCTTCATCATCATCAGACAGAAGAGCACCATTGCCACCACCACTACCATCATCAACAGCAGCCATCCGCCACCACCACCACTCCGAGAGAGGAGCCTTCGTTGTGGAGACGACATTTTTTGGAAGATTAATATGGATGATGATATTGATGTGTGTGAGAATAATCCTCAGAATGTTGAGGCATGAAATATCACACTGAGGCGAGAGGGTGATGAGATGTCCACTCGAGGTGGATGGAGAATCCAAATGTTCCTATGAATGAATTTTAATCCACTCTCGACATGATCCATTCAATAATGTCACTAAAAGAGGGTCGTTTGGAAGGGTCATGATTCCAACATTGTGTCATGATTTGAAGAATGACATCATTGTTGGTCTTGTTCTTTGAAATTTCAGGTCTTTCTCCTCTCATGACAAGTTGACAAACATCAGAGACTTTACCATGATTCCTAAACACGACATGACCATGTGTTAATTCATACACAACATTTCCAAACATGTAGACATCACTTGCGAAGGAATAATCAGAGCTGTTCTGAATAGCCTCTGGAGCGTATCGTCTCATAGATCCACGAGGTGGTTGAACTTTCCAATCCACTTTCTTACTGACACTAAAATCAATCACTTTGGCCTTAAATGTTGGAGTTTTTTGATTGTCTGTTGCTACTTTACAAAGCATGATATTCTGCAAAGATAAATCTCTGTGAAGAATGTTGTTGTCATGAATAAATTTCATACCTTGAGCCACGTCAAGAACGATGGATCGACATTGCTCAGTAGTGAGAGGAAAATGTTGTGACGGATATTCCTGTAATTGAAAATCACAAAACTCTAAAATATAACAACCATATTCTCCATCGAGGGAGATTCCATAACACTCGGCAACATTTTCATGACCTTTAAGGGATGCAAGTAGTTCCAGTTCCATTAAAAAATGATTCAGTGCTTGTTTGAATCCAAATTTGTGTTCATGCTTCTTGGATAAATTCACACGTTTGACAGCGACTTTTTTAGATTTGTAGATCATTGGAACTACCTCTCCTTTGACACCTTTTCCAAGTAGAATGTCTTTGTTTTTCTCTTCTAATTGTAATTCTTGAAATGGAATGTATGGTAAATTTGTCTGCAAACAATGGGATAGAATTTTTTCAAACACATCAATATCTTGATCCTCATCTACTTGTGGGACTAGTGAGTGTTTATAATCAATACCATTCTCTAAATGATAATTCAGAACGCTTTGTGGCATTTCCTCCGAGGATATTGTTTCTCCGTTCTTGAACTTTTTTCTAATCATTGTGGAGCTAATGGGTTTCATGATGGAAGCATTCACAATAATCACTTTCCGACGATACCCGAATTCATTTCTCCATTGTTCCAAATTAAATTCAAGACATTCTCTATTCACCACACAAATCAAATTTTCACAAATATGTTTTCCACACTTTTGCAAATTATCCACTCCAATCACATTAAACACTTTAATAGATTGTTGACAATTTTCTCCATAGAATGATTTTAATACTCTCCAAAATTGCTGTTGGCCTTGTTTAAAATTAATTTGATGATCTTGCAAGGCTTGATATTCATCGACTGCAATCCAATCCGAGTTCTCAACTGTTAATTGACACATTTTGATCCGATGCACTGCAGAAACAAATTCATGAATATTTCCAGTAATTCCTTGACACTTCTTTTTAACGCTACAATCCGCTCGTAACGTAATGAATCCTCCCAATACATTCATATTCAATTCGTTCATTAAATAGTTCCGAGCATCTTCCAAGAGTAATAAATGATTATTATGAATAGGATTAAAAGTACCATTCAGAATGATGATGGCATTATTAGGCACAATGGAGTTTGGATTCTCATCCGATGATGATTGAAGGAGTGATCGTTTCAATTTATGTGTGGGTGTGAGGTGTTCCAAAGAGTGGAGAAACATTTTTCTGTATTTTCAAAATTGAACGAGTTGGAAATTAATCGTACCGTTCTTCCTTCTAACTTAAATTTTGGAATTGAAATCCATGAATACCAAATTACAGTATAATATTCCAACTTGACATGATGTTTAATATTTCAGAACTGAAAAAATTTCAATGCTTTTTCAGGTTGATCATTTGACAAGTGTCATGCACTCATTTGAAATTATTCTTTATATCCCTTTCCTATATCAGCCATCATATGGATAGATTAAGCGAAACACTAACCTCTCCCCTTGAAAAGATGTTCTCCAAAAAATTCATTTACATTTTTCACATTTTTTGAAGAAGAATTTTACATCCCAGTCAATATCTGGTATTATTCTTCACAAATCTTTTGAAATTATTATTCGAATCGCGAACCAAGAGGAGTCATTGAGACTTGATTGTTATCAATTAGGATTCCAAAAAAAGCACTGTAGTCGGTTGTGGAGGCACCTCAAAATATTCCGCTCAAAAAAAAATTCTTTGATCGCCACCATTCTCGACCGAAGTGGATTGATCTCTCGCCACCACCTCTGTTGGATTTTTGTTTCGTACTTTTGAACACTTGTATCATATCTATTTATTACTGCTACTACCGCTTCTACTGTACTCTCTTTGTAACACTCCAGGATTGTAAATTATTTGAATTGTTCTTTTTTGTCTCTATTGTCATCATTATTATTGCAAAAATCTATTGCCATGATCAAGCCAACAAGAGCATTGTTTAACGGTAAATCCATCATCACCCATAATTGTGAAAACAAAAGGTTGACCTCCCTTTTGGGCTTGTCCTATGCGAACAAGTCAAATGCCAGAAAATCCATCATGATGACTCGATGCTCCTTCCGTGATTTTCATTGCAATTCAGCGATGAATGAAAAATCAATGAAATCCATCAACTTGCCAATCCATGATATTCCTGAATCATTTGAAGAGAGCTACAAAATGTCCATTGATTTTGAGAATGGTGGTGCTGAAAAGTTTTGGGCAACTCAGGTAAGCTTTGTGTGAAATTTGAATTCAGTAATTATTGAATCAATGCTTCTTTTGGAAATTGTTCATGATACAATAATATAGGCTGCACAACTTTCATGGATCAAACCGTACAAACGAGTGTTGAATAATGACAATCCTCCTTTCATTAAATGGTTTGAAGGAGGTGAAATTAATGCTTGCTACAATTGCTTGGATGTTCATGTGGAAGCTGGAAAAGGAGATCGTATTGCCTTCATTTATGATAGTCCTGTTTCTACAAATCATAACAATGGTAAACCAGTGGTTCAGAAAATTACCTATGCCAAATTATTGGAAAATGTTCAATTATTATCGAATGTGCTGAAAACAAAATTTAACATTCAGGTAAGTTAAGGAATTTTACATTTTCGATACATTGGAAAATTGGCATTTGATTGTGAATTTGATTATTTGATTGATTTAAACGCTAATGTCACTTTTGTGGAATTCTTGTCATCATTCACCTCGGTGGGTGGTGAATCATTGGTATTCTTGAATAATTATTGAATAATTCTTGAATGACATGACGCTCTAGCGAGGTGATCGAGTGGTTATTTACATGCCGATGGTCCCACAAGCGTTAGAAGCCATGCTTGCATGTCAAAGAGTGGGAGCCATTCACTCAGTGGTGTTCGGTGGTTTCCAAGCTCACGAACTTGCCATTAGAATTCAAGACGCTCAACCCAAATTGGTCATCTCAGCCTCTCATGGATTGGAAGGAATGAATAAGGTCATTGATTACAAGGTCATTCTTGATGAAGCTTTTGAAAAATCAGGCACTTCTGGTGTGGGATTAAAGTCACTCGTCTATCAGAGAACATTCTTGCCAAAAGTTTCCCTAAAGGAAGGAAGAGATTATGATTGGGATTCTCTGGTCTATGCACAAGATAACAAACCAATGAAGGAAGTTGTTGCTGTTCCATCCGAAGATCCAATGTACTTGTTGTATACAAGTGGAAGTACTGGAAAACCAAAAGGTATGTGAATATCATTGTGGAGAGATGATTAACCTGGATGTGATGGATTCGATGAATGTTTTGCCCTTAATATATATATTGAATTCATTGACAAATGAAGGCGTTGTGAGATCATTGGCAGCTCACCTGGTAGCTCTCAAATGGTCCATGAATGCAGTTTTTGGAATGAACGAAGGTGACACATTTCTTGCTACCTCTGATTTAGGGTGGGTTGTGGGTTCAAGTTATATTTGTAAGTTATATTGGGTATGATGTATTTGCATGAGCAACATAATTTTGTTGTCACATCGATTGTATGCGCTTTCTTGACACTTTTTGAATTGTCCTTGACCAAACATGAATGTTGTGACAGGTTACGGTCCGTTACTGAAAGGATGTACCAGCATTCTTTATGAAGGTAAGCCTGTTGGCACTCCTGATGCAAGTGCGATCTGGAGATTAATTTCACAACATGGAGTCAATGTCATTTTCATTGCTCCTACTGGTGTCAGAGCGATCAAGAAGGAAGACATTACAGGTCAATACATCAAAGCATTTGACTTGAGTACTTTGAGAGCCCTATTTGTTGCTGGTGAAAGATGTGACACGAACACATTGTTTTGGCTTCAACAGCATACTAACAGACCAATTATTGACAATTATTGGCAGACAGAAACAGGTTCACCTATTTGTAGTGTCATGCTTGGTTATGAAAAGGACTATTCCAAGATTAAGGTCGCTCCAGGATCTTGCAACAAACCGGTTCATGGATGGAACATTAAAATTCTCCCTATTGAACAAGCAGATAAGGGAGACGATACATCCTTATTATCTGAGTTGGCAGCTCACAATGAAGGATATATTGTCGCAAAATGTCCTCTTCCACCAGGTGTCATGAGTACTTTGTGGGGAAATCCTCAAAGATTTATTGAAGGTTATTTCAAAACCTTTAATGGCTATTATAAAACTGGTGATGCTGGCCATATGGATGCACAAGGAAATTTATATGTCATGACAAGAACAGGTAAGTTTCAAATGGTCACATCTTTGATACAGACCATGAATGAATGAATGATTGCATGTGAATCTATATCATGTGAACTTCATAGACGATATAATTAACGTTTCAGCACACAGACTAAGTACTGCAGAGATTGAAGAAATTTTATTGTCACTTCCTCAAGTGGCAGAGGCAGCCGTTGTGGGTGTGCACGATGATTTGAAAGGTCAAGTGCCTTTGGGATTTGTGGTTTTAAATGAGAAATATAAGAATGTACCTAGAATTGAAATTGAAAAGAAGTGTATTGACATTATCAGAAAGGAAATTGGTCCAATTGCAGTATTCAAGATTGTGATTGTGTGTCCAAAATTACCCAAGACACGTTCCGGAAAAGTACTGAGAGGAATTCTGAGAAATATGGCAGATGGTGAGCCATTTGCATTCCCTTCAACAATTGAAGATGCTAGTGTACTAGATGAAATCAAGACTATTCTCGCAGAGCATGGTCTTCCAAAAAAGAAGACTGAATAAGCTCACATTTGTACTATCAAAGCTGTTGATTTTTGCAAAAGTGAAATTATTTGCAAGAGTTGCAAAGATTGGGTTCTCATTAATAAATTAGTGGGTGACCTTGTATTTCTGTGTCTCACAGTTTGGATTGAATCAAACTCAAATCTCTTCTCAACTGTGTATCATCACGCCGATTCAAAACGGTAATGGAAATTCTATCGAGCTCAGGTGAAACCTCAAGATGAATGTGATCATGAGGTGAAAACAAGTGATCAGCAGCAGCCAGAGGAGTCAACACATGATTCTCCAAAACACCAGTTACCGTTAACGAAGGTCTATATCGTTTCATTAACCATATGACAACATCTTCACTCCAAGTTAATTTGTAACATTTCTGTGAGTTGGCAAATGAGGAGAATGTTGAAAGTTGTGTAATTATTTGATGACACAATTCAACATCTGAAAATGCAAAAAATGGTACAATTGCATTGAACTGATGCAGAAAAGCATCAAAGCATTTTGGCATTTTGTTTTCTTCTGATTTGTTTGAATTATTCAAATGATCAACTAAAAAAGGAGTGATATGGTGTCGAAATTCAATGACTCGATCGAGAGCATCAATTGCTGAATATGCTGATGAAACTTGTTCAAGATATCCAGTTGTGGAATTTGTAGTAGTAGAATTCAAAGTGCTTGCTCTATCGGTCAAGGTGGATGGCTTCCTTAATTGTGATTGCTTCTTCATGGGTTTGAATTGTAAAGTCGAAAATTCATTTTCGTCATTATTGAGGTAAGTATCTTCGTATGGAAATTGAGACGCGCTGTAGGATGACTGAGATTGATAGTTATTGTTCTGAACGGACTTCTTTTCTTGCTCGTACTTGTCAATTAGGGTGTTTGGTCCATTCTCTAAGATATTTTTCTTGACCATTTGATCGCTAATTACAGAAATGCAAATAAATATGGCTTGACTAGCGTCAATCACGCGTACGAGTTCTTCCTCGAGCGGTTTTTTGATATCTGCAGTTGCCTTCTTTTTATCCGTGCGTTTGTTGGCTGATGATTCCAATGATTGGTCTGTTGCCAGTGAGCCAGAATGCTGTGCCTTGTAGTTGACATCTTTTCTCGATTTTTGTTCAAGTATTAATCCTGCTCTGAATAGTTGATGTAAAAATCTGAAAATGGAAGGATGGGCATATTCCATATTGTTGAAAACTATTACAGCATTTGGGGCCGTTTCTAAAACCACATTCAATTGCCCAAGCATGTAATTGAAAGGTTGATTGTATCGATATTCGTCTGAAAATTGAACCAAATTCGATAACGATTCTTCTTCCGTAAAATAATTCATATCGAAAAGCACGAAAGGTCTTCCTTGAGACTGAGCTATCAGACGAGAAATATACAATTTTCCAACACCTAATGGACCTATAAAAAACAAGGAGAGTGGAATTTTCGTTTTTTTCATGAATTGTTTCTTTTGTAACTCGTCTTGAGTTTGTTCAGAATTTTCAGAGCTTGACGATAATTGATGATATGAATATGACCATATCGTTGACTGTCTCAAAAGGCAATAACATATTGTCTTGATGGCAATCTCCTGATTGACCAAACACTTGTTTAAATAATTTTCCAATTGCAAAAGTGGCACAATTTTCCGTACAATCATCTTTTTTCCGTTGTTGTTCACTTGTGGTTTATCAAATCTTTCGATAATGAAAGGTGGTCGAATTTGCCCAATAAACTGTATATGGCTTTCATTTTCATGCATTTTGGATTTGTCCGTTGATGATGAAGAGGATGCTTGTGAAAATAAATTCCAATATTGGTGATTAAATAAAAGAGTGGAAACTTTTTCTCGTAATGATTGAAACACTTGACCAATGGGGCCTTGTTGTAAAGAAGGTGCCTGCGATGGACTTGAAGAAGTGTTACTATTATTTACATCTGTTGTTGGTGTTGTTGATAAATCATCATGCTCCGATGAAGAAGAAATTTTCACAATTTTTCGTTGTGGTTGAGTATCCTTCCAACCTTTCCGGATAGGATCCGATGGTAGCATATCCGAAGAAGATGTTTCCGTACGTGTTGTTGCTTTGCTTGAAGCGTGAGGCTGTTGTTGAATGATCATGATGAAGATCCTCTCTCACAAATAAAATCGTTAAATTTTTTATAATGAGTTGGAAAAGGCGCCAATGAAGAAAAAGAAGAATTGAATTCGAGAACAACAGTATTAATGTTGTATTGTTAAAGTATTTATAGTACTACTATCACGTATTATTGATGAAGTGTTACTTTTTCATTCACTTTGAAATTTCTATTTCAAAATTGAACCATACCATCAAATCGGAAAATGAAAGTTCCAGACATTTCAAAAGTCGAAAAAATTGATCGATCCTCATCTCTCATTAATAGAGCTCTCCATTGGTTTGTTCACTCCAAACTGTTTCACGAAATCCCGAGTTCTATCGATCAGTTATTATATATTACTTCATCAGTACTACTGATAAATTATCATTTAAAAGGAGATGGGACATAAGAAGAACAAGTTACAGAAACAAAAAAAGGAAAAACAATTATGGGGAGATGATGATTCAACAGTGCAGCCTCCATCCTCCTCGTCTTCCTCGTCGGAAAAGAATTATTTCAAACTATTACATGATGACTGTAGAGAAATGGAACATACCATTCTGGATCATGAACCAAAACAATATTGTCAAAAGAAGAAGAAACAGCAGAAGGTGGACGAAGAGGAAAACATTTCTAACAAAACAAAGAAAAAAAAATCAAGAGAGAAACAAGTCCAAGATGAATCATTAGATAGTACGAGTGTAGACGCAGAGTCTTCACTTTCCCAGAAATCAAAGAAAAAGACAATGTCTAATTTGGACTATATCAACATTCTGGAAGAAACATTAACAGAAGAAGAAAAAAATGAATTTTTCAATGTCACACACACCACTCGACAATTAATATCATCCACACAGGATTTACAAAAATCAATGAGTGAATATTCAACATATTTGAACAATATGTTATTGAATAACAATTCTTCAAATAATTCCTCGAGTTTCGTTATGTCCAGTGATGCAACTGCTGAATTGTTGACACTGGAGCTTTCCAAGCATTACGAGTTTTTTAAATGTAATTCATTTAACAGAAATGAGAGCTTGGCAGCAATAGTCGTTCTCGTGAGCAAAATTTCAAAACGAATTTTCAGCAGAGATGAACGAAATGCTTTCTATGTATGCAAGGTATTGAACTTGCTTTGTAACATGATGACACGTCTTGCGCCAGCATTGAATGATTGTGAAGAGTACAGTCAAATTGTAGACGAACTTGCTTTCATATTGTACAAATTTGCAGAGCATGCAAAAGCACGATATGTCATGCTGGCCACTGGAGTGTTTTACTCGCTCTGGATGGTTGCTCAGAGTAGCAAGAATGATGCCACCATAGTACATGTGAATGAAGTAATGGAACTATTGGGTGGAGCATTATCGATGGGATTTGACCTGGGAAATCTACTGGTACACTCAAACAAGTATTCACGTGATGTTGAATACCTTAAATCAACTTTAAGTGCTTATGGAGAGGCCGAAAGCACTGCAGACACCTCGGGAAGTTTTCCAGACACTTTTATTGGTTTCTCTAACAATGAGAGTGAAATTTATGTCACAGAAAACGATTTTAATGTGAGCGTTCATTATGCCATTGTTTCTTCACGATCAAATTTTCTTTCAAAGAATTGTTTAAAGTGGAATCCAACAACCAACGTATTAAGCACACATGAAACTGGTCCAGGTTATTACTTGTTGGTAGATCCTGATATTTCATGGTATGCCTTATTGAAATTCTTGCAAATTATTTACTCGGACAAGTTGTCTGCCTCCCTTGAAGAGACCAAAAAACTACGAACAACAGCAGAGAACCCAAATAACTTTTCTGTTGAACAAAAACTTATATCTGAAGGTAAGATTTATTTCGAGATCACTCGATATCACACACACAACGAAATGACGAATCACAACTGAAAAAACTGACTTGATCATTATATTTGTTGGCAACAAATTTCACACAACAACAGGTCTACCAAAACTTTTCAGCACTCTGTATAATGAAAAGACACGTACCAATGCAACCAACTGTTTAGAATCTCTTGGTGAAACAAATGATGAGTCGGTTGTTGCCATGCAATCTCTTTTCGATGATTTTGATGAACAATTACTTAAGGATGAAATGAATTACTTCTTTGGAAAACCAAGCTTTAGCCTATCATGGTATTATTATTATACTGCACCTCCACCACCTCAAACAAACACGTTCAGCACTGACTTTCTGAAAAGAAAAACCAAGATTCGACAGCATGCGATCGTGTTGAATGGCATTGAGGATGACTTGTCGACACTTTTCAACAACCTTGTCCGAACATCGTTTGAACGAGACGGAATAATTGATCAAAAAGCTTTTGAAAACTTTTATCCTGATATCAAAATTACCACAGATACTGAGGATTTACAAGAAATTGACTTTATTTTACAAGAAGAATTGGAAAATAATCCATTATTTGCTCACGTACTTGAATGCAAAGGCTTTTATTTACATAGGTCTATTATTTCAAGTAGAAGCGAATTTTTCAAAAAGCTACTGCAATATGAAGGCACATCCAACGAAGACTCCAACACTTCTCGAATTGAAACTTGTCACATCAACAATTTTTCACTTTCTACCTTATTTGTTGTGTTTCAATTTATTTATGGTGGTTTAAGGGAAGACATGACCATGTATTCTGAGAATATTGTAGAGGTGTTTTTGGCAGCCGATTTATTTCTCTTGTTTGGTTTGAAAAAGTTTTGCGAACAGAAAATTTGTGAAAATATTACTGTGGAGAATGTGGAGCAGCTTTATTCAATTTCCATCATTTACAACTCTGAACTGATACGAGAAAAGTGCAAAGAATTGATGTTTCAAAACAATATTCCTTTCAGTACAAATATTAAAAATTTTAAGCAATATTGAGTCAAGAGTGGATGAAAGATTCCAATATTTTTATTCCAAAATGCATAGGAAATGTGAAATTTTTGAATTAGGAGTTGAATTTGTGACAAAAACCAGAATTATGAACTTTTTGGAACCAAAAGAATTGAAGTGCCGAGTCAAGAGTTTACTTCTTGATGGTGGCACAAGTGGCTTGAGGATTGAGCCTATTCCATGGCATCTTCATTAATGCAACACCCATGGCACAAGTATTCGTGTAGGCAGAATACATTAATCCACATCCAACAAATCCTGGCAAACTTAAAAACCATGGATTTCCAGTGACAGCAAATCCAGCCACACCTGCAAAGACAAATGCACCAGCAGTGAATCGAACTTGTCGTTCCATAGACCACACCGATGAAGATGCAGCACCAGCAGGTTTCACTTGCACAATAGGATCATCTTGAGGTTTACATGTATTCTTGATATCATTGAATCCTCCCTTAATGCAAATCACATCCGAAAAGCCACTATTACTCAACAATTCACTCGCTCTTTTTGCTCGAATTCCTGATTGACAAACGACATAGGTTGGTTTTGTTTTATCCAACAAATTCATGTTTGCTTCCAGAGTTTGAACTGGTAAATTGAAACCCTTTCTGAATTTGTGTTCAGCATGTTCAAATTCTTGTTGAGTTCTTACATCGACAATTTGAATGTCATTGGCCTTCTCGAGTAAATCTCGCACCGAGGTAAACTCGACTTCTTTGAACGATCCGTAGGAGAGTGTGGCACTCGTGGAGAATGGTTGAAAGGTGTTCCGAATGATCAATGTCATGGCACCTTGATGATGCAGACGAGAGTGCTTTGAGAAACCGTTCTTGAGAAGTGATTTCATCATGAGGTGTTTTGGGGAAAAAAAGCAGTAGTGATAGAGCTTCAAGATATTGTTTTCTTTTTTGAAAAGGAACAAAACATATATATGCAACAAAGAGATGATGTTTTGGTTTGGGAACAATTTTGGTCACAACAAGAACTCGTTCCTTTAAAGGCGAAAAAAGATGCGGCGAAACGAATGAACATTTAACAACATGTAAAGCTTCCTTATAGCGATGTTGATGCCATCTTGAAGATGTGTGTTAATTCCACGCTAAAACGTGTGATAGGATTATTATTTCCGTAAATGTCATGGGTCAATTACCTTCCATTTTGGGCCGACCTACAAATATATCCCTTTGCTTGAGTTGAACAAACAATTTCATTCTATAGCCATTAGTTGGTGATTTATTAAAATCTTCAACACTGAACTGAACAAATGAATATGCATTCTCTATATCGTGTTGTTGTGGGAGTTGATATATTGAGTTGAAAAAATGACCTCTCAAGAATGCTTGAATGAATTCATTCAAAAAGGAAATCAATTGGTGTTTGAAAACAAGTTTGAGGAAGCTATCGAAATGTTTTCTCAAGCAATTGAATTAAATCCTCAAAATCCTTTCGTTTATGATATGAGAGCTTCGGGTATGTGAATATATGTACTTCGGAACACTGATACCATTACGGAATGCGGAATGAATTTATGGTGGATGATGATGATGATGAAATTTTTCTTTTTTGGACAAATTGAACATGATGATGCATCATAATTATTTGCATTTTGATCACATGCGGATAAAAACAGTTTATATATTAATGGACGAGTATGAAAAGGCTGTACGTGACTCCGAACAAGCAATGGAATTAAAACCTTCATGGCCACAACCTTATTTCCGAAAAGGTCTTGCACTCTCACTTTATGGAGACTTAGAAGAAGCAATACTTATTTTAAATGCTGGGTTGGAAATTTGTCCCACTCATGCTTCGATGAGCAAGTTGAGGAATGATTTGATTGAAATTATGAAAAAACAACAAGAAAGTGAAACACCTCAGAAAGAATCGTCAGTATTGAATGAAACACAAAGTGATAATTCTTCATTTTCTCTTGGCGTTGAAGATTTGGAGCCATTCAGTGAAGAGGAAAAATTACCAGTTACAATTTTATGTGGATTTTTAGGAGCAGGCAAGACAGTAAGTTAAGAATATCGTTTTATATGGATCAGTTTTTTGAGTGTCAACATTCTTTCAATTAATTATCATAATTGATTGGTAAACAATTTGAAATTATTATTTTTTAATGAACCTTATATCAAGACTTTGTTGAATTACATTTTGCAAAATAAGCAAGGACTTAAAGTAGCTGTCATTGTAAATGATATGAGCGAGGTGAATATTGATGTAGAATTGGTCAAACAAACGAGTACACTTTCCAGAACGGAGGAAAAAATGGTTGAAATGACTGTACGTTTTTTGTTGTCCATTTCCAAAAAATTTTAATCTGTCTCTATTTTGAACAATGCAATAATATTTCATTTTGTATATTATTTTTATTCGATCCAGAATGGATGTATTTGTTGCACACTACGAGAAGATTTATTACAAGAGGTCGCAAAACTCGCCAAACAGAAAAAATTTGACTATCTTCTCATAGAGTCGACCGGTATTGCAGAGCTCCTTCCCATTGCTCAAACATTCTTTTTCCAAGACAATTATGGAAAAATGCTTTCTCACTACACAAAATTAGATACACTCGTCACTCTAGTCGATTGTTTTAATTTCATGAAAGATTATTCGAGTGATGATACTCTTAGCTCTAGACATATGGGTATCAATGAGAATGACAATAGAAACGTTGTTGATTTACTGTTAGATCAAATTGATTTTGCCAATGTAATTATTCTCAATAAGACGGATTTGATCAGTGAAGAAAAGCTCCATAAATTGGAAGCAATAATTCGAAAGCTAAATCCTGAAGCTGTCATTTTGAAAAGTCAATACTCTCATGTCGATTTGAAATCCATTCTGAATACAGGTCTTTTCAATTATGAAAAGGCACTCAAGTCACCAGGATGGGTACGAGAATTACAAAAAGAACACACTCCAGAAACTGAAGAATATGGAATTAGTTCATTTGTGTACCGACGAAGGAGGCCATTCATGCCACAACGACTCTACGAATGTATTCAAAATGAAAAATTGAGAGGAATTATTCGCTCTAAGGGTTTCTTTTGGCTTGCCAGTGATAACGCAACACTTTATGAATGGTCCACTGCAGGTCCGACTTTTTCATTTGCTCCAAAATCAATTTGGTTTGCCTCTCTTTCGGAAGAAAAAAAGCAACACTTTTCACAGGAGCAAATCGAACACATCATGAAGGAAACAAAATTTGAGGGAGAGTATGGAGACCGAAGGCAAGAGATTGTATTCATTGGGAATAATATGAATAAGGAAGAATTGATACAAACATTGGATTCATGCTTGCTTACTGATGAAGAGATGTCTCATGGCATGCAATTCTGGGAATTGACCTATGAGAATCCATTCAGACAATTCATTCAAGAACAGCAACAACAACATTATAAGAGACACGATGACACTCATTCCCACAATCATCATCATTCTCACTGAGAGTACATGTTGGCTGAATTGAAAGCCACCATATATTGGCTGAATTGAAATAAACTCTCAATTGATGGACCATCATGTTGTGACATCAGTGTCAGCACATAATGTCATGCATAAAATTACTCGTAAATGATCCAAGTACGTCCAAATTGAGTAATGCAAAATTCCAACTTTTTAACTCAATATTGTAATATCCACAATCAATAACGCCAGAATATCTTTGTCCATTTCTACCTGAAGCGCTAATAAACATACCACGAAGCATATCATAGTTTGGTGTACAAATAAACGTTGGACTGAGATGGTCATAATATCCATAGATGTTGTCTTTCTTTCCCCTTGCTGTGCCATAAATATGGATCTTTTTTGTGGTCAAGCTTGAGAAGAAGCATCCAATTAAAACTCTTCGGATTCCAACTTTTGTGACTGAATCTTGCATTTCCTTTTTTCCATCTTTGTCCACTCTGCAACATCTTTTTTTTAAAGTTGGTGGAATACACAATTCATAAATATTTTCAATTTTTCTGAAATGTGATTTTTTCTCATCATGGATCCTTTTTGCCATCTCTGTGACATTAAATAAAAATGCATGATTTGAATGGTCAATTTTACCCATCAGTAATATTGTCTCGTGTTGATGCTGTTCTTGATCTTTGTTGTGTGTTGTTGAATTTTGTTGTGACCCTTTTGTCGAGAAAATATCACTCATATCATTCTTCAATCGAATCAATACATGCTTTCGTGAATGATCAACATCCAAAATCTCAACACTCTCATTAATCATTTCTTCCTCGAGCTTGTTTGTAGACATTTTCTTTTTGTCAAGTAAAGGACATTCCACCAGGTCACTGATGGACTTGAAAAATCCATAAATACAAATTTTCATCGTGTCAATCTTCTCATTCACACGATCCTGTGTGCAGTTTTTAAAGAAATCGTTTCGATTCGACTCTGTTTTCTCAGCACTTAATCTATCATGATAGGTTTTCAAATGATCTCTACATTGAAAATGTATCCTCAAGATGTTATGATTCCGAATAGAACTCAGAGTACCCTTTCCATACTTGTAACTCAAATGTTCAGTTCGTTGAAGGAAATCTTCCTGATGGTGTTTCAAATGAAAGGAAGAATATTATTCAATTCCGAATTTCCAAAACTTGTTTTCAACTCAATCTCAATTTTTAATCCAAAACTTTTCAGAATCGGAATGAGTGGATGGTAGTGCTGAGATGACGAGTAGTTTTGCTGTTCATGTTGTGGCATTTTGTTGTTGAGACAGATCGGTGGTTGAGAAGATGGCATTTTAGGTTTGTGTTGCTAAAGTTGCTTGCAGTTTTGATTTTGAGTTTTCAGAGAGGTTAATATATTAAGTGTTAAAAGTGTTTTGAAGAAGAAAATTTCGAACCAATATCCATGCGTTCAATTCGAAAAGCACAGCAAGGCTAGTATTGGATATTCCGTCTGAGGAACAAGTTATTGGGTCACACACGTGTGTGACTAGACTTTGAGGTATTCAAGATCTTGCTGGTCTCCTATCTGACTGAGCGTGATTGTTCTTGCAGGAATCTCCGACCAAGATTCCACCAAAAACGAGAGAATATTCTCTCACCAGCAAAAAAAACCATTTTCTGTTGTTTAGGAACAACCAACATCAACGAGCTTCATTCTTTGTCGGTGTACAAATTCCGCTCTCCTCTCTCTCTCTGAAAGAGAAAAACAACTCTGACCTTTTTGAAAAAGCCGCAACACTGAAATAATAAGAAACAATTGGAACAACAACATACGATCATCATTGATTCTCTCATCGTCATCGGACCAGAAACCACAACAACATCATTCTTTTTAATCCGTTTTTTATTCGATGAGCAAACAGCATCATCACCATCAACAGCAGCAGTTTACATCATCGGGTGGTCCAAACGATAACTCCTCCAATAATGCTGCTGCTGGTACCTCTTCCACTGGTCGATTGAGCAATATATTGGAGTTGAGAGGAGTGAATGATCCTTTGCCAGATAATTTTGTTCAACCGTCGTCCAATAATGCTTCAAACCACCACCACCACCGCACTCCCATGATAAGCCTTGAGAGTGTTCTGGGAATGCGAGGAGGATCCTCCACTCTCTCAGAAAACCCCAATCTCTACCAAGGACATATTAACTTTCATCATAGCGTTCATCATGATGGTCATCATATTTTGGATCATGTTGATCCCGATCAATTCGAACAAGAACAACAACGACTCAGACAATTCAACTCTCACGGAGGACCTGGTACCATTGGTTTACCCTCCATACCAAACCTCCCTCAGAGCGTGAGTGCCATGTTTTCAAATACTTCCAACAACACTGGTGGTGGCAGTAGTGGAAGCAAAGAGGTTGGTGGTTCTCCATTGATGAACACCAACACGGGTGGACACTCCACAATCAATACCTCCTCGAGTGCTTGTAGCAATATGAACAGCTCAAGTTCTGGATCGTTAATGCGAGGAGACGGTAGTATGAGTAGTATGGCCACCTCTACTTCCTCCTCTCAACATCAGCCACCACGAAATAGCATGATGACACGAATAGACAGACCAGCGTCTCAGTCATCATTTGTGCCTTTTAATACAGGCAGCAATATGAATGTGTCCTCACAATCTTACATGCAATCTTCTGGAAATCCATCCTTTTCTGGAATGAATAATAACACTGAATCTATGAATCATTACCTTCAACAATCATCGAACTCTTATTCTGACAATATTCAAATGCAACAGCAACAACAACGTTCATTTGAAAATGCAATGACATTCACTAATAATAATAGCTTTATGACCAACAACAATATGAATAACAGCCATTTCAATTCCAACAACAATACAATGTCAAACCAAACTGGACCATTTAACAACAACAGCCAATACAATACCTCTCGTGGAAGTAATGTACAACCACAACAGCAAGATGACTACTCTCAAGACGTCATTCTTCTAGTTGTGGAGCAACAAAAGAGAATTTACCAACTTGAAGAAGAATTGCAAAGAGCTCAAGATTACATCAACAAACTTCAAGAATATGTGACATTTTTGGAATCGGAAAAGGAAAAGAATACAAAGAAACAAAGCAGATACTGGACTCAAGAGGAACATAAACTTTTCCTTGAAGGAATTGAAAAATATGGAAAGAAAGATGTTAAGGCCATTGCAAGTCATGTTGGAACGAGAAATGCAACCCAAGTACGAACACATGCGCAAAAGTACTATGCGAAAATTGACAGAGAACAAAAGAAGGTGCGAAAAGAAAAGCTAGAAGAGGCAAAAAAGCGCCAACCCAACGACAAGACAACTGGTCATCATGATGAAAACAAAAGAACAAAACGTAAAAAAGTACGAAATGATGATGAGTCGAACTCTGATTCTGCTAGAAGCCCACAAATTGAAGAAGGAAGTGTTTCTGGATCAGTCATGGATGAGTTGAGCGATGTAGAAAAAGATAATGTCGGAACGCTCCAAATTGGATCTGGTTCAAAACAACCTCCTGCCATCGATAGCAATACTACCCGATAGTGATGTGACATATCCATGACAATTACAACAATTGTTCCATGGAGCCCAGCGTAACAAGACAATGATCGATCCACAATGTTTGAATCTGGAAAGAAGAGTTTTCTTCAAATTGTTTGACACTAACTCTCCCTAAATGCAATGAATTTTGGAAACTTAATAAATAACAAATCCTTTATTTGCAAAATTAGATGGTTTATGACATCGTGTGTTAACCAATTCGTTCAAAAACTAGTTTAAAAGTTTCCGATGAGACGGAATCGAACCGCCGACCACCTAGATATGTAGTAAAACTATCTATCTGAATGAAACCGATGATAGCTCAGCTGGTAGAGCATGGGACTGTAGCAAGCAAGTCATCCTGTGGTCGGCGGTTCGATTCCGTCTCATCGGAAACTTTTAACTAGTTTTTGGATTTATTCACACAGAAATGAGAGAATATAAAGGTAAAAGGAATAGTTGGGTGAAGGACAAGAAATGATGTTTTATTTTCAATTGTTGAGTATATTGTTTAGCTCTAACAAAACCTGACTGTTATCTAGAGTTATCGCCTCTGTTTGGGCCAATTTTAAAGGTGTTTTAGCTGAAGTTTTTTTGGGAGAGTTCTTTCCTTGCTTGGGCGAGGACGTAATTTTTACGGAAAGGGTTTTAAGATTCGTGTCAGTAGTTATTGAGCTTAGTGTGGAAAGGTCTAGGGGAGGAATGGATAAAGCTGATTTGTTCATTTCGATCGAGCTTTGGTCATTGATCCCGTTGAGATTGGGATCCTTACTATTGAATGACTTTTCCACTCTCTTCCTTCTCAAGTCTTTGTGCATTCTATCAATGGAAGCCTGGGTTGACAAGTGAGAGGTTATATTGTTTCCTTTTTCTTTGGCTTGCAACAACATTTCAATCTCCTTATCCTCCTTGAAATCATGTTGGAATCGTTCCAGCACTTGTTGCATGCGAAGTGTAACTGCGTGGTGAGGACCCAATCGGTTGGTTGCAATTTCCAGCGCTTTCTCATGAAATAGTGAAGCTTTTGAAATCTTTTTAGGAAATAATACCACATGTAAACAACGAACATTCAATCCATGCGCTCACTTACCTCCATCAAATGTTCCAACTCTACTGCAATATTATTATGGGCAACAACAATGCTCGAGTATAGAGCATCATGCGTTAACGAGGGGTGCTTGAAATCAGAATCCTCTTCTGTTGCTTCGACCTCATCTCGCAAAGCTTCCCTCTCCACAAGTTTAGATTGTTGAAACAACAAAATATCGAGAGCAGTATTGGCATGAGCCAATGATTGTTTGTGTTTTCCGAGTTTTGACAAGATCGCTCCAATATTCAAGTACGAATCAGCCAAAGCAATATCATTGTCTCCTTTTGGAATCTCCGATTCAATCTTGAATGCCTTTTGAGCATACTCAAGCGCTTCCTCGAACATGTTCTTCATTCTAAAAGCAAAGCTCATATTATTCAGTGTCATGGAATGTATTCTCTTGATATTATCAAACTCAATTCCAATGTTTAAATAATTCAGAGCTCTCTTCAAAATCTCTATCCCTTCCGTTGGATTGTTCCTACAATTCAATGTGGAATATGTGTTGCAATGAATAATAAATTTCTTGCATGCTTCCTCCACTTTAGGGTCCAACAGTCCGTAGACATCAATGAGAATGTTTAATCGTTGCTCCCTCGCTTCTAAACTTTTAAGGTGATTTTGCGAAGACTCAAGCTCATTAGCTTTTTCCTCTAATGAAATAATCTCCAGCAATTTAATCCGAGTTTCTTTCATCAAGGCTGCATGATTAATTTCATTTAGAGTTTCGTTGATGTCTTGTTTGAGTGATTCCTGAAGCTGTAACAGTGAAACGGAGGGTGATTCTTGTTCATCTTTTTTACCTCCCAACCCGGAATCACTCTTGTTAAGGTGCAAAGATGTGTTACCCTCTTTACCCTCTTGATCAGATACTTTCCTTTGACTAACAATCGAGTCGGTCTTTCGTTGGTATTTCCTTCCAGGAGTTTTAGGTTTTGATGGAGAAAGTGAAGCCGATGAAGCTGCAATGCTCTTATTGCGGAGATCCATTTCAACAAGTTTCATCATCAAGATCCTCCATTAACACTTCCCGAATTCAATAAATTCTCAATGTATAACAAGGAATCTCTTGAGATTTTGTTGTAGATTAGGTGGCGCCAGAATTTCTACAAGCTATTTTTTTTAAAAAAATAATGAGTTTTGTCTTTGAGAATATTCTGGCACATTGAGAATCAACAACAACAACGAAAACACCACCTGTTCATTGATCTTACATCTTTTTCGTGCATACAATTCAAGAATAGTATTCCGATCACATAAACCTTCCGAAACTTGCTCAACCATTTGCAGAGTGTTGGAAAAATGTCTCAACCAAGACGTGCATCATCAACATTGCTTCTTCAAGATGATGATCTCATGAATTGGAGAGACAACTCCTCTCCTCAACAGCCACATAGTCAAACGACAAGAGTTCCAAAATTTCATTATTCCGAAGACTATTTAGAAGATGTGTTTCCCCAACGCCCCTCTTCACATACATATCTCGACAAAATCCGTGAGAAGCAACGAGCGACCATTCTCTCCGATCCTGTAGTGTGGGCCAATGAAACACGAAATCTTCTCAACAAAGACATGAATATACCTCTCCCAAGAAAAAATCAAGCGAAGAAATGTTGGTGGCATTCCGACCAATACAGTCGGAAGAAAAGTTAAAGGCACACTCTACAAGAGAGAAGCAATTTTGCCAAGGGAAAATCAAATGAACCCAAGTCTTCCTCTTCCACCAATATCTGAAACAGAGCTCGACAAGGGGCTACTTAATTTAATCAACAGAAAATTGGTTCCTTCATTTATTGACCTATCACCATTAGTGAATACAAACGAAGAAAACACACCATTGGTGGCACAGCCTGCAGTCCTTAATCCTTTTCATACTCAGCTCATCAAGAAGCAAGTGCAGACATCTGAAGAACAAAAACCTGTACTTTTCAAAATGCAAAACTCCTCTCGAAGCTTACATGACCAAGCATGCATTCAAGAACCTCGAGGTAGCCGAAAGAAAGAGGCACCAACCATCATACCTTTTGGTAACCAAAAAATAATTAATGTCAAGAGTGATAACGCATCAATCTATTTACCAAAGAATGCAATACAACAACCTCTCAACTCAACTCTTGATCCTACCGAGGATCAAAAATTGAACGCTCTCTTTGAGGCGAATCACGAAAAGAAAAAACAGCAATATTTAAGAACGTATTTGGATCTCATGGATGAGTACAGCTTGCACCATGTCATCGTACGGCATGGAACTTTACTAAACAATACCCCAGAATACTTATCTTTTTATCGAACTTATCAGTATAACTGGCCTAAAATCTATGGAATTCTAATGCTTCTAGAGAGACTTTTGAAAGATTTTTCAGGTAAGCAATTAATGCATGAATTTTCTTTGTACAATGGCTTTTTAATGTATTGCAATTCATCTCTTTTAGTTCCGCTGGCATATGTGGATGGTAAAAAAGTTGTATTTTTAGCTGAGAAGACTGTAGACCCCACCAATCAACAATTAATTGATTGTCTTGTAAATAGTGAAACTGTAATTCCATATATCCATCTACCTGACGTGAAATTTTTAGGAAGAAATGGTCCAAATTTGGCTGCAACAGCTATTCAACGAGTTTGGAGAGGATATTCTCAACGAAACAAGTTCAAAGAGCTTAAGAGACAACACCATATGGCTTCCATCATTCAGAGATGGTGGTTCTTAAGGACACGTTTATTTCGAACTAAAGAAAGGATTCAAAAACTTCTTTATGACGAAGAATTTAAATGGAAATCGAAAATGGAAGAGTTTAAGAAAAATTGGGACACCATCAAGAAAGCAAAACGAACAATTGTTCATATTAATTCTTTAAGCTATGATGAGAGCGTGCGAAAAACATTTCCTAAATTTAAATCCCACCAAAATTCACAATTATTTAGGTTGCTCGATCTGTTGGATCCTAATGTAGACATAATATTTATTGCATCATATCATATTGACAGCGATGCTTTATCCTATGTGGTAAAATTGTTAGAATATTATGGTGTGGAAGAGCCAATGAAACGAGTGAAATTTGTAACACCTGAAAATAGTGACAAATTCCAAGAAAACCTATCCTTGTCGACCCTTGTTTACTATTCTCAACGAACTTTAAAACATATCAAAACGCTGGTAATGGGTAAGGTGGCTTTCATCGTTCCAGGCCATATTGGAAAAGATGATTTGAGGTTGGCCATTAAACTTCAGCTTCCAATTTTAGGACCAGACCCTTTGAATTCTACGATATATGGAACAAAATCTGGAAGCAAACGAATCTTTTCACAAGCTGATGTGAACACGCCAATCGGTATTTATGATATTTATGAAGAAGAAGACTTGATCTCAAATTTAACAAAAAAGATCCTTGAATATCCCAACTTTAATAGATGGCTAATTAAAATTGACACCGAAATGAGTGGACGAGGATTAGCCTATTTGGAAACATCAAGCGTTCATGCTGTCAAGGAAAAGAGGAAAAATGAACCCCTTTTTACAGATAGAGTTCGAACAAAAATCCTAGAAGAACTCTCAGAATACATGCCTGAGAGAATTAACCTTGTTTCAAAATATGTTTATCCAAAGTGGATGGATTTCATCACATCTCTAAAAAATAGTGGAGGAGGAGTAATAGAGGCTGTGCCTAACAAAATTATTGGCTCTCCAACTGTGAATTTGTATATTGAGCCAAACGGTGAGATTCAAATTCTTTCTGTTCAAGAACAATTACTGAGTCCTCAATATTGCGCTCAAGGATGTGCATTTCCACAATATTCTGCTCCATATGAAGCGCTAAGGGAAGCTTCTCTATCTGTAGGACATGTTTGTTATTCGAAGAAGATCATGGGATATCTTTCAATTGATTACGTTATTTTTTTAGACGAGAAAGAAAGTGCAAGAATGTGGGCTGTGGATTTGAAACTGCGCTTGACAGATAACTCTCTTATGCATCGGTAAGTAGTTTAGGTGCTTTCAGAAATAATGTCACTAACCAGTATGGCTGAATGCATTTTTAACCCCGCACAACGTTTTCTTACTTGGATAGTGTGTTTGAGCTAGTGACGAACAGCCAGTTTGATATGAATAGAGGAATAATGGTGAGGAAAGATCACGACAGTACAAATGGCTTGACAGAAGTGAAGCGCTCTTACATTTATAGTGGAATAATGAGAAATCCCTCAATAAGCACATGGCATCACTCTTCTTTTTTCAATGATTGCAGAATGAATGGTCACTCGCTGGATTGTGTTGGACAATTTGGAGTTGTTTTCCAACAAGTGGATTCTCTGCTAAGAGGTCAGCTTGGGGAGCTTTGCATTGGGAAAAACTCTGAAGAAGCCATCAGTTTTTTCACCAGTCTCGTTGAATTTATTTCGAACATGACCAACGATGAAGATCATGGCCTTCCATTCGGTTACGAATCCAATTTGTGCAACGTGGAGGCTCTCTCTCGTTGGTTGTCTTCTGCATCCCCATCCACTCGTAACTCATCAAGTAGTAATAGTAGTAGGACTTGTGATTTGAGCAGCAGCAACATAAATTGATCAATTTGTGTTTGTTTGAGAGCTTCTGAAATAAATATAAATATAACACTCATCAAATTTCCAAATCCAAACAAGGAGGAGGAAGCCGAAGATGCATATTCATCCTCTAAGTGAAGACTGCCACCAGAGTGGTCAAAGTGGTGGTCCGACAATGAGGAGGAAACACTTCCCTGAATATTACGCTCACGAATGGTGATGTACGTTTTTGCATTTTTTGAATTCTTCGGCAGCAATATCGAGGAACTTCTTCATCAACCACAAACAAGAAAGAACTCTCATCAGGAGATGTGGATGAACTCAGTGAGGCTACTGAGTTTGATGAAATTGAATCCGCCCTAACCAAAAAAACAATGTCAAGTCTTACCATCATTCAAAAGGCTCTTTTGGAACTTAACAATTTTGCCAAAAAGTCAGACGAACATCAACAGGAAATGTTGAACGTGTTGCAGGAGCAGCAACGAAAGTCGGACGAGCATCAGAAGGTGTTGTTGAACGTGTTGCAGGAGCAGCAACGAAAGTCGGATGAGCATCAGAAGGTGTTGTTGAACGTGTTGCAGGAGCAGCAACGAAAGTCGGATGAGCATCAGAAGGTGATGTTAAACGTGTTGCGCCAGTTGTTAGAGGAAATCAAAAATAATAAACATTAATTCCGTTTTTTGTTCATCATTTCGCACAATTTCATTTGATCGATCATTTATTCATTTGTCATTACCACATTGTACTCGCGTGCAATAGAATAATCTTCAGTCTTTCATGTGGATTAAGGTTCACCCATTTCAAGTTGATTCAAATTCCATCTCCAATGATCGCGCCAAAAACAGAAAATGTCATTCTCCACCAACAACACAACAACCTCTTCAGGCTTGACTTCTCACGTCTACTTTTGGGGAGCGATCGGAGTCAAAGATCGTATTCAATCCAACACACCCCACTTGATAGCCACTAGCAGTGAGAAGAAGGCTTTCTCGTCTTCGGGTGTAACCACACTTCCATCACCTCTCTTCCATACAAGAGTCATCCAAGTGAGTGCTGATGGAAGCTTTTTGCTATTGATGGACGATCGGGGACAGGTCTATGCCTTGGGAAAGGGTCAGGATTTTCGTTCCGTAATTACGGAGATGAGAAGGATCGGTTGAGTACACCTGTAAAGATTTCTTGCATTTCAATTTCTGGTAATTAGCACGTGAATCCGCATCTATCTAAGCCAACGATAAGGTACCGAAATTAAACAGTTGAATTTCCATGAAGTGTTATTGTTTTGGAAAATCAACTCAGAAAGATCTTCTTCCAAAAAATGTTTGAATATTTTAATAGAAAAGAAAAACAACACAATATTCATGAATGTTTCGAAAGAGTAAACAATAAAATTCGTTTGTTAATTAAAGGAAGGACTAATGGGTTTGTGGGATTTTCTGCATATTTTGTCAATTGACTTTATTCAGCAACGAGAAAACCAAAGAAACGCAAGGAAGCAGGAAGGATGAAAGCAGAAGTAACGTAAATCCATGAAAATTATAATAACTTGATAAATCCATGAATATCATGAAAACATGATGAATTAAATAAATGAAAATTAAATAACAAAATTAAATAGTTAGTTCAATAAAATCCTTGCCGAAAAGATTCGAATCAAGGTGGACCTGCACTGTCACAATGTTCTTTCTTACCACAAGAACATTCCGATCAGCGAAAAAGGTACTTGAATAAGCTTAAGAAAGCAAGTGGGTGGGAGTGCGAATGGGTGGGAAGTAACTAAGCAACGCAAAGAGAGACTATTAAAGAAAAATTTAAAGAACACAGATCATGATGTGAAAGATACCATTTGATTTTCTGCTATATTACAGCAGTGGGCAACACATGTATCAATATTTAGCTTTAACGTTTAGATCTCTACGTAACTTCATCTAAATGAATTTCCATGAAAGCTTTACGAGTTAGACAAAAAGTGTTTAAATCTTTATCTTTTGATATGATAAGATTGAAATGAAAACTCAGCTTAGGATACTTTAACTCAAAAATCTGTACCACCAATGTTGTGGGCATTTTATACCACTTCCACCCATTTGCTTTCTTAAGCCAACATGCGATTCAATTCTCACCCAAATACTAAATATGGTAAGGTTAATATCATTGTAACATCTTTTGATATTACAATGCCTCAGCCAACCAAACATTCGCCATTCAATCACTGACAAAGAATGTTTTTTTGTCAGTATTCCCAACTGGTCGCTCTCTGCCTCATCGAGTCTCGAATCCAATCACGTCCTCCTGCCAACCTCTCTCTCTCTGAAGTGCGGAAAGGGGAGTTGAAAATGCATTTAAATGGCGTTGTATTTATTAAAAAAAATGAGAGCGAATAATAATAAGGGTGGAAGCAGCAGCCAGCCGAGTGCAGCAGAGCTTCCCTCTCCTCAAGTCTTTGGAGACAAAAATTATAAGGTTTGTATGCGATGATCATCATGAAACCCCCTAAATTAAGAATAAATATACGACATCTTTGTTCCGTTGTTTTGTTACATTTGTCAATACAACCATCATCACTGTACACCCGAACATTGAACGGAATCACTATTTTTGGAATTTCAATGTGTCAAACAATTTCAATAATTGCTCAATAATCTCTCGGAACGATGTTAATTTCAATCACTAGATACTGAAAGAAATTGGAAGTGGATCCTTCGGAAAGGCCTATCTGTGCGATATAAAGGGGAAGAAATATGTAATGAAGAGGATTAATATGAAGGAGTTGAGTGACGAAGAAAAACAAGGAGCTTTACTTGAGGCGCAAATTCTTCAAAAACTAAAGCATGATAACATTATTGCATATAAGGAATATTTTATAAGTTCTGACAAGTACCTAAATATCGTAATGGATTATGCGGATGGAGGGGATTTATTTTCGAAAATCAAAAACTCTCCTTCATATTTTTCAGAAGACGTATGTACCAATTGATTGTTTTTATTTTTTGTTAATAGGACCTTTTCTTGAAATGAACTTTGAATATCTAGCAAATACTGGATTGGTTCACTCAAATAGCCCTTGGATTAAAACATGTACATGATTGTAACATTTTACATAGGTATGTTTACTAAGGAGTCCATCACAACACCTTAACACCATGTCGTTCTTCTCAGAGACCTTAAAACTCAAAATATTTTCCTCACTAAATCTGGGAAAATTACAATCGGCGATTTTGGAATTGCAAAAATTCTAAACTCGCAAACAGAGTTTGCCAACACGGTTATAGGAACGCCATATTATCTTAGCCCAGAATTATGTGAAGATAAGCCATATAATCAGAAAAGTGATGTGTGGGCATTGGGATGCGTTTTATATGAATTGACCACTCGAAAACATGCATTTAATGGTCAGAATTTGCCTGCTCTTGTACTCAAAATTTTAAAAGGCACCTATCCACCCATTCCACCTGTTTATAGTAGTAACTTGAGTGATTTAATATCTTCCATGCTACAGAAGGATCCTGACCTCAGACCAAGCATGAGTGAAATTTTATCTCTTCCTTTCATACAGGAGAGAGTTTTTAAATTTATATTGAACAAGCAACAAAGTGCGCAAAATGTTTCAAAACCAAGCAGTTCTCTGGAAGATATTTCCAAACAGGAGGCCGCATCAAACAATCCTCGGTCTGTGACTCCTCAGAATCAACCAAACGAAGCTCAAGGAAACTCTGATCAAAAGGTCCTCAAAAAAGATCCAAAATGGTTGGAAGAAAAGCAAAGAGAGATGGATGCTCTTTTCAAACAATTACACCCCTCAAAACAGGTCCCTATCGATACTCTCTCAAAACTCCAAATACGAAAGCATATGGAAGAACGGAAAGAACTCAAAAAAGAAAAATTGAAAGGACGAAAAGAATACTATGAACAATTATTAGAAAAGAAGATTGCCAAACCTTCGGCGGCAGGAGTCATGGTTTCAGCAAGTGCACAAAATCAACCGGTTGCATCACAACAACAAGCTATTCCTCCGCGTGTGTCCCTTCCTTCAAATATACTGCCTTCCAAGGCTCAACCAACTACTCAAAGGCAGTCACCACCTCAGGTCCCTAGCTCAGAAACCAAAACTTCACCAAAACGAAATGAAGATCGTCCTAGACCATCAAAATCGCAAGACGACAACGAAAAAACTGTATATAGTTTGGAAGAAATTTTGAATCAACAACGAAAGCCTCCTGTGAAAACAAAATCATCCGAACCGAATGGAGGTTCAAGTAAATCGAAACACTCTGAAAACGTCATTTCAAAAGAAGAACAAAGGAAAGACATCAAGAACAAACAAGACAGTGAGAGACAAAAGTGGCTCAATAACATGAATGGCAACGAGGCAGAGGACAGGAAAAAGAAATTCCTTGAAGAAAAAAAGGAAGAAAAAAGGAGAAGAAAAGAAGAAGAAAAAAGGTTAAAACTCGAACATAAGAAGAAGATGGATGCCATTAAGGGTCGGAAAAATCAGGTTCGTCAAATGTTTGGTCTCGATGATGGTGCACCATCCGTAGATGACTCTCAATCTTTCAAGAAGCAAGAGGAAGCCCACAAAGTGATGGAACCAACCGAAGTAGAATTGTTGAAAAAGAAGGAAGAAGAAGAGAAGGAACGAAAACGAAGAGAGCAATTGGAAAAACAGAGGCAAGATTTTAAGGAATTCATAAAGAATCAAAAGAAGAAAAAGAAAGAGGATGAAATTCCTGTTGAGATTGCAATTCCTCATATTTCAGAGAGCTCCAAGAGGTCTCATGACCAAAATGTTGACAATCATTCAGATCTGGCAAGTCTCAATGAACAGAACACTCCAAAAAAACAATCATCTTCGCAAGGAAAAAACGTGGAAGTGTTGATCGTTGAATCCAAACCAAAGCACGAGCTCGTTCAAGCAAAATCTTCACCTTCAAAGATAATCAATTCTCAGTTCGAAGATTTGGATTTGCTACCTTCCAAAGAAGGTCAGTCACAACCTCCAACGTTCGACAGAAATAATGGCACTCCTGTGGAATTAAAATTCCATACACCTATTAGGAAGCACGAAATTGATACATCGCAACTCTCTCCAACAGAATTAGAAAATCTGAGAAAGAAGCAAAATGAATTGGGAGTGAGGATTGAATCATTAAGGTCTTATTGTGAAAACAAGTTTGGCGAACGAACATTCATGGAGCTTTATAATTTTCTGAGAGATTTTGAGTTCAAAGAGAATGAGGATGAAGATAGTCAAGTGCATGATGGTATTTCGAGAATTCTTGGAGAAGAAAAGTCACGACTAATGCCTTACATCCAAAAAATCCATCAACTTCTATTTTGCGAGGATTTATTTTATGGATAATGGATTGTACGAGACAGGTTTTGAATAACATTACTTTGATCTCAGCAAAAGTGCCAAAACATTGTCCAACATCAACAACACTAACTTCAAAAATGTTTTTAACTTTTTATTGAAAAAACATTTCAAAACTGCTACAACCCTTTGGATTGGTAGATTGACGTCAAAATCTCGAAAGTGACCTCTCGAGAGCTGAAACCTTAATAAACAACACATGTTGTCTCTCAATGTTGGACAACAAGCTTTGTTTTAAAAGTAGAGAAGACTGCAATCCTCTGTAGAGTTCATCCATGATCCAGACGACACATCACGTCCACTGTCAAGGAAGAGACAATTCTCATTCTCTGTTGCTGTCGATTCGAACAAGTCTGTGGTATTAAAGGTATTGTCTTGGCATGAATAATTTTCATGATGATTGTTGCTTGTCATGCCTGCGACATCGTCAAGACAATTATCTTCCAATTCAAAGCATGAAGCAGCATCGTGTTGTTCCAATCCAATTTCGTCAACCTCTTCTTCCTTTGGTATCATGAAAGTGGAGGTACTGGAGGAGTGTGGGGTTGCATAAAAAGTGGCTGGAATAGCAGTCGTCGAGTAAATGGGATAAGAATATTGATAGGGAGATGATGTGGGTGATGAATTAGCAACTACTTCGCTCACAGGATAGTAGGCAGCAGCATGATGATGTACAAATGCATATGGAGGGTATGATGGAATTACAGGAATGATAGCAGGTGTTTGTGGGAAAATGACGCCTGCTTGTTGCAGAGATTGGAAAAAGTCAATTTTCTTTGGTTGTTGACTACAGACTGCTTCATCAGTAGAACATGGAGATCTCTCATCAGGAGTCATCTTTGGAGAGCTTTGTGGACAAGAGGATTGTGGTGAAGACATTCCAGGAGATTGATTGGTCAAGATGGGTGACCGTAATAATACAACTGAAGATCCATTCAAATTCTTATTGGATGGAGCTTCAAGAAGTGAACTAAGAACATTCTTTGGCTCAGAAGAAGAGGTTACTGCAGGAGAAGAGGAATTGTGAACAAGTGACGACGATGGAGTGGTAAGAGTAGTAGTCGTTGTTGTCGAGATTGATGGTGGTGGTGTCAATGTTGTGATTGCACTTGTTGGAGTACTATCATTCTCTGATGTTGTTCCATTCCTAGTCTTGACATGATTCACAACACTCAATGGAGTTGGTCTCTTCTTCTTGGAACATGAAGCATCCTTAGAGGCAGAGGATCTCTTTCTCTTTGGAGCTGCAGAACTTTGACTGGAGGAAGTGGAATCAATTGATGACACAGCGTTTGAGGAGTTCTTTTCTCCCTTATTTTGTTTCTTGATGGAACGGAATGCTTGATTGATGTCAATGACAATACCTCCATCAATTACTTCTTGACCTTCTTTTTGCATCTTTCTCTTGTATCGAACTCTCTTGTTAGAGAACCAATTGTTGATTTGGAGAAGAGTCAATGTAGTTTGATTGACCATTTCCTTCTTTTCCTCTTCACTGAAAATGGATGGCATTGTTAATGATAATTCAAAACAAATACACTTCACCAAAACACTTATACAAACCTTGGATATGGATTTTGAAGATTAGCAAAGAACCAATCATTGAGAACTTTGGTAATCTCTTTTGAATAGCCCTTTCTCTTCTTTCCATTCTTGGAGGATTTTTCATCATGAAGTCTGTCGCTTTCAGAGTCATCACTTTCAGAAACTTGTTGTTGTTGTGATGATGACAAAAATGATGGAGAGTGGTCTTCAAAGTCTCCCATCATGATAGATTCTTCATCACATAGATCTTGTTCAGAAAAGATGGTTTGCTCCATTGTTGTTGATGATGATGATGTTGTTGTGGATAGCATGGTTGTTGTTCCGTCAATATGTTACACACTTGAATAGTAGTAGTTGTATAGGTGAATCGTAATGGAAGGACAGGGTTATTCTGTTTTTCCTAATGATGATGAGGAGTGAGAGATCAGCAGTAGGTACCTTTGTGCTCACAAAACACTCTCATACAGTGATAATGGGTAATGACGTTGTTGTTTGAAGAGCAAAAAGGGGTTACAAGGATCTAGTGTCGGTCAGTCACTATACTCTCTTGTTCACTCAATATGGGAGAGAGAGGAATATATTTGAAAATATGACTGTTTCACACAAACAATAATTGCCAGTCGTGACAGTGAGCCAGGTTGGTGTTTTTTTTCTTTTTGGCACTTGACATACGCTTTCAGAGGAGAGAGAAGTGAGAGGTGGGACCACCAGAGCAGAAGCTCAGAGCACCACTGAACGCTCTCTTCTTCTTCGAAACCCAGTTGCCTTGGAACAGATTCATGGGTATCGTTTGCTTTTATGGACGATGCAAGAAAAATTTTGATTGGCTGCCGCACTACCTATCCATCAAAGTTTGGTCCTTTCTGGTTTTGTCTTTGCTTTACAAAATGCTCAAGTTCGAAAAGTGCTTTCGTATTCTAAAAAGGTCTGACGAAAAAAGTGAAATGTGACGGGTTGTGGTGTTGTTTTGTCATGAGCGTGTGAAAATATGGATCTCAGTAGGGATTGGTTGAGGGAGGGTGTGTTTGATCAACACAACATCGCACTCAGTTTCACTGTAATCGCACCTTGCAAAAGATCGGTTTTGAGGTGAGTGAGTCGAATGATTAAGAGGGGTGCTCACGTATCACGATTTGCTCTTCTCGTTGAATCGGTGTTCGAGTTGTAAGCATCGTTGAAGATTCGTTATTGTCGTGTTCATTGGATTCAAGTGAGAGAACTCTGTGTACAGTCACTACGGTTTTCATGGAAGCAGTTCCAATTGTTTTAACTTGGTGTATTGTGTTCTCAGTTGACTCTTTTCACGCTCACTCGGCCTTATTTGTTTCAATCGGATTGTTTTTATCTTTCTCAGTGCTACTTTACGTCTACTTTTGAGTAATTTGAAACATTGTTCTGTAAACTCCTTTCGATACCTGGATTCATCGTCCTTATTTGTCACACACAAACCATTTCTACTCAAGAATGCGTTGTATAAAAAGTCAAATCGATGCAGTATGCTCTTATTTTGTCGAATAAACAATTCCCACTCGTATCTAATCCTATCCCGAATGTAGGAAGGAATAGATGTCTCTCCATGTCTATTGTTGCTGATGCTGGTAATACTACTACTCGTCATCATGCTGGTCTGTTGTTGTGAACCGAGTGGCATCACTCCACTCTCATCAAAGCCCATGAAGGGAGAGTAAAATGGCCCACCATACATTGATGCCACCAACGATGATGAATAGAGAACATAATTACGAAGGAATGGTGGCATCAGTTTGTAGTCAACATCTGTCAGTACCCAATAATAGGGAGCAAATGATGGGTCGTTAAGAAAAAATGATGGAGGGATAAATCTCGAAATGGCCTTCACTTGCTGACGATACATCTCTGTTTTGAGTTGACACTTTTCAATCGAGTCATGAAGATCTCTTAACAGTAAATCCTTTGCAAGACTGAACTTGTTCCGAAATACAATAGGATACATTCTCTTTTGTAAGGATGTTCTTTGAGTGTTGTTTCTATCCATGGTGGGTGTTGCAGTTGGCAATGTTGATGTGTTAGAGGATGATAAATCTTCTTGTTGATTGGATGCATTCATACCATCATCATCATCATTACTTGATGCCAACTTGTTCAAATATCTTACATAATTCTTGTGTAGAAAATCCATTCGTTTTGCAATATTATTGAGAAAATCGGAAGTGAATTGATTCATGATGAAGGGGTCATTCGATGGCAAGACATTGTCATTGGAAAAGAGGCTCTTGAGGTTGATGTAGGGAACAGGTATTTCAAGTTGGAAATATTCAATAACTTTAGAAGACAACAACTCGGAAGGTGTTTCCACGTTCACCTCTTTCTGTTGTGTGGTGTGCTGACCATGATCATACGTATTGCTGTTGTTGTGGTTATACTCGGAGGAGGAGGAGGAAGATGATGATTGATTACCTTCATGTGATGATGATGAGGAGGAGGATGATAAGAAAGATGCCTGCCGTTGATGATGATGATCACGATACGAACAAGTACTTATTCTCATCAGGTAGGGAACCAACACATCCCGAATCCATTGAATTCCTCTTCCCGTGGTATAGAGGAAGATACTCACAAACATGAGAGCTTTCAACCAACTCGTCATGGTTCCATGAACCCTTTTCAGGAGATGGACCATCTTGTTGTTGTTGTCTGAAGAATGATACAAATACGATGAATGTTGTTATTGTTGTTGTTGTTACTGACGTCGTTGAGGAGGATGCTTTCTAATTCAAATTGTGGAGGTTCTTGATGATATGTTCAGAGGAGTACTCGAACAAGCCTTACAACATTTTTCTTTTTTTGTAAAGACTCTAAGAGGAAGTGTGAATGAACGTTTGAGAAGCAAGGAGAGAGAGTCATAGAACGAACGTTCATTCACACTTCACACACGAACATGCGTGATGATGAATGCTGCTGAGTTGGTCAAGAACGTGTTGTGTGAGAAGAGGATGACGTCTGTTGGTGGTGGAGGCACAAGTAAGTCAACTTGGTGACCAATCACACACATGGATTAGTCTTGAACCAGACAGATTGAAAAAGTAGTAGTCATCGAAAGACACTCCAATATTGGAGTGTGTGTGAAGAGATTTCGAATAGTATTCAGAAAAGCATGAACAGTTGTTGTCAATGATGACGAGTTGTTGTTTTGCTGTGAAGAGTTGTTGTGAGAGAGAGGTGGTGGCTCAGAACCTCTTTTTTTTTGCGGTAAAAAAGTTGACAGGTTTGTTGTTTCTTCTCTCAAAGGTTGTGACAAGTGCCAGGATTTGTTGAAGGGTGACAAACCTTTCTTCGACAATAGCAGGCCAGTACCTTCGAACGATTCGAGTCACTCTTCGAATGTTCTGCAAGCTTTAATATAGCTATTGAAGACTCAGATGACTGCTCAGGACAAGTACTGGTGAAAGTTAGAGATGATCAATTTAGGACGTTAAGTTTTTTATGGAGCGGAGGAAAGTCAACCCATAGTGGGTAGAAGTCGCTTGTTTTTTTTCTATTCTCTCCTCGTTGAACGTACGCATACAACTTGATGGAAGAAGAGATGAAAATAATTTAATGACATGTGAATGGGTTCGTGGTGAAAGAAGGAGAGACGGAGAACGGGGCTTAATCATTATGGGGCTTATTATTGGAAAGAAGGTGGTTGTTTGTTGAAATGGTGATGCGTCCAATGAGTGACAATTCTGCTTCTTTGAATCTTCTTCTTTGCATATGAGCTTTGAATATACATTCATTGGATGCAACATGTTTTCAAGCTTTTCCTTTTTTTGAGGTCGTTTTTTCAACTTGACTCTCGGTTCAATAATTATAAATTGAACCGATCAAAGTTGTTGCTTCGATTTCTGTAGCTCATTAGGAAAGTGTGTGGACAATATTTGCATGCACTGCTTTGAAGTGATACTTTGAACTTCTTATTTGGTCAACACTAGGTTTAATCATAACATACTGGAGTTCAAGATTTACATATTAGCTCCTGTACATAGCTAAGATTCTTTTACTTGCCATCTTTGAATGAGCTAAAACAAACAAGTAAAATTGCACTGTTAAATCACATAGTGCTGTGATTACTTCATTCTTGCAATCACCAGTGAGCCTTTGAAGGAATTGAATGATGATTTGCAGTTTAATATTGAGACAAACATCAAAAAATGTTGCAACAAGAAGCCTCTTCACTCACAAACACCCCCGAATCAAACACTCGTTACGAGCTTGAGATGCAGCAATGGTGTGGGAGTATCATCAAACAGGTAGGATTGGATCATGAATGGAGTTAGATAGAATTCAAAATTTAAAGTCTAAGCTTAAATCTTCTGATGGAAAGAACAAGTAATTTTAGGAGAGTTGATCAAAGTTATCAAAATCTCAAACGATGTTTTTTTTTGATGAATGGACCCCAAACATGCACAATAGTAACTATTTAAGATGGTCTCAATCATCATTTTGTGCTAGAATTCTCATTCATTGATCATTCCTTTAATTTTCAAGAGGATGTCGATCGTTTCGACCACCATTGTACATATATACAAATGATTACATGATGATGGTTATATCTGAGAAGAGATTCATGTCCTCACTATAATAGCTTCCTTTTCCACACATGTGACCGACTATTTGATGGAGATGACAAAAGTGGCGGGCAACCACCACATGTGTTGGAACTCCTGTAAAGTAAATGATAAACAGATCACGTTGAGCACTAATACCAACACCACTTGTGGATGAAGAATCAGTCAGACAAAACTCTCCAGTAATGTCTGTCGGCATACCTCCTGTGTAGCCATAGATCTTTCCACACTTCTCCTCCTTCTCCTGCATTTCATTCGTCACCCACAGAACATAATCACCAGCTAGTATGGATAGTATGGAGTGTTGTTTTGGAAAGATATCACATAGACATGCCATATCTCGTTGTTGAGCAGGTGCATAAAAATAATCTCCATTCATGGATTTCAAGACACTACAGAAATAACCTGTACTCGCCCAAAGGACATCACTCTTGCCAAAGAAGAGAGGTCTTAACTCTGAGAAATTTTGATGTTCTTGTTCTTTGACAGCCATTTGACCACATGAATTGCAACCTAAAAAAATTATTATTTTCAAACAAAATATTTGTAATTTGAATAACAAAATAATGCATTCGTCATTTGAAAACACAAGTGAATTGAAATTGATTGAGGATGAATCATGATTCAAAAGTGTAAGATATTTTTAAATAACAACGAATTGAAATTGAACGTGGAGTTTGAATCAAACAGAGTGACATTTTCAATTTTTTTTCACATGAATCAATCATTAAGGAATTGAGGGCTTGTCAAACAATCACCAAGACACACACTTACCAGCTCCAAATACTGTTCCACTCCTGCACACAATGACTGTATTGTCATAGCCACATGTCACATGGATTGGGAATTGATTCCTCAATAAATCATGCACCAATAAGACTGGTCGATCGGATGATTTCAATCCCACACAACATCCATTGCTATTACTACCCGCAAAATACACATGTCCACACAGAGTTAAGAAACAGGTATGTGAATCACCTGCTGAACATGCAATCACTTTTCTATCATTGAATTTTGAGCTTGTCACTTCATAGGCAGTGTGAGTTTGAGTAAATTCGTTGGTTCCACATTGACAGCAGCCATTCGATCCAACTGTAAAGACTCGATGATCAATGGTGAGAAAAACTGAATGATAACCTCCTGAAATATGATATCATTTCATTGGAATTCATTTTGATCGAATTGAACAAAAATTGTATATCAATTGTGTGTATTTTTACAATATTAATTCATGACAATATTAATTCGTTTTGATTGAAATCATTCAACATTGTTAGAATTGTTAAAAAAGTAATTTTAGAAAATCATTCAACCAACCTCCAGCTCCATCCACAACAAATGTTTTAGCAATTTCACCAACAGCTGGAACAACTCCATAACTGGTTGGAATGGAACCATTTCGTCCACAAGCGAGTTGGCCATGATTGTTGCTTCCTATGAAATGAGAATTTGATCATGAATTATATTCGTGTCAATATACATGTATGTAGATACAGTGTGAATGCACATGAAATTATAGTTGGAGATGCAATCAATGATAGTAATATTACATGAATAGATGACCTGTCAAGAGACATCAAAGTTGTCAACTACCACTCTCTACCTACCAAAACTCAATATCTTGCCATCGTGAGTCAATAAATGAGTATGCAATCTTCCACTGCATACTTTCACAATCGTCACCTTCTTTAGTACCAATTTGATGGCATTCTTATCAAATGTTCGATCCTGATAGCCACTATTAAAAGCAGCAGAAGAATCATCTTGCAATAGAACTTTTCCATTCTCATCCACCACTCTCGAAACGCCAATTCCAGGATTGATTCCATCTGAAAATAAGGAAGGATTATACGAAACTAAATAAAACACTGAATCAGAATGGAATGAAGAACGTTGTTGAAAAGGATGATGATCATGACGACGATTTCGGAAACTCGTGAATGATCCTTCTTTGAACGAGGTTGTGACTAAAGAAGATTCATTGTGATCATAATCATCATTGTTTGATGTTAGAAGGAGAGAAGAAGAAGAACTAGGTCTTGCTGAGGCGGAGAGGTTATTGTGAGTGACGTTTCCATGCTTTGGATTTTGACCCATTTTTTGATGTGTTGATGGCGTTTGGCATGAGTTCATCCTCCTGATGATGTGTTTAAGGTCTATCAATAATATTGATGATGTCAGCATCAAGACAAATTTCTACAAAATTAATAAATTTTATTGAAATTTATATATACTGGAGAGAGAGAGGGTGCCAACCTCTCACCTCTTTTGAGACCATTTTGAAAATAAAAAAATTATTTTTTTGAAACCACAACCACTCTACAGTTCCTGTGATGCCTCTTCAATGAGGATGAACGGTTACACCTAGATAGTGTGTTCGATGACTCAACACCATTCTAAATTCATGATGAAGCAAAAGTTATTCAGGACATCTAAGAAATGTAGCCCCATCTTGGGCAATGATCAAGACAAACTTGAACACTGATCAAGAACAGGTTGAAATGTTAATACAGGTTTTCCTCCATCTTGGGGTCATAAAAAAGGTTTTCTTTTTTGGTATATCTATATATATATATCCATCTCTTTTGGTGAATGAAATCATCATGAAGAGTGAAACTTGTACCGTCATAGAGTTGTCTTTGTGTGTCTATTGTCCAGTTAAAACATGTGATACCAAAGGTTTTTGAGGAATCTTGTCATGCATCGTTCGTTAATGAGTGTGTCATTAATATTACGCTAAAGGTTCAGTGAACAGTGAATCACTGTTATAAACACTTTACAAAAAAAATGTCCCAACCACAAGCTTCTTCTTCATCTGGTCTGAATTCATCCTCCTCCTCTTCGAATGGAGTGGTTATTAAAACGGTCGACATGACCGAAGAAATGAAAGAAATGGCAATCAGTGTCACACAACAAGCCATGGAAAAGTACACGATCGAAAAAGACATTGCATCATTTATTAAAAAACAATTCGATGAAGTTTATGGAAAATATTGGCATTGCATTGTCGGAAAGAGTTTCGGAAGTATGGTATGTGGTCTGGAGGAGGTGTGAAAATGTATTAACGAGAGAATTATTTGTGGATGTAATATTATTATGGAAAATATATTGAAAAATATTTAACAAAAAATCATTTATTGACGAATCGGAATTTTGAACACGTGTTGTGGCATGTATGGTATGATGATGATTGATTTCGAAAAATTTTCTTTGACATTCTTTGATGATGAAATTTTTACCTTGATTGTGTGGATGTAAAAATTGACATTTGTGACAATTCTTGTTCATTCAAAATGAATTTATAATAATATTATTAATATTTGAAACGTGTTTGCTCTCTCCATTCAGGTCACGTACGAATCAAAGTGTTTTATTTACTTTATTTTCTCTGGTTTAACAATTTTATTGTTCAAATCAGGATGAGTGAATCATTGAATATTTCTCTAATGTAAATAAATTCTAGACATGTCTAAAGAAATAACCACCCAAACAACAACAACACTCATTTCGATGACATTTAGAAGAGGACTTTACATTTCAATTCCTTCTATGGATGGACTGAGCGTTTGTAAATGGATCATTCTTGAGAAACATCTTAATGACATGATGCTTGTGTTGTGATAACATTATTCTGAGGATGATGAAGAAAATGTGTGCGTTTCTTGAAAGTGATGCATCAATGCATATAACTTCAAAATCACCAGACAAACTCCCAAACACCTGTTAGGAGATGCAGGTAGAATCAATGGTGGAGAGAGTGATGGTCTTTTGAATGCTGCACCACCAAGAAGCATATTCAGTTTCTTCGACAAGTCAAAATTGGCAGACTAATGAAACGAAAATATTTTTTTGAACTTCAAAAAAAATGCCCCGAACCACTCGACTCACTCCGCAAGAGAAATTACGCAAGGAAGCTCAAGAAGTGGAAGTGCTGAGGCAAGCTGTGATTGAACACACTCCTCCCAGAGGAATAAATCCATTGGCCAAGTCAAGTGGGAGCTCCTCTTCTTCTTCTTCCGTATCCTCGGAGGTCATTCCGGGAAAGTTTACGAAATTTTCTGAATTGCCCATTTCGCAATATACCAAAGATGCTTTGAAGAAGGCTGGATTTGCTCATATGAAAGATATTCAAAAGGCTTCATTATTATATTCTCTAGGTGGAAGAGATATTTTGGGTGCTGCCAAGACTGGATCTGGTAAAACCCTTGCTTTTATTATCCCTGTTTTGGAATTATTATATAGAAAAAGATGGGGAAAACTTGATGGTCTCGGAGCATTAATATTGGTTCCTAATAGAGAATTGGCACATCAAATATTTGAAGTTTTAAAACTTTGCGGACGATATCATCACTTTAGTGCTGGATTACTCGTAGGAGGTACAAAGAATTTGAAAGAAGAGAAGGAACATATCTGCAGTATGAATATTCTTGTTGCGACACCTGGTCGATTACTTCAACACATGGATGAAACTCCTGGATTTACTTGTACAAATTTACAAATTCTTGTTTTGGATGAGGCTGATCGATTATTAGAATTTGGATTCAAGAAGGAAATTAATGCAATTTTGGAAGGTCTACCAAAGAGCAGACAAACCCTATTATTCAGTGCTACCCAAACTAAAGACATTAAGGACTTGGCAAGACTTTCTCTCAGTAAGACTAATACTGAATATATATCTGTGCATGAAGCAGAACCTGTACCGAAACAACTCACTCAACACTATATCGAATGTGAATTGCAAGACAAAATTGATATTTTATTTTCCTTTTTGAAGAGTCATCAAACCAAAAAGACAATAGTATTTGCCTCAACTGTAAAGCAAGTTGCATTTTTGTACACAGCATTCAAGCAACTTCCAATCCCTGTTAAAATGTTCAAATTGGCTGGAAGAATGTCACAAGCAGTAAGAAGAGAAATGCACGAGGGTTTCACGTCTTCTAAAGCTGCTGTATTATTCGCAACAGATATTGCAGCTCGTGGTTTGGACTTTCCTCGAGTAGATTTTGTGCTTCAACTTGACGCCCCAGTGTCAAAAGCATTTTATATTCACCGAATGGGAAGAACTGCCAGAAATGATGCTGATGGTAAATCCATTGTGTTCATCATGCCACAAGAAAAGGAGCTTCTTTCCTTCCTTTTTGATAAGGATAGCTTAGAAACGAGCTCATTGAAAGAGATGAAAATTAATCCAGACAAAATTGTTACAATACGGCAACAATTAGCAGCTCTTGTTTCACATGACCCTACCTTGAAGCAAGCTGCCATGAAATATTTCCAAACTTATATCAAACACCTTTACAAACATTACGGCTATGAATTGGATATCAAGTCATTGAATCTGGATGGTTTTGCTGTCAAATTGGGATTGGCTCTAAAACCAACCCTGATTTTGAATCCAAACGATCGAATGAAAAAAGAGATTCGTCTCAATATGACCGAGGATGACATGGATGATGAATCCGACAACGATAGTGATGAAGATGACAACGATGATGACGATGACTCGTCCAGTGACTCTAGTGATGATTCCTCAAGCGATGAAGAAATAGAAAACTTATCAAAACTTGGTAAAAAAGCCCTACTTACAAAACGGCTGTCACTTGACGAAAGAGATGAGGAGGATGAAGAGGACAATGATGTGGATTATGACAGTACCGAAGGTGATGAACTAGAAATGAGTAATAGCAAGGATGAAAGTGACGATGAAAAAGATGCAGAAATACAATCAAAAATTGACAACATTCCAATCGACGATGGCGACGATGAGGTTGAATATAAGGTGGAATATGATCCAAATGCATCCTCTGATGATGATGACGACGACGATATTAGTAGTAGTGATTCTTCTAATGATGACGAAGATGACGAAAACAAAGATGAACCAGCCACAAACGAAGACGACAACACAGACAAAAAATCAAAAAAGAAACTTTCAAAAATTGACAAATATTTACAGAGAAAAGCTCAACTTGACAAACAATCCATTGTGATAGGAGAGGAGCCATCTCAGGAGGAGGATTTTTTCTATGTCAAACGATCCAACCACAAACTGGATGAAAAAGATGATGTTCCAATCTATGTCAATAAGAAAAAGTTTATACAACAAGTCGACAGTAAGAAACATATTATATTTAATAAGGACGGAAAGAAAACTACAAAATTCGAGAGCATCATTAACGAAATTAAGAAGAACAATTCAGAAAACACTACCAAAGATCGCTCCGATTTTTTAAAGGAAATCAAATCCAGAATGAAACACAAGGACGAAGCAGACAAGCAACACGAGAAGGAAAGACTAAAACAAAAGAAGGAAACACTGAAAAAGAGAGACCAAGAACTTGCAGAGCTTAGAAGAAAAGCTGACCTTTTGGAGGAGGATCCTTTTGATTATCAACGCGTGTTAAAATCCAATGCAAACAAGCATGTCACAGTGGATGATGCTCTTCCGGAAGAGGAAGATGTTGATGAATCCTATGAAGGATTTGTGAAGGCAATGGAACAGGCCCCCGAAAAACCAACATCAACAACACAAAAATTAAAAGAAAAGGAAGAAAAAGAAAAGCAAATTAAGGAACAAGTGGAAGAAAAGAAACGAAAATTCGACGAGCTTATGGCATCACAGCAACAACTCGCTGACAAGAAAGGGTCTAATTCAATCTCAACAGGTGCTCCAACAAAGAAGAAGAAACAAGTTATTGGACTCGACGAAGCTGAAGAAATGGCTCTCAAGCTTCTCGAAAATAAACTGTAGAAGTTACATGTTTACTTTTACAGTTTTGAGAGTCGAAGACGTCCTTGTTGTGATTTCCACTGAGAAAGTTCTTGTTTAGCCTTTCACCAAATAATTCCATTACTCTTTCACTAATTAGTGAATTATTGCCATCACAAATATCAAAAAAAGATCTCAAAATCAAACACTTATCAAAACTTGGTACCACAGTTTGCAATAATTCAACATATTCTTTTTGCGAAGTGTTTCTTTGAAGGTGGAACAAGGAAGAATACCATTTGGTTGAATTTTTCTTTTCGACTTCTCCCAAAAATAAACATTTCTCGTATTGCATTTGAACGTTATTAGTAATCTGCTGAAATAACTTTCTATCAATTTGCTGTCTGATTTTCCCAAAAACAATCATGGATAATAAATTACTCTCTGCAATTGCCATCATAAAGCATCGTGTCACTGAAGGCCACAAATAGTATTCAAAAAGAGATTCCAGTAAATCCAAGTCTAAGTCATAACAATTTGGTAAATTTAACCCAACATTTCACACACAGTATTCAAATCACATCATGTAATTTTTATCAAATATTTTGCACAAATACTTACTCACTATGAATCCATTCTCTTGAAATATGTACACTCGTTTAGCAAATGCATTGTGAACCCATTTTAGATCTGAATCTATTTTTCTGTACTTGTTCGTATAGAGTATAGGCAATGGCTTTTCTTTGAAATGAAAAGTGATCTGATTGTTTTTGAGGGCTTGTGAAAATCTAAATCGAAAATCAAGCAACTGAAATTGGACACATTGAGCAGTGAGTTCAATTCTCAATTGTAAAAACTTGACCACCTCTTCTAACTCAGCTTGATGAATGTCACGTAAAGGAGCCAACGTCTCTAATTCATCCAACAAAGCCGAGTACAAACAATTGTCAAAGAATGCCAAATTAATGACATGCTCCGTTCTTTCTCTCTTCTCAACAAATGAAAGAACTTGATTGTAAAAATCAAATTCTTCTTTTAAATGAAGACACTTGGTCAGTGATTGTCGAATGTCATCTGGCATTGTAGTTTTGGCGAATTTTTCAATCAATTCTCCCTTCGCTTCTGGATTTGTCATTTTTGACGTGTCAAACACAATATCTTGCAAATCTTGTAGAATAAATTCTTCCTTTCGATTTTCAACACTGGAAAGAGGATCCACTTTGGGAACAATCGGACCTTTCACAATTATTCTTGCTTCTCCATTCATATTCACAAATTTCCACGGGCTTAAAATTTGAAAACTATAATTTTGTTCTTGTCCATAAACTAATCTCAAATCTCTCACTACGAGCGGAGCGATTAACGAGTCCGAGTTCACAATTTGGTAACAAAAAGGTAAGTAGCTCAGAATCGTACGTGCAGCTTCCTCACAAATCACTTCTCCAATGGAAATCAATCCCAATAAATTGTGTTTAAAATCATTTTCCTTATTGGAGTAGCTGCTCGAAGAGAATGACTTTTTGATGTTTTTGAATATGTTGGATGTTGTCCAATCTGTGATTAAACCTCGATATTCAACACTACTCATCAACTCTGATAAATGCGTCGACTCAAGGAGAGGGTTATGATGTTCTTGACCATTGATGTGGTTATGATGATGATCCGTACTGGCTAATAATAATCGCGAAATAACTACATTTGTCGTGTGAGTATCCGTGACAATAATATTAGGTTTCAATTCGTTCAATATTTTCACCAATTTTGATTCGTCCACATTGTTCGGCACAAATGAGAATGAAAGTGAATGTTCAAAGCAAAATGCCATTAACAATGGCGTCATGTAACTAAACCCATTGGATATGATTAAAACTTGAACTCTTTGATACTTGAACATTTCTTTTGAATCCATCAACACTTTAGAAATCATTTCATGCATGGTTGCAGAAAGGGAATCCAAAATCTTCTCAAATATTGTATTGGTCATGCATAATTTTTCTTCCCTTCCATTCATATGATTGGATGCTGTCATGAATAAAATATTCTCATTGGAATGGGTGTTAGCCTGCCATTGTCTAAACCGATTGAGAGCATCCTCTCTAGCTTGTTCGAGTTGACTGGAATGAATACCTACAGTTCCAGCGAGCAGAGATTTGAAGTGATGTAATTGTAGAGATGTGTCCACACTCTTTGGAACATATTCCCAACTTGTTGTTGGAAGTTGATTGCTACTAGTAATCCTGTGGTCATGTATTTTGGTGGGTTGCAAAATATGAGAGATGGGATCTTGGGTGACTAATTCTCCTCGATGAATGATCTCCTCGGTTGAAGATTCATCATGACCATAATATAAGACATGCTTCACTTTGGAGTGGGTCATGCCCATCATTTGAGACACTATTCGATGATCAGAAGACATGACAAGTGGTATTTCACAATAATTTGAAATATCATCGAGTGTGTTCTCAATATTTTTCACTTTTGTAAACGGAGAAATAAAAGGTACTCCCATATACAAACATGCACAAAGAAGCATGATCAATTCCATGGAAATATTTGAACTGTTTGAATAGGTGTGAAAAATACCAACTGCATGAAAATAGTCTGGAAATGGTTTGAAAGATTTTCCTAAAACAAGTATCAACCTTGAAAGCTTGTCTAAAAAATCTTCTCCATTGACATTTGATAGCATTTCAGAATAGGAATCATAACTCACAAATATGTTCTTATTTTTCAATGAAGCGTTATTACTGTAGGTATGTCTCTGTAGTAAATGTTTTCGTGTGAAATACTTGTGTTGAAACCGATTAAGAAATCCGACCCTCGATGTTGGACGTTTTGGTTCAAATTTTGGAATTTCATGTTGTTGTTTTCGAATGGCAGACGCATCATTGAGAGGATAGAAGAGCCTCTCCATTTCATCCAATGTCATGGGAGGCACAAACGTAGTTCTTGCATAGTGCATGGCCAAGCTGGGAAGTTTTGCATCGAGATCGAGAGAAGGAGGCAGACCATTTCTCACTCGATCATGAAAATCTTGATAAATCATGGTACGTAGAGGTTCGTATTTGCTTACAGGCGTGTTGAAATGATAGGTATCTTCTTCTTTTCGTTTATCCAAGGGAACGTATAATCCTCTGTATGGTTCGACGGATCGAGTCGATTCTGGAGCCCAGAAATATGAATATTTGTGATAAAAGTGTATGTAGTACTTGGCATCCATCTGTGACAATATTTTGTATTGACAGATTGAGTGTAGATATCAGTGAGTGAGTATTAAGGAGGTTGAACGTATTAACAAAATCAGATAATAATATTTGGTATAAATTGATGACAGTCGTGTTAATAAGAATATAAATTTGTTAGTCGTGTGTGAATGGTTGCTACATACAAGATACTTTTCAAAATTTTCAATAATCATTGCTCGTGCTGCTTTGCTTGGAATAAATTTCAAAAACTTGCAATTGGGTTTCATGAATATCGTTCAACTTGTAAACCACCCACCTTAATATTATGAATATATTTGAAATAATCTTTGAATTTGTTCATGTAACTGACAGCCTGTTGTAAAGCTCTTTCTTCATCTGTCAATTCTTCATTTTTGTCTCCTCGGTATGCTTCAATCTCCTTCTCAGAAGGCTTCTCCTCTTCGTAAATTAATCGAATGGGTTCATTTTCCTCAATATCATGTTTGTCAATTCGTTCAATTTTAGAGTTCTGCATTAATAACTTGTTCAATTCTTGCTGTCGACTTAACTTGTAGGAATGTTCATATTTTGATTGATCAAATCTTTTTGTTTTTGGTTTGTTCATTGATCTTTCTCTATTTAAATTTTCTCCTCCGTAAATACTTTTCACTCGAGTGGTCAGAACAATAGGTTCGGGCCGATCACTATACTCAAGATCCATTTTCCGATTGATTCCAAGTTGATTTCCTAGATGAATGACATCATTTGAAAGTTTAATGTATTCCTTTCCAAGTATGTGTTCGAGTTCTTTTAATACTCGTTCTTCGGTAATGACTGATTGAATAGCCTTCTTCTTTGGTAGCGGTATTTCGGAATTCTTTTCCAATTGCTCATTGATGTATTGTACAATTTTTCTTGCACTCCTAATAGGTAAGGTTTCTAAAGAATCATCCACTACCATCATGGAGGATGATGATGTGATATTCGTCGTTTTAGCATCATTATTCAAACTCTTTTCCATGTGATGGTCGGACTCTTCTTTGCTCATTTTTTTTACTTGTCTTTGCGAGATCACTCATTAATGAAAGATGCATGATTGACATGAAAATATCTTCAAGAAACAGAGCATTCAAAATTCACCATGATGATGGACAAAGGACAAATGATTCTCAAGAATTTGACACCCGATCATACACAATATCAAAGGGTTATAATATCATTTGTCAACCATTCATTTGGTCTTATCGGCAATTTCAATCATTTAGCCTTGATTGAATCAAAATAGAACCCTAATTGAAACACATCGGAGTTGTTCATAATGCGGATCAAATCACTTTGTTCGCTTTTTCAAATTTTAATAAAAATTCAAAACACAATATGCCCATTCAGCAACCACCACCACCTCCTCAACAATCCATACACAGCCAACCCGAAAAGAAGCAAGAAGAAGGCTCAATGGCAGCAGGTGGGAATATTTATCCAGTCATTTATGAGAGTGCAGTGCTGGATAGTTTCAATCATTCAACCAACGATTCCTTTAGGAACGACGTCTTCGTGTATCCTCCTCATCATCATCCACAAGAGGTGTACACCTCACATCATCACTCCACCATCACGACTAGTCCTCCGATGATGCCATCATCATCCTCTTCCGTTCTTCATCATTCCTATCATCATCATGGATTCATGCCAACAGCTCCAGTGATGTTTGATTACTATCAGCATCATCACTATCAAGAAGGAATTTATTTGGTTCCAAATCCTTATCAATCGCAACCACAACAACAACCACATCATTCCATGACTCATCACTCCCATGATACTACAACGACATACATTGTTGAAAATCCAAATGTACCATCAACAAGACCCAAAACAGAAGAAGAAAAGCCCTACATTGTACATACCTTGAACAAGCATACAGACACCTTGACCAAACTTGCATTAAGATTTAATTGCAACGAAGAAGACATCAAAATGTTGAATAACATTCTCTGTGACGATTTAGATCTGTATGAGCATGATACGATTCTCATTCCAAAACGAGAAGTTCAATTTATTAAGGAAAATTATGACTTGGAAGAGACAAAGCGTGCCACTGAACGACAACGCTCTCTCATGGTTTCTAACTTTGCCAAAATGAATAAGATCTCTATCGACGAGGCCCGTACCTATCTCGAAATGCATGATTGGAAATCAAAAGAGGCACGAGAGGAATTACTGAAAGATCAAGCTTGGGAGAAACAAACCATGGGTAAGGTGTTATCACCTGGTCATTTTGCAAAGACATTGTCTTCCAATACTACCCCCACTCACCGATCTAAGACAGCTTCTTCGAGAGGAGGCAGCAGTCATTCCTCTTCAAACAATACTGGATTGACTCGACGTGCACCTCCAAGAAATTCAGAATACATGAACTATTCCTATGAAATGATTGACATGAAGTAAACACTTGCATCTTTATTTGTATAACATGAGAAGAACTTGAAAGATTCGTTGAGACGACTCTTCTCAGCACAACGGCTAGCCGTTTGTGTTGTCCCAAAAAAATGAGCAATTCATCACAAACCTCGCAAGAAGTCTATGACATTACCCAAGTGAATCACCCAACCAGCACCGAATCCAAGGTGGCCTTGATTACAGGTATTACAGGACAAGATGGTTCCTATCTTGCTGAATTTTTGTTGGAAAAGGGTTATATGGTGTATGGTATCATTAGACGTTCTTCATCCTTCAACACTGGAAGAGTTGAACACTTGTACAAGGATATTCATATTACTAAAGCAAGTAAGTGATACTGTTGTACGGATGGAGAATCATCATGATGTGTGGTATATATTGTATCAATCCGAATTGAATTATTCAACATTTGCCAATCTTATGAATTGGAAAATGACGTCATTATTGTCCTTGTGCTACCACTATTGTAATATTTGGAATATTTGATAATATTTACTTGTGTATGATTATCATCAACCATATCCATACTCATCCTATAACATCCAAATAACGAACATTTTGTTCGTGAATGTACATCACACACCAATTTCATAATATTTACCTCCGAACATTCATCACTCCTAATGGATTTATTTTCGTTCAACCTCCACATCACCAATCTCTTACATTCTTCATTGATAATTTGGATGGAATCCATTTCCATTGAAACCAACACAACATGATAGAATTCAAACTTTTATATGGAGACTTGACCGATACCGGAAACTTAATTTCCATCATTGCCAAAATTAAGCCAGATGAAATTTACAATTTGGCTGCTCAATCTCATGTGAAAGTCAGTTTTGAAATGCCTGAATATACTGCTAATGTTGATGGTATTGGTACTTTACGTTTGTTGGAAGCAATTCGTGCCTGTGGATTGGAAAAGAAAACCAAATTTTATCAAGCCAGTACAAGTGAATTGTACGGTCTAGTGCAAGAGGTTCCTCAAAAGGAAACAACACCATTCTATCCTCGCTCACCATATGCCTGTGCCAAATTGTACAGCTATTGGATTGTTGTTAACTATAGAGAAGCTTACAACATGTTTGCATTGAATGGTATTTTGTTCAACCACGAATCGATTCGTCGTGGTCCAACATTTGTGACCAGAAAGATCACCATGGCTGTTGCCCGTATAAAACTTGGTTTGCAAGATTGTTTGTATTTGGGTAACTTGGATGCTGAAAGAGATTGGGGTCATGCTAAGGATTATGTTGAAGCCATGTGGCTCATGTTACAGCAAGAGCAACCACGTGATTTTTGCGTGGCAACTGGTGAAAAACATAGCGTCAGAGAATTTGTTGAAAAGGCCTTTGCATGCATTGGCCAAACCGTGGAATGGAAAGGAGAAAGAGGAACTGTTGAAGAGCACGGTGTTGTTGATGGTGTTGTAAGAGTTCGAGTCGATCCTCGTTATTTCCGTCCAACTGAGGTCGATCAATTATTGGGAGACCCAACTTTGGCTGAGACAGTTTTGGGTTGGAAGAGAAAGGTCAGTTTCGAAGAATTGGTCCGAGGAATGGTGGAAGGAGATATTGAATTGTTGCAATCTGGAGATCCTCAAGTGGTTCAACAACAATATCATTAAGAGAGGTTTGACCATTCATTAATATTTTGTTTCATTCCTCATGTATTTGTTCTGATAAAAATTTGAAATGCTTAGTGATTTACTGGAATGGTAGTTCATTTTCATCAAATCGGAATTCTTCTTCGACTGTCTTTGGTTCTTCGCGGGCAGCTTTCTCTTCCTGCACAATACCATCCTCTTCAAACATGATTCCTTCGAGTTTCAAGTCTCCCCTATCGGATCCACAGTACGTGACATGAAATTGAATGTGTTGTCCTGAAACCAACTCGTGCAAAATGCTAACATTTGGAACGGAAACGGAACAATTAAAAAGACCTAACACTTTGCAGTAGGCTTGTTTCTTTGCTGTGTTGATGCCCGTGATGGTTCCTCTCAATACCGTGCCAAATGTTGGGGCAAACAAAATGAATGTGGCTGCAATGCACACCGAAGCGACCGATGGATTTGTCTCAAATTGTATCACGGAGCCTTCCTCTAGAATTTTCACATTTTCAACACCCATCACAAATCCTCTCAATTTAACGTCATAACCATCCACAAGATGAAACACTCTATCAAAAAGCTGTTTCTCAATGAGTTTTTCCATTTCTGTTTGTTCAGACTTTTTTTCTTGTTTTTCTTCTGAAGACAATAAAAATTCACTTCCACTTGTCAGTGCCATATGTGTTTGATAAATTCCACCATAATCATATAATGGATAGGTCATACGAACTCGCCTCTTCACAAAGAATAATGAATGGTCAAACTCTTCAGGATACAATTTAGAAACAACATCTTTTTGTTTGAAGGAGGAAGCAATTCGATGTACTGCAGCCTTGACAATTCCCGATACCACACTCCTAATTGGTTTCTTCTTTTCTTGATATTCTCGATATTCAAAATGAGATTTCATAAACTCCGAATATGCAGGATAATACTCGAGTCGATTCAACAACTCTGAGACTGTAACCATTTGATGCAGAACCACTCTATTGTATTCAAAGAATTCATCAACCACATGTCCGAGTTGTTTCAATTCTTGTTCGGAAAACTCAACGACGGTGGCTGTTACTTGTGTTGTTGGTTGTTCTCTAGAGTCATCCTTCTTTTTCTTTTTTGTTGAAGATGATTTTCGGAGAGAGTGATGATTCTCAGTGTGTGGTTCAGCTGCAGCATCCTCTTCGAGGGCAGCCTTTCGTTTCTTCGTGGCGGATTGGTCTGTTTTGCTCATTTTTTTTTGAACCTTCTCTTGAAATGCTCGACGGTGTCTCATGTGGCGTTCATTGTTGCACATTAGTAGCAAAGATGAGGTTCAAGATGACCTTTCGATGAACAACATAATATTATGGTGGGTTAGCAATCACTCAAGAACACTCAAGAATTTTGAAGACCCAAAGTGGAGCAAAATTTAAAGAGCTGGTGTCATTTTGCATTTTAATGCACACTACTACCAAGAAACAGAAAGGTTTGTCCAAATGTTTTGAATTCATGAATTTACTAGTACGTGCACTTGATAGATAAACATCATTGTGAGACGGCTCGTTCACTGTTGATGTTATTATTATTGTTGTTGTTCTTCACTTTTCAAAAAGTGAAGGTCGACTGCGTTAGGCAATAATTCCTTCATACTACTCTCAATACTTGCTCCACTCTCTGAATTTACAATCAATATTGGAAAGTCCTTTGTGTTTTCATCAGCAAATTCTTGCAATACTTGTCGACAAGCTCCACATGGAGTTACGCCAATATTTGTAGAGACCACGACAGCCTTGATTGATTTACATTCGTCCGAGACCATTTTGAAAACAGCACATCGTTCTGCACAAATGGTAAGTCCATACGATTGATTCTCCACATTACATCCAGTATAGAGCTTTCCGTTCGTTCCGAGAATGCAAGCTCCCACATGGAATTTTGAATAGGGACAATAAGCAATCTTTTGAGCAGCAATACTCTTCTCAGTCATGATTTGCTTGAGAGTGGGATCCTGTTGAAAAAAGGAATCACTACCACTTGATGATGAATTTTGGGACATTTTGGATTTTAATGTTGTTGGTGATGATGATTTGTAAAAATTAAAATGAAGAGGAGGTTCAGCGGAAGGAAATAAAAAATAAGCCCAACTTCGGTCGCAATTTTTTTCTCTTGCAAAAACGTGGAGGTGAAGAGTGAAATCTCAAGGCAGGTGATCTGAGGGATTACCATGCTAATGATAGGACGACGATACAACTTCTGCGATTCAAATTCAGAGTTCTTTCAAAAAGCTGTCAAGCATTTGGTTCATGTTTGATATGGAGACAAGAAAATGTGAAACATGGATTGCTTATTCACGTACGCCCAATTACCAATACCAGTTTGTGTATATGTATTGAGGAGCAGTTGGAGATCTGTTTCAAGAAACAGGAATGTCAAATATTGTTTGTCAACAAAGTCAGATGAATCATGCACAATGAAAACGTCAATGGAAACCAATTCCTCTTACTATGCACAATCCTCAGTAACAGACAATCGAATTTTGTGTTGTGTGGAATCATTTCCGAAAAAAATAGTATCAATGTCCGTAGTTAACACAACCACCTCTCTCGACTCGATAATTACCATCCATCCTCTCGATTCCACTCGTGTGAATGATATGGTTTCCATCAATTCGATTGTACTTCCTGTTTCATATCATTCCAAAGTGTATGATCAAATGGTTTCCGATCGTTTATCGTTCATTGCCTATTTGAAAACTGAAAGTAATGGCAGCAGTGGTGAGAAAGAAATTCCTGTTGGAGCCATCGGTTGCATTCTCAAAACAGATGTCCATGCTTCACCGGATCATGTGGGTCTCTGTATTGCTTCATTGGCTGTTTTAGCGAAATATAGATCTAAAGGAATCGGAGCAAAATTATTGGAACGTGTGATGCAAGCTCTTGATGAATGGTTGAAAGCCTCCTCTTCTTCTCTGGAAATTTCTTCTAATCATCATGAAGAACCACTGCAAGAAGAATCATTGAATTCCACCTCCTCTTCCTCCGAATTTATTGTCTATTTACAAACTCAAACGAATAATAGAGATGCCATCAAGTTCTATGAGAGGCATGGATTTCAAGTATTGAAAAAAGTTGAAAATTTCTACAAGAGACTCACTCCTCCGGATTGTTTTGTGTTGGTTCTCAAACGGAAGATTGAAAGCATTCAGAATCAAATTCTCAAGTAATGTGTATGATTCCAATGTATTATTATCGGTGAAAGACCAAATTTTGTTCAATAATAATGGGAACGCATGACCGAATCTAGAAATATTCAGACATTGCCAAGATTTCTCGCTTAGAACTTGTTGTAGTCAATGCCGGTGACCACCTCTGAGCGAATCTCCTTATTGTTGCATCCTCCAGAGCAGCAACCCTGTCAACAATATCATGAGATTTGACGATGGCCAAGCATGACATCCCCTGAGGAACTCTCACCCTAATTTCTACAGATTTTTCCAAACGTATATCATCTCTTGTTCCATGAAATGATGGCCTTTGATGTTCACTCTCTCCAATCATGAACACCACAACGTTCAACCCTCATCATGATGGTCATTAACGTCAATAATCTCACCGTTTGGGAGAACTTTTCCCGCGAGAGAGGGTTGAAAGTAACTACGAAAGTGAAAGAACGGCGGTGCATTTTTCAAAAGTCTCTTTGAAAAATTATTACAACAAGAACACTCTACAACCATTGAAGCAAGTCAAACAAATCTCTAATATTTTCTCTCCCACACAACCAAACGACACGATCATAACAACATTCATCGAAGAACTACTTGTTACTTGTGTATTGATCAGAGTTTTTTATTAACATTAGAATTCTTCCAAAACAACTAAAACCTCAATTCAATCCATCCTCAACTCAAGGGACATTTCAATCGCTCTTAGTCAAGATGAATTCAACAAGACCCCACCACCTCCTTGAACTCCAACGTCGATCAATCAACTCCCACCTTTCAACTCTCTTCCTTCTCTTTCTTGTATATATGATCATCATCACCACCACCAATGTGGTTCTTGCTCAATCCAACTCCAGTACTCCATTAACCTTTACACTTGGTCAAGTAAAAACCGTGCGTACAACTTGGCCCTCCACCACACAAGATATCATGGATGGTGGCAAATGGATTGAATATGGCATCTATGTGGCTATCATGGCAGTCATACCCTTAATATTGGGTTTATTTGGATATATGGCAGGAATTATCTTTTACTTATTTCGATGTTGTGGTGTGTGTGGTGGTCGTAAACCAGACATTACCTATCAAAGAAAACATCTAGTCATTCCAACTACCATACTCGTATTATTGTATTGTGGTTTCATTGCATTGGCAGCCGTAGGTATTGGTTTCAGTGCACAAGGATCAGCCAACATTCGAACAACATTCACAGCGACTTTATCCTTTGTGAGTGACGCCAACAGTACGGTAATGAAAGTGACCACGATTGGAGATACCATCACTTCCAAGTTATCTACATTGCCAGATAAACTTGATCCACTTTTGAATCAGGCCACACAGGTAGTCTCACCTCTTGGAACCATTTCATCCATTATTTCCTCCACGACTACACAATTGCAAACATTCAACTCGACTAATATTATCACCATGAATGCAAGAGTTGCCTCTATTAATTCCAATCTCAATACTCTGCGAGCCAACTTTTCTGGAGTTCCAACAACCTCTGATATTCCAGACATTTATTCTCTTGTCACACCTGCCGTCAATAGTGGAGTTTCTGCATTGCAAAGTGCCAATGCTACCATTGCAACTGCTCAATCCGATGTCGTGAAAAACATTGCAAATATTAAGCAGCAAATCAATTCAACTCTCTCCACGCAGTTGACACCTGCCATTGGTCCTGCATTGGATGGAATTAAGGTACAAGTGAATCAAATTCAGAGTCAAATTGCTCCCTATTTGAATCAACAAGTACTCAAAGATGCTTCCACCTATTCATCACTAGCAGAGAATATTCGAATTGCTTTGAGTGTTATTTTCTTTGGTTGGTGTTGCATGATTTATGTGTTTGCATTCTTGGGAGTCATTTTCAGAAAGGCATGCTGTGTGCAAACCACTACTGTATTGGCCTTTCTCAGTACATGGGTCTTCTTTTTGTTTGCCATTATACAAATTCCTGCCTACATTCTCATCACTGATACGTGCACACAAGGGCCAAAGACGTTGAGCCTGGTGGGCGATCAACTCATTGGTCAACTCAACATGACGATCAAATTCCAGAACGTTTCCTCCATTATGAACAGCATTGCAACATGTGGCAAAAATGACTCACTCTTGACTGCTGTGCTTGGAAAGAACTATTTGACAAGCTTGGGTATTGATAGTCAATTGTCCAGCATGACCAGTACCTTCCAGTCACAAATTAGCTCTTTTGATATTTCTTCCTTGACTACCACTGCCAAAAACTCGGTCAAGAATGCCAATATTTCTTCCATCAAGACCGACTACTCGGCAGATATCATGAGTGCCAAGACTAAATTGGCCAATGCCACATCTTCGTTGGGAAGCTTGGATGGTTTCAGTGGTTTCAATCAAACTTTGTATAATGTTGCCATTGACAATTTGAATGCATTCACATATTCACGTACTGGAAAATTGTACAGTTACTACAATTACACCCTCTTTGATCCTTCCACATTACCAAATCCAGACAATACACAAGGTCAAAACTTGAAAGATGCTGTCGCTTATCAGAACAATACCTATACTACAGCCTATAATGATGTTGTCAAATTCAACAACTCTGTGAATGCTATTAATGCAGGTATGAATGGCCTCTTGTCCGATTTCTCAGCTGCCAGTTCGGTGATGGCCTCACTTTCCACTCTCTCATCGAGCATTATTACACAAATTGACTTGCTTGCAACCAATGTTCAGACCTTTATTGCAAATTTTCCCAATGATGCCATGACTTTTATACTTTCTGTGGCCACAGATTTGGTCAATTCTTTGACTTCTGACATTGCACAATGCACCTTTATGAGCTCATTCATTCAGACCATGGGAACAAATGTTTGTCAAGGAATTAATTTGCAATTATTGATTTCTGGTGTGGTGTGTTTGGCCATTGGTCTCTTGATGAATGTTGGATGTTTCACAACTCTGGTGCTTGCAAAGAGAGTCAAGTATCAATCCAACCACAGAGTTCATCCTAGAGTGGATTAAGTCGTCGTCAAGATCAAATAAATGAAACATCTTTGCAGTAATGTATTATCATTTGTGGATAACCAAAATTTAATCGTATTTGTATTCACAGTGTTGAATGCCAAAATCGATAATTTCCTGATTCTTTTGACACATTCCCAATTATTCATAAATTCAATCTTCATAAATCAAAAGGACAGATTCTTAACCGGCTGTTGTTTTTAAAAATGAAAAACTGACCTTGTCCGAAATTCTCAAACAAAATTTGTGCCAACAACTGTTGGTTTTTTCAATGTTCATCGGTTAAATGCCCGCCTTCCCACCAACGTTAACTGCCGTTGAGAGAACTTTTTTTTAAAAAAAAAAGCTTATCATCCTGGACTGAGGTTTCCTTAATTCGAACCTTAATTGCCGTTTCCTTCCTTTCATTCATTGTTCTATATTTTCAAAGCGATTCGTTCAATAAGGACAAGGTTTTGATAATTCATTCCTCCGGTTTGCGTGAAGCCTTTCTTTGTACATACACATCCTTCGTACCCAATTATCCTTCATTTCGAGCACAATGATGATTCGAATGAGTCCCATCCTATTGCTCCAATACTTTCTCTGTTCAACACTGGTTGCATGTTACTTATTCTCAGTGCAATCGGTAGAGGCTCAATTATTCAATAACGTGACCTTCAAATTGGGAGAGGTTAAAACAGTCCGAACGACTTGGCCCTCCACTATGGAAGATGTTCTTGATGGAGCTATATGGATTGAATATGCCATCTTTATCGGAATTATTGCCATTATACCGATCATTATTGGTGTTTTGGGCTACTTTTCTCTCAGTCTCTTTTGCTGTTTCCGATGTTGTGGTTTGTGTGGTGGTAATAAGCCTAAGGAAATTTACACCACCAAAGATTTGGTAATCCCAACCATCCTGGTCTTACTCGTGTATGGAGGCTTCTTGACATTGGCAGGTGTTGGAATTGGCTTCAGTGCACAAGCTTCTTCTGATGTACGAACCATGATCACAGCCACACTCAAATTCATGACAGCAGCCAATACGACCATTATGGGAATTGCCAATATTGGGGACGCCATTACATCTAAATTCTCTCAAGTTCCTGATAAGCTCACTCCATTGTTGGATCAAGCCATACAACAGACGGCACCTCTCGATACCATTTCATCAATGATTGCACAAACACATCAGCAATTCAGTCAGTTCAATTCCATCACTGTTCCAGATATTTCCTTACGAATTTCGAATATTAACTCAAACCTTACAGTGTTGCAGTCTCAATTCAACGGTCTTCCAACACTCTCTGAAGTGCCAGACATTTCCCCTGCCGTACAGACATGTTTATCAAATCTTGCCACTGCGAATACCACTGTTGCCAATGCCAAGTCTACCGTTATTAGTAGCATTCAAAGTGTGAAGAGTATCATCAACTCGACACTGGTCGATAATTTGACACCTATTGTTGGACCCACTTTTGCTGGAGTGAAAACTCAAATCACCTCCATTCAATCTCAAATATCTCCCTATTTGAATGACATCATTATTGGACAAGCAACGCAATACACCTCAATTGCAGAGAATGTGCGAATTGCGTTGAGTGTTGTCTTCTTTGCATGGTGTTGCTTCATTTACGTGTTTGTCTTCTTGGGTCTCATTTTCAGAAAGTCTTGTTGCATTCAGACTACAAGTTGGTTGGCTTTCATCACTGCTTGGGTATTCTACCTTTTTGCAGTGATTCAAATACCATTGTATTTGATCATTACAGATGCATGCGTCAAGGGACCAACAACACTGGGCATGCTTGGTGATGGATTATTGGGCCAACTCAATGCAGGTAGTGGCTTCAAACTCCAAAATGTCTCACTCATGATTAAAGGCATTGCCTCCTGCTCAACCAATGACTCGCTCGTGAGTGTTCTCCTTGGAAATGATTATCTCAAAGGCTTAGGAATTGATAGTACTCTCTCGGGTGTCACTGGCAGCTTCGCCAACTCCATCTCATCAATGAATATCAGCTCATATACGAGTTCAGTGGACTCTGTGATTGCAAGTGCCAACACAGGATCCATCAAGACCGACCACACCTCTGATCTTGCAAGTGTTCGATCCAAATTACTTGGTGCCACTACATCTCTGAGCAGTTTGGATGGATTTCAAGGTTTCAATTATTCGACCTATAATCAAGCATTGACTGATTTCAACACATTCACACAGCAGCAAACTGGTCGTACCTACACTTATGAAAATTTTGAGACCTTTGATCCATCGACCTTGTCATCACCATATAACACTCAAGGTCAAAATCTCAAAAATGCTTTGACCACTCAAAAGAATAAGTATGCATCAGCCTTGGCAGATGTCACCAAGTTCAACAATTCTGTGAGAGCAATTACTAATAATTTGGATGGATTGCAACAAGATTTTTCATTGGCTAGCAATGGCATTGTACAGTCTTTAACAACACTCGCCCAAAATGTAGCCACACAAATTCAAACCATGACGTCAAACATCCAGACCTATATCAATAATTTCCCCAATACTTCTCTCACGTTCATCATGAATCTTGCCAGCCAGTTGATTAATGATTTTGCGGTCGAATTTGTTCCTTGTGGTTTTCTTGGCTCCTTCATTTCCACTGTGGACAGGAGCGTTTGTAAAGGATTGAATTTCCAATTAGTAGTGACAGGTGCTGTTTGCTTTGCTATTGGTGTTTTGATGCATATTGGAGGATTCATCACAATCGTGTTGACCAAGAGAATTAGATATCAAGGATCAAAGAGAATTAATCCAACTGTTCAAGATTAAATTATTATACCATTACAATCTTTGGTTTTGTTTTTAAAAATTAGATCGTACACAAAATTAACAATTCATTATTTTGATTCCGTTTCAAACTCTATTTGAACAAGATTTCAACACTCCAAATATGGGTTTTGTTGTGGCATTATTTTTTTTAATGGTGATACTTAAAAAATGATACGAAAGTTCTCGCTGCAGAAAGCAATAGCCAACACCTGCTTGCATTCTCATCGTCGAATAGTAGTGTCTAATAAGACCAGACAATCCCATGATGATCGGAAAGGATCAAGAAATTACCATCATGATCAGAGAAAATCAAATCAAAATTCTGGAAACAATGAAAAAACAAATTCTCGTTTCTTCTTCTCATCATCACCCAATCCAAAACAAATGTTGCGATTGGGACTTTATCTCGTTCCTGCATTTGCACTTTATCAACAGTTAATAACACCAACACAGAAAGATCAAAAGGACATTCTTGATGAATTATCAAGTACAATGTCCGAATTAAAACAATGGGAAAAGAGGCTCATGGAACTTGAAATGAATGATCGAGATGATGAAGCCTCTGAAAATATGCAACCAGAACAAGGAATGTATGGATTAATTCCCGATGATGAGGAAGGCTCTCATGAGCCTCATTATCGTTTTATTTCAGCTAAAGAACGAAAATATGCTTCAATATACGATGAGCTAAGACATATCATTCTAGTCATTCATTCTAAAACCAAAGAGCTTAATGCAAGTATTAAATCGTACGGATTTGTACAAGACGAGAAACTACTCACACAATTAATGGCAATCATGAGAGGTGTTTTATTGCTCAATTTAAACAAGAGTACAATTCTTCATTCATGCCCATTTCCAAACGCCCTATGGCAAATGAGTTTAAATTTAGAAAGTATACATTATACATGCTTGGAAACTCTCATTTCTGTCTCTGAAAATAAGGATTTTCATTTAAATATCTTGAAGAGCAGCGAAAAGTTGAGTGAAAACTCTCAAATATCGATTGGAAGTGATAATAATGACTTGTCGTTTTATGATAAGGCAATTTCAGAAATTTGTTCGAATGGTCTCTTGGGTCCTATATTCAACTCGATCATGTATGAGAAGAGTCCTGCAATTCAAAGAAAAGCACGCTACTTATTGGATGTAATTTCGAATAGAGAGATATCTCATGAACCTCTCATGCATCGCTTGGATACATTCAAATATTTGGTTGATTCAATGAAACCAGAAAATGAGTTGATTACAGCGTTGGTCATTTCTAGAATGTATTCGAATCCATCACTTTTCAAAACACTCTCTCTACACCAAAATTTACCTTTCATTAACATGCTACAAAACATGTACTCGAGTGGTCATGACGAAAAGGTGAAAAAGCTTTGCGCTATTGGATTAATGATAGCGAAAGGGAAAAAGTCTGAAACTACTTATTTGAAAGAGGAAGAGCGCTCATTTACATTGGAGAATCATTTGGAATATTCCAAACAGCTACTCATGCTTTCACTTTTTGGACTGTTATTTCGATCTTCCTATTTCATTTTCAACTATCGACTTCTCTCAAATGTTCCTTACTATTTGCTGCTCTCCATCGCCATTGGTGAGACTTTAAAAATTGAAAAAACACTCACCGAAGCAAAATCAAATTATGGATGGTTGCATGTGGCTAGCACATTTGCCATTGCTACAGCCGTGTCACAACTTCAGGCTGGAACATTGCGAATGATATTACTGCCCTATCTGTCCGTTTATTTCTTGGGAGGGTTGAGTTTGGACAGTGGCAAATTGGCGCACCAACGATCACCTCCAATCGCCTTTTCGACTTCTTCCTTTTTGTATTTGGATGATATCACCGTTGAGCACCTCACTAAGAAGTGGAACAGAATCTTTTCAAAGGAGCGCTAACTCCTCTTGATATTGCTTAACAGTTCATAAATTTATTGTAGGAAGATTATTAATTCAAGGTTTTTATGGGATTCAAGTCAAAATTAATATCAAGCTTGATTTCACTTTTACAACAAGAACATGATTGCACACCAATAATAAAAAAAATTTTCAATTTGTGTGTGTATTTACATTGTTACAATAATTAGAAAGAGTATTAGAGTGGTTTCAAATTAGCTAATTTTCATCTGTCATCAAGTCGTATGATGCATCCGTAATGGCTAATCCTGTGGAATGAGGATCGTCAATGACTTTTGGTGAAATGCATTTCCCGTTGGAGCTACTATCAAACCGTGTTCTTAGTCTTTTCAAAATCTCTTCACGACTGCTTGTATAAGGTACAACTGCATGTTCGTTTGGGTTGTTACCATCATCAATATTGTTCGTAGAAGAGTGACGTGACGAATTTCCAAGCACAGATTGAAGCAGAGCTGTGTCAGCTCTTGGCGACGGCATGACAGATGTGCTTGATGTTGAAGAGGTTTGTTGTGGACATAGTAATGTATTCAATGGATTGGAGCTGTTTCCAGTAGACTGGCTGATGAGTGAGGAAAGTTTCTTTTGCCACATGTTTTTCATCATTTGATTATCTGTGGAGACATTGAGTGTTGTTTTACCTCCATTAAAGAAAGGTGAAGGTTTTGTTTTTGGAATGCAGCTGGTGAGCAATGAACTTGTCGTCAAAGATGATGACGAGCAACATACAAGTTGAGTACAGCTCCAATCTCCTGCTTTTGTATCTCGTGCACTTTGTTGAATTTTCTGAACATTAAAATCCATATCATTGTTTTCTGCATTGTTCTTTTGATTGAGTGTATCGTCATGCAGTTGTTGACTAGAAGAAGTATTATTGCTCTCTTCAGATACATGCAAATGCGAGAGTTGCGCTGAGAGTCTATCTTGATGATGTTGCGATTTCACTCGCTTACAAAAATTACGTTCATGAAAAGACTCAAGAAGGCATGAGGAGGGGTCATCCTCAAGAAATTTGTTGCTTTCCTCATCGGTGATCAGCTGATCAATGATGTCCTCTTCTTCTTCATTCTCTTCTAGGTAATTCACATATTCATCAAATTTCCTCTTATGGGTGTTTTCGAAATGTGATGCATCTTTATAATTGAATGGAAATGTCATCCAAAGCTTACTCTCGTCTCTGAGGGGATTGTGGAATTCTGGTAACTGTGGTCCACCTCCTCCAGAGTAGTAATAATAGTTTTGATTCGTGGTGTCATGGTTATTGTTGTTCTGATAGTAGTAGTTGTTGTTATTATTATTATTATTGTTGAAACTCGTATCACCAACAGAGGATGCTGTAGTGGAGATGATCAATGGAGAATTGTAACCATTATTTCCATTGTTGTTGAAAAACAATCCAGATGAACCATATTGAATAGGGTTTCTCATCAACAACTCTTGACTAGTTGTTGTTGGTCCTTGATAAATCTGATCCGATGTCCATGATCCGATCATGTTCAAATAATAATAATAATAATAATAATAATAATATTAACAATGAGGGTTCAAAATGATTATCAAGTTATTGCTGCAAAATTTCAAAAGATTCTCTTAATTTGCTCAACAAATAAGAAATTTCAACACAAGAGGCCTTTCATTCGTGCGAACACGCACATTCATGCACACACGAATGCACGATCAACGCTGTGTTGTTGCTCAGATTGTGAAAGGGAATGTGCTCTCTAGGGCTGTTCTCTCTTCAAGGATTTTTTTCGGAATCTTTTCGTTTTTGATAATAATCGGAACTGAATTGTCTCTCTCTCTCTCTCGAATTGATACTAAAGGTCTAATGGTCAAAGGAAACCTTGGCCTGGTTCAGAGAGCAAGTGTAAAAAGTCATAGAGCTCGAGGATGGATGCAAGTGTGAAAGACCAAGTTCATGAAAACAACAATAACAGTGGTTCTCGTCTCCAAGCTCCTTTTTTGACAAAAAAATAACTCACCTCGATTTTTGGCGAATCTTTTCTCACCACCCCTTTTCGAAAAGAAGCATTTCATTCCGACGAGAGAGAACAATTTTACGAGGTGATTGGAATGATCCATTCATGTTGATAACAACAAAATAGAAACTATCATTATTATAAATTCAACAAATTAACAAATTAATTCAACATTGTGAATCCGCAAAGAATCATGATATCTCATTCGAGCAGCTCGGAGCAAAAAACATCATCCATTGTTGGTGATTCAAATCATGTATCAAGAACAACAACAACAAATATGATTAATACATCACCGTCGTGGACAGAATCATTTTCAAAGAATGAAACACCATGGTTTTTGAGAGAAAAACCACTGGAATATTGTTATTCGGAACTTTCAAAACATCCATCCTTGTTAGAAAAGGTTAAAAAGTCAATTGAAGTTATCAAAAAAACTCTTGAAATGTACAATACACCCATTGCTCTGGGTTTTAATGGAGGAAAAGACTCTGTAGTCATTGTTAATTTATTAATCATGTATCTATTGGAAAAATTCAACGTGACAACCAGTGAAAATTCAGGAGCCAATAGCACAAGCTCACAACAACTTTCATCTCTATTGAATCAACACTGCCTATTCTTTCATTTCTCAATACCTCATCAATTTCCAGAGATGGATCACTTTTTGGAGCAATCCTCAAATCTCTATGGTGTTACTTTAAAGCTCATTGACGCCAGCAAAGGTTTTAAACAAGGACTCGCCGAGTTGATAGAAACATCCTCGAGTAAACTTGATGCGGTATTCATGGGAACAAGAAAAATTGATCCAGACGGACAGACTATTGATATATTTGAAAAAACCTCAAATGGTTGGCCCGAAATGATGCGAGTTTCTCCAATCTTAGAATGGGACTATCAAGACGTGTGGCAATTCATTCTCTCACTTCATATACCATACTGCACGCTTTATGACTTGGGATACACCTCGTTGGGTAGTGTGAATGATACAGTTCGCAATGAGGCACTAAGACAACCAGATGATTCATTTCTTCCTGCCTATTTTCTTATGGATGGCACTTTGGAAAGATCTGGAAGAATGAAAAGGCAGCAAGCTCATCATTCTGCTCATCATCAGAAAGTAAATGAATGAAAATTAGCATCATGATCGACTCTCGTGTTTCAGGCTCTCCTCTCGAACATTCATTGAGCAAAACAGACACTTACAAAAAAAAAACTCAAAGCAGAACCTTACCCGTTATTGGTTGTATCATCTTGTCCAAATCTTGTGCCGGACTTGTTTGTGCTGCTTCTTTTCATCATCATCAAAGTTTGACCGAGCACGTCGGGAGACTCTCCTTGTACAAGCGAGAATATTAGTAGTGTTGTTTGCCGTGCTCTCTAGAGATCATTTGTCGTTTGAATTGTTTTCGTTCATCAAATAACGCCATTATAAGTCATAATTCTTCCAGTTGTTGTTCTAAAATACTAGTGTCTCAAGACCATCAACAAACTCTCCGTGATCCCTGATATCATCGTTATCCCACATAGATAGTATATCTTTCAATCATTCCATATTATTTATTTTCCCTCGTCATAACTCCCATCATCCTCTCATCACCTACATCAGTAATTACTATTTATCAGTTCAATCGTATCCTGTTCTCTACCACCATGAATATGAACACTCCAACCAATAATGTGATGGATTTAATTTCTCGGTTAATAGGCAACAACCAAACACCAGGAGGTCAACCAATCACAACTACGCCCTCATCGTCCACCCATCCCACACCACAACAACCACAAGGACCAACCATGATACAACAACCGCAAATCAACCAAAACAATCCACAAACAGCACAGTTATTGAGAATATTGCAACAGGTAAGTTGTATGATAGAAATATTCCATTTTAACCCTGAGAACATGTCGTGCGCATCAACATTGTTGTGACATTTCGTGAATATTTGTGTATGTCCTGTATGATGCAACAATTGTGTAACACTGATCAAATGCCAACTATGCGCTCCCAATAACGATGAATGACAATGTTAATTGCTCTTTGAACTATTTACCACAACAGAACCCAAATATTCTTAACTCTTTAGGTGGAAATACGGGAAATCAAGCAATATCTTCTTCAGGTACAAACGTATCCCATGATGTTCTGTTACATTTCTTACAATCACAACTTAACAACAGCAATGTACAGCTAAGATCAAGACAACCTCAGGGCATACTGCCCAACGTGGCAGGAGGTGGTATTTCCATGAATCCACAACAACCTCAAACGCAGAACGTACTCATGGGTAGTGACAATAATATGCTTACCGGAGATGGCAACTTTGCCACAGCTCCAGCATCATCAGGAGGTGTGGCTAGTAGTGATCAAGGTAATTCCGCCATGATCAACAACCAAATGTTAGGAGGAGGACTAGTGGGAACAAATCCTACAACTCCGATCGGTATGATGACAATGAATGGAACGAATATGAACATGCCTAATCAAAATATGAATATGACTAGTCAAACAAAACGATCTGGAACACCTCTAAGCAACAACAGCGGCGGATTATCAACAAATACAACCACCACAACCATGACACAATCTGGGTTTTCTAATGGAACACGAAAGTTCTCTGTTGATCACATCAAACTAGTGCAACAGCTCATTGAACAGTGCCTAAAGTTATATCTCTCAAAGACAGAAACAATAGCATTTCTTTGTTCTAAATATGACAACATTGATCCTGCATTTATTAGTTTAATGTGGTTCAAGTTGGAACAACAAAATCCTGAATTTTTCAAGGCATACAACACCCGTCTTCAAATCAAAGATCAAATTACACAGTTTAATCAATTAGTGAAAGAACAAGCTCAACTAATGCAACAACAAGGATTACTGATACAAAGCTCAAACAGTGGATTTTCTCAAATGTCGATGCCTAACAGCCAACTTATGAACAATTCTCCTCTTACCATCTCTACAAATATTCCTCAATCCATGAATCCCTACACTTCTTCTCCTGTGACAATGAATACTTTTGTTGCAACTCCCTCCAACACTCCTAACATTGCAAGTGCTAACATGACTAATCCCATGAATATGAACGCTGGAGGAGGTTTTGTTTATGCAAATAATTTAATGACCACAAGTCCAAGTCCCAATACATCAATGGTTGGAGGAATGCAAACTCAGGGTGGTAATGGTGTCTCTGGTCTAGGAAACATGAATTTACAACAGCAACAACAGGGACCTAATACCTTGAACTTTGCTCAACAACAGCAACAACACATGTATAGAAATCAATCACAGCCTCAAACAAATTCTCAACAACAATTTTCTCAGAATAATTTCAATGCACCCAACAATAGCTCCTCACCTCAAAAACGAACACCAGATTCCATGAACGTTTCATCAACAACCTCAATGGGTAATACGGCCTACAGTGAAGACAATAGTGCTGCTACCTCGAACAATAACAACACTTTCTCAGGCAACCCTCAATCCAATATGGACACGAGCCAAATGATAAATCCTAGACAAGTAGTTCAAAATTTCATGAAATCACCTCCCATTATGGTTCCTACTGGTACTGTCCAGTCCATGATGGCACCATCTAGTAATAATATCAACAACAACAACAACAATAATCCTGAAACAATGTCTGTGAACAGCAATGTCTCAAAACAAGCACAGAACAGCAGCAATACTAATACTTTACAACAAGTTACTGTGCATGACTCTTCAAATCAACAAATTTCTGCTAGTAATTCTGCAACACACAATAATCAAACGTCCTCACAACAAGATGCTACAAGTGCCCTGGATAACAGCTCATTTGGTGGCTTTGATTTTCCTGAAACAGGCGATTTGTTTGCTGATACAGAAGATTTTGATTTTAATTTTTGATTTGATAGATAAGATGATCGAATATCCAAAACCACATACACAGCTTTCTAAAATTTTCTTGTCATTAAATTATTTAACACAATCACAATAACAACACATTGTTCAAATCAAAAATTGTGTGTTCACATTTATTTAACTCTCTCTTCTTCGACCGTTAGGGATGTTGGCGCCATCACAAAACGTTACATTAATTCATTTTTGAAAATGTGAGTGGATACAACAATTTATGAAAAAATGTCCAACCACGACAACCACACGGCCTCCACCACTAGTACCATGACAACATCCAATGAAGAGCAGGTATCCATCATTGAAGAAGAATGGGAATTCAAAGCTCCCAAATATTTTGACTTTGATAAACTCCTCGTTTCAAACTCAACCCAGCAACCACATGCAGAGGATGCCCACAACAAGAGCCAAACCGATCAATGGTTTTTCACCGAAGATGCCCAACATTTGGAATTTCTCGATCCGAAATATATTGATTTGAATGGTAATAACTCACAACAACAAAACATTTGGGTACCCAATCAAGAGTCCTCCTCTTCCTCCTCACATTTACACAATCATGATGATATTACCTTGAGTAATATTAGTACCATTTCAAAATTTAGTGTTCATCATGATGATGGAGCCTCTCTCTATTCATCGGCCAGTAATATTCCATCCATCATGTCTGCGTTCAATAATAATAATAACAACAACAACAACAACAATAGAAATAATTATTGTTCATCCACCATTTTGCAAAATTCTCATCATCCACTGCACCACAATAAGCCTCGTAGTAGTCGTCGTGCAGCTCCCAAACTGACCATTCCAGTCACTCCAAAATTCATGACCGATCAGAGAATGAAGCAGAGAAGCGTTTTGAATGCTTCACACAACAATATGAAGAACAACAATCCGACGAGTAAGGCTCCTTTCCTAATGACCACCTCTCATATGACCACTAGCAGCAGCAGCACTAGCACTCAAAGTATCTTGTCCTCAACAAGTACCACCTGCAATACTCTCAAAACACTCAAAAGTAGTGTGGACAATAAGGAACGTTTGACCAAATTCAAGACAGTCACTCGACCTAAATTAATCTCTCCAAAGCCTTTCAAATTTGCTACGGAGAGCCGAGCTGAAGCAAATGGCACTAAGAATACGAGCAGCATCCAATTACCTCCTGGACATTCTCCCTTCAATAAGAGCATGCTTCAGAAAATTAATGAGATGAGAAACAAGATTCCATCCAGATGGAAATGCAATAGTAGCCTCCAACCAAGTACTCCCTTGTCGAGTAAACCACTCAAGATTACAAAACCAAGTTCCTTCAAGCTGCGAACCAAATTCAGAAGTAGAACTCGAGCAGTGCCACAAGTTGTGGAAAATGTTGTACGTGTGGAATTTAAAGCAAGACCTCTCAATAGAAAGATCTTTGAGAGTTCTGGGCAAATTGGTCTTGGTCGAGTTGTTAAGCGAGAAATTACTCATCCTGAAGAATTTAATCTTCTCACTGATGAGCGAATTAAGAAGAGAAAGTTGGATCAAAGCAAGATTGTGGACGAGAGTATGAGCAGCAACATTTCACACACTCGTCCTATCAAGACTCGAAAACTTGACAACACAACATCCACTTCTACATTGCAACAAAGCATTTTACAAACCTCGAAAAGTGTCAAACCTCCAACCATTCCAGAGTCGCCCAATTTGAGAACAAAACAACGAGCTCATGCCAGAGCAGCTCCTCAACCTGCCACTCCAAATTCTCCTCACATTACTTTTCGCGCTAGGCCTTTACCAGTCACAACTCTTCAGAATCCCTTTGTACCAACATTGACAGAGCATATCACCACTGTGCCTGAGCCCTTTCATCTCAAAACTGAACAACGAGGAGCATTGCATCGAAAACAGTTTGAATCAAGAATTATTGAAGAGGAGGAAAAGGAAAATGAGAGTCGTCACTTTAAGGCAAGACCTATTTTAAAGGCAGCATCTTTGTGTAGCGATGCTCTCAGCACTAGATCGAATGTCATCAAACCACTTCCCATTACCGTTCCTGTTTCTCCAAAACTTCTCACCAAAAACAGAGTTCGATCTGAAGACTCGATTTTGAAAAGTGTTATTATTGGACCCTCTCTCCCAAACACTTCAACATTTCGAGCACGACCAATGCCAAATTTTAATCTCACCTCAAATTCATCAAACCACCACCTCTCCAAAGTGTCAAAGAATATGGATCTGACGACCACCACCCATACTACTACTCATGTGGAGCCCTTTCATTTGAGAACAGAGGAGAGAGGACAGGCCTATCAAACCAAATTCAAGACACATATGGAGGAGTTGCTCTCCAAACAAACATCTGAAACTCTCGACCATTCAAGCAGCTCTTTCAACAACACCAAGAAGAAGGGTTCTACAGCTTTCAATCTTCGATTATAAATTATTCTTGTACGAACACCTCCTTTTGAAGATTGTGATCAATTTTTCGAACAAAACGATCGATTGGTGACGTGAATGCCACTGTCGCTCAGTCGAATAAAAGGCACCATCATCCTTTCAATAATAATGAATGTTATAAAGAATTTCTTGTCGGAGTTAGTACCAACACATCGGAGTACAAGAGAATACAAAAAAATGGCTGCATTTGGAACCATGATGGATTGGTGCTTTCTTCTTCTTTTATTCGTGTGCTTGAGCTATTGTGGCAGCTGTTATTGTGAACGTTCACAAACAATCATAGATGCCAACAAACATAAACTCTCTCCTCCATTGTGGGGTGGCTCAGACTCCTTCCGAGTGTTGGTCAATCTCACAAATCCCAGTCCAGTTTCGAAATGGATGTTCGCGTATTACCATTCGAGTGCATTGAAGGCAGAACGTTATGAACATTTTCCACCTCAATACGATGAGATGTGTATGGGTCTACCTAATGTGAGTCCCGATCAGCAATGCAATGTCATCTTCTCATATAATGGTTGGTCTTACTTGCAACTTCCTCAACTTCAAATGTGCTGCAAATGTGAGAATACGTTTGGAGCCGTTCGTGGGGATTGGTTGATGGAAAATTCGACCTTTGCTGGTTATGTTCGTGACGAACGAACTGGCTATGATACTCAACATTGGACCAAATGGGGTCAATATTTGAATCATTATTATTGTACCAATGATGACAAGAGAATGCCAATTCGCTTCAATGAACTTTGGGGACCTCAGCACATTCTCAAACAATGGGATTTTTTGGTGGAGAGTTATAAGGTGGGAGAATTTGATTACAAGAAATTGCTGGGACCACCAGAGAATTGTGAAAATTTGTGTATGAGTGATGTATGTAAGGCTTATCGAAGGTAAAGATGTTCATTGATAAACGAACGCAAAGACCCCATGCTTGAATAAATAAATATTTAATTATTATATTTGATAATTGTGTCAAATGTTCACAACTGACACACCAAAGTCAAATGGAAACGGCTCACAATTTATTAATTTCATGAAGAAAGAGATTGAGGAGCTCTTGATAAATTTAGGGGGTTTGAGTGCCCCTATCATATTCCTCAAATACTTCTTTGAATAATCCAGAGTCAACCTTTACGATCCACCTAAAGTTTTCCGAGAGAATGATCGGTGTCACCGTTGTTTGTTGTGGACTTGTCTTGATTGCTTCAATGACAAATTGATGAGAGAACGTTCGTGCTGTGCTTGGGTCGTTATCCAAAGCGAGCATCCCATATGAAGTCAGTAACATGTGCTCATTGTCTACATTGCGAAGTGGTCAATTTGTGCAAGGTTCGTCAGTTGTAAGCTTGTCTCTGCTTTCCGATCATGTGAACCTACCAATTACTTGATAATCAAATGAAGTAAAACACATTTGCTGGTAAATTTTGTCGTATAAGTTAACAATATCTGCTCCTCGATAAGCTAGGCCATTCCAAAGGAGAGTAGATCTTTGAGAATATAAACTGTAGAGTAATTCTTTACGCCCAGTATTCCATGCATAGTAGTAAGAAATGAAAAATTGCCGAGCAAAATAGGCCTCATCAGCAATCTTATCCAATGTTATTATTTAGATTTGAATGGCAAGAGATATCGAATATCATTTGTTTTTAAAACCAATTTACGAGTATTGTCATAATTTGTTGATGAAAAATGTTCAATCAATGTGTTGGATGGACATTCGGTCATTGTTCAATTTTACATCAGCAACAGATTTCAATTAATAGAACACAATTTGAGTCGGTTTTAGCACAATATTATTATGAGCGAATATTGATTATCATCATCATCAACAAATAATAATGTAAATGATATTAAAAATCGGAATGTGAGAAAATTCATCATCCAAAACGCCCATCGTCATCACAACATCCCACACAATAGTTCATCATGGTGGGCGCTGGCTTCCTCTTCTTCTTCTCCTCCTCGTCTAAGACTTACTTTTTTTTCATGATGCATGAGTTTGCTCATTTTTTATGTAATTTAATAATAGCTGCAATTAATTCACATCAATCCTTTGGTGAATTTCCAAATTTATCCCATAGAATTGTAGAATGAAATTGCAATGTAGATTCTGAATTATTACTCTCTGAAAGATTAGATATTTTTGTTCCCATATGGGAAGAGATCATGCATTCAAGAAGGCGAAGATAAAATGATTTTTGAAAAAAAATATCTTTTCATCACCGTAATCATAGACAACATCATCTCCACACATACTCACATAAATTTTGAAAAGAACATTGCCATTATTACTTGCGTGGAGAAGCAAAACAATTATTATCAGCAGCATTACCGAGTTTTTTAATCTGTATCTGCAATAACTTCCATCTTTCTTCATATTATTTCAGAATATTAACGCATCCTAGAGGAAAATGCTCCGAAAGAAAAATAACAAGAGATTTAATATGCTCTTATTGAAAGAGGATGAAATATATTTTCAGGACTTTTCATGTACTTATTTTATGGGCGTTGGAGGAAGGTGTGTTTTTGTTTGGCGATGATAATATTTGAACATATATTATTTTACTACTGTTTATTCATCATGATCGTGATTTCAAAATGTTACAGAGAGAAATATAAAGGACGATTACACTTTTGCTCTCACTCCTTGGTATTCGTTCCTGATGATACACGATATTCGATTACAAGACATTCCTTTGACAAGATCGAAGGAGGTTTCAAAAAATTCAGACCAACCCCAAGTAATCAACCATTCTTTTCCTCATTTAGCGAGGAAAATATGTTTTGTTTTACATGCACAGAATTTGTGGAAATCCGAAAGGGAAATAAGGACCACCCCTATATTTTCAAAAAAGTAAGTGTTCCTCAAGGAAGATGAAAAATTTTTATTGATAACATGTTTAGCAACCTGATACAGTAGTAATTGGACTCACTTTCTTGACAGCTCAGCAATTTGTTGAAAAAATTTCCCCAATCTACCAATTATTCCAAAATAATTCTGGAACACCTTCAATTGAAAAGATTAATCAAATTTATGAAGATCAAATCGCCAAAGGCTTCTCTTTTGATATTACATGGCTCGAAGATTTTAGAGAACAAACACTTTATGAAACTCATGGTACCAAAGTCACACCACTCGTAGACACACATGGATGTATTTTATTGACTAATGAAAGAATTTATTTCCAACCATTCAACAACATTAGCACAAAACCAGTTAAAAAGTACAACTTGAGGGATATTAATAGAATCGTCAAAAGGCGTTACAACTTGCGTCAAATTGGTGTTGAAATATTCTTACGGAATAACAAGAGCATATTCTTTTCTTTTAAGAACCAAGTAGAGCGTGACAACTTTTACAATACAATTTTAAAACAACCAGTAATATCCAACATTTCAATGAATGACCAGGGCAATATGACACTCAAATGGCAAAGTGGGTTAATAAGCAATTTTGATTATTTGCTATACTTGAATTTTATTGCTGATCGATCGTTTAATGATTTAACACAGTACCCAGTATTTCCATGGGTCGTTGCTGATTATTCAAGCAAGACGCTCGACCTACAAGATCCAAATACTTTTAGAGACTTGAAAAAACCAATAGGCGCACTGAATCCAGACCGGCTCAAATATTTCAAAGATCGATATTACCAGATGCCAGATCCAAAATTCCTGTATGGAACACACTACTCAACCCCTGGCTATGTTCTCTATTTCCTAGTGAGACAAGCGCCTGAGTATATGCTCAAACTTCAAAATGGAAAATTTGATGCACCTGACAGAGAGTTTTGTTCGATCAAACAAACCTTTAACTCTGTACTCACCAACACTACTGATTTGAAAGAATTAATACCAGAATTCTATCAATCAACAGGAAGTTTCTTGATGAACTCTCTTAATCTAGATTTAGGTGTTCGGAATAACGGCCAGCGTGTGAACAATGTTATTTTGCCTCCATGGTCCAAAGATGAGCAAGATTTTATTTACAAATGTAGACTGGCTCTTGAGAGTGATTACGTCTCACAAAATTTGCATCACTGGATTGATTTAATATTTGGTTACAAACAGAGAGGAGAAGAAGCTGTAAAGGCTGATAATTTATTCTATTATTTGACATATGAAGGGGCAGTGGATATCGAAAAAATTAGAGACCCCATCGAAAGACGAGGAATTGAAATTCAAATTAGAGAATTTGGTCAAACACCAAAACAAGTGTTCACATCTCCTCACCCACAAAGAAAGGCATCCGTAAGTTTTCTCATTGAATCAAATAATTATATTTGTAATGTATGAATTCTAATGGACATTGCATGTTAATTTCCATCGCAACAATTACAACAGACAAACCTCGCCAATATTACAAAATTTTCTGTTACCTCGTCTGACACAATTCCTTTAGATATTATTTCTGCAACTAACAGGGATGTTCCACAATCTCCATCCGTTGTTCGAACTGGATCTTCTGTGTTCATGGATAGAGAATCAGCGTTTAGCAGCTCTTCCAAGACCTCCTCTCCCATTTTAAGCTCTACAAGCTCTTTTAGATCAATTTCTTCTCCATTATTCACACCCAAAGATAATGATGACTTTGACGTGAATGACTTGCTTAAATCTGATCTGAATCGCCCAAGTAGTTTTTTTAACAAACAACTCGAAGAATTGGAGCCCTCTTCCTCGTCACTTCAATCCGCTGACTCATTCAGTTCCTCAGTTTCATTGGATAGTTTAACCACAGATAATAGTCCTAACCGCACAAGAAAGAAGAGATCTACCTTGAGAAAGCAAAAACAAAACGAGAACTCATTTACACCCAAGTTTTCAACGACCACTACAGAGGAACCAACACTCAAGGTTGAGCTTCATCGAGATCGCATCACCTCAGCCATCATTAGCAAGGACAAATCGAGAGTGTATACCTCAAGTGACGACAGTACATGTAAGATTTACTCATTAGGTAGGTTGTAATGCTGATCTTGTATCTGGAATGATTATTTCAAATATCATGATCGTCCTAATTCTGCGCTGCTCGTATTGAATATGATTTATCGTACCACTATTGATTACGATCGTTCACATAGAATCTAAACGTCAGTTGAGAAGAATAGCAGATATGGGAGATATGGCACTTTCGTCTTGTGCTATTCTTGATGAAACATCTGAACAAAAGATTTTAGTTGCTGGCTCGTGGGACAATAGAATTTATGTGTATTCGGTCGAATATGGAAAGGTTTTGGACATGATTCAAGCTCACGAAGATGCCATCTCCAGGATTTGTGTTAAGAATGACACTTTGATTTCAAGTTCGTGGGATTCCACTGTCAAAGTGTGGAAATGTACTTCTGACTCTGTCACATCTACTCCAATGTTAACCTTTCAAGATCATGAATCTCCAGTTCATAGTTTGAATGTGGATGCATCTGGAAACTTGATTGTTTCAGGAAGTGAAGACGGTTTGGTAATTGTTTTTGATTTACGTCAAAAGAAAGCCATTTCTGAATTCCACGCTCACAATGACGTCGTTGCAGATACCTGCTTTTGTGGAGAAGACTCACAACGATTTGTATCATGTTCCAAAGATGGTTCCATTAAGCTGTTTGATGTATCTGGAACTGAGATTGCTCAATTCAGCAGTCCCGTTGTTAGTCAGGCCTGGAGATGTCTGGCTTCAGATGGGTTTGAATTGTTGTCAGGAGGTGAAGATGGCAAGTTGTACAAGTGGAATGTTCAAGATGGATCTCTCACTAAAGCGATTAATGCCCACAATGCTGCATTAACTTGTATCAGTGTCAGCGACGATGGAGAAAGTGTCGTAACAGGCAGTAAATCAGGTGAAATGATTTACTGGGACAAGTAGTAGCTGTGTAATGCAATTTGTGAACAATCAATGGGTTGATTGTGATGTACCTTCCAATACTACACAATATACTGCTCAATGATGATAAATTGCACATGTACGGATCATTTCTTCATATAGAGATGTGGTCGCAACAAACACTCAAAATAAAATCGCACTGCATTTGTGCATAATTATTTTACAAAAACTTGACACCTTCATTGTCACCAGATTGAAAGATTTCAGCCTTTCCTCTCCTTTCTAATACTTTGAGAGCCTTCTTAAATACCTCCGGATTCATTCCAAAAAATTCAGATCCTTCACCAGCATCACCTTCTAATAATTCAAAGAATGTACAAACAGTGTTTGTCAAGCCGTTGTCATCGACCCATTTCTGAATCTTATCTGCCCATTCAGCAGGCGTTTTCCAATATATAAAAATTGTTTCTTTTTTCTTATCTGCCCATTCAGCTCTTTCTTTTGAAACCATGTCTTCCAACAAGTCATAAATTGTTTCTTTCTGCAATTTCCGATGAATGGATTTATTATTAAAGAAATTCATTTCTTCTTCTGCGACATTCATCAAAAACTTCCGTTGATGCTCATAATATTTTAAAATTAAAGAACTCCATGCTTTATATTGTTTTGCTCTCGTCTCCAGAATGGGCTGAAACGAATAATACGGAGGAAGTGAATAGAAGGGAGGAAGTTTAAAGGTGTCTTGTTGACTCATTTTTTTTGTCGTTGTAATCGTCTTTATGAGGAGTTCCTATTGAGATTGATAGTCTATATTGATCAAACTTAATAGATGACAACACACAACATAACATGAATTCTCTCGAGTGAGTCTTAGATCTGTACCTCCTTATGAATTCCTTTCCAATGAATTCGTTTTGCTATTAGAAAACCACAACACTCAAGCCATGTGTTTGCCTTCAAAAAAAAATTCTCATCAACAAACCTGAGACATTTTTGTCGATCATCAACGTCGCTTTATAGCAATTAATACTCTAACTCTTTTAATTCATCATCATCACCATCATCATCTTATAATAATAGAATGTGGGGAACAAGTCAGACAAGTACCGGAGTACCATTAATGGGATCCACAGGTATAGGAGATGTGAATCCAAATGGACATTATTGTCTTCCTGATCTTCCTTCGGATACAGTTTCCATGATTTCATGGTGTCCTACACAAAATTATATTGTGGCTAGTAGTTGGGATGGTACTGTGAGTGCATGGGAAGTTCAAGCTGCAAATCAAATGGGCAAGATACAATTTGCTGCCATGGGAAAAGCCAAGTATAAACATGATGCACCAGTATTGTGTTGTTGTATGTCTCGGGAAGGAAAGATATTCTCGGGAGGATGCGACAACAAGGCGAAATATTTACAAATTGGTTCACAGAGCGATGTTACATTTGGAGCACATGACCAACCCATAAAAGCAATTCGATCATTGGATGGAGTAGATAATATGCAAACAATTGTAATGACTGGAAGTTGGGACAAGAATATCAAGTTTTGGGATATTAGACAGACAAGCGGACAACCTGTTGGAGTGGTTCCTCAAAAGGACCGAATTTACGACATTTCAACTAGTGGACCAATGGCAGTTGTAGCATTAGCAAATAAGGAAGTGCTTGTTTATGACTTAAGAAAACCACAAGAGCCATTCAAACAATATCAATCTCCATTAAGAGAACAAACGAGATGTGTGGCATGTTTTCCTGATCAATCAGGGTACGCTATTGGATCCATCGAAGGAAGAGTTGGTATCAATTATTTACAAGAAACTGCTACTAAGAAGAACTTTGCATTCAAGTGCCACAGAGAGGTCAATAACATTTTTGCAATCAATGCCATTTCCTTCCATCCAATGTTTGGAACATTTTCGACGGCTGGTTCTGATGGCACTTTCCACTTTTGGGATCATACTTCCAAGCAACGATTGCATCAATTTAAAAAGCTTAATGCTGATTTGACAATAGTTTCAACAGCATTTAATGGAGATGGAAGCATATTTGCTTATGCAGCAGGTTATGACTGGAGTAAGGGTCACGAATTCTACAAGAAGCACACCTATATTTATTTACATCCAGTTGAGGAAATTCAAGTGAAACCAAAAGGTACGGGCAAATAAAAATTCCCAATCATCCCTGAAAGACATTGTGACTGAACAAAACGTAGTTGGAAACAAATGTAAAGCAAACCAAGTTGGCGTCTAGTGCTTTCTATCATCAGTCAGTGATAACACAAATTTTAAACATATGTGATTAATTAGGTGTACAAAGGTATAAGAAAAACATCATTTGCATTCTCTCTTCCTTGCGTCCACAGTGTCAACATGTTAATTGAATCGGAAAATTTTCCATGTTCCTCATTTTTGGTTCGATTTTATTAAAGTTTCTTCTTTTTCGTTGGACCTTCGTGGGGAAGACGAGTGGATGGATAAACCTCATCGTAGGTGCTTGTTTTACGAGAACAGACCAAAGCAATATCTTGGAAGGCTGAGGATGAAAGTAGACCCATTGTAAATTGAGCCATCACACTATTATTGTTCTCTGAAATGAAATAAATAAACGTATGGTTATCACCACAGCTCACTCGAGTACGAAAATTCTTACTAATGTTGAGATCTTGATACGTGTAGTGACGAGGTAATTTCGTGAAACAAGTCACTACAGGTTCACTGAGATTTGTCTCTCTCATACTAGTATCTTCGTAGAATCCTAACTGATTGAACAAGTTCGAGCCAGTCACAAACACCTCATTCATGGTTGTAGTACAAACAGCGTGAAAGTCTCCTATCGAGATTGTTTCAAAAGCTAGAGCGAGCTCACCTGGAAGGTTCACATCTTTCAATGAGGTTCCATCAATTTTGTCTCTTGTAATTGGAATCCTTTGTCCCAGTTGACCTTCAATGAATCGACCAAAACCTGCCAAACCACATTCCGATTGACCTTCACGGAAGACAAAGAATCCATGGTAATTTCCTGAAGCAATCTTTGAAACAGGTTTCACTGTGGTCACAATCGTTGGTACATATACTTGGTCAATGAATAGCTTACTTTGTCCACAAAAATAGACATGGCCCTCTTGTGTGAGGAAGAGAGACCAATTTGTTCCCGTTTCTACTTGAACTGTTTTAGAGTCAAGTTTCTTGCAAGCAAGTAAATTAAAATTACTCACAACTCCATCCACCAATATATCCTGTATAGAGTTATCGGTAGGATCGAATCCAAGCTTTCCATTCTCTGCCGAACCAGTCACGTACACTCTTCTATCATTTGTCAACAAGAGAGTATGATTGAATCCACAACTCACTTGTACAATCTCCTTACTTGTTGGTTTTAACAAGGATAAATCCACAAGTTGTGGAATTCTATTCGATTTTTGTAAACCTTCCTCAATGGGCAGAGAACACTGTCCAAAGCTATTATTCCCACAGGCGTACATGGCGCGACTTCTTCTACAAATGAAAATATTATAAAAAATTCCACAACTAATATCAACAATATCTTCCTTGAGAAGATCACAGAGAGTTGGTTTTGTGATGTGTTTTTTTCGTTTTTTTGTTTGATGTAAATTAATATGTGAGGTATTGCCAATGGTATTACTTTGATTGGGCGTGGTGGTGCTATTACTACTTTCGTGATTGGCAATAATTTCGGAAGTATTTGCTATTGAAGAAGAAACTGGCAATACATTAAAATCATTCAATCCACAACCATACACTTTATACGAATCTGTAATGAAAAATGTTCTCTTATTCGCACATATCACTTTTCGAATGGTTTGTCCATTGAATACCCTTGTAGTATTTATAACATGGACTTTACACTTTTCTTGTTCTTCGGGAGTCCAAAATGAGTTATGATCATGTTCTATTAATTGACTACCAGCCATCCGAAGTGATGATAGATGCATGGCTGAGAGAATTGCATTCCTCCGATCAAAATCTGTTGAAGTGTGTACTCCCAACTGATGATTCTCGTTGTCGCCAAAACACAGCATTCGCAAGCACGACATTTTTTTTAATAATAAATATTATTTAAATATTCAAAATGATGATTGATCTCTTCTCGAGAGTCGAAGGGACAAGCTTGTCCTTGTCGTCTATGAACAACAATCAACAAAATGGCATTCTGGCATTCATCACCATTTCTCTCGAATATCAGCTGTGTAAAGCTGGAGCTGTCAACAACTTCAGCAAAAAGGACCATCCTGGCTATTCGCTGCTTGGTTTTGATGATAATTCTAGAATTAGTGGGTTGACAATCGTTGAGGTCAAAGATTGTATCTTGTTAGAGGCTTTGTCCACCTTGATTTTCTTTGTCAAGTTGTCCTTACCTTTGTAAAGGTGACTTGCAAATTCTTTCTTCTTGTTATTTTTTCAAATTCTCTCTGTACAGGAGGAATCTACTGGTGTATTCGGGATGATAGATTGTCCATGTTCATTCCCATTCCTGTTTTACCATTCTGACAAGAGCCATCAGTATGGATTTCAAAATTACTTCCTTCTAATCGATCGAGAGAAAACATTCCAATTGTATTCTTTATCTCATTTAATAGATTGATGAAATATAAAAAAATGTCTACTCGTGCAGAGCTTTCAGCACCACTGACTTGTCGAGATCAGGAGGCAGAAGATGGCATTGATTCCGAACAATTATTAATGGCTACTATGAATCAAGATCTAACGGAAGATGAATTGAATCATATTAAAAAACAATGGTCTTTAGAACAAGACGAGTTGAAGAAACAATTAATTGTACATGATGATCTTGATTTTGATCCTGATGATTTAGATACGACGTTGAAATTTGTTGGAGGTGTCGATAGTAGGTTTGGATGTATTTCAATGATTGTTAAATGGTAACTATTGGATGAATTTCATAATTTAATTCCTTGGATGTGTGGAAATGAATGTTAATCGCAACCGATTATTCTTTCAAATTGCTCGTTCGAATATGGTTACGTTTGATTACGAATAATCTGTTACTTGTTGGAATGAATTAAAATTTATTAGTTAGTTTTGATAAGGAAAATCCAGTGAATGCAATTGCAAGTTTAATTGTATTGTCATTTCCAGATTTGAAAGTAGTTTATGAAAAGTACGACAGGGTCACAATGCAACATCCTTATATCCCAGGGTTGTAAGTGATTTGGTTTTTTCATGATTGGACATTTGAATATCAATATTATTTATTGGACCTACTAATGAACAAATATCTTGAAACAATGTCAATAACTTTAATTGCTGGCATTTGTGTTGTCATACCGTCTCTCTAGCCTAGCCTTTCGAGAAGTTCCACATCTCGAGAACATGATACATGAATTACGGCAAAATTGTCCACAATTTATCCCACAAGTAATTCTTGTTGATGGCAATGGAATATTGCATCAACGAGGATTTGGTCTTGCCTCGCATTTGGGAGTTGTTGTGAATATTCCTACTGTTGGAGTGGCAAAAAAGTTATTGGTAAGTGTGCTATAGCGAAAGCTGAGTGGAGATTTGTGATGATGAATGATCTCAATGATACTATTTTGACGCTATGGTGTTTTCTAAATATTGGAAAATGCTGATAAAAAGTATGTGGATGATATTACTAGAGACACCGTAAAAGAACTCGTTCAAAAACATCTCAAAGCAAAAGGTGATTATGCAAAACTCATAGGAAAGAGTGGAATTGCTCATGGTGTTGTGTTTCAACCAATTCAAAAGACCGGAAGACCTCTCTTCATAAGCATTGGTCACAGAATCAGTTTGGAATCATGCATTAAGGTGGTCCTTAAAACATGCATTCATAAAAATCCAGAACCCATACGACAAGCTGATCTTCGAAGTCGTCGAATGATAGAAGCACAAGCTGCTTGGAAGAGCAACCAATAATTTGTGAAAGTCAGCCACGGCTAGAGTACTGACAACAAAAGCAGCATCCGTGTGTTTGTGTCTGGGAACATCTCATGAGCGTACCCAAATTTGTAAAATACAACCAAGGTCAAGGTTCACAAATATTCACCCTTTCTTTTCGCCTTTTTCTCATCATCAAAAAAACAACAATCTCACGTTCATCACTCCCCAATTTTTCATTCCACCATCACCACCACCATCACATTTTCATCATCATTATGGGACAACACTCTTCATCTGAAAAGGGAGCTATTGGTTCTGCCATCATGGTTGGAGAAGATGATGATGCTCCAGAACAACAACAATCAAATCAAACAGTTACGAGTGGAAAACAAGGAGGAGCCACTACCTCCAGTGGAGGCTATGTTTCCAAGAACAAAATTAACGAATCTATTCAAATTGTTTCTATTGAGAAGGATAATGAAGATGAATATGATTTCTTGGTGAAGGTGGTGCTTGTGGGTGATTATGGTGTGGGTACGTTATTGTTTGATCTCTCCACATATGCCCGACAACACATGGTTGGAATATATTCCTTTGATTGAAATAATTATTACTGAAATATTTGGGAAATATCATGATGAAATTCTTTGATGAATGAATGGTTGGTATTATTTACTACCACAAAAATCCTCAACTAAACGTGATCACGTCATCACTGTGATAGGTAAAACAAGTCTTGCAAAGAAAATTTCTCAAAGAGGATTCACCACACAGCATCAACCAACGATCGGAATTGATTTTGTTGTTTGCACATTGGTTCTCAACACCAAAGAGACTGGTAAGTAGCAGTAGGGAGTTTTCAATAGGGGGTTATTCCAATTTTTGTAAAATATAATGTCATTATGATGACTATGATCTGCACTCTTGATCGTTCCCATGTTTTGTCCTGTGTGACGACTTGATGGAAAAATAGTTCGTCTTCAACTTTGGGACACTGCAGGTATGATTGTTACGATTTTGCCATGATATGGAGCTAATACTAATTTGACAAATTCTAATTTGTGAAATCATTAATTACCTCAAACACTTTTTCATAACGTAACATACAAAGGTCAAGGTAGGATATTGAATTTTGTGTGAATTTCACTTTGTGAGCTCATGACCTTCTTAATTATTATCTATCAACCAAACACCATTAACAGAAAAATTTAAGGCTCTTGCTAGTTCGTTTTTCCGAGGTGCTGATGGTATATTCATAGTTGGTAGGTTTAAAACTTTTGAAACAAGTCGTGAGAAATTTGGAAATTGAAATTACGTTCCAATATCTATCATTATTATCATACCACGACATGTTGTTCCAATTTTCAACAATTCTCATGTGTCATGACAATTATAGCTGATGTTTCAGAGAAATCATCCTTTGATAGAATTCCAGGTTTTCTTGAAGATGGAAAAAAGAATTGCTCTTCAGATGTTGAGTTTATTTTTATTGCATCCAAGATTGATCTTCGTACGCAACAGTTAGGCGTAATGACCGAACCAGAAACAAAGAATGAATTCAGAAAATATGATGCCAATATTCCAATTATTGAAACAAGTGCTAAGGAAGATAAAAATGTTGAAAAAGCACTTTTAACAATTATTCAAAGAATTTACAACAAGAAAAAGGAGGCAAAACAAAATTAAGACAGTTCTTTGCAAAATTTATACAAGTAATAATGAAATTGTAAACTATTTTATTGTTACAAGAGTGACATTATTCACTCGTTGTAGTGAATGATTATTTTGTCCTTACAATAATGTGCATGTTAGCATACCTGATCGCCGTTTGAACATTGTCGAGCATGCATCTGATGAACAAGCACTCATTGCGTTCACAACTTGTGCCTCTCTACGCTTCTTCCTTTTTCGTCCAGATTTGAGCATGTGCACCACTGAAGACCATGAAAACATCTTAATGGTACATATTGGACATTCATTTCAATGAATTCATTTCCAAAAAGCAACAATTCTCTTGGAATGCATCTTGCATGTATGGTTCACAAGCTTGATGATTATTCTCTAAATTTCCATGAAAAGCTAATTGTTTTTGTAATAATTGAGACTCCACTTGAGGTTGTGTGACTACAAGTTTTCGAATGATTGAAATCATGGTGTGAATAATATCAGGATATCTTTCAGAGGCCTCTTTCAAACGATCTTTCAATTCTGAGAGTGAGGACCATCCTCCAACAACGATTGCTTCTTCAGCTTTGTGATGCTTTGAATTTTGGTCTTTGTTTGAAGAACTTGAAGTTATTGAGGTTGTGGTTGTGGTGCTTGTAACGGATGATGATGACAGTTGTTGAGAATTTGTTGTTGGAATGAAATTCGAATGGAGGCACACGCTGTGTTCATCCATCCTTCGACCATGCTGTTTCTTCTTCTTCTTCTTCTTATTCGAATCATCCAGAAGGAAATCTTCTGAATTTTCACCATGATGATGAGATGAAACGAAAGACTTGGTTCCTTCTTCACTCAATTTCCTTTTTCGTCCAGATTTGAGAGTTGGAACAAGTGGTCGATCGATGCCATATCTCAATGCATAGAGTCCACACTTGTTACATAAAGGTTTTCCTTCATGATTTTTTCTCCACATGGGTGTGGTGCATGTCGAACAATTGACACAACGAGTATTCACAGATTTTCGAATATATGCTCGTTTTGTGGTGTTGTTGTTGTTGGTACTTGTGGGTGAAGAGGAAGAAGAAATGCTGGAAGAAGTGGTTGGTTCCTGAAAAGAAGTCGTTGTTGAGGTCAGGTGAGTGTCAAAAGGAGGTGGTGAATCCATGACCATGGACATGGAATCCGATTGCATCACGAAATGGAAGGGAAAAGAATCATAATCCTCTTCAATCTCTTCTTCCTCCTCCTGTATCGACAAGGTGTGTGGCAATGAAGAAGAACTCGTACTATCACCATTCTCCTTCATTCTGTGTTGTACCACCACTACACTTTGATTCTTGTGAACTTTGTGGCCATTGACATCATCATCATAAGAGACAGATGCTTGATGTTCATCACCTCCTCCAAAAGAAAGAAACTTGGAAGACAAACAATGGTTTGTTTTCATCTCTCTGCGTGGACTGTGTTGAATGAATGTCAAGAGTTTGTTTTTCTTTGTTGAAGAGTGAGAAAAAGCTGTGTCTCTTAAGACTCACTTTTCAAATCTTGAAAGAATGCATTCCAGTTCAATGATCATCACTGGTGTGTGTTAGAAGAAGAAGAATTTCCCTACGCACTCTCAAGGTGTGAGAAAATTCATGCGAAATGTGAAATTGTTCAACTGGAACCTTGATAATCGCTTTTCCTCAGATCTCTAGTACATTGTCCGGACCGATTTGGAAACGGTCAACAAGACCCGAAAATTCATACTTGGCACAATTGACATTTCGAATTGTAACGGAACCTGTCTGGAGTAGCTGTATCATACAAGGTGAAGTAAAGGATGATGACAGAATGTACTTCTATCATCCTGCACCATATCGTGCTGCTTGGTCCGGAAAATTGAGCAGACAAATGAGGAAGTCTCACAACATGCATTCTACTGATCAATGCAACTGGACCGTTCGTTCATCATTAAGGTTTCACAAGAGGAGTTTCAAACTTACTTTCGACAACAGAGATTAATGTATTCATTAGGACTGTCTTTCACAGTGAATTAAATAACAACACCATATATATCCGAATGAACATTGTTATTACTTTAATGGTGTAAGATCTTTTACTTTTTAACAGAGCCTGAAAGAATGGATTGTTGTGCAGCTGCAATTCGAGCAATTGGAATTCGATAAGGTGAACAACTCACATAGGTCAATCCGCATGTATGTAAAAATTGCACGGATTGTGCTTCTCCTCCATGTTCTCCACACAATCCAACAGTTAAATCAGGTTTCACACTTCTTCCCTTTTCAACTGCCATTCGAATCAATTTTCCAACTCCATCTTGATCTAGAATTTGGAATGGATCTGTTTGTGACAATTCCATATCGATGTAATCTTTAAGGAATTTCTCGGCATCATCTCGACTGAATCCAAAAGTCATTTGTGTTAAATCATTGGATCCAACACTGAAAAAGTCAGAAACTGTTGCAATTTCATCGGCTAGCAATGCTGCCCGAGGCGTTTCAATCATGCAGCCCACTCGGAATTTGACCTTTTCGTGTCCTGCGTGTGTCAATACTTTGGAAGCAACTTTTTCGATAATCTCTTTTTGATGTTTCAATTCTTGAATAGAGGAGATGAGTGGAATCATAATTTCCACATGAACACATGGTGATTGAGAGGTGAGAGCTGCTTCGAAAATAGCCTCTGCTTGCATTTGAGTAATTTTTGGAAGAGTAATACCCAAACGACAACCTCTGTGACCAAGCATGGGATTCTTTTCAGAGAGTTCTTCAATCTTTCTCATAACCACGCTCTTGTCTTCACCGAGCTTTTTGGCGAGCTCTTCAACTTCATGTTCTTCATGAGGTAAGAATTCATGGAGAGGTGGATCCAACAAACGAATGGTGACCTTTCGATCTCCCATCACATCAAAGAGTCCCTTAAAATCAGTGCGTTGATATTCTTTGAGTTTTTGAAGTGCTTCTGCTCGTTGTTTCTCATTGGTGGCAACAATCATTCTTCTCATATCGAGAATTCTTGTCTTTTCAAAGAACATGTGTTCGGTTCGGCACAAACCAATACCTTCAGCACCAAATTCAATGGCTTTTGTGGCATCGCCGACTGTATCGGCATTGGCGTACACTCCCATGGTACGATAACGCTTTTCAATCTCCATCACTCGAGCAAAGTCACCACTCAACGAAGGTTCAGAAGTCTCCAATGCACCTGCAAAGATCAATCCAGTGGATCCATCAATGGTTATAATGTCACCTTCCTTAAATTCAACACCATTAATGGTGCATGTCTTTTCATGCTCATTGACAATGAGTGCTGAGCAACCACTCACACAACATTTACCATTTTGACGAGCCACAACGGCGGCATGGCTTGTAATTCCTCCATTGGTTGTGAAAAATCCTTGTGAAATTTGCATACCTGCCAAATCTTCGGGAGAGGTGTCGGTACGAACCAAAACCACAGGTCCCTTTGTTTTTCTCTCTTTTGCCATCTCAATGGCAGCTTCTGAGGTGAAAGCGATTCTTCCCACAGCACATCCTGGTGATGCAGCTAAACCACATGCCAATGGTTCGTGTTTGGCAATCTCCTTCTCAGAGAGATAACGATGAAGAAGTTGATCCAATTGGGAAGCCTCCAACTTGAGGATGACTTCCTTCTCATTGATGAGACCTTCATCGAGCATGTCACAGTAAATTTTGAGAGCTGCTTTCACGGCCTTCTTTCCGTTTCGACATTGGAGCATGTACAAGACACCCTCTTCAATGGTAAATTCCATATCTTGAATGTCTTTAAAGTGTCTCTCTAGTTTGTTGCTAATGTCCAAGAGTTGTTTATAACACTCGGGGAAAGAATTTGCCAACTCTTCAATCTTTTCAGGTGTTCTGACACCACTCACTACATCCTCTCCTTGTGCTTGTCTCAAATATTCTCCGTAGAATTTGTTCTCGCCAGTGGCTGGATTTCTACTAAAGCATACACCAGTTCCTGAATGTTGGTTAATGTTACCGAAAACCATTGATTGAATATTGACAGCAGTTCCTTTCAAATTTCGAATGTTGTGAATTCTTCGGTAGTGAACCGCTCTTGCATTGGTCCATGATTTGAAGACTGCAATAATGGCCTTGAATAATTGTTGCTTAGTGTCTTGAGGGAAGCACTCGTCTGTTTTCTCGAAAATGGTCTTCTTGTGATCTTCCACAATTTCCTTAATTTCTTCCAAAGTCAAATCAATGTCAAGAGTAATGCCTCTCTTTTGTTTTTGTCTTTTCACATTTTCTTCGAAATGTTCATACTTGACTCCCATTACAACATCACCGTAGATTTGAATCAAGTTACGGTACGAGTCCCAAACAAATCTCTCATTGCCACCGAAATTTTTAATCATGATTGGCAAATTGTCATCACAAAGACCCAAATTCAAAATTGTGTCCATCATTCCTGGCATGGAGACAGCAGCACCACTGAAAGAGTTCAAATGTTGACAAATATATTTCATTTAAAGAATTAATCCATTGCATTGTTTCGACAACGCGAACAATTTTGGCACGACCCATTTTGATTCCGCCCACATGTTCAATTGATTGTATAGGATGGGTTGTATAACAAGTGGTATCAAGAACATCCATATAATAATGAATTCATGAATGAAGGAAAAAACGTTGTATAAACAACAACAGAGATGAACTAAATAATAATTAACTCTGACAACACAAACCTTCTGACAGAAACCAACAAGATCTTTTCATTCTCGTTTTGCAAAGATCCAAATTTCTTGTTGGTCACCTTTTCCAATCTTGCCAAATATTCATTCACTTCGGAAACAATTTGTTCAGGTAATTGATTTCTTGAAGAGAGATTTCTCTGTGCCATCTCGTCTTCATCATCCAAATCAATATTGGAAGCATAATTGTTGTGTTTGTTAAACAACACATTGGCCTCCGTGCAAATGGTAAAACCAGGTGGAACAGGTACACCCAAATTGACCATTTCAGCGAGACCAGCACCCTTTCCTCCCAACAGATCTTTCATATTTCGATTTCCTTCGGTGAGGTTTTGTTTGGTGATGGGATCCATTCCGAAAAAGTAGCAAAACTTTTGTGGAGTGGACACATTGTTGGGAGAAAGGAAGTTATTGTGATTGGTACTCATGAGAGTGTTGAGTTAGGTGTGTGTGAGGTGATTCACAGGATGGTGTGTCGAGATGTTTTTTTGGTTTTTTGGCTGCATACAAACTTGAGTCAGGCCCATAAATGGCAATCACAAAAACCTTAAATTGGAAAATTTAAATGTTTGATCATTATTCACCAAAATGCTTGTTTCGGCTAAAACTTGAAAACTCCTCCTTTAGCGAATCTCAACATGTTTCAATAAAAGCCTTCTTGATGAAAGTGTTGTTGTGATTAGAATCATTGATTTGAATTACATGATATAATATGGTTTTAATAAATCACATTACCTCTCTCTTTAAGAATAATTGTTAAAACACACAACTACTACTTTTCTCTTTCCTCCTCTTCCTGATACTTCTTGACTAGTTCATCAATTTTCTTAAATTGCCAAGGAAAGGCAACATTGTAGAGGAATTGTCTCAAATCAAATCGATTATCCTCGGGAGAATAGGATTCACAATGATAGGCAGGTGTTAAAGTGGTCATCTTGTGTCTATTGATGGCATAATATTTGAAAAAATGTTTGACCTTATCTGCAATTTGTTGAACGCTCATTTTGTCTCTCCATTCGTACACTAAATTTTTGAAACTTTCTACAACGCCATTTCCTTGAATTTTTCGTAGCTCTCCAAAACGTGACAATTCATCATAGGTTAATCCCATATCTTCTTCGTCGGTTTGATTGGACTCCAAAGGTTGAAGCTCAGCAGTGGGTTTTGCAATTAGTACATCCATCAGGGAAGGATATCCCAAATTTTGAGCAGCATAATACAAGAATTTCTTCAAATCTGTCTTACTGATACTTCCGATCGGATTAATATCAGCTGAGCTACAGTCATACTTTGTAAAGTATCCTGTAGAATGTTCAACCCATGATGAGCGTACATGTGTGACATCACCAATGACACAATTGCCATAATGGGTGAATGAAAGACAAATGATTCAATGAAATTGTTAAAAGAATATACAAACCTCTGAGAGCTTCATCCACATTCGAAGAACCGAGCACTAACAAATTCTTTGGTGGCATGTCTCTACTCCAATTCATTAATTGAGCAAAGAAATAACTCACGACCATTCTCAATCTTGCTTGAATATTTTGCAATGCAATATTTTCTCCATAGGTTCCATCAAAACGTGGTGTTTTTCCAGTCGATTTCACAAAAAGCTCTTTCATGGAATCTACAACATTGTCAATGGATATTTCCATATGATGGGCACCAATTTCTTCTGCGACTTTTCGTGCACGATTTCGTGTGGTTGCAGAGCTATTGACTGTTGCCATGTAACATGTGGTAAAAATAATATTCGCAATTTCTTTGGGTGAGGATGGAATCCAAGAATCATCTTTGCAACAAATTCTACGAATATCTTTCAAAATAATATTCTTATTGTATTCATCTTCCAACGAATTGGCTGGATCTGTGCAGTCTTTGTGAATGAGTTGACACATTTGACCCACAATAGCTGCAACTGAGCTGGAATCAGCGCCTCCAGATAGTGGCAAGAAGAATCCACCCTAATAATGTGTCATCAATTAGAATTAGGAAGAATTTGATTAATCAAATTAAAAGTTACAATGATGACAACAATGTATAATCAATGTGTGATCATGTTATGGGAGACATGGAATCAAGTGATTAAAATTAGTATTTGTGTGAGATCAGTGATGAACAATGTACCCATAAAACTCACCTGATTGGAACGTCTCAAGTAATCAAACAAGTAGCAGGCAGGCCCGAGAGAAATTTCCTCAACTTTTGAAAAGTATCGAACTTCAATGGGACGTGTGGGTTTCAATCGTTGAGAATAATGATCGTTTTTTAAGGTAAAATCAACTCTAACGCGTGGGAATGCTATGGCTTCAGAAGCTTGAACTGCTCTACTTGCTATTTTGTTTCTGAAAGCTCGAACTTGATCCAAATCGACGTTTGCTCTACCGTGTGAGAACAATTCATTGTTGAAGAAATATATTTGGAGAAGTATTGGAAAGGAGTTGGACAAGTTTGAAACATTCATGATAACCATAAAATTCTTACAAAAACCTACGTGACAACTTCAACTTCTTTAAGGGAGAATTGACTTCCCTGAGCAAGAACTGCTCCATTGACGCTGATCATTGCACAACCATCAAAATATAAGCGATCACCATCGCATCCTTGTTGGTTGGCATACAGATAGACGAGTCCATTCTTTGCAGTTGCATTTTTAATAAGGTCAACACGAGTATGCAATTTTCCAAGTGACGAATGAGAACCGCTTCCATTGCTAATAATTTCAACACCATCTAAACCTAGATAAATATTTGGAGAGTTTGGAGTGAATAATTCTTCGCATGTTTCAACAGCCAACTATTAGGCATTGTATGAGATGTCAATTAATGTGACATTAGAGGCGCCAAAGAATTGTTCAAAATGACTCTAAGGTTCCCAAGTTCTGTACTCACCTCTGTATCATTGAGTGACACAATAGCATCACCAATTGGTACTGTTCTTTGTCCAGTTAACTCTCTAATGAAATCGGGCAAGACGAAATCTTCGACAGTAAATCTCTTTGTCCATGCACTTCAATGTGTGAAAATCAATTGATATTTTTGACAAGAACGTTAGTGCCATAATTTCATATAAAACAACCTACCAAAACCAACGAGTTTCTCTGTAGTTTCCGTCATTAGCTAGAAACAATTTTGGACTGTTTAAATCCGACGTCGTTCAATTCACACACATTCGAATGTTATTAGAAAACTCACCGAATAAGGAGTAGCTTTTTGTTAAGAACAAAAATTCTACAATTGTAATTGACTCCTTTGTGTTTGATAGGCACACCGATATCCACAAGAATATCATTGGTAAGATCGGTTGACAAAATTTCGGCCAAACATTCCATGGCTGTTGTGATTCGATCAAGCCAAAAAGGTCATGATTTCGAGAAATTTGATCAATTAAAATTGTTCGAATGGAAGTGAATTTAAATCAATATCGAATTCAAGTTATTATTATTTACAATTATTGTTTTGAAAATTCATTTCGGATCATACATACAATGTGTATAGGTGTCTGTTTCTAAAAAGTGATCTTGGCAACCGTATCCAGACAATTCCAGTTCTGGGCCCATACGATATCTGGCTCCCTTCTCCTTGGCAATTTTAATGCTTTGCTTCACTCTCTCAAGATTGCCCGAGAAATCCAAGGCCCATTGATCCAAGTTACAGGTAGCCAAAGTGACGAGATGCATTTTTTTGTGTTTTTGAACTTTTGGAGTTCATAAATGGGAAACAGTTCAAACATGGATCTGCAAATTCTCATTGATTGATCCATCAGAAGTGGAATGTGGCAAGAAATCATGCTGAATGCAGGTATAAATTTCGTTCAAGGAATTTTTGTGTCATTCCTTCCACGTTATTGAACAAGCTCTGTCAAATGAATTTCTTCCTGATCCGCTAAAGGGCTCGAAGTCTTCAACTTAACCTTATCCACACTTTCAAATCGTTTTCGCATTTCCTCGATAGCTTTCTTAGATTTTTCATCCCATTCTTTTTCCTCGTCCAAATCCATGACCCATCCTCCAACTTTTTTCTTTTTAGGAGTTGTGCTTTTTGATTTTGTTGGAGATTTTCTCTTCTTTGGCGTACTTGTGTCCTTCGTGTAATTTTCATCTTCCTCGTCATCGGTGGTGGTGTCTCTCTTTTTTCTTGGTGTTGATCGTGTTTTTCTTGGAGTTGTTTGCTTCTTCTTTCGTGCTGTTCTTGGAGGAGTTTTGATTTCCATTGTCACATCCTCATCTTCACTTTTTCCTTCTTCCTCGGTTGCAGCAGCTGCTTTCTCTTCCCGTATTGAAGACGATTCAACAAATAATTTTAAATTGTCACTTTTCAAAGAATTAATGTTATCAATAGCTTGTTTCACGACAGAAGGTGTAACAAATTGTGG